CGATCATCTTTTACACTTCGCTATTCAACAAAGAGCTGGTTTGTCACAGGTGGCTAGTCACTATGGGCCCCTATCTGCCATGGCAACGCAGATCGCAGAAGTGTACGGTACTGGAGAAGCAGAATCGGAAAATGTTGCTCTAGTTCCTGGATGGAAGATCGTCAAGATGCTCAGAGAGCAAAAAGATGCTATAGACGAAGCAATGGCGGTAGTTATTCAGGGAGTGATTCTTGCTGATGCGTATGTTCGCTCGAAACAAGAAGGCATCGAAGTTAGAAGAGCACTTGAAGCTGTCCGCGCTAAAATGTCCTCATTGAAAAAGGACGTTGACGATCGATATGCGTTGCACGCTGCTAGCACTGTACCTGCTGTTGCAGTTGAGTCTGCCGTTCGCATGATGTTCAGCAATGCTGCTGCCTTATCGGAAATGGAGCGGCATGTGAAGGATCTCAATGGCATGCACCCGGACGTCTCCTACATTTTGGACGACCTGGCTGATGTTTTGCGGGAAAAGGTGGCGATTGTCAATTCGGCTGTTACTGAGATGTTTGGTGAAAACGAAGCTAGCGGAGACGAACTTGACAATGCGGCTGTGGAAGAGTTCACTGCTAGGGTGGATGATGCTATCACAGCTATGCTTCTGTCCTTCCAGGCACTCATGAGCATCGATGAAACCGCTGCGCCGAACGGTACAACGAACGGGGTGTGCGACGATGAAGATGATGCGTTTGGCTTACGAAAGCGCTACCTTATCGATGCACACCAAAGAACTGTTAACCTCTTCCGTTCCGGACATCTTGGGAACGTCCTGGAAGCGTTCAATAGTCTGCTCTCCGGTGTCCACATGGACACGCAATCGATTCAAAGTCGCAGATACTTTGCAAGCTTGGTACGCAGGATTTATCCGTTATTCAACCAGTATCTTCTTGCCGTCCGCAGAAGTTTGCTAGATTGCATCTTGCAACATAAGTCGATGTTAAAGTTCGCGTACATATTGTGTAACACATTCGGGCAACTGTACAAAGATGGCTTCTGTGTGCCGCGCGATGAAAAAGACGACGGGGCAGATGATGATACCACAATGGAAGACAATGTAGCTGGCACAGGAATTGGCGAAGGCGAAGGCAACAAGGACGTTAGCGACGAAATCGAAAATGAAGACCAAGTGGAAGGCATGCAAAACGAAGCGCCAGCCAAACCGGATCCACAAAAGAAGATCGATGATGAAGAAAACGGTATTGAGATGGATACAGACTTTGACGGAAAGTTGGAGGATGTTGATGCGGAGGACGAAGAGGAAGACGATGCTCGTGATAATGAAGAAGAGAGCGAAGAGCCAGAAGAGCAAATGGGAGATGTAGATGGTAATGCTAATGTAGTAGACGAGAAACTTTGGGGAGATGATGATAAAGACGAAGATGTGAACGGCCAAGATGAGAAGACAGAGAGAGATGCACCTGCGCAAGATGGCGGTGGGGAAACCGAGATGGCGGCCAAGGAAGGTGGAGGAAATGATGAAGAAGAGTCATCAGACCGCCAAGAGCGTGAAGACAATCAGCGACAAGAGGCTCAGCAAAACGTGGAACCTCAGAATGCCAACGAAGACGGCGAGGAAGACAGCAACGAGGATATCATCAATGAAGATAATGAAGCGAAATACGAGGATAGTCATGGCATAGACCCGAAGGCTGCTGATGAAAAGGAGCAACAGGAGCAAGAGGAAGAGGATGACATGGAGCTACCAGATGATATGGATATGGACGCTAATGAACAAGAGGAGGACGACAGAGATGGAGGTCGTGATCAAAGTGCAGATAGAATGGATCTTAATAGCAGTGAAGACATGAATCATGGCAATGAGGAGTCGCTAGAGGAAGAAAAAGATGAAGAAACTAATAATGTTGAGGAAGAGAAGCAACCTGACGAAGCGGCAGCTGAGGAAGCTCAGCAAGAGGGGTCAGAAACTTTGGAACCGGAAGCGCTGGCCGAACAGGAGGAACAAAATACCGAACAAGGACCTGAGGTGGAAGTCGAAAAGAATAATATCCAGGAAAATCGGGAAAGCGCACATGAGGAGCAAGAACCAGAGAAGCCAGATAGCGAACAATCTCCGGAAGATGCAACTCAAGCAGTAGACGATCAGATTCAAAGCAGCACCCAACCATATGGCGTCAAAGGAGCTTCTGGTGAAAAATCTGCGTTAAACGTTCAGCCGGATGAGATGTCCGAGGAAATCCCGGAAGACGGAGAAAATGGCAGTGCTAATGAAGATTTCACTCCAGGCGCTGAGAAAAGTCAGCGTCGTTCGCAACACTCGAGGAATGAAGGAAGAGACAAGTCGAGGAAAGACGAAAACATGGATCCAAATCCAAGGAGGAGCCTGGGCGATGCGCTGAAGAAATGGATGTCGCGGCTGAAGAATATTTCAGAGTCCACAGAAGAAGAAAAAACTAACCGGGAGGAGTTCAACGATGAGCCGCTTTTGGATGGAGACAAGGCTCTTGAATATGAATTTGTTAAAGAAGATGATGAAGCAGCCGATGCACAAGCCATGGCAGACGCAACTGCGGATCAATTTGAAGAGATGGACAGAAAAGCCTTGGCTGACGATAAAGAAGAAAAAGAGTGTGGAACTGATGACGCCATGGATGTTGAGGAACATCAGGAAGATGTACCTGACGAACAAGGGACTACGTCGCGGGAACCAGATGCACAGAAGAAAGGGAGGTCAGAAAACCCGAGCGGGGCAATCGACTTGGGACTCAATGAAAAAGACGGCAAGGAGGTGGAGAACAAAGTCAGGAACGACGAGGAGGATGTCGGTGGTGTGGATACCATGGATGTCGATGAAGAGGAGGTGGATGATATCGAATGGACTCGTCCTCGTGCATTGAATGAGGGCGATACTCTAGCTGATGATGAGGCCGACGAGAGCACTCTTATGGACAGCCATCAGTACGATGAATTGCGTCTGGAGTTGGAACAGTCAGTCGCCGCCTGGCGTGAAAGCGGTCAAGATCCGCGTGAAGCAGAAGAGTTGTGGCGCAACTACACAGCGTTAACCAGAGACTTGTCCTTTGCTCTGTGTGAGCAACTTCGGCTTATTCTGGAGCCAACTCTTGCCACCAAGCTCAAGGGTGATTACAGAACCGGAAAGCGGTTGAATATGCGGAAAATCATCCCCTACATTGCAAGTCAGTTCAAAAAGGACAAGATCTGGCTACGACGCACAAAACCATCAAAACGCACATATCAGATTATGATTGCTATTGACGATTCGCGGTCAATGGCCGAGTCGCGATCTGTACAGCTTGCATACGAGTCACTCGCCGTGATCACCAAAGCATTGACACAGCTGGAGGCTGGAGACGTCTCAGTCTTAAGTTTCGGCGAGGATGTCAAGCTCCTGCACCCTTTCGATCGCCCGTTCTCGGATGATGCGGGCGCGGATGTCATCCGGCGTTTTACGTTCAAGCAAGATCGAACCCATGTGCGTAAAATGATGGAAACAGCGATGGGGATATTGGATCATGCACGTACTCAGAGTGGGGCGGGTCCCGGATCTGATCTATGGCAACTGCAGCTTGTGATTTCAGATGGTATCTGCGAGGACCATGAGCTCGTACAGGCCTTGGTACGCAAGGCTGCTGAGCAGCGAATCATGGTTGTTTTTATTGTGCTGGATAATCGGAGGGAGAAGGACTCGATCACAAAAATGACAAACGTAACATACGGTGTAGACCTTTCAACGGGGCGCCCGACTCTACAAATGAGTCGGTATATGGATACCTTCCCGTTTGATTACTATGTGGTCGTCAAGGATATCGGAACCCTACCGGAAGTATTAGCGGATACGCTACGGCAATACTTCATGTTTGTAAATGCATAAGTTAATTTGTAGCATTAGTGTAATTGGTTGTGGGCAGCTAATATAGTATAGGATAATTGGCTATTTATTAGACATTTGTATATAGAGACAATGGAATATATTGAATTTGATGAACATAAGCTCTTAATATCTATTTCTCATGCATAATTACCTTTTCGTCAACCACCTCCCCATTTTTATCCCTAACTACTACCACGGTAGCGATATGTACGTCCTCTTCCTTAACGAGCAAAGCTGTAAACTTTTTCAGCAAGCTCTTCTTTTCCTTCTTAATCTTTTCCTGCTGTTGGGGGAGAGGCTCAGAGTGAGCACTAGCCGATTCCTCAGCTACTATTGTGGCATCAGTATCAGTTGGCTCGCGGTAGGCATGTAAAAGCCGTCTAACTTCCTCGACCCCTCGTTTAGCCACATCCACATTTCCATTAGCCCAGAGACCCACCAAATCCCCACCCGGGGCGCCTCCTCCAATAGCGATGGCGGCCCTTGCCACAAGCGATACGGGGATGATAGTGAAAGTCCATTTGGGATGGTTACGATAGACTCGCGGCCATTGTTGGGCAACGTGGGAAGCTAATGCATCCCACAGTCCCGCAGCAGGTAAAATGGCCAACTGAACCGCATTGCGAACCAACCCAAAAAAGGCATTCGGGCTATCTTCCTCGAGGGATTTATTTAAAACGGTTGCGTCGTGATGGTACAACCAGTGCAAGAGAGTATCGAATTGTTCGGGCACTGGTAGTTGTACTTGAATGGTTGGGAGGACATTTGCGTTGGGGGACTTGCCATTATTGGTGCTCAACCATTGTTTAATCATCGAAGCGAAAAAGGTGGATTGTGCCGCTAGAACTTGAGCCCGTGAATGCGGGACAGTGTAAGTTCCCGTTGGGGCGTTGTTGACATCAAGGACCTGCAGGTAGCAAAGTAAAGGATCCATGGCTGCGTAAGTAAGATTGTAGGTTGCGTCCTTCTCCTCGAAAGTTGGCGAACGAAGGGCGAGTGAATTGGAATGGTAATGGAGTCGTTTTGAGATTATACCTTAAGTTTCTCATTCCTCGAACATGAGTATTCATGCCCGATGAATAGATACAGATGCTTTCATCTAACCAGCGGACCATTCTTCGCAACAGCTGGAGACCAAAAGGGCACTTTTGAAATTTTTTCGAAGTTGATTTCAGTTAAGATGACAAGGAATCCCAAGTAAAGCAACAAGGGCCTAGCCCAGATATGTCGTCCTATATCGCGTCCTTTCACTTTCTTTGTTCTGCTGACTTTGCGACTGAATAAGCAGTTGACCCGCAAGGTATTTCCAAGTTTCCTGCCAGTTGTATTAGTTTTGCACTAGTGTTTATAGCGAGCTATAAACTTTCAGCACTGTCCATTCATGTGCACTGCTCGAGGTCGGGAGTTTCATCCAGCCAGGTAATCGAAAGACCAAAAAAGGACCATGCTTGTTGAGTGGTAAATATTTCAGCAATCGACAAAAGCAGTTTATAAGTTGTTTTTATCGCCCAAATCAATCGTGACTGAATGAGGCTTTCAAATGTTCAGTCCAAAAGATGTTGATCGATAGGCTTGCAAGAATGGTAACTCACAGTCAAAATCAGTTGTTCCAGACGTACAACCGAAGGACCACCATGCAAAGAATCAAGAATCATGAACTTGGGACATGTTACAGAGAAAGCATCCCAACAAACGAGGTTTGCAGATGAGCGGACCATGTGAGATTTCAGGTTTCTGCACGTTTGGCTATGAAAGGGATGATGATCTATGGCATCTTGACAGCCAAATGCTGCTAGGAAACGTCAAATAACATACAGAACCAATACATATAGACAAGTGCACAACCAAACAGCACAAAGCAAGGCAATCTATTATACAATTCTAAGCTAGACCCGTCTTCCAAGCACTTGGTATGGGGGTATTTTGCATGATTACAAAAGTGGATCAACCACTGATTGTACCCAACTGCTAGGTAATCTCACCGACATGCCTGCATCGTTAAATTTCACAGCAAAAACTTTGGTGAGGGTTCCTTCTGCATGAGTTTCTTTATCTTGTTCAAGATACGTCGCAATTTCTTTGAAGAAGGTGACGACGGTGTCTTATCGAATTCTTTAATTACATCGAGAGGCATGCCAACTGGAACATGTACAGAGTCACTTTGGAGAGTTGATATGGATCCCACGGGAGGTGAACGATAATGGTCTGCTTCGAAGAAAAGGAAGGGAAATGGGAATTCTGCCCCTTCCTCCATGCCGGAAGGAATCGGGGTCCGTGGGCGATCAGCTGCGGTCGAGATATCCCTGCGCGATTGTAACGAGCTGCTGGGCGCGTTGCATGTGGCCATAGACCCAAGAGTCATTGATGGACGTGAGCCGGAAGTGCCTGGGATGCAGAGTCTTTGCGTCAAGGAGAACTCTGGCGAGCTCACAGAGACTTCCCTTTGCAGCAAGGAGGGCCGCGGCTCCATATACGCATCTGAAGGATATCGACCTTGCTTGAATGGGGTTGGTGCTTCGTCGTCGGAGGATGAGAACGAGTCGCTGGCGTCAAAGGAAGCTCGTGGATGAAACAATGTTAACCCATCAGACATAGTTGGCGGGTCTAACGAGGCAACCACGGTGGAATTTTCCGTCTTGCATCGACGTAATGCCAATTTGGTTCGCAGTTTAGTGGCTGCATCATTACGATCGCCATTCGATATGGTTACCGACCTCCGTGGTGGGTGTTTTGGCAACACAGGATCCTGATGCTCCGAACTATTGTTTCACATTAGAAGCTTTACTACTAGTACTTGCCATGGAACGAAACATTGCAGATGACCTACGCTTGCTCCAAAATCGGATCAAGAAAGGTCAATGAAGTCATGCCGCTGGACATCCTCTGCAACTGGTGGCTACTGGATCGTCAAGTAGTGGGGAAGGGGAGTCCAGGGTTTATTAAGTCAGAGGGCTTTATAGAGCTATCGACAGTCTGCTCTGACGAGACCCAAGGACAATGCCATGGATCTGGTGATCAGCTCTAGACAGGGTCTTACTGTCAAGCTTACAAACCACACATTCGGCCACCAAAATAGCACTCATAAACCATTATCAACGCGTTCAAACGACATCATTGAAGAGGCGCTAGGGGGGAACATTAGACCTTTATCCTATCAACGCAACGATTAACCAGCCTCATTAACAATGGGTTAGTGAGAGCCGGTAACGAATTACGTCTGAAGAACATTTGAGGGTGTGTGGGACATGGCTCATGCAAGGGTTCTGCAATCGGACATTTACCTAGACCTTTCAAGGATGTTCTCTCCACTTAGACTTGAAGAACGTGATGATTCCACGCAAATAACAACAAGACACATCGAAAGGAGTCATCACCTTTAAGGGAACTGTTGACCCTTACACCAAGCGGGTATAGGCATGGAATAGTAAGCCTGCCATCAACCTGGTCCAAGGACTCGCTTTACATAGAGGCCCTGCTACTTATTTCCTCATATACGTTGGTTAATCGGCATGAAATAATGAGCTGTCATTAAACTGGGCCGACGACTAGCAGTAGAGGAGAGCTTACTACTTCATTTTTTTTAAAAGAATTTATTGAACGGAAGCAACATGTCCCTCGTGGGCTGTGGCCGATACTAGGAAAGTTCCAAGCGCCTCTATCGCCCGCCTACCCATCAGATCACGTAATCAGCCGCCCTCAGTGAATATCATCAAGACCTGTTCCGCCTTCCGTAAATTATAGTGAGCTTCCGAGTTGAGGGTCCCAGATAGCGTTCCATGTGGAGGTCATGGGCTGCCATATTGGAGCATTACATTATTGACTTGGAACGAGCCAACAGTATTGCCATAAGGTCTTTGTCATGATACGACACTTCAACTAACTTTGCATTTGATGTGCTTTTATTGGGATATGCACGTGTTTTCCCAGATGAAGTAGAGGACTCCCAACGATCAGCACTCTTAAGCTATATTATATTGCAATTGGTAAGCTTGGTGCTGTCTAGTATCGGTCCATACACCACGAATTAAAATAAACTATTACAGCTGCCCAGATCGAACGATCGAAACCTTTCGAGTCGTCCGCCCGGAAGGTGTTCCATATGTCTCCATCCTTTGCATGACGCTAAACCCATCCACGACTCGCCCAAAGACAACATGCTTACCATCCAACCAAGGAGTAGGTACTGTGCAGATGAAAAACTGGGATCCGTTCGTTCCTGGCCCAGCAGTAGCCATGGAGAGAGTTCCCTCTCCAGAATGCTTTAGGTTAAAGTTCTCATCGTCAAATTTCCCCCCGTAAATAGATATTCCTCCGCTGCCATCGCCTCGTGTAATATCACCGCCTTGGCACATAAATTTTGGGATGATGCGATGGAAGATCGAGTTTGCGTACCCAAAACCTTTCTCCCCCGTGCAGAGGGCACGGAAGTTTTCAACTGTTTTAGGAACAACGTCGGCACGGAGCTGCGAGGGGGGATGCGGTGCATTAGCGAGATGTTGCTTATTTCATGCGAAAAATTTGCTACCTCCATAATAATACGACCAATAGTGTCGTTATCCACGGCGATATCAAAGAATACTCTCGGGTTTTGTCGTTGACGGGATGGAAGTGGAGGTAACCTTGGATTTGATATGTTCTCCAACAGGATTATTCGCTCCTCTGCTTCTACTGCTCGCTTCACTGCCTTGTCTGTTTTCTCTTTCTCTAGGGCAAGAGCTTTGAGCAAATCAGTAATCTTTTGTTCTGCTTCCTCTGCTCGCTTCTCTGCAGCTAGTAATTGCGCACGTGAAGGTATATTTCGATCCTTATGTATCAACTGTCAATTAGGGTAGACGAGAGATAACCAAGCGCTAGCATTCAACCTTCAGTTGACTTTTAAACAACTCTTCTTGTTCATCCTTCTTTCGATCTCTGGCAAGTAAATCAGAGGGTTATACTGAAATTCAGGTACAGCCATGTGTTCAAACCTACTGTAAATATGAACAAAAGGCCGTGAAACATTTGTCCTGGTGCCTACGTTTCTCTTTCTCTTCCCCATTCGAAGGAAATTTATAATCTTCTCTTGCAAATTCTAGTTTAGCTACCGGACATCCGAGTTGCTCCCAGGTAAACAGATCGATTTCTTTGGGTTTCCAAAGTTGACGAAGAAAATCTTCAACTTTGTTTGTCTGAAAGCGCTTGTCGCGGGGGTTCAGTATCCAATAGAAATTATCTGTTTTTTGCTTGTTTGCATTCCATTGTAGAACTAGCAGAGAGTAGCAAATATTGGCTTTGGGGAGAGATCAAAGGTAAACGAATACTGGATAAGATACTTTTACCTTGACCATTGCACTGCTCCTGTTCATTGGATCCAATGTGCTGCTCGAACTCCTTATGTGCTTTCAACCGTCCCCCGCGGCTTCGCGGGAATATGTGATCCACCTCGAACGTGCATTGTCCGGAATTTGTCAAGATGCTGATAACGTTTCCAGATCGATCGATGCCAAATAGCTCCTGGAGCGCTTCTCTGACGGGTTCTCCTAAACCTTCCCATATGGCTCTTATTTCAGAATCCAAGTGTACAGCGCATGTGCACTTTGCGTGGTCCCCATCGTCGGGGGATTTCAAGAAGCGCTCACGGGCTTCCCATAAATACCGGTTGCCAGCATTGCCAAGGTTATCCGGGTTGGTGGTATTCAGTACTAGTTGGAGGGTATTCCCTATATCTATTACGCCGCCCTTGAAATTCGTCTTTATCCACTCATCGATTTTTGGATATTTCTTCTGCCAGTATTTATCGAGGGAGTTGAATAAAACTTCACGCTTTTCCTGCGGAACCACAAAATCTCCTTGCTTGTTCGTTGTAATGTAACTTAGGTCATCAAGCAGTGCACGTATGGCTTTTCCAACGAATGATTCCTTGCTGATGATACCAGACGTGGAATCGATGGAGAACTCATTCTCCCAGTCGGAAGGGAAATTGCGCCCTTCTCGCCAGCCGAACTGTTAACTTGCATATCAGTTCGGATGTAAGACCTGGACATTTGGTACATTGATGAACTAACCGTCTTCTTAATCAGTTGGATTTCGTCATCGTCGGTTTCCCCGGCTCCTGATCGAGTAGTCACTGGCATTATAATCTCCAGTTGTTACTCGCCACAGACCTTCTATGTCCACAAAAATATGATATGAGTGAAACGCTCATTGGGTTCGGGCGAATTTATACAGGAAGCATTGAATGCCAAGCGCCTCATGATACTGAAGGTTGAGCCTTCCCCATTGAGATGGGGTCTGCAGGGATTAATGAATATCAGTATGCAGCTTTGAATTGTTGAGAGCAGTAAATATTGTCCACTCTGAATTCTGAACAGGAGCAAAACCAGTTGTTGACAGCATGATTTGTTAGCATCTCCATTCCTATATCAGACTCAGAATCTTTCTCAGTTTGTAGCGAGTGAACAGAAGGCTCGGGAACAGAGACTGCGGATTATTTTGCCCGAGCAGTCTAGCGACTTCTTTGGCGTATAAGTTAGTTTTTGAGATGACACTTATGGCACCTCAATCTCAGTCGATGTAGCTGTTGGCACCCTTTGACATCCATTCTTTTAACAATTGCTCATCGCATTTCACCAGTACGGCCGAGCCGGAAACAACGACGGTCAACTAGCCGCTGAAGACGAAAGATTACCCGCCTCGTTTCAAACGAATTGGGTGATTGACGGATACGCCATGAGCCATTGCACGAGTGTCGCAAAACACGCGGCGCGCCTTGGATGCGAACACGTTGGGCACTTGAACGCCTTTGAAGGTCAAGTTGGACAGTCTTGTCCTTTTTGCTGAGCCCCGCTTACCGTGCTTGGCACCATTTAATTGACACTTTCTGGATCGGGATCCCTTATTTGCACCCGCATGCGGTGCTGTAACTTACGGTATATGTTGCGCAATGTGCGCTGGCGGGGGAGACAGTTACCCTTTGGCTTTGGCGGGTGATTCCATCATCGAACAATTGCGCTCAAAGCCCGAGTTATAAAAAGGGGACAACCTGGCTCGCGTTCCCATATCGCTTTAACCAACCGGATACCAGCAGCAGTACCAATACATTTACACACACTCAACTCGCAACCGCAAATAAATCATGCCCCTTATCGTGAGAGTCATCTCGGTCGCTGGTGTCAAGGACGAGGACGACCTCGGTAAAAATGATCTCTATGTCCGTTTGTCGACGGATGGCAGCCACTGGGTGCAGACTACAACCAAGAAAGGAGCTGGCAAACAGGCCGTTTTTGATGAGACATTCACCTTTGATGTGCAACCTGATCCTAGTTCCAAGCTCTATGTTGAGGTTTATGACAAGGATCCGTTGAAGGATGACAAGTTGGGTGAAGCAAAGGTGGGTCGACAAGGTGCTTCTGTATGCTTTGCGTCAAGCACTGTGACTGATGTTCCTCAATACAGTATGAACTTTCCAACGCATTTTCTGGTCAAGAAGTCGATGGAGTCGTCGAGGTTCGTTACTTGTATATTGCGTAAAAGATAACAAACGATCCTAACGCAATGCATTTCCAGCTTCACCATCACCTGCATCGTCACCGGGGCGTAGTCAACCTCCGTATCTCTTACCGTTGATGTGATGGCACAGTTTGAGATTGCATTGTACTTGCGTGTATATACAGGGTCTTTGTCGTTGCGAAAGCAGAAGATGTAATTACCACTCGCGCCGTTAAATATATCACGTAAGGATACCAATACGACGTCGTTGTGTATGCTAGTGAGCATGAATAATTCCCGCTGTACAAGGCGAATGCACTCTAGAGCATCACGTCTATCTCGCAAAACACCTTCCATCAAGTCCACATCCAATGGAACATCGCAGCATCATCACATGTAAAAAAGAAAATACAATAAAAAAAAAGAAGGCAGCCAGCATGCTTGAAATAGTTTATGTACGTCGCGATTCAAAAAGAATTGTACAAAAGGGCCCCTCCCACCACAAACAAAACCGTCAAGTCCGTACAGGTGGCGAGACGTCCTCCAATGGAGGAGGAGTCGGTATCTGCTTTGGTCGGCTGTACGTGACGGGCTACTCATGTGCGAGAGTCAGAAAATCATATCTCGCATTGAACAAACGCCAAAAGACGGTGATACCTACCGGAGGAGTTGTACCGCACCACTTTACAATGTGTTCGCCTTCACCAAATGTTAAGTTATAGTCCAGCACAAACTTGTATAGGAATCCACACCATCCAAGGTCCCCAACAATGCAGAGGACTTTGAGACTGGGTGGCTTAGTTGGTATGTCGACTCTCAAGACGTCGAAGGAATGTTCGGTTTGAAGTAGGGCTTCGATGAACGAAGGACATAGGGACTGATCCATTGAGACGAAATAGTAAGTCTCTGGACCAAAGGGTTTGGACTCGAGAGTATCAGAGTCTATAATGGAACGGTAAGGTGTCAAATGCCTGATAGACTGGGAGAATGTATTCCGAGTCTGTTTTACCAGTTCGAACGGGAGTTGCTGGAGTGCGGAATTTTCTTTTGTGTTTTGTCATATGTTTGGGAAGCTGTGCAAACGGCAAGGTTGGTGTTTGAATCTTGCAATGTTACATGCTATGGAACACTCACAGCAGACAATGGTTCTTGAGCATTATGGATTGTCCTGTTATAACAGTGTACACTGAGCGCCTGTCCTTTTTCATTCGTTATATTGAACCCGCAACGAATACACACCTTTCTTGTCGGACGCCCTCTTCAGGTCCCTCTGCCCTCGCTATAACAGGTGCTGACATCGTTTGTATTGTTCAAAAGTTCTCAAATCTTGTTGGAAATCCGGCGCCCGCCTAGGTCAGTAGCCCCTTTTATTTCTGCTCTGGTTAAGGCCAGGAGTGGGCAAAAACTGGGGGCGAAACAAGCAGCTGCTCGTCGTGTGTGTAGATGGCCCCGCCCAAAAACTATGTAATCCTGGTCGGAGAGTTTGAAGCCAATCCCTTTGCTTGGTGATCAGCTACATCATTTTTGGATATTAAACCCCCTTGTCGATCGGCCTGATCACGGGACTAATTGGAACGTTTGGATCCTATGCAAAATGAAGTTGGTTTCTGGTAAGTATGAGTCTGTGATGTTTGGGTGGCGGTGACGCCAAAAAGTTTGATAACGGTGAAAGCGCGTATTGCCAGTGACATTATGGTGAGGTCAATCCATTGGGGATTAATAACGTAGATAGCATCCTTTTGCATATAACATGACAAGTCGACATTTAGACATCAGTTTTACAAAAAGTGCAGCCTTCCAACAACGCTGTTTAACGTTGTGGCCACCCTGGACGTTTCAAAAAAAGCCGCCGCCATTACGTTTCTATCATTGCATTCTGGTGGATGATACAATTCTATTGTGGAAGAAAATCTTTTTGTTTGCCATCTACTACTTGAAAGCCTTGAACATGCCAGCGATCTTGCCCTCTTCTCGCTTCAATACAACACCAGTAACGTGTAAAACATGTTGCTTCTGACCGATAGTTGCTGCGAAAACGACAACATAAATTGAAGGTCGCATCAGTCTCTTTGTTTAATTTTGGTGCAAAGTGACGAGCGCCGACTCAATGACATAATCATGACCCAACTCACATCTGACAATAGCCAAGGCGGCATCCACTGGATCTGGCTCACACGGCAGACTCGCTGGATTTTGAGCAAGCTGATTTCTTACCAGGACTTGTTGCAACCGACCAGTAAACTCCGTATTATTGACGCAAATGATGTTGCCCAGCTTTGTAAAGTCCTGCGAACTCAGGACGTTACTGATACTGAACTCGTTGAATTGAACAGCTAACATCAACCAGGAGCGAAAAGATGAGGATGCAGGCCATAGTTGTAAAGGAAAGTAACGTCTGTTTACTTTTAATGTCGCATGGCTTGGAGATTGTGTCCCAAATCGGTTTCATGTATTTTTCAACCAACTTGGTGGCCTCTTTACTGTCAAACTTGTCAATGAGGACCAAAATCCCTTTGGATGCAGTTTCGGGTGCTGACCCTACTCAAGTGAAAAGATAAGTTGGCATTTATCATACGTAGCCTGACAGGCGCACAACGTTACCTCCGTATACCAGGGCCATGATGCCCTCACTCCATGCCAAAGCCTTGCCTACGTCCCCAAAATGGAAGACCATCTTTTTAAACTTTGATCCAGTCCGACCGCCTTTTCGGATGGTACAGGCTTGGAGGGTGACATCGGCCCCATGGGCCGTAGCAGATATTATCCGACGAAGTTCAAGTGGAAAAAAGTGCTTGTAGGGTTTGGCTTACAGGAAGAACAGTTGTTAGCAGCAGTGTTGCCCGGCAAATTGTTTACAATACTACCTTTGCCATTTTCGCAACAGTGAAGCTCAAAGTCTTGGACTTTTACATCCAGTTTAATGTTCTTCCACACTACTGTTTCCACAAGCTGTGGTGGTGACTGATGGCACATCGAAATACAGTCAGTTATATATGTACATACATACAAGGTTACCACCATAGCTGACCTTTGGAGTACTCTCACCACCACCGAATGCGAGCGACATTCTTGAGACATTTGCGCTAGCGGCCCCAGTCTTGCTCTTTGTTGCGCCAAAAATGGAAGCCAAGGACGCAACACTTTTCCGATTATTGGATGGCGGCAGTGACGCTTGTGATGCCGCCATATCTTCCACAGCAGGATGAGCAGGCTCTTCTGCTTCTTTTGGAGGAGCAGCGGGTTCGGTTGGCGCTGAGACTGGTTTGGTTGCGGTCCCTTGCATCGTCTGCATGTCCATCGCATTGAGAAACTTGGAAGCATTCGCTGGCAGGTTGTGTTTGACGGCTGGTTCGGCTGGACGAGAATCTTGCTTGATGACACTTTCTGCCTTTGTGTCATGATCGTGAGTTGATTGTGATTCATTCTGTTTCTTTTCCTCTTCTCTCTTGTTTTCAAGCTTTTCCTTCTCAAGGCGTTCTCGTTCACGTTCTTCTCTGCGTCTACGCCGTTCCTCGTCACGTTCACGGTCCCGTCGCTCAGCCTCTTCTTGCTCGACGAGAAGACGCCGTTGACGTTCCTCTGTGTCTTTAAGCTCCTGTTCACGGCGTTCCTGGTCGAGACGCTCTTTTTCCGCACGCTCCTTCTCACGGAGTTCGGTCTGCGCACGTTCTTTCTCTATCCTTTCCATCTCACGACGCTGCATCTCGCGAGCTTCGTTCTCTTTTCGTTCGGCCTCCAAACGGTTCTCTTCTGCCTTCTGTTTTTCTAATCGTTCCTGCTCTTCTTGCTCTTTTTTGATTCGTTGTTGTTCCAAACGTTCTTTTGTTTGCTCTGCCTCCTGCTTTCTTACTTCCTCTTCCCGTTGCTCCTTTTCCCGACGTTCCGCCATTTTCTGTTGTTCCAACGCAGCAGCAGCGGCAAGTTCTTCTTGTTGGATTCGCTGCCGTTCCTCTTTTCGACGTTTGCGTTCTTCATCGCGTTCACGGTCTCTACGTTCTTCTTCGGCCAAATCGTGCTGGATGCTCTCGGTTGGCGCTTCACTGGAAAGCTTATCCACCTCCTCTCCTTGAGTTTTCGGCTCAATGGGTAACGCGCCTGTTTCAACTGACTCTGCTGTTTTGCTTGCTAGCGCCCGATGCTCTGCGGGAGAAGTCAGTTCCTCCGTCTGTGAACGAGCGGTGATGTCTGTGGCATTTGGTTGCTGCTCCATCACCAGGCTGTGCCTAGCCGAAGCGTTAAGAGCCTCCTCCTTCATCGTCTTTGCCATCTGTAATTCTTCAAAGAATCCCAATTTCTCTTGATTCTTTCCCTTCTTCTCTGCCTTATGTTTCTGCTTTTCCAATGCCTTTTCACGCTTTTTTGCTTCCTTTTCCCGCTCTTTTTCTTCCTTTTCCATTCGTTTCCGTTCTTTGCGTTCAGCCTTGTCTTCATCAGATTCTTTGTGACTAAGTGACTCCATACTCTTTTTGAATAAAGATGCGACAGATTTAGTCGGTGAAAACTTGGACTTGCGGGACATGGTTGAGGCTGCGATAGAAACCATGCTGCCAGTTGGTGACGGCAGCCTCGGACGTGGTGTGAGGTCATTGTGGCTTTCAGACGAAACGCTAATTGAGAGTTCGGAAGGGAGGTTGGTAGTTGAGCTGGTGAAAGGAGTTTCGGTTGTCGTCAGGGGTAGGCCGGAAGCCGGTGAAGGTTCCCTTGGGCTAGGAGCATTCTCAGCTGTACTTGACGACGCTGTCGGTATGATCACAGCAGGTTCTACGGGCGAGGATGTCATTTGTTTATCCTTTTCCGCAGACAGTGATGACGTACGACGCCCCCGCGGTTCCGAGAATTCTCTCTTCAACGGTGTGGTAATGCGATCGCCAGGGACGACTTCCACCTTCCTGCCAGGCTCCACTGTCTCTTCACGCGATGGTTTCAATCGAACAGGAGAAGCGACTGCCACAACCTGGGGGCTTTTCGCCAACTCTTTTGCTGTCACCGGTGACGGAACTGGATCCAATATGATACTCTCCTTGCCGTCCCGAACCATTTGCACTTCTTCTTCCACTTTTTGTAAGTCATGTTCGATAAGCCCCGATTCCTCACGGCCCCAAGCAGCGTAGAGCCTTTGCTTCTCTTGCTCGAGCCAGGTGCTTTCCGCCTCAGAGTCGTCCTCTGCATGGTGGATGGTCGGAAGAGATGGTGAGCTATCTTCCATAGGTTGAGATTCCTGTTCTGGTTCCCGTTCTGGCTCTTTCTCTACGAGAACGGGTTCCGGCTGCATGTGCTCCATTTCTTTCATTGGAGAAGGATGCTGGCCTTCCGGCTCCTCTCTAGGTATATTCGTGTCTTCGTCCACTACTTTCATCTTCACCGCCACATCCACATTCTCTTCTTTTACACGAGCTGGGATTGCCAGTACGCTGTTGACAGCTTTGATTTTTCTTCGTTTTGTCACCCTCTTGACATACCTCAACACAAATCCGTCCACCAGCTCTCTCTCCCTCTTCCTCCACTCTTCAGCACTTCTTCCAGCCGTCCGCACAACCACCGGTGGGAACACGCCACAAGCATTTCGCCATGTTCCGTATCGTACTGTACGCGGGAAACTTGGAGGTAGAGACTTGTGCTTACTAGCAGTGTACACCGGGCGATCAATGGGACATGCGATGCGGGGTTTGGGAAGAGGTGGAATTGGCGGCGTATATTGTGGGTTGATGATGTCGATTCCCCAATCAGTTAGGATGATCATTCGCCCATCGGGTTGAAGATCACTTTGAGACTCTGAGAGTGTCCTCTGTATAGCCTGTTAGACGATTTACAATGTGTTGGGCAAGATGCACTTACAGTTGAATTGTGTAATTGATCAAGTTCTTTTGCTGCGACTGCCGCGTCTCCCATCTGACCTCCAACACCTGCATCCAACTTGCCCAACCCTGCTTTTCTCAATCGCTTAGCAGCCAGATCGTTCGCCTTCCTCCTTTTGCCGGACGCGCCCTCCTCTCGCAGCAAGAGTTCTTGAATGGGATCATTGTAAATAGCCCGGGGAATGACATCGTAGTCATAGTCGGTTGATCGCACAGGAACCTGTAATCACCGCACTAATGCCTTAGTTTTGTCATCTTTTTCTGAGAAGACTAACGTGGTCCTACATCAGGACGCTCTGTGTAGCCCCCAATTCTCGGCGGTATCTTGGAACTAAAGCGGAACGGACCGACTCGTGCACTTGCCGCCTCAAATCTGTCTGATCCTGCTTGGGCCATTTTTATTCCCCAATTTTATCCCGTCTTAACAGTGGTTGAAGATCTGGACAGAACGGTTTTTACATGGAGCTATAATTGCTATGAGTTGGACATGCTTGTATGCATAATGCGTAGCATTAGATCGCGGACAATACTATCATGAAAAGGGTTGTTGTTGGGCATCGAGGGTAATACGCGTTAAAACATTCTAGCAATTAAGCAACATGTCAAGCTGGCGTTCCGGCGTTGACAGAAGGACCATCTGCTACTGGCCTTCTTCTAACGAGATTTGGCTTTGATATTATGCATCTGATACAGACGAGGGACCGTTGGCGAGACCCCAAAGAATTATCATATCCTGGGCCGCTTACATGAGCCAATACAAACGACACATCCTTGGGATGATGAACACATGAACCACCCACTTTTTTGCATTGAAGATGATTGGCAGGCTGCATGATTGAAACATATCTAACCAACCCTACACCCCTGCTGAGTTAATCTTGATTTTTGGCATGTTTGAACATTCTATCTGCCAGCTCCTTTAAACTTCAATTGTCCAACAATACGCTCTTGCTAAATTCAACCCCCTTAATCAGATCCAAACTTTATATTTCATTAAACGGCAAAATTATTTACCTTGTCTTCAAACGTACCACCAGTTTATTGTGTTCACCAGGAATGTACTGCATATTGCCAAAAGCAGAGCTGCAAGTTGTTTCTTCTGCAATGGACCCTTTCTGCCGGCTGAAAGAGCGGTATTCGCGCTACCACCTCCGTTTGGGGAAACTGGGGCTCTCGTGTGCCAATGGGTACGGGCAACCTGCTCCGAATGGGACATAAACTTCCTCATCCCCACACCCATGGTTCCAAACAAACACTTGCATCGCCTGCTTTTGGTACCAAGTCCGGCTAAAGGCACTCTTTCAAAACAAAAGTTGAACCAAACGGAGGCCGGTCACGCGAGGTCACTGGGGGTCACACACGAAACCTTAGCTGGGTGTGTTACCTAATACGCGTCGCCAATAGCTCACACCCAGCGTCTCAGCGAGTCTCAATTTGCGACATGCCAGTGTTTCCGGAGGGGTGTCTTGTTCCTTTGTTTGAGTTAAACGGCCGACAATCTGCCCCCACCACCTCACGTGGCCATTTACTCCACACTGTTATGGCAAACAACGGGAGACAAAAGTTGTCAAACAATCGAAACTTTCCTCTGGTCAGAGGCTCAGAGCTGATACACAGGAAATGGCATTAACGTTACCAGAAAGGGAGAAACGGTAAACCATCTTGCCCGCTTCCCCGCTTATGTATAACGGGTAAATGCCATACATCGTGACCATATCTTACGGCTATTCTTCTTTCCTTTTGTTGGGCGATGTTGGGCATAGGGGCGAGAATGGGATCGAGCGGGGTGAAGAAGCGACTTTGGGCGTTTATTTAAAGCAACGGAGACTGGCTTTTCCCTCCCTCCGTTCGGCATAACTCTATCATATCTCCGATTTCCGCGATCATCTTTGCACTCAAATCTTCTGATCGGCCTCTTGGATCTGCCAGTTATTCGCCAACAATAGCAATTGCAGCATCGTAAACATGGCAGATAATCCACCCGCTATAGAAGAGAAGAAAAGCACCCTCACCATTACTGACGTCGAGCCGACCGATGTCAGTGTGGTTGACGGCCAAGGCCGCCTAGTCTATTCGGAGGTATGCTTATCCTAACGTGTCGCATGACAAGAGAAAAGGTCTAAGCCGCGTTTCCTTCCAGGCGGAGCGAAAACTCGTCCGAAAATTAGACATTCGGCTAATGCCCATCCTCTTTATTGCTTATTTCCTCAGTATTGTTGATCGTTCCAATGTCTCATATGCCAAGATTGCCAACGCCGAAAAGCGAAACAATTTGCAAGCCACGGCAAACATCAGCGATGAGCAATTTTCCGTTGCTCTGGCAGCATTCTTTGTCGGTTACATTGTTTTTGAAATTCCATCGAACCTCATAATGAAGAAAGTCGCGGCGCCCATTTGGATCGCTCGTATCATGGTCAGCTGGGGTATCGTCACGACCTTCCAAGTCCTCATAACCCAATCATGGCACTTCATTCTTCTTCGCTTCCTTCTCGGCGTCTGCGAGGCTGGTTTCTTCCCTGGCGTTGTTTTGTACCTCACCTACTGGTATCGCAAACAAGAAGCTGCGAAGCGAATTGCAGGCTTTTACGTTGCAACTACCGTGGCCGGTGTTGTTGGATCTGCTTGGGCATACGGAGTTCAACAGTACGTATATATGACTTTGGCGTCCGATGTTTGATTCCAACTCATCTTTCTATTCTATCTGTCAGGATGAACGGACGCCATGGTTACTACGGCTGGCAATGGTTGTTCCTCACATCCGGTGTTCCAACCATCGGCATGGGGATCCTCGTCTATTTCATTCTCCCTGCGACACCCGAATCTGTCAAGAGCGGCGGCTGGTTGACGCCTGAGGAGAAAGAATTGGCGTCGCAGCGTCTTCGCGTTGACGGCGTTGCTAAACACGAAGAGAAGTTCGAGAAAGGAGAGTTCATTAAGGTCTTCATTGACCCCAAAAACTGGCTGTTTATTATCATGTACTTTGGAACGGTCATGTGTGCCAACGCTCTTGGATTGTTCTTGCCTACCATCCTGTTCATGCGTACGTATTTGGGTATATGTTCTCACCACGAAGTCGGTAACTAAATGAGCCGTTTCTACTTCTAGTGGGTTACACGTCTCTTGATGCTACACGGATGTCCATCGCACCGTACGCTGCCGGCGCTGTGATGACTATGGGAGCGGCTTGGGTTTCTGACCGCACGCGCCAACGTGCAGCACCTCTTTTCGTCACCGCTCTTATTGGATGTGTTGGTTTCACCGTCCTGGCCACCACAGGCTTGACTGATCGTGACGGAAAATACGCCGGATGTATCATCGCCGTGGCTGGTGTCTTTTCCGCCATCCCATTGGTTTTCTCCTGGCTCAGCAACAACGTAAGGATCAGACTTTTTGCTCTCAATCTTGTATCTGTCGAATTAATCGTATCTTTCTCTTTTAACCACAGCTGAAGACAAGTACCGGTGCGGCAACAGCTATAGCACTCGTGTCATCCATTGGCAACTTGGGCAGTGTGGTAGCCTCCTACACTCAGTACAAGGACGATAAGCCGCAGTACCACCGCAGTCATACCGTGAATGCCGTCGGAATGGCGCTCACAGCATTAGTGGCTGTCATCCTCCGTGTTTGGTATCAACGCCTCAATGCCAGGCAACGAACCACCTTCCAAGATACGGAGAGGGCCCAAGAAGGCAAGAAGCAGATTGTGTACATGCTCTAAGAAGCTTTCAGAGTAGGATGCTGATGGTGGTTATTTCTGTATAATGAGTTGTTTCCGTATGTAAATAAAAATTCTTGCAGCTCTAAGTAGCCATCGCCATTTGTCACCTGATAGACTGAATGTACGATACGTTAGCGATCCACGCCCTGCAAGGCAGCAGACTTCTTCAATCTATCTTCATACTTGCGATGTAGACTGACTGCGTACCCGTCGCGTCGTTCTATGTGCAGGGAGAACAACAGCACTTCATCCAACCCAATGTCCATAACCACATACTCCATGTACCATTTGTGGTGGACGTGTCCAACAACCCAGTTTTCGAATCGATAGACTCTGCGTCTGACAAGGAATCATCCCATTCATGGACCTGGGATACGTCTTCCGCATCGTTTTGGTCACACTCTATCGTATTCAGTCGGTCATGTAATGCAGTAGACGAATGGTGCTTCTCCTTGTACTTTTGTATCCTCTCTAGTTTGGAGGCGAGTCTTGCAAGGTACCGCTCGGCATCTGTTTGCAGATTCCAGGTGGGAGTTGGTTCTGATGAGGGGAGGATCTCACTGGGCCAAGATGAGTCAACCAAGATTTTTTCGCGAGATCCGGAACCGTCGGAATAGCTGGATTCAGAGATAATGCTCGAGGCTGCTCCGGCTTTTGAAGACGCCATTCCTAATTTGAACTTTCTCACGACCACAGCGAGGGCATCCAGTCGAGATCATAGTAACCACATATGGTATTATGAAGCCACATTCCAATTACTCGGATCACGTGTTACCTAGTCTTTTTGCTTGGTCGCTGGGCGATGGATTGGGACTCCTTCCTTCCGCTTGCCGTTCCATTTTCGAGGTCGTCCTTGAGAGAACGCATTCTCGACGGGTTCAAAGTAGAAAGCAACAATGGCTGATACGCTTATGCTTCGTGGAACCCTTAAGGGTATGTAGTGGGTTGACCGTCCTGCTTGAGCGTCAAGGCCGCCAAGGTCGCGCATTGGTGTTTACGGCGCATATGTTGGCTCGGCCGAAAGAAAGACATTTGCGCTCTGTGCTAACTTTGCTTTGTTGCCTTCTCCTTTTGATTGTACTATGCAGGTCACAGCGGTTGGGTCACCGCCATCGCTACCACCCCCGAGTCTCCTGACATGATCTTGTCGGCTTCCCGGGGTACGTAAACTTCTGTGTGGCTATTGGTTAAAGGCTGAAAGGGTTGAAGTGGGACGACTTTGATGAAGTCTGGAGAGACTGTTTCAATTTTGGATAGTTACTGGGACGAGATGGATGGATGGATGGTTGCGGATGGATGCCACGATCGGATGGATGGATCATGTCCCTGGTGCAACATGTCCGAAATTGTGAGAGGGCATGAGAACAACCGCGTGATGAACTCTTTCCGGGCAATGAGCATGGAAGCTGGCGATCATAGTGAGAAGTGGCATTGAATTTCGATGCCAAGTAACATTTGGGAAGTTGGGTCATTGGAGATTGATGGGCTACTACTAGAAGCTGGTTTCGCCTAAGGACAGCGCGATATGACGAGCTTGTGGATGTTGAAGAGCGTCGCCCCATTGTGTGCTGTTATTAACGATGCTCATTACTTAATTTAGACAAGACCATCATTGTCTGGCACTTGACTCGCGATGAGCAGACCTACGGTGTTCCCCGTCGTGCCCTCACTGGCCACAACCACTTCGTCTCTGACGTTGTTATCTCCTCTGACGGCCAGTTTGCTCTCTCTGCTTCCTGGGGTGCGTTGTGGAGGTTATATTGGTGTGATGTGCTCGTGTGTTGACGATTTTTGTATTTGATTCAAAGACAAGACGCTCCGCCTCTGGGACTTGAACAGCGGCACCACCACCCGTCGTTTCGTCGGTCACACCAACGATGTCCTCTCCGTTTCCTTCTCCCCTGACAACCGTCAGATCGTGTCTGGATCCCGCGACAAGACCATCAAGTTGTGGAACACCCTTGGCGAGTGCAAGTTCAACATCACTGAGGACGGTCACACCGAGTGGGTTTCATGCGTGCGCTTCTCCCCCAACCCTGCCAACCCTGTCATTGTTTCCTCTGGCTGGGACAAGCTCGTGAAGGTAAATATGGTCACTGGTCACTGGACAAGGCTTGTAGATGATTATATCCTTAGTATTTGCTACTTCGGAGACCGGACGGTCTATGAGATCAATTTCCACCCATAGAATATGATATGAGCCTTGTTCGTGATTGTCTCTGAACAGGAGACAGGTATATGAGAACATGAGTGCTGATTTTCTTTTCGCGCAGGTGTGGGACTTGACCAAGTGCAAACTGAAGACCAACCACTACGGACACACCGGCTACATCAACAACGTTACCATCTCTCCCGACGGTTCCCTTTGCGCTACCGGTGGAAAGGACGGCATCACTATGTTGTGGGACTTGAACGAAGGAAAGCACCTCTACTCACTCGATGCTGGAGATGTCATCAACGCTCTTTGCTTCTCCCCCAACCGCTACTGGCTCTGTGCTGCCACTGGCTCTGGTATTAAGATCTGGGATTTGGAGAGCAAGAGCATTGTTGACGAGCTCCGTCCTGAGTTCCCTGAGCAAGGCAAGAAGGCCACTCCTCCCCAGTGTATCTCCATTGCCTGGTCTGCGGACGGTCAAACTCTCTTCTCTGGCTACACTGACAACGACATCCGCGTGTGGCAGGTTATCCGCTCAGCATAAGTGTTTTGTTTGGGTTGTGGTAGGCGATGATGAGTGTGGGATAGAGGGCAGCGGTTCATAGTGCATAGGCCACGTCTTTTGTATATTATGTGACGACCTGTGCTGGTATGGCGATGATCTTGTTCTATTCTCGCCTCTCATTGGTGGAGGTGGTGAAGGAACGGCAACAGAGGTTGAATGGAATGCAATGTATCTTAACTCCATCGGGTGTGTATATCGCTTTCACATTAAATTTCAGATTCCTATCTACTGTCCATGGCTCGCTTGTCCTATGTAACGGTAGTCCTGAGAGCATTTCCGCTAATCGGAAAATGACCAGAAAATAAAGTAAAGGTAATCAGATCCCTGGGCAAGCCAACTCTATGACGTGACGGTCTCCAAACCAAATGACAAGGAATAATGGTCTAGACTTCCAATTTATCTTTACGCACGAAATCTACGCATCAGTGAGATTAACATGTCAGAAAGACCCGTCACGACGTACAAAGCGCCGGGAAAACCAATCGAGTATGAGGTTCCCAGATGGACACAACGATTCTTTCCAAATGAGAATCCTAACATCAATTGGTTCCATATCTGGGTTGTTGCGCCTGGCTTGGTGAACCTCCAGTGGCCATCACCTACGACAAGATGCAGCACTGAAAGACCTCTTTATCAACATTAGGGAATGATCAGCTACAAACCAGAACTCGTCAAGTACACTCCGTTTATTGCAGGTTTCATTGCGGCAACCCACTGTAGGTTCATCATCATCCGAAGCCGTTTATAGATCTTTGAATTTCGAGTTTCATTTCAGTGTTCGCTATTGGCAAGAAGATGCTTAGGAGGGAGCCGGTCTAAAAGCATGCGTTTACAGCGCCTGAGCAGTAATGAAACAAACTGATCTTTTCGATCGGTATCTCTGTCTTGATCATATTAAGCTTGTAATTGCAATCAATTTCGCATACATGATCATACTGCCTACACTATTCTATGTATGCGCTAGCATGTAACCGAATACCTTCACAGAATTCCTTTGAAATATATCACATAAGCTTTTGACCATTCCCCATAAGCATTCAAGCAATTTTTTGTGTTCATTCCAGCCATGCTCCCTTTGCGCAATTTGATGATTCCTATATACGCCGCGGGTGCAAAACTGGTACATATCACGTCTGCATCAACCTAGCTCCTCTGTCCTCTTGGGAAGGACATAGGGAGCGTCAAACCAACAACCGCACAAGGCACAGTACCAGACTCCTGATCCCCGAAGACCTTGAGATGTGCCGCCACAGCCAGGACAGCGAAGCAAACGGTTGACAGTATGGATTAAAAGTTTGTTTTGAACCTCTACGGATAGCCGGTAGAAAAATGGGTCAAGGAGTGGCAGAAGCGGCCACTTCTCCTGGTACGCATCCGAAAGCAGGTCATGCATTCCGTGAGTCATGGCAAGATATAAGCATCGGATCCAATGCTCGGCCGTAACTTTGGATAAAAATTCTTGGCAACTTTGTTGTAAAGCACCCAACGGTGTAGCGGCCCGCACAAGATCCTCAATCGTGCTCCAGGTGATCAAGTCCGGATGGTTGACGAAGTACAACTCGATATCATTTTTGAAGACAAGGCCAAGTGGATCGCAAGTATTAAGAAGCTTCAAAGCTATCTCCCCATTGAATTCGACTATTCTCACGTAAATGCAGTCAAGAAATAGTTTGAAGCTTTCTTCATCCGCGATGTCCTTGAGTGTAATCTCTCGGATCGACCTACCAAACCCATCCACTCGGTGGCTCTCCATCCATGGCCAGTTGAACAAAGCCCGAAAGTAGTCTGAGTGGATTTTGAGAAGCTCGGTGTGTATGTGGAATGCTGTAGAGTCGACAACAACGCGAACATCGGCATCTGGGAAATTGTGTCGATCACTGATGACGATCGGCTTTTCAGCGTCAACAGCTTTACCGCTAAAATCGCAAGCTGAAAATATGAGATAGTATTCTGAAGTGAATCCTTCTGCTACAGCTTTTTCATGCGTGATGTTGGCCTGAAACTTACGGGCCTTAGGATCGTTCATACTAGGGCCGTAATGTTCGTTGTGCGTGAGAATATGCTCACTCTTAGTTGATGCAACGAAGTTCCCACGTATCTTATTGTCTAGAATCAGAGGTTGATCACCACCCCGCTTTTGTGGAGCCTGTGAAGATAGTCTCCGAGGCTGGGAAATGACTCTGGTTAACGACGTGGGGGCTTGCTCCAAGCCATGAACAAAACGCGGACTATAGCTCGCATGTTCACTATTCCCACCAAACCATGAGAAGAGTAGGAAACCTAGTCTCAACCTCCACAAAGCGAAGGTTTCACTTATGGGCTCGGCGCAGTTGGACACACCGGGAGAAGCAGGCCTTCTATTTTTTGTTTCCTACCGTCCTATGTCCAGAACATATTGCTGCCAAGTATAGCATTTTGCGACAAAACGTACGCACACAAGAATACATCTGTATCATGCAGCGCATTTCCATCATGTCCTCACGACGAATGCTCCGTGCATTATGGCTAATGGTCATGCTCGTCCTTTTTGGCATGGTCTATCTCACGGCAATATATTTCATGGAGCCAACAAACGGCTTCTACATGGCCCACGATCTTGAACAGAAGGCGATAAGTCGCTGTTCGCAACCATATCCATCGAAATACCTTGTCACCCTCGCACTTAATTCAGAACTTTCTGAGCATTTGGAAGACTTGTGGCAAGCAATTGGTACCAATCATTCACTTGTGGCCCTACTACGTACGTGGAACATTGGCAGGTTCAATGGGTACAGCATCGAGTTTCCGGACAAGAATCACTGTGTGAGATTCTGGACAGCATATGATGCAGGATATTTTGGAGAGGCAGTGGCCCATGTAGAAATGGACACCACCCAGAAAGTCGATATTCAACAGATGCAAGTTAATCCTCCTTGGGTACGCGTCCAAGTAATTGTTCCAACGACGAGCAGCTGATGTACCCTCTGTGTGGGCACCAAGGGACTCGACCGCATCGATCAAAGAGCTTACCCTCTCGATGGACGTTACCAATCCTATCCAGATTCGGGTGGAGAAGGTGTTGACATTTATATCGTCGATACGTAAGATCATATCCCGCCGGGCGGAATGAAAGAGATGTTCATCTAATCATCGTGTAGAGGCATCAATATCAAACATAAGGACTTTGAAGGTCGTGCGGTTTGGGGAACTACGACCAGATCTGATAATGCGCCCGACTTTGATGACAACGGTAAGCGGAACCTAGCTAATTCTTGTGAAAAATCGTATAATGATTCCGCCGGCCCGTCACAGGGCATGGCAGCCACGTTGCCGGCATCGCAGGCAGTAAAACTTATGGTGTTGCAAAAAAAGCAAGGTTAATTGCTGTCAAGGCACTGGATGCTGACGGCCATGGTCCTTACAGCGAGCTAATTGAGGGGCTGCAGTGGGTGGCTAGGAATGCCCCTCCAACTGGGAATAAATCCATTGTTAAGTACGCATACCACAGGAAGGAATTTGAGATCTGCCATAAATCTTAACAGATTCGAGCAGTCTCTCCATTCAGGGAGAAGTGTCTCAAGCTCTCAATGGTGCAGTAACAGGCCTTCTCGATCTCGGTATTCATGTTGTCAGCGCTTCGGGCAACAGAGGTCAAGATGCTTGTGGCTTTTCTCCTGCAGAGATCACTACCAACACATCGGCCATCTCCGTTGGAGCCGTTGACGACTCGGACACCGAACCTGCTTTCAGCAACTACGGCGATTGCGTCAGTATTATGGGACCCGGCGTCCGCATTCTGAGTGTCGACGCGGGTACTGCAAGTGGACTTGAACTGCTGCCAATATGATGTGCAAACAGCTGAGTAAACAGTGATTTTATGTCAGATTCGAACGACGGAACGAGAGTTATGTCAGGCACTAGCATGGCCGCGCCGCATGGTATGTTCATTTTGCACGCACAAGTCGCAGCCAGGACACTGATTGCCATCCAACTAGTGTCGGGAGTACTTGCCATTCTACTCGCTGGAGCCACCGACGGGAATGGAATTCCAACTGACCCTGCTGGGCTGAAGACGTACGTACTCTCGCATGTGACAAAGGATGTAACAGCCTCGGATGGGACCGCGAAAGTGAATAGCGGTGTCGTGTACATTGGGCCGACGTAAGCCCTTAAAATATCAGTATTAGGCATGTCAATTGGTATATACATTTCCCACAACAAGATGGCAAGGTTCACAAGGTGTAGGTGCGATTGAAAATGTGCATTATCAGTGGTTTCATCGTATCAGAAGAAAGACGATGCGATGAGATGCCATTACGCTGAGGGTCTTCGTCTCGTATATACAATAGAAAGTCCATAACATATCACACACCGGTCATATTTGACATCTATTGCTCATACTACCCATGCCATGACCCGTAGTCACACCCCACAAATCTCCGAATGCCAGGCTCACCCGCGGCAAAGCCAGCAGTTGAGTGGTAATCATGATCCTTTTCTCAGATATATTACTGTTCTGTGTCCCCGCCCATGGCATTATGAATTGGCATTCCTTTCTCCGACCAAGGTTCTAGGGTGTCTACTCTTCTCGACCCGGGCCCGCACTACTCACCTTGTCACTTTTCCAACGAGAACAATAAATCTCCGAGCACGCTACCCATATTTAAAGGAGATCACTCCGCTCCCTCACTCGTGAATTCTGCTCTATACTGTGAAGGTTTCCTATCTAGTCGTCTCCTCAACTTTGTTAGTCATTTCTGTCGAAATACTCGTCTGTCACCCTCAACTGTTAAACTGATACAAGCACATCAGTGAAAGGAAACTCCACAGCAATGGGTTGTGTACCATCAAAGTCAGCCGCTGACCGGAAGGTTGTCCCAACGGCCGGCGAAATTCCGATGGCTGGCAAACCCGACAACAGTAAAACCATCACAGGCCGCTCCAGCACCCATCTTGAATCCATCCACCACCGCTGCTGGTCCCGACGGAGCGGCCTCCAACACCTAAGCAAGGATGGAGCGAACGCTCCGCTCCAGAATCCAATGTGATCTCCGATGCTACCCAAAAGGATGGGAATGTATCGGACATTCCTCCACCTCCTATACAGCAAAGAGGTGATTCCGCCATCGGACGAGGCATTGACCGTGGTAAGTGCAATTCGAGGATATTATGGACGACGTGGTCTTTTGAAGATTTTCCTCCCGTCGATCATCGGGGATATATTTGCTGATGCTCAAGTATCCAGATATCAAGCCACTAGACAAACCGCTTATGCCGCCAATCCAACACACTGACAACCTCAACGCTGATGCACCCATGTTTCCCCAAGGTGAGAGCTGTATGCATTCCTAAGCAAGCTGTTGAAAATTTGGAAGCGCTGATCCTTATTCATATCCACAGCAGCTGAGGGACCCACCAAACCCGTTGCTTTTGAAATTCCCTTAGGTGAAAACCTTTTTGGGTCCCTGACCAAAGAGAACAGTAGCTCACTTGGTTCAATGAACCGTTCGCCAGCGACTGTGGGTAGGCTTCCAAGTCTTGGTCTTACCAATGACGATATTAAGGCCAAGCTTGCCAATGCCGATGCCCGCTGGAAGGTGGGTGCTCAGATAGATCGTCTTCTTGGGGTGGGTTTTTGAGCACAAATTGTAGACTGCGTGTTGAATATGCGCAAGTCATATTCAATCGTACAAAGTGCTAAATGATGAACTCCCCTCTACCTTATAATAGGATCTCGAAAACGAAGAGCTCGTGCGCAAAGATACATCTCGCCGCCGCCGAGCCAAACCCAAATTGAGTTCCAATGCTCGTCCCAAGACCCGGCAAGGTCGTGAGGAAGACCCCGAAGTTCTCAAACAGCGCCTTCTGGAAAAAGAAACTCAAGCAGAAAAGAACCGACAGCGAGAACTACAAAAGCTGCAGGCCAAGCTGGCTCGTATGGATCAGCACGTGCGACGTGTACAGGAGCGCAAGCGGTTCCTGGAGATGGGATCGTCGACTGACGATATGAGCTTGTCCGTCTCTACAAGCAGTGTGTCGTTGGCGGTGTGACATTGACGATCGGTCGAGAGTTGGATATGAGCCCTATAATTTAAATACCCTGTGTGGTCTAATAGATGCCTGGATGTGAATTTTCTAACAGAGCTGAATTGCAAACTTCTCCTGCTGTTATAAAAAAATGTTGGGTTTCACCTATTCACTGAATTGCGAAATTACTGGATGATGCGACGCGAATGTGCATGTGTTCTATCAGTACTGGGCTCCATGTATCAATTGGCAGATAAATTATGCAAGTGCTATCTTCTCTACATACATATACCATATAGCCACCCTACGACAATAGAAATTTGAAATTCTTGTAAAACCCAAGCATCGGGTTGTCTCCCGATTTAGTTTTGGTTGCCAATAGGTTAGCATTCTTTTCTAAAAACTCTTGCTGTGTCACGACCTTCGCACTCTGGCGTCCACCTTTCCCACATACGGCATTGTACATATCCCGCATCAACTCAAAGTTCGTTGGGAAAAAGATGTCAAACCACCCCGGTTGCACCAGATACGTTGAACACGGGATCATCATTCCCTGATATCGAGTTTGGACAACCGGTGCATTGAGCCCCGCAACAGAGTCTGGTAGTGAATCAAAGTCGGAAATAATCAGGCGGTGTTTAGGAAAGTGTTCGTTCAACTGATCGAAAAGTCTCAAGCACATGGTAGGAAGGAATTCGGGGTCGGTCAGGTTAGGCGCAAAGGGGAGCATTGACCGAAGATACCTCCGCCATCGGCTGGTAAGGAGAGGCGAGCGATAGCCAATTTCAGCTCGGATATTCAGATATCTTTGAATGAGGGGGTCTGATAGAAGTTCGTATGCCTCCTGGTAATCCCCGTCCTCATCTATTAGGACTACCCCTTGTCTCGGTGCCCCTGTATTGAAATCGTATCGCACCAAATCATGGGAAAAGTTATCCTGAAATACCAGTGAGAAAAGCTGCTTCAAACCTCCTAGTAAGTACAGAGATTCACTCACGATAACTTCCATCGCGATAATGAAACAGGCATCAGGAACGTGCGTGTTCCAAGTGAAGATTGACTGGTTGATGATCTCTACGCACTGGTGCCTCTGAGACACTTGCCGTACGTCTTGTCTCTCCGATTGCCTTTCTGCCAATTTAGAACTGATTTCGATGATTCTATACCGCGTTCTGCTGTACAGCTCTGGTTCGTGCTCCTTGATATAATCCAAAATATTCACCATGAGCGTTCCGTTTCCAGCTCCAACTTCATATATAATCAGATCCGTCGACCCTTTATCATCACGCTTATATTCTGTTACAATGTGCTTCGCCAGCGCGTACCCGTACCATGGCTAATAAAAGTACAGAGAAAATCTTAAAAGACCAACAAACCAACTACAGCGTGATGAAAAGACCGCAATCGTACCTTGAACAATTCCGTAGGAGTATGCCAAACCTGTCTTGCAATATCGTTCACATCATTGTACTCTCCTTCCACTTCTTTATACAAGTCGGACAAATGGTTCATGAACGCATAGGTATCTCGGATTTCATTGAACGGTATGTTTTCGGATGGACTAAAGATGTACGCTTTCTTTGAGAAATAGCCGTACGAAGGGTTGTACAGGGAATCGTCTATAAAGTCGCGGACAAGCATTCGTGCGCACTTTGGCGGTACGGGCTCTTTAAAAGCATCTTCGCTCGTTAGCCTGCGATAGGTTTCGATAGGAACTGGCGGCGTCCTGTTAGGGTTGTCGCGTTTGTGAAGTGAATCCCTTTAATAATAAACCAGCTACCTTGGTCATTATTCTGTCGGAAGAGATCCTCAGGTATGGTCTTACTCACCAATAATTGGTAGCCAGTACCGGGCCTCGTCGAAAACCTCGTGATATCACTTTCCTAGATCGTTGGGCACAAGATATTGTACATATATAACCAGTATGGTTCCCAAACAGTCCGCGGGTAAGTCGATTAACGCGCATGGTAGCTGCAGCGTAGGACAACGCAGACGAGGTTTTGCAGCAGCTCCCGTACGCTCAGGGTATAAGAAAAATGTGATTCATCTATCATTCCAACCATGTTCAACCAATTATTTAACCGGTTCCTGGATTGACGCATCCTGCTCGACAAAAAATCTAACTCCGGTGTTTGTAGCTCACCTCTTTCCAGAATCTATTCCCCCAAGAAAAGGTTCTACTTACATCCTACGTAATCTAGTATAATTAGAAGATCTGGCAGTGACTGCGCAGTTTGTTTGTATTCCCCATGTACATCAAACACTCCCGCTACAACAGCTCTACGACCTCTTTAGCCAATCCCACAATCTTTTCCTTCTTCTCCAAATCCTTTTTAATCTGCGCATCACCTGTGGCACCTTTTGTCCGCAAATTCCTCAACTGTTCTTCGCGTGTTGCTCGCTTCTGCGTTACTGCTGTGCCGACACCAATGACAGTCGCCAGTTGTTGTATTGAGGGCGTGGCGAATCGCAGGAGGTGAGCAATGGCAGTGAGCAGGCGCAAGACTATCGATACAAACATACAAATTAAATTATCACGTCAAGAACAGCGTAACTCATTAGCATCGGTACGAAACCTACCAATTTCGTCTTCCTCCTCATCTTCAAAAGCTTTCGCAATGGCAGCTACCAGTTCCGACACCCACTCTTCGTGTATACCTTCATCCTCCCGCCCGCTTTCTACTCCAGCATGGCTTTGTCGTGATTTGGCTTCCTCAATGGAAATGTTGAAAGCCAAGGAAGCAGCGCACTGGCGTACAGCAGCGTCTGGCGACAGGAGAGAGTCTATCAAGAGAGCCGTGGTCACAGAGCGGAACGGTGTAGCATGTGGTGCAAGGGTTTGGGAAAGAGAAAGTAGTTGTGCAATGGAGGTTGGCGACGTAAAGTGGTTGCACGCCTACGCCCAAACGTTTAGCACCGGATAATGAATCTGCACTTTCCACCAGGATACATACCAACCGGAGCACCATTACGCGAACAGCTTTTGGCACTGTTTCCGGTTGTGCTTGCTGGCCGCCAAACCGATACAGGACATTCATTACCGTAGACTCTGCATCAGGGCACAAGACCCCTTAAGTACATTATGAATGATTACTCGCATTGCTGCAACATACCTGGATCATTTTTCACATAAAAATCTCGTATTGCTTCGTCCAAGATGAGTAAGCGTAGAATATCCAGAACAGGGAACAGCTGCTCAGTAGGAATGCGCTGCAATAGCACATCTAGCAGCTCTTTCCAGCCGTTTGGAAGATGCAGTGCACCGGATTGCCCCTTTTCGTGTTTAGCTTGTAGGGCGGTCTTCAAAGCGTCTAATTGCGACTGTTTGTCGGTAATAGATTGCTCCCGCATAAATGTCTCTAGTTTATTGAATATCGAATTCAATTGCGTGGACTGGGCAAAAAGGATTGGTGAATTTGGAAGGCTATCCAATATAGGTGTGCGTTGCTTTGTGTGTGGATGTGCTGAAATGGATATGGTTAGCACATTGCCGGGCGATCACCGCCGCTATCCGCGGAAACTTACGTGGATATGCAGAGTACAGGAGAAGCTCTATAGAATTCGTTAGTTCCTGTACATTCGCTCCTTTGAACTGAGATATCTACATCACATGTGGTCAGGACTGCAACTCTGCCTTGTTAAGACACAGCGAGGTAGTATACCTCATTTCCGTCAAGGAAGAACTTGAATGTTGGAGTCGCGGTTATCTGATACTTCTGAGCAATGTCCCTCGATAGGCCAACGTCCACTTTCACTCCCACAATCTTATTTCCATCTACCCTCGCTCCCGCTCCCATGCCGGTTTGCCGATATTCGCGATTGTAGGACTCGATTAACCGTTCGAATTCGGGACTTATAACTCGGCAAGGCCCGCAGCTCATCGAAGTAAAGTCAATAGCCACACACCGATGTGATGCCAGTATTGAGTCAAGTTGCGCAACATTATACGCCGATTGTAAAGCGGTCTTTGATGGTGGAGCGGATTGAGCAGCGGCGGCTACATTGCCAACCAAACTCGCTAAGGACGGGGAAAGGCCGGGAGATGCAGCTGTCGCTGCGTTTGCAGCTGCATTGGCTGAGCGAGCGAGCTGCGATGGACCGAACATATTCTCAAGGACTGGCAACAGCGATTGACCAAAGGGGCTGTTGCATGGATCAATAAAACAAGAAAAATAAGGATCAGCAGAAATGGCGACGTACGTGTTAACAAACTCGGCAGGTAGTGCGGTAATGTGAGAAGGAATGTTCTTGCCGATTAGGAAATTACATAATTCGTTCGAAAAGTTGTCTGCAACCAGTAGGGAGTGGTGTTGAGGAGACCGCTTTGACAATCACTATAGATGAAGAAAAACAAAAGAAAGCACAAAAACATACTGCAGTTGTTGTCTAGGAGATGGTATTTATCCGCTCTAAATTGAAGGAACTGTCATGATCACATAAATTGCTGCAATGCTTATGAGAAGTCCACGTACGTCCAGTGTTTTTTCATCCCGTCAAGGTACTCTGTTTAGCATAATGAGTGAAAGATCTCGGCATCACATCAGCAAGAAAGCGTATACCTAAAAACATGTCGCGCGGGATGTGTGTTCTCCCCATGTCAATAACTTGCAAAGGAACTCCGTGGTGTGTACGGCCGGGCATGGATTCCATGACACCTTGCCCGAAATAATGTTCTGTTCCATACACAACTACGCTGGTATGCCATATCCCCTCAATGAGGCGACCAACCAGATTCATGGAAAGCATTCTTGCCATTCCCTAGAGCGACGCATTTTCATAAAGAGTTGAGACTATCGGCAAACTTGAACCAACTGAAAGTGCACACCTACCTGAGATAGGTCGTAAACATAGAGCTGAACAGGAGCTCCCTCTTCTTCCATGGCTGTTGCGTATTGGAAAGAGAATAACTGTACTGTGCCTAATGCCAAAGTCGAAAAACTGCGGGAGGAAAGCAAAGGAAAACTAGAGAACAACCCTCAAGGTCCAAGACGCGTCATCGTAGGTGACGTGACGCAGCTCTTCAAAGCTGCTTTCTGCCACCAGACGCCTGCACAGATATTTACGTCCAGGACCATGTCTGAAGCTCAAGCAAGCTCTTCAACAAACACAAGCGCAGCTGAACCTCCGCAGGATCCCCTGCATCCAGACAAGCTCTTTTCGAGTCTCTACCATGTCCTACCTCGGCAAGCTTCGGGCACTGGGGCCCCCCAAGCTCTCCTAAAGACTTCGGCGGACTTGACAATGTCATTCTTCCACGCCGCAATGTTGAATCTTGGATTTAGGTTCCTCGGTTTAGGAGAGAGCCGAGTCGGTACGTTCGGAAGCTGCCGAATGTAGTTATGCCAAAGGTGTATAACTTGGCCCGCTTTTGAAGACAATGAATCCCAAGATCTGGAAAGGACGGAAGCAGTGCAAACCCCTCTTCCGGCTGACTGGAATGCGATGGGCGACATGTACTCGTTTCGATACAAACACGCGCAATCGGCGTTCACTTTCCTGCTGAAAGGCGTCAAAATTGGAAACAGACTCGTGGTGCATGGGATGGCCATTGAGGCAAGGCTTATTAATGGTCCCGTTACAAGTCTCGGACTTCAACTTATTCTAGACTCCCATTTCTGAAAAAGGACGGAAAACTACATACGCTGGAACTTGAACTCTCTACGTTCATCTCATCCGATTTCAAGTTTCCCTTTAATGCTCCCTCTAATGCAACCTCGTCCACCGCCGGGTCATCAGAACAGTCATCCAATGTCCCTGATGCACTAAGATCTGCCTTCGCTTCAGATGAGCAGCTGTACGAGGTGATCAGAGAGTTCAGAATACGGATTGTTCAACAATTGATACCGGGACTGAATAAGCCGGGATATGAAGAATGGAAGCCGAGGTACTGTCTTGTGGGATGAGCCCGTTATGCTTTACAAATCCGAATCACTTTTGCTGTTTAGCCAAACATCTCAAGCACCTACACAAGAAACATCCGGAGGTCGCAACCCGCTTCGCGATAATCGTCATCAGCCCCGACCAATCCATCCCGGACATGCCGATCCATTTGTAGGGAGCGGTGTAGGTGGAAGCGGACCTATGTATCCTCCCCGTGGACCTTATAGCGTGGGAGATGTCGATTTGGATCCCTTGGGGGTGGCACCAGGGTTGATTCCGCCCTCACGATTCCCAGGAGGATATATGGGTGGTGGTGGAATGCATCCAGGAGGTGGCATGTTTGTTGGGCCTGATCATCCAATGTTCACGGGAGGTGGTGGGGGAGTTCCACGACCTGGACCATACGCGGGGCCGGACGGATCGCGCTTGCCGCCGGGCGCTGTGCCTCCTGGTGCTCGGTTTGACCCGATCACGCCTTTTGGCCCTGCCCCTGGCTCAGGACCGCGAGGGCCTCGGGGACCTTTCGGGCCTCCCGGTGGGGGTAGCGGATCCGGGGGTTTCCAGTAAGCATGATACTTACAACCAGCCGAGTATGACGCGTGCATTGAAATCTCATCTTAAGTTTTCTTTAGGAGCGGAGAACCGGATAACGATGAGCTTCCTCCCCCCAACTTTGATACAATGTTCATGTGAATGTATGTGATGCAGTTAGCCGATCATTCTGCTGGAGCGTGCTGTGCCGCCATCATGTGCAGTGTAGTTTGGAATACCTTTCTTCTAGGAGCATAGGGTGCATATAGTACTGTGGTGCGTCAAGCAAGTGGGAATTATATATATAGTTGTCTGGTTCGTTCTGCAGATTCTGTAGAAAATCGTCAGGAATATCGATACCTAAATCTCATTGTAACATTGGATGTATGACTCACACAATGACTCACGCAAACCCCGACTTCAAAAATTCAAAAGTTCACGTTCGCCAGCTGCTTAACAGTTCTGTCTGGCTGAATAGACAATGTGTGACGCACAGTCAATACAATGGCCATGGCATACTGCTCCCTCATCAGAACAGCGACGGTATGCAACAACTTTACCTATACTGGTAGCATCGTCGCCTGCAGAAAACCCATTTCCGAGCGAAGCTGACGAAGCTCGTCGACATCCTTTATCCAAAGTAGATAATCAGAATGCTGTTCAAAGAACTGTGGACGAACGTTACTCACTTCTAGTTTGCAGGTTATTGTTTGTGGGGGGATTGCTGGAGCAATGGCTGACTCTTCGATGCACGTGTAAGTTCACCCCATTGACACTTTCATTTGAGCTGCACCTTCTCAACGCCACCCTTTTAAACAGGCTAGATACCGTAAAGACAAGAATGGTACATTGATTCAAGTCCAGTCAGCTAAGGCATCGGTATGAATGACTGAACTTTATCTTGTGTCCCTTAGCAAAAGGATGGAACGTCGGGGCGCACACCACAGTACAATGGCATGTTAGTTGGGCTTTTAGGTGCCCTATTGCCGTTCTGCCAGTATTCGGGCTCACACCTTCTTCAGGCACAATACAAGCCATGCGATCAATACACCGGTTCGAAGGGTTGCCGGGTCTCCTTGGTGGATTCAAAGCGGCGGCCACAGGATCTGTCTTGGCCACGCTTATATACTTCGCGACGTACGAGGGTTTTAAGAGAAGACTGCTAGACCTAGGTGTAAATGACAGTGCGAGTTATTTTCTAGCTGGAGCACTAGGTGATGCTGCTGCGTCTGTGGTTTATGTCCCTTCTGAGGTTTGCACCGCCACCTTCACCCAACAGTCGACAGATTGAGGCTGAGCATAGTTACTTTAGGTTGTAAAGACCCGGATGCAACTTCAAGGACGGTACAATAATCCGCATAGTGCATCACCGCACAACTACAAAGGGGATTGGCATGCCTTGAGATCGGTAGGTTCATGTACATATACAAGCAATGATGGTCTTGCCGCTTGAGCAATTACCCGCTGGTAGATATGGGAACGAGGAGGCCCAAAGGGTCTTTATTACGGTTGGCGCGCGACATTAGCAAGAGATGTACCCTTTACCGCATGCCAATTCACAATATACGGTAGGACGTGGTAGAGCAGTGGAGCGCAAGTATCCGCACTAAAACACTGGCCTCAGAGCTTGCCCGTAGCTACATGATAAAAGAATTTGGAAACGGTGATCCTTCCCACCTCACAGTATGGCACGACATCCCACCGGGGGCTTTAGCGGGGTCGCTGGCAGGCTTCATCACAACACCCGTCGACGTTATCAAAACGTACCTCCAAACACAAAGTCGTCCGCCGTCACGTAACACGTTTGTCGATCTGTCCAAGGTGGGAACACCACCTTCCTCCGCGCCGTACTATAGCGGGATTGGACCTGCATTACGTGGCATCTACAAGACAAGAGGAATACGGGGCTTGTTCAGCGGGGCGGTGCCCAGAATGGTATGGACTGGGTCGCAGTCGACGGTGATGTTTTTAGTTTATGAGTGGTTGTTAACTCGGGATTGGGGAGGGCTATTTTCAAGCTAGTGGGAGGGTTAGTTTATGGTTTACCTTCAAATCGTGAATAGATTATACAGATACTGATGCACATGAACTGATCTGACGAAGGGTATAACGCATCTGTGGCCTCTATTCCAGGAGTCTGCTGAGTCCGCTGCCAAAAGTTTTTATTCTAGTAGCAATTGGCCCCTTATTCGCCAGCCCCGTCCACATTGCTCGCCATCATCTCCGCCTCAATATCAGCAGCATATCCCGAAAAATTGAAAAATTCTGATGCTTGACTGGAGGACAGCATTTGACTAGCTGAAGAAGTCAATCGAGCTGGAAGTGGAAGCTCCAGCAAGTCAATCTGACTGGTAGACGACGTTAATCGTGTTGGGAGATCCATCAAGTCGATTTCATGGCCAAGAGTCACAGCTTCCGGGTCCGGTACGTGCTCGTGTGGTTTGTGGCGCTGGGTAACTATTACATCGGGAGGATTGCATAGACTCTGGGATATCGATGCGGGTTCAGCGAAGGGTTTCGTAGGTTGTTTTGGAGTGTGTGGTGTTGGGTCACTGGTTAAGAGCGGTGGGCTTTGTGATGATGCTTTGGCATCCGGGGTAGTCTCCCGTTGAGGTTCTTCTTTCAAATTTTCGGTAGTCTGTGCATCTTCATTTCCTTCGGCGCTCTCGGTATCATCGGGTAGGTTATCATCTTCCATACCAGGGCTCTTGGAAGATTCGTCAGAATCGGAGGACGCCGATTTTGGTTCCTCTTGTGAGCTTCCTTGGGACAAACCAATAAGGGCGTGAACAGCATCAACCACTCCGGCATGGTCGATGGGATCGCTGCTCTTGGTGGTTGTCGGAGTTGCCACGTGTTCGGGACCAACAACTTTGTAATTACCAACGACTTTATATGGTGTCCTCTGCCATTTCCCAATTCCGTTCCATGTACCGTCCCGGTTCTTCTTAGCTGTCTGTCGACGATTTTGGAACCATATTTGCACACTCTATCGAGGCAGAGGTTTCAGTCATACGCGCACATCAATCTTGCGCTGCTGTAACTACCTCACCTTTGACGGCATATTCAAAGTTCTTGCGAGTTTCTCCCGCTCTGCTGGCGGCATCTGTGGATCGAGCCGATACGCGGCTTCCAAGGCAGCCTGCTCTTCATCAGTTGTGCGACGCCGCTTGCGTCGATTTCTTGGCTGTCCATTGCTGTCAAAGTTTTCGGGCGTCGAAATATTATATACCCAGTGCAAAGACGACTGTACAAAGGAAGCCATGGATGATGGCGGCGGCAGTACGCCCAATGGTTGTCCTGAAACGGCTGACTCCTCCTCTCCTTCCGAAAGATTCCCTAGTTCATCAGGTGTGTCCGGTAGAGCTGCAATGTCAGAATCGAGGAGAAAAGTCGTAGCTGGAGGTTGATCACGGCCACTGCGGCTATCTTTCGCTGGTACAGGTATGAGCTTAACATCCACAATGCAGTTTCAAGGAACAAAGCATACCATTCTGCGCGGCCTCAACCAGCTGCTGAAGGGCAGCTTCAGTTTCGGGCGAATGGCTAATGTCACTCGGACTTTCCAATTGGCGCGATTTCTTCGTTGGCCCTATTATGCTATCGCGCATAGGAGGGTCATGGGTTCGCCGCCGCTTATTTCTTCCAGGGGTTCCTTCCAACAAGTTGGATGGAAGACCCTGAATGTCCATCTCAATATAATACGATGCCAGACACGCTTGTTCTTTTCTTGAAGTTTCTTGGGACACCTTGTTAACCGTCTTCAGCGGGCTCAACAGATCACCAACACATTTTTAAGGCGCCCCTTGATATACTGCTGTATAGCAACAATGCCTTATGAAGTTTTTATGTTTAAGCTTCCTGCGAAGCAGAGGAGGCTCAGTCCAATTCTTGCTGTCACGTAAAAAGAAGGGAATGCTCTACCGCGAGAAGCTGAACGATAACGATTTGCTTTTCACCACTCCCAGAATAAGCATAAAATAATCCAGAGCTCCACTGCTATGCTAGCGGTAGGTATGCAGAAAGCGTTCTTTGGGCAGGGATGAACCAAGTCGTGAGAAAGAAAAGCGAGCGGAGTGGGAAGGAGGCCCAACCAAGTGGCTGTATGTTTGATTTCAATCACGTGCTTTGGTTTACCACGAGCATTCCCAAAGGCCTACTGTTCCCACGGAGACAACAGGTTTGTGATCCAGTAAATCGTAAGGCTGATCGAACGGGGTGTTGTCTAGTACCAGTGTCTGTGAATTTCCAAAGAGTCAAGAATTGGGCAGGCATTTGAGACGACGGCGAACCCATCTGCGCACTGCTCAAAGACATTATGGCCCCCACTGCAAGTGTCACGTTTAAAACTCTGTCCGACGACGATCTGCGTCAACATGTGATAAAGCTTGGCCTGGACCCTGTTGGACCCAGAACAACTCTACTGGACCGCGTGGCTCGGTATATGGCTATGAACGGTGTAAGCGGCGAGCAGGCCAATGGTAACGGGGTTAATGGGGTAAATAAGGAAAATGGCAAGAAAACAGAGAGCCAGAAGAAGCGGCGAAGAAAGAAGAAAGGGGGAAAGAATGATACCAAGCAAGGAAGAACTGAAGAGGTATATTCTGCATACGCGGTCTGATATTTTGCTCAGAGGCTAATGATCGGTTTTGCCACCAGGGAGCCGATGAGGTGACGATGGACGTGGAAGTAGAATATGTAGCTGCACCTTTGGAAATTGCAGATCCAGCGTTTGAAGAATACAACCAGGTCTTTGCACGATTTACGGTATCACAGACAGTGGATGAATCCGACCAGGATGAGGGCACTGGTGAGGTCGATAAACATGGTGAAAATGCGGAAGGAGGGGATGTAAAGGAGGAGGATACGAAAGGAGAGGAGCTTTCAGATGACGAAGGCGAGGGAGGGGTTGATGGGAAGGTGTCCAGGAAAAAATTGCGGAAACTCAACCGGCTGTCGGTTGCCGAGTTGAAGCAGTTGGTAAAGAAGCCAGAAGTCGTTGACGTGAGTCTCATGTTCTTGCGCATTTTGGGTCCTTCCCCGCAACTAACCTGCCTTGTTGGTACAGTGGGTAGATGTTACAGCTGCGGATCCTAAGCTGCTTGTACACCTGAAGTCATATCGAAACACTGTGCCTGTTCCAGTACACTGGAGTCAAAAACGCAAATATCTGCAAGGAAAGCGTGGTATTGAAAAGCCACCGTTTGAATTGCCAGATTTCATCAAAGCCACAGGAATCATGGAAATGAGGTCGGCTGTGAAGGAAAAGGAGGATGCTCAGAAGCTGAAGAGCAAGTCACGCGACAGGGTTCAGCCAAAGATGGGCAAACTGGATATTGATTATCAAAAGTTACACGACGCCTTTTTCCGTTGGCAAACAAAACCGAAATTGACTATCCATGGTGACCTGTAAGTTGCTGTCATGGCTTGGTAGAGCTTCTGTCAGTCTTCTTTATTCATGTTCGCTGCCGCCTACAGGTACTACGAGGGGAAGGAGTTCGAAACGAAACTGAAGGCGAAGAAACCGGGGCAATTGAGCGAAGAATTGAAAGCCGCTCTAAGCATGCCTCCACTGGCTCCCCCACCATGGCTCATCAATATGCAACGATATGGTCCTCCCCCAAGCTATCCTCAACTAAAAGTTGCCGGTTTGAATGCACCAATCCCGGAAGGGGCACAATGGGGTTATCATCCTGGAGGATGGGGCAAACCACCGGTCGACGAATATGGCCGACCGCTGTATGGAGATGTGTTCGGAACAATGGCTCAAGAAGTACAACTAGAGGTAACCGCTAACATGCACATGGAGTTCGTCATGATCTGACCGCTTTCTTTCATTAGCACGTGGCGCCAATTGAGAAAGCACGATGGGGTGAACTGGAAGAAGAGGAGGAAGAAATAGAGGAAGAAGAAGAGGAAGAGGAGGAAGAGGAGGAACAAGGCGAGGAGGAAGCGGACACAGCAGAGAGTGGATTGGTTACGCCAAGTGGTATTAGCAGCGTACCCAGCGGCCTTGAGACGCCTGAGTACATTGAATTGCGGAAGGACGCAAGAAGGTATAATGCTTTAGCATGGTATGCTCACGTTTACGAGATTTTTTTACACTGGTTTGATATTATAGGGGGGTTCTGGAGGAAGAACCTAAGCAACTTTACACAGTCATACCCGAGCGACAAACATCTGTCAAAGGTTTTATGGGAAGTCAGCATGTGTACGACCTATCCGCAGCCGAGGGAGCTCGAGGAACAAAGCGAAAAGGAGGGGCGGGAGTTGACGTCACATTTAACCCAGAAGATCTGGAGGAGGGGCTTGACGAAGAGACGGTCAAACGAAAGTACGAACAACAGCTGGACGTCTCCAAGGGGGAACATGCTCGAGAGGACTTCTCGGATATGGTTGCAGAACATGCACAAAAGCAGGCAGCCAAAAAGCAAAAGAAAGATAAGGCAGACAAGGGGAGCAAGAAGGAGAAGTTCAAGTTCTAAGGATGTCCCACGTTATGTTCTGGCAGGATTTCGTTTTTATAGGGCTGTAATATATTTCTTGTTGGAATGCCTTCGTTGTGGCATATACTGTGATCGCGCCCATACATTCTCGGGATTTGACTGCGTGATTTTTGTGACGATCAATTCTTCACACTCAATTTTTTTATGCCAGAATACACAGCAATGCTTGAATGTCTTCATTTCTTTTTTTTCTTTCTAATCGATTTATCACCAGCTGCTGAAGTAACTAAATCAGAGTTTTTTAGACGGGGCGATTGAAGAGGAGTTGTGGCTGCGGAAGATTGGGCGGAAATTGATGGGGAGATTGAAGGTCTTGTCGCTGTGGTGGACTCATTTGTAGTGTCTATGAGACCCGAGTCGCGCCATCTCTCACGCCGCTCTTGGAGGTATCTGGGATCATGGTATAGATCATTGACACTATAAGCATGTTCTCATCACAGAAGAAACGATCATGGAGTGGTCCTACCTGGCAGTTTCATTTTCGATTTCATCCTGAACATTCGGAAGCTTGGCCAATCCGTGTTTCTGCCTCAACGCATCTACTCGATCCTTTAATGGTTGATAGTCTTCTCTCAACTTCCTGAGTTCCGCTTGCTGATGTGCATTCATTTCTCTAAGTCGCCGTTGAGCGATCCGAATTTCATCCATATCCTTTTGAACAGTCTTCAACTTATCAACTAGAGCTAACTTTTCAGCTAGAAGTTTTCGTTGCTCGCTGTTCAATTCGGTCATTAGGGCGTCGTGCTTTTCTACACGTTGGGTTGCGGCGAGAATTTGCGTTTTGTTACGGTTTAGGCGGTGTGTTTCTGTTCTATCGTGTTGTGTTGAACACAAGTTGAGTGGGAATGAACAATTCCGAGCATGAGGGCGGGACTGCAAGTGTAAACAAAAGCCGACAGTTTTCAACCTACCGAATCTGCTGCAACTCCTCTAATCGATGTACCTGTTCGTCGTTTGGCGATTCGTCGATGGGAAGGACAGCACCAGACGACATGGCTTTTCAATTGGCTCTAAAGGCATTTCCTCGAACTGGGATATCGCGCTGCGCATGAAGTAACCATGTCAACAACCATCGGCCTGTTCCACCGCGATTGACGTTGTGGAGTCCATAGCTCTTGTACAGTACCCTAGTGCAGTACCTAGTGCAGTATACCGAGAACTGGTAGGCGGATAGGCGTCCAGGATTTGGTATGCTTGTTGGGGACCGCCTTGACGTGACCTTTCAGGAAGCACAACTTACGACGAAATTGTTTCCCTTCTCCCCCTAGTGCCATCCACTGAACATTTATATAATGGCAGAGGTATCGTCCTGGCGTTCTTATGGAAATATATCGATATTCTATGTATCCGCTGGGTTTGAAGAAGCTGATTGTTCCATGCCGTCAGTTACAGGCATTTCTTCAAGACTTATTGGAGAGGTATTGCCCAGTGGGGTGGTGAACTACCGAACACCAAAGAGTTTTTTGGCACCAGAATCTTACATAGCTGATTCAGTACGGATCACCTGAAAGCGGTGCTTGTTACCGATAAGGACGGGGTGATACTGGCGAAAGGTGAGAAATAGATTTGCCTTCTAAACGCCGCAGATGCTCACTTTCTTGGCATCAAGCGACTGGCCCAGATCTTCCAGATCATGTACTTGAGCCGGCCTTTTCTGCCACTTTTTCGGTTGCCAGTGACCAGGTATGAAGGAACTTGAATTTTTTTTTCTGCCACACCGCGCGAATCCTTACTTCCTTCGTGGCTCTCTTGGATCACCGAAGTCGGGCAAACTTGGATTTGGGAGAAACAAGATGATCATGAGCACATTTGATGAAGACCAAGTTGTGCAATTCAACTACTCGCCGTTAATATTGACGCTGCTGGCATCTTCCAAGGCGAATTCGGGTAGATCTTCCTGCGCTGGCATATCCTTCAATTCATCTTGACTAATCAGTATCCTTCCTACGTTGTTTGTCCACTTTAGGTGTACTAATAGCCGCGGGGAAGGACCTTGAGGAACCTATAAAAATTGTTGGCGAGTCTGTGTCGAAGGCAATACAACATGAACATAAGGCTAAAGAGTATGTGTAATATTTACGCGAGAGCAGTTTATGTAACTGCGACACACATGTAAATAGGTAATAATAGTTGGTCACACCGCACGAATGGTGTGAAAATGCCATATATAAATTATCGCAGTCTCTTGGGTTCATTTCATCCGCAGTCCCAGCTTCGCTTCGTCGTGATCGGGATCAGAGGTCAGCAGCTGACTAAGCGGCGGAAACTAGCACCATATGGGCCAACCAGCATAGAGGACTCCAAGCAAATATCCGTTAACAGCCCATTAGTTGTTACTCATTTGGACACCCAAACATGATTACAGTTTTGCGTGCCCTCATTCTTTTCCTTGCATTCGGGTTATGCACTTGCTCGCCTGCCCCCACTGCAACCTTACCCACTGCCCTGCCACGAGCGGCATCTCCCAACGGAACTCGGCTTTCAGATTGTCACATCCCTGCTAACATCTCATGCACAGACACCAGTATAGCCAAATGCGCCAGGCAGGTCCAAGGTCCTTTTGCACATGGGATATCCGCGTTCTCGGCTACAATCTGCAAAGATCCGAAGAAAGCGGAGCCATATTTACGCTGCCTAGCTTGTGATTGTGCACAAACGGTCATTGGGGTATGTGCTTTCCCCTTCAAAGTGTTTCAGCTATTAAGCTTTTGTTTCCATGCACAGATCAAAGTCCTCCAGAGACTAACGCCGGATGTATGCGGACAAGCCATTGCACAGGTGTTTGGTAATCCCCGCCGTTTGAATTAGCCGTATCTATATTTGTTCCACCATGTACATAAAAAATACAATGCTTGTGCAGCACCGGATATTACTTGTACTCGCATGCTGACATCAATTCATAAGTTGGAGGCATGCAAACGATGCCCTAAGAGGACTGCACTCTTGGCATTAGTGCAGCGAGTAGCTGCGTCGACGGCTCCGCTTCTGTGAGCATTTGATAGTCGATCTTTGAGTTTGGTCGTGCTTCTTTGAACTGCTTTTCAAGGTGTGCAGCGACCTTCTCAGCACGAGAGCATCGATTTACGAAAGTTTTAAGTTGGGCTTGCTGTTGTTCCCGCTCGCGCTCAAGTGTTTTCCAACGTTGCTGCATATCCGCAAGGTGCTTTTCCAGTGTAGCAACTCGCGAGGATAACTAGTGGACACGCATGAGCAATCTGCGCGTAAGAGCGATGAAATTCGCCATCCTTTTTTACCTCGCTGGTGCGATGCTTAAGCATATCATTTTCGTTCATTAGGTACTGCCGCTCGCTGGTTAGTGTTTCGATTTTCAATCGCCAGGCTTGGAGATCTAAAAAAAACGCCGTGGCACTGTCGATTACTTTTCTAAATGCCACAGGAGGTCTGGGTGAAATTTACCTGGGATGTCATTTAGTTGCTCCTTGCCGTTTTCCTGGGTTCCTTGGATCACAGATCTTCCTGTGAAAGGGAGAATAAAATGTAACCAAATGTGGCTTTGGTTATCCACTACGAACATTACCTCCTGGCGTCGTTATTGTTGGTGGAGGTTCCTTCGCATTCTTATCTACGCCCCCTCCAGGTGTCGAGGCAAAGCTTGCCCACGCAGGTCTGTCGGTGGATTTACTCTCTGCACTGGATATTCTGCGACCACCGCCAGGATGAGACTGATGGATTGGATGGCGTCAACAGGTGATGGCAGCATGGCATTACCTGGTTCCAATATCGGATTTGCTCCCTTCTGTATTTCGTCTGGATTGAGCTTTAGCATCAAAATACCGCCGCTCCATTTGCTCAGCCCGATTTTTCAACTCGTAGTTGGCCTTCTGGAGTTCGTACCGCTCTGCCTTCAATTTATCCACCATTTCGCGCGCAAGTACATACTTTCGTTCCAACCCGTGGGTAGCCCGCTCATCAGCCATGCGTGCTTTGCGAACATCAGATCGGTCGGCGTACAGTCGACGAATCTCCGTTTTAAGCATTTGAGATGATGTCTAAGAAATAATGATAGGGGTCACCGGTGGGTGTAAGGCACGACAGCTTTCTATCATCCTTACGGTGTGGTTGAGATCATTTTCCTCTAGTTGTGTGCGAGCTTCAATCAGTTGCTTCTCGAGAGCGACCTGTCAAGTCGGGACTGGATCAGCCACGTTGGCAAACATCCTTCAGGTGCAAGGAATACCGGAACCAACATTTTTGGTTTTCAGTTCGTCTAGTACAGGCTGAAGCTTTTTCAGCTCGTTGTACAGCTTCGACGCCTCAAGTTTTTGTTCAATAGCTTCCTTTTTTGCTTCGGATATTTCGTTGGCAGTTTTGGCACGAATGGTATCCGTTATGCCCAGTTGGGTCTGTGAGCCGAGGTGTAAGAGAAAGCCCAATAATTTCTTAAATAAAGTACCTTATCCGCTTACCTTAAGGAACTGGTTGTCTTTCTCTAGCGCTGTTGCTGATTCCTTTCCTTTCAAGTTACTCTTCTGGGATTGTAACCACAGATTTTGAAGCCGCTCATTCTCCGCATGGGCTGCGGCAAGTTCTTTCTGCACGATTTGAAGTTCCATCAGATAGGAACTGGACTTGTCAACTAAAAAGCGGCGTGTGGTGTCAATATTGTGCAATAAAGTCTTGCTTGAATACAAAACAAAGACGACCTCGTTTGTGTTCGTGTATTTGGCTTTTCAGCATATTCACATCGTGCTCTTTCCGTTCCAATGCGTAAATTATATGTTTGGATTCGTCGTAGAGGCGCACATAATGGGAATTGATCTGTTCGTATCGGTCTTTGAAGGCATCTCGTTCCTGTCGTAACTCGGACTACCGAAGCAAGCAGATCCATTTTAACCGTTTCATTTCGCATACTATAAGCATATTGAGAGCACGAAACCCTACCACCATAGTCTGCAATGCTCTCATTTCTATCCGGAGATCTGCATTGTCATGTCGCAGATTCACATTTTTGGCTTCCTCCTCTCTGGTCATTATTCGGACTTGGGCAGCCGCTTGAGCTTCGATCTGCTCTTCCTTTTTCGCAATTTGCTGGTATTTTGGTAAATAACGGAAGGAAGATAGTCCTGGTAAGTTCATATGTAATTGGCAGTAGCAAGGACAGGTCAATGCTATACCATAACAGTCTCATTGCGAATTTTTTCTTCGAAATGTTGTTTGAGAGCATCTATTCTCGCTTTCAGTTCTGATACCGTGCTTGTTTTCCTTTCAAGTTCTTCCAAAGCAATCTAAAAGCGCATACGAACAGCATCAAAAATCTCTTGATTCCTTCACCTCAAACGGACGTTTGAGCATAGGTTCGTACCTCGTGATGTTTATTTACTCTATCCAACTCTTGCCGGTACAGAGATTCCGCAACTTGAGCTTCCACTAGCTCACTGCGAATGTCCCGGCTTTTGCTGTCCGTGGAATTTACAGCTCCTCTAAGTGAAGCCACTGTATTATGCAGACCCTGACATTCTGAGCAATAATAGGTCAATCATAGTGATGTTAGCAAGATTGGGACAACCGAGCCCTTGCGTTTAAGCTAAACATTGCAAGTCAGCCAATATCGTACCAAGTTCCTTCTCTCTCAAGTTCCTTTCTAATTCCATCTTTTCAGCCTTCATAACTCGGAACTCATTCTCTACCCCCATTAGTTTCTCCTTCATTTTATCTTTGCTATCTTCCACCAGTTGAAATGTGGCATCGCGCTTAGCCATGGCAGCTATAGCATCTTCCCAGTTCTTTTCAAGGGAGCGCTTCGAATGTGCGAGCTCTCGCAGCTCACGCTGCATCTTATGGAGGGCACCTTGTGCCATGGTAGTCTCGCCTCGCTGGCCCGTAAGAAGATCTTCCAGCTCTTGTTTGGATTTCAGTAACTAGGGCACGTCAATTAGGATTTGCATTCTACATTGACGTATGTTTTGCTCCTCAATGCATAACTGCCTTACTTACTCCTTCGTTTCTCTTCTTTAGCTCCTCCATTTCCGCTTCAGTGGCTTTTCGTCGCTCCTCAGTTAGTTCCAATTCCTTTTTCAACTTCTCCTCTACTCGTCGTTGGATTTTGATGCTCGAGAAGTATGCAGCATTAACTTGACCCATTTGACCGAGTTTTGTAGAGGAATCGTCTAGCCGTCGTCGTGCATCTTCTAGGGAATTGGCGAGAGACTGGAAAGAAGGTATTCGTGAGTAATCCAGTTTGGTGTCGATCATGGGAGTGTATTACTTTGTTATGCTCAATCTTTCGTGCGATCTCACGCTCTGCTGCTTCGCGATCTGTTTCGAGGATCTTCCGATCTGCTTCATTTTGTTGAAGAATATTGCGGCTAACAGAAGTGAAAAGGTAAGGATGACATAGATCTGAGATGGTCGATATCCGCCCAGACGGTCACCAATATCCATGGTCATTTTCGTGTTTTTCTTGACCATACCCCACCCCCCATCAAAGCGAAAATTGCAATTGCAACTCACACCTTCCCCAGTCCTTCATTAAGCTTTCCCATTTCCTTCTTCGCTTTGTACAATTCCACACCAATCTCTTTCTTTTCTTCCTCCGTCATTTTCACAGCATTTTCCTTTTCGCGGAGTTTGGCTTCGATCTCCGTCATCTGGCCGTCGACCGCCGTCAAGAGGGTCCTTTGAAAGCGGAGATAATTTGATTCCAGAACTTCATGGTCCTCCGAGGCATATATGCCCTGGCTGGAAGATGCGGTAGGTAGTGGGGGTAGGGATGCGATTGCTGAAGGTGGTGCCATAGTTGACAGATTTTTTGACGAGATACACGATGCTCATCCAAAGTCAGATTCAACTTGTTCGCCCACCAAAATGTTCGGATTTTAGGGTCTGTTTCCCTGACCAGGAAGAGAAAATGTCCGAAAGGATCACCCTTTCTGATCAAATATCATCCAACGCAAATTGCCAACAGACTCTGGTTCGAGCTTTTTGGGACACAATGGATGGTCATAAATAAGGCAGTTCGGCGGTAACCGTCGAACTTGGGTCGAAGCTTCGATGTGTTTCATTTATGCCTTCTGTTCCATGCCAAGGTCTAGCAGAATCGTGTGAGCCCTCATCATATACACCTGCACCACAACGCTGGAGAATAACAATGCTGACGGTATTGCAGCCAGCTTGAATCTATTTAAGTAGCCAGACACACGCAGAATCGTAACCTGCCTTTCCCAGTCGGCTTTCTGATTTGCTAGATTGAGAACCTGGACGACTTTGAATGTTGAAGATCTGGAGTGCATATTCCACCATCATTGAACTAACTCAAGCAATAAAATGCAGAATTTTTACAGGTCAATATAGGTAAACCCCAAATACGTGCACCCTACTTTAGTATAAGTGACAAGATACACCCTAAGCTAAATATCCCAGGCTACGATTTGGAAGAGATAACGTGCTGGATACGAATTTGCCGATGCTCTCAGGACTCAGTAAATACCCGGGATCAATTTGTATGGGACAGCTTTGCAGTATTCATCCCAATACTTTCCGTATTTGCCCTTGCATCTCTCTTGGTCACGCTGAATACGTTGCAGTAAAAGAATTGTCATGTATATGATGTAGAAATGGGGCAGGAGGTATTGGAATCCGCAGGTGAAGCACATCGCGGAGGAGATGAGAAGATCGCCAACATAGTTGAAGTGGCGGGATAGACCTTTTCAAGATGGGAAAGGTGTCATACTCCTGCACGAAATTGAATGGCAATGCAAACATTCACGTACCCCAGAACCCAGAGCACAAGAGCAAACTTTTGTGTTTCTGGCCATCGGAGGTGATAAACTCAGTCCTGATGACCTTAGCATCACGGCCCCAGATCTTGCAGTGTCCGTTGGTTCGACGAACGACATCTTTCTGGTTGTTTACCGCACGGAAAATGTAGTAACCAGAAAGACCCAGAGCGAGAACAAACGTAAACCATGGCCAAGACATGTCGATTGGATGCCGGACAAGGAAGTGAGATTGAAGAGTATACTGGAAGATACTGGCATTAGACCGTTAAGAGAACCATGTTATCGAATGAAGCTTACCATGAAGGGAAGCCAGACGCTGTCTCCCCATGATAAGTCTACCCAAGACAAAACCTCTACATTAGGCCGGCATTCAATCGATTCAGCCGTGAACATTCACTTACAGAATCCAAAGTGATCATGGGCAATATCTGCAATTTTACAATAAGAAATCAAAAGAGCAGCGTCAGTCGTATCGCCTGTGATGCATGACAACGCTTTCTTTTACCAATTGTTCTCAAGTACCAATCCTATTGTAAATGCAAAATGGTCAGAAAACGAATTAAGGAAATTTCAAACAGTGGAAAACCTACTTCGTGGATGAAAAAATCGATCACATATACAAAATGCAAGAAGTTCAAAAGAACCATCGAGTTAGTCACGTAGCCGATTTGCTGCCACTGAGCTGCTGCGAAGGAGAAGTTGATCAAGGTCCAGGCGACAATACCCGGCCGCCCATTGTGAAAGAGCTTAAAATCAAAGTATTCGCCGAATCGCGGATTGAATTCGATGCCCATGTACAGATCATAGATCATCGAGCCAGAGAACTTGCGATCCTCCGAATGGGAGGGCGCGACATGGGCTTTGAGGTATGAAAAAAATGTCAGGAAGTAACCGTAAACGTTGGCAGCGACAAGAAGCCCGCCCCAGTTATCGTAGATGATGGACGCGGGAAAGAGGCCGAGACCAAGGGAAGCGCCAATGAAAAGAGCATGCGTGACAATCCAAGCAAAAAGACCGTTGACCTAAGAGCAACCGACAGTTAGGACAAACGAAGGAAGCATTACAAACTTTCATTGCGAGAAGTAAGTTCGCTTACAATGTATGGAAGGGTGTAGCCCGCCGGGGTGGTTTGACCGTACCCAATCTTGCCTGGCAGATACGAATACAAAAGACCTTGGAATAAGAGCCATCCAAAGAATAATCTGAATGCTCCTGCAAAATATCAATTGCGCTCCCATCAATTTCCTTGCTGTTGCTGTTCACTAGCTGCTAGTATAACCCACCGGCTGATGGTCTTGGGAAGTGGTCGTCCACCAGAGTTTGTACTCCTGCTACAATTGCATCCAAGGATAAACCGCCAGCGAGTACTTTCTGCATAGGCGCAGCAAGGGAGCATTGGAACGAATCGCAAGCCATCCATGTGTAGATTACGAAAAGCGGACACAGAGTCATGATGGCACCGCATATAGCAATGTTAGATATGCTGACATCTACGGATATGGAATTCAGGTTCTAGCGTGAGTGATGATCGTAGTTTTGGCAGTTCCTCGCTATATCGATGGGTAGGAAGCCCATTTGCGAGCTAACATATGATGAAGCTAATACTTGACAACCAACCTCTTGCCCTGCCCCAAGTGGTGCCAGTTTGAGCGACAAGCTCCTTAACAGAAGCGATATCTTTCTTTACTGCAGTACCGACACGTTGCCGAAGCCCTTCCTTTCCTGCCATCTTACTTTGAAACCACACAAGACAGGATAACCAATAGGGTTTTCAATGTTTACGAAGCTGCGAGCAGTGGTCGGGTTCCCTAGTTATACGCCGTTTGGGGAATTTGGTGCTTGCGAAAAAAAAGCGAAGGACCCACCAACCCCTAAGGTGGGACAGACTGACACACTGTTATAAGCTTAAAATCTTCCACATTAGCGTCCACCTTTGATCGGAGAAACGCACCTTAACACTCTATCATACGAGGTGGGGACGCGACGCGTCCGGACGATGGCCTGATGCGCGATCGAAATGGTCCCAATAACCGCTTGCGTTCCCCGTCCAGGGACTAGTGCCCCTTGCCGTTAAACAAAAGAAAGGTTGTAGGAAGGCAAGCCACTAATAGCTGCTCGTAGTATCGTAAAAGAATCAGGTGACTCTGACGATATCTGGACTGGTGTTCAAGCCTTTAAAATAAAGTGGCTCATATGCCTCCTAGCTTGTCCGAGCGCGACACATTTGATTAGAGGTTATAATCTGGGTGTAAAGGACCGACACGTATAGCTTTGACGGTAGGTATGCATGTACACACATCGATGATGCAAAAACATTTTTATGTAAAGGAAGTAAGGCCAGAATAAAACTTAAATATAGTGGAAATGTAAGATATTGGATGAAATTATTGTTACATCTGTACACTCATAGATCGTTGGCCAGCTCATCAAATAACGCAACAGGCCGCACAATGTTGCGGAACTCCTAGTATTGCAATCGTTCAGCATTTCGAACGCCTCGGAAATGAGATCTAGTTGTACTTTACGCACCCTCCCATGATGTGTTTTGTCCGCATGTCCCCGAAAGCCTTTTTTGCCGCCGTACGATACCATCGAATAAGGATCGCCGTCATGAAAATAATCCGGATGTGGATGCTCGACCCGTTGGACGACAGTGAATACTTTGTCAGAAACTAGCGCATTGGTTAATTATTAGTTTGAAGATCTTAGACACGTTCCAACATTATGGATATTACCTTTCAGACCTTCTCGTCGTCTTCGCTCCTGCTTCTGAGCATTAGAGGTATCGTAAAAGTCTGTTTCCACACGCAAGGATGGCCGTAATGGCTTTCGCAGGATTCTCTCCAGTTTTTGCCGGGGCTGCATATGACCGTTTCACAAACATTTGGGCCATCAATGGAATAGTTGTTACTTATTGGCGCATCTCGCCTTACTTACCAGGAACGGTCCTTGCGGTTGCTTGGACTGGGACTCCGCCTGTTCTTCTTCTACTGGTCTCCTCATTGGCTTTCCCTTGAGTCTCTGTAGGCCCACATGTTCTCTTAACCATTTTCTCAGCGCATCATTGTCCTTGAGGTTTTCTTCAGGAATATAAAGCGGTGGAAGCAGCTGATGACGGCGTGCCTGCGAGGAGCGAAAAGTAGATGATTGCCGTTGGTGGCACTTCGAACTTCTATTTTCCTCCTCTGGCTCTTGTACTTGATCTTCCATATTATATTCCTCCAAGTCTGCTGGTTTTCCACCTTCAACGTCCTCCTGCGTTGCGTGGCCCACTGCTGTCATGCTAAGCCGTGCTTTCTTCCCACCGTCATCTGCGTATACGCCGGGAACGTGCTGGGTGCCCACTAAATGATGTCTGTTGCCAGCCAATCGATCGAGAATGGCTGCAGCTGTTGCTTGCCTGTGCTCCCAGTCGGCCTGGCGTTGGGCGATACAGTGGGCCGCTAGTTGCTCTCGTATGGTGTTTATCTACGGACAGGTAAAACCATCAAGCTCGTAATAGAATTTATGCTTTCACCAGACGTCACTGCTACCTTTTCTTTCACATTTTCAATGTAAGCCTTTCGCTGGTAATAATGAAATTTGTATTTACGGCTGTAGTACCCTCGCCATCTAAGAAAATGGTCAAGCATGAGCGGCGATGGATCAGATTAAACTTTGGGCACGATAGAATTGCCTCTCAGCTCACGTTTTCTGTATTCGCACGGCCATAGCGTAGTAATGCATCATCCGCTTTTTCCTATTTCGTTCAATGACGAGACGTTCGAGGAAATTGCGACCGAGATGTCCGCGCCAATAGCGTTGAATTGTCGTTGCATTTGTGCTATAATTGTAACATTAGGTCTTCCTGATACAGTTGTCCAAATCCGGGTGCCATGGTGAAGCGATTGCTACCTACTTTAGCTTCTGCATGCGTCGACGAACGACATATCCCCTCCACACCTTCTGAACCGCCACAGCTGCTGCGTACTCTTCGTGTCGGTGGAGTTCCGCATCTCTTGAGGAACAAGATGTAAAGTTTTGTCGAGGAATCTATCGCCCTACTAGAACGATTCATATCTACCTGGACCGGGCAAAGAGGTCCTCTACAATGTCGGTACACTGGAAATTCCAAATCCTTGCAAAGCTCAGGGCCATCGTCAGTTATTTCACCGAGATCACTTAGATCACAAATTAGAGCATCATCGTGGTCGCTTACACTCTCTCGGCTAAAAATAGACAATCAAGGGTTGCATGAAGCTTCGCGTTATCAAGCAATCTCAGCTGGCATTTGAACCCGCTTCCAGTTGGACGACAATACTTGTATGAAGCAGAAGACCAGCTATGTTGTACTCATTACAAGGCGCCGAGTAGCTGAGCGCACATCGTTCGAACGTGTTCTCACTTCAAATCCCGATTTTCAATGATCGAATAATGACTGTGAATTATTGATAGAATTCTTTTCCCCTTTAACAATATTTCATCTCTAACTATCCACTTTCATCCATGGTTGAGGTATATGTACTTTCTTCTTAGCACCAAAGTGGCTCGTCAATTCGTTGTACGTTAACATTATACAAGGAGGTCTCTTCCAGTTGACAAATGGTGCTGCGCTGGAACAATATTGTAGATAAGATTACATGTAGTCTAAAGCAGATGCACTCAACGAAGAAGATATGTGCGCCAATGGATGTATCCCCTGGTTATGGCTTTAGTGCGCTTCAATAGCTTATGCTTAGTCGCGCGTCTCGTTAATGTTTTTGGGGTTGTCAAGTTGCGTAAGTTCCACCATAACACACTCGTCTATTTTGATATCTCCGTGACAGTACTACTTAAATACATATGACTGGGGCCACTGGCATCTACAGCTCTACATACATGGATATCTAACATCATAGATGGGTGCTGTGCTGGCTATCCTTGTCTGTGGGGGTATATTCAGGATGAGCCAGCGCCAACCTGCTGTTGTCTGTATTTCCTCCGTAATAGGCGGATCATGACACTGGAGAATGATTCTCCTTCGCTATGGGTTCTTCCTCGCCGTCCCTTAGCGCATCTACAAGAGACGCACTTCCTCTGCCACCGTGGTTGACGGCAACCTGATCATTTTGTCCCACTTCCTCCTCCATGGCAGAGAGTTTAGTTGGTTCTCGAGAACCATCAGTACATTCATCTGAAGTTTCCAGGAAGGGTACTTTTTCAACATTTTCAACATTTACGAAGTCGCCATGGATGGACTCTGACGTCACCGATGCAGAGTCTTTATCGGTACCTGAGGCCTCTCGCGGATTTCCTTCCTCGGGACCCAGACCCTCGTCATGCAACTGATTTTCGGGATCTGACACGATGTGATCTAATTGGGTGGGTAGTGGTTCATTTGCCAATTCCTTTTGTGCAGGGATGGATATTGCGTTGGATAGAAGATCGCCCGATCGGACGACCTCCTCCTCCTCCTCAATCGGCCGCTCCGGTTGCTCGAACGATTCATGAATCGGTGATTTCAAATCGTTTGATCCTTCATGCTTGGTGACCTTCTCGACAAATGTATCAAGAGCAAGAGGCTCTTCCGTGGCGGGATTGATCGGCATATCTGTTTCAAGATTCGCTGTAGAAGCAGCGAAGTCTGCGGCTTGGCAATGCTCGGGCGCCGTAGTTTCGTCGTTCACGTCGTTTTGCAATTTAGAAACCTTGTCGATCGCTACGACAGGATGTTCCTCCAAAGTGGTATCTAGTGCATCCAATTCATCCTCCGTGGAGGGCACATCACCAAGATCCTCGGCATCCTGGGTCACTTCTTCGGCGGGTTCACTATCGAACGACATCCCACCTTGGCTTTCGTCTGGAATTTCTGCTTCTGCTTTAGATGTGGAGAGATCGACCTCATCCTCCAAAAGGGGTTCACCATCGAGTGACTCGGCCACCTGATTCTCGGCGAGAACTTCTGCTTTGGAAGTCGACAGATCAACCTCATCCTGGGAAACGGGTTCAGTATCGAGTGGCTCGGCTATCTGATTATCGGCGAGAACTTCTGCTTGAGAAGTTGGGAGATCGACCTCATTCTCAGAAACGGGTTCAGTATCGAGTGGCTTGGCTACCTGATTCTCAGCCAGAACTTCTGCTTCAGAAGTTGGGAGATCGACCTCATCCTCCAAAAGGGGTTCACTATCGAGTGGCTCGGCTACCTGATTCTCGGCTAGAACTTCGGCTTCAGAAGTTGGGAGATTGATCTCATCCTCGGAAACGGGTTCACTATAGAGTGACTCGGCCACCTGATTCTCGGCGAGACCTTCTGCTTCATCCTTAAAAACGGGTTCACTGTCGAGTGACTCAGCTAGAACTTCGGCCTCAGAAGCTGGGAGATCGACATCATCCTCAGAAACGGGTTCATCATCGAGTGACTCGGCTGAAACTTCTGCTTCAGAAGTTGGGAGATCGACCTTGTTCTGGGGAGCAGAAAGGGTTTCCGAATTCTGCTTTCCATCACGTGCATGGTCAGCGGGTGCTTCGGTGAATGTCTCTGTGCCTTCCTGTAGGTCAACTGTTTGGCTTGTCGTGGTTGAGTTTCGCCGTATTCTGTGGTCCTCTTCGTCCACTTCGTCAGCAGGTACCTGATCGGCTGCTTCCCCTTCCGTTTCTTGGTCAGTCGCTACCTTCATGGATACGTCGGTATCCGCAGTTGTTGTCTCACCGCCTTCGAATGCATCAAGTGATTCAGGCGATACAATTGCCTGGACACCAGCTTCGCTGCTTAGGGGATTCTGGCGGAATATACTGTCCTGCTCTGGATTTGCTGCACCGCCCATCGCTACTTGGTCGGCCGTTCCAAGATCCTGCGCAATGTTTTGCGCCTCCGACGATGAATCGGCCCAACCATTGTCCTCGCAAGCAGACGACCCGAGTCCGCCTTCTGCAGGCTTGGGAAGGGTCGGGTCATGCGTCAGATTGACAAAATTCTCTACAAAGACATCTGGCTTTGGGGCGTCTGCAGGCTCGGTGTCAGCAACTGATATTGCGTGTTCGACGTCCACAGAAAGGACTTCCGGGGAAATCTCCGTTGCAACATCAGGGAGCTCTTCCAGGATATGAGCACCGAGTGGGTCGTCTGTCTGGGATGCGATCGCGGTAAGTTCGGGTTTAGTCAGAGGAGCACCTGGTTCGCCGTCCAAACATGGAATTTCTGAGGGAATGAGGGGAAGTGGCTCATCCACAAGTATCTCTGTCCGCGAATTGTCGGCGGGCAAAGTCACGAGAAACTCTGGAAGCTCTGTTTGATCTATCGTTTTCGACGTAGCCACTTGGGCGTTTTGAAGCTCCCAGAGAGATTTCTCCAAAGATTGCGTATCAGTTATTTCTGTTTCCAAAGGCTCATACACGACAAGATCTTCGGCTACGCTTGGCGATCTCTCAAACAGTAACTCGGTGTCATGGAGAGCTGTGCTATCCAAACCTCGGGGGACCGACAAGCGTTCTTCAATCACTATACCACCCATCAGCTCAATATCGTGCGCGAGCTCAGATAACTCATTTTCCACTGAGAGACTTCCGTTATCGGAGCCAATGTCCATCCGTGATACACTATCGTCGAACGCCACAGGTTCCCTACAGGGAAGAGTGTCCTGTTTTTCTTTCGGTACCGACTCTGGCGCATGGGCTATTTCGGGCACCTCTTGAGCGGGTCCATCTTCGATTACAGTCTCCCCAGATGGGACATCGATTACCCCCGTACCATCGAAAGCACTCGGTATCTTCGAGCTTCCTCCCAATTCGAACGTCGCAGCATCCGCGCTTTCATTGCGAGGTAGTGATTGCCTGAGTTCGGTATCCACCTCGGTAACTCTATCCACTTCAACTGGTCGTTCCGAATTGAGAGCTGCTTTGTTCGATGCAGCATTTTCGTGTAACAACGGTTCGCCGTCTGTTTGTGCAACTTCCAATGTCTTCTCCTCGAAGGAAACGTCTGAATCTAATAGATTTAATGATGGACTGATGCTACCTTCTGCCATGGGCTGATCGTAGAGATCCTTGGGCTTTGCTTCGTCCGTAGTTGATTCAGCCGCCGTTGATGAGCAGTAATCTGGTTGTCCATACTCTGTAACGTCCACCATTGGCGATGTGATCAATTTCTCCTTCGTCGGAACATCTTCACCTAATGCCACATCATCCGGTATCCCTCGAGTGGAAGCATCAACCATGCCATCCCCAAGGGGCTCAGATCGAACGGCATGATTCATTCCTATCGTTCCCTCAGCTTGTTCGTCTACCGATCGTTCGCCGTCAATAAGTGGTGCGTCATCTGTAGCTGTCTCTCCTCCAAGACTTTCCAAATTCTCACTGTAAGGTACAGGCTTCTCTCTTACAAGCGGCAATACAGATTCATCATCCACCGGCGCTTTCTCATATCGATTTTCCACGTGCACTAACACGTTGTCATTAGCTGCAATCATCGGTATTGCCAAGTTGTCGATGACCGGTAGATTTTCTTCTGCTTCGACGAGTGCAGGAATTCCATGATCCACTGTCGCATCAGCTTCTTTTTCTACAATTTCTTCACTGTCGTCAAGCGGTACGTCGTCGCCGTCTATTGCTGTCGCGCCTTCAGGTTCTGTAATTTCTGCTTCATATGATGTTGGATCCCCATGATGCACTGCTGGTTTAGATTCATCATCCACCGGCGCTTTCTTATATTGATCTTCCACGTGCACTAACACGTTGTCATTAGCTGTAATCATCGGTATTGCCAAGTTGTCCATGGCCGTTAGATTTTCTTCTGCTTCTATCAGTGCAGGGATTCCATGATCCACTGTCGCATCAGCTTCTTTTTCTACAATTTCTTCACTGTCGTCAAGCGGTACGTCGTCGCCGTCTATTGCTGTCGCGCCTTCAGGTTCTGTAATTTCTGCTTCATATGATGTTGGATCCCCGGAATGCACCGCTGGCTCAGATTCCATATCTGCGTATACTTCAGTTTTGCCAAGTTGTAGATTTTCGTCGTCTGGATTTGTGTCCCTTTCTGCTCTGTCCAAATTGTCGGCTGCATACGGGATGTTTTCTACTGGCAATTCGGCCTTTTCCTCGTCATCGACAGCTGCGTGGTCATTCAAATTGTCTGCGCTTAAACTTGCATCATGCCTCATATCTGTGTCTTCGGCTGGCTTTGCGTCCTTCTTCGTAGTAACGGGGCCAATATCTTCATCAGATTCAGTATCTGGAGCCGCAACAGTACTAACTAGCGTTGCACGAGGCGATCCCATCTCATTTTGGACCGTCTTAACCAATTCCTCTGTCTGGTTCGGCGTTTCGCTTACGACAATCTCTTCAGCAGGCTTACCGTGGATGGTACCTGTCTCTATGTTTTGTGGAACGTTCGATGCATTCAATATTGCAGACGAGTCAGTTTCTTCTGCCCCACTGTTGTTCGAAGCCTCCACCACATCCGACGTGAAATCCAGGGATTCCACAGCTTTTGTCTGAAGGATTGGCTCACTGGATGGTCCACCGGCCTGTTTTGGCCATAATCCCCTGAGCAGAGGCACCACATACCGATTTCGAGCGGCTGATATGCGCTCTTCCAGTGCCTATGGAAATAAAAGTGAGCAATGAGATGGGAACGCCACGTTGTCACGGATCCAGGGATCACCTTAGCGCGGCTAACGAGAGCTTCAAGGTTACGCATTGTCTCTGCTGGCACCGGATCCGGCCTTTTGGGCGAACTTGCCGGGACTGGTGACGAGGGCGTCATGGGGCGCCTTATCTGCGTGCTTTGCAAATCGGGGGTGCCTAATGGTACCGACGCGGCTTCGGTGTTATCCCTCTGCCGGAGTTCACCAGGAGGAGTAGCTACTCCTGCACGCTCTTTCAAAATGGAGAGCTCCATAGAAGTGTCTTGAAAGAAGGGACATTAGCATGGCAATTGGGAAAGTTCATGTACACAGGACAATACCTCGAAGCTCGTCCCGAAGTCGCTGATTTTCCTCTTCCAGTTGCGCTTTTCCATCAAGCTCGTGCTCCAGTAAAGTCGTACGCTCCATCAATTGATTATACTTTGATTGAAAATCATCTGCTGAAGCGGACGTAACCCTATGCCAAAAGATTTCTATCAACATATGTGTCTTTGGATTTCCGACCAGCGACAGCACCGTACCTGAAGGACTGCTCTATATCAGAGTTTTGAATCTCCAAATTCCTGATGCGCTCACGATAGTCAGCATCCGTTTTCCGCAGTTGTTCCAACTCCTGTTGCAAGGCATTGATGTTTGCATTTGACTGTGCTTGAAGAGATGCGTATTTGCTCTACCATTAAATGCTGGTATCAGCAATGGTGACCACGAGGCCTACTCCAACTGGACTAGGAACGGTGTATGTGGCATCACACACCAACGCGATGCGATACTGACCTTGAGATCCTCGTAATCCTTCCTCAATTTGGCATTTCCGTTCCGCAACTCTTCAATTTCCCGCTCCAGTTCCGCCTCGAGATCTTTCGAGTCCTGCTGGAACTCATCAAACATTCGCTTTGAGTCCTCCAGCTCCTCCTTGGTGGCCTGCAATTCTTCCCTCAGTTGAGTTATTTGGTTTTCCGTCGAGTCCAAACTGAGCAAAAAGAGTTAATCAAATCATTGCGGCAGCGAGCTCACAGATAATTTGGTGCATACTCTTCTGAGGCTGAAGTCATGATGGTGTCTAAATGTACAAATGCGTGTTGTTATGATAAAAAATGGTGTGATGGGTGGGTGAACTACAATGTGCGTAAACGTGCGTCAAGCGTGGAAATGTGCGTTAACGGATGCCAGCTGACAATGAGTGGGAGGAAAGCAGTCAGTCAGACTGCTCACCGTTGTCCCCTTTGATGTGTCGATGGTGGTTGCTACCCGCGAGAGTCGGATGGGCGCCGCGCGCTGACATACGTTTGAAACTTTTGAGATCCCGCTAGCATTCGGTCGCACCAACAGCAATTGAATTGAATCCACATGGCTGCTGACTTAAGCAAACTCCACGTGAATGCTTTAGGTAATCCCCAGGAATCCGAGGTTCATCCAACGCTGCGAGACATACCCAATGATTCCATGGATTTTGATAACTCGAATTCAGGAAATTCATTTACTAGTGGATTGATTCAGTTATCAACAGAGATGCATGCTCCATTTCAACAAGTGTGCCCAAGTTCATTTGGCAACAGCTTTAGATCAAAAACCATGGTTAACTCATCCCATGAAGCAAGAGCTTTTTGCGTACACAATATACAACAGGGTCAGGTCCTCCATACTGCCAAAACCGTATCGCTGTGATGTTATGCAGAAACGACCAATATAAATGCAATTGTACCAACCTTGGTCATAGGTCGAGGTAAAACTTTGGACCGTCGCTCATCGAACCCTAGTGCATAGTGCAGTGCAACGATATGAGCACGCCCAGTCCAAAAATCCAACAGAAACATCACCGGGTCGGCAACACAGCACAAGCCCACTCCTCTCGAAAGTCAACCTAAGACAGAGCCTCAAGAGAAGAAAGAAAAAACAATGCGTATATATATGCAACATTCAAACAAAGTCGGACTCGATATGGACCTAAAGTTTCCAGCAAATTACACCTATTGAACAAGGAGGTGAGGCATTTGGTTTAGACATCTTGACCGCAGCAACAACCGGTGAATGGGACTTCTTCTACTCAAAGGCCGCTTCCGGAAAGCGCGCGTTATAAGTAACGTCTGGGACATAGGCAGCCTCAATCTGCAGGTGGGAAAGCAGTCAGCCGAAGAAAAAATAAACAAGACATTCAAACAGACACCTACCCGGTTACCGGCGAAGAACCGGCCGTTTAGAGCATTCACCGCCGCTTCCGCTTCAGGAATGCTGTTGTACTTCATATAGATGCGACCATCCTACAATGCCGGATTGAGCGTTAGAGATCAGCAATAATGCACGTTGCCAAATATATGGTCACATACCGGACTTTCAGTATCAATTCCTACATGACGGAGTTTGCCGTACTTAGAACATTCAGATTCAACATCATCCTTGAGCTCTTTATCCCAGTCAGGTTCCTCTTGTACTTCCTGTAATACGAACATATTCTTCAGCAAAATATTGCGCGTTGGCAGAATGACCGGTTTTCTGTCAGACAAGGGGTTAAGTGTTTATGCTCTAATGTTAGTAAGACACGCTCAGCATAGTCACGTACGCAGGAAGTGCCGAACCGCCAATAGGGAGTTCGTCCCTAGCAAGTTTGGCCATAAGGTCAATGCGGGATACATTGTTCATGGAAAGGCCGCCAATTTCCCCGTCATCCAACGAGTAACTAGACACTCCCCCGCTCAGCTTATCAGTTATATGACCAACTTTGATCTGCAATAAATGTGCTAGGTAAGGGTACCGCATGCAAGAAAACCAAAGAGAAGTGCTTACAGCTCGTCCCATGATCTCAAACCCATTCATTTTCTCCATGGCCTGTTTTGCATCGGCCGGATTTTTATAATGAACAAAAGCAAATCCTCGCGACCTGCCTGTATCCGGATCCTTGTGCAAATTGATATGATCGATGGCTCCGAAAGGTTCGAAAACTGCCTTCAAATCATCCTCAGTCAGATTGAAATGCAGTGAACCGATATACAAGCGATTCGATTGTAGCTCAGCTTTGCTGCAACAGGGAGGGAAATCAATACGAGCCATCGCGGCATCAAAATGCCGGCATGGGTCGATCAAGACTTACGCGGCAGCTTCCGCTTCAGCGGCAATCCTGTTCTTCTCGGCTTCTGTACGTTGGACTATAATCGGAATGCCCAGGAGCTTTTGGTTTGTCATCTGTAGAGCCTTCTCTACAGATTCTTCCTCGTAGAATTCTACATAACCCACCCTATATGCGATAAAGGGTTTAGAGTTTTTCCTTCATCAAACTCAATGATATCCATTAACCCAGTTCCCTTACCCTTTCGACCGCCGGGAATTACGATCGGCGATAATTCTAGCATCACGGACTTTCCCGGCAGGAGCAAAGAAGTCAAAGAGTTCCCCGGTTGTAAGCCGTGCAGCCAATTGCATGACAAAGACTGTTCGCTTGTCACGTTCATACTCAGATAACTGCGGTGACGCAGACCTGGTGACAACAGGGCTGAGAAATTCAACGTATTAGACTTGTATGTGTTGGTTTTCCTTGGACGTATAATTCAAATTTTTTACCTTCTATCCCTTCCAGATCCCCTTCTTGATCGCTCATATGAGCTTCTCCTGCGCTTGTGATTGTCCCTCGACCTGCTTCGTGGTCGTTCATGCCTTGTCCGGCGATGCGGGGATTGAGATCTAGAACGGGTACGTCTCCTACGGTCTCGATCATCCTTATGACGAGGAGATCTCGAGCGAGAACGATCTTTCCTGCTCCGCTTCTTACGGTCTGTCGATCTGGAGCGCGACCGACGTCGGTCCCTCTCTCGAGACCGTGAGCGGTCTCGGTGCCGCCGCTTTTCCTCCTTCCCACGACTGCTGCGGTTCTCCTCAGCAGGCTTCTCTGGCGACGGTAAGGGTACAGCAGTGGGTTCAGATTCAGCTCTCTCGGGCTTTTGGGGCGGACCAGCTTGCTATAATCAACGCATTCAGTAACTTTGAAGTCATGTCATGCACCTGTGTGAATTTTTACCTCCTTTCGGAAGGGAGCTTCCAGAAGCTGCTCAACATCCAACTCCATGACCATTACCGCAAGTGTTTGTCGTGCAGAAGCTGCTTATAGCAAAAAGGATAATGACTGCGCCGGAAACCTACTTCGCTTTCAGTTTTCCTTGCAAATGGGAGCAACTTGTCTGGTTGTGGGCATATCCTGATCACATGACTCTTCTGCTCAAGTAAGCAGGGTCGTCCACTCGGAGCTTGAGTTCTCCGTTGGTCTGCTGCACGTACCGAAGTCAAGATGCTGCCAGCAATACCAAGATCCCGCTCATCGTTAGCCTCACATCAAGCAAAGAAGCCGCAAACAGCACGCCGATCGCCCTCTACTGCACAATCAGTCTCCAAAGCCCATGCAGACCTTGGAAGTCAAAGGTGCGTGGGTCCGCCTTACCTGTACGCAGACCTCAACTGACACGGTTCAGTCTATAGACGTATTCCACTCCTTACCCAAACTATTTGTCGTGAACTACTGAAAGAGGGACATGTGCGATCATACATTGATTTTTTTCGGATGGTGGAGCTCAACGCTTCGGAGTTCAGCCCGCCTGCTGAAGCGTTGCACGAGCTGAAGCAACTTCTAACAGCTGGTGAAGATAGCCAGCGTTCAGGTAGTGTAGCTCATGTATTCTAACGGGTGAGTAAGGCGTCTATTTACATATGCTAAATTTCCAATGCAGGTGACCACCGACTGATCTACGAGTCGCGGAAGAACATCGCCCGATATTTCCGGTCCCTTGGCAAATTCGACATTGCGATGAACTACTATAAAGAAGCGCTTGACCGAGCTCGACTAATATCAAACGACCGAAATGTAGAAATTGAAGCGACTCGCAATATTGGTGATGTCCTAGAAAGTGACGGTAGGCAGCGGCTACGGTCGATTTCACAATTAGCGTTATGTCACTCAAACATGCCGCTGTTCGAAGGACAAGCTCTCGAAGCATCTGATATGTACGAGCTGAGCCGCACGTTAGCCCGTGACCAAAATAACCAGGAAGCTGAGATACTCGCCGCCAAACGTCTTGTTGATGTCCGAATGAAAATCGCCCGCCAACAAGAGAAGAATGGCGTATATAGTGATGCCATTGCACACTACATGCATTGCATAAGGATCTTGCAGGAAAGCAACCCAGATGAAGAGACTCTTAACGACCTTAACTATCGCCTTGGAAGTGCTTTTCGACGGAATGGGGATATACCTACTGCAATAGAGGTAAATTGTGCACAATGGTGGGAGTTACATCATGAGCGGGAAAACTGATTATGGGTTCATAGTATCTGGAAACCTTCTTAGAAAAGGTCCGCAAATACGGCGACAATGTGAAAGAGGCGTTGGCACAAGAGGTTTTGGCCTCTTGTTATGAGGGGTAAGGTCATTGCTTGTATCGTTTCAAAGACTGTTCTCATCATTTTCTTTTGAAAAAAGCACCGGCGATCTATCACTAGCCACACAATACCTTCAAAATTTCCTCACACTTAGTTCCGCTGAACCCGCTCAAAAGTCTGCACAAGCCCGGGCATGTCACCATCTCGGTATTCTCTATAACAGAATGGGTGATTACAACCAAGCTGTACAATACTTTGAGCGTCATTACGAACTAGCTTGTGGTATTGCTGGGAATGAGGCAACGGAGGAGGGACGGGCGGTCGCCATCGACGCCGGAATGAGAAAAATTGAAGCTTCGAAGGAGGAACGATCGGAAGCAGATGCGACCGTAGCAATTGAATCCCCAAAACCTGTCGAACAAGAGATGGCGAGACCTCTCAACGTGGGCGTCGCCCAGGTTCAGCTAGGTATCTCCCGGGCGAATGCACATATGGACCAATTTTTACGAATCGTGAAAGATGAGAAAAAATTGGGAATATTGCTGCAATGGAAAGCAACACATTCATTTGATCTATTTGCCGAGCGCGGGGATAGATCAACGCCAGATGAAGAAACATGATCGTAGATCGGATAGCGCAACTACGAACCTCGTCCGCGAAATTGTAACTACATCTCACAAGTTTTATATTAATCAGCGCGTTACTATATACACATTCCTATGAATCCACCGTCATATACCCTTAAACTCTTGCAGGGTAAACATAGTTTAGCCCTGCGACCCAGCAAGCCGTCGTTTCAATTCCACATTTTCTTTTTCCAACTCTTGCAAGCTAGTCTCTACTGCTCTCCTCTTCTCAACGGCGGTCTGTATACCCTCCATCAGACGCTGATGAAGCTTTTGTTGTTCAGCCTCCACCTTTTGTTGGCTTCTGCGGGAAGGTAAAGTAAGAATCCAAGGAAAATAAAATGTACGCGAGTTCAGAAACATACTCTTGCTCCACCCGTCTTTGTTCTGCCATGGCAGCCAATCGCGCCTCATATGCCATCTTGTTCTGGGCGTTCTGGTGACAAAGGACAGTCAGCATTGGTAGAAGACTGTGCTTGCGGGGAACTCGGTGTACCTCTTGCTCCAAGATGCTGCTGGCGAATCTCAGGGCATTGAAAGCTTTGAGTGTACCTTCTGCGTCACTTACAAGCGTCTCAAACTTGCTTTCCGTTTGAGTGGCCATTTCATTCTTGGAGCTTCTTCGGTCTGGAGGATTAGTGGCTAGGAAGTCTTGCACTTCGGAATGCAGCTGTATTGGGGTGTTTTAACACCTATATCGCAATCGACTGAATTAATCGATTTACCAAAACATACCCTCTCATTTTCCACCAATGCAGTTTGCAATGCCTCGCGCAGTTCGTCCCCTTCCTGTTTTGCCTTTAACAATTGATCGCGAACTTGCCAAAGCTCAACTTCAGCGCTGAGCAGTTTTGTCTGCAGCTCTTCCGCATGCGCAAGAGTTACTGGGTATTTTACGGTCAATTCCTCGGCATCTGCCTTCTGCTTCTCCAGTTCCTCAATCACATTACAACATTCTTCAAGTTCGCCTGCTTGATGTTGGTTAGCCTCCTCAAGTGTCAAAATTGTCTGGTCTCGGCTCGCTATCACGTCCTTCAATTCGTCAGCGAGAGATCTCGAATCTTGAGGTATGCCACTTTCTCTCAAACCACTCAGATATTCTCTCAATCCCTCTACTTCATGACGTAAATGTTCCACTTGTGTAAACTCTTTTGTAACATCCCTATGTTCTTCCTCCAATATCGCATAGCTCTTTTCAGCGCGAGAGGCTCTGTTCTCCGCTTCTTGTATCATCGTCTCCCATGACTCCCGCGAGGATTTGAGAGCTGCTTGCTCATCTGCGAGCGACGCTGTCAGCCTCAGATTTTTTTCGGCAAGATCTCTCTTCGAGCTTTCAGCGGCCGTCAGTAACGTTTGCAGTTGTTCGAATGCTTCTGGGCCTTGTCCCTGCTGGACAAAGGTATCACATTTTGCATTCAAATTGGACTCCAACTCCAGAATCTTCTTATTCAACTTTGCCGTCTCCACTGCATGTCGTTGAACTATACTGATGAGCTCTCGTCTAAGGACGTCTTCCGCGTCCTCCCTGTCTGCGAGTTGCCGCTCCAGATTCCGCACTCTTTCCGCCTGCACTTTTTCATCTGCCCTCGCGCGGTCCGCCTCCTCGCCTCGCGTATGTAGTTGCAACTCCAAGCGACGAGTACGCGCAACCTCTGCAGCAAGACGATCTTGAAGGGCATTGATGTCATCATTTCTGGTTGCCAATTCCTTTTGAAGCAGTCCGATTGGGCTGAGTTTCTTTCCTTCCTTTCTGAGTTCGATTTTTTTAGAATGCTTCTCGTCTTCCACATTTTCTCCCCGTTGTTTTCTCTTCTCCTGCTCGATGCCCTCATCCAACGTGACAAGAACGTTACGAATATTGTGATGCTCCAGTACTTTGGGATTAAAGCTTTCATCTTCTCCCTGAGAGGTCATAGGTCAGACAGCCCGATGAGCAGCAGCGCATTTCAACCAAATGATGTCGCTCTCGCTTACCGTGTCGCTGTCAGTATTCTGAGATGACTGGCTGTCGAGCTTCGCACGTTTTGTAGCAGCCGTCTGTTTTTCATTTTCAATATCCTTGTAATTGAACAAATGCCAAATAGAAATTTAGCACAAGAGCGTCCCCGTTTTCAGCGTCAAACATGACAATTTTCGCTCAGTCACCTTTGAGGTCCTGACGCCTACTTTAGAAAGCTTAGAAATTGGTCGTTTACCAAGTTTGGGATCGTAATTCTTGCTTGTATCGGTATTCCTAGGCTAGAGCAATCGTTAGCATCGGTCAGACATCATGTCCAGCTTTTTCACTGTCCCTTTGGTCGTGCCCCCCTCCGATCTTACCCGTGCAATATTGGGATCGCTCTTCTGTAGTGCAGATTTTGGACCTCCGGTTCTAGTTTGCTGTATTTCAAAGGATATTAGCTTATCTTAATGTCAATGCTTTCATATTGGAAGGAGCTCACCTTCCATTGGCGCAAAAGCTCCTCACGTGTCATTTTCCTATCCATTTTGTCACCCCTTGAGGTCTCAAGTTGTTGAACGGTTGAAAATGCTTCGTTCTCCTTGTCCGTATAGATCTTTACCCGCTGCCTTTCCATGGCTGGCTAGGGCCAGTATGTGTTGGCACAGCGGAAATAGGCCCAGTCAGAGCTCGGGTTAATACTCGCGTGAAATGCGAGCCAGGGTTGAGTATGACGAGAACGTTTCGAATAGGCAGTAAATCTCCTTATCCTTGTTGGAAACTCGAGCCCAAAACGCGGTTCTTTGGGCGAAGATGACTTGCTGTTGTGGGAATCGTCGTCGGGGTGCGATCACCAGCGTCCACCCCTTTACGAAAGCCGTGTCTGCCTAAACCATAAGGAAACTGTGCACTTTGAAGTTGCTATGGAGCCAACTTTGCTGTCACGTGAAACCGTTCCGAGTTCTTCCAGCAGTTCGAAGTCAGACCGTTCATGAACCTCTTGGGCATCACCTCGAGTTGAGCATCAGGCACCCCTAAACCTCTTCCCTCCCTCTCCCCCTATCGGTCGTATTTCGCAATGTCTCTCGCGACTATTGGCAGGAGGTCACTCTTGCACTCGCAGAAGAATGTGTTGGTGAGTTTTTCCGCTTGACGGTCTTTCTGAGATTGATTTCCTCCTAATCGTGTGCAACACTATCACCATTGTCATATGTCCTTGAGAAGGCCCCGCTTGTGGCCCCATTCCATACCACTACGATGGCTCAACTCGCCACCCCGGCCCCCGACCCAGTGCAGAAGCAACCTCTCATCAAGACCTTCAACATTTACCGTTGGGTGGGTGTCTGAATATGAGACTACATGCAAATTCTTGCACGGATGCGTGGAGCTGGGTCGCTTTTTCGCTCATGCGTTCATGAATGACTTTGCTTTGGCGTAGACTTACATTCTTTGAGTAGTCTCCCGATAAGCCCGCTGAGAAGCCCCGTCTTGAGAAGTACCAGATTGATCTCAACCAGTGCGGACCTATGGTGTTGGACGCACTGATCAAAATCAAAAACGAAATCGACCCTACGCTTACTTTCCGTCGATCCTGCCGTGAGGGCATCTGTGGATCTTGTTCAATGAATATCAACGGTGGAAACACTCTGGCATGCCTAAGCCGTATCGACCGGAATCCATCTTCCGATGTCAAAATCTATCCCTTACCTCACACTTACGTCGTAAAAGACTTGGTACCTGGTACGTTCTGCTCCTGTCCTCTCATTTACATGCCGAGATTTAAGTCTGATATTGTTCTTTTGATTGGCCACCAGACCTTACGCAAATTTACAAACAGTACAAGTCGATTGAACCATACATGAAGCAAAAGACGGCCGCTCCTGAGCGCGAAAATATTCAGTCCATTGCGGACCGTAAGAAGCTGGATGGATTGTATGAGTGTATCTTATGCTTTTGTTGTTCTACTTCGTGCCCAAGTTACTGGTGGAACAGCGACAAGTACCTTGGCCCGGCAGTCTTGATGCAGGCGTATCGGTGGATGATTGACTCGCGTGATCATTTTGGTGTCGAGCGGCGGGAGGCTTTGCAGGACCCTTTCTCTGTGTACCGTTGCCACACAATCATGAGTAAGTGAACGACCTCGTTTCATGCAAAGAATGTTAGAGAGAGGACTTAACAGTACTGCTATTACCATTAGACTGCGCCCGCACATGCCCTAAGGGGTTGAACCCTGGTTTGGCAATTGCTGAGATCAAGAAACAAATGGCCCTTGACGGATAGTTTACGGTCGGGATTGGACAAACTACGTGAAAATATACCGCTGGCTTGTAGTGTATGTGAATTTGATCCGAGTAGTATGGCTGCCGTGATATAAAGATCCCAAAGAGTGCAATGCATATCTTATTGTAGCATGTCGACATGATTGAACCTTTAGATCCTTATTATGCAATTGGCCTACAAAAGACCCGTCATGCTCCTCGACCACGGGCACCCGCTCCTCTACCACCTCTACCCACGCCTCCTCGTCCTCCGCGACCTCCTCTATCTCCCCCACGTCCCCCTCGACCACCATACTGTCTTGGCTCATCGCGGACCATATCAATGACTTCGTCTGGTACCCGAAGGTATTTGATTGTGTTGCCGCGAATGTAAATTTCCGGGATTCGCCAGAATCGGTCGCCGTCCGGAGACGTGCATATCACCTCACGGAGGTTGATCTAGAGAAGACCGTTAGGCTTGATAGTTCAAAGATAGGCCAATCTTCCCTGTCCTTCAAAAGACATGGACACATACGTTCATAAAATTATCGCAGTTTACCATGTGACCGTTGTAAGTTTCGCCTGCATCGTTAAGATACATACTTTATGATCTCGAACTATCGCGTTAAATATGGAAGCGCTGCAACGACATTACCATTCTTTAGCTCCACAAGCATGGGGTGCCCTTGAGCAGTGTTCAAGAGAGACAGCGGGAGCATAGCGGTGTCGTAATGTGAATATCCCGCGCAATGAAATAAGAAAGTGGCCAGCAAGTGCTTGACAGCACGAACGACAAGCGATTCTTGTTTACTGTGCCATTCGATGTTATGTAACTGTGCCGCACCTTGTCCAAGGCCGCTTCTCAGTCTCACACCAACGTCCAGCAGTCTCGTCGATCTCAATCCGCAAGATGGTTACGACAACGCTTGGTGACAAACCCGAAGGAGAACGGCTAACAAGAGACTTGATAACACAATTCGAGATCGGTCCGTAGGTCAGCCCTACTCTTTCTGCGCGTCTTCACATGCCCGCAATTGGGACCTAGTACATGGTTAGGCGAACTGGAAATCTAACGTATTGTTTTTCATGTTAACGTTTGATAGGCAAGGTATTCAATGACAACAGATCTCAGATCAATTCGGTCGATTTTGATGACACTGGAGAGTTTTGTGTCACTGCATCGGACGATGACTCCTTGAGAGTGTATGACGCAGTAAAGGGAAGGTATGTATTCTTACAACTCGAGAATATACTGCATTGTGCTGCTGACACTGCCTTTTACTTTTTTCAGCTCGAAACAGTTTGTGTACAGCAAAAAGTACGGTTGCGCACACGCCCGTTTTACCCACCACGCCTCGTCTATCATATATGCATCAACAAAAGAAGATGGTCGGTATTCTTTGTTCACATGTTACATGAGAAGGGACATTACATTAACGGCATATTTACGTATAGACACGATCCGATACCTCTCTGTTCATGATAACCGATATCTCCGATATTTTAAGGGACATACTCGCCGAGTCGTTGGACTTGAGCTCTCACCGCAGGATGATCACTTTCTGTCAGCATCCTTGGATGGGACTGTTCGGCTATGGGACTTGAGAGTTCAGCATGCCCAGGTTTGTTTTATTTGTCCTTGCTGTTGATATTCTTAACGTATGTCCTTACTTCTATCTGAAGGGACTGATGAATGTACCCGGTCAAGGGCGTCCTTGCGTGAATTTTGACCAGACCGGGAAAGTATTCATTGTGGCATTTCAAGAGTCCATCAAACTCTACGATCTTAGGAACTTTGATAAGGTATGTCAGACACAACGGACTGATCCATCGCCCATGTCCGCTTACACTTGCAAACCCACAGGGATCTTTTGCCACTTTTCCTGTCCATGACCCAAATATGATGACTGGCCCACCTGAATTTGTGGGCATCGAATTCAGTAACGATGGCAGGAATATATTAGTTTCTACACGGGGAGAGACCTCGTACATTCTGGACGGATTCAACGGCCCCATGAAGCAATACTTGCGAGGTCACATCAATACACGCGGAATCGAGTTGCAGGCTAGCTACAGTCCAGACGGACAGTTTGTTGCATGTGGTGAGTAAAGGTTTACTGCTGATATGCAACCTACACTGGAAATATATACCCTAAGATTTCATGATATGTTCAGGCTCTGAGGACGGATCTATTCATTTCTGGGAGGCTGAGAATGGATCCCGGGTATGCACACTAACAGGACATACCGATCCGCCTGCGATTGTAAAATGGAATCCAAAGTACATGATGTTTGCGAGTGCAGACTCCAGTTTGGTGAGTACAATCTCAATTTAGTTCGTCAACGATCTGATTCCCCGCCTTGTCCAATGGAATGGACATGATGCGTTGCATTTTATGCGGTTTTAAATGATCGAACATCAATTATGCCTACCTACCTACCATGGCATGTCTGTCAACGTTCTCTGTTTCGTAAGATTCCGAGAATGCTTTGTGACGGAACATCACATGCGTGGGCAGACCATTCCCTCAATGCTATGCCAGTGCTTATACAATGCGTGCCTTTGATAGACCTTCTGGACACCTACGACAACCGCCCCATAGCAACTGCAGGGTGACCGTTTGAGCGTAGATTCTCTTGTGTCTTTTCATAGCTACATAGTACAGAGAGCTTGAAATGGAGACTCGCAAGTTTAAATGGATTCAATGTCAACCACAGCTTAAGCTTGCTGCGGCTGCCCGAGTACGAGCATGCACAGTAAAGTATCTTGCTTGCAACAATCTGAAGGGGTCAGCGTTCAATGTTCAGCATTGAATACCAGTAACATGGAGGGAATGGAACTTGCATGGAACAAAAACGGGACGTTCAACTATAGTTAGAAAACATTAAGCAAAAAATAGAATATTTGGCTTAAATGTGACCGCAATATCGTATGCAGGGTACTGCTTTCAGCTCAGATAAAGCGCCATATAGCATTATATTTTACGAATGCAACGTTAAGTCTAAAAGCAGTTTGTGTTGTGGATGTTATTAGTAAGCGACTCTAAAGTGCTGATCAATACGTCAATTGACGGACCCTTAGCTAATTAGTGGCGCACCATGACGATCGTGGCCGTGCTATTCTGACAGATGGCTGCCCTTTTTCGATGGGTTTCCGTTCACTTTTTGGTTGCATTTAAAAACCTCATCGTCATCTCTGTACCCCAAACGTATATATAAAGCATTAGGTACACGCAGACGCGCGCAACAAACAGCTGCAATTCTTTATACCAATTCACAATGACATTTATGGAAAGCCAATACCTTTTTGCACATCCTTTTGGTACTTTAACGTCGGCAAACTGGCGAAAGTATCCCAATGAATACTCTTCACATGTTCTCTCCGTGGACATCCTTTCACGATGCATCGACCCACAAACGGGCGTCCTACGAACAGAGCGTTTATTGTCCATCAAACAATCCGCACCCGCAATAGTAAGAAAATTGTTGCCGATACCAGAAGTGTCGTACTTTCGGGAAGTCTCGTTTCTGGATCCCAAGGAGCGAACTTACAAGGCGGTTTCGAACAATCTGAGTATGCGATCCATTGTGGATGTGGAAGAGACGTGCGAGTTTAAGGCTGATCCACAAAAACCTGACGGTGGGACGGTTTTTAACCAGAGAGCGGAGGTCAAGGTTTTTGGAGCTTTGAATTACGTAGCTCGAATGCTTGAAGAGGCCGCCGTAAACTCGTTCAAGGCCAATGCTGCAAAGGGAAGGCAAGGATTGGAGACAGTCGTAGACATGGTTTTGAATGAAGCAAAGACGGTAGAGGCGGGATTAAAAGAGGGGTATGAGGCTGGCATCGAGGGACTGAGAAAAGGCACTGTTGGGGTATGAGCGCAAAGGCTTAGGAACTGTATATTATTCTCTCTCTTCATTTTTCCTGAATATATTCACCAATACGACCAGTACTACATGGTACTATCCATCACTCGACAATCTATAATAAAAATAATGCCCTAGTTCTCCCCAAAAGCAAAAGAAATAACAAAATGCTCTAGCGCGAATAATATACAACAGAAACAAAAATCTAAAACTTTAGCATGTTCTTGGTGACCTCTTTTCGCAAATGCTGCTTGTACTCTGCAATCGATCCACTCCAGAGACGCATGGATCCGTTCTCACATACCCAAATTTGCTTTGAAAATAAAAAAGTCAGGGAACAAGTCATCAAAAACAGAAAAAATGGATACACATACTTGCGCGACTTGACTGATCAATCTGAAATCGTGACTAACAAGAACCACTCCTCCATCAAAGTTGTTGATCGCGTCAGCCAATGAATCAATAGTCTCGATATCAAGTGGATTTGTCGGTTCATCCAGCAACAGCATGTTGGGTCGGGAGAGAGCGAGCTGGCAGAAAACGATACGCGCACGTTGTCCGTCTGATAGCTGACGAATAGGACACAACTGGGAGTTGCCTGTGAGGCCAAACTTGCCGATCTGCTGCCGCCAATACGGAAGATCTTGTGGCAAGTCCTGGAAAGTCTTGCGGAGGTAGTCGATGGCGGACGCATCAAGGTCAAGTTGATCCGCGGAATGCTGACTGTATTTGCCAATCTTCAGGTGGGTGTGTCGGGATATAGTCCCGGCCGTTGGAGACAGCTCGCCGCTCATGAGCTTCAACAGCGTGGATTTACCTGCACCGTTGGGTCCTACCAGGGCGATACGTGACTCGGTATCAGCTCCCCATTCCAGGTTGCGGTAGATGGCATCCTTAAGGTCCCCACTGTATGCAAAGCTCATGTCGGTAAATGCAAGAACAGGCGGTGGTAGCTGCCCAGAACTTTCGAAACGGAACTGGAAGTTGCGAGATTTTTCCACCTTTTCCACTAGTCCTTCCGCCTCCATCTTATCTAAGATCTTCTGTCTCGACTTGGCTTGTCGAACCAAGTTGGCGTAGGTACCGCAGGATGCAATGAACTGCTTCATGTGTGCGATTTCTTCTTGCTGCTTTTCGTATGCCTTCATCTGATTGACCTCCAGCTCTTGCTTCGTCTTCACGTACGTATCGTAGTTACCCGCGTAGTAGTTCAGCTGCTTTTTATGATTCAATTCAATAATGTTGGTGCAGACGCCGTTCATGAAATCTTGCGAGTGCGACACCAATAGCAGGATACGGTTGTACTGAGCCAAATATTCTTCAAGCCATACACATGCCCCAAGATCGAGATGATTGGTGGGCTCGTCCAAAAGAAGCATCGTAGGTTTGACGAAAAGAGCTCTCGCCAAAGCGACACGCATACGCCAACCACCAGAGAGATCTTTGGTTGCCACCTTCATACGCTTTTCGTCAAACCCAAGACCATGAAGAATGGAGGCAGCTCGGGATTCAAAAGTCGACGCATCCATGGAGTCAATACGCTCGTATATATCGTCCAACAAGGGAGACTCAGGGTCCTCTGTCAGCAAATCCTCCATTTGTTTCTCAAGGCGCTACAGGACAAAATTGTCGTTGAACAGAATGCGATACACAAAGTGACGGGATGCGTACTCACCTTCAATTCTTGCTCGGCGTCATCGATAACAGCTTTCAATGCTGTCATCTCTGTGGGTGGATACTCAGCGTTCAACAGATAGATATCAATGTGTTCGGGAATTGGAGCCTCGCGAGCAGCCAAGGATTGTAAGAAAGTACTCTTTCCTGAACCGTTGGGACCGATCAAAGCGTATCGTCGACCAAAGTTGAGCTCAATGGTGGTTTCGTTGATGAGGACTTGGGAGAAGAAGCTGAGAGAGTATGACTCGATCTACCGAACAGTCAGCGAGTGTTGCAAGTCCATTAAGATTGTAGCTGTCCATATACCTTGACATCCCGAGAATCCTTTTGCGAAGTAAGGACTCCTGAAGAGACTCTGTTGTTGTCTATCGCCAAAGTATCTACGCCGTTCGTAATATCTTCAACAGAACCATTCTTGGCCTTTCGCCCTGCCGCTCTTTCTGCCCGCTTTGCAGCACGTTCTGCCTTCTTGTCTCCTTTTGGCGGCATATTGTTAAATGGAAATGTAATGTGCAAATGCTCAAAGAGATGAAAAGCGACTACAACGACTGCACACTTTTATCCTCGACGCTGCCCCGTTCTTTTATTTTTTTTTTTTTTCTGCAGTTTCTGGACGGGAAAATCGACGCGTTTTTTTTTTTGACTTCAAGGTATCCTAAGCAGCTCATTAACCCATAAATGGATGCGATGGGGGAGAGCGACGAGAGCTTGCAAGATGGACGGAATGGTTTTTCAACACGGTCGCAAACAAGGATAAGGAAACTTGCAGGAAATACTAACGATCTTGGCATTGCTCGTGTCGTCGTCGCAAATGCATGCTGACAGGTGGGGAACGATTGAGTGAAATTGGACTTTAAGCACAGCATCCAAGTGGCCAATGTCCCAGAAAAAATAACTGTAGAAAAGGTGCTCGATATGTGACATGTAATCTCGTAAATGCTGGCTTTTTCCTTGTCTGCCCTGCTGCCAAAAATACAAAGAACGTTGCGTTTACTTATGCGGATATCTTTTGAAAATCGCTGTCCTTGGCTGTCAAGCCAAGTTAACAGGATCGCGTCTCGTAAGCGAGCGTAAGCAGTCCGACCAGTTAGATCTTGGCAAGTTAAACCTCCACAAATCATAGCCTTGAAATATAGCACATCTCTGAAAAAGGATGGACAATGACGGAGAAGCACCTGCACCATCTTCTGAAGGAGCTTCACCCGCTTCGCCATCTCCAGTAGAAACTCCCGTCACCGTACCAGCTGAGCAGGCTACTTCGCCAGTCCCACCTGAACAATCTGTACCAGCACAGCCCATTGAAGCATCTTCACCTGCACCTCCTTCTGAGGAATATGCTCCGATATCCGCCCCTGACCAATCTGCTCTCTCATCCCTAGCTGAAGAGTCTACCCCGGGACCGACTAATGAGGAATCTCATTCATCGTCATTAGTGGGAGGATCAGCGCCGGCACTTCCTATTGAAGAATCTGTTTTCTCATCATCTACAGATGAATCTAATCTGGCTCCCACTATTGAAGAATCTCCCGTCGATCCAGTGGATGTAGAGCCTGCTCCTACAAGGTCAAATGCAGGATCTGGGTATGCAACACCTACCGAAAATCCTCCATCTTCACCGCCTTTCGACGAGTATTCATTAACAGCAGAAGCTGAGATGGAAGAAATCTCATCCCCACAACGTGATTCCAACGCAAATGCCGAAATATCTGCCTCTCAGAAAGATGTCCCAGAAACACCCAACTACCCTCCCCTACCTCCTCTCCCAACTTATTCTCTTTCCTATGCCGAACAACAGAGGCCTCCAACCCGTACTCTAGAGACTAGCCTGGATAATGTGTACACGGCATCTGCGCAACAGAGATGGGCAAGCTCATCTGAGGTGGAAGCGTCCCCCCATGCTTCAGGCGATCTGGGTCCGGATGAGCCTTTGCCCAGACCTGAGGAAGGAGAGCAACATGAGTTTGATGACGAGGATGCAGAGGCTATTGCTGAGGACACGGCGGTTATGGATCCTGATAATGTGAGGTTTTCTGCTCACATTTGGCAACACACGGGCTCAAAATCTAACGCCTTCGATATGTAGCCACTGATGCAACGTGTGCAAGCCGCTCTCTATAAGCAGCTATCCGAGCAAAAATCCAAACTTCAGTATGATCTGAAAGAGAAAGTAATTGATTGTTACTTTTGGTAGTTTGCTACGAGGTCAGTCTAATGACAATCCTTTGTTTCCTTCAGGAGGAAGCCGTTCGCGCCGCCAACCTTCGCAGAGAAGCCATTGGTGTTGAGCTTTACTCCTTGCAGCAACAACTAGCACGGCATCAAGCCATGCTCGAAGGCACACAGGACAATTTGAACGTGATTAGGGGCTATCGAGAAGAAGCGGAGCGTCGGTTGAGACATGCGACAGCGCAGTGGAAGGAACAGAAAGAGAAGGTGGAGCAGCATGCCAAAAACTGTGCGTATTTGCTTGAGGAATCTTTATTTTATTGTAGTTGCTCAAAAACGCCGATCGCTATTGCGCCTTTCCTCTCCTAGTGGACCAACACAAGCAAGAGCTTGAAAAGATATCGAGGACAATCAAACAAGTGGATTTGTATAATGAGGAACTTCGATCTAAAATCCTTGTCGCCAAGCGAACAACAATGAAGGCCGAGGAAGACTTGATCAAACAGGAGCAGGACAAGAAGCGCCAAGTATGTAGCGTGAGGTATCTACGTCCTGTATTATGACAAGATGCTTATTAGCAGCTATTCTACATATTAGGATTACTTTGTTGACCACCTTACAGATCAATTGCGTAAACTCCAAGAACGCCGGGCTTTATATGAGACACAACTGCTTGCGCAACAGAAAGAGACCAAAGCAGCTATGGAGACACTGCAGGATGCTGCGACGGAAATGGAGGTAAGGCATCCCAAAAATGGCCACAACAAGAGCGGTTCAACTTAGCTCTGCTTCTAGGCGATACAATTTGAGAAACGACAGCTTCTCCATCAATGGAAAAGCAGTTTGATCGGGCTCCAAAAGCGGGAAGAAGTTCTCCAACAAATCGATGCTGGCATCCAGTGAGTGTTCTCCATTGTTGTGCCTTGGTAATTTACACTCTTTTTCTCATATCATATTGACCAGGAAAAATAAGGATACCATCCTGAATATGACCGGGGAGATCTCTGGCTTCAAGCATTCGCTTCGCAAAGCGCAGGAAGAGAATGAATCGCTCACTGTCCTTTTGAATAAATTGGAGGGGGAGGTAGATTTTCTGAAAAGGGAGATAGGATCAATCAATGAACAGAAGGAGAAGCTAAAGGAGAGTTGGACAATGTACACAAAAAGTCTGTCTCAGACTGAAGCGGAATTGGGGACAGTCATGTTGGTATGGCTCTGTAACATGCTCGTTGACACTGTTGCCCTTACAATACTCACACACATATCAACAGGAACGTCAGACACTTCAAATGGAGATGTCGGCAGTTCAGAAACAGACCCACATAACCGTCGTGGCCACCCAAAAGCTCCAATCTGAAATCACCGAACATCTGCAAACCCAGCTTTCAATTTCCAAAGGCGCTCAAGGCACGCGTAAAGACAATAACCGTCTCCATAACCAAATACATGAGAAGGAGGCAACAATCGCCCAAGTGGAGAACGACCTTAGTCACATCAGGTTGGAGACACTAAACGCAAATTCTCGAATACGGGGGATGAAGGAGACGCTGCAGGTTTTGGATGCGGAGCTGGCGGAGCGAAATGAGGTTATCGAGAAATATGAGGTGGAGATACGCAGGAGAAACGATGAGCTGGGAAAGAAACAGGGTGAAATGGATCTGTTGAACAAGAAATACGATCAGTTAACGGCGAAGAATCTGGTGCGAGTCTATTCCATACCAACTACAACGACCCGCAATCTAATTCTAATGTTTAGGATGAATCCGTTGGCCCATTGGAAGCAACCATTCATAATCTGAGCAAATTGGTTCAACAAAAGGAGAAGGAATGCTCACAGCTTTCGCAATTCTGGCTTCGTTCACAAAACGAGCTAGTCGTAATGACAAAGCGAACAGGAGAAGTATCAGATGAAACCCAGGATCTGCGGATGCGATTGACTGTATTGAGCCGCAAAAAGATGGTGGTAAACAGTTGAGTATCGTGAAACCCCTGGAACAATGCGTAGAAATGAATACTGATATTAAGTGATTCCAGATGCATTTGATACTGAGCTGAAAGAGATTAGGGAGCACCAACGAAACATCCGACAACTTCAAAATGACATGGTGAAGATAAATACACTTCTCACCCGTCAAGCCTCTGTGCAAAATAAACTGGAGGAGAACAATCTCGGCTTAGAGCAAGAGTTCAGAGCGAAGCTGAAGGTAAAGCGCAGTTACATGACATCTATAACGAGTACAAATCTTAACGTCTCCTGTAGCATGCAGAACTTGAGTCGATCCAAATGGAGCAGAATCTTGAGAATCTCAAATCCGAAAAGCAACGCGCTCTCCAAGGCCTGGTTGAGGCAGAGTAAGTAGTCGACTCACTGCTCTCCTCAAGTTGCAAGCTAAAAGAGGAGTGTTACAGACGCCAAATGATGCTATGGGAGAAGAAGATACAGCTGGCGCGAGAGACGCAGGCGGCTCTTGATCCAAATGTTGGGGCTACAGAGATCAAAGAGATGCAAGCAGAGATTCATCGAATGAAACTTCGATATGCAAGCATGCTTAAGTTGCAGGAAAAGATGGTCGCGGAAATGGAGAAAAGCGTGTATAGAAGGGAGAGCATCACAGCACGGACGAAGACAAAAGGCAAAGGAGGCGGACAAATATCACTGCAGAAAGCAATTACTGATCTAACAAAGAAGATCCGAATGACCATGAACGATCTGCGGGAGTGTGATCAAGGTGACCTTCCCAGAGAAGCAATATAACGAGGACAATTCTCACCGGTTCCAAACCTCCAGATATCGTGGCGCTACAATCTTCTCAAGAGAATCTGACAGCTCAAGTCTCTCAAGCTTCAAATTCAATCACAGACCTGGAAGCAAAGGAGCAGCAGCTCCTGACGGACATTGAAACTCAATTACAAAAGAAGGAGCTGGTTCGTAGCATTCATGTTTCCTATCATCTCTGGTTTCACCCTTTAATGACCGTTTATAAAGTTGGCCAATCAGACTCTTTTGAAGCAACGTCAAGCACGACGATATCGAGATGTTGCAGATGGAAAGTACAGTTTCCTCGTACGAGAGGCTGACCAAAGGGAAGTGGAGCGAGATAAACACAAGGAACGTTTAGGAAAGATTGACAGTGTAATCAGAACTGTCGAGGTTAGTTCCAGGATTGGCCACTTTCATTCTTACCCACCCTGAACCTTTATTGCATGTGTTTAGACGGAATATGGTGTATCGGTGAAATCGAGCTTTGAACCAATACATAACCTTATTGCAATGGGGTTGACAGTCTGATCATGGCAGTACGGGTTGGCAGTAGACGAACTGACAATATTTGAGGGCGGGCCCTCTTTGAAATATCTCCTGCTTGTACAATTAGTTAGATACAGTGTGACAATTAAGGATGTTCACTGGTTAATATTAAAGCCTAGAAACATGATTGATAGAAGTGTTCATTATTTACATATGGGTAACGTTTATTTTCTCGCAGGGCGAGGATGTTGGCTGAGAACTTCTTCCGATCCCTTCTTGGAGCATGGAGCTGACAAGTCCATTGATCCCATTACACTTCCCATGCGACTCGCGCTTCGACTTCCGGTACGTTGATGACCGTCATTGTTCATGCCCATCGTGCTCGGGATTCTACTTGCTGTTCTATGCCTGGATTTAGATTGCTGCTGTTGCTGTTTCTGTTCCTGGGCCTGAGCCAGGGCCGCTGCCAGATTTTTAGCAGTTAATGTTCCAACGTCTTTGCTATGTCTCTCTGCGATCGATATAAGGCGGTCGTTCAAAACTGGAGTAGAGATGTTGAGGAGAGCTAACGCTTGGACAAGCTGAATATTTTCGGTGATCAACTGTTGCACAGCAGTATTCCACTATAAGATGATTCAGCATCAGAAACTTGTAAATGCGTTATAAGGAGATCAGATGGCCACACCTCTTGTTCGTGCCTCCTGTTAACCTCTATTTCAGCGCGCAATCCATCAACATCGTGCTGAATATCAAAGAGAGCTCGTTTCTTTTTGAAAAGCTCTGAGTGCAGTGCATCTTCCTGCCGGCGAAACCGGTCGAGGGCAATTTCTGGGAAGAGACTGGTAGAATTTGGCTGCTCTGGGCTCATTGCTGGTGTTTGCAAACTTTCCCCTGCGGTCGGTGTTTCGGCTTGCAACGTTGAGGATGTCGCTGCTATGAGACAATGCACGGTTGGTAATGAGGGTCCGGTTGCACTATCAAAAGCAGCTTCCAGGTTCGTTCCTCCGCTTGTGGTCCCTCCAATAGCATTGTCGTCAGCCAACGGTGTGGATGCTGTTCGCGAAGCTGATGCCGCTGTCATGTCTTCCACCTGCTGAAAATGGGTAGCAATTCTAGCTCACAGAGGCAGCATTTCAATCGGATTTCTCGCAGTTCCAGGTTCATTGGGGTTAGTTGATGGTGCAGGATGTCGGGAGTTGGTGTGGAGGACCCCGCCCACCGCGTGCTTACTTAATAGGCTTAGCACTGAAGCTCCATGACAACTGGTAGTCCGACGTTCAAACATTCAACGTTGACCTTCCAGATCACCGTCCCGTTCTTCGCCATGGCGGCCACACGCTGCTTCGTTAGCGCCAGCCTGTTTACACGCCGTGCTACCTTTACTACTCATGGTACTCAACCCATACTTCTCCGTCATACCTTTCGTCATGGTCGTCTCTATGCGACTGCTCCACCCCAGAACCGAACAATAGCCAACGATCCACACCCGACACCGAGACCAGAAAACATCGCCTACTTCACCGGAAACCCTCGATACTATCAAGATGTGATGGATTTAAACGCTTTGATTCGGAAGCATGCTCTCTCATTCAGAGATAGTTCTCAGTACAAATCCATTATGGCAAAACCCAAGTGGATGACGTTGGAGGAGATGCAAGAGTTTCTCGAGTATAAACTCGTTCGAAGCACATACACTGAGCTCGTGCATAAGCTGAATATTCTATATACAGTTCAAGGTAACTCTCACATATTGCTGCCTCCGTAGTGTCAGAAAGAGACCGTCCTAATGTTGCCATTAGCTCGTGATCCGGACGTAAACCGGTTGCTGTCAAGATTTGTCAAACCAGGAGCAGCGCTTGTTACACAGGTGAAGGAGCGGGCTGGTTTGGACGAATTTGGTCGGTCATACTCGTACGGATCAAGAAAAACCGCAAAGGCACAAGCGTGGATGGTGAAGGGTGATGGTCAAGTATATGTGAACGGCACTCCCGTCTCGGATTATTTTGCTGAGGATGTTGACCGCGAAGTTGTTGTGCGACCACTTGAGGTGGCTCGTCAGTTGGGGAAGTATAATGTTTGGGCGTTGGTGAAGGGTGGGGGGCCCTCTGGTATGTCATCTTGATCGGTCGTTGAACAACGATTCATGGGCGACAAGCTTAACTTTCCCCTGAAGGGCAAGCTGCCGCGGTCTCTGTAGCAGTGGCACGAGGGTTAGTCATACATGATCCAATGCTAGAGACGGCCATGAAAGAAAGTAAGTTAACTGTAGGTCTTACTTTTATATCCCATTCTTAAAACATAATGTCTCTTCTTCTAGCGGGACTTACGACAATCGACACCAGACAGGTTGAACGTAAAAAGACAGGTCAACCCAAAGCCAGAAAGAAGAATACTTGGTAAGCGGTCTTCTTGTCTTCCATTGGATCTTGATGGATCATCTAATTGTAATGACTCGTTTGCAGGGTCAAACGTTAAGCCAATCTACACCATTCGCGGAGGTAAAGCATACGGTTCATGTATCATAGACATCAATTTATTCCTATCATGAAAAATGGCAGTGGAAAACTGTGCAACGCAGGGTGACGATGGATTGTATTCTCCTTAATAATATTAGAGATCCTTGATGGATGCCTTCACATACTCTTGTATTGGCGTACTGAAATCTGAATGTTTCCCAAACGATACAGCAGCCGCAGAGGCATGACCGGGAGCAGTAGTTCCATTGGGCGTTCGAAGGCGTTGGAGATCTTTTGTGGGTGTTGACGAGATGGTGGTTCCATTTCCTTTAACTGCGCTGTCCGACCAGAAAGTAATGGGATGGGCAAAACGAGCTTTGTCGGCCTATTAGGTGGTATATGGTCAACGCTAGCTCAACTCCGCCCTTTTTGGTCAACCTTCGCGACATTACCTCCGATGGTGGCTCGCTGCCTGCATCGATCAGAATATACGCAATTAGGGATATCCTTTGTCATACAACCGTCATGATGCACGTACCCAGCTCCTTCAATGTTCCATATACGTCCTCGTGAGCAAAATCTGCTTGATGAGTTGATCTAAAGATAGGAGTTGTCAGTCAGTCCGGATAGTCGAATGAGAAAAATCGAGACTATACATACATCCAACCCTTGGCTGATCGGTCAAGTGGAGTGTCTTTCACATCCTCGCTTAATATCCAGTGTTATCTCAAAATTGATATTTCTTGTATATTGTCAGCAATTGCACTCACGTACATAGCTTTTTTCAGAAGATTTTCCTCTACGAGTTGACTTCGCTTTCCCAAGTGATTCACATTTTTGTCTAGAACATTGAATGGCTTATGTGCCTCGCGCTGCGTAGTGGTCTTGTACTGCTTTTCTAAGCCGTGGATCAAGATATCCTGTAACGGACAATGAGTCAAGTGAAACCCAATATGATAGTATCTTCAGCCCTGATTCTCACACGATGACCGTTTTTACTCAGGTTTGCAATATCCTCTCGCTCATCCAACACTCGGTCACCAACCGCCCGCTCTTCCACCCAGTTTTCCAACAGAGTCGCACCAACACCGTGATGGCGATTCCAATCTGTGCCGTTGTGGAATTGCATTCTTACGGAGCTGCAATGGCAGAGAAACTGAAGTGGGTTGGTCGATAGAAGGGAGACCCCGATGGCTTACGTAATTTACAATGTCAAATGTATCGGAAATAATAATATATAAAATATTTTCCAAAAAAAAAAAGAGAAACTAATATAGACAATCGAAAAAGAAAGAGTCCGTAATAAATAAATCTCCATCGGCACTGCTCGCCTCAATACATAGCACCTCCGATGACCTCCCACGGGCCACCCCGACAGGTGAGCCCGCGAAGGTTCTATGAACGCGGAACTGCCAAGTGTTCGCTATCGTTCCGTAATAGGGGAAGACTCTGTAATGACAATTTCATCGTCAGACTCGTCATATCCGCTGGTTTCGGAGTCATCAGCGGTTTCGGTCTCGCTAGCTGTTGATGTCGTCGGGTCATCTCGAACCATTGCATCTTCAGTTTCTGGAGCCGAAAAACCAGTCGTCAACAAACGTATGAACGCCAAATCCTCGTCCTTTTCGTGCTCTTCCAATCCCTGCGGAAAGGATGGAACAATGATCTGATAGCATACTGGTCAAATGCGGGGTCGCGCACAGTCCGAAATAAGACATGTTTTTCACCTTGCCCCTTAGGATATCTTTGCGTTTTTTGCATAGCCGCTTCTTTACCCAGCCGGGAGCGTCTTCTAGCGATTGCGCGGCTCGCGCGACACGCTGTCTTCGGAGAGCTTTCGGTGAATAAGCAAACGTCAGCCCTACAATGGTAACCGATATCAGCACATCCTCGATTCAGTCCAATTTCACGTTTGGCAAAGCCTTCAATACTGACCTGGTTGTCTACTTAAGTCGCGATTTCTCTCCGCTACTAAACGTTGCTTCTTTTCGCCGATACTGTCCAACATCTTCTTTCGTGTATTCCACCGTCGATCCTATTAACGTAAAGATTGTCTCATTAATGAGCGCCGAAAAAAAGCTTGCCAAGCGGTCAATTAAAGCTACCAGAAACGTATCAGAGGCAAGCTTCACTGCGGCCTCATACTGGCTATTGATGTGTATAATAGTATGCCGGAGCTGATTGGCCGCTATCGTCAACCGTCTTTCTCGTTTTTCTGTGATTTCAGCAATTTGGGAAAGATACTCCGGATGGTTGCCTGTGAGCCAACTAAATCAGTCAAGCTTGCTCGTGCGGATGCAGATCAACTGTTCAAGAACACTTGAAAAGCGACACCCACCTTCGCCAAGGAGTTTTTCCTCGAGCTCAACCTGCTGCAATTCCAAATCACACAATCTTAAAACGTATTGGTGAATACACGAGTCTCATAAATATGAAGCAGCACACGTCAGACCATCATACCTTTTACGGATAGATTCGGCTTGTGCCTTGATTTCCAGCATCTCCGCTCGGTATAATTCACCTGCTTTCTGAATGACGCCTAATCGTTCATCAAACGGGTCATTTTCGGGAGCGACCGAGACGCTCTTCGTGGGTGAACAGGCTTGATTAAGCTGCATGAGATCCTCTGCGTCTGTTGAACATTGTTCGATGAATTTAGCCACTGCCACAGCCTTTCCATAACATAAGGCCAGATACGATCCCTGACACATACCATTGACTGCGTTACCGTCTTCAATTTCCTCACCACGCTGCGCAGGCGGTGTTCGGTCCCGCTTAGAGCTAGCTACCCCATTTTTACCAGTGAGGCTTTGCACGACTCTTCCGCGTTTCTCACGTTTTCTCCGCTTGCCTCGAACAGACGTTGCTCGTGGCCCTCGAAGCTTCTGAGCAGGCGGCTGCTGTTCAATCACCTCAACTGCAGGTTCTGGCGGTTCGGGATGCTCTTCAATATCGAGTGAAGGGCTTCTGATACGTCTATCAACGGCTTTTGGCAGCCACGGCCGCAACAGTGGAAAACTGCTTAGGTCAAAAGGTGATCGATTCGCTTCCGGACACATCGGGCGGAAACTCGCAATGCTACTGGTAGGTGATGATCTTGTTCTCCAAAGTGACTCAAACATATCGCCGTCATATAAAGGCACCATACTTTCAGCCAACGTAACCTTACGTGTCGATTTCAACCAAGGCTCCGGCTTTCCAAGAATGTCGTAATATGTGGGCCACCCATATTCTCCGTAACCATAGGACGCGCCGTACAAGTCCAACTCTTCGGAAGCTCCTCTTCCGTTGAGCCTTCCGCTGTTTTCCAACGACAGCATGTAGTCGCCATAGCTTTCTTCTTCACCCTGTCGATAGGGCGTCCGGTAGGCGTTGTGGCCTGATGAAATATCCACATCTCCAGTCTTGGCGTGGCCAAGAGTTTGTTCTCTTCTATTTGATTCGCATGACAAGGTAGTTGCTGCAGACGGAGCTGGCGACGCGGCTTCCGTCGCTGGGTTCGCAGACGGAGGTGATACAGTAGAAGTGGTTATTGATGACGAGAAGTTCGGCAGTGTGCCCTCTGGTAGAGAGCCGGCTATATGCGGTTGTTTCCCTCCTGGTGCTGCGGATGCCGGAGCCAAAGCAGCCGATAACTGTGAGGTCGCCACAGACGATGACGGGGCCGAAGGAGTGTGGACAGAGGATGGAGCCGGAAAGTATCTCTGTGGTGCAGAACCAGATGTGGCATGCATCGACGAACTGGAAGTTGCGGACATAGATGCACCATATCCAAAGGGGTTGGCATACAGGCTCGCGAGACTTGCGCCATATAGATTTTCTAGTGCGGCCAATCCCTGGCTGTAGTCGTAGTCGTTTTTCTGGTTTGATCCGTACCAGTAGGGAGTATAGAGATTAGGAGCACTGTACGGTGCAACGTTTTCCGTTGCCGTCTGAAATGAACAATAGGTGATCAAGTGTCAGCACTCGGCAGCGAATGGGAACAGCGTAGAAACGCTTGGAGTTACATAAGCCTACCGATGTGGGGATTGCAGGTATGCTGGTAGGAACATCATTTGCCGGGAACGTGCCACTCTGCGCACTGTCGCTCGCTGCCCGAAGTGGTTCTCGTGCAAAACTATTATAATATGCTTCGTAAAATCGAAGGAGGTCTTGGGCAAGATGATCGGGAATCGAATAGGACGGGAGTGGCTCAACGTCATTATGATTGACGGTGGTTGTCTGACTTGACGGTGCGGGAAAAGCCTGAGACGCCGCATGGGAGGTGCGGTGGGCTGAGAGATCTGACATGTGCTTGCGACGGAAAGCCAAGCAGAAACACGCGCACAGAACGCGTCACAATAGCTGAAGAGTCCTGTACGGCAACGGCAATAACGCTACAAGCAGATGAAGCGAGAGAAGCACGGCGAACAACAAGTGCGCTCCAGGGCGTTCCCCAACCTCTCCCTCGTGCAACAACCCAATAACAAGTCTCCACAGAGGTCAAACGCACAGTAAATTTGTGTCAGGAAAGGAAAGGCGAGTTGTCGTTCTTCACAGAGGACGGAGGAGTAGGAACAGCTTAAGGCAGGTCGTGTTGGATTTCGCTGGTCAACTTGGGAGGGAATGGAACACCTGCCCGGATATCAGGCCAATATTGCACTCAGATTGCAGTCCGGCTCTCACACAAATGTGTGCTGTTGGTGACGGTAAAGAGAAGGGAGAACCGATAGTGACTATCGGCAGCAGCGCTGGAATGAAACTGATTGTAGGTAAGAAGGTGGAGTAGGCTTGGAGTTGGACTTCGATCGCTAAGCTAAGCACATTGGTCTCCCTTGATTCAAATCACGTGTCCCTATTCATGTGGGCCAGAGCAAGAATGAATTGCTATCTAAATTGCCCATTCGTTGGGTGGTAGATATTAGGCATGATATTGCACGGGCATGAGAGCACCTCTTCAATGGGCTGGCAGTTTGAACGCTGCTCGGCGTAAAAAACGACACCGGGCCCGCTGGCTGCGCATAGCTTGGGCGTTTGTTTATAAAGCAATCGCGTAAGCAGCAATTGAACACTAGCCATGAGTTTCAGCGTATGGAAAAAAAAATATGTACGAGATGTAAAGCCAACAATTCTCCCTTGCTCAGCTAATGTTGACCTGACAGTATTTGGATATGTCGGTGCAGGCAAATCACCCACCATAGTATATGACAAGAGGTTATACAATACTCTTCAGTGTTCACGCAGCCGGACCTTTGAAATGTGTTATATTTCCGTCTATATCTTGCCTAACATAAGTCACATAGTTCAGTATGTGCCTGATAAAATCCTCCCAGATGATGTTCTTGCGACGGAGGGCATATCAGACTGCCAGACCGCCCTTGGAACCGACAAGGTTTCCAGAGTCTTTCCAGGAGAATCCCAGCCTGTGGCTTAGCTTGTCCGGGAGCCTGGACAGATGAGCCAATCTTCGTCCTGTATGAAAGTCATCTCCGCAAAATCTCCTATGGACGAGCCTGCTGAAACCAAAAAGCGTCCTCTGGATTTAGCCGCTCTTAGGGTAGGAATACTAGTTGATGATACTTGATGCGCTATTCAAGAACTGAAAAGTTGCTTAGCAAAAACAACTTCAAAAACGGCGAAAGGCCGCTTCAGAGAGTCAATCTACTGCACGCAATTCTGACCAGAAACCTCAACAGCGCTCATCTCTGAGTGGTCGTCTGTCATCTGGGCCGTTTCTTGCACCATGTCCCCTTTTTCCTAAAATTGGTCGACCCCCACGACCACAACCGGTCGATGTAGAACAAATTCAACCTCCTTGCAATCTTCTACCGGCTTCTGCTTTGACCTCAACCACGAAGGCAAACGCTAGTTTAAATCCTTTCGCTGCCTCAATCGAAGAAGAAGGGGAATTAAGAGTAAAGAAGAAGAATCCTTTTAGCGTGATCGATAACATCTGCGAATCGCGTATTTTGTTGCCAAACGATGAAGACTCCGCGAGCATAGCCGGAGATGGCTTTGAGCTCCTGGACGGAGGTATGGGTGAGCATGTGAGCCAAGCTCTCCAGACTCAGCTCGGAAAAGTCTCCAAACTTGCACCGGTACGTGATGAACCCAACAGGTCGAAGGTTATTTGATGTCCTCATTCAATTTCGCGGTGATCCAGTCGCTTTCCCGTTCTTTCTCCTGTCCAGCAGGACTCGCAACACCACATATCTCGCTTTCGAAAAAGTCTCGGGGATCGCTGACTGATTTTCTGGAAGCATCCAGTCATTATAAGGACGATAGTGACGCTAGCGTGACATCCGAAGACGAGGAGGCAGCATCGCATGGCTATATGTCTGATGTAGAACAGGATTGCGAGTTGCAGGGGTTATGTAAGGAGACAGAGCTCACACCAGCATCTTGTGCCACCGATGAGCACGACGCTCAGCGGGAACTGAGAATTAATGGAGACGATGTGAAACCAAACGACCAGGAGGTCGGTGCTGGAAACAGCACCGGATTTTTGGACCTCATTATTGGGAAACGACTGGTAATGTTTGGCTACGTGCTCGCCAAAGCCAAGCATATACTTAACACCTGATTGTAGGAAAGGGGAGGAATTACCGAACAAGAAATCTTGGCTATTGCGGAGTTGACTAAAGTGCGAAAAAGTAAGGCTGTTTTTCGATTTAACCGTCGAATACCTGAGATAGCATCTTAAATACCTGTGAATCTCTGACCAGCTGACAAGAAGACGTCTCCGGCGCCCGAACCTCCGGTAAGTAAGGGTCTATGCGAGGGAGCATCTTTGATATATCGACTCACTGAGTATATTAGAAATGTTCCAGCGATATCAGGGGCACAGAGAGTGTGGAACGTGTCGCAGTACGTCGTGTATTTACAATTGCTGACAACCCATGTGCTCGTGAGAGACGCTAAAACGTTACCTGTACAGAATTCCAATGAGTTACCGATGGATTGGACCATTAAAACTGGCATGACGATATTGTCCCGAAAACCCTTTGCATGCGCTTCCGAAGGAACTTCTGACGAACAATCCGGTTACTTGCTACATTTCGTCCAACATCGTGCTGAAGACCCAAAAGACTTGCCAAAAAATGTGAGTGCCCTCGTCATTTGACGGCCTATCTAGGGAAATTCTTGTTTAATGCTGGTCAACCTTCTGACAGCAAACCTTTGGTTGCTCAATATACCCTTACCTCTATCATTGGACTTATCCGCCGGATAAACTTGCGCCGTCAAATGTTGCCTTAATGGCAAAGGTACTTGCCAAGGAAGAAGATGAAGCTGGAATGAAAGACTACGAACGGCTTGAGTTAGCTCATTTTAGAAGATGTGAAGAAGCATGGTGAGATCATACTTCAGCCACCAGGCGCCTCTCCAGCAGAACTAATCCGTACGTTACTACCAGGAAAGAGGCCTTCCAGTCTGTTTATGCAATGACACGAAACGGTCACGCCGAGTATTTTTTTTACATCAACTCGCAGTTCTCCGTTGTGCTGTTTTCGGGCGACAAAGATTCAAGTAAGGAATGCGATGCATTCATGTCGACGTCGACAGCCGGTATACGCAAATGTCTAGACGCTGAAGGTAACGGAATCAGCTGGCAAATATCCCGACCCTTAAAGCAGGTGCTCATCTTTTGAAAAAGGCATCCAATACCACCTGGTATTTGGTGATCGAGGACGGGTATTCCGTCGACAAGATCGGTCTGAAGTTGACGGAGCACCGCTTTTCAGCAAAAAACCTGGGAATGACGACGGCTCCAAAACATCGGATGGAGGGGAATCGAGGTGCGTTGATGCTATAATTGTACCGTCTCATGGGCTTCAGTCGTTCTAATGCAGAATACCAAGTGGTCAACTGGACCGCAGCAAAGAGAAGCATCCACTGCGCTTTAATGGTTACGCGAATGTCCACCGCCTGTTTAACTTTCTGCTAAACTGGAAGGAACCACAAACAGAAAGACGTGCGATGCAGTTACCAACGCTACTGTGCGCAACGCCGTTTATGAACGCGTCACTAAAGACGGCAAAGGTCTGTGAATTAAATCCGAAGTTCTGCAAGAAAGATGCCACATCTTGCAGCTAACTATAGTCGAATGTTTACCACAGATATTGAAAAATGAGAAAGTTCGCTATAATGATGTGGAAGATCCCGTTGGCGGGAAGATGATTGAGACGATGCACAAGCTTCAAATCTCTGGTTTTATTTTACCGACCAGTGCATACGACATGCTGACGCTGTTAAGAGCGCAGCAGGTGATCAAAGATCCGAGTGGTGGTCTCCTGATGGTGACCGTCAAGACTGAAGAGCGAACAGTCGGGTTGAACGCTGGGCTCGCCGACAAGGCGGAGACCGGGAAGACTCGACAAGTGGCCACTGTTAATACGATTGCATGCAGAGGGAACGTTTTGCGATGGAAGTAACCTGATAATGAATGTCTCAAAGAGGGATAACATTTCGAGACAATGTATATATGAAAGGGATGGTATAGACGTTATAGACGTTCATGCAAGTATTATGTATTTAAAAAATTGTATCCTACACATTTGGAAACTCAACCGAAGAGCTTTGATAAGACTGCTGCCTTCTTTATGGACGAACCAGCGGTAGTCGCCTTCGCATCAGAGTCCACGACCTTCCGTTGTTTGAAACGCCTGCGAATGGCCGTTGTCTCATCAGCGTTCAGGGTCGACGCAGCCGCGTCATCCTTTCCGATCTCAGCTCCCGCCTTTCGCTTCTTTTGTCTATTTCTCTCTTCTATAGCTTCAACCATTTTCGCTTTCCCTACATTCTTGACATACGCTTTGTTTTCCCTCTTTGCCTGAGCCATCTCAGTCTTCAGTCTCTGTTCCCTCACTTTCAACTCATAAGCAATTTGCTCGGTCAAGTGGTTCCACTTGAATCGTGGCAGATACTTCATGTTCCAAATGTCATCGTAGTAAAAGCTTCGCTTTTTGCCCCCGATTTGCTTTCCATTCAGATGCGTTGCAACTTGTCGTGCAACCTTTTTGTCCAGAAACTCCACCCACCCTTCCGTATAGTTCTGTCGTTTGTTATGCCTATACTTTTTTCGTCGGGCTGCGATGCGTGGGTCTTCAGGCGCTAGGTAGATACGACCGATCGCGCCGAAACGGGCTAGGAGTTGACGGAGTTTAATGGGACGCATGAAAGGTGGGACACGAGAGAGGTAAATGACGCCTGTTGCATCTACTTTGGATTGGAATTTTGCGAGGGATTTGGCAGTTAGAGGTTTTGCGGAGGAGAGTGGCGGGAGAGCCAGTTCTTGGGGATTTGTTATTGTACTATTGTCAGGATCAAGAAGGGTAGCGAGGTCTTGTTTTTCCGAACTGTTATCGTCATGGTCATCTTCGGATGCAGAATTGCCTTCTACCTCATCGTCGCTACCCCCTGAGCTACTCTCTCGACCATCACTATCCTGGGTCTCGTCGCTTGGCAAAACAAATCGGGAGTCAAGCAGATCCTTCCGCTTTGGTGTGGTGCCTTGTCCCTTCCTTGAGACTGATCGCAAGTAAGCCCCTTCCGCTTCCTCCTCATCGCTCTCTTCCTCAGAGTTTATCGAACCATCTGACTCGCTAGTGTGATCACTTTCAGACACTTCCAAATCTCCTGGAATTTCGTCCTCTTGAACTTCCAGGTTAATGTCCTTCTTAAGACCCTCTTGTTGTCGCTCTCCCAGCGCCGTCCGTATATTGCCCTTTTTCTTTTGTGGCATTCCTAATACTGAGATTGGATACTTCATTGACTTCAAAAACTGGGAACAAAAAAAAATATTGAGCTGCTGAGTCATCAGCTGAGTCACAGATGCATGTCATGACGTGATGACTTGTTCGCCCCAAAGTCCCGCTACGGGCTTCAAAACAATTCGCAAGACTTCATTTTGCAATGATAGACACCGACGAGGATCACCCATTGCCAGATGGGATTGCTACGATAATGGCCTGTCCAAGAGCCTCCGACCTGACGCCGGAGGCTGGAGAGGGCATAACAACGCTCGTAGCTCTGGACGGTTCCTCAAACTCTGAAGCAGCATTTGACTGGGCTGCTAAAAACATAGTTACATCGGGGGATACATTAATCTTGCTGAAAGTGCTTGAAGAATCGCAGATTGCAGATCAGTACTATGGTAGGTGAAGAGGTTGTCAGTTGTGTCGCGAGAAGTACTACTCTTCACAGTGTTGGAGTTGCTAGCGGATCAAGTAAACGGAACAGATATTCTTGAGGAAACACTCAAGAAGACGGTAATTAAGGATCTATGGACACACAGAGCCATGCCTAATTTAAAGCAAGAGCAGGCTTCAGAGTTACTTCACAAATATGCAACAAGGTTGACTCAAGCTTCCCCCCATCTGACAGATGTGGAAGTCACTGCGAAAGTGAAAATTGGAGCGCCACAGATCGTGGCGTGTGAGGTGGTGAGTAGCTGCGGATCGTCATCGCTGCTACAGTTGTAAGGAGGAAGTTTAAGGGACTTCTTCCATTGTTTGCAATAGGCAGATGATCTGAACGTCTCACGGCTGGTCATGGGCAGTCGGGGCCTGGGGATGATCAAGAGGTTCGCACAGCTGCCATTCTTTCCCTTGGTTCCGTAACGTAACACATTGTTTACTAGAATGCTTTTTGGGAGTGTTTCTGCGTACTGCATGGATCATTCTCATGTGCCTGTTACCGTTGTGCGAGTTGAAGACGGTCAATTGAATATCCATGAGGGTGGTAACAAAGCTAATTAGTTTATCCATGGCTGACTGGCGGCGCACATTTAAAATACGCTTTCGCTACGCCTCTGTAAACTTGCAAATTCCTGTTCTGTCTTCAGTGGCTCACGGCAAAGGATATAGGCCATCGAGTGGTGATGGCAATTGAATAAGCCGTTTCGCGGTTTGCCAGTCCAGATAACGCACGGTAAGTGACCCACAAACGGCCAGGATGTAAATACACTACAGTAATGTCCCAGGCGGCGCCAAATGTCATATTGTATGTTTCTTCTCCTTAACATTGCACATGTACTTGGGCAACCTTGCGGAATTTGCTATCCGCGCTCTTCTCGCGCTGTGGTGCCGCCACGTGTGTCAATGGGTGTCGAGGTAGCAATGAACGATTTGCGAAAGCGAGTTGGCTTTTTATCTCCGTCGCTGGGTAGAAGGTTTTCTTTCGAGTCCTCTTCTCCAGGTTTATAACTTCGTGCTTCACGCTCGCCCTGGAGCGTAATTCTGACACTTCGATTCAGACTGGACATACTCGTTTGCTTCTTTAAGGCGGATTTGATTGATGAATGCGAGGATGCTGTCGTGATCCGACTGGCGGGAGTCTCCGTGGGCGGACTAACGTCCACCTCTTTGAAGCTTGCGTGCATGTTCGCATGTGGGCGCGGAGTTTGCGCGAATGTGTCTGACTCAATAATAAACTCGTTGGAATCCACCTCCTCCCCATGTACTTCAGCCCTGGTTGGTTTAACACTGCTGTAACTCATATGAAAGGGGGTGACTGGAGGCTGGGGAGACTTTGCTCCGGCAAAAGCCCTCTGTGCTCGGTTTTGTAGTGGAGATGTGGCGGTGGGTATCATCCGTGACTTCAACCACCTGTAAGGCGTGTGCGTAAGCTCCATGATTTTCCTTGATTTATGATTGAGAGTCGTACTAACCCTGGAGTGTCGGGGAGTGATTTTAGAAGTTTTTGTGTCGCAAGTGATCGCCGCTCCTCTTCGAAGGCCATCTTCTCTCTCTTGTTTTGGACACCAGTGAAATCAGATCAACATCACCGATTCAAACGCACTGGTGTTCGCCAACCTGTAATGCAGCCCGTTCTATGCCGAGCTTAATCGCCGCCTCCGTGAACTTGCCCCGCTCTTCCTCCAATTGCTGACATTTCTGTTCTAGCTCGTCTCGTTGCTCCTGCAAATCCATCAGCGACGTCTCCAAGCTGAATGACGAATTCTGATGCTTAGAATTGGCCCGCTCATGAACGTCATTGGGCATACGTACTGTGCTGATAGCCCTTCATTCGATTTTGCATCCTGTTCATTCAGCGAGAGCTCCAATAAACGGTTTTGTTCAGCGATTATTCGCCTGTATTCGTCTACGCATTGTGGTTAAACTGGTGTAGCTTTTTCAGACGGCCTTCGAACTAAATCGTAACTTACCGCATTCTTTCTCTATAGCTTCCACCTTCTCATACAGTTGCTGTAGCTCATCCGCCTGGTGTTGAGAAGCTATTGTTTCGCTTAGGCGGGCCCACTCGTCGTGCAGTTTCATAATGGCTTCTTTAACTCTCTCCTCTACAGAGTGGCAGACGAGACTATATGGTAGCTGAAACTGTGCTTTCTCGGTAGGATCGGAAACCTGTGCAATGTGCCATGTTATTGGCGCCTGTTGTGCATTCAATTCGCGCTCCACTCACCTCCAGCGGTCCTTCATGACCGCACTCTATCCCATTGGATCCGTCCTCCTCGTGTGTTATCTGGTTTTTGAACTGAGTTTTCAGCTCCGAATAAAGCGCGTACAAAGTGTTGCGTAATGTTTGATTCTCAATCAGAAGGTCCTTTTCGCGATCTTCGTAGTTCTTTATTACTATATTGTACATTTCGTCTTCCTGTGTGAATCATCAACATAAAAGCGTGGGTTTGATGGTCGATCTCGCTGCCGAAATCCGTACGGTACCTTCTTGCTTTGTCCCCCGCCACCAGCGTTTGTTTTGGGTTTCGGTAATGGATTGGCCAGCTTTATCGCAACCTTTTGAGCCGCAGATTTCTCCGTGACTATTCGCTGCATTCTGTCTTTCAATCTATGGTGCTCACGTTCTCGTTTCCGGAGGTCATGCTATAGAACTCCAATGTGAGCCTGTGGCCACTATATCAATGACAGCCGAAAGCATACATTGTATTGTGTCTTGCTGTATTGCAAATTTGCCTTAGTGGTCTTCAGCTCTTCTTTGGCTGCATGATGCTTTTCTACCTCTTTCTTGAGGGAGTTCTGGGCGGCACTGAGAAGCTCTTAGGAAAATAGACACTACTAATATTCAGTAAGCGCCATACTCGAGTTTATTATTCAAGGTAGCAATTTCGCGATCGCATTGTTCCAGCCTTGCCTTCATCCTCGCCTAAGCAGATATAGTATTTGAGGAGCCATTGTCAAGGCTTGATGCTAGCAGCTACACACTTACAACTGTGCCTGCTAATTCGTCATTATCACCTGCAGTTCGACGTAATCTATGCTGTAGATCTTCTCGATATGCTACATCTTTCTTTTCACCGAAGGCGCGATAAGCAAGAGCAACAGTACTAAAGCTTTCATGTCAAACGAATAATACCTGCCGTTGTTGTAGCAGAGTGCAAATACAGTTTAAAACAGTAGCTGCATCATCCACGTTGCCTCCGAACCCTGCAAAGTCGAGTGCCACAGGAAAGCCAGCAGCGGCAAGTTCGTGATTTACAAAGTCAACACTTTTTTGCAGATTGCTCAAAGACCGTGTTTCAGAGCTAGATCAGCAGATGCCCCAAAAATTTAGATGTCAGGCTCAATATTGGGTTCCTGGGGTTGCCTCTTACCTATTGCCGCCCTCAAGATCTTGTATTTCTGCCATGCTCCCCCCACGCTGCCAATCAAGGAATGCCAACGTCGGCAAGATCGACCGTCAACTCGTCTGGACAAGTCGGACATGGACGCGTCTGTGGCAAATCCACCAATGAATTGACCTTCACGTGAATCCTGCGCCTCTTTGCATGCCTTGGATTCCTCGTCGACAGCAATATTTTTGAAAGCTGGTTTACTGGGTCGAATACAGTGTTCAACAAACATGACCGTTGACGAAGGCGGCCAACGCTTTGTGCTGCCCACCGTAGCAGATAACCCGAATGGGTGGGGCCCGTCGACCATTCCAGAGGAACTCTCACAGGTTCCGTATGCACCATACTCAAAATCCGATCGTCTGGGAAAGATTGCAGACTGGACCGCACCAGCTGGCAGTGACGGATATGGATACGACAGACGCTTTGGGGGAGATGGCGACCGCAGACGTCGCTTTGGTCCTGCGCAAGAATCCTTTGGAAGCGGTCTTTCGTCCATGTTTGCATACACGGTGGCCGCCGACGACGAAGCCACTTTCTCAGTCGTGGACCGTCAGAGCACTACCCAGAAAAAGCCAGGGTTCAAAACTCAACGGGGCGCGAGAGCAGGTGGACGAGGCGGTGGTGCGTGGCAATCTAGGACTGGCAGTCAGGCTGGTGGTGCCAGGAGGGATGACAGACGAGGCCAGCAGGGACCCCGGAGGCGTTATGGTGGCTATAATGATAAGCCAACCAGGATCAGGGATGCGAGTGTCCAAGTCGGTCCGGAGTGGAAGGTTATTGAAGAACTAGATTTTCCGCGAATGAACAAACTGTACTACGAAGTGGAAGAACCTGAGGACCTGTAAGTATTCTTCACAATGCTCGTGAGCTACGGTCACTGGGAGTAGATGGGATGTCATTATCTTCTTTGGCTTGACCTATAATGGAAGATCCAAACTGTATTCACACTGTCTGATTTCTACTTGCTGGTCACGGTGGGACGGCCGTTAATATCGTATGATATTTGCATTGACTTTTGTTAATCTCTCTTCAGATCGGGTCACGGTGTTTTCAACTACTACGATAAAACATTTGATCGCATCAATACCAAGCAGGAAAAACCTTTGCAGCAGATTGATCGCAACTTCCTCAACGTAACCGCCAGCGATGACCCGGTTCTTGTCAGTCATGCGAAGAGGGCATCAGAAGGGGTCACTGTTTACTCCACGGACAACGTCTTAGCTACATTGATGTGTGCTACCCGCGCTGTGTATTCGTGGGATATCATCGTCAATAAGCAGGACAACAAGCTGTTCTTTGACAAGCGTGACGGTGGAGCTTTCGATTTTGTGAGTGTGAATGAAAATGCAGCTGACCCGCCGATGGATGGAGCCGACAAGGACAATATCAACACACCTCAAGCGCTGGCCATGGAGGCGACGTACATCAACCGCAATTTCTCTCAGCAAGCGCTTAGAGACAACGAAAAGGTTGTAATGCCACAGCGTAACCCGTTCGACGAGAACAGCCAATCTGAACCAACCCCATCCCTTGCTTACCGATACCGACAATGGAGTCTTGGGGACGGCATCAGCCTTGTCGCTCGTACCCAAATCGATGCCGCCCTGCATCAACCTGGCGCCAATTCCCAACAGCCCACCGGTGTCCTGAAGCCCAAGAGCTCAGCGCACCCACCCACTGACACTTACTTCGTGAACGTGAAGGCATTGAACGAGTTCGACTCCCGCGCTCCGGGAAGCGGTGGTGCCCCTGATTGGAGGCAGAAGCTTGACTCTCAACGTGGAGCTGTAATGGCCACTGAGATCAAGAACAATGGGAACAAATTGGCACGGTGGGCTATGGAAAGCATTCTGTCTGGTGCGGATCAGCTCCGTCTTGGATTTGTGTCAAGAGTAAATCCGAAGGATCGTAACAGGCATACGATTTTGGGAACAAGCGCATTCAAGCCTCGCGATTTAACCAGTCAAATGAACTTCAACGTTGGTAATGGATGGGGTATCTTGAAAATGTTTGTGGATTTATGTGTAAATACCCTGGAAGATGGAAAATACGTTCTTGTAAAAGATCCAAACAAGGTACGTCCAAGCGTGGGAGGGTCTCTACATTACCCGCTGACCCCCTTCCTATTTAGCCCTTGCTTCGATTGTACTCGGTTCCAGATGACACGTTTGAGGCAGAAGAAGACGTGCCTGAAAACGTTAGTGAGGCAGTGGAGGATCAGGACCAGTAGTGCTGCAATATCTACTTTTGCATATTTTTCAATATAAATAAAAATCCGGCACAAAATACTTATTTCAATTACGCGGGAACGATACAAGAAAATACATATGTTGCGTCACCCAAAATTAATATGGTTGATATGCTTGAACTCGTTGAGATGGGGGAGGCTGCGCGACATAACCGTAACCTGGCTGCGGAGAACCGTAATTAGTTTGCGGTTGTTCGTATGACGAACCGTATCCGGGATGGGAATTGCCATGTTGTGGGGCGTATACTGCATTGGAGAAGGTTAGCTCTAAAGACATGCAGTAAAAGTAACGGAACATGTTCACCATTTGGATGTCGGTATTGAGCGAGATATGCATCCATAAGCTTGTGATATATGGAGCACGCCCTTGAGAATCGATCGTTCACAGCGCTCAGCTCGTCTTTAAGCCAGTTTTGAGTCCATGTGCCGAACCTAGCATCTTCATGTGTAACTTTACCTTGTTTCGCACGGTATGTTTCTAAAAGTTTCACCAGCTTAGGCCTCATCATCAAAATATCGTGATAGAGTTGCTACAGAGGAAAACAGTTATGGTGCCCGATTATACACTATCCTGCTCTGATATCAGCATGCTAACCTGCAAATTTTCATTCTCCGAGAAATTATCTCTCTTTGGATCCAAGGTCGATAGTAGATGGTTAAAGTCTTGAATCTTCCGGGCGTTGGCCAGGACCTCAGACTCTCCATCCTTCGATGCTCGAGAAGCCTCAGCAACAGCTGCTGCTGTAGACCCTGGCCCTTCCACCTTTTCCACGTAGTTTGAAGGAAAAATCCCAATGCGACCCCGAACTTCACCTTTCCACCATTCTTGGAATGTCGTCGCATCATAAACATTGATATACTCCCCCCGCTGCAGGCGTAACTCCCCTTCTTCCGCTCCAGGAAAATCGTAGAGCGCTCGAACTTGAAACAAGACTTTCGGTCCCGTCTGAAGAACAATATTGTTAGAAGTGGGTGCAGCTGAATTATGTTATGAAACCTCACTTGGATAGGTTTAGGTTGCTGTGCTGGTTGTGACGACGGCGTCTGTGCCATTTACATAATTCGTCAAAATCCACACATGGTAAGCAATGATATAGGCCACCTTACTTTGGCAGATCTGTTTGCTTCTTGGGCGGACAGAGACAGGGCCAGCTAGAGGACTATGTGAATTTCTAATGCAGCGATACTCTTGCATCGAAAGCATTCCAAGCTTACCGCTAGTTGGAGCTCCTCATCCTCCTTCTCCTTACTTAACATTGCTTGAGTCTGAATAGAGGCATCAGATTTGTTTAAAGTGCTTCGCATAGTGTCGTCGGCACATGTACCTTAACCACGTCGGGTTTATGTGGTGCCGGGAACTGGTAACCTGCCGAAATACGATGGTTTAGGTCAAGATGCTCAATTGCAGCAGTGTGATAGTGATCATCTTCACCTTGAGATTTGAGCTGATTGTAGGTGTCGACCATGAACCTAGATATCGGCGGCATCAGCACTTGCTCTCACTCCAAATGCGGAATCTTTGGCGGGCTACCTACCCAAGTGAAGGATCTCGCCCAAATTCCTCTGCCCATTGTTGAATGAAGTCCAATACCCTAGTCCTAACAACTTCATGTACTGCTTTGCCTGAGACCACGCGAACCAGTGCGTCAACGAACGCTCGGGAAGAGATCTCTCGTCGGAGAGGCTTCCCGCAGTTGTGAACAAGCGAATTGGCGACAGTAAGCGCAAATAGTACAACCTGCGACAATAACCCCATGTCAGACTTTCTGAAGGAGCAGTACTGGCATTCTCCTTACATTCACATTCCTGTGCTGGACGCGCTTTGTTAAAATCTGGACTGCTTCACGGGCTGAAGCCTCAGAGCTAGATATGGCAACGACAATTCAGCAAAGGGACACCATTTATACACTTGAAGACTTATCCATTCAAGGTCTGGTGTACTTACGTATCGGCCTTCTCACATATCTCAATGATAAGCCCCCAGTCCTCACCTGTGTTCGTTTCACTTGTAGCTTTGGCTGAGGCAGTTTATAATAGATGAGATACTGCTCGCAATCAAAACAAACCAGGTAAAGGAGCTAAGGCCTTACTGATGAGTTCCTCGAGAGACATTGCAATATAAAGGTTGGCAAGTTTGGCCAGATGATTGTTGAAATTACCTATTCTTGGGTCAGTAGGCGTCGGGGCTTCGCAGCATGTCACACAAGATCGCGTGATCCGTGACTCATTCAGCTCGAAAAGGTCGATCCTTTGCAACATACCATGAGTGCTGCCGAGGGATCTTCAAATGCTCGCTCGTGCTAGCACGGCCCGGTGCGTGTATGCCTTGTCGGGAGGCGGTCGGAGCCGCCCTACCGCCTGGCCTACTTTTTGGCGGTGGAAAACCCCCACCGTTCGGGCATGTGAAATCAGAAAGCATCTCACAACGACTCCATGTCGCGACCCTCCTCTCTTTATAACAACCCCTATTTTTTACGCAAATGCCGGTATGAAATTTATGTCGTTCCGGACTTTTCTAAGTACCCATTTAAAGAAATGTATATAGAGCCTCACATCGGTCATTTATACTCTACTGTCCTCGCTGACACCCTGCAGCGATGGTACAGCTTGAAGGGCCATACAACGGTCTTCAGCACCGGAACGGATGAACACGGACAAAAGGTTTGCGCTATTGTACTTGTGTCTTGCTGCTTGTGGCTCATTTGGGATGCCGAAGTAAGATACAAGAGGCGGCAGAGAGACATAAAATGGAAGCAGGACCGTTTTGTAATATGGTATCGGAGAAGTTCAAGGTATGAACATTCTGACTCTTGCTGGTTTTCGCCGCTGTTTGGAGATTGAATTTTCGGGAAGGTGCTCTTCAATAGCGCCAACATTGCATACACTGACTACATTCGAACAACGGAACCGCGACATCAAAAGGCAGTTCATTTTCTTTGGGTTCGTATGCACGCGCATGAGGTGCTGTCTTGACAGCCATAGTTATAGTTATCATCGTACTCCTCAATTCAGAAACTGTTGCTGGACCGTGGATATATCTATAAGGGATATCATGAAGGATGGTATGCGGTGTCCGATGAAACATTCTATCCTGCTTCGCAGGTTGAAGAAGTGGTCGGCACGGATGGTAAAATGCAAACGGTACGTTCGTGTTCTCAGTTCCTTCTATCCCCAGTGTATTCTCATCCATGGATATCCCATTACTTATTGACAGATATCAAAAGAGTCCGGACAGCCGGTGATATGGATGAAGGAGGAGAATTATAAATTTCGTCTCAGCATGCTCCGAGAACCGCTAATTGCGTGGCTGCAGGCAAATCCTGATGGTAAACCCTGAAAGTATAAAGCAGTTTGTAGCGGTACTCACGCGAAGCGACATCTACTTGGCAGCTATTATTCCAAAGACAAAATACAACGAAATAATTACCGCGCTAACGACAAGAGCTGACGAGCAACTTGCCGATCTGTCAGTGTCCCGGCTAAGGAGCCGGGTGCAATGGGGAATAACGGTGCCCGGCGACGATGAGCACGTCATATACGTGTGGTTAGATGCCTTAGCCAACTACCTAACCGTCCTCGGTTATCCCTGGACTCATCCGGAAACCAGTGGTCTGCAAAATGCATGGCCGGCACAGTGTCATGTTGTAGGGAAGGATATCCTCAAGTAAGTCGTGGAAAATTGTGGGTCTGCCGAGAGAGTCCAACTGACTGGACTTCACTGCGTAGGTTTCACGCAATTTACTGGCCAGCATTTTTAATCGCAGCTGGGCTGGCTCCTCCTCGGAGAATCGTGGCACACGCTCATTGGCTCATGGGCAACCAGAAGATGTCAAAAAGTAGGGGAAATGTGGTGGATCCTACCAAGTTGCTCTCAATGTATGGGGTTGATCCGGTTCGATACTTTCTGATGCGAGACGGCGGGATTACAAACGATGCAGGTTGGTGTCGACCGTGTCGAACAAGTACAATTCACAACCTTCTCATGTTTCACGCACTTGCAGAGTTTGCTGATAGTATGATTCACATGCGATATAAGAAGGATCTTGCTGGACAGCTTGGTAATCTCGCAATGCGATGCTCTGCGCCAAGAATAAATCCAGAGATGACGATCCCAAGTGAGCCAGGGGTGATCACGAATGCGGAGGAGGTATTGGATGGGAAGCTGAGGGCACTACCAGGTGAATTCTCCGCACATCATTATCAAACGTTGCATGGCCTTATGATGCTTACATTGCCCAACCCCTCAGCCGTTGTGCAGGCTCGATTTGAGAATGTCGAATTTGGGAGAGGATTGGAAAGCATTTTTGAATGCGTTTCGGAGGCGAACAAGTATTGGGATGCATGTAAGCCATGGATCCTTGTCAAGTCGTCAGAACCTGATGCTCGGGCCCGGCTCCAAACCATTCTATATTATGCCTTTGAGACTGTACGGATGGCGGGACTATTACTTCAACCTGTTTTACCACAGAAGATGGACCAGATGTTAGACGACATCGCTGTTGAGAAAGACCAGCGGATGTGGCAAAATGCCGTATTAGGACATCGCTGGAGGGATGGTGGCGATCGCCTTAGAGGACACGCTCCTTTGCCGGAGAAGAGAAAACCATTATTCCCGAAGTTAAATTAATGTAACATTGCTACGCACAACTCTGGATATGCTCTTTTAGAGCCTGCTAGCCGAGCAATAATCGGAATTGTGGACTAATTATACGTTCTTCCCACATCACAATTATCATCGAAATTTGAACAATGTTTCCACTACTCAAAAGCTTTCCAAATGTACAATCATTTTAGCCAAACTTCCAACATCTTCAAGGCCCGGTCCCTGGGCCGATAGACTCTTCCCATTAGCGAGACCTTGGTGTTGTCGGAGATCTCCCTTCGCTCCAGGAGGTCGCAGCCATCCCCCGGCCTGATCCACATCCCACCCGCTCTTGGCTGCTAATTCCATGGCCTCTGCTGGTGCCCCTAGTCCCAATAATGCAGCAGCATCCACAGCGGAAATGCTTTCATAGGAATTGGCTATCAAAGCAAATGTTCGCTCCTGAACTGCATTCCTAAGTCGAAGCACTAGGACTTCCAGTATTGATGACCATTGTGTCGACGCCATGGCTGAATATACGGAAGGTAGATCCCGATTCCACAAATGGCTTGCGACTGTAGTCACGGCTGCGAACTCGGGGGTTTGTTGATCTCTGGGCGTTCGTTTAGCGACCAATCGAGCGGCAGGAAGGTCATTTTGAATGAGATGAGCTAGTTGGAGAACCGAGTATAGGCTGGGTTCGTTTCCGCTAGGTACCGCCCCTGCTGGCCCATCCATGGGAGAGGACAGCACCAGAGAATTCCGCAGTTCGAGGTCTTCCGCTAAGGCTATGAGTTGGGGTATGTCGCCCTTGGAAATGCATTGGTATATCTCGTCCATTATACAGTGGCAAAGATCTCAGGAAACGAAGAACTCCCAGATCAAGGTTTCGGGGTGGTGAGTCATATAGGGGGAGACCCGACAAAAGAAAAGGCGAGAGCAGTTCAACTCCGCATCGGGGAATCGAACCCCGGCCACCGCGGTGAAAGCGCGGGATCCTAACCACTGGACCAATGCGGACTACAAATGCAGTTGGCATAAGGTCCTATCGTAATATTAAGAAATCTGGTAACTTGCCGATTATGCATGTAACAAAGTAGAATTGCCACTTCTTAATGAGATGTCAAATAGACAAACAATATCATAGCAGTCGTTCATCAATCTTCTTTCTTTTTCAATTGACCATATCTAGCGGTAAACGGTTTCGGTCATTAATCCATCAAAACCGGCCCATGATTCGTAATGGTCAATTAATGGAGGTTCCCACTGTCTACGCGGCCACTTGATATACTCGAAATACGATACCTAGTAAATTAAATGGAAACTACAACCGATTGTAACCGTATTCGTGCGAAAACGAAGGAAGTATAATAAGATTTCCAATGTCGACTTATGGAAGTCAGCATGAAGGAGGTTTTCTTCGTAAGCTTCAATTCGCTATAGCAGACAACGGTATTGTAACAAAGTCACACAAAACAGTGTAGTCATGAAATTGACAAAAAGGACCGGTCGGAGAAGCAAGCTCCGCATCGGGGAATCGAACCCCGGCCACCGCGGTGAAAGCGCGGGATCCTAACCACTGGACCAATGCGGATGCGTTACAGCTCTTTACTTCTGCATATTGACATCGCGTTTACAGTTGGCAGATTGTATCATGGTTTAGAATACAAGTATATAAGCACTTTGATGAGTAGCTCGTGCCGTGGTGTTCGACTGTCATCCAGAGTGGAAAGATGGCAAGCCTGGAACGATGGCACTCATTCTATTAAAAACTACCAAGGCAGTTTTGATGACACCTTGAATACCAGGGTCCTGGGCTCGTGGTAGCGTTGCTAGGTTTTCGATTACGTACTCGCGAACTGGGAGTCGTTGGACGTGGCGGAAACCAACTCTAGTGGTCGCCCGTTGTTAAATGGCATTTCAAAACTCCTCCGCTGCATCCCTATTGTTCACTGATCCTCTCAGGAGCACGCCAACAACTGCCAATCTTATCCAATCTACACTAGTAGTATGGGGCTCACAACTGGTTTTCTTTGGTGTGGGTTGGGTGTTTGTTATGGAGAAGTTGTTCAAGGACTATGAGGTCAGGAATGGTCTCGTTCGGATAGTCTTTGCAGCAACGTTTGCCGCGAGCTGCACGTTATTTGAGATGATAATCTTTGAAATTGGGGGCGTACTGGACGCGAGGTATTGCCGCCACCTGTGCAAACACGATAACCGGACTGACAGTCAGCATTTTTTTCTCTACCAGTTCCCGATGGTTACATTGGAAGATTACCCTCTATGTCATGCTAGTCAACGTAATTGCCCTTTTGCCCTTCTATCAATTCTACATTTGCTTTGCCGAACGAGAAAGTGGTAAGGGGATCGGTGCTGCAAAGCTTGTTGTGAAACTCATGCGTTGACTAATTCTGGTCTTTCTGCTCAGTATGGCTTCGAAGTAATAGATGGGCTTTGGCTACTTGCTGCTGGATAGTATATCTCTACTTGTTTTGGAAAATAGGAGACCAATTTCCCATCAATACTGCCCAAGATCGCGCTGCGAGCAGTAGGTTTCCCAATCCATTTGTAATATGTCCGGTGTGAGTTCTTACGATGCATGATGGACCCCTAGGCATTTTTTTTGGAATTGAGCCAGGGATGGGGCGAGTTGGAGTCATAGGCGTGACTATAATGGCCATCCTGTCAGGATTTGGCGCTGTCAATTCTCCGTATACCACGCTATCCTTCTTTCTACGGTAGAATCCATCCCAAAATCAGCCCTCCCCTTTGCCGGTCTCACATTTTGGCAGTCAGGTTACAGACACGGACGTAATCTCAGCAGAAAAGAAGCTTCTCCAGACGATGGACATGGTCTTGAGCAAGAAGAAGAAGATCCTTCTCGCTCAACGACGACAGCAGGCTATGGGGGAGGTGCGGATTGCTCTCTTGATTGGATTTTCGGGTTTCGACGAAGAACCCGTAGAACGTATTATTCGCTCACATATCCCACTCTGGTAGCAACACATCGTGGGCGTTGGTGGATTCATGAGGAACATGTTCAATAAAGTTACTGGGGGATTTGGTCTGGGTAATGAAAGTACGTACTAGGTAAAGTGAACATTCCGGTAGACTACGCTGAACATGTTCATCTTTAGATATCGGCATTTTGGCTCACGAAATCAAAGCGCTTGAAACAGTTATGCAGCAATTATTTATGGATCTCGATGATCTTAACTCTGAACGGGTATGCAGAGAATGTCATGGCGACCACGGGCAGAGACATAATAGCGCTCTTGATACGAAAAGGAACGCATCAAATATTCTAAAACCTTCAAAGGGCACTATTTTAATATTCTGGGATACATATTCTCTGCATATTGTTTGTGGAAAGTGTTTACGGTACGCTACCAGTCATATTCTCTGAAGGAATGCAATATACTTATTATCGACGAGTGCATCTCGCAGTCAACACTGAACATTGTATTCAACCGTGTGGGGGGAACCGACCCAGTGACACATGGATTGAATCTATTGGTACATCACGTTGGAATTGAGGTGGACGTGACCTTCTGGGCTCCTCAGCTATCATTTGTATTTGTTGGAGTGCTTGTGGTGTGCTCCATCCGCGGATTGCTCATTCAGTTTATGAAGGTAATGATATCCGTTGCCGGCTATCGTGAAGAAATCCAACGATTCATCTCTTTGCGCAATTAGTTCTTCCGTGCATTCTCATCCTCCCTATCACCCAACAACATTGTGCTTTTCTTGGCACACGTAATGGGAATGTATTTTCTGAGTACTGTGCTGATGATGCGAATGAGTGTTCCTCCCCAATACCGGACAATCATCACGAATGTCCTCGGAAGAATTGAATTCAACTTTTACCACCGATGGTTTGACGTTATATTTTTGGTTAGTGCTATCGCAAGTGGTGGATTCATTATGGTCTGTATCGTATTCTCCTTAGTGTCTTGAAGTGGACGTACCGAGAAGAGCTAATGCAACACTTTGTGACAGATCCTTACACAACTGCAGAAGCAGCGAGATCTTGATAATGCTATATGGGCTGGTGGCGGACCAAGTGCCGGTGGACGAGGGGTGTTAGGGAAAACGAAGCCCTTGTATGATTGACAGGTCACCTTCCGAGATGATGAAAGACTCCCATTTTCTGTAGCTGGAGACGGAAGAGTCGGGTATTAAACACGGTCTTGATTTAGCTCTGGGTGAAACGAATGAAGTTGCGCTTCTGCACCAAGATAGTCCCTTGTATAGACGTGACGTATGGCGTAGCGTATGTTGAATATATAGGAATCACGCAATAACAACCGTCAGGCTCCTCACAGATTGGGGCAACCCTGATCACTGTCAATTTTTCTTTCTCATTTTTAGAGATCCTGCCTCTCAGTTGCCTGATTTAATAGCCCCTCCTCTTTTAACAGTTCTTCAATCTCATGTGGTTTGTAAAGCTTGTATATCACCTTGCCTCCTGAACTACGATGGAGGGTGGCAAATTCCACTTCAAACAAGATTTGGAAAGGATACGGTCAGAACACTCGTTGTATCTCACAGGTTCATAGAGACGCTTACATTTGTCGCTACCCATGTTGGTGGTATCCATTGTTTTTGACAGCACTTTGATTGCCAGACTCTTTGCTTCCTTTAGTCCCATTTCCTCCTTGTAATCTTGCTTCAAGATGCTTTGCGCGTTTGATGAGTTTGCTCCGATGCAGGTTGCCTTCCATCCGCTGTAATTTCCAGATGGGTCAGAATGGTAAAGCTGGAAGCCAAAATGCTCATCGTATCCGGCGTATAGGAATGACACTCCGAAGGGGCGTAGGCCTAATTTGCAGTCAATTACTGTCGCTCGACACGGATTCTTGGGGCTTTGCCCATGCCTTCAAGTTCGGCAGTAAATACCTCCATATTGTGTGTAGCCTTGCTTCAGATCACAGAGTCGTTGTACTAATTGCTCTACTGGTATCGGTTCATCATAAGTGAAAAGATACTTTTGTGCTTCCAGGCGCGAGTAGTTGATGAGGGTGTTCGCATCTGCTGTAATCCCTGCCACAGCACAGCATGCGTGGCTACCGAAAACACGTTAAATCGGGTATTAAGCACCCGAAGTCAGGGCATAAAACCACCACTTACTCGCTTAGCTGGTAGACTTTCTCACTGCTTGCTGTTTGTTCCAACAATTTACTTGCCACCTTCTTCTCTGCTGCCAGAACAACGCCATCTGTTCCAAGGATGCCCAACGCCGTTCCGGCGTGGGAGATAGCTTCCATCGCATATTCCACCTGGTACAGCCGGCCTACAGACGAAGCATAAGTCAATGCACAAGGGATGCTCACAATTTGAGAATATCCTGCCTTCTGGGGAGAAGATGGTTGTCCGTGAATCGTAACGGCGAGCCATAGTTTATAGTTTTCCTTGACAACGAAGGTAAGGTAGGTGGATGACGCCGGATGTGGATGGTCACCTAGTAGGCGCGCTCGTGGTGACGAGTCTACTGTTAGTCCAAGCTGACTGAAGCCACGTGACTTGTCACCTTTCGTACCAAGTTCTGATCGTAGCGACAGCTTCTGATAATGACAGCACTACTTGTATGATGCAGACTGGATCTATACTGCTTTACATTCCTATCAATGCTCTATCCCAATTTATCATATGCACCTGCGCACTGCGGAGCATATCCGGTGAATACGTCAACACAACTTGTAAGAAGTCTGGAGCACCTGTCCACGTGATTTTGAGTCCGCTTGGGCGGACATGGTCGCGCTGTGCGATTCTCTGCACTCTGACATGCAAGCATATAAAGTTGGACCGGCGATAGGGGCCGGTCAATTTGGAAAGGTCCACGTTGCTCTCCATCGCCGTACCCTCAAACGCGTGGCCGTGAAGCTGATACCCGCAGATCTCTCCGAGATACCTGCCTTGCAAGCAGAAATCTCAACCCACAGAGCACTGTTCCATCCCAATATCGTATGCTTGACAGACTGCTTCGAAAGCAAAGGGGAGGTATGCGTGGTAACAGAATACTGCGCGGGTGGCGACCTCTTAGCCAAATTGCAAGAAGAAGGCAGATTTGACGTTGAGAAGGTCCGCGAGGTCGCGAGGGGATTGTGCCGCGGTCTCCGGTATTTGCATGAAAAAGGGATCGTTCATAGAGATCTTAAGCTCCAGGTACCCCGACTGTGGAATGACGCATATGCGGTGACGGTGCTAATTCGCAGTGTTTTCCGCAGAACATATTACTCGATGACAAAGGGGTTGTCAAAATATGCGATTTTGGATTTTCCAGCTTTCTTCAGCAAAATGCGGCGCTCACGTCAGTCAAAGGTGGAATGAGTACTCTAATTCAACATGCGATATGGGCCAGCTTACGTTTCTGTCCTTTCCTGTAGGTACTCCCATTTACATGGCACCAGAGCTCATACGGGAGCAACCTTACACGCACGCGATCGACCTTTGGGCACTTGGCGTGATCCTCTACGAGGTAATTCTCAGCCTGGACCATATCTCCGTACGAAATTTCCCGTCTCTAAATTCGATTTCAGTTATTTGTGGGTATCCCGCCTTTCTATACCACCAATATCTTCAAACTCGTCAACTTGATATTGGAGGAATCGATAAAATGGCCGCCAGATATACCTCCTGATCTTCGCAATTTTTTGGAAGGTCTCTTACGGAAGGATCCCCGTGACCGATTGAATTGGCCGGAATTGGCCGATCATCCATTTCTTGAAGAGCAGAAGCCAACGGCCGCAAGGGAGCTCGCCAGGCACCTAGATTCCGCCATTGATTTGCCAGAGAAGCCCTCTCACCGGGATGGGGAAGCCGGTGGCTTAAACGGGGGGAGCATCAGTCGGAGTGGTAATGCAGGAGACGGCGTACTTTCTCGTCCGCCGTCCGCCGATAGCGGAGCAGGACACGTCTCGCTGTCCCATCCTCGGAACCGCCTTCTCACTGCAGCCGGTCAGATCGACTGGAGCGCGCTTCATGACCTGGCCGGCACCGCCACATTCATAGACGTTCTCTTCGACCCACGGATCATCAATGGTATTGCGCGCGGTATGATCATGTTTCATGCTGGAAACTGTCAAGACTCGAAATCTCAATCAGCTCTATTGGCCGTGTTGAACATCGTTGAGCAGTTGTTTCTAGGTATTAAATCAGCTGTCAACACGATGCCCGCGAGACTGGACCCGTCCCAAATTCAACATTTGCAGTCTTTTATGCGCACGGCGCTCGTCTGGCTGGCGTCCTTACTCAAGGGGTTCAGCACCGCCATCAACGAAACAACAGCGTCAGTCTTGAATCAGGTACTGATTGCATATGATGCAGCGCTGCACACCATGTTTTCATTGCTGGACCGCGATATTCCTTCGGTTTCATCACGCCCAGTGACCCCTGTGTCAAGGCAATCGCAGCCACGTCCTGGCACGCCGTCATCAATGCACATGTCGTGGGCTCTCTTAAGTGTAGTCACGCAGACATTTCTTCCTCTGCTTTCTCGCTTGCTCCGTGGATCTATGAGTGTTCAGCTGTTGTCGCTCCAAGCAACTACTTCAGTGTTCCGACTCATCCGAAGGTCCCCCCAAGAAATCCGTCTGAATCACTATGATGATATACTCAACTTGGAACTCATTTTGCACATTGTCAGATGCCTCGACGAGTGCGACAACAGAGTCATCCGAGACGTTTTAATTGCGGTGGATGTTTTGATAGGATATCAGATTTGGGAACACGTATCTGCAGATCTGTCAGCAGCGATGACTAGTCGCGAATTAGATGTCCTTAAGGGTTTCCTCAGCGCCATCGAAAGTGGACTAAAATCGAGAAAACGGCTTGATTCCATCTGCCAGCTACTTGGAGGACCTGATTTTGGACTTGCGGCGAAAGTACTATTGGCATGCTTGCATTATTCTCGCGATCTTATTGCGGAAGTAGCCAACATCTCAGATGTTGAAAAATCGTGCATGGATAGGCTGGAAGGCAAGCATTCGGAGCCAGCTGATCAGCATCTGGCGCTTCTTCTGGTCGCAGAGTTACTTGCGGTTGATCCACACTTAGCGGGGAAAATGGCGCTCATGATACAGTCGATTTTGGATGGCATCGCGGAGGAACAACATGACGCCATATGGCTCTCGTGCCTGATGCGATGCCTGTGTTCAATGGGGACGCAACTGCTTCCCGCATATGGACAAGCGCTGCAGTCGATGTACTCTCAGCTCCTAGACGCAACTAGGACGACTTCGGACCTTTCGAAAATGGGGAATATGCCGGTCCCACTCTTGGAAGCACCTTGCATGTTACTGGAATGCATGACAGAGAGGATGATGGACTCCTTAACGTCCTCTACCTTTTGGGCACAAGCATTGACCTATCTGCCCGATATGTTGGAGCTCAATAGGCGATCGCAGGCCGAAGGCTACGGTCCTTTAATGACTCTCTCGGCAGTTCGCTCGCTTGCTCGATTTGCTTATCGGGTGGCGGCGCTCAATGGAGTCCCAATTAATGACATTGCCACTGCCGCGAATAGAATGATGGAGTTTGCGGACCCTGCCTGTTTGCATCAAAGCTGCCTGCGTACTAGATTTCACGCTTTCGGTGACAGCGATATGGAAAAGAAGCATGATATCGTGCAACACGTAGTCGGACTTCAGTATATCCTTATATCTCATCTCCGTGCCACGCAGAGCGCCGAAGCTGCAATGACGGGGAATATGATGAATATCCTTAAATTACTTTCATTCGATCTCTCCGATGATACTATATTGTTACCGTTGGCACTCTTGGATAATTACATCCTCTGCTTTCCTCAAAGTGCAACCCATGAGCTTCTAACAGCACCGACAGAGCTGGTTCGAGTGTTTTGGGAAAGGGTGATGACCGTTGGCGGCAACCGCAATAGCCTGGTGCATGGCAACTCCGAAACTACCCAACAGCGACTACGGTCAGCAATGATCTTGTTCTCTCATTTTATGCGCGGGGCACATGGGAAAAAATCGTCGATCATGGAATCCTACCTGCTTGACATGAATATGCTTCAATATGTTCCGGCGGTCCTTATATACCCGAGCTCGGTGATTCGGGCGAAAGCATGCTCTCTAGTTGCGCAGCTAGCCCGTCTCTCCCACCGACTAGTACGGCAGATGACGAAGGTTGGTATTCTCAAGCTGATTACCGCAATGTGCCGAGCGGAAGAGGATGAGGGAGTCAGAACGAACGTGTGGAAGGCCATGATTGTGTTGGTGAAACGAATCAACGCGGAGGAGAGTCGGGATGTGGTAGAAATGGCTGTAGAGGCGATATTATCGAAGGACAATGATGATAAGAAGGGATATGCGCTGCACGTTCTGGCTGACGCTCTAACCGGCGTTGACGGCTATGAGAATCGCGAAACGGCGAGAAAGTTGCTGGATCCAGGTGGCTTGCATGTGCTACACGAACTCGCAAATTGCATGAAAACTCCCGCAGAACCCGATGAGCGTGTAAAACAAGCATATAGATCTCGAGCCATATCTCGCTGCTTATCGATTTTGCGGGTTGCACCTGATGGAAAATTCACTTCTAACCCTTGACAATGCCTTTATCACGACTTGACAAGGACTTTTTTTGTAAATATTATCTGTAGCAGGCGGTACATACAGGATGTAGTTTATTTAAAATTTCCGGCCAAAATCGCAGTCCGTCGATAAGGCCCTTATATGCTGGACGTCAGACTCAAAACTATGTACATTTTCGAGCTGGATATTCATCGCATGGCATTCTCGCCATAATCTCCGACTCCCTGCTCGGCGCTGATGATGCTGATGCACTTCCATTCGTCCAAGAACGAGGCTAAAGGTAATACGAGAAATAAACCATCAGTCGGGCTCGGGCTACAAGTACGAAGGATTAGGACTACCTTTCCATAACCGAACTTTGCCATCATCACCACTTGAGGATAGAATGGTTCCTGTTACATTCCATTCCACTCGCCAGACCTGACGTAGGATGTTAGATGAGGACGACGCTGTGCAACCTGGTATGCAGACCTCTGCTCCGTGATCACTGAAATCTGCCACCGTGTCTACTCGGAACTTTTTCTTCCCTTTTGGCGTCAATCCGGCAACGGCAGCTGCGGCCGCAGCGGGTTGCTGCCATCCACCAACACCTCCGACAGCGCCTCCTCTGGTGTTCTCGTCTGTCAATTTGAAGATGCGGACATGTCCGTCCTTGGACGCCGTGGCTATTAGCTGGTAACTGCGTCCCATATTGGGAGCCCATGCAACATCCGTCACGATGTCATTGTGTCCTCCCAGGACCTCGTGAGGCTGCCATCTGTTATGTGAATCCAATCGATAGACCTTATAACAAGGTCAGATGTTTCTCCACTGTCATGAACTCCTGCATGATTAAAACGTCATACCTTTGCAATATTTTCCTTCCCACATCCGATAGCGAGCATTTGCGGTTGAAACCTTGACGGACACCACGATAAACAATAATGGGCATCTGGCTCCTTACTGCTACCAGTACCAACTTCTATTTCATCCTGATGGAGAAATATATTGTCGATGAAAAAGTATCAAATAGCGGCATTGTGCGAGACTATTATTAACCGTACCATGAGCGTCCAATGGCTTAATTGTATTACGTCCATAGCTTCGTAGATTCGTACAATGCCATCAGCTGAACATGATGCCTGAGATTACGAGTATGACTACCACGCGGCTCATGCTGGTGACCATCACTGTTCACTCACCAGTTTCAATCCTAAATGGTTCGGTGCAAACTCAATATCTTGGACTGTTCCTTTGCTGTCCGCTAATCTTGCCTTCTCTACCCACTTCCGCCCTCCTGTGTATGCATCTGCTCGATCCGGTCTCTAATCAGATTCACGGCGTCCGACCAGTGTCAAAACCCCACAGATACATGGGGGAGGGCGTACCATGCTTTTGCTCTTCCCATATTCGTACGCTCCTGTCGAAGGAGCACGATGCAAAGACTTGCCCATATTCCGGATGTGCCCAGGAAGCTTTTAAAATAGACGAGTCGTGGCCCTGAGAGTGCACACCTATTAGCACAAATGACTGGGAGTGGGATAGAGGAATAAAGAAGTACCTTCCAAGTGTCATTTAGCACCCACAGGTTTGTTTGACGGTCCATATCCCACACTTTAAGTTTCTGGTCAGACGAGCAAGTCTGGACAGGGCATGTCAAAATAAGTCGGAATTTTCCATGTTCTACTTTTCCAGCACGCACCACGAGTCGGTTCCCGTAAAAGTCATAAGCGACATCGTGTATAAGGTCCTCATGGCCGGCTGAAAACTGGGTTACTTCGTTCATCTGGTGATGTTCAAGTCGCTCCAAATCCTCCACAAGACTCGCGTAGCATCCCAAGTTAATGACCTTCATTTTTCCCTTTTGGGCTGTACTTGCTAAATATGGTTATATGAGCTGCGCCATGTCTACAGCAGGCGAGTTGATACTTTGCAAGCAGCCGTTAGAACAGATTTCTCTCTGCACAACAAGTCCAAATTGCCCAGCTTCGTACAGGGAAGGACAATACATCGCAATGGCCAAGATCTCAAACGCCGGTAGGTGTTTTGTTTGTGAGAGAGTAGTGAACGAACGTGGGAGAGCTGAGATGGATGGATGGATGGATGAATGGATGTGATTGATGCGTTGACGTGACTTTGCATGCTGACATGCTTTTCTGCGTAGTGTCCTCCAGCCGTCGTAAGAGCCGAAAGGCGCACTTCTCTGCGCCCTCCAGCCTTAGGCGCAAGATCATGTCTGCGCCCTTGGACAAGGAACTGAGGGAGAAGTACAACGTACGTGGAAATTGAAATGTTTGTGAATTAGAGTGGGAGGGAGAGGGGCGAACCACTGCGGACAGACGAGATCGGCCTGCTGCCAATATACTGTCTGGTGGAAAGCCCCCTCGTTTTGCTGAAAGCATTCGAGGCGAGGGTTGGGCACAGCAAAGCGGAAAGCTGATTATATCTCGCTTTCTGCAGTGCCGCTCCATCCCCATCCGCAAGGATGACGAGGTGAAGATTGTCCGGGGTACCTACAACGGTCGGGAGGGCAAGGTCACCACTGTTTACCGTAAGAAGTGGTGCATCTACGTTGAGAAGGTCACCCGCGACAAGGTCAACGGTAAGCATTTTTTGAATGCTGTTTCCACCACTGTATTGCGTGCCTCATATTTTTCGACCGTAGGTGCTTCCGTCCAGATCCCCATTCACCCTTCCAAGGTGGTCATCACCAAATTGAAGCTCGACAAGGACCGCAAGGACTTGCTTGAGCGCAAGGCCGCTGGCCGCAAGACTGAGGCCAAGACCGAGCAGGTGTGTTACAACTCGCCAGTATTTAGTCCTCTGCGTCGACTCAATTGCTGAAACTCTCTTCTTTGGCTGTTGTTTTCGTCATTGATGTTGTATAGTAAATATAATGCTGTTCTTTAATATACTTGTGTGCCTTCTAAATTTTGGGGGTTGTTATCTGTTGTCATTGCATATACTACCATTTTACACATCGAACTCGCTGATGAGAAAGACTGCCCTCTGTAATTGCTAGGCGGCTTTCGAACTCGATGTTGCGGTCACGTGATTAATTGCTATAGCAACAGTATAAAAAAAAGACGAGCCGAATTGCTATAAAAAGGGAGTGCATCGTCCTCACATCCCTTATTCTTCAGCTTCTGGAGTCGATGGGATGTCCTTTGGATTTTCCCCTGGATATCCTGATAGCGTAGTGCGCTCGGCACTTTCTTGCCTTTACTTTAAAGGTAGCGTATCTGGCTTTCGTAGCCTGTGTGCTGGCGATCTGTGGTGCTGGGGGTGATGACTTCAATTCTTTCCCCGTCTTATCGACCATGGTGAAAACAGCGCCTCGCTTTACGGAGCGGGGTTCACTCTAGCCAGTGCCTTGTCTGACCCATAACAGATCGTCAGAGCACAGTGTTCTCATCTTGTGCTTGTCAACCTCAACTGATCACGATCTTTATTTTCTTGTAAAGGTGGCGTGGGACTGCGTGCCCAACTTGTTCACGATTGCCCCGAAGCCATTCCGCTCGCTGTTCAGGTAGGCTTCGACCCTCTCATGGATAAGGTTGCACGTTGGCCGAGGATGAAGCTATTGTTTCCAATTCGCAGTTTCCACCGAAAGGGGTTCGCCTCTAATGCTGGCACAAGTACCTTCCTTGGATGTCTGAGGCCATATGTGCAACCTTCGTTCCTTCTCATCATACAGATGATGTGCTGATGATTTCACTGGGTGCTTAGGTATCCTTTTTTCCTTGTTTAGACACGGCACGGCATGTACAGCTCCATGCTGCAATACCTTTCGCATTCTGATACACGACGCTCGGGCCGACGGTATCCCAACCTTCAGAGCCTGGTGGACTAGGGTGGTGCTCAAGCTTGTGACTCCAGCAACACATCCGGGTAAGGGGTTCGCCCCTTGCTATTGACGCTGGGACAGGCTCCCACATAAGCACATCAAACGCCTGAAAGAGGCGCAGGGCGCAAGCTCTGGTGGGTTATCAGAAATTCAGGCGCTGGGCTTGCTCGATGATGCTTTGTGCACAGAGTTGGGACCAGTTGCCTTTGAAACAGGCCCATGTGCGGCAAACCGTTAAGTGCAATTCACAAGCCGACTTGCGAGTCGGACATGAGTGGGATGCTCTGACTGCCACCCTGGTTCCATTTGCTGTGTCGTTGGGATATCTTCCGCCTAAAAGTTGTCTGGGGTGCAGCGTGGTTGGTCTGGTTACATCTTGTGTGTACGTGTTTAGTTAACCCATGCCCAGTCCCAGTACAAGCACGCTCCTCAGTATGGACGCTACCTGTTGAGCTGGTTAGACTCATTGCTATGCTCATAGACTCCATCTGTGGGACGCTTATAACATACCTCAAAATAGTAAGTATTACCTCTAGGATGGCATGACTTGATCAATTAGAGATCATTTTACTCGCCACCGCAACCGTTGTATACTTTTCTATGAGAAGCTGAGCATTGGTCATGTCCATTGGGGGACGGATTCCGGACAAGCATACCGCGTTGAATATCGTGGGTGCAGGTCACTGATCTCGATTTCACATTCTTTATCGTTACTTCCCTGGGACTGGGTACGACACCTTTTGGAGAGTGGTGCTCTCTGAAAGCCGGGGCCGGTTGCGGTTGATCCTTGCAGCTCCTAGCCGTGAAGGGATTGCAAAGGCACTGTTTCTTCGCCGGGATAGAGTGAAGTAGGGTTTGAGGAGTGTTGTCAGGACTTCTGCGCAATAGGCATGTAAACCCCTTTTCGCGGACAAGGTTGTGACAGGACTACATTTAGTTCTGTCTCTGGTCCTGTGCTGCTGATACTGAACAACGTTGTGTGTTTTGAAATGTTTGGTATGGAGTGTGTGTTGGGCGTTTTGCGTTTATTTACCATCGCTGTGAGAACAGGCATTTACAATTGCCATCTTGCGCTGGGTGGTGTTTGTGGTTCTAAACTATTTATTGTAGTGTTTATGACTAGTGTTTATAATTGTTCGTGGTGGATGTACAAGGATTATGTATCTACTACTCTGTCGTGCAACATTGGAAAGGAAATATGATACAGAAATAGCGATTCGCTTCACACCACTTACTACGACGCACCAGACAGAACCTCCTTGGCAATCTTGCCGCCTCTTCGCACCGCTTGTTCATCTACGTTCTTCCCCCCAACTTCGTAACCCTCGCGTGCCCATCCCTTGATAAAGAAACCCAAGCCTTCTCGGACGTTCTCGTTAGTTAATGCTCGGTTGAGAACTTGGCGTAAACCGAGCTCGCTTTGAGCTAATGTTGTAAAAAGAGTGGACAGAAATAGTTTGAGGAATAGAATTTGGAGGGGCGCGAGGGAGGTATATGTGAGTGCCTACATGGTGAAGTACATAAATTTCAGAAAATTAGTGATGATAAAAATTGCCAGGAAATACACACCTTCAGGGCCGTCAGCGTTAGACCATTCGTCCCGATAAGATGTGCGTAAAGTTTGGCCATATTTGACACCGTTCGTACATCCATTCCTTCGCCTTCCTCTCCAGCTCCTGCTGCCATTGCCTTGAATGCGTCCCAAAGTGCATATTGAAATGTAACCTTGAAGCCGTGTGCATGTTGACATACTTTCTGAGCGACGAGTGCATAATATGGATTGTACACGCGTTCTTGGCAGCAACAGTGAACGAGCACCCTGACGATTTCTCGTTCTTGTTTGTCCTTCAAATTCAATTTGAGCAGTCGTTCGAAAGCATCCACACAATCTTCACTGCTCATTAGGACGATAAACACACTGCGCCGAACGTCAGTGTTCATTTTTTGCGCCTTGGCGAGGCGCAATAAATCGTCCTTGGTATCCGCGGCTGTCGTTCTTTGAACGTCGCTGTCACGAAGTCCGCCCTCGGCGTCAACAGAACCATCGTGTCCAGCCCAAGCTGAGCCCACCAGCCACCATTTCCCCTTGGTCTTTACGGATCGGATATCTGCTAATCCAACCCTAAGGGGTTCTGTATTGTGAACATATCTCTTACTTGCTAGATTTGTCACAAACTTCTTCAATCGCTCTTGCTGGGTGCTCTCTCCGCCAGAGGAAATTCCTTTCTTTTGCAATTTCCGTTTGTTGTTTTTGAGATCCATTATTGTTTCCACCATAAACTTGAACCTCGTACTGGTACTTCCCACTTCTCGCTTCTTGACTTCTTCTTGAATCGTCAGGACAATGTCTTTCAGGGCCAACGGATCGTCCGCCCGGAGCTGAAACCCGCAGATCCGCAGCATCTTCAATAGTATCTCGACATCCAGCTCGGATAATTCACTGATGGTCATTCGCACGATGTCGTAGATCAGGACGCATGCAACCACTTCGAAATTGTACAGGTATGCCAGTAATATGACCAAATTTGTGCATCGCTTGCTCTTGGCCTCTACGCCATCAGGATCCTTTTTGTATCCTGCCAAATACTCTGCTCGAGACTGTTCGAAAAGCTCCACGATCGTTTGAACTATGTGCGCTCCAAACTCCACGCCGATTACGTTAAACAGCGTAGCAATGAACGCAGCGTACGTCAGTACAAAGGAATCCAGAAGATTTGCATGGTCACCGACAAACGCGACAATAGAGTCAGTCAAAATTTCTGTAACGTCGTGCCGGCTATTGTTTCGGTAGCATTCCTCAATGCTAACGAAAATGGACTCCATGTTTGCATCGCTCAGTCGGTTCAACAATCCTTGTATCTGTCGCTTCAGGCGTTTATATTGCTCGCTTTGATTTTCAGACTGTTTGCGCAAATGTGGCGGAACGTATTTCGCCGTCGTAGCCACGTTGGCATCAGTTTGTTCCACACTTTGCTCAAAGTTCTCAGACTGATCATTATCATCACTTTCCCCGGCCAGTTGTAAGCCATCCTCATCCTCATCCTCGTGGTCACTCTCGTTCTCGCTTTCCGCATCTTGAAGGGATGCATCAACTTCAGGTATCTCGCTCTCATCTGATTCCTGTCCATCAAAACCCTCGTCAAAACCCTCATCATCAGACTCATCAGAGTCTCCTTCATTTGGAGAGACCGAGCCTTCAATTCCATTTATACCCAGCTCCGAATCTCTATCAAAATCTGAATCGTCCTCCTCCTCATCCAAGCCCTGTTCACTGCTGTCATTCCTGCGATTCTCAGCCCAGTCCGTTGCGAAGTCTTCGTCATCCGACTTTATAAAATAATGAAATGAGTACCCGTGTCTCGAAGTGCCGCCAGAAAGAAGTGGAAGTTTACCTCGCCTCCGCCCATGAGCCCTTTGAAAAGAACTAAGGAAGAGTATAGGTTAGCCCGCTGTACGGAACACAGTCAAAGCAAGAAGCCCACCAACTTACAATCAAGACCATCCTCACTGAATGCTGAAGGCATCTTCTTCTGATCCTTGATTCCCAATTTTTTAGCATATTTGGCAATTTGCTCTTCGTCAGCACTGAACGCTGACTTTGTCACATCCCCCACAACCAGTCGTTGTTCGCTCAGCAGCCGGTAAAAGTTCGGATTATTTTTGGCGAGTCGTTCCAATTGACGCTTTTCGGTAGATGGGTCATTTGTTTTGACCTGGGTCGGTGGTTTTCTAGCCGCTTTCGGCGGCTCAGATACTATCTGAAGTTTGGGTTTCTTTGGGATATCGTCGTGCTGGATTGGCCCTTGCTTTCGCTTCTATCCATTGTGTTCTTGGCTTAGGACTTGTTCAAGAGCCGCGATGTTTCAATTTTCAACGCAATACATATCCTCACCTTCGTACCAGGCTCCACTTCTGTTGGAGGTTGTGTCTTCCGTCCGTAGTGGGCCGAAATTCTCTGCTTCTTCTCTTGCCGCTGCTGTTTACGGTCTGCCTTCCTTGAAAAGGCCTTCTTATTGAAGCGTAACGCAAAGCGCTGTTCAAGTTCTTTGTCTCCACTACCATCTTACGGTTCGGCACAACAGAAGATACGAGGAAGCGTGAGTTCCAAGCGACATACGAGCTTGACGAAGGCGCTGCATGTCCATACCAACAGTTCGACTTTCTAACTGGTCACTTAAGCGAGCGGGCAGCTTGGTCGTGTCGTCCGGCTGTCTCCGCCCTTTAGCATGACCTCGAGCTTTGAACCCGCCCCGACCTCTTGAACTTCTGTTCACCGAGGATCTCATAGCAAGTTTAACCATAGATGATGTATCAAGTTCAACATTTTTGGCCAAAAACAATTCAGTGGCACAGCGTGGCACGGCAGTCATGTCCAGACCCACGGACGTACTGATAGATCCGACAGAGCGATCGCCTGCCTGACGTTTCCAACATTTTGCTTTAACGACGCAACATGTCTCACAAGCCTCGGAGTATGCCCGTCGGGCAGCGCAATATTCTGCGTCCTAATGACTCGGCTTCTCTGTGGAACTGTACTCTATCTCCAGGTCGGATTCACAAGACCATTTTGTCATTCAAGTACGATATGTTATTGCTTATCCTTTTTCTTTGAAGGCTGGACGCGGGAGGAGTCTGATATTCTTCGAAAAGCGCTGATGAGATTTGGGGTCGGGAACTGGAAGGACATTATGGAGTCTGGGTGCCTTCCAGGAAAGACGAACGCACAGCTGAACTTGCAAACCCAGAGACTTTTGGGCCAGCAAAGCACGGCTGGTAAGTCACAGGGACGGCTTGTTTGATGCATTGAGTCCCAGAAAGTATGCAATATGGATGTGTAACATCGCTCATCCTCATAACATAGAATTTCAGATGCTCCATATCGACCCTCTTGTCATTGGGGAAAAAAATGCACAAATACAAGGAGAGCATGTGAAGCGAAAAAATGGGTTCATTGTCAATTCAGGAGGTTCGTAGATTGAACCATGCGATATCCTTGACTCAGAATCTCTGACTATTGAATGATAAAGGGAAATTGTCGCGGGAGGAGAAGTTGCGTAGAATAAAGGAAAACAAGGAAAAGTAAGTAGTGGACGGAGTCCAATCAAACCCCACCTGACCAGGGTCACTTATAATACCTTATAGGTATGAACTTCCGGAGGATGTATGGAGCAAGATAGACCTTCCCCGACGCGATGATGTAAGTTTTCACCTCTCCAGAACTACCTTGAATGAGAACATTGATTTGCCCTGCTTGCCCTGCTCTCTGACTGATATGATCCTAGCCGGTAATACGTAGGTGTTTGATTGGCCCTTGCATATTCATCGAGAAGTTTGAAGTATGACTGATCACATGTTCATAATGCGCAGTGCTTGAACAGAAAGAGCGACAGTTGGCAGAAATGCAGCAAGAGCTCATCAAGGTGCGGGAATGGATTCAGGATAGACGAACAGAAGTAACAAAAGATGCCAAAGCATTGTCGCTGGAGCTGGACTCCTTTGTCGAGAATGACGAGAATCTTGATATAATGGAAGAAACATCGAGAGGCAAGCGGATAAAACGATCACCATAACTAGGATCCTGTACATAGAATAGCATACGTAGCAAAATGACGGTTTCCCAGAACTCTCCAACAAGCGTTGCGAGAACAGTGTGAAGAGGATTTTTATTACCATCCAGTCGCTAGATTTGTGTGGGGACGCTGTATGCTTTGTATGTCGGTCGCAATATGTCATCTATACCCTCAGACGTTGCTCTTCCTCCAAAATTGATGCCACCCAATCTGCTGCCTCCCGGCCCGATTGAAGATCCCTAGTTCGTGTCCTGTAATCAAGCAACATCTGTAAGAACCAAATCCAATGAATTTTGCACAAGATCGACGTGACGATAAACCTTGCAGGAAGTTGGAAGAAGTCAAACTCCGTCTGCAAATCCCAGTAAAGACCAAACCTAGAAAGGGGTCAGTACTTAATTCAGCAGTGAAATAACAAGAGATGTACGAACCGGTCGAGTCGGTCAATAGACAGGTCCCGGACGAGATTCGCCTCGAGGTTCACCTGCACATGCGCGTGAGTTTGAGTCAGGTTGGCACTAGACCAAAGCGCCAGATCACAGGCCTCACGCACCTTTTCTTGCGCAACCTTTGCGTAGTCAAAGAGCATATCCAGGACCTTCTCATCAACCTCAGCCTTTGTGTAGTGTTTTGGTGGGGCGATAGTTTTTTGGTATAGAGTTCTAGTAAAGGGAGACAGTGGAGCGACGAATGCTCGAGGAGAAATAGCAGCCACACGCATAGGAGCCGCAAAGAGCGAACGCATGTTGAAGTTCAGTGTGTAAGCGAGCCGGTGAATGTGGAGGTCAGTAGCAAATCTCGAACGAGAGTTGGTTTGGGGACATCAAGCACGAGTGTCATAGCAACACGCGACGTGCCCAAACTTCCAACGCAACTTTCACGCAGCTTGCCATTTTTTATTTAATGAGGCCATGAGTAAGGAACGGTCGCCTACAATGGCGCAAGCTTTATTGGTGCGTTCGGGATATCAAAGATGGTCAGTGTGTCTCTTTCATTTGATAACAATCAGTTGCCGTAGGCAGGCGGACTTGCTGGGACCGCTGTCGATGTTGCCCTCTTCCCTCTTGATACAATAAAGACTCGGCTGGTGGGTAATGTGCCTTTACCATTTGCTGAATGGACTGCACTGTGTTACCACGTTTTGAGAGTCATGACACTTTAAAGTACGCATTAGCAAACTAAGGGAGGTTTTTGGGCCTCAGGAGGATTTTCCGGAGTGTACTCTGGTCTATCGTCAGTAGTAATAGGATCAGCACCGGGAGGTATGCGACGAGTCACCCTGTCCTGAATTTGATTACTATTATGATAATCGTAACTGTCCATCCTTACAGCTGCCGCTTTTTTTGTGACTTATGAATATCTGAAACGGAAGCTGGCCAGTGCGCTGCCTGGGCGAAACCGCGAACCGTTGGTGCATATGATTGCTGCATCCGGTGGAGAAGTTGTAGGTCTACTTATTTTAGATCCGACATCTTTGCGGGGTTATGAATTTTTGAATCAGGCCGCATGCTTTATTCGCGTACCAACGGAAGTTGTCAAGCAGCGAATGCAAACTGGCCAGTATCGAAGTGTATCGCTAGCCTTGACATCTATAATGAAGTTGAATGGAATACGAGGTTTTTATCAAGGCTACTCAATGACAGTTTTTCGCGAAGTCTGTTTTCCTTTTCTGCTCCTTCATATATTCATTGTTTTCTGATCAATAACCTAACACCAGATTCCATTCACATGCATCCAATTTCCGCTATATGAGCGATTTAAGGTTGGTCTTCAACGTCCGGCCGTCTGGTGCATATGTCTATACCCACTATTCCTACGAACAGAAAATATGGGCTGACTGGGAGGGTAGACCAGTGTATCCGTGGGAGGCGGCCCTATTTGGGTCAGTTGCTGGAGGAATTGCGGCCGCGTTGACGACGCCTCTGGACGTTGTTAAGACGAGGATCATGCTCTCCACAAAGGTAACAAAACCAGGTGTATTTGTGAAAAGCTGTTTAACAAACTGACTGTTTTTTTAACAGAGAGGAGGCGCCGTTGGTATATTGGAGACGTTTCGTGCAATTGTCGCAAAGGAGGGTGCGCGAACGCTTTTTTCTGGTGTCGGGCCGCGGGTTATATGGATATCGATCGGAGGTAGCATCTTCCTGGGCGTTTATGAAGCGGCGATGAACCTACTGGTGGATGGTAGACTGAGTGCTCATTCGTTCGACCTGTAGTCGAATGCATAAGTGTAGAGCATGACATCAATTAGAGTGTACCATGTCCATAGTCCACCAGCCCTAATAGAGACAAGCTACACCGCAAATGTAGATAAACAAACTTCGAGTGTTTATTAAAATTGTCATGGACAACGCTTCTAGACAAGTGTATACGATTTGCTTAAATGAGACCCTTCGCTACCGCTACCTCGGCATTCATGATACTGCTTCCTGCAGCGCCCAAGATGGTGTTGTGGGAGAGTAGCGAGAACTTAACATCGAAGATGTTGCACTTTCGTACCCGCCCAACCGCGACAGTGTTTCCATTTCCGATCATTATGTCCATTCGTGGCTGCGGTCGATCAGCCTCTTTCATCACAACGACCGCATGTTCAGGTGCCGATGGGACACCCAACTTCTGTGCATCCGATGTGTAGGATTGTAGGGCCTCGATGATCTGTTCGATCGATGGTGCTGGGCACTTTTGGAACTCCACCATGACGCTTTCCATATGTCCATCGATGACAGGGACACGGTTGCAGCTTGCCGACACCTTCATCTCTGGCAAATTTGAGAATCCAGTTAAATCTGCAGTGACCCCTCCGAGGATTTTGGAGCATTCGATTTCTATCTTCTCTTCTTCGCCGGATATGTACGGCACAACATTACCCAGGATATCCAAACTCGGCACACCTGGATACCCAGCTCCGGAGATCGCTTGCATGGTAGTGACAACCACGCGAGAGAGTGGACCAAAGGCATCTTGGAGAGCCTTCAATGGAACGACGAGACCAGTGGTGGAGCAGTTTGCGTTTGTGATGATGAAGCCTTTGCTCAGTCCGTGAACCTTGCGTTGATGTGCAATGACGTCAAAATGGGATGTATTAACGAGGGGAACAATGAGAGGAACAATAGGGTCCATGCGATAGTTCTTTGCATTTGAGAATACAGCAAAGTCAGCTTTAAGGAAAGCGGATTCAATGTCCCCTGCCACGTCTGAGTCTAGACCAGAGAAAACGATACGGCAGTTCTTAAAATTTTCCGGCTCGCATGTTTGTACGATGAGGGATGCTACGTCAGCAGGAATAACCGTAATTTGTTTCCAGGAACGAGCGGCAGCATCCTTGTAAGCTTTCCCGGCGGAACGTGCGGAAGCTCCAACCGCTGCGACGACAAAATAGGGATGACCTTCCAAAAGTTGAATGAAGCGCTGGCCAACGGTACCAGTGGCGCCCAGGATGCCGACTGGTATCTTCTCTGCCAGAGGTGTATTGGGTGCTGAAGAGGACATTTTTGGGGATGGTCGCAATTGTGGGAGATCAGCCCCCAAGTTCCCCAGCGCGCAAGTCATAGATGATCTTGGTCACGTGATAAATATAAACAATGCATTTTGCGATCCGGCTGGCGATCATCAACAGTAACTTATAAAACATGGCAACTAGCTCATGCAAAGGAATTGATGAAGATGCACACACGATCATGGTCGATGAACTTACCCATCATCGAACGGATTCATGACACCTACAGACAAATGCAAGATCGATGCCGAAAACTAATTTTCCTAGCAGGGAATACAACACGAGCGCTTCTATTGCTGGGTGCAACAAATCAAGAAAATACCGTGCTATGGGTGATCGTTCGCGATCAAGCACTTTTGGGCGATAAGTTCACACCATGCGATTTCCACCAGTAGAAGGCTAACTCTGTGTTGATATTCAGTTCATGATCCAACCCCTGGCGCACTTGTCACCAAGCATTCACTTTGACGCATACAAGTTGCTCTGGAGGGCTAAAGGGTCTTAAAAACACACTTATGAAAGGAGACGGAAGTTGAAAAAACGGATGGCGAGTAATCCGCTTACGCAATCTGTCACGCGCAATCACGCCTCGTCAAAGTGAGTCACGATTCGGTTGGACGCAGACCGGGAACGGCGGGGGGCAAAAAGACGAGGCGACGGAGGGATCTTTCCCCGCAAATAATTCTGTCGTCTTCGTCCCCATTGCTTTTTCAAGTCTTTCTCTCATCTATCTTCTGTATACCACACGAAATTCTGAGGTCCCAATTATCACGAATGTCCCCACCTTGCATTAACGAGTCAGATTCCTCGCCAACCACCTGTTGCTTTCCTTTCTGCACTGAAATGGAGAATCGTCGAACACAATCTTTGATGGATATGTCTCACCTGCAGCGAATTGGAGTTCTGGCATATCAGGTTTTTGCGGCGTTTCCTGGGCGGCATCCCGAGGCTGATGCGATACTGGACCGACTCTGCAGTCTGATCCGGGATGTAACTCTTGGACACTTGAAAGTTAAGGTGGGTTCGGGTTGCAACACCATCAGATTCAAAACGATCGCAAACCGGGTTTAAAAGCTGCTTTTGCTCACAACGCTTTCCATCTTAAAGCCCGCCCAATACCCTGTGGAATATTATCCAATATACGAGTCCTCTGTGTACACAATGTGTGTTTTTGTGCTGAAGCGTGGAACCACAATGCCAACACACGATCATCCAAAAATGACTGTCTTCAGCAAGATCGTAAGCGGGGATCTCCATGTGCGCACATATGAGTTTGCCAAAGGGTCGACCGCACAAGCTCATGCAGTAGTGGATCCGCGGACTGGAGATCTGGTCCAGGCACGACCAACAAAGGCTGGACTGAACAGAATCATATCTGCATCAGATCCTGAATCGCTGCTTCTGATACGTCCCGAGGGAGGACCGAACATGCACTCGTTTACTGCTGTCTCAGAGGAGGTGGTATTATTGGACATCATAGGGCCGCCGTATAATTCCGAAGACCGACCCTGTACATATTTCAGGGAAGTGAGCTGGGATGAAGGTTGCAAGTTGGTGGCTATGGGGGTGGAGGCAACTGCACCTGGAAAAAAATCGAAGAACAAAAAGAAAAAGAAGAGAAGAAGGGCAGTTGGACCCGAGCGCAAAACCGATGCTATGCCTATACAGGAAAATGGATCTGCTCCCAACCCATGCCCACCACCACCACCATCAACTCCTACCCTCGATCTTACACCGCCCCCTGTGAGGTCTTCGAACACAACAATATCCAATAGCTCCTCTGAAGCATCCCTTGACCTCCTTAATACCAGCGGCACAGACGAGATGTGTTGGCTGGTGGAGGATCCGGATGTTGACTACAGATGTGTTGAGCGCTTGTATCGTGGAGAGCCGGTTGCAAAAGTGGAAAGATATGCTAATGTCGAGCTCGGAATAATATAGCGTAGCATCGTCAGTGGTGAGTCTAGGGTGGCCGACATTGGGAAAACGCAGAGCAGAGGGCCAGCTTGGTGTCTATATCATATGTACATGACTGAGGAGCGGGGCAATTGCAAAGCTTAATCTTTTCGCCTCTCCGATAACGCCGTCTTAGACGCGATCTAATTGTAATCAAGAGCGTTGGGCTCTTGACATGCCTTCCCGGGTCAAAGCACATGGAATCTACCTGTGATAGAACTTAATCGAAGTTGCGCCATTCAAAAAAGGTCCATAAGTGTACCAATAACCCGTCTGTGTATCAGAAAGTGTCCGCTACCAAACTGTCCTTGCTTTGTACATTTAGAGCAATTATCTGCAGAAAAGCGCTGGGAAGGAGCAGATATCCTCAGGAAATAACCAATTAGAAATGTAACCCTAATCGCGGATTTTCAGGGTTGCCTCTGGCTTCCCAACTTTTGCATCATTGTCCACTCTTTATGGCAGAAATAGCAGGTGAAGAGCAACCTTACGCATGACCACGACTTTGAAAAGTTCTTTTTCATGTAACTAGGGAAACCCGCTTTCTGTTCGCCAACACATCGCAACTTCAAGGCAGTAGACGACGTTTGTATGTACTGCTCGAGATTGAATGGGCTACTGCAATCTGTGCTGATCATGTACTGTAGAGTCGGATGAAATACAGGTCGAGGATGAGGAAGCTTACCTAGTCGTTGTCATTATCTGTGTGCGGTTATGGTATTGGTATGAGGCGTTAGTGTACGTACTGGTTTACAAAGGCATGCTCTTACATGATGGGTCGCCGTAACCAAGTGAGTTAAGTGCGGCATCCCAACGAGATATTTCAGATCTTTGCACACAAGTCACTGAATACGCTAATAGCAAGGCTGCCTTCTGGAAAGTCTGAGCTACTCGGTAATAACCAGAGGACAACGAGGCTCTGAACATGGGAAGTCTGATGACAAATTGATGTGCCTCTGTGACGCCTGCTGCTCTCGTCCTTATCCTTTTTGCTTTCCATTTCAACCAAGTTTCTTCCTTTATTTTACTGAATCTTATTTGATCCATTCCGAGGAGAAAGCCAAGAAATACATAAAGCGTATTTTTTTCATTCACCGAGGCCCGTTATTCGCTGGTCTGAACAGCATGCCTCCCCCTGTGCTTCTTGACGGAAAGCAAAATTAGATGTGAGTATACAACAGAAGATTCGATCTCCAGGAAAGCGAGTATATCATCTGTTCATGCAACCTTCTTTAATGTGCGAGAGGTTACCATATCATTGATGAAGTTTTCGCCAGGATGGTTAGTAGAGCACACTAATCATCTTTCTTGGCCTACGCTTGCCGTCCGTACCTTATTTCCATTCTTTCTCTCATCTATGTTACGGCGCGGACACTCCCTTCAGCACACTCGCATGATACAAAATTGACTAGGTTTACTATCTCCATATCCATACCATCATTAGCCGTCAAATCATGACCTTGAACAGCCTTCCTGGATCTAGAACTAGTCTGACTGCAGCAAGATGAATGGGGCGTGTAACGCAAAAATGACACAGGAAGCAGTTCAGTCGTTAATATGGATGCCAGGAACTGTAGTGGTAACGTGACGCTCCCAGCATTGTTAGTACTGATTCATTCATCCTACTCAAGTGAGAGTTATGTTTAGCGTGTAATCAGGTCTTTAGAAGATTATCGATTGCGCGAAACGATGGCTTTCTAATGGTAGAATAAGGATACGCTAAACTTGAGACACAATTGGCTCCTTCCATTATCCCTATAGCTACCACAATAGGTTTAAGACTAAACAATTTATATATACTAGAATACAATCCATCATTAAACCTTTCCAAGTCCTAGCCACTGGCAACTGGGCTTAGTCAGCATAGGTCGCCAAGCTAAGCAACAACAGCCAACAATGGTCGTAGGGGGCAGAAACAAACCTAACCCAACGGACCCCGACCTACCTGGTTTCCGTAATTCCCATCAATCATCACTTATGAATTATTATTTTAATCTACTTACCTTTTCTCAGCAAGTTCGAGGCTGGTATCTAAAAACACCCCATAGCGTTGTTCTTCGGCCATCACTTCGATCTCTTTAATTTACATTCTCCTCCTGGGCAAAAATAAGTCGGGAGGATAGGGCTCAATTCCTCCGTTCACAGAAATTTTCATATGGGCATAGGTTTTGCCGTGCACGAAAGCAGCCATTGAAAGCCGTGGTCCAGGGGGCCAACATGCGGGCACGACAACCGATCATGGTTACCGATTGTGAGTCATAGGTTAGTCGATAGAATGTCCAACAAAGCATTTCACCGCTAATTACCTCCGCACCCTCCAGGCCCTAATGTCCATAATGACCAGCACAGCTGACGTCCCGCAATTTGTCGCCCCATTCGAGCTTTCATCACTACTGCATTCTGGTTACTCACACCCTACCTTACGAGTGTGGCAGTCATGTGAAGGGCGTACCCTTACAAAGAGCAGTCTTATATTTCCAATCTTTATTCACGACAAACCGGATGTTAAAGAGGAAATCGCTACACTTCCTGGACAGTATAGGTACGTTTCTTACGAGGAGATGTAAAGTGACAAGGTTACTTAAATACCTTATTCTAGATTTGGTGTCAACACACTAAAGGAGCACTTTGGCCCGCTTGTAGAAAATGGTCTGAAGACTGTACTTATATTCGGCGTTCCTACCTTGGCACAGAAGGTAAGGCACACCTCATGATCAGCTTCCAAAGTGTGCTGGTTCGCTGATATACTGGGCAGGACGAACGCGGGTCATGTGCAGACGATCCGAAAGGGCCTGTCATCGAAGCAATCAGATTTTTTCGCAAGGAGTTTCCGAGCATTCTTGTCGCCTGCGATCTTTGCCTGTGCGAATTCACAAGTCACGGACATTGCGGTACGGCACATGAGCTCTCTTGGACAGGCATGCTTACGTATCCTGGGCTTAATAAAACACAGGAATCTTGAATGAGGATGGCACAATTAACAACCAGCCAAGTATTGAACGTTTGGCAGAGGTAGCGTTAAGCTATGCGCGAGCAGGTTAGTTTGCTAGTCCGTCTTGGCGAGAAGGACCTTGTCCTTATGTCCTACCTACAGGGTGTCAAATCATTGCTCCATCCGACATGATGGATGGCCGCATAAGATCCATCAAGAAGATTCTTTTGGATAACGGTCTGGGAGCAAAGGTGGCTGTGATGGCTTATAGTGCAAAGTTTGCAAGCGTGTTTTATGGGCCATTCCGGTATGGTTTGTTGGTGATATCCGCTTGTCGAGTCGTAACTCAGCATGTCTGTAGGGATGCAGCTGGGTCCGCGCCCTCTCACGGCGACCGCAAATGCTATCAACTTCCACCGGGTGCCCGTGGGCTAGCACGCCGTGCATTGGTGAGGATGCAAAAACAGTCCACTTTAAGTAACCATTGCTCATTCCGCGTTTAGATCCGAGACGCAGGGGAAGGCGCCGATATCATCATGGTCAAGCCTGGCTACCCTTACCTGGACATTGTTCGTGATGCCAAGGAGTTGTTGCCAGACTTACCACTAGCCATTTACCAAGTATCCGGAGAGTATGCAATGCTTTGGCATGCCGCTCAAAATGGAGTTTTTGAGTTACGAGCAGGAGTAATGGAGTCGTTGCAAGCGGCCCTCAGAGCGGGTGAGTAGGTGCGGGTGACTTCACTTTCATCAAAGGCTAACTTCTGAAAACTTTCATCAGGTGCAAACATCCTTATCACGTATTATACACCGTTGCTATTAGACTGGCTAGAGGATTAGTGATCTCGTACATTGATTTTCTACACTGGTGCTGACTGATTATGTACAATTTGAATCAACGGTTACAATGCCCGCTATGTATGGCGTCCACCGCAGGTGTGGTCGCTGTGAGGATGCCACTGCAAGCGTCCTTGTCCTAGACATTAATCCCAACGCAAGGATAGAGACGAAGCATTAAAGGGATCATCAGGCGCCACTAGTGCAATGAGGTGGATTTGACACTCCTTGGTCGCTTCTGTGATCCCGAATAATATCACGAATCCACAGTAATTCTACTTTCAATTGCTTCTCGATGCGCCTTACTTTCCCCTCCAGGTCAAGTGCATCCACGCCAAGCATATCCGCGCACTTCCCTTGGACAATTCCGTAAGGACTATGAAACTCTCCTGCCGGATCGCGACCGACATAGGAGATGTAGTCAGACCCGGCAAGATCCGATAGAGGTGGATATGAACGAGTTTGTCTGTTGGCTGGTTGGAGGGGTTCGTTCGTGCTTTGGAAACTTTCGGACTGCTCACGTGGTGCGCAGGCTGCTTCGAAAATTTCAGCACCTAATGAACTGGGAATTTTAAAAGTTGCTTTCAAATCAGTGATCAAAGCTTTGGTCACGTTACCCTTCTGTTTTGCACCACGACGTAAAAGCGCCCTTGCAAAATTCTTGATATATTCCTTCCGACCTCGGAGATCCTGGTTATCTATGTCGCTAGAAGGAAGCAGTTAGCAAATTGTGACCAAGAAGTCGCTCGAACAATTAGCAGCCATTACCTCGTGGACCATGTTGCGTATGGTGGCTGTCCATCCTTTCTGGTTGCCAAATGATTGATCCACTTCTGCATCTCCTTCGAATCATGATCTGCTCCACATCGCAATTTAAATATCACCAACGCCAGGGCCCCATGCCACACCTCGCCATGACGGAGGTGCTTTCCCCCTCTTTTAAAGCCACTAAGTAGACGGTACAGCACTGCCATGTCGGAGTAAAATGTGACTGAAAAGGGAAAACCTCGGTAAGATGACTGTCGGCGCTTGACCGAATGCATCCCATCATACCTGGGAGGCAAAGTTCCTTCAACGTGCGTATCCATAGTAAAGGTGCGTTCACAGGCGGGAAGGCAATCCCAAACTTTTCTTCAAACAGCCGGCGAAACGATCCTGACGCGTCAAACATCTCTGACACACTGGGAACCACCTGTAATTCACCGTCAGCGCAAGGAATGCGAGAATTACCATCCAGGCGGAGTCAGTCACCTTTCGTTCAATACCGGAACGGTAAAGATTGAACCGTGATGTCAATTCGCTCGGAAGATCTGTAGCCGTGAAGAAGTACGGGATGTCTCCGGATATTGACCATCTTGTACGCCGATAAGCTATGGAAAAGAAAAATACACGCGACATACGAGCCCTTACCGATGCAGATCCTTGAGTAAAATTGGCACCCGGAGCAGAAGACAGCCAAGATGGCACAAGACCAACGAGTAATAAGGTAGTATATTCTGCATCACCCTCAGGTATTCCACTTCTGCTTCTGACTCGCCATCGGTACTGACGTTCGGCGTACGACTGCGACTTCTTCTCCTTCGTTTGCCTCGTCGTCCAGAGTCACTATATGCGTCCGATGCATTTACACTCTCGTCTCCAGAGGAGGGCGGGACAGATGATTGTTGCGAAGAGGGCCGCCAGTTCAAATGGTTACGACGACGATCCTCGAAATCAACCTCCAAGGCAGTGACGTACAACGACCATAGATCGAGAACGACCAACTGTTGGGGGAGGAACGAGGTCACTCACTTGGTGAAATAACATGGAACCATCGGCACAGCGTGAATCGAGGGACTTGCCTCCAGCTCTTCAGACAGTCCCTGTATCTTTATAATAGCTTGAACCTGTAGCTTGAGCGACCACTGAAAAACCTCACAGATCACACTGAAGGGTGTATCATGTTTAAACTCTGCAAAAAAAGGAACTGTCAACTGAGGGTCCGAACTTTATTCACTTTGGACACTTTGGGCAGGCATGCCTTTTGCTTTTCGCTTTCGCTCTCGTGATTGTGATCGTCGTCCACTTGCTCGCCGCCGGGCGTTTGAGGCAGCCTCCGCATCGTCGTCGCCACGCTCCTCTACATATGACTTTGACGCCACATTGAGCAACAACTAGAAGCATAAATTGTCTACGATTTAGGTTCGTACCGTAAGCTGGTGACCATATTGGCAGACGTAAAATCCAGCAGAGTCTTTTCTGTAAGTTCTAGATCGGCATACGGGACACGGAGGTTTTTTCATATCAGGAGGACTGTTCTCCCCGCCGAAAAGGTAGCCAACAGTGTCTAGGTTTTGAGTGTTTACACTCGAGGAAATTCAATCTTCATTCCCTCCAACATGTCCTCTGCTCCCAATCTGGCACCTGAACGCTGGACAGCTAAAGCAGATTAGTGTGAGCCATCACGTGCGTCATGTGATGGCTCACACTTTTGCTACCCAGCGTCGTTGGACGTCCAGCAATCTGCATGGGCAAGTCGCTGGATCCACAGAAACGTGCTGCCATCGTTGGGTTGCATAAAGCTGGACACTCTTGGGCAGAAATCGCCGCTCAAGAGAAGGCCAGCTTTACGGCAATCCGACATACGCTGAAGAAATACAAAGAAACTGGATCTTATGAAACCAAAAAAAGGCCCGGTCGGCCATCAAAGTTGCCACAAGGTATGGAATCTGCTGCGCTTGAAAGCTTATTAGATGGTGAAAATAGTCGGTTCTTGCCCCTAGATCAGCTTACGACGCAGTTTACTGAGAAAACTGGCATCACGGTTCACAAGTGCACGTTGCGACTAGGAGGACATTGCCACGTGACTGCGTAAAGTGTGCTGTGGATCTGGTTGTGGAGGGTCGAACGGAACCGATAATGTATTCAATTGAATTGGACCACATTTGGTACGATCATCTTGTGGGTATTTGATCACCATGTGCATTTCAGTTGATGCATTTGGAGCCGCACGGCTGTTGCGTAACTGAGGACAGACTCTTGAACTTGTCGCAACTGATAAGGATGGTTCACTCCTTGTTAGACCGCTATGCATTATAGTGATAAGCCATCGTAGTACTTTTGCCCATCATCATTTGACAAACATCTAATTTGCATACTATTAATCCGTGCTTGGCTCATCGCATGTACTTGCGTCTCCAGTACGGTACAAGCTTCTTTAAGAGTTTGCGTTGCGTGGTTGTCGCCAACACCCTTCGTTTCTTAGCTTTCCGCTTCCATACTCTCATCTTCCGGTTCAGATGACGACGCCCTGCCTGGGCTCGTTTGAACATCCCATCTCCCATTACCATCCATCTGATAGATCCATAAATGGTCAGCTACAGTAGTTTCGATTTTATGTATATCAGGGCGTCGTTCGGCGCCGTCATACCTGGCAACAGCTCCCCCGTGATTCTTTAGCTTATACTTTTTTGTCTTCCTCTTCGATGCTACTTTGTTCCGACCCCACGTTGTCTCCTGTCGTATCTGGAGTGATCCACACGAAGAAAACGGGGTTTGCGGTAGTGCTAGGGTTCTGCACGAATATCTGGATTCTGAGAAAAGACTTGCAGTGTAATGACTGCGTACAAGTCTAAGCCGAAGAACGTTGCAGCTTTGACGGGCATTCGGCAAGGTCCCCTCCAGTGGCCATTGAACCTTCGCCACTGTTTATAATTGAAGACGATCAGGAATGTAATCTCCAACAAATACCAGGAAACCCCCATTTCAAACTTTTGTAAGGGAAAAGTTCATACCTGGACAGCGGCGTGCGACGTGCCTCAACACCCCCCTATGTACCTTTATCGAAAGCATGGGCTGGTTCAATATGTAAACTCCACCTTGCAGAATGCCCATCGTTGACATGAGCCTCTCCATGGTAACAGACAATCGGAATAGTTTATAGACCATTATGGCCGAAATATTCAATTATAATACAATATACCCGGGATATCTATGCACTCAAATGCACTAAATGCATTCAAGGATTCGCATATGTCACCAATGGCGATTTGGATGGAAGATACACTCCAGTTCCCGGAACATACACAAGCTTGCTCGCCGATACACCTGCTGTTGACTCTACAGTAGGTCCTGCCAAGCTGGTGCCCTCCGTTGGTCCAGTATTACGACCTGTGTCACCGTGTTTCTTCCCGCTGGTCTTGCCTGTACGGCTCGCGACTGTTCCATCCTTGGCGGAGACACGGAAGACAAGCTCACGCAAACGATCGGAATGGTAATAAGCAATGGCCGCCAAAAATGCAAAGTTGTAAAATAGTGGAAGGAAAATGTGCCAGAAGATACCCATGATGACCATTCCGGCGAGGTTGTTGCGGAAGTCGACAAATGCGTAAATTGCAATCTGGAAAATGTTTTTTGAGTTGGTCTGCGGACGATTTCTCGTACAAAATGCCACTTACCAAAACAATGAACGCTATTCAAGAAGAATTGCCAGCGGCAGGAATTGCGATTAGTTCATCAGAAACTTCCAGTAACGTCTTCAGAAACAAAAACAAAAGCGTACCGAAAACTAGGAAGGCGCTGACAGCAGAGAACCAGAGGACCATCCAAATCAAGGTGGCCAGCTTCCCAAAACGTGCTGGATCATGGTGCGATTTACTCTGCGCTTCCTTGATGATGGAATATGTTGCTAACGATATCACCACGGTAACGACGAAGGTTATGGTAAGGCTGACAAGGTAGTTGGCCTTGGTAATCCGAGCCCTACACATGTGATCGATGCTTAAGAAATGGGATTTCCAACGGGAAGGAAGATTCCACTTACCAAAATACACCACCCATTCTGTCCTGATATTTGTACGGATCATCCGTCAATCCGGAAATGATCGCCAAAACGGTGTTGGGTGTAAACAGCACCAGGAAAAGGACCACCCGAACCCATCCTTTGCGAAATGTCTCTACTGCCAGCTGCCACCGTCTCGGCATTACAAAATCCGATAGAGGTAAAGCTTTGGAAACTGCCGAGACGTATTCGACTATCACGCAGAGCGCCGTGACACAACCTAAGTCCGCCATTTCGCTCATATGGGCTCCAAAGGGGGTACCAGAAATCAAAAGGGGAAGATATACGAGGCGCGACACGGTATGGGTTGCTAGAGAGTTCGTCGCAGTGTCAACAGAAATGCTGCAGATCAATTCAGACGAAGAGCGCACTTACTCCATCCAACGGCGAAGACTCGAAAAGGTGGCGAGAGTTCCTTGAGATGTGCCCATATCAAATACCCTAGCAGACCAAGCTGCATGATATAGAAAGCAAACGAAATGGCAATAATGGGAAACATGGCTCGCTCATCCCGACAGTTGGTCACAAGAAATTGAAGTTCGCACGGCGTCGAGCTGTCCATGTTTATTGCGCTCTACTTCAGTGTAATTGACTGGAGGAATATGATCTCTTTTGCGGAATGATGTTGTTGCCCGAGTATTTGGACTGGGAGTGCACAGTACAGGCAGGGAAGGTAGACGCGCAAGTCAAGCTAAATCCTAACCGAAAAATACCTTGTTGATGCGTCACAATTCTTTTTTTGGCTACTTTAAACCCTAGGTAGTGCCCGGCGAAATGGCTGGTTTAACAAAACAATGCATTGGCTTTTTTTAGTTCCATAGTATTTTGATGTGGCTGATTATCTGAAAGGAGTCCCACCTGAAATGTCCATTTTCACCCGCGCTCCTTTGTCTCCCGTCTAACAATAGAGGCCAATCTAATCAGGCACGCTATCGTCTCCCACAACCTGTTCACAGGCCTTTTGCACCTGCCTTGTTACTTGCTCAAACAATGATTATTTCACTTATTTCCGACATGCGATCGGGTGGTGGAAATACATTTGAAAAATGGCGCCAGCATGATCGTATCGCATCATTTTGAAAGGAACTGGCTTTCCTTCAAACGCTCGCAAGCGCAAACGTCCCTCCAAAGGCGTAGAAAGCTTGGCTTAACTGTGATCGAAATGCTAAGCCTTAAAGCTTACCAACTTTATCCTTCTTTCCCTTAGGATATTGGTTAAAACAAATAATACATGTGCTTAAGCATTAAGCACTCCAGTTTGGAAGGATTAGATAGATATAGGTTTGGGTATTTCACGGCGAGCTTTTCCATTTTCGATCAGGACTCGTATCCTACTGTTAATGTGGTCTTTGACAATGCCTTCATCCCGATTTCCGAGCGATTCCCGATTGAGCGGATAAAGCCGGATGGCTCCAATGATCTGTCACTTTAATGGGTTCAAATCACGCAAGTTGACCAGCATTGTGCATCTGCGATCTCCCCGTCATTGTTATTGGTTGGTACCATGACAAGCCGGTCGGGTGGACGCTACGGTGATAGATATATTGGAGAGGAGGAGAGAGAGCGACGTCCGGGAAATGCATCTTTTGTGACATTTGGAACTGAGCAGCCGCTGGATGCATCCGAGGTCCGGGCGAAAGACAGGAACAAGTACCTTCCGGTTCACTTGCAAGAGGTACGTCCCCCCATAAGTGTTCCTATCTCTACCCAATTCTACGCTGCTCACTCTATCTATTTCTCCCTTCTCAGCCTCGGGATGAAAAGGGGCGTAAGCGATTCCACGGTGCATTCACCGGCGGGTTCTCAGCGGGCTATTTCAATACCGTTGGCACCAAAGAGGGTACGTACGCATTTGATATCATTCCAAAGTCTCCAACCGCAACCGCACTGAATTGAATTGTGTGTTCAGGATGGACACCTTCTCAGTTTGTGTCGAGTAGGAGCTCCCGTTCTGCCCTCAATACTGCGAAACCAGAAGATTATATGGATGATGAAGATCTTGCAGAAATGTCGGGACGAATAGCTGCAACCGAGGAATATGATATAATAGGGGGAACGGAGCGCGAGTTGGCCAGGAAACGGGCTGCTGTAAGCACGATGGAAAAAGAGCAGAATGTCCTCGGCCAGTTACCTGGTCGACTCGTGGAAGATCTCATTGGTCCTCCAAAAGACCCTATTGGCATCAAACTGCTAAGGCAGATGGGTTGGAGAGAGGGCCATGGGGTCGGGCCGAGAGCGAAGAGGAAACGGAAGACGGAAGGTGCGGAAGGCGTGTGAATGTCTGATCATTCAACTGAAGCTGATAGTACTCCGCGTGTGCGCAGAAGACGATATTTATGCCGCCGAGCATGCCTTTGCACCTAAGGATATTGCTGTCGATATTCTCAAACCTAAAACTGACACTTTCGGGCTTGGATTCGATCCGTTTCATAATGCCCCCGAGTTTGCTGGCCGCAAGACAGTACCCGGTAAGAATTTCGCTGGAAATACCCTTGATAACAGTCTCCGTTGAGCTGATTGGCTATATTTAAAGCGTGAATAAAACAATGCTTATTCTTTAAACAGGTGCGCAAGCTTTGTCGGAAGGTCCGGAAAAGAAGAAACCCAAGAGTGCGGGGAGAGGTAAGCAACTATCTACAAAGCGTTGTGGGTGAACCCACCTATATTGCATATCATATTCATGGCATTGTTTTGTTGTGTTTAGCGGGCTTTGGGGTAGGCGTTTTCGAAGACGAGGAAGAAGACTTGGATGTGTACGGATCCGGAATGACCAATTACGACATGATAATTGACGATGACGATGATGAAATGCACCGTTTGGGCCAAAAGCTTGGCAGATCCGCATCTAAACGATCAATGGCCCTAGCGACTTCCCCATCGGCACCAATTGTTCAAGCGGGATTGTGCAGCGATGGACGCCTTCCTATTGTCGGGTTTCTTCTGGCAAATAACACCTTGCCTGAACCTACCTGGTGTGTTTTAACTGTAATGATAATTTTTGTTTTGAAACGTGCATATCATTGACCTTCAACTACAGGTACCCCCCGCCAATACTTCCGACCGATTTTATTCCCCGTCACACGTTCCAGCCAAATACACCTTCGGCCTCTCTCCGACAACCACAACACCCCACTGTTGATCAGTTTACGCACGCATCTCGACAGGGACGGCAAACAGAGCTGACAGCCGATCAGCGCCGGGATATCCTAGGAGAGGAGGCTTTAAGTGGTCCCCAACGCTCGGTATTTTCTTACTTGCCTATCAAGGAACAGGATCGACTACAAGCATTTATAGAGAAGGCAACCAAAGCTAGGGACGCCCTGATTCCTAAGGAGCCTAAAGAGGCCAAGCCTTCTACTTTGGGGCCTGAGGTTGAGAAGGATACGGCTTTGGCAGCACTAAAAGGTTTCATGCCATTCGGTAATGACATAGCAAAACAACAAAGATATCGTCGTTTCCTAGAGTACAAGGCTGGATTGACAACGGACGCTCCATTGCCGCCTCAGGTAGCTGCACCTCAGTCCTGACATTGAGAAACAACTTGTCGCTACCCCTACTAAGCACCCTCTAGCATCTGAGCAAGCAGGATGTCGCACACGAGCTCCTGGAGTTCTCCAAAGCTGCCCTGATCTTTAAACCACTGTCTTCCATGATGGCAGCACGATTTACTTCGTCGTCGGTAGAAACGGAGGAAAGAAAGCCGGAATCAAAAGATGTAGGTAGTCATTGGTTAGACCCGCGTTAGGCTGCCCGTTTACGTTCCGATTTTAGGTATCCAATGAGGCGGCAAGAATGAAAATGTACGGTCGATTAACTCGAACACGCACAGAGTGGCGACCGGATAAACTCCTGTGCAAGCGGTTCAATGTGGCGGACCCATATGCGAGCAAGACAAAAAAGCAAAAGCAAGACGAGGACGAGGATGATAGATTCCGCTCCACGGCTCGATTACAGCAGGACAAGCTCTTGGAGAAAGAAGTGTTGAACCCTCGAGCAATGGACAACTTGATGGCTGAACGGGATCGCCTAGTCAACGAAGGAAAGCTTGGTGGGAGCGCCGTCAATGGAATCGCTGGTATCACCCAAGAACCAGTGACGGAGATGTTAACAAGGGAAGCTGTACCTGGACAGGTGTTCGTGCCAACATCCGCTCCTACCAAACAAGAGGATGAAGGAATAGCCGCTGAGTATGAGCGACCTCCGATGGATATTTTTAAAGCCATTTTTGCGGATTCAGAGGATGAGGATGAGGATGACGACTCTGGGAGTGACACCCGCGATCCTAAGTTGAATGAGGTATTTGGTTGCACTGTGCACCGCGTCGCATGATGGTGACTGATTCGATCTTCAATTGCAGGTGCTGCCACCGGTCGAAGTTCCCAAGCAGGCATCTGCCGTACATGTTAGCATCTCCGTGCCAGCTGATACGGTGTCCGCTAAGCTTCCACCGCCTACCTTCCGTCCTCTATTTCGACGAAAAGAAGACCGCGGTAAAACCATCTCACAAACCAGAGGTGGTGTGGGGTCTGATACGGTATCGGGTGCTACAATTCCGGAAGATCCTAGCACAACAGAGGGAGAATCATTACCAGTTGACAAATCTAGTAGAGGGATGGCCCTTGCTCGCTCAACCTCAGAAGTGGAGCGCAAGGTTGCAAAGTCTAACTTGTCAAAAAGTCCCAGTTCAGAAATGATGGTGGTGGAAAAGGCGGCAGAAGACATGCCAATAGAACCGGACCCAGAGCGGCAGACGTCTTTTGGACGACCTGCCTTAAGTGAGAAGCAATCTGGCGACATATCATTGGATAATGACCAAGAAGAGAAAAGCAGATCCCACGACTCGGATGAGATCGATGACGGACGACAAGAGAAGGTGAAAAGGGCTAAAAAGGAAAGAAAGAAAAAGCGGGGGAGCAAATCCAGTCGCAAGCGGGAGCGGGAAGGGAGGGAACGACACAAGCGGAAGTATCGAGACACAACGAGTGAAGAGGAGGAGGAGGAGGTTTGGGTCGAGAAAAAAGTACAGACAATTCCAGTGGAAAACAGCTTTTCCAGTAGCACGAGAAACTGGTCGCAGTCTACGGATGCTGTCGATGCACGCAGGAGGTCCAACATGGCGGAACCGACTCAGATTGAGAAATCCGCGGACAATGAAAAGGACGGCGCCGTAAAGCGTTTCCATGAAGAGGAATCATCGAGAAAGCGGGCAAGAGCATCCGCTGCCGACTTTATGTAACTGATTAATCAAAATACAATCATGAATAGGGGGCCAGCTGCTGTATGTAGACTGGCCAACGCCGATATGGCACTACCAATACCCCCTTGAATCGCTCCGCGCAAAATTCCATTATTATCTACCACAAAAATACTCCAGTCATCACTCTCCTCGCATGTGCATTCCCAGCCATTCCTCCTCCGTCATCCCGTCTGGTTTCTGTTCCCCCTCTTTGGGCGTTTTCTTTGGTACCTGCGGTCCAGGTATACCAAATATTTTCGAAATTTTGTGCTGCAGTGTTGCGGTAACCGCTTTTCTCTCGTTTTTTAAACGTTCGCCAATCGAGGGACCAAGCGGTTTTTGATTTTGCATTTTGTGTTCGAGATCCTACTCAAAAGAAAGGGGTGAGCGATCCGGCTTCACGTAGAGTTGGCAAGTGACCGCCACTACTTGTTCTGTTGAAGTCGCCATTGTCGTCGCCAAAGCTTCGTGACCATGAGCGGAGCAAGACTGAGCAATGATGTCACAGGAAATATGGTCACGTGAGGGACCATCAAACTATCAGAAATGAAAAACTGTATCAAGATATGAAAACCTACAAACAAGAAAAAAGAACCAGAAAAAGCCCCTGCCACTGCCGGTCCAACCTTTAAATATACTAGAGACTTCTCGACTGAAAAGCCATTCTGGCAGCTGGTAGGGGCAGGATCTACGGGAAGCTATAGAATCTACAATGCACATATGATTTCAAATGATCTATTGAAGAATCTTGGTCACGACACCTGGAAAATGAACGTATGAGAAGAAGCGAGTGACAGCCGATGCGTAATATAACACCCACCAGTTCCAACCGTCTTTCCACCTTCACGAACGGTGAATCGAAGACCCTCGTCAATAGCAACTGGGGTCCCAAGTTCAACCTCCATCTCCACATTGTCTCCTGGCATGATCATCTTTCCCTCATTTCGGTTAGCGTGCCCTTGCTCTGTGTCAGGCCACCGAAGAGACGCCGTTACATCCATGGTACGGGCATACAGTTGTGGCTTGTAGTTCTCCACGAAAGGAGTATGTCGTCCACCTTCCTCCTTCTTAAGAATGTACATCTGAGTCAGGAACTTTTGGTGGGGCTTAATGGTGCCTGGCTTGGCAATGACCTGACCACGACGAAGTTGGTCACGCTTTAAACCACGCAGGAGAAGACCCGCGTTGTCACCGGCTTCGGCTCGCTCAAGTTCTAGCGCCCAAATATGAGTAACTGGTAGATAGCAATTGGATATTCGATGTGGTAGACTCACCCTTGTGGAACATTTCAACACCGGTGATAGTGGTTTTAATGGTCTCACCATATCCAATAATCTCGACTTCAGCACCTTTGGTAATAAAGCCACGCTCGACACTACCAGTGGTCACGGTACCACGTCCAGCAATGGAGAAGACATCTGAAGGAGCAAGCCCTTAGAGATCAACTATATGAAAAGGATACTGAATTCACTGTACCTTCAATAGGCATCAAGAAAGGCTTCTCCAAATCACGAACAGGAGTCGGGATGTGCTCATCAACAGACTGCATAAGCTTGAGGATAGCATCTTCACCAATCTCCTTTTCACGGTCTTCCAGCGCACAAAGCGCGGAGCCCATGATGATGGGGGTATTCTCACCGTCGTAACCGTACTCGGCAAGGAGATCCCGCATTTCCATCTCGACCTATTTACGCCACGTGAGGTCCCGCTCGTGAGCTAAAAAGCGACGTACATACCAACTCCAACATTTCCTTGTCATCAACCGCATCCACCTTGTTGATGAATACAACCAGATTTTTCACACCGACTTGGTTTGCCAAAAGCAAGTGTTCTCGGGTCTGGGGCATCTGACCGTCAGTAGCGGACACAACGATGATTGCGCCATCCTTTGGGACAGAAAACGTTAGCAGCAATAACTACGTCGGGTTTTGATAAACCATCCTTTTACCATCTGCGCTGCACCAGTGATCATGTTCTTGATATAATCAGCGTGACCAGGACAATCAACGTGCGCGTAATGACGGCTGTCAGTCTCATACTCGACGTGGGTAGTGGAAATAGTGATACCACGAGCCCGTTCTTCTGGGGCTTTGTCAATGGAAGCATAGTCACGGAAGTCGGCGCCACCTTTTTGTGCGAGAACTGCTCATCATCTGTAAGTAACTTCTCTCATCGGCAAATCAAATTATTGACGCTCACCTTTTGTGATCGCGGCAGTGAGGGTGGTTTTACCGTGATCGACGTGCCCGATGGTACCAATATTCACGTGGGGCTTTGCGCGCTGGAATGTAGCCATGGAACGAACTGTAAAAGTAGTGTTAAGGACCGACTGCGCGCGCCAGTAGCACACGCGTATATCCAGGCCTAGTTGCTCACCGTACAAAGATGGGCGGGAGAAGGTGTGGGAGGGGGTCGCGCGGGCAGAGGCGGAGAGGAAAGAGCGGGGCATCTGGAGCGAAAAACTCGAAAGTCAATTGGCGATTGCAGGAGGATAAAAATAGAAGACCTCAAGGAACGCAGTGGTATGGGAACTCACCGTCCTCAATCCGCGAGTAAGGCTAGCAGTAACAGCGGCCGCTACATTGTTTTCTTTTAAGCAACTAGCAAGCGCAACCAATTGTAGGGGACCTCCACACTTACAGCAAGAGAATGGCATTCTCCGGCAGGGCTCTGCCAAGGTAGAAGCCCTTCGGAAAGTTGTGTACACAGCGCGACCAGACATTTTAGCTATTGCTGGAGACGAGCGGAGCAGTAGCACGGTGATGCGGAGCTGATCAAAAGTCGCAAAGGAGCACCCAAAGAAGTTCAACTTCTTGGAGCTGCGTTCCGATTTCCGGTTGCCATGGGAAACGTAAAGTGGGTGCGGATGACTCACACGCGACACGCTCAACACGTCCAATTCTTGCCTTCAACTTGTGTTGTGTCAATGACGGCGGACATTCCCTCAGACCCCCCAAGCCCTGCGTTCCTACTGACGAGAGCCGATTCTACCCTAGAGACGCTAGATGCTTTGCTCTGCGAAGCTGAGCAACTCCTTTTGGCCGCCTCCTCACGCGAAGAGATCACGGGAAATCTAGATCAACGAGGAATTAACCTGGAGGAAAACCTGGCAGGGTTGAAATCGGATGTGGTTCTTCTGGATGAATCAAGAGAATATTTAGATGAGGTATGTTACTGGGTGATGTACAAGCCAGCATCAAATTAAAGAGTGATCGTAAGATAATATCGGATCCTACACGGGCAACTGACCTGGATACTCTGCGAGCGGAGCGGGATGAGTTGCGTGAGGTATGGTTGGTGTGTGCGGGTCAAGTCTTCAAATCTATGTTAATTTCTGATTCGCAATCATTTGACAGCGGGCCACAAGGATATCCCAGACATTACGGACATGTCTGGAACGATGTTATTATCTGCAAGACATGGTGGGGGATTTAACCCAGAGCGCAGATATACGACGATCGGATCCAGAAGAAGTAAAGGATTCAAGGCGAAATACTGAAGTGACACTGCCCGACTTGATGAACATCGATGTGTGATGCTTTGGGGACGCCGGCATGTGATATCTACGATCGCCCACGGCTGGAGTTACATCTGTATGGCAGCACGTCGAGGTGGTGGAAGTGGAGACCCTACTGATGGAAAGCGCATTGCCTCTGCCATTGTTGTCATGAATGCGAACTAGCACGACCTTAGCTCTCAGGTTGCTGAAGTATTGCCAATTGCACATACACATTTAGTCCCGTGCACAAACTGCTACACTACCACGAGCGGGTCTCTATCGATACTGCTTACAACAACCTCCGTGGCCGGCTCAGTTTCGCGAAGTAGGGTCTGAAGACGTGGTTGTAACACTTCAGCGAGATATCCGCGTTCTGGAAAATGTGCTCACTTTAATCGTTTCCCAATAATCATCGGAAATAAGCGGATAACGGATTATTGAATAATACCTGTGTTTGTATGCTCACACAAAATCACGCTTATATCATCTGCGAGAGCAGCCAGGACTTCATGATGCGACATCTCGCCTAGTAGTATGAGCGGGTTAATCGGTATTCAGAGTTTAGAGATGGTACGCATGTTATCACATACCTGTCAAGTACAAGTCCGCCTTGGTATTCATCAAGACAGAGGCACCTTTTTACGGAATAAGGAACAGTCGTTATGACCAAATAGTAAGACAATAGGCTTACCAGATCCTGCACAGATGGCGATTGACGTGATCGGCTTATTTTGCGTTGGAGTCGCTAGACGGACTAAAGACCAATATCAATTTCTATTTTGGCCCCCAAACCCGGGGATGACAGTTGAAGAATGGCGGAGACCCCAATTGTGGCATACCGTGCGCGAGTTTCAGATGAGATTTGACTCGTCGCACCATCTCGTGTATATCGACTGGCTTCTCAAGCAGGTGTATCCGCCCAGATCCAGATCCCAATTGGTCTATCTCGAGTGTCAGATGCCGTCCTTTGACTGTTTAAAGAAGCAAGGCAAATGATACCTGCCGGAGGATCTTTGATTGCATTGATCACGGTTGTCTGTCCAACCCCTAGACCCCGAGCAAGCCAATCGTTTATACCGCCAATACAGTTGTCCAACGCCGTGTGAGGTGAGAAGATCGACACACCTGAAAATCGCAATTAGCATAAAGCGGCCAAGAGAACTCCAAACTGCAGCATAACTCGTACCAGACGCCGCGCATTTCAGCGCGATGCTTTGTTTATCGTCATTCATGCACAAACGCTTTACCGCTTTGAAGATTGGAGGGTGGTAGCTGTATTTCACGACCCACCATTATTCCCGGTGTTGAAGTAAACCAGATCTATTGCACTTACGCCACAATGACACCGATTTTTGGATCCTTGAGAGCTTCTTCGAGCACATGCTGCAATACATGTTGCCAGAGAGGTGAGAAACGGTAACATGAGTGCAGGGGTAAGCCCACACTGTACCTGCCGAAGATCGATAGTAAGGAAGATGCGGGTCGCGTTTGTGCGTGGGAAGGGGGCCTCTACAAGAACGCCGACCTGAAGAGTGACATAATGTTGGCGATGCAGAAGTTCTCCATCCTGATACGGTTCAAGGTAGCAACATCTCTCCTGATTTTTGACATACATTGTCCCAGGCAGTTTCAGCAAGCTTCAATGGCGCAATCTTTTCCATGCAGCGGGTCACATGTTGCAAGAGAGTCATGTCGATTGTTTTCCCCGTGGAGATCAGAAAGTAAAAAGTATGGTGCCGTTCACCCATCACTCATATTACATAAGCGATCGAAGATCGCTCTCTGAAAATGGAAGTTGACCGCCCTCTGGGCTCCCCTCAACCATGACTATCTGTATCCTATACTAGTCTCAAGGTCTGATGAATTATCTAGTAATTCCATAGCTGGGGTTGAGTTAGATGCTCCTCCATTGGGTGACTGGAGAATGCCAACATCGCGATATTAAGTTAATGATGACAGCCAGCTCGCTAGACACAATCACTTACTTCCACCAAGAATGGAGGTGAAGGCACCAATAAGGCCAACAATGCCGGTTTCCAGCTTGACGTATTCAAGACCAGAAGCAGGGATCAGAATGTCGAGGGAGTCCTGGAGGGTGGCCATTCTAATCTTGTTGCGCTCGCTTTATCATCCAAGTGTTAGCATAGACAGCGAGTAAAATGAAAAAACGGTGCAGCAACTCACATTTGAAGCGTTTTGAGGGCTTTCACAGCCGTATCATCAGGGAGACCTTTTGCTTGTGAAGCCTTCAGCACTTTGCTCTCGTGTTGAATGCGCTGGGAATTGAGGCGAAGCTTGTGCAAATCTCCCAAGAATGAGGCAATCAGCGCAATCAACCAGCATTTCATGCCCCGACGACTGAGGTCCTTGATGTTTTCAAACTTCACTACACCGGCGGTGTTTGCCTGTGAACATGGAAATCAGAACAAGGCCCCAACCTATGACTCATGCACTAATATACGTACCCATTGACAGGTGTCATGGACAAGCCAGAGAGCAAGGAATGCGTTCTTAACAATGAGGGTGACACGCGACACATCGTCTCTAAGAGTTTGGGCTTTTTGAATGTTACGCACAAATTCAATTTGACGACCAACACGCATAACTAAACAAGAACGATGTCCAATTTTATCTAAGTAAAATGCATGGCCGGAAATATATGGCAGATTACATACGCTTTCGGGTTTGAGCAAGACTTCCCATAAATTTGGTGAGGCGCTCAAGGGTTTCCTTTTCGTAGCCGTTCTTCTGGCCGTGCCATATGAGGAAACGCGAGAAATATTGAAGGAACCTGTCAGGTAGGGGATCGTTCAGTCCTGCGCGGTCGGTAGCATATTCAGCGGAGTCCCTCACCTGTGAATGCGATCACGCCCTAGAAAAGAAGTGGCAACATCAGTACCTCTCGGTCAAACAAACACAACACAGTCTGTCAATCGCAAACACACCTGTAGCCGTTGACAAGTACTTGACCGTGTGGTCATGCAGCTGGGGAGAAATGATGGCAGACATTGCTGTAGCGGTTTTTCGGGGGAATGGCAAATGAGAGCGGGACGACAGACTTCTGGGCATTCCCGGAGCGCCTTTGTTTCACGTGAGGCCAAGATGAGGCATCTCTGTGCAATCCAACCATATATGGAAAGATAGCGACACGTGATTGACTGATATCAGAAACGCTCGCCGATCTGAGTAGGATGAACATGTATCGTTTGAAATCAAGAGCTTATTGTTTCAACCCAAGTTGGACACGGCAAAATCAAGCAGCTAGCAATAGCCAAAGACATAAGCAAACACATCTACCACTGGGCACAAGAGATGGCATGGCGAATCGAACGATTTGATGATGACAACTCACCGTGCTCACGTGACCGATTGCAGTCACTGTGCCTTCACATTTTTGTTGGCGAGCGAGCGCCTCGAAGGCATTCCCGTAAGCAGAAAGGACCTCCGCAAACCTCGTATTCTCCTTGCCTGCTTTATCCTTGCAATTTTCGACAGGTTCCGCTCATCCCTTACCCTCGGTGCCGTCTGTCTGTCCCTACTGTCGTTGACTGTATTCGTAGTCTCATGGCGGAAGTCAAACGAGAGCATGACTCACCTACCAGTGGGACCCAAGCAAAACCAAAACAACCTCCAAAGACAGACCCAAAGGCGGGCGCAAAACCCGCCAGCGGTACCAGATCGCCAAACTATCGTCTGAGATATACCCTTACTGGTCACACCAAGTCTATATCTTCTGTAAAGTTCTCTCCAGATGGAAGATGGCTGGCAACAGCTTGTAAGTCACTGGTTGCGGTGCAGGCTCTTTGGATTGAGTTGGGTCCACCAGTTCCTTACCTACTGCTACTCTACTCTTGGTCCACCAATAGCTGCCGATAATACCGTACGATTGTATCATGCAGCGACAGGCCAATATGAGATGACCCTCACAGGCCACATGCAAGGAATATCTGATATCGCTTGGTCATCAGATTCAAAGGACATTTGCTCTGCTTCTGATGATATGACCATTCGCATATGGAACATTAGCTCGGTAAATCAAAGTAGCTCCGTAATCTTGACAATTCTCGCTCAGATCATTCCCATACAATAGTCGGAGGCCATAAGAGTATTGAAGGGACACACGAATTACGTATTTTGCGTCAACTTTCATCCCCACAATAATCTAATCGTCTCCGGATCATTCGATGAAAGCGTACGGATCTGGGACGTAAAGAAGGGTACGTTTGGCTGATGTATATGTCGGCCGCATTAGGAAACGCTGACCTCTTGTGTAAAGGGAAGTGCTTGAAAACTCTGCCCGCGCATTCAGACCCAGTATCAGCTGTCTGCTTCAACCGAGATGGGACAGTTATCGTGTCATGTAGTTATGATGGACTCATGTGAGTAGTGGCCTTTTTTAATCGCACTGCTTGATTAGCTTATTGACCAGGTGGAGCGGTTGTCAGTCGAATTTGGGACACAGCAACAGGGGATTGTTTAAAAACCATTGTTGATGATAATAATCCCCCAGTGTGCGTATGCTCAGCATACTTTCGCAGCGACACGATTGATACTTACTCTGCTTGCAGTTCCTTTGTCAAATTCTCTCCTAACGGTAAATACATCCTCGCATCAAGTCTGGACAACACATTGAGATTATGGAGCTACTCCAACGGCAAATGTCTAAAGACGTATACGGGCCACCAAAACTCAAAGTATTGCGTATTCGGCTCTTTCTCGGTTACCGGTGGAAAATGGATTGTGAGTGGATCTGAGGATCACTTGATATATATATGGAATTTGCAGACAAAAGAGATTGTGCAGACATTAGCTGGGCATACAGGTGCGTACTATGAGATCGGAAGAAATGCGAGAAAATGTCTTATCCAGTATATTCTTAAAATAGACGTCGTTCTGTGTGTGGCGTGCCATCCGACAATGAACATGATCGCTTCTGGTGCCATCGATAATGACATGACGGTAAGTCCTGTCAAACAACTAGCCAAGAAAGGAGGCAGTAATATTAATATCTTGGACTGCGACCAGGTCCGAGTGTGGGTAGACGATGGACCATCATAAACTGCCCGAACAGATCTGCAACATAATGCAAGTGCAACTACATGTAATTACTTCCTTCTTGACTGTCCATAAATATGAGTGCTGGGTGTGGTGATAAGATCTTAGTTCCTTTACCAATCATCAGAGAAAAGGTTATGATCACGTATGCAATTTAGAAACATTTGATTTCCCAGCTTGCTTGTATTTACACTGCCCACGACATCTTTTAACTGGAGGAGGAACGGCAGCATCAAAACTTCAAATTTGCTTCCATACTCTGTACCAACATGTCCATGGTCTTTGCCGCTTGTAACCGTTCCGCTTGCTTCCCGCATGGTGATGCTGGGTCCGGGAAAGGTGCAAACGACGGTATGCTAAACAGGGAAGGCGAACCTGCCACTGGTGACAAAACCCATCGATCAGTGGCTACAGCCTCCGGTTCTTCCGGATCCATGGCTAACCCTCCTGCTCCGAAAAAGCTCTCAAACGCGCCATTATCGTCCATATTCCCAACCGTTCTGGATCTTCCGAATGCTCGTTTGTCTTTCCCTCTCCAAATCTGCCTCCTTTGCCGCCCTAGCATCTCTTCACCCTCCGAATCCGACTCGCTTTCTTGAACATACCGCTCCAAGCCCACGTCAAACCCGGTATCGAGGCCAACTCTTCTTAAGCGCTTGGGTAAACTCTCGGATTCCATACCCAGTTCTGAATGCGCTTGACCAGAGGCTGTTCGTCGAGCCCGCTGTGATAGGTGATCGCATGCACGGAGACTACTGATAAACAAAGCAGGCGATCTTCTCTTTTCAGGTGCACGGGGAAGTCTTCGAGATTGGTGCGCGATTACCCTATTCGGATGGCCCGAACGCGATCGAATGCTTGTGGGTGAAAGTGACGGCGGAGTCGTACAGGGACGTTTGGTACCTGCCAAAGGTCGGGGATTTCGAGATGAAGGTGTCAAGGTTGGATCAGTACGATGTCGAACAAGTCGGCGACGGGGATCTGGTGTGCCAGGGCAAGGTAATGAAGAACTACCAGCCATAGTACTTGATCTCCCTACTTGAGTCGTCGCACTTCGCTGAAACAATCGCGGCCGAGCCAAAGGTTTAGTGGGACTCGTTGCAGGTGATGTGCCTCTCCTACCGGTCCAATGACCTCGTTGGCCTGCTTGTCCAGACAAACCGCCTACCCCGAAAAGTGCCGCAGCACGCTGTCCAGGCGTTATTCCCTGTCCTTCAACTGGCTCCGATCCAGCATCTCTACTGCGTTCTGGAGCAGGGTCCTCTGCTGTCGTTGTTGGCGTCAGAGGACCCGAGGACTGTCTTCGAAAAGTTCGCCGCGCACTGGACGGTGCTGGCGGAGGTGAGCCAGTTGTTGACAAATTCATTGACGCTAATAGCTCAGCAAGCTCCGTTGAAGTCGTTGGCGTTGACTGTTCTTGGTTGTAGAAGGTCATTATGCCAAAATGGAAGTACGAGGAAGCCACTATCGAGTGGGCTGGTGCAACGATTGCACACCCGCCAATACAAGCATAAAACCTGTCAGAACAGAGAGCTTGATAACCTTGTTATTCAGTCACCGCATACAACCGACGAACTTTATAAAGCAACGTCCGCCGTTTTCCGTACCTTCAAAATACCGCGGGACAAAGTCTACAGCAACATCGCTTACCAAGCTCAGTAAGCTGAACCAGCAGAGGAACGCGAAATGAACCGGCAAGTGGCCCAGAGTTCTCCGCCTGCAAAAAGTCCGAGAGCTCGATCCAAGCCCATAAAGGCCAAGCTCTGAGACCCTTCAAAGTCTAAACGGGACGCATCACTGCCCTCATGCTTCGTGCATGCCTTGAACTGCTGCGCAAACAACAATCGGAGCACGATACACTCGACCATGGGAACAAAAGCCCTTTATTTGCAAACGCTTTGCTCAACTAACTCATCCACTTGGAAACAAGTTTGACGCTGCACTACGAAGAGAAGATGCACTTATTGAACCAGTGTGCGAGCGTACCATACAGCGTTGGCTTGTCCCTTTATGCTACTCTCCAAGTTCACGACGCTTTTGGTGAAGTCGGTTCACCGTACTACAGTTCTAGTTGTGAAGAAGTTGTCTTCTTCTGACCTTGCTAGGTTGCATGGTTTGCAGTCTTGCTCTCCGTCGTATGAGGACTACACCGCATGCCGTAAACTGATGCTCGTTTGCTTCACATTGGAGCAATATAGCATATCTGTCGCTGCCTTCTGGCAACCAGGCGAATCTTTCGAACTCAAAAGTATGCTATCAAACTACGGAAACACTCTAATACAAACCGGACATTACGGTCAGCTGAAGTGCAATTTGCATTTTGCATCCAAGACCCTCTTAGGCTTCGTCACTTGGCAAGGCAACCTTCATATTGGAATTGAGAGGTCGAAGTCATTACAAATATGATACGATTACCAGATGGAAATATCCATTGGGAGTAGCAAGGAATACTAATCTGTGGTACGTTGAATACGGCTCGAAGCCCAGAACCCAGGATTACTCTTATACAACGATGTGAATGAAGGATGAAACCTAGATTACAGAGCTTCTCCCATGAAATGAATACTTGGCCCAATCGCAGGAATGAACTCGCTCCTTTGACTTTTTTTGCTGGCATCGCTCTTTCTGCCTTCTAGGCTCAAGTTTCCTGCCAAATCCTCTGAATTGTCTCAAAATATGCTTCTTCGCTTGTTTCTTCTGATTGGCATGATTGGAGGATTATAACTCAACCACGATGATGGGGCCATATGTGGTACGCTTGTGTTAGATTTATCAGTAGTTCTGTAAGCGGAGAGTCCTGCATTTGGCCACACCAAGAAACGGGAAGAGAAAACTATAGTAAAAATATCCGGCTATTTCCGCATGATTATGGAGCGATTGCGACAAGTATAGTGTGAGGAATCGCCCGAGAATGTTCTGACCAACAGCTTGATCCTTGTCTCCAACACGACTGGTAATACATTCGTACCTGTATCCTCCCTCTTCTATACTCTCCTCCGCACATGATGGAGATGCTCCCACTTCTTATGACTTCGGCCGCCAAAAAGCCGTTCACTCCCTACGCCCTCTTCTTGCCATGAAGGTCAAGTTAGTCGAGTCCCTGCCTGATAAGATTGTCAATTGGAACTTCGAGCAACCGAGCCCGCTCGACACCGCAGAGATCAAGATGAGAGGCGCATCGCCGGTATTGCTTTTCACTCGACAGGGATCACCGTGATAGCAGGCTCAAATTGCAGTCCTCCCACAACTTGCCGATCTTTGATGAGCTAATTCTACTTTGTAATGCATGAGAGGAAACTCCACGGCTAGTCAGGTTCACGTTGAGCCTCGATCAGACATAAAGCGGTTCAGCCTTGCCCTTTGCAGTCTATTATTCGATGATGCACCAAGCAGACAGATAACTTTGCTAGCACACTTGTGATGATATAAATGCTCTGACTGTTCTTCATCGCTAAATTATTGTAGCAGCTCTGAGCTCTCCGCGCTAATGCGTCTCCCGCGCTACCATTCCCCAGAAATGACGATGCTACGGTAACTTCAGCAGTGAAGAGAGGCCAGTTACACATAGCAATTGGGCTAACGAGAAGATATGCAGCGAATCTCATAGGAGTAGCTGCTGCTCGATCAAATAATTAATCAGAATTTGAATGGTCTTTCATGACACTGCACTTGGGGGAGCATGGAGTACAAAAAGCATATAATTGAAATAAATAACTCAGGTATGTACAATTCAGGACCTCCAACGCTAACCGTCGACGTGATCGCATGTCGCACTGTCGTATAGAACACTACAATAGGTCAAAGTCGTCCAGCTGGTGAAGCAACGGTATCAGGTCTCCATTAAGATACGATAGATCAACCAGAAGTTAGTTCCTACCTTGTCGTTATATTTCATAATCTTCCTCTTGATCTTGGAAGTATCGACCCAGGTTACAAAGTCTTCCATATTTCTCGTGACAAGATATGCTGGGTCTGTCACTGTTTCCGGCCCTACTCGCACATGTCCCTGCTCTACATATACAACCGCTTGCTTCACCGTTTCTGCCATTTTTAGGCGCACCATGACCACTGGAAGCCTACGCCTACAGAAGGCAGCCACAGTAATCTTTGAGCACTGACTTAGACTCTTCTCGGCAGTCAGGACGCCCATCTTGTAGAGCTTTTCCAGTAATGCATCTGTCATCTTTACGCGGACAGGATCGCGAGGGTCCAATAGAGAGAGTTTATTTGCCAGCTTCGTTATTTGACCACACATTTTGTTATATCTGTGTAGGATGAAAGGTGAGCACCAAAATATGCATTGTTTAGAGAGTACACAACAAACTTTATATAGTCCTCTCGCTTCTGGACGTGGTATCGCCGCATAACTCTGGTCTCGTGAAGCGACTGATCGGACTTCCATTGTAGGAAGTCCACCTTCCGAAGCAGCTTTTTCTCGTGGTACTTGAATTCTCGAACCATTGCGGATGAGCAGGAGGGAGGGTTGGAAGAGTGTTGATTGCCGTTGACCACCTTCGTCAGAAGCAGTTTCCATCCAGCACGTGAAAAAACAAATTCTTGGCACAGTCATGGTACAATGAACAAAAGAGAACCAAGATAATGGGTACTCCGCATCGGGGAATCGAACCCCGGCCACCGCGGTGAAAGCGCGGGATCCTAACCACTGGACCAATGCGGACGGTTCGTTCGTCCTTCGGAATAATCAACATATGTTTTCAGGCTTCCCGGTACTCACAGCTCCTTATGGCGGCATTTGTAAATATCATCGATTCATGTTTTACGTCCAAACCATTTAATTCCTCGCTCCGCCTTGTTGTCTGTGGGTGGATAACTGCACACTTCAAGTTGCCGACTAAGTGTATATTCATCATACATCGTAAGGTTTTATCATTACAATCAAAATTTAACCTATCCAAAACTATCTGAAAATCTCTGCCTACAAACGTCATTTCTGGGTGTGTCGAGCTTCACCATTCGGCACAACCCCAGGGCTCACCTTCGCAGTAGCATTCTTGGGTGCTGTGGCGAGTGGTGGTCGCTGAGTTGACTCCTCCACTTGTCCTGAAACTCTATCGCGCTTTCCCCAGCTTCTGCCGGATGTTCCCACGGCACCGCCGTTTCGCGATGGTGTAGGACTGCTGGCCCTCGATTCGTGCTTCGATGCGGACGCCGCTAAATCATTGCCGGAACTACTTTTACGGAGGCTAGACGGTGGAGTATGAGGACGGGATCGCGACACGCTGGACATGGTTTTGCTGCTTCCCGATGACACTAAATGAGGATTCGATTGTGACGTACGCCGGAACCTGGGAGATGAAACTAAGCGAGTGTTCGAGCCTGCGATCTCGCCCCCGGTCCCCGTGATTCCTGAAGAAGTAGAACCGTGATCAAGGACGAAAACAGATGCATTAACAAATCGCTCTGAAATCTCGCGCGACATGGAATCTAAGAATCGGGTGCCATTACAAATGAATGGCTGTCCCGTTTCTGCTTCCATCGCCTGTACACCCTTTCTCAGCGCATCCTCCATTTTTAATAGTGTAGGATAGCATGTCTTGCGGAACTTCTCCTCTTCCACAAGACGGAACGACGGTCGAAATAGCCTTTTGGGATCGGACGCAGTTTTCTCAAAATCAATCATCTTCTGGATAAACGCCACTCGATCCTCCACCATCTTGAACAAGGACCGGTGCACTTCATAGCGCTTCTCTAAGATTTCAATTTCCTGACATAGAATCTCGACAGTCAATGGCGAATAAGGATTGTCTTTAATGTTATCCATAAATCGTCTGCGTTCATCATGCGGAACATGACATTGCTGCCAGAGTGTCTCAGCCCGCTTGAGCAAACTGTCAACTTTCTCCTCCATGTTTTGCTTCCATTTTACACGCAAATCATCAGATATCGCCGTGTACTCATCGATACATTCTATGCTTCTCCGAAGGGCTTTCCTGTGGCTTTTCGGGATATCCAGTTGATCCCAGAAGAGCTCGATTTCTCGAATCAAGTTGTCGACTTTTTTCATCAACAGCTCATGTTCAACTCGAACGCGCTCACTAGCATCCTTGAGCTCGCAAATAAATTTGCGCGACAAACTCAAGGGTGGCCGGATGCCTTTCGACACTAATGCAGATCGAATATGCTCGGGCGAAAGAATGGCAATTGAAACGCCGTCGCACAAGTTGTCTAAGGGTGATCGAAATGGCTCCGGTACCGACTGGGAAAGTTCACAAGAGAGACATAATAGTTGCGCTGCTGATCGGCTGAGAGCGTCTATGCGTAACACCTGAAGCCAGTGAGCTATCGGCACGTTTTTGTTAGAAGAAGTGAGCAAGGCATATGCGTACTTTCTCAGTTTCAAGTTCCTTCAGTATACGGCGTGCTTTCTCAAGACTACTCAGCGTCAATTCCGAACTTGGCTGTAAGAAACGACGGTCAATCATAGCACTAGCAGATGCAAGATATTGAGAGAATCCTGATACCATATTATCTTCATCCTCTTCAAAATCTTCCAATTCTTCGCGAAGAGCGACGCATTGGTTCCAAATCATTTTGTGTTCTTCCTGGCGTTGTGATATAAGCTGGCAATAGATAATCTTGGTCAGTACAGTGGATGGTAAAAGCAGCAAAGTCAGCCAGGTCTACCTGACGTAAACTATTATGCTTTTGTGCTAGTTCTCCGCGTTGTAGATAGATAGAGGTTATTGGTGCATGAGAATCTCCAATATACTGATCAAGGCTCTCCCCTGTGGTATCACAGTACGAGCGTATCTCACTCTGCACTTTTTAATGTCAGAGGTATTGTGAGCCTCCCTCATCCTTGGCATAAGCACATACCGAAAGTCTCTCAATCTGGAGTATTACTTCCTCGCGCCGTCTCATCTCGTCCGAAATCATTGCTTCAATAATTTCCTTCAAGCACTTGTAGGCAATATGGATTGGCGACTGAAATGAACTGCTACAGATCTGTACCAAGCTTGCATCATACCTGGAACGACCGCTCGCGTTCCGCCCAGCCAGACGGTCCATTACCGAGCATACTCAGGGGCGCCGCCATGCCGGCTTCACTGCCTTCCTTTCCATCAAGCACAACAGGAGTATATCCACTATCCTCGTACAATGCCTCTTGCCAGAGCTCCTCTATCCGAACGAGTTTTGCTTTGACGTCGTTCAAGGACTCAAAGCTAAAGCTATGCACGAAGCTGGCTGTACTATCACTATTTCTGATCGGCGAAGCATTCGGCGCGCGTTTGTGAGGTGTCTCTTGTTTGGCAGATGCCCGAGGGGGAGAATAGAAGCGGGTCGCACCCCGCGAGCTTTGCGAGAAGCTAGGAGAAGACAGAACTCGTTTTGCGACTTGCGAGACGGTTCGAACTGGTGGAGAACTATCTGCAGATGTCTGAATATAGGATCTAAGGTTTAGACGCTATCCTTTTGCTGAATTATAGCTTGCACAAAAGAACAAAGCAACTCGCCAGCATTTTATTTTCCTTTGTAAGGTACGCGTATGAGGTCCAACGCCAAACGCGGCGGTTTTACGGGAAAGCTCAATCACTAAACTTCTCACTCAGCAGTGTACTGTAGTTGCTAAAGCTGTCTATGGTGCTGTTGGTCCGTTTCAGATATTTTTGTTAAGCAAAGGTGTGAGATCACTCTAGGACGGACGCGACCTTGGGACGCGACGGACTATGCTCAAGAACACGTGACCGTAGCCTAGCGATACGCTCTGCTTGCAATTCAGAGCTGTTCAACATATTCATTCACATCTAAACTTTCCCGGAGCTGAATATTACATGCACCATCTTGCAAAAATCATGAGGAACAACGTCATTGTGATTTATTGCGCATATATTTAGGCGTAACGGTGAATTTCATCTGGGGTGCATCCACGCAGGAATGGAGGTTCGTTACCCTTGCTGTAAATGTCGGTAAATAGTTCCCCCACATCGGGCTCAGGGCTGGCTTTCGCGTCTGTCACTGCTTTGTCAATCTCCGTTCGCACCTCCTTGTCAATTTTCTTCAATTCTTCCTCCGACAAAATATCCCGCTCAAGAATCCTCTCCTTCAACCCAGTAATCGGATCATTGGTCGAGCGCATGTGTTGAATTTCTTCACGGGTACGGTACGTAGTTCCCGGGTCGGACATAGAGTGTCCACCGTACCGGTATGTGACCATTTCCATGACAAGAGGCCCTTTTCCAGAAAGAGTCCATTCACGTGCCCATTTTGATGCCTCTTTCACAGCTAGAACGTCCATCCCATTGACCCGAATACCAGGGATGTAGTCACCGCGCGTATAGTACTTTGTCGATGCTGCTGCACGGTGTGCAGAGGTACCCATACCATACATGTTGTTTTCGCAAACGAAGACAACAGGAAGATTCCACAGCTTTGCCATGTTGTATGCCTCAAAAACCTGCCCTTGGTTTGCGGCACCGTCCCCGTACAGCGCAAATGTCATTGTTCCCTTGTTCAGATACTTTTGGGCAAGGGCAATCCCTGCACCGATAGGTACCTGCGCACCGACAATACCGTTTCCGCCATAAAATTCGTGCGCAAACATGTGCATTGAACCACCCTTGCCCCGTGAGCATCCATCACGTCGACCCATCAGTTCTGCTAATATACTCGTCGGAGAGGCACCCCGAACCAATGTGAACCCGTGACAGCGGTACGCCGTAATGATTGAATCGTCTTTCGAGATCCCCGCGCTCATCCCAGTGGCAACAGCCTCCTGGCCCGTCGACAAGTGGCAGAAACCCCGAATCAACTTTGCTTTATAAAGCTGTTTGATTCAGAAGCAGACATGATCTTAACATATGAAGATAGAGAACAGAAGCACTTTTATTACGAGGTACCTGGTCAGACGCGGTCTCCAACCGGCGGATGACCGCCATTGTCCGGTATAATTCGACCAACTCATCTTTGGTTGCGGTGGACTCAAGAGGGATGGGGCCACAGTTGTGATAGGCATAGTGGCTCTCGGGAAAGGTAAATGTGTAGGTCTCCTCTGCGCGGGGGACGGCAGTTGTCGAGAACAGCCGGGGTGCAACGCTGGAGGGTGTAGCGCGCATGCCGATGGAACGCGCCGCCGATGCCGTTCGTGCTAGTGTGTGCGTCAACATGGCGTTTGCACAGAGCGCAGAAAGAAAGACTGGGAAGAGGCTCGTCGGCACTGCAGCAACTCAATACAAAGAAAACAAGTGCCGAATATAAAACTGCGGCGACGACGACAACTGACGGCAGGACAATGGTAATCGATCGATGACCCGTCGGATAGGGTGCACTAAGCCAACAGTCTAAGCCATGAGTGTACGTCATCAAATCAGACCAATGAAGAACCTGTGGCGCTGCACTCACGCAGAGTCGTCCTGCCTGCACGGATGACGCGTTCAAGTGCATTCAGAACTTGTCGAGATTTGCAGACAATCATTCTTGGAAGCGCCCTTATTAATATTGCGAGCGACATCTTTGCACCGTGATCTAAATTCACTACCATTCAATTAGCACTATTCGCGAGAAAAAATGTCTGGCGGGACACTAGCCGATTCCCTTACGCAAGCCGATGAGCTGGCCAAGACGTCTCCGGACCAGGCCATCATTGCTTATCAGAACCTAGTCAATGATGCCACAGGGGGCACCGAGGAAGAAGTTAGAGTCAGGGAGGCCGCCTTTTTGAAGTTAGGAGAGCTTTATCGGGATACTAAGAGAGCGCAGGAACTGGGACAACTCATTCGGGCGTCGCCGTCGTATTTGGCCAACACATCCAAAGCAAAGACTGCCAAACTCATAAGAACGCTACTCGATCTTTTTGCGGATATCCCAGACTCTATTCCTCTTCAAATCGACGTGTGCAGGGAATCCATTCAATGGGCCCTGAACGAGAAACGCATATTTTTGCGACAGGCGTTGGAGACTCGGCTAGTGGCTCTTTATTTGGATAACAAATCATACTCGGATGCCCTTACGCTCATCGCATCCCTGCTAAAAGAGTTGAAGCGATTGGATGACAAGAATGTATTGATGGAAGTTCAGCTACTTGAAAGTAGAGCCTATCATGCCTTGCGCAACCTGGCAAAATCGCGTGCAGCGTTGACCTCAGCGCGTACATCAGCCAATTCAATTTACTGCCCACCCTTGATGCAGGCTCAGCTTGATATGCAGTCAGGAATCTTGCATGCCGAAGAGAAGGACTACAAAACAGCGTAGGTGGAATGGACCACTGGACGCAATGATGGGGGCTCCTTGCGAATCACTCTTTTCTTCTCTAGATACTCGTACTTTTACGAAACATTAGAAAGCTTTGCATCACAGGATGACAGGCGGGCTGTCCTCGCTCTAAAGTACATGTTACTGTGCAAAATAATGCTGAACCTGGTGCGTGAACCAACCATCGCTTGTCACCCATATCTGAGCGAGAAATTCATTCTCCTTCAAGTCAGAAGATGTCAATGCTATTGTAAATAGCAAACTGGCCCTGCGGTATGCTGGATCTCAAGTCGAAGCAATGCGCGCCATCGCAAGCGCCCATCAAAATCGGTCCCTTCTAGAGTTTGAGCAAGCTTTGGCAAAATACAAAGAAGGTCAGTGTCCGTAGGCAAAGTCCGGCATCTGCTGTAGATCCTAAAAATAGTATGTTGGCGTCCTACAGAGCTAGGAAATGATCCCATCATACGCTCCCACCTGGCTGCACTGTACGACACCTTATTTGAACAAAATTTGCTGCGAATCATTGAGCCCTTCTCTCGGGTTGAAATCGCTCATGTTGCTGAATTGGTGAAGCTTCCTACAACGTCTGTCGAAACTAAGTGAGTGGTCTGTGTGGCTAACGTTAAAGAATCGTAGAATGCTAAAAAGTCAATCTACTGTCCGAAGACTGTCCCAGATGATTCTTGATAAAGTGTTTAGTGGAATTCTGGATCAAGGAGCCGGATGTCTGGAAGTGTTTGATGAACGCGAGGCAGATGTAAGATCTCTCACATGTAACCTGGTTACGATGTATCTTGACGCGTACCGTTCCGATTCTAGAAAACATATGAGGCAACGCTAGATACCATCAAAAACATGGGTCACGTGGTGGAATCGCTTTACGAGAAGGTATGTCTCGTTTTTTGGGTGAATTTCCTGGATATTTTGATAGACATTTATTCTCTGGCTACTCGTTTTCAGGCAGCTCAACTAACATAGATAGGCTGTGTACTTCACTGGGATAATATATTTTCTGTGGAACTCTCATTGAAATACTCTCAGTATGCAATATTCTCTATGGATTATGCAGCTGTTCACGAACTCTGTTTAATATTATGTAAGATCCGGTAACCCAAAAATCCTGCCGCTATTATTGCTGCTACGGTAGCTGTTAAGGTAACATAACGCACCACTCGTAAGTTGGCCGGTCCTCTGTTTGTTCCTGGGATCGCGACGCCGCTGCGAATACAATTGTGAATAATCCAAAAATGAAAATAGCACATTGCGAAGGAGTGACTTACGGTTCCATCGCAACGCCAACAAGCATTCCAAAGAGCTCCGCGGTCACATTATCCTTTATTGATACACTTATTGGAACCGCAAGACCTAGTCCACGACAATAGGCATCGGGTTGCATATCATATCGCTAGATCACAAGGGATGTCATAATCACGTGAATGCATCTCATGAATAATCCAGGGATGATGCCCACCTGTGGCACAAGATCCGTGTCACTCTTGGTAGCCACGAAGACGCATGGTAAGTGGTCAATCTCATAGCGATTCTGCAAGAAAAAAGCACGATTTTGAGAAAATACAGCTGGCAGCGGAAATATCAGCCATCAATGCTTACCCTGAGATTGGCGACATAAGCAAAGGAGTTAACGTCTCCAGAATCATATAGAAAACACAAAACATCGCATGCCTCTAGTCTCTTTCGGTTCTGAAGCACTTCAGAGTCAAATTTTGGCCCAAATTCCTGCATCTGAGTTTGCAAAGATGCTTTAGTCGAGTCCAAGAATTGTGTCTCTGGGATCATCTGCTTACCACCAAATACTTCTCCGCCCCACCAATTTCCACAGAATTTACGACGGAATACGATCTGGTGGTTGGAACGTATGGTTCCTCAAATGGCTTGTTAACTAGACTTCGTAACAAGGCTGTCTGGATATGGCAGACGGGATATGTCAGTCAATTTCAATTTCATTTGCCATGATTGTACCCCGAAACTTCCTTTTCCGCACCTTGCCTGAACCTGTGGCACCAAAAACGTAGCACAGGAAAACGTTCCGCTGCACTTTGCCTCGGCGTCGGTCTGCTTTTCGTGGGCGCGTTACCTTCAGCGCAGTCGTCGTATCTCCGTTATAGCCCAAGTAAGCCAGGTAAGCCAGAGTCGTCTTGTGATCCAGTAGAGTCGTCATACTACCGGCGAAGTCTTGTAAGAACAAGAAGATTTCCAACTTTCAACACAGTAGCCCACCTCCATTGCGCAAGGAAGCCTTGAAGGGTCACAGCACCAGACTCGTCAGTAAGTGTCGTCTCCGGGAAGCCTGTTGATTCCCACGGATTTCCAGGTGCCGTAGAAAATAATTCGGCCAATTCTGCTTCTTTCAAGGCACCATCTTTATCCTGATAGTAGATTACAATTTTAGCACATGTATGTTGTGGTCAGAGATATCCCGAAATGGTTCACCTGATCAAATGTTTGGAATAGATCAATGAAGAACTTGTAGCCGTCACTACTGAGCTCAACAGAGCCACCCGGGGTAATTTCGTATCTGGACGCATGCCATAAGTTCAACTCCAACACATAAAGCTGGAACCGAGGAGAGCTTATGAGTCAACTTACGGTGGGCAGAGGAACTCTTCTCTCAGAGACAAATCATCGCCGTAACCGAAACGTCGCAGTACTGTCCAGGTGGTTTCCAACCGCCCGCGCTGTATAAACAAAGTATGCAAAAAGAGGAAGCCTATATATGTGGAAGCATGAATGGGTGTCCTCCGGTGAAATTGAAAACGGGTGGAACTTACCAATCTCGGTAAGGCCATTATCTACCACCCCTTCCACCTCGTTCTCTCGGACAACTTCTTTAACGCTCTCTAGTTCCTGTCTTTGAAGCGGAGCACCAAAGCACTTTGTCTGTTTTCATTCATTTATTAGTATGCCAGTCTCTCAACACCTAGGATGTGACGATTAACCTGAAACTCGTTAATTTCCTCGTCATTTAATATTCCGTCCTTATCAAGGTCACACAGTTTGAAAATGCGCCTTAGTGCCTCTATACATGCGGGTTTCAATGTCTGCATGTAGGTTAATCGTTAGCTGCCACAGTATATCGCATTTCCTACTAGAATTCTTACATGCTCGCGAGAGTCATAGAGAGGCGCCGTCGGGTGAAGGACCGCTTTTTGAGCAAAATAGAAGACTTCCGACACGTTCAATGGCTGTTTTGCCGAACATTCGACACATGTTTCTACTTCCTATTTACCAACCCTGGCTAGTTAAAAGAGTGCATACCGGATAGTTTCCCACCAGTTATGTGTTTCCTACCTTGAACTCATTCATGATCGGCATTATTTGTTCCTCCAGCGCCTCATTCGTGATATCTTTCCCTCTTACGTCAATTTTGTTTCCTACAAGCACTACTGGAACCTGTAAGACTAATAATCAGCATAATTCCATCACCTCCTCACACAATCTTTATCTTACATTCCGTCCTAACTTTCGTATGTATGGCAACCAAAAATCGCCCACGTGGGCAAATGTCTCCGGTTTGTTGATAGCGTATACAATGCAAATAACGTCCGCTCTTCGCACTTCGGTATCAAGCTGCTCTCTGTTTTCAGGCCGGGCTGAATTTGATGCGGTCAGATATTTCAAGTGGCAAAATAGGCCGGGCCAAGACGTTTCAACATACGCGAAGAGTCGACAATGCGGGTAGTCACTTTCTCACGCGTCCATTCTGGAGGGATTGTAACTTCCGGTACAACGTGCTGAATCTAATGAGAATCAGAGGCAAACGCTTTTTGAGCATCCAGCTGGTAGAGGCGTCACGACTCGGGTTTCTTAGATTTCTTACATTTGGAACAAATGTCTCTTTGATCAGAGACGTGATAAGCGTACTCTTTCCCACTTGCTCTACACAACAGAATCGGATAAGCCGACTGTGACATCGCAGTGGTACACCCAAATCCCCTCAGAATACTTCATATCTCACCATCTCCAACCAGGAGGATGCGGACTACTTCGCGCATCATTTTTCAAGATCTTGCTGAATGCCCGAGAATGTATGCGTATGCCAACGGGGACACGGGTAGCCAGCAAAAATGCCCGTACGAGCAGAGACAAGCGACCCGCTGACTCGACGTCCAAAGCCAGATTGCGTTTTCAATCCTCGACAGTGGGTGGCAAACAACCTGCTCATTGAACCTCTGACTCACTCACCAGCCGTACCACCAGGCGCGGCACAGTCATTCTCAATGTTGCATGCAGCGACAAGTCAAACAGTCAAAAACAATTCCGCATCGGGGAATCGAACCCCGGCCGCCGCGGTGAGAGCGCGGAATCCTAACCACTGGACCAATGCGGATCACATCATCGCAGAGCGCCCATAAACTTCAGATGGTTATTAGTATTCTTATTAAGTTCAAGCCTGACCAAACACTGTTGGAACTAAATCCAGAGGCACAATGAAAGTATCGTCTTGAAATATCAAACTATTACTCGCTACAGCTATGGGCTAATTGATAAAGTTCTAAACTTCGGACTCCACGTCCGATTTGGGTCTATGTAATACGTACAGTAAAATTCCCAACACAATAAAAACTGCCGACGCTAATCCAATTGCAATATACAAATTCGCAGAAGACAATCCTGAGAAGCGCAGAGACGTACCGGCAGCAACCAGGTATGCGGCCAACAGCTTCGTTCGATGTCTTATCAGAGATTGTCCCAGATTCTTGCGGTCAAAGCTAAGGCTATTGCGGCTATCACCCAGGAAATGCGCGATAGACCCCGATCGAAAGAACTCACGCCAAGGTCGCGATCCCAATGCGTCGGGATTTACGGTTGGTGCTTGGTATCTGTCGTGGTAAGGATCTTGCTGTGCCAGAGTCGCTGCGGAGCCTTCTTCTTCTTCTTCGTGCACACCATTTGGGAGGTCGATACCTGTTGCAATAGGATTAATCATAATTTAGCAATTTTGAGCTGCCAATGCATACCTTCGCTTTCCAGGACTTCCGTTGGTATCTCAAATAGTGACGCATCACCAGTTTCCAAGGCATTCAGCTCAAACATCTTCCTAACGCAAGCTCTCTGTAGAAAGTCATCATCCGTTCCAATGAAAACAGCTTTATAAGTGTCTCGTAGATCAGCGGTTGATGGACTCAGGCCGCCTTTTCCACTTTTGCTCCTTCGATTACTCCTACTGCTTCGCACAAAATCTCCAATGCTCCCCCGATGCTGGGAGTCCCTGTTTACATGTCCAACTGATCGAGAACGTAGCCTATTCATTCCATCCAGTCCATTGCCAAGGGACGCTGAAAGTTTGCGTGCTGCAAGTCTCCAGCCCTTTGCTTGATCCTCTCCGGTAACGCTCTCGTGTGATGCTGATTTGACATTTTGCAGCTCCGCCTTCCACGCTTCCATGTCATCCTCCTGACCTTTGGACTGTTCAGACAATGTTCTTTGGACTGTTCGTTGCTCCTCCTCGTCCGCTACTTTGGGGGGCTGCTGATGAGGTGAGAGAAACTCCACTCTTTTTGATGCACTATATCTATTCAGCATGTCTCCTGACGTGGAGACAATGGAAGGCTTCCGTCTAGACTCCACGGGACTTGGTACCTGTCCAGTCAAGGCGTCATCAGATTTGCGGACGCTTTCCATGGTCTTTGGGCGAATGATCAACTTAAATGTCGGAGTATCTGGGGTGCCGCCAGTACTCCCCCTTCTGAGAGCGGTGGAAAGAAACGTGTTCAATTCGTTCGGTGACGATAGACGTCGACCCGTGAGTCCTGAAGAAGGGACCTGTAGAGATCCAGCATTCAACCCATCAGGAGTGGAGACGAATTTTCTCTCCTCATTGCTTGCACCAAGTGCAAGGTGCCGTTGAGCGGGCGAGCTAGATTGGTCACAGCTGCTATCTCGTTGACCAACAGATGATAAAGATGTCACAGAAAGTGATGTATGAAGGTCGTTCATGGAAACTGGCAAATCGGCCACATAGGACGCCATCCGAGAAAGGTCGGGTGCACTTTTCAATCGTACCTCCTTGTCAGGAAGCTTCAAATTCTCCAAGCTGGCAGACCTTAAACTTTGGAGATTCCCTGTCGCCCTGCCGTCCCCGTCTCCTTTTTGCTCCGCCTTCTGTTTGACCTTTTCTCTGCGGTCCTTTAACTGCATCTTCAATCGTTTGGTCAAAGCGTCCTGTTCAACCTTTCGCTCCCGTTCTTCACGCAGACGATCCAAAGTCTGCATGATGGCGAGGTCTCCTCGGGACGCACGAGAAATTTCCACTTTCAAATCCATGCTTCCCTTTGTGGAGGCAGCGGCAATTCCTTGGAGGTCGGCATCTACTGGTCCGGCGACTTCAGCCACGCGAATCGACGACCTTCTACTTCCCAAGGAGTTTCGCATCAAGGTCGACATGGAGCTCCGGCGCATTTCACTATATGACTGCCGTCGCGACGTGGTTGAAGGACCAAGATGTCGACGACCTTTCCAGTCTGCGTCCTCTCGATCGTCATCCTTTCCGTCGTCGTGTGCCTCCACTGCAAAGTATCGGACATCTCCCACAATTTCCGTGTTGGTTAACGGATTCAACGCATATAGCCTGAATAGATATTCTCCCTCCTTTCCAAACTTCCTGAATATTACTTTGTTCAACTGATGGGCTGAATAGTAAAACATTCGCCCCTCCACGGTTTCCACCCGAGCTAGAATAAGCGTTTTACATTGTCGCCTGTGCGCACGGATGAGCTGTCCTAAAGTCTCGAGAGTAAATGGCTCCTCGGCTGATAGTGGTAGGGTATCAGTGCATGTAGAACTTCCTGGTGTTGTAGAGGGAATTTGGTCCAAAATCTGAAGAGTACCGAGAGGTTGCGTGTCGTTTCCCCCAGACATCGTTAGAGAAAGAATAGAGGGCACAATCTGACTGCTCGCCTAAGTACTGGTGCCCTTAAACTCCAGTATGCTTCCAAAGATGTCTAACGCAAGTATGATTACGATTCTCTGTCATGCTCCCCTCTCGGCTGATATGATCCCCATTTTATGCCCCAGTATTGTTCACGTCGAGCGCCCCCGTCATAACATCATTCAAAAGAAGAAAGAGCCTGGTCATTATTTGTCCCTAAAAGTGGAAATTGAAGCATCTACCAAACTACACAGTATCAATTTAAAGAAGGAGAATTTTCCAATCATTCCCTTCATCATCATAGTTTGCCAAATTCACAGGCATGTAAACAAATAAATGGCTCTGGTAAAACCTCATGAAGCTTAAGATATCCGAGTTCAATCAATCTTTTTTTTTTCAGGTTGTTTTGCGGCCTTTTCTCTTCAATCAAATACAGATGTTTAACCAATCGTCGTCAATTCGAAGATGATGCTAGCATTGCGAATTTATGTAAGCAAAAGTCCCCACTATTGTCCAGCGACGACTTTCGTTTTAGTTGTATGTTGACGAGCGCGGATTGCTGCTTCATACGCTAGGGAATATGAGTATTATTAGATTTCACCTGGATCGTGACTTAAGGACGTAAACAGGGTGCTGTATTCGCTCACCTCAATTTCCAGGACTGCCTGCCGCGATAGCTCATCGAGACCACAAAATCGGTGTATTGGTTTCGGCGGAGATGGCGGGGTCAGGCAGTCGTTAATAGGAAGCATACCATGGTTATCATATTTGAATGATAGGGTGGAACGCGGTGGAGGTGTCAGCATCCGGACAGGTTGAGCGTCTCTCTGTTGCACGGTTCTCGCACAAACATCTGCGGAACTTGATGGCAGTCTGGTATGACGAAATCGCAATTTGACCTCCGCGTTGGGGAGAGGAATCCCCTGGCTATTCTGCAGTGATATATTGTCTGCCGGAGAAGATGGCTGTCCTTTCCGTCCTGCAGCTAGAGCCTCCTCCACGGCGATTTTGAAGAGCCGTGACTTCGATCGAGCGCACTTTGAAATGAGATGTGGTGCAAAAGGGAGTAATTGCGGTCCCGGAGTTATGTATGCACTATGATTTCACGCAAAATATCAACCCAGTCCGTAGCATTAATGACGGCAGATCGGAGATATGCCACTTACCAATCGTACTTGGCGAAAAACTGCACCAAAACTGATGCAGTATCCTTCGGGGGTAGAAATGGGCGCTTTCGGGAGGGTATAAGACTTGGATCGACGACCTAAGTCCATCGAGTAGTGTGACTAGTCAGCTTTAGGAAGTTAATAAGAAAGTAAACACGACATCATCTCCTTTCCAGAAAAATCCAATCCAACTCGTGCGCTTGCACTTTCTAATTCATTAATTGAGGCATATGAGCACGCACCTGCGCCGGCCAAAAGGGAGTTGTTCCCACTTTTGCCCACACCAAATCTCCGATTGTCAGTGATGGTATGCTGCTGGGATGCTGTTCCGGCCTGGGAGTATGAACACAACCAAAGATGCTTTCCATCATGAGGCCAGTGTTGGCTGTACGGCATTCGGGTCTAATGGTTGGTCTTGGACGAGGGGTTCGGCGCTTGGGAAGCTTCATAATGAGAGGCTCTTGTTGGGTATAGGGGGCTGGAGAAATCTGCCGATAATGACATACGATATCAAGTCCAGTCGGCAAGATTAAACCATTCTTGAATAAAAAATGTTCATGACAAGGGAAAGTAAAGAGATTCTCAGAGCGGGCCCTGTCAGAGCAAAATTCAGATCAAGTACTCCGAGGATGCTCCCCTAAAACCCGTTTAGAACTAGACAGCTATGTTTGGCCCTCTAATGATTGAGCTGGTTTGTCAATCTTTTGTGGGAGGTTGGCCCGGTATGAGAGATGTGCAAGATCCCTACTTTATCTACTGTGACCGGAGAATTTTCTTTAAATAACCAGATCGCGGAGCTCAAAACCAGTCAGTTCTGGAAGAGAGAGATTGCACAATGCACCAAGTACGAACGTAGACTCTCTCTACGAAACATGCTCTATGGACTTGGGATACAGCCAAAGGCTTTTGCGTAACTGTTCATCGGAAAGTGGTGCATACAGTGCACCCTTCGAACTTGCAATTTAGGGGCATTTGAAATTTAATGTTTTGGCAAGAGCCTTTTCATTCGAAATCTTGTGAAACTTGTAAGATGCTTGCGAATATCTGGAAAGCAGACCATGGTCCCATCGCTAACCCATATTCAAGCTCCGCTCAGCTCAGCCATACCTGTGCCACCACCGCCACGTCTCTTTGTTTAAAAGCTCATCAAACCCGCTGCCAACTCCTGTTCTTTAACATATTTTACCAAAGGTCGCTTATACCTCGTTGCCGTAGGGCGGTCCTTCAAAAAGGTCGCCCGATAACGGAAGATCGTAAATGGCGCGCACCAAGACCGACGTTTTGAAGTCTTTATAATCCTCCTCTCCTAAATGTTACCTAGTGAGGTGGTTCGCTGGCTTCACACATAGAAACATCCCTGTAGCGGTACCCACATTTTTGGCGACACTTGAATAGTAAGGGAAGGCATGGATCGTGGCAACCAGGGAAAGCGTACGTACCCCATACATGGGCTTGTGCGTCAAGTGTTGGCCCCCCACCTGTCCTCAGACCGGATAGTGCCATGTAAAATACGTCCAGGCTGGGGAGTTGAATCAAATGGCAGGCTGCATTACACCCTCAAAGCGTTTACACAGAGTATATTTACTAGGCATCCTGCACCAGCCGATACCCCCACTATCCACCTTATTTCCCTGCAGTCTCCATATCTTCGTCCATGTACTGTCATTAGAAAAAGCACGTTAAAGCCGTGCCATGAGATAACTGACCCATAAGTAATACGCACCTCAGGGTTCTTCTTCAAAATCACAAAGCCTTCTAACACGCTCGCGAGTGGTATCCATTCCTCGCTTGCAAGCTCAGCTCGCTCAGTGTATGCTAGGAGTACAGGGGTGGAGTGTGTCTGGAAGCCAGTGATTGTCTTTGGACGACCAGCCTGACCGACAACCTCCACAGCTTGTCCAACGCGCACTGTCACTGGGAAAGGCTTCAGGTTCTCATCCAGCGTCATTAGCAGGCGAGGATACGCTGCTATGATCAGGTGATACAGTAGATAGTGTCCTCGACCAAATATCACTGCAAAACGCAAGATTAGTCTAAGATATAGCAAAGAAGTAACGCAGAAAACCTACGATTCTTGGCGTCTGTGAATGCAACCAAGTTCACCAATAGCCCAGCTACAGCTACCGGGGATAATAACGTCCGATTTGTGTGGAAAGGATTGATTGTCAACGTGCCTTTACCCATATGCACCAAACCCTGGAAGTAAATCGTTGAAACAGTTATCATCTAGGAACCTTCGTTAGATATATGATTCGCACACATACATACCTGAGCGATTCGGACTATAAAGAGGTGATTTGCTTCCTTGTGGTAATACGTGGCAAGCTGCCGCAGCATTTGCGCCAATCGCGCGTTGTTCGTGCCAGCGCCAACCAAACCCATCGCGAAGATTGCATTGATTGCAACATCTGGGTCATTGTCATGTGAATACTTGCTCAAAACGTCGAGAACATGTACAAGGGGGTTGGATGCGCAGAGTAAGCCTAGTGCAAGTGGAACGGCACGGCGGATCACGGGTTCGCCGTAGTGCATCTACATATCGGCCAATGCTCCAGGTCAGTAAACTGAAGTACATCCAAACTGCGTATATATCATCATTACCAGATGATTGAATGAGCGGAGAGCCATCTCCGTCCCGATATCCTCTCCCATGGCAATCAATGCAATGCCAATGACAGCAAATGCTTGGAAACGGTCGTTCTCCTTCTCAGGGTCGATATGGTCATTGCAGTAATGTAACATTCGCTGGATGCTCAATACGTTGCCGGTGCCTCCAAGTTGGGACGATTCTTAGCAGCTGAAAGAGTTGCTATTCTCAATGATGCAACCTTACCAGCATAAGCACATGTGTCCAGAAGTACCATAAAGGTCTTCGCCAAGGAATTCTCCATCACTTCCAAAACAGCCAATGTAGCGTCTGCTTCTTGTTGTCTTCCTGGAGACAGAACCGTTGCGTAAGATATCCGCGTCAACAACATAGGAGAAACCACATCACCAACCCAAGAAGAGTAATGCCAAGCCAAGTCCCATAAATATGGCGTAAGGATCCTTCAAATCCGACTCATCCCGATCCATCATCAGAGTATGTACCGCAGTGCTGACGACTTCTGAACCTCCTTGGCCCACAAAGATCAATCCAAGGGAGAGTGTCGCCAAAGACGAGATCTCCATTGGCAGCGAATGCTCGCCGACAAGCGGAACGAGAAGATCCATCAGATCTTGTCGCGCCGAGCCTGCATATGCTATACCCAAGCCGACTATCGCCGCAATCCGCAAAATGGTGGTTTTGCTAGTTACGTACTCTGACAGGAGAGCAAGAGCAGGATCGGATTCGTTACGCACGCCAGCGTTCACTAAGCCGATGGCTAGCAAGGCACCGGCCTTGATGAAATCTTCTTGAGAGTACAGATATTTGTCGATCTGGGTCAGACCAATTTCGACATCCCACAGTAGAATGGCGCCAAGTGAAGCAGCAGCGCTCATCATGCCATGCTCTTTGTTCTTGTATATCCAGTTTCCATCTTCCGATGCGGTCATAAGCTTGTCGCTCCCGAATCCGATATTGACAAAAGCGTTCACGAACGTGGAGGCCAAGTTCTGCTTAGCAGAATCGACATTGCCGCCGCCAAAGCCAGGCCGATCTTTTTCCAAATGACTCTTGTAGATATCGTCGGGCGTCTTTGCTTCCATAACATCAAGGTCCCGAGCAAGAGCGAGATAGTTTTCGGACAGCCGGGTATTGTTCAAAATCTCCTGGATATCTTCATCCTCGGTTGGAACATTGATCTGCTGTCTCGCCAGCATAAAGGCGAGCTGCTTTTGCATCAAGCTATGATTGTGTTCCCGTTCAGTATCATTATTGCCACGAATAAAATATGACACAGCAACCTACAGATCTGGACAATCATTGAAATCAGCGCGAATCATTCGCTGGTCGCCCATCCTCATCGAAACCTGTAATGCCTGCGGGTATTGCTCCTGATCGCGATAGATCGTATGTGCTGTCTTCAAACACGCAATGTCATCAGGAGGGGCAACGTACTGCACGCAGCTACGAGGTGGTGTTGATCAGTTACATAATTACCGCGGCCGATAGCAGCTCAGGTGTACCTGATCAAGTACAAGCAAACACGTGCATATGTGTCTTTATCCACGAACTGTGAAAGGTGGTCCAAAGCCTCCAGTTCAAGCATGAGGTCCACCGCATCTGCTTCGGCATTGTGTTTCAACAGAAAGGGAACAATTTCCAAAGCCTGATTCAAAACATGTTCTGTGTCTTCATCCTTCTCATTCAACGCCGCATACTCGCCAATCAACTCGGAAGCAAGATGCCTGCGTACTATTTTAGCACATTTCGTGAAGGTCTTATCGAGCAGAGAAGTAAAACGAACCTCACGTATTCATGCCCCCACGACCCTGCTGGCTCTGCTGATCCAAGTAATCTGTAACGCAAGCTCTCTCGTTTCCCTTCTTCGGCATAAGACATTGATAGAACAGAGAGGATGTCCGCCAGGAATCTCTGCCAACAGAAAAGGGCATCAGATATTATACGGGTAAATTAAACTTGTGGAATGTACGGTTTTCACCTTGTTATCCCCTTCAGACCATCTTTCGTACACTTCAATGAGGGCTTGGTAATGCGGTCTCAGGAACTTGAGAGGTTTTGGGACGGAAGTCATGGACGAAGTCGCGGTACGGATGAGGGTGCGCAAGGTTTCCAGAGCCGGCTTATAAAGGCTGGTATTCGTTTCCTGACATTTTATTCATATGTTATAATCTAGTTGAACTTGGGACGGAGACTGAAACCGACCTTTAAACGTTCAACCAACATCTCCAGCTCTTCCTTCAACTGTCTATCCTCTTCAGACTAAAAGCAACCGTACGTGTTAGCATGCGAGAAATAAGCGGTCCATTCTTCATTGTCCGTTAGTCTCTGTTACTCGGGCCTAGGCGAGATGCCGGATGGCGAGTGCCATTGATGGCCGCGAGATATCTCCAGAACATCCAGAGTTCACTCAACGCACCAGTTCCTCTTCTTCCTCCAGCTTCTTCTTCTCTTCTTCGCTCAACGGTTTGTCTTTAGCAGTCTTTGTGTCCTTGGCCGCCTTATTGGGGTCTTCCGCAGCTGCGACTGGCGCGGTGTCCTTGGACGTGTCTTTGGCCATGACGTTCGCGTCTACAATCCGATTTACAATATTCTCTTAAAAAGGTGCTCAAATACAACAAAAGAACCAAAGTCGGTATCGAGTATGGAGTTGATGGCGAACGTTCAATGGAAGATGACAATAAAGATGTCGTTCGTTTTGAACGTTTGGTGCATTTGCAATGGCCATGTATGTACACGTGATGTGTTAGCTTTGCAAGTCACTTTGCCACACATCTATGTAATGACGCGTCTACTCTTTGATCGCGCGTAATTTCCAGAGACCTGCCTCGAGCAGGTTGACGACCTCGACACCACTATCCCCCAAGTCTCTAGCTTCCTCAAGTGGGGTACGACCCGAAGAATCTGTTGGCTCCAATTGAACCTCAATCCAGGATGGCGTGGTTAGGGAAGAAGTTGAACCAGCTTCCGAAACTGTAGATCGAAATGCTAGGGGAAATGGGGAGGAAGGTCGATGCCACATAGTGGGTGTGCGAGGAGACGGAGGAGGACTATCTATTGAAGAAGGTGTTGGGGTTTGTGTTCGTTTCTGCTCGTTCGCAACTTGAATGGCATAGTCGACAATAAACTGGACAAACTCAGTCTTGTGCTCTTTGGCCGCCTGCAGAAACGGACGTTGGCGAGGAGCGCACAATCGTAAGCAGCGTCCATTGCAAATCTTACCAAATGTAGCGGCGTTTTTCCATCGTAGACAGGCTTATTCAAATCCGCCCCCGATTCCGTCAGTAACTTAAACAGCTTGAAGTCGTTGTTGCTGACAGCACTATAGTGTAAAGTGGGGAACTGTTAGAATCCTCATACTCCTGGGGCACCTTTCCATTTCAAGTACCTCCAAAGCCTGATAGCTGCTTCGTCTAATTCCTCTTCGGAAAAATGAGCACCAGCTTGTCGGAGAAGTGCAATATTTCCTTCACTTCGGCATCGAATGGCATCCCACAATGGTGAATGTCCAAAGCGGTCGCGCAAGTGAACATTGGCACCCTGCAGCAAGAGAAATTCCACTGTAGCCGTTTGGTTTTCACTTGACGCGATGTGTAGGGGAGTCTACCAAATATATCAGGAGCTTCGCTCTGTGGCTCTAAGCAAACTAAACTTACTCGTCCGTCATAGTCTCCTATGTTGATTAAGGGTCTGTAATCGGCAGTAATCACCTGCAGACCTTCGATATCGCCCATTCGCGCTGCCTGACACATCAGCATGGGAATCAAGGCCCTTTCCATACCACCCAGGTTTTCTTCTGCTACATGATCTTTTGGAATATCACCAGTAAGAGGGGTAGCAGCTGGTACTCTTCCAAAAAGGGACATCACAGAGGAAATAAGCCCTTGCATTCCTTGCTGGTATGTAAACCTTTGACGCCGCGACGGCGTTGTGAGTTCCCCGCGAAGGCTTCGGCGGACCAAATTCCGGCACTCAGCGGGAGCATGCTTTTTGCCCAGTAGGTAACTCAATTTCGTTAGTGCGCACTGCACATGAGACAGAATATTAGGGAATGGAAGTAGAAATTCTTGTCTTGCAGCGTACCTCAGGGGTCATGTCAGCACCAGGGACAACCCCAACCTTCAGCAATGCTTTCCCCGTGGCATACAAGTCGGTCACGAGTCCGCGTTTGCACTTCAGTATCAACGAAGCCGAGTTAAGCATTGAAGGAGATATGTCACGTCGAGCCATTTTCAGAGACGTGCAAGAATAAATACCTGGGTACTTCAATCAGTATTACAAGGGTGGTCAGAATGCTGAATTCCAGGTCCACTGGTAACCTACCAATTGACAATTACAACTCCTCTATCGCTCGCTTCCTTGAGAGCCGCAAGAATGTCAGGGCGATTATTTGGCGCGTTTCCGGAGCCATACCTGCACGATGCGTTAAAATCAAATAGAAACACTGTTAACATGACAGCTGAATTCCTACGTTTCTATCACAACGCCTTTAATTGGAGGAGACAAAAATGCCCGCACCGTCGCTTCCGTTATTCCTGGGAACAGGCGAAGTGTTGCCACGGAGGAGTCCATAATCTTATGAGCGCGGAATTTGGCAATTGCAGTGGGTCGAAGAACATCCGGCCAAGAAACATCTGCATGTCCGACTCCCATCATGAGTACGTCATCGTATGACTGGCGGAGAAACGTGTACATGCCTATATTGATACCAACAGAGACGAGTGGACGCAGATTGGGCGAATCGAATGCATTGAAATCAACTGCATCAACTTTCATTGAGCGATTTCCTCTGTACAATTTATTATTAAAGAAGAGTCCGACTTCGGGGATAACGAAGTGACCTGTGCATTCGTGTCATTCTTAGCACAATAAAATTAAGCTTTATGTTTTGATTGATACATACCGGCTATTGTCAAAGCGCCTAATAAATTGTCGACAGCATCGTTTCGAACTTCCGCCAATGGGACCTTTGATTTTGTATATAAACCATGTGACGAAGTGCTGGCATTGAGTGATCCACGCAGAGTCAAATACCTGAGAACCGCTCAATATAACCGTCTTTCCGAGCTCTTCCAGCATAAAACTTAGAGCACTAGCTCGTTGATCAATAGTCAAGTACAACTCCAATTTGATATAAGCTTGCACATCTCATCAGCAGTCCTACCTTGCAGAAAAGCTCATTGTGTCCGTACCATGCAAAACAATGAATGCATCAAAAAGCATATAGTTCACTTCGATGTCGGTCGCGATTTTAACCCAGTCTGTCATAGCTACACGAATGGTTAAGACACGAGACCTGTCAAGCATATCTCCCTTCCCACGATCAGCCGTCGTGGCGTACCTCTCTACATACTCATATTTGACGAGTCCAATAGTGGATCATATTCTAAAATCGAGTATCGAATTCTTTTTCCATACAATGATGGCGGGGTGATCAAGGCAGGCTTCCTGACCCGCACAACGGGGGTGCCATTTATCACCGTATGGGGGGCTCCACGCGCATTGTTTACCTTCGCATGTCTGCCGTTGTCAGCAAGCCTAAGTGGTATATTGACCGCATTCGTTAGCGGAAACTTGTTGGCTTCCCTATCCGCAATGCCCGTTTCTTGCGCATGCTCGGCAAAACCAGTGGGATCATGAAACCGCGTCATTGATGCCAAAGTCTGGGAAAGATAACCGGGGACAGGAAGATAGCCTAGAAGTACTCAAGGTCAAGATCATTCTGGCATGTCTTCAGCCGGATATGTATAAATGTCGCTGATACCGTGCTCTGGAGTGTTCTTCATGCCGATGGTTCCTAGAGTACCATTACTGTCATGAGAAAGGACCTCGACCAGACGCTGTCTCTATCTCATACCTCCTGTGTAGAGAATGAGTACCCTCGAAATATCAGCTGTGATCATGTCGTCCGCCACGTCGGCGGCGACCACCGCGTTCACCGCATCGCTCACAAACACCGTTGAATTATCCTCGGTAGACATATTACAGCACCGCAGAGAGCGAGAGCGGTGGATGGGGGAAGATCCCGAGAGCCTTGTCCTTGTCACCAACCAAGGCCTCGAGTTTTTGAGGGATGCGATAAGCAAATCGGTGTTTCCACGATCGAACGCGCACAAACCAATCACGTGAACGCGACTCGTTTGGAAGGAGAGGCCAGTTCTGCACCTTGGCTGGTCGTCCATCATCTCTTCAGGTAATGTACTGTTGACGATGACAGAGCCAATAGCGTTATTATACCTATCACATACTACAAATACTCCGTATGTCCTTGTCGGTGAGGACGAGTCTACCCCGGTTACCGATCCGAGGACCGCAAAAGCAGTGTTGTTTCGCACACCCGCAAATCCCTCGGACGAGACACGCTTCGACATCAATGCTCCTTCCGGGTTCAAAGAATATGACATTCGTACACTCCTCTTCTTCTACCAGTCCCGAGATGTTCCCTTTGGAGACTATCTCAGACTTGCCAGCTCGGACGAGAAGTCCTTCAGCTTTATGGACAGGAAGGAGCTCCTAGCATATCTAGAAGGTGGAGGTAGCACCGTTGCAAAGGAATCCACGTCTGGAACCCCAGGTTGGTCAATTATTACCTGATAAATGCATATGACAACAGAAGAAGGAGCCTAACAGTGCGGTCTGCTCAAGCGAAGCGTCCTTTGGAAGAACAGCGCACACCCGCCGAACCGAGTAAAAGGCCACGGCTACTACTGAAACCCGAGGTAAATTAACCTTGCAATTGCTGCTCACCAGACGCCAGGAAGTGAAATACTGGTACAGGATGTTGAGTTTGCTCGCGAAGTAAAAGCACGGGAGAGGACGATTGCCGACTCTTCCACGATACTTTCCCTTCAATCTACTAACAAGGTACGGTCCCTCGACATGCACGTTAAAGGGTGAACACTGAACTCTATCGAAATACCTCGATTCAGACCTTTGTCAGCATTCTTGAGTTGAGCAGAAAACGCTTTGCCGAAAAGCAAAGAAAACCCCAAGCAGGTGGTCAAGCATCGTCAACCCATCCTAGACATCCCAACTCCACAGGTCAGAAAGATTCAGGTGATAGTTTACTTGGCGCGCCATTGACGCGTCCTGCTTATCAAGGACAAGCCGGGCCACGTTCGAGTACAAGAGGGGATCCGCGTGCCGATCCTCGGGTTCGGCCGTCTAATACCCAAGGGCGGCCGTCGCCAGCTTCACGTTCGGCGCGGGATGGGGGAACAGGTGAGTGGCTCTGGCACCACCTTCCTGTGTAACAATCTACAATAGTACATTCTTATCACAGATTCAAGAATACCAATCATCCTCGTACCTTCTGTTCCAACTGCCAAGTTGACATTGTGGAATGTCAAGCAATTTCTTTGTGCGTCAAGGTAAGATTGAATCTGATTAAGTTTTACCAAGCAGAACTGAACGTCGTGGTCCGTTCAATAGTTATATCCGAACCGAACAATTTGTGGAGCAAGGCTTGTCGAAACCCGCACGCGTTGTATTAGAGCGACCCGTGCGTCCAGGCCATCCAGGGGGGCCGGATTTCCCAAGAACGTACCACGTGTACGACTCAGCGGATTCGTTAAAACCGGAAGATTGGTATGTTCCAAGTCTGAAAGCAGATCAGCTTAATGTTCAGCTGAGATGACCTTTTACAGGCAGCGTGTTGTTGCTGCATTTGTGACCGGCCAAGGTTGGCAATTCAGTCGATGGAAATATAAGGACCCTGTGCAACTGTTCTCAAAGGGTACGGCACTCTAGACATATCCGCAAGTGGGGACATTTTTTCTAACTCGCAGCGTTACAGTGCGTGGATTTTGTCTGAAGTATGCGGATGAGCCAGCTCCAGGGGACGTGGATAAATGGGCCGTAACCAAGCTCGACGTAAGTCTGGCGACAGTTTACGGAGACTTCATGGAAGGGTCTTGCTAAGTGTGAGGTTTTACGTAGATTCATCGAAATCTTCGACACAACGACTATCAGGCTATCAATCGATTTTGGGACCAAGTTGATACCTTCATCATGAGAGAAAAACGTCGTCAATTTCTGGGATAACATACTTCCTACGTGAAAATTACATAATTGTCTACGCTGCAGGCCTGAGAAGTAATTATATTTACACACACATGTGGGTACAGGCGATATCGCTTTTCCACCGAGCATTTGAGAGATCTGGAATACTTCAGCATAATCAGGGCTTCGCAGTCTGAGAATCTTCATTAAATGTGGCCAATCCTTATATTTTGAGAACTCAAGTTTTAGCAACACAGCCATGTGAGGATGTCCGTTCGACGTGTGACTACCTGAAGGCTTTGTCCTCCGCTTTGACGCTGCATCCATTTCTGCTGACTCGTAAATAGAATTTTCATCTCCCTCGCCGAGGCCTCCCGAATCATGCGTAGGTGGCGTTTCCTGTCGACCATTATCCCTTCTACGACCCGCCGCCGCTCTGTAAAGGTTAAGGGCACTGGCCCCGCTTGCCACCATCGCCGAACGTGATCTGGAAAGCCCAATTGTTCCTCTGCCAAGTCCTCGCCCAGATGATGCGGAAGGTGGGCGTAAGGAAACATTTGGGCCTGGTACCGATTTTCGGCGAAATTTGAAGCCCTCATACATGACGATAGGATCCGAGCGGTCAAAGCGGTGGAATGGTTGGGAAGGATGGGTTTGCCGGAAGGATGGTGCTGCTGGTAACGGTGCGAGAAAGACACTTGAGGTGACCTTGGAAAGTGCTGGACTTTTCGACGCATCATTGTCACGATTTCGAGCGGATGAGGCACGGCTCGCTGACGCTGATGATGCGCGTTTCTTCCCTGCGCATGTTGAGATGTTGGCAATCTCCCGGGACAGGGATGCCGTTGGAGCCACTCGAGGTGCTGTGTGTGAGCCAATGTCGTACCAGATAGTGACGGCCTGAGGAAGCTGGACTTGTGTTGGCGCCAATGGCGGAGGTAACCCACTCATGTCCAACACCCCAGACGTAGCTCGAGACAGCGGAACTGGTGGTGGAACCATGAAACTTCCACGTCGGCTTAGTGGGCCTCCCGTTGTCGACGACAACATCCCTAGTCCTTGCACAAATGTAGCACGTCTTGCCGGGATATTTGCCATACCGGCGGCTGCCAACTGCAATTGCCTTGCCATTTCTGCTTGAGCTTGCGCAATTTCTTGTAACCGCGCTTGAAGATCATTTGTAAAAACCACTCGTCCCAAAGGCAAGATATCCGTCTTGCTAGCAGTAGCACCTTTCGCCCCGTTGGGAGTCTCGATCAGATTTGGGTCATCAGCGGGGAGGGTAGCAAGCGGTGGTCGAGGCGGGGACACAGATCGACCCCGAGATGGGAAGTTCATAACTTCTGGGAAGCAATTTTCCAATCGTGTTAATGGATCTGCTCTCCGGCCGGGTCTAGTTTCGGAAGTTTTGGTGATGTGACTCGATTTGTCATTGACGGCCTGTCTTGCTGCTGAAATCGACCAAGTAGATGACTCCAATTCTCTGTCCCAGCCAGCATCATCTCTTTCTATCTTCAGCGACATGCGAGAGCCGTCCTCCCTTCCAAGACCGGTATCTTCCGTTGTCTCATCAGCCGATCTTTCCGTCTCCTTTCCCAGATATACCATCACATCATCTGCGTCGACTGCCCCACCATGTATCTGCTCAGCTATCATATCCCTCATCAATCTCATGATTGTGCATCCCTTTTCAACCATTACGAATGCATCGTGGTACTCCCAATCCACCTGTCGGATTCGCAAAGTCACGGTATCATTTTCTAATCGCTCGTGCATATCTGATCGCATTTGTGCGGCAGCTCCTGCAAAGGCTTCCGGTTCCAGGTGCTTTGGGGTCCATTTTGGTTGGATGTAAGTGCTGTAATCAAAGACTGGCGGAATGACAGGGGTATTTTTCTTGGGTTTCTTGCCAATACCTTTCCGGCCACCCTTCTTTGCAGCCATACCTGCGGGTGCCGCAGAAAATAAGAGCAAGGATTGATAGTTCTATATGCAGCTGCTGTAATACACTATTTTTGGCTTGGAGGTTATTGCAAGCCATGAATAAATTATTGCGTTCGGAGAATTTGGAACGATTAGCCAGTGACCCTGAGACCCCTTTAATTCCGGGACGATGGGAGGGACATCAGTCCAAGACAAGGTGAGTCGCTCGTAAGCTCGAGTTATGCACTTATCGTTAGAGTATGTAGTACTAGAATAACTAGCTTCATGAATCATACTGACATACTACTTGTAGTCGTGTCGACGTATTTACCGTTCAAGCATAGCAGGTCGTCGTGGTTGGCATTTGTTCAGCTATGGCGGGATTAAACCTGGTTAACGCCAGCGCTGCTGTGTTTCTGCTATGCTTGAACAATGAATTGTTCACGACTGGTACGAGTTGTGAGAAGCATTATCTACCACTCGTATCTATGTATCCACCGGCCAAGCATACAAGTAGCAGTAGTTTGATTTTGTCCATTATGCTTGCAATCCTTTCAACTACAAGTATAGCGAAGCAAAAACCTGGTTATTAGCGCTATGCTTGTAGGCGGGTCATGATGATTACTTCATAAATGCTTGTTGGCATGTCAACGAACTGACATCACGACGCGGAAACGTAACGCTTTGACCAACCTACTCTTACTAGTATCAAACATTAGCAATGCATCTTGCAGACCAACGTGTTATAGCGGCTTTGGAGTCAGCCGCCACGATCTCTGCTGGATTGTTCACAGGTGCTGCCTCGTACATTACTCTGGTGGAGCAGCCGGCCAGGTTCAAGAGTAGCGCGGAAACGGCAAGGCGTAATTTCCAGGTGAGGGGCGAGATGGCGTTTTCCATTCTCCAGTTCTTAAAATTCAACTGCACCTTTAGCATACCTATCCGCTGGCAGCTCGAATGCAGGCCAGCCTTGCATTGGTTGCAGGTGGCTCAAGTCTTGTCCTTGCACTGCTTAAGAAGTCTACCAGATACTATGTTGCCGCTGCTGCTTTTCTTTCCATTCCAGTATTTACTATTGCATGCATTTTCCCCACCAACAACCGCTTGTTGTCGGGCAAGGATCAGGACGCAAATGCGCACGGTGTATGGGGTGTGTTACGAAAATGGGGTCTGTTGCATGGTGCTCGCGTCGTAGCTGCTGCTGCAGGGTTTGGTGCTCTAGTAATAGGAAGAACAGCAGCATAAGTCGGGCATGATGACTTGTGGAAAAACAATATCAATGGAGTATATAGCGGTGTGCTGCCGTAGGGATAGCCATAGTTTGGACATTAGTTTCTGCTGAGGGATTCAACAATACACAGTGGCAATGCAAACACGATGTCACGTGCCCGTAGAGTCACCAGCCAAGCTTCGCGCTCGTTCGGCGCTGGCGCCGTTCAACTTTCTTTGGCAGAGAACGGTGACAGTATGTCGGGGGTAGGCATGATAAAGTCTTGCCTAGACCGGCTTTTAGCGGAGAGCGCACGCCATAAGGACTTGCGCGACGCGGTCGAGGCGGCTTTGGTACAGCTTGAAGAAGAGAAACAGGGTGGAGAAGACGTTGCTAAAACTATAAGGTAGAGCTGGCTTTTGATATTTAAAGTGCAGATATTTGCGTCCACCCATCCTGCGGCATGCTCATATGCAGCGTCTTTATGTTATGGCTTTGCTGCCTTGTCGTCTCAGTGCTGATAGGTACTGGAATCCGTTCAAGATCGCTTGTCATAACACTCAGCCGGCCCGGACCCGCGAAGTTGCCTTGGACTGCCTGCAGAAACTTATTGCCCACAACCTTTTGCGCGGAGCTTTACCTCTCACTGTATCGAACACTCCAACTGCAGCCTCCTCCACAGCTCCAGGGACGCCAGGAGCACCTGCCAATGATCTTTCCCAGCTCGACACGTCTTCACCTGCAACGTCCCCCCAGCCCTTGGACGAAAAGGGTACAGAAGAACAGGACGAGGAGAATGGTACTCAGCAGGTAGCGAAAACTGCCGTGCCGGTTTTTGCGCCGAGAAGTACGTCCCTTTTGCCAAGTACTCCTGCAGAGGCACCCAATTATCCACCGATTCCCTTCCTCATTGATGAGATTATCCATACTGTGTGTACAACATTGGCAATGCACACAGACGAAGCAGTGCAACTTCAGGTGCTCAAAGTGCTGTTGACAGCAGTCACATCAACTGGCTGCGAAGTACACGAAGTGTCACTGCTGAAAGTGGTGCAGACGTGTTTCAATATCCACCTGCACTCGCGGACGCAAGTAAATCAGATGACCGCCAAAGCATCGCTTACCCAGATGATCAACCTCATCTTCTCCCGCATGGAGCGCTACGCTGAGGTTCTTGCAAAAAGTTTGGAGACCGGATCCATGGGAGAGATTGAAAAGCTGACTGGGTTGAGCGCAATGGGCGCAGAGTCGTTGAACCAGTATCGGACCAATGTAAAAGCACGGGCTATCAATGGTACCAGTGACGCAGAGGAACCAACGGATACTTCGAAAGATCCCGAACCCGATGGTGAAGTTGGGGAGAAATCGTCGAAGGTTGAATCCGAGATCTTGGGCGTTGAATCACAAGCTGAAAATGATCTGGAGAGCAAACTCCCGCAGATAGAGGTGGGGTCATTGGCTGTCGAACTACAAACTGCTGGTGAACTGGCGGACAAACCTTTGGACAAGGATGCGGCCGATCCCCCGGATGGCTGTGAGCACGAAGAAAATGAAAATGTCCCGGATGCTTCCGCTGCAGATGTGGCATCAACAGCGGGGGATGCGGCGGCAGCGGTCGTGCAAGGTACCGAAACAGCTACGCCAGATCATGAGAATGCCACATCTATTAGGGGAGCTGCTGCAGATGAGGCTTCCGATCAGTCGTCACTACAATCTCATATGACCATGGGTAGTAACCAGCAACAGCCTGAGCAGTCGATCGAGGTTGGATCCACTCTTACTCCTGCAAACCCAGTTACAGGTAACAACCCCTACGATCCGACCATTGCTTACTACAACGAACTTCTTCGAAAGGACGTGTTCCTTGTTTTTCGTCTTCTTTGTCGCCTGTCCCTTACGTCAGATAGCTCTCAGAACACCATGGCGACATTCAGTGCAGCAAATGTTAAGGAAGCAGCTTCCATGCCAATGGATGAGCTTTCGCACCAGTCAACGAAAGCAAGGCAGCTGGCTCTGGAACTCATCATGTCCGTGATGAATAATTGTGGGCCAGTGTTCCAGTCAGATGATTTGTACACGGGCCTGGTTCGCCATAATCTATGTCTATCAATTTCCCGCAACGGAATCACCACGAATCCTACGTTGTTCGAATTAAGTCTGTCCATATTCTTAATGGTAACACGATTTTATCGCTCGAAGCTGAAAACTGAAATCGAGGTGCTCCTCAACACCATATATTTGCATATTTTGGAAATGGGAAATTCTACGTACAATCAGAAACGCATGGTTCTGCAAGGTTTACTCAAAATATGCGAAAATCCTCAGGTTTGTTGAGTGGTCACTACGTGGGTAATGTGGACATGAATCAGGCAAGCTAAGACATGACCTTTCAATAGACATTGGCGGACATGTATCTCAATTATGACTGCGACATTGCTATGGTCTCAATTTTTGAGCGCATTGTCAATGTATGCAGTCGGGTTGCTCAAGGTCGCGACTCAAACGCACCGCCTGCTCCCACTGGATTGATGGGTTTGGCTGCCAGCGCAGCTGGTTTGGACACGAAGGAACAACTGCTCAAAGCTCAGGAACGGCGATTGAAGCTACGAGGACTTTGTTGTCTTGTAGCTTTGGTGACTTCGCTAACGGAATGGAGTAAAGATGTGGCGCCAAATCTCCCCCTCAGTACAACCAGAAGACGAAGAAGTGGAGATTTGCCCAGGGTGTCCATAGCATCCAACCGCGATGCGTCAGAGAACACTGCACGGATGTCTGTCTCAGATGACAGGCGTGATAACAAATCTTCACCTACTCAAAGAAAGAGTACCGACGGGACCAAGCCAGCCAGCGCCGGTTCAGACAACCCCACCAAAAGTTTTTTGGATGCCCTTGCCCCCACCAATCAGGTCAACCCAGTACTGGTGTATAAGCATCCGTTACATTCGGTGTCGATGGATCATGTAAGTGCTTTCTTGCAGCTCGGTTGAATTATATAGCGAAAAACTGACGACTTGGCAGCAGGTGCCATACATGTTTCCGAACAATAGCACAACATCTTTGCAATCTGTTACCACTGTAACTCCAGATGAGGACTCATCGCAGATCGAAACTGTTGCTTCACGGAAGCAGCTACTGAGGAATGATATTCGTCAATTCAACATGAAGCCTAAGGCTGGCATCAAGGCGCTTATAGAAGATGGCTTTGTTGAGGAAGACGCGGAATCCGTTGCTCGCTTTCTTCGAACGACAGATGGCTTGACGAAGGCCGCGATTGGCGAATATCTTGGTGAAGGTCATCCCTTCAATATCGATGTGATGCATGTTTTCATAGACAATATGGACTTCACAAATATCGACTTCGTTCCAGCCTTGAGATCATTCCTTCAAACATTTCGCTTGCCTGGAGAGGCTCAAAAAATTGATCGAATAATGGAGAAGTTTGCCGATCGTTACTATGAAAACAACCCGGACGTTTTTGCAAAAGCCGACACCGCCTACACCTTGGCTTTCTCCGTTATCATGCTGAATACAGATCAGCACTCCGCTGAAATAAAGCATCGGATGGATAAGAACGCATTCATCAAAAACAACCGTGGTATTAATGACGAAGGGGACTTACCGGAGGAGTATCTTGCTGCAATTTTCGACGAGGTGTCCAATAATGAAATTGTACTAGAAGAGGAACAGGCAGGGAAACTGGCACAAATGGCCATTGGATGGGGTGCCGGGGATCTCAACGATAGGCAGAGAATGGAACTCTATAGGAAAGAGATACAAATGGTGCAGAAGAAAAGCCAGCAGCTCATTCAAAATGCGAACAGAACAGTCGCACCATTCCGAACCGCAGTGAATGCTGATCTGGCGCGGCCCATGTTTGGAATGGCTTCTTGGCCTTTAATGGCGGTTTTCAGTCTTGCCTTTGAGGCCGCCAACGACGAAGAGGATGTCGATGACGCAGCTGAAGGACCGCGCTCGCTGGAACCAAAGGCAGCAGACCTTTGCCTGGAGGGTTTTGCGGGATCTATACGGTTGGCTAGTATTTTCAGGATGGAGACCGAACGTGATGCCTTTGTGACCTCATTGTCGAAATTGACTGGGCTATCTCACATTCAAGACATCCGACCAAAAAATATCAAAGCCATCAAGACGCTGATTATGATTGCGAATGTCCTTGGAGAGTATCTTGAGTCCAGCTGGATGCAAGTTCTAAAAGCAATTTCCCAGCTGGAGCGTCTCCAGTTGATTGCAAATCGGGGTTCTTTCGATAATGCTACGCGACAGAGTGGAGACGCGGTACATGCTGGTGATGAAGCAACTGCTGCAGATTTACCGTACGGCGGTTCAGCAGCCCCTGTACGACAAAGTGCATACCGCACCATTGAAGACTTGACTAGCAATTCTAGGCCAAACCCCGCCGTAGAAAAGCTGATCGCAGAGTTCCATAATCAAGCTACCGTAGTGGCGGTTGATCGTATCTTCACAAACACATTAAAACTATCCGCCACAGCCATTATTCACTTCTTCCGGTGCTTATGCCATGTCTCCATGGAAGAGGTGGGACTCGATCCAAGTGCGCCGGTGGGTGGAATGCCGCAGGTTCTACATTCCGGGGCGCCGCGCATGTATTTGCTGCAAAAAATTGTCGAGATTGCCTATTACAACATGCCTCGAATTCGTTTCGAGTGGACGCAAATCTGGCGGATCCTTCAGCCGTACTTTAACACCGTTGCATGTCATCCCAACACTACAGTGTCCACCTTTGCGGTTGACTCTCTTCGGCAACTAAGTATGAAGTTCCTTGAGCGAGAGGAACTGGGACACTACTCAGCGCAAAACGAATTCTTAAAAAGTTTTGAATGGATCATGAAGCACAATGCCAACCCGGCAATCAGGGAACTGATCCTCAGCAGCATGGCACATATGATTGCTGCTCGTGCACGCAGCATACGGAGTGGATGGAGAAGCATTTTCGTGGTCTTGGCCAAGGCAGCACAGTCGAGTTCAGGAGACGAGAAGATGATTAAGACAGCGTTTGGAATTGTGCAGGTCGTGTTTCGGGAACATTTCGATGCTGTGAATCATGCTGGAGGATTTGTCGATTATGTGGCTTGTTTGGCAGAGTTCGCGTTGTTGGAGGGTAGCGGGCAAACCTACGACGAGGTGGTGATGGGCAGTATTCAGCTTCTGCAGTCTTGTGCAAACTATCTTGTGAAACATGGCAGCGAGACGCTTGAGGGAAAGCCGAGGCGGAGCTCTCAGGGGGAACTAGATGGACAGAAGCCCGTTCCGCCAGCGGTACTCCTTAACGGGACAGCACTCTCGGTCCCGCCAACTCCGACCAGTACGCATCCACCTCGTGCCCCATCCCAGCCTTATCTCCAAGCAAACGGAATGGTGAGCGAGGAGCACTTCTTCCTGAAATGGTTCCCTATACTGTCTGCCTTCTCCCGTGTTGTGATTGACTCAGAAAGTGTTACCGTGCGCACCCGGACCATAGATGCATTGTTCGATACCTTAAAGTCCGCTGGCCAAAGGTTTGATGTAAAGTACTGGAAAAACATACAGCGGAGCGTTATTCTGCCCATTTTTGCTGATTTGGGTGAGCGCACCGACTCAGTTTCTCAAGAGCAGTATCGGCCACGAGGAAAAGAGGCAGACACCGCGATATGGGTGCACGGCTTGCGACTTTATGCGGATTTGACTACATCTTTTTTTGAGAAGCTGGCAACCGCGGGCCATGCCGAGCTGATGAAAGGCGTTTTGGACCTTTTAATCGGCATGTTACAGCGGCGAGACGAAAAGCTGGCGACGACAGGTGGTATCTGCCTGCACGGGTTTGTGCGAGACAATCTGGGTAGAATTGGCAAGTGCGGGTCTTGGGGGGTGATAACGGATGGAGTGGAGAAAGCCTTTGCGACAACGTTACCGGCGGAACTACTATGCTGCGATTACGGAAAAGTTTCATCGAAACCGCTGGACGCGAATTCTAACAGGACAGAATCAGTAGGATCAGAGGTTGTAAGCGCAGGTTATACAGCTGCGCGAGCAGTAGGAACCGAAGTTACGCTGGATACGCTTGATTTTGAGCACACGTTAGTGAAATGTGTCACGCATCTGGAGCTCGTTCAAGCATTGCGAGATATCGCATTCACCAAGTTAGTCGGGAGCGGTCGAAGAGGGAGCGAAGCCAAGGTGTACGTTGACAAAACCCAAAGCGGTCGCAATTCCATAGTCGCAGATATGACTGCCACGGAGAGACCAGTAGATAAGAGCGACCCTGGAAGCACTCCTGTACCTCCAGTTGTACCGGAGCAAAAGCAAGTTCTGGCCATCAATATCATCCCTCCAGAATTCCGCCACCGCTGGCTTAAATGCTTGTACGACAGTTACGCGGTTGCGCGAGCGTTCAATGAGGAGAATGACTTGCGTTATGCCATATATCGACGGGGCCTGGTACCTCAGCTCCCACATTTGGTCAAGCAAGAGACTTTGAGTTTCGCAACATATTTGCGGATGCTGTTTGCCGTCTACCGTGCACAATCGTCCAGTACACCCTTTCCGAGGGAGCCTAAGAGTCCCTCGACTGAAACGATATCAATGGAGACAGCTGGGCAGGGCGACGCTAGTGTTCTACCAGAACTTGTCAAGCACACACTTGACGTCCTAGGGCGGTACGTCGAATGTCTGAATGACCAGCAACGCAATCAATTGCACATTGGATTATGGAGTCCAGTGGTTGCGATGGTTTTCAAGGAACTTTTGGGAATGGAAGGGCTGTGGACCGCACAAGCAGCAAATGGTGAACCGAGCGGAAAATGCGCGGAAGCCAGGGAGCATTCCGATGGCAGTGTACATGAATTGGGTACTGCAGCACATAACGGCATATCAAATGGGCCACAGCACCATGTTGAACTGAAACAACATGTGCCACGGTACTTCAAGTTTGCTGTTAAGATGATGGGTGTTGATCGCCCAGAGGTCCGAACTGCTTTGCAGGAATTCATGGAAAGAGTGGGGGATGAATATATACGATAGTAGGGGGGGATGGCTTTATTTGTACGTATATCAATTATATTTTTTGCCTGCTTTCTTAATGTCGCTTTGCCAAGCACGATGATATTCCTATTTACTTCAGTGGTCGCGACTTTTCTACCTGGTGGTACTATTAAACTTAGTAGAGTAATAGCGCTACGCAGTCAGACCTCCGTCGACGACCAAGCACTAAATACACAATCGGTATCAAGAATTGCTCCGATGGCCAAAAAATCCGGACATTCGGACACTTACCTCTCCAGTAATATACTCTGCTGTCGCTAGGAACATGGCTGCCTGCGCAATCTCCTATAATCCGCGAGGCAAAGAACGCTTCAATGGAAAAAACGTTCCGTGTTTGCGCAACCGTGACATGTTACTACCTCTGGTTTTCCAAAGCGGCCCAGTGGTGTCGAGGAAAGAATCTCTTGTCTCTTGCGTTCTGACATCCCTTTGCAGGAGTACATCACAATTGAACACTAGGCTATTCGAGCGGATCGACGCCCATCAGAAAAAGTAGATACCAGCAATCATATCTGTTTCGATGTAACCCGGTGCTATCGCGTTAACACGAATGTTTCGACTTCCCAGCTCACGCGCGAGAGATTTGGTGAAGCCTGAGTAGTGGTGCGGTTAGGCACCCATCCAGGAGCGTCTTTAGTAGGGTACCTATAACTCCAGCTTTGGATGCTCCATACACGCTCTGCCCTTCGTTCCCTCTCAGTCCCACGGCGGATGCAATGTTCAAAATGCAGCCTAATATCGCCAGGTATGGAACATCAGCCGACGTTTGCATGAGGAAACGGGTAGAGTGTGGATTCGCACCCTTCTTTCGTTTCATCATTCCTTTGACAACCGCACGGCTAGTGAGGATAGTTGCCGTTAGGTTGATGTTCAGGAGCTCCAACGCTCGCGAAGAGTTTTGTACAGCAAGCACGGCGTCAGACACAATCCCTACAAGGGATGTGAGTTTGCTTTAGTAAAACCTGTTCTTATGCGTATACGCAAATGATTGATTAGGAACCTGCAGAGTTTACGAGGATATCAACATCACCCAGGGCATTGATATGCTAGTTCATGAATGGTATTGGAATAACGCAGAAGGTTCCTTGCAGTTATGGCTTGGCAGAAACTCTTTGCGGTACCTTTCCTAGGTCCTCCACTTCCGAAATGTCTGCCAGGTTGGCTTGGAGGGTCACCACTCTGTCCCTCATTTCGTCATGTGCTATATGTCCTGTCAGTCTCTCGTTATTCAGCAAAGAGTAACGGGCCTCTTCTAAGTTTTCAGAGTTACGGGAAACGAGTACAATTCGACCCCATCGCTGGGCTGCAAGAAACGAGCGGGCGATTTCCAAGCCGATGCCACGGCTACCCCCTGTGATGACAGCTATTGACTGCGACTTCTCTGGTGTTTTCGGTGCAGAACGGGACAATCCTGCGACGGACGCTAGACAACGTTGGCTTCGGAACATGCCGACCTGCAAAAGCAGTCGAAATGGAGGTGTGAAAACAGACAAGAGACGCGTCGCGTTCGCTTACTCCCTTTGAGAATTGGCGATCGTTCGAATTAATCCGTTTGACAAACACATGCATCCTCGCTAGCTGTCCACGCCTCTCTAGCCGCTATGATGGTAATCAGCTGAAATGGTCTTGATGTCAGCCGGGTCAAATCTCTTAAGATCATTTGTTGATCTCTCTTTCAGTCATCGTACCTCCAACTTCAAGATCCCACCCTTGAGCGTTCTTTCCGCGGACACAAAGATGTGATAACAGGCTTGTGCTTCAAGCCTTCCATGACGCAGCTGGCTTCGTCCTCTATGGATCACTCTGTAATGGTGTGGAACTTCAAACCACAATTGAGAGCCTTCCGCTTTGTAGGTCATAAGGTAAGCCTTGTAAACAAAAGTCATTCCGCAGATCGGTTGTTTCAGTTACGGTCTACACTTGCGGCGGGCATGGCAGTGTATCATAGAATTGCATATTGACTCTTACGATACCCGAGTAGGGGCCCGTAACCAGCGTGGACTTCTCACCGGCTGGGCAGCTTTTGGCAAGTTCGTCTCGAGACAAAACAGTGCGGCTGTGGACTCCAAACGTGTAGGTGACCCTTCGTTCAACCGACCACAGCCTTTCTGCCTACTTTTCGGTTAACCCGATGGACAGCAAGGGTGATGTCACAGTCTTTAAAGCGCATACCTCCTCTGTACGCACAGTACAGTTCTCTCGCGATGGTGACTCCTTGTTAACGGCATCTGATGATAAAACTATTAAGGTGAAAGATTTCTTAAAGGCGGTGAATGGATGAGCTCTTCCTGATTACGGGCATTGGGTTGCAGTTGTGGTCGACTCACAGGACAAAATTCCAATATACCCTTGCGGGACACCTGAATTGGGTTCGAACAGCACGATTCTCCCCGGATTCGCGTCTGATTGTATCAGGAAGTGACGACAAAACGGTCAAACTATGGGACTTGGGCAGCAAATCTTGCGTGAAAACGTACTGGGACCATACGGGGTAAGGGTGGAACATTTTTACGTGCTACTTCTTTGATAGATACGGCCATGAATCAATTGAAATATGGCGATCGATCTAGGATGGTGTCATCTGTTGCTTTCCACCCTGCAGGCACCGTCGTAGCATCTGCATCAACCGACCGATCTATCAAGCTTTTTGATATCCGAACGCACAAATTAATACAACATTACGGTGATGCACATGGAGGGGATCGTCAGTCAGCCGGTGGCGGAGCAGGGGTGAACAGTATAAGTTTTGGCGGACCTGCCGGCGAGTGGCTCATCAGCACTGGATGGGACGGTGTAGTGAAGGTACGCAGCGAACAGTGCATCGCAGATGTTGACTGCAGTCTGATCATATTACAACTATTTCCAGATATGGGATTTGAAAGAGGGGCACCTGTTCTATACCTTACATGGCCACAAACACGGACCAACCACAGCAGCGGTATTTTCGCCACATGGAGACCATTTTGCTACGGGCGGCAGCGACTCGCAGGTCATGGTTTGGAAAAGCAATTTCGATTCCATTTCCAGTCCAGTGGGAACAGAGGACAAGGATGTGGAAGACACAGGTCAGTAGAGAGACCTTGCGGATGTTGACGAAAAAAACACCTTGTCCTGACTTTGCTTTTTGAAGGGGCAAACCGGCGCCCATTTTCCCAATCACACCAGCATGCTCTGTATACCGAAGCATTTACAGCCGGTCGTTCGCGGGCGCAAAGCAAAAGTCCAGTATTGGCAGCACCTGTGCCAATTGCTGCATCCGGAGGTGTAACTGCGCAAAGAAAGGCCACCCAGATCTACGGTTCAGGAAAAGTTAATGGAGGAAAATCCGACCGACCGCCGATTGTCGATGTTGGTGCCTCATTGTTTGCTGAAAAGGTCTATTCCCCTCCCGTCCTTTGTGCCACGGTATTCTCACGTCCTGACACGCAGAATTTGTATATAGGATCTTGAAGAGGATATTGTTTTGCCACCTTCGCGGCCTACCACATCACCTATCCGAGAAATGCGCAGTTCCCAACAGCACCAAGATAAACAGACGTATACCACACCTCTAGAAGTCCGAACAATGCCCAACGAGATCGCCTCTACACTTCAACATATTGTCCGACAGGTGGACGTTCTGACACAAACGATGAGCATTCTTGAGGTGAGCATCGTCTTCAGTTGTTTGTCAATCCCATGATAGTATGGTATTCAAATACACGAACAGAGTCGATTGACAATGAATGAAGATCGGGTAGTGGAAATGGGTCGACGATTTGGGGATGCGGTCGAGCGCATTGACTGGATGGCGTCTCGGTGGACCAGAGCTAATGCGTCTACAGTTAGCAGCAATGCGCCGGAAGGGGTCGGAATACCACATGACGGAAACGATGCTCTAGGGCAGCAACCTGCCGCCCAGGATGCAACGACCGGGAGAGAAAGGGCTGTCCCTAATACTGATCACCCTGAAGCAGAGAGGACGGGTATATAACACATATATACCGGTACATGAAAGAGAGAAGCAACGACGGCAGCTTCTGTAAATAATTATGGTCTACCTTGTAAGTCTAATTGTAAACACCGAGATATAATCTATCTATGTACAACTGGATTGAGGACAACAGTGGTCACCCGCCAGCGTTATCCCGCTCCTTTGTTGATATCAGCCCTTTCGAATTGCCGATTGGTCCAGCAGCTGCATTTTGGCGCTGCGCGTGTTGAAGTTTTGGCGTCCTACCGTTCTTCTTTTGTGTGATAGGTGCCGATGTTTTGACCGTTTTGATTCTCAACGGATAGTACGAGGCACTCCTGGCTGTCGACCTGGTCGTACCTGGAATTGCATTCGATGGACGTTGCAGCCACGGTATATTGGGGGGAGAGATTCTCGAGGCGACCAGAGCGCAGAGGTCGTCGAATCGTGGTGTGTCGTTCTGGGAGTAGACGTATCACGGTTATTCTACGGTAAACCCGTAGTCTCCAATCCTAACTTACCCTTATACCCAGAATGGTCAGCCGCTTGATTCCTAACGCTGTTGCTAATGCAGCTTCTGCTCCTTTTGCAAATGGACATAGTAACACATTGTTCCCGGCAAGGTAAGTGAGCGTTGGAATGTGAGCATACAGATGCGAAACTGGTACATCGCCACTGCACAGGAATACGAGACGCAGTTGGCTGGCTGTCGACGCTTGGGCTGTGGTGCAAGAATCTTCGAGGATTCGGGTAACTTTGTTGATGCCCAGAACAATATCCTGCAACGCTGCAAGCGCCCCAATACCGGTATCACTGGGTGGGTTAGGCGGCTGTTTTGGGAGCATTTCCGGGATCTCGATGGCTCCACCACTCATGCCCTTCCTCTTTTTCTTCTTCTTTTTAGCAGCTTCTAGTTCATCTAATGTTTGCGGCACATCTTGGGTCGCAGGCTTTACAGCAGCAGCCAAAATGGCCGCTCGAGACTGCTTTCTTGCAATAATTTTGTGCACAATGTCCTCCTTTCTTCGTTCACACTGGCCCCGTCGGTGTTCGCCTACGGATGTGAGGATCCTGGTAATCCGAGCATTAGATCGCCGACTCTTGAAATCCTGATGTCGAGTACAATACCTGCATAGCGCTTGCAGGATTTCCTCATTATCTTCCGTACTGAGTGCAGGCCTAGCATGGTGTGATAGCGATTAGAGAATAAACAAACAAAGGACAGACAAGCGTCCCAGTTCTGATACACTCCTAGCAAACTCACCACTCAAATTGAAACGGTGAATCAAAGACGTGCTTAAAAACGGTCCGCCTTGTCTTGTCCCGCAACACATTCTCCTCGTCCGCTATCAATGCTTCCTGGGTAAGTGCTCTCGCGTGCGATGTTGGTGTTGACTTGCGTTGCGGTCGGGGGGAATTCATGGTTGGCGAAAATGACACTGCAAACTGTGATCTGTATGGTTCAGATCGGCACAGTTTTATATGTTACATAATCATTGGAAGTCATGTGCTAATCTGAAGTTCAATACGATGGCCAGCACTTTCAGCAGTTATTTTATACAAATCTTTTAGATATTCACATGGCCAATGCAGTACTTCTCGTTGCGGTGTATGCTCCTAATGAGCATTCTTGTGGGCTATTCTGGTCTGGAGTCAGAGCATCGACGGGTTGGGTCTCTTCCTCTTGTATCAAGTCGTCCCTAGCTGCCCTCAATGATGCCTCAAATGACTTTCGTGTTGTCTCATTATCTGGATCAAGTTCCAAACAAATCCGGAAGCATTCAACGGCGGCGTTTGGATTGCTGGTTTTTAAAAGATCATCGCCGACCGTTCTAATAAGTAGTGTTGGTTAAAACATAAGTCATAGAGACACTTGAGTATCCAGCGGCTTACCGTAGCACGTCAGCATCTCTGATGCCCAACCGTAGCGCTTGCGCTATACACTGATTTGCTTCAAAGCTGCGGTTGAGCTTCAAGTTGAGTAATGCTAGATATGCCCATACATCTGCATTGCGATTGTTAAGGACATTCGCTTCCTGTTGACAGCCACAAAGAGCGAGTTTAGGAAAAACATGTTGTTTTTGTTTAGCCAAAGTTCTTGCGCGTCAAATGTAAGTACCGCTAAGGCATCCTCAGCTTCTTCCCAATCTTCAAGCGCCATGCAGGCTTTTCCAGCACCAAGCCATGATGCGGTGCTCGGGGCAATGCCACTGGCTCGAAGGTACATCGACTTGGACAGTCGTGCCATTGAAACGTCAATGCGACTATTTTCGACAGCATTTCGAAGATATAGTGAACCAAGGCGGGTGTACACCATGGATATATCGGTTGGTTCTAAAGGGAGCCGGGTTGGCAAGGTCAAAATGCATGCATTGCAAACGAAAGATTATCCCGCAACAGCTACCTTGTGACAAGGAAAGCACTGTCTCGTATGACACCTGAGCACTATCCCAAAGTTTTTGTACGTATTGGAGGTGACCTTTTTGCGCCATATCAGTATGGTCGAAATAATGCGTTTACAGACTCTACCCATACCCAAAGCCGCCCAAACGTTCGGCTCATCTTGCTGGATGCTCAATGCGTCTTTCAGGTGCTCATTTGCCAACTTATAGTTCGAGCGCTGGACTTCAAGCTGACTAAGAAGTAGGTAAGGCTTAACTCGAGGACCAGATTCAAGGATTTCCTAAAGGACTACGGTTAAATCGTGCCCGTAAAATGGAAAACAGTGAAAAGTACCCACTTGCGAAAGCGCACGCTCTGCGAGCTGTCCAGCATGGCAGTGTATGAGGAACTCGGCTACCAATAAGAAAATTGATGGTGCGTCTGGTAACCGGTTAATTCATCGAGCGCTAACAGAGTGGATGATCAAAAAGAACCCTCTTATACCTGATGGCATAGTGCTATTGTGTAGCTTTGCAGCCTCCATTAGATAGTTTTCAGACTCTTCTTCCTCACTAATAACATCATAGAAAAGTCCCTGATAAAGAGCGTAGAACGACTCAGAATCTACAATCACTATAGACTGCGAGATGCATTTAGTTCAACTCACCAAGAGTGTCAAGCTCAATGTATACTTGGGCTGCAGTTCCACAGCCGTTACGAGGTAAACACGCGCTTCCTCGAAGCGTTCATGAATACAACATAGAGCGCCATATGCTAGCAAACTGTCGGATAGTTGATGGCAGAGATGGTCAATAATAGATTTTAAGTGATGTCATCCGCTACTGCACCTTGGAATGTGCTTGGGATTTTTTGACAGTATCTCACGAAAGCATTCCTCGCCTTTCGACATCATTCCATTTCGCATACAGAAGCATCCGTAGTCAAACCTAAACATAAATACATTAGGTTTCGAACAAAAGAAGGACAGCGCAAAGTAAACATTTCCCCACCATGCCTGCATGCTATCCTCGTACTTTACTATCCGCTCTTGATGGTACCTACTGGCAAGATCCGTAAGATGATCCACTTCTGCCGTATCAGCAAAATTCTTCAATATTTGGAAATCAGCCGTCTTCGTAAGGGTTGGGTCGACAAACGCCGTTGATTTGTCCCGGAACATCTGCCTTAGCCATAAGTTTGAGGCTAACTGTGGAACATGGTCGAGCCCCGATTCATACCTTGTTGATCAGCAGATGCATTTGGTCGACGAGGTAAACGTATACCTCGGACATGAACAGTTGGAGTTCACTTTTAGATGCGAAGGGAGATTTGCGCTTGAATTGCTGGGGTCGGTGGAAGCCATCTATCAGTGAAAAGGGAGCGGATCGACACATTACAACTGTTTGTTTACCTCCCGCACGACCTCAACCACGGCTCCCTTCAACTGCTCTTTGAACATGAAGTATGCTCCGCTCTTGTTCAGATGAAAGAAAAGCCGCTTTCTTCGCTACATTGCACCGGAAAGCACTATCAGAAAGTGGTTCTCCTGGGTGAAAATCTGCGAGCCCAATACCCACTTGGAGCTCCTCCGACGAAGTCTCCGAGCCAACCGATATGCCGTCGATAGAATCCCCGCGTTTCTCTGCCTCCGCTACCAGTACTGTCTCATATTCCTTGACCAACTTTCGAACAACCGCTTGAACCTGTGTAAGGTACTCCTCATTGGCACGTTTCGAACGTTTTTCGTAGAGAAGCTGAGGTGGAATTATGCGACGGGGAATGAAGTCACTGACTGATTTGGTTATCTGAGTGTCATATCAAATAGTATCTTAGTGTCTCCACGTTGGATATTAGGAATAAAATTCGTGTCGTGCATACCGGCTGTAGCTTCTTCTTGTCGAGAAGAGGCTTTTCCAGCAACAGCTGAAGGCCGATACTGGTACCTAAGCTTTTATATAGGTTCGCTGTAAAATAGCATTCTGAGCACAGGTCCTTCCGACTGTGGCATAGACATTTCTCGCTGTATCTGAGAAAGATGGTACTTCACGCCTTACCATCATCCTTTGCTCCCCTTCCCTTCTTGCTTGGTGTCGGACCAGGAGCTTGACTGTCCAGTGTCGTTGTCGAACTCGCCAGTGCACCACGTGCTTGGCCCAGACCCATTCCCTCGCTAAGTGGACTTGCTGGTGGTTCAAACACCTCCAACGGCCAGCGACCTTTCAAGCCCATCACCCGCGGAAACAGAAGCGAAGACATATCCATGATGGCTCGACCGCGATATTTATTTACATTGGAGTCTACCACGTGAGCGAACTTGGGTTGAAGCTCTCGAACAAACTGATTTTTAGACAAAGCCGTCAATTAGAGCGCGCTATTTTCAATGTGCTCAGGTACTCGTACCTCGACCTCCGTCATATGTTTACTCTGAATCTTCTCCCTCAACCGGATAACTGCCTCGGGTGGCATCCAGACCACATGTGTGGTTGCCCATGAAACTTTCTTGATGGTTTCCGCAAAGACTGGCCGTTCCCTTTCAGATGGGGTGGGAGGGACAGTGGCAGAGTCGCTTTCGCCTGGGGCTGGAGGATGGCGAGTCTCAGAATCCAGTTGTGCAGTGTTGGTCCCCTGGCTACTTGTAGCAGGTTTGGGCATCATGATGGGCTGCGGGGTAGTGAGAGCCGCGTCTAGTATGGAATGTCGATTGGTCCTGAGACTGGACAATGGATAGTTATCATTATATTTACCTGTCACAACTGGTACATCAGTCACCATTAATGTTCCGTTTGGGATGGAAACTAGTCGTTCTGGGGTGGATTCGGCTGGTACCATTAAGTTCAGAGTGTACGTGTATATATCTATCAGAAACAAGATGTTAGAAGACCAATCTTTGGACGTGCACTGAGCGGTATGTCACGCATCATACTCGAATTCAAGTCTTTTTCATTCCCTTCCTTTAATGTCCACTCATCTGGGACAGGAAAAACATCGTCCACCTTAAATGTAAGGAAAGTGCCATTTTCGACGACTTCGGGTTCAATGAGAGGCGCTGAGAGTATGACCTCCACGTCAAACTCTGGTCCATTTTTAGTGTGCTCGTCCGCGTCTTTTCCCAGTAGACGTGCATTTGCGTAGCTGATGGGGACAGTTGCCTTGAACGACAGAGGTGGAGGCGGTGGCAATACATCTGGGTTATTTGGATCCCGCGCAGGATATTTGAAGAAATGTGGAAACATGCTCAATTCTCCTTCCCCAAGCACCGCGGTCTTCTCTTTTGGAAGAGATTCAATAAGAGTAAAGTGGAGTTTCTTGTTAGCAAATGTGTCGATAAGAGTCTGCCACGGGACAATTTGACGTCAGTATACTGTCTCCTGACGCTCCATTACATATTTCAAATACCTCATCCACAAGAAACGATTGCTTCACTCCAAAATTATACTGAGGGTTGGGATTATCCATGACCACTGGCGACTAGGTGATTGTCACGTTAGCATCTTCCCCCGCAACATCCAGAATCCCACGGCAATTGTCAACCCACCTCCTTGTAATCAAAATCTGCAAACTGTACTCTCACAAACGAGTTAACGTGATCTCCCTTGGCTCCCTTGATGTTCTTAGCGGACAGCACTTTGATGGGTAATCAGAAGAGTTAAGGCTTCAACAGAAACTCCATTTGCAAAACCATAATCAAGTAAAATATTGATAAAGGATATTAAGCAAAATCCCGCCTTCCATCGTCGGTACACCCGCATGTTCGTCCGTTACTTCCGATCTCGCGACATTGAGAACGTTGGTGGATGAGGTCACACTTGGCCGACGACTTGTTCGTCCACTGCCAGGTTTGGCACCTCCGACTTTCAAGCGAGCCCCTCGATCAGCCATCCTGCTTGAAATCAATCTTTCGGTTAGCAGTATTCAGCTTTATGATGAACAATTCGTTGTGTATTACCTTCAATAAGCCGTAGTCGCCTGGCGGTTGGTGACTCGTTTACTGGTAGTATGCCGAACTGACATCCAAGACGCGTGCACCAGACGCGATCGCTCAAGTCCGCCTGATTTCGTAATCAGGGTAGCATCCAGTGCCGATTACAGAAGGATCCTCTGGTCTTTCACACTCTATACGAGTAATCATGAGCAGCCAAGACGAACTCGCCGACGCACTCATCCAACAACGTGGCCGCGAAGCAGAGCTTGAACTCGAAGTTCGAGGGCTCCGGCGCACAATTGAGGTGCTGAAAAACAAGGTACGTCGACTACATCGGTAACCGCAATGTACTGTCCAAAGGATTTGACGAATTATGCCTGCCGTTAAACAAACAGAATGCATCTCTCTCTAATCCTCCAGAAGAGCACACGCAGAAGATAGAAATTCTCGAAGCCGCCGTAAAGGATCTGCAACGTGAGCTGCGGAGACAGGAGTCAGAGCATGATGACATTATTGAAAGGACACTGAATACATTGAGAAGGGGAAGTTCTGGTAGTGTTGGCGGGAAAGATATCAGTGGGGAGGGTGCTGACCGAAAATGAGACTTGAAGGTGACACGAAGACCAAAGACTTGGACCCCAGGTTCAAAAACGGGGGGCAGGAATGTTCACCTGTCTTTGGTACCCTGTGCACCCAAAGGATACAGTCTGTCTTGAGATTTACTGGAGCATCATGCCAGCCAAGGTGAAGATACACCAGGATGTACTGGAGCAAATATTGTACTATGCAGCTTTGAAAGCTTGTCCATATTTTGGCAGCCTGTAGGTACCTTAATAACTGTCTCTACCAAGACCTTGCGACCCATCCTAGCTGTCATTCCGCGTGGATTACGACAAATGAGTTACCTACACATCAGGTCGTTCCTCGCTGGCCTCCCCTTGCGGGCCCTTTCCTTCGCCTCCCTTTGGTCGTCCCGCCAGGCCTTTCCCTTCGCAAATACTGGGATAATAAAACCGATAGCATATGTATGAAATCGTAAATCCAAGCAAAGCCCCAACTGAGACATCTTCCCAATGATGCATATTCTGCTGAAGTCGGGATACCGCTAGTAAGCAAAAGATAATGAGAGAGTTCGCGTACCGGTTAGCAACAAATTTCACTGGTAGTAAGAAAAAAAATGAAAGCACGATGGTACTCACCCACATACAAAACAACCAGTAGCGGCAGTGTACAAATCAACACTCTCCACACACGTCCTTCAGGCCTTCGTCCATCAAAACATCCTACACCCAAGGCCGCCACCAAATACCAACATGCGAACCCAAGTCCCGCCGCTGTTCGAGAAGCGTGACCGGACGGAAACGACATGTGCCCTTTTCGAATCTCAGACGTATCGTTAGAGCGACAATTTAAAGTTATGGGATCTGGCTGACATCGAGCCAAAAAATCAGGACGTAGCCGTCCAACGAGCAATTTCGTTACAGTGACCATGAAGAATGTCAATGTGACAGACAAGAATGTCCCCTAAGGAGAAGAATGTGTTGGATTTCTTGTCACTAAACAACTGTTCCAGGTCTGGAGCTCTTACTCACCAACAAGGCATGATGAACGTCTTTCAAAACCACCTCCATCCACCACTGCTTTTCGTCAGCACCTTCTTCCTTTGACCACCAGTCTTCCTCATCTCCCCCTTTGAAAGACCATACAAGCCTCACGACCCACACCAAAGTTACTACCAGCATTGCACCGCCCAAAGCCATGACCCAACTCATTGTCCTCGAAACGCTTTCGCCTTTTCGCGGGTATGCAATGTCGGGGTCATTCAGCTGAAACTCGCGATGAAAAGGTTCTGGAACTGCATCAAGATACAGGGAGAAGCCGAGGAGCAAGAAGGTGAAGAGGTAATCAAGTATGTACAGAGGGTGGAAGAAAGGACGTGAAACTTGTGGTGGCGGATGTCGGGCGGACGGATACAGGAGCGGGGTAGCCGACGTTGCACCTTGATGATAATGTGGTCTATTATGATGGTGCGGGCGAGTCATGGATACTTGTTTGAACCGAAATTCGCCTTGGGATGATGGACGGGGCAAGTGCTGGGGGGTGATGACAGCAGTTGATTACGCGTTGTGACAAATCGACTCTAATCAATGAATCTTTCATGACTTTCTCTATCTCAGTGATGTTTTTTATAATTGCTATACAAAGGATGAAATAATTACGATGGCGTTCAACCTGCCAACAACCCCTCCTGGAGACAGCCCTCCTTCTATTCCAAAATGACAGTGGCCCCTAGTGCTTCCAGTGTTTTCTTCATCTTTTCAGCATCTTCCTTGTTCACGTTTTCTCGAATCACCTTTGGCACACTCTCGACAAATTTCTTGGCCTAGTACAAACAAAAGGGATAAGGATCACCAAGAAACAAGACGAACATGACGCTGTTGCAATTGTGCAGCTCACCTCAACCAAATTGGCGCCGGGAATCATCCCCTTGATCTCCTTAATAATCTTTGCTTTGGAAGCAGCGTCGAACTTCTCTAGCTTGACTTTGAACTCGGTCTTCTCAGCAGGCTTCTCCTGAAAATAAATCACGGCGTTAACACGCGTTGCTGCAATCGGAAATGGACCGCCACATGGACACGATTATACCTCGGCAACTGGTGCAGCTGCGGCTGCCGCATTTCCAGCTGCCGCGGGGACTGCAACCGGCATGGCAATATCTTGGATGTTCAGGCGCGCCTGTTCCGTTCAATCTGACGATCAGTACATCTTATCCATATCATGACCTGTTCCTCTCTTCTCTTACAGTCATCCACACCTACCTTCAGCGATGAAACAAGCCCAGCCGTTTCCAACAAGGTCAAGGCTGCAATTTGATCCACAATCTTGGTGATCTTGGGATCAACCTGCTCTTGTCGTGTGGAGGGAGTAGAGGCGAAGGTGCGGACGGTGGCTGGGAGGATGGGGTTGCAGGTGGTGTGGTGACTAATCGGAAAAAGAAAGACAGTCCGTTAACGAAAAGCTCTAAACGAAAAGCTCTTGTTGACCTAGCGCCATATTCACGGCAATTCTACGTCTTCGGAAGAGCTCTCCCACCATTAACCGTCCGACCACTCCGCCAAAAGCTTCTCACAGACAAGTGCACAAGTCTAGATACCCTATCGTCCCCCATATATATCCTATATCAGTCCTCAATGCTCACATTGTTTGTCGGCAAATGGGCCGGGCGACACTCGCGATGTTTCGTGCTACGAATGACTGAAATAGCAATATCCACAGATATTAATTCCTCACAATTTAAAGACATCCCTCCTCCACAGCAGATAAAGCACCAGGCCATGCAATGCATACCATTTTGGCAAAAGATATAAACAGTGATCTTGCTACCGACGCTGTCGCTCCTCTAAAGTCGGCCGAGTTCAAAATTTCGATGGGCATGGCAACCTACAGGAATCACCATAGCAACAAACGACCGAACGCGAGTCGCTTCTCGCCGACCTCCAAACGAATGCCTTTGTCATGACTATCCGGAGGACGGGACTGCAGCGGGATGTCTTGGACTTGTATCGCTCCTTGCTGCGTGTAGTGCGAACAAAGCCTGAGGTATATGCCTGTGTACTGTTGCTGAGCCTCGTGCTCTTTGTCGTAACTTTTGACTTTGCAGTCATCGCGAGATCATTTCTACAAGTACATACGGTCTCAATTCAGGCAGGATGCTTCCAGCGTATCTCAGAGGGATATATCTACGATTGAGTTCATGCTGAGAAAGGGACGAAGACAACTAGAGGTCCTGAAGAGTGATAGTGTAGTGGATATCTCCCCTCCGTCATATTAGAACCTCCACACTTTGGCGGATACCTTGTACATAGTGCGGAGCCGATGGGTATTGGCACTAGTACAAAGATTCCAACCAATTTAATCATAATTTTACTCGATTTAGACTCATGAACTATGGTTTGTTTGATCCAAAAATCCTATAATAGTCATCGTCCATTTTCCCAGGCTTTCATCTTTTTCTACAGATATCAGCATGCCACCAAAAAAGAAGCAAAAAGTCGACAAACCCACCTTACATACCTGTAACAAGACTTCCTTTGCAAAAGCTTTCCTGCCAAACGAGATCTATCGCCAACGGCTTCTAGACTTACATCACCATCATCCATCAACTCGCCGACCACGCTTCCCACGCTCTCAAATTCTACATCCTCTCCACATCCACATCCACATCGTCTTTCCCGGTTGTTCACAAAGATACAATCGAAGCCCTTCTCTATCTTCTCAACAAAGGAGAGGCTTGGCAACCAAAAATTGATGCGAAAAGGGCATTGCGCAAATCCTTGTTGCCATATGTCCAACGGTACTGCCAAATCGTCGGCTTCGTTCCCCCAAATCTACAAAAAGAGCAGCAATCAGTCAATTACCTGACAGCGAGTATGATGACGAACCTGAGAGTCAACGTTCAAGAGCATTTCATGCAGATGCTGCTCCGATATATCAATCTGCGGCTTGACGTGAAGAGACAGAAGCAACTGCCACTGAAAAGCAATGCGCGGAAAGCTTTCTTTACTCGACTACGCTACTTGAAGTCAGTTTTTCTTTTTGATATCGTGCCCGAGTCGCTGGATTTAACACCACTGGAGAGCGAGGTTCTTGAAGAGATTTGGTCATTGGATCTCCCATTCCTTCCCAACGATCCCCTTGCCTATGCCATTGTTGCTGATCCAATGTCATTTTTTCCCGCGTACTGCAAACTCTCTCGGCTGTATGAACGACATGGCTTCCGTCGGTTCAGTGCAATCCCTCTTCGTCGGTCTCTGATTCAGTCCCATATTCGCATTGACACGGTCATTCTCTACGCCCACATCCTCTGCATCACCCGCCAAGAAGCAGAAGCCGTAGAGAAGGTCGATTTATGGTTGCGCGTCTGTAATCTACGTACCAAAGCTTTTCGGTCTCGCCGCAGTATGCAGTTTGAGGGTTCGATCACGACGGATGGAACCTCGGTGTCTGTATACCTAAAGCACCCAGAAGCAGACAAGTATGGAAAGCGCGGAGCGAGAAAGTCAGCAAAGAGTTTGGAGGACGAAGTGAAAGCGCAATACATGGAGAAAAACTTACCTGCTTGTCGAACAGCAGAGAATGTTGTTGTTATCGACCCAAACAAGCGCGACATTCTCTACTGCCAAGACGGCAATGGTACAACGTTTCGCTACACTGCAAACCAGCGAGCCATGGAGACAGGCAGCCGTCGGCAGCGAAAGGAACGACAGCAGATGAAGAAGGAAGCGGGAATGGACCTCATAGAATCACGAATACCATCTCACAAAACAATGAACCTCATGGATTTTACTCGCTACCTCCTCGTCCGTCGTGTCGACTGGAACCGCCGCAAGGACTTCTATTCGCATCCTGCTCATACTCGATGGAAATGGCACGCATTCATAAACCGTCAGAAGAGCGAATCAGACCTCATAAGTAACATGCGCAACAAGTACGGTGAAAACCTTACTGTTGTAATGGGTGATTGGAGCGACGCCGGTCGAACTGCAAGATTTCAGACCTCATCAAAGACGAAAGGTTGGCGCACCCTCTTTAAGCGCAACAGGATCAACTGCTTCCTTCTCGATGAGTACAAGACCTCATCTGTTTGCCCTCGCTGTTCCTCATCTGAGTTTGTGGAGAAAAAATTCAAAGAACGACCTCATTCAAGACCTTATCGACGACGAGAAGGCAAGATTGAAAAAGTCCACGGATTGCTGGGTTGTACCAACCCTAACTGTTTGCAGCAAGCCTGGACGATGCGCTACTGGAATCGAGATACGCTGTCAACCTGCAATATGCTAATGATCGTGCAATCAATGTTGGATGGACACGGTAGACCAGAAGTGTTCAGCAGGAGTGTAGCGTAGCGTAGATTGGTTAGATTAGATTAGGTTTTCCGAACCGGTTGTCGCGCGGTTCAATCCCTGGTGCGGGTGCTAGTGCCAATACCCACCGGCTCCGCACTACTATAGCATCGTTAGTAAATAAATATACCTGCACGCAAGCAATGGAATTCATGGTTCCACCAGTTACTGCTTCACGGCTGATTTGGCACGCTTGATAGGACCGTCAAGCGTCCACGCGACCAGCGCCATACCGGTTCACGCAATAGTGTTAATATCAAAATTCATGTATTAGGCAATTCAGTTGTCATCAACCACGACAATCTACACCAAGAAAAATCCCAATAATCCCCTAACAGCTGGCCTCAACGCCTTGTGATGGTACTGATAAGCACTCAACAGGTAGCCCATTCCCATCGCAAACAAAGCCACATCTCCACCAGGAATCTTGATCCCGCCCATGCCAAGAGCATGAGTGATCCTCCACCACGAACTTTCCAGGGCCTTGGGCAGGCAGTATAATCCAATTTCCCTACGCCGCGACTTTCTCTCAAGCAAAAGGGAGAAACCACAGAGGAAAGACCCTAAAAGGGGACCCAGAGTGGTGTCTTGCCGGGAAACATTTCGCACGACGCAAATAGGGGCCCACACACCTGCAATGAATGTGGCGAGGAAAGTCGACGAGCGAAGGGCGTTTGTCGCAACGTGGAGGACCGTTGAAGGGAACTGGTTGGAAAAAAAGCGTCGCCGGTGGAAGATCAAGGCCGGAAGGAGGTGAACGGGGATGTAGATTTTCAACGCGTCGAAGAATCCGCTACGCCATACGTCCACCAGATGGGTCCAACAGCCTTCAATTCCGCAGTGGATCAGCGTACATGAAATAAAGCCGTTTACCGGATCCCCAGCAGCAAATCCATAACCCATTTCTTCTGCATAATCGCCAACAAGATGAGCATGTCCAGTGTCTTTACCGTATACCATAACGCCTTTCCCCAAGAGCTTGACGGCCTCAAGAAGACGAGGGTCCATACGTGACATTTTCTGGATCCACTTCACATAGCTACGCGGTAGGGCTTCGGGACTGGCATAGCGAAATAAATGGTCCGAGATATCGTAAAGCGCAGAAATCAACGACTTAAATACTTACTAGTAAAACCAGCAATACATGATCTGGGTGCAGCATGCCACAAACACGGATGTGTCCATATTGTTCATCAATATCGGTGGGACCCATCGCAACATCCTTTGAATCTTGTGATTCTGGAACGAGGCAAAAGAGTCCATAGCTCTCACCAATGTAAACAGCGCAAAGTCGGCTCGCCGGGCGGGTTCAATGGTCAGGAGTGCCAATGCACTGGACGCAACTCCAGCAAGGAACGTTGGAGATAGGATGTTACGCGCCGGCGGAAGTTGCGGGGCATTCTTGGTGTCTATTTGACGTTTAGACTCAAGGTTGGGAGAAGCTTCGTATGGATGATCATCGGCTTCCGCGGCCATGGACACACCTTCAACAACAGATCCCACCACCATTCCGTTTCCATTCTTTTTACCATCCCATGCGACAGCGGTCTTGCCATCCAAAGGCCTCCACCCAACCTTCCGCGCTATCTCCCAAAACAGGCGATCGAATAGCCGAAACCCGCCAATCAAGACTAAGAAGAACCACGGCAACCGAGCCTTGAAACTTTTGCTCAAGATTTGAAAGAGTTGCCCGAGTAGCGAGTGCGCAGGAGCCTTGGAGCTGTTTTTTCCTCGCGAGACAAGTCTCTTAAGGATAAGGGACACGATACGCGGGATGCATGCCACGGCATAGCCAGAGAAATACGCTTTAAGGGCGGACAGGAAGATACGGTGAAAAGACGCCTTGAAAGGAGGCACAAAGAGTGGGCGAGATTCTGTCAACTCTGCGGCATCGTGAACAAGTTTCCGCGAAACGGGTGCTGACGACATTGCGAACCGAGTGTCCGCAAGTTGGAGACCCGCAAGTTTTAGGACGAGATGACAAAGGGAATTGACGGCTCCCGGACCAGCCGGGGACTTGATATTTCCGCGAAAGCGTGTAAACGGAGAATGGTGTATCCCATCGCCCTCCTTGTGGTACGCTTACCAACCAACCAACCAACCAACCAGCGCTGTAATCGATTAGAGTTTTCATGCACTGAGTACATAGGAAGCAAGTATGTGTATGGATTTCAAGTCCGCATTGGTCCAGTGGTTAGGATCCCGCGCTTTCACCGCGGTGGCCGGGGTTCGATTCCCCGATGCGGAGTCAGTTATGACAAAGTTATACTTTTTGAGATTCTTAATTGACACCGCTTGATATTTTGATGCACAGTCATTTGTATAATATAATGCTTGGGTTTATGGAAAAAATATCACAAACTATTGCAAACTGCGATGCCGGCCAAGGGAGAATGGCAATTGCGTGGCAAGTAATTGCATTGACCCCTTTACTTTTGATGGAATGCAATATATGTAAAGCCTCTCAATTAGATGAACTAGATTAGAACTCTCAGTAAATGACAAAGTCTTTCCTTTCACCAAAACACACACCATCGTTACTCTCCCAAAACTTCATGAATTCCCTTCAATGCAATACCATACATGACAACACCCTCTCCACCGGCGCTGCCTTGATCTCCTGCCCACCGGACAACACCTCCGTGCCTGCCCGCCAAAACATCAATGCCAGCACGAAGCAAGTATCGCTTCTTGAGTTCAAACTCTGCCCGTTTACGTCGTTCCCAGCCGCGACTCGGCAAGGCTTTGGTGGCTTCTGAGACGAGGTAGTGAAGAAGCAGATACGCGTGTTCCGATAAAATGAGTGCCACGAGAAGTGTGGGAAGCCGTTGCTGAACTTGGTTGGTTGCTTGTTCGTCAGGGACCCATTTGTAGTAAAGAATACTGAGAGATGGGGCTGTCAAGGAGCTTAGCCAGCTAAATAGAGTCTATCGCGAAGAAGGACTGTCAACAACTGAACTTTTAAAGACAAATGACGTACTTTGCTACTCACGAGGTTCTTCAACCACGGTCCAATGTTGTCCGCACGTTGTGGAACTGGTCGCCTGATTATAAATCACAAGGTTAAAAAGTGTTGACGGCACTCTTTGAACTAGCAAACGCCTTCACCTGTTGGCCTTGCAAATCTTGAATGCGTCTGCTCTCAGTTCCAAAAAGTTATTTACTAGACAAGCCAACGGTGCCAGTGGCCACGCAACGGAAAATAAGACAATATAACCGAACTATTATGGTCCATGAACGATTACCTTAGTAAAACGCATGCTCTGCACGTATGAATGCGATATATCAACCGTAAAAACCAACCTGAATTACCATCTCGGAGTAATCCGCGTCAACGTCATACCCAGGTCTCTCAAACTCGCTTCGAACCCTTCGCACATAGCGTTCCTCCTCAGTCTCCTTGGCCTTTTCTGCCTTACTCTTGTGTAGTCCATGCATAACCGTTGTAGCTTTGGTCGTCAGCAGTGGCACAATCAACTCTGTTGCAGCGTTCAAGACCTGTCCCGTGATCATCAGATAGATCAGCCGTGCTTGCAAGGTTTCCGGTGTCACTTCAAACCCCATCGAGGAGATGAAGCCTTTCTGCTGAAGGACGGACCCAATGGCATTGGACAGTGGGATAAAGAGATATGATTCCGCAAACAGTGCAATGAAAGCAACCAGAGAATTGAAGGTGAATAGCTTTTGTGTGAAGGATGCCGCATGTTGCGTATCCGTAGGATGATTTTCATAATCGCTAAGGCTGGCGGCTAGTTTGATATATTTACTATGAAAGACGGGGATGCATCCACCGTATAGGATGGTTGGTAGGAATCCCTGATAAAGTTGACATGGAGAATTAATGCTGCATTCAGGCTTCGCCAAAGCTGCCCATTCCCTGCACTTACCATCAGGTCCTTGCCGGGGCCGTCATAAAACTTATGGAAGTATACATCCGCGGACACAATTCCCAAGACCACCAGAGTCAGCACAGCCGTAATCGCAATTGTGATAGGAGCCGTAATCAGACATTTTACCGCCCATCGTTTATAGTACGGATAATAAGGTGTCCGCTCCTCTGTTACCGGATCAATGACAATCTTGGTAGGCCGGAATTCCGGGCGGATTTTTTCAATCTTGGAAAAGTTCCGGGTGCCCCACCGTGTTGCGTACCATTCCGCTTGTCGGTTCCATAGAGAAATGACAATGATGCTCCAGACAATCTGAGCAGCGGGCGTTAAGCTACATCTTCAGAACATGTGAAGGTCGAGAGCTGGACATCCACTCACAGTGAGAACGCCGTAGTATGGCGAAAAGGCACCATGCCACCAATAGTCAAGCACACCAATGAGGGCCGGAGCAATGAGGGAAGCAAGGTAGAATCGCAGAAACGCGAAGTAGTAGGCAACCTGAATGGGTACAGTCGGTGGCTGGTTCATTCAACGTAGCACCATTCATAAGAATACAAACTTTTTCGCCAGCATAATCCCTTATCGCATCAATATCCTGTTGAGATAGTAGCCATCGCTTCGCCCACGACTTGACCCATTTCTGCCAGACATAATAAAGCTTGCATCGGTAGAGGTTCCACATGGTTCAGCTGACTGGATCACACTCACATCTGCAAACTCCCTATCATGCGGTGCGTATATTGCTTCGATGTACTTTCCCCCAACAGCGTCCGTATTTCCTACCACGTCTGCATCGCTGGTCAATCCCGCGCCACCTTCGTACGTAGGAGCAGTCAAAAGTTCGTGGACCAGACGGAGTCGTTCCGCAGGAGTGGTAGCAGGGGTACTAACTTCTGCACTTTCAGCATTGGGAAGCGCAGGTGGCTCCAGTTCTGATATACCCGAGTCATTTAGCCAGTCGACGACCCTGAAGAGAAATTGTGGCTCCTGTTAAACCAATTTTCTATCCCTATCATATCTAGATATCGCGTGTTGTTAATTCCGCCGTACCTACCTAGATCTGTACACCTCTCTGGCCAAAACTTTTTCAGGGCAATATACGAAAATGGCCAGCCTTATTTCGTCCCACTTTTGAACCCTGAACTTCAACCCGACGGCTAGCAACCTGGAAACGACGTCCGCCCAGGCCTTCCTAACATCCGCTTTCGCCCCGTCGTAAAAGTGATCAACGTTAGGGGTGGCAGAAGGGGCAGCTTGTGTACCCTTCAATTGAGTCTTTGAGGACGTATCCTTTTTGTTTATCCTCGTGTTGAAGACGATGACCCAGTCCGTCGCGGTAAACGGGAAGGAGTCCCCGTTATCGCCGCGCTCTTCGTATGAGTTTGTTTGAGGTTTACGCAGCGCAACCATTTGGTATGTGTAAAGAATGTCAAGATGAGAGTGTTCAAAGTGCGAGAAGAAACCGTGCAGATTGGTGATGACATGACGCGGATCACGTGACGATCGAGATTACGCTGACATTACAGCTGGCAATTCCAATGCTTGCTATGGTAGATTATGGGCACTCTTCTAGTTAGATAGCTGGCAATTCTTTATCGTACATCCATTTACCCAACCTTTCGATGGTTCCACCACCCAGACAGATATCACCTACATACGCTACGACATGCTACAAAACCATGCGCAAGCTTGGGCGTGAGTTTGCGTTCGTTCCAGAAAGCATATGATACAAGGTGCCCACCTGGCCCATTGCTAACCCATTTTGAGGTTCATCCAAAGTAATGTCATATCCACCTTGTGATTCTTCACTTCTTTGCATCATGCATGGAACTAGTGATCAACAATATCAAAAATATCAACAAAAATCCCAGGTCATATTTTACTTTCACCTTCATAGTCCTACCTGGATCCATGCGATACCGATACTTTACAGCAAACCTGATGCTACCCTGTGAGTACAGCTCCACTGGCTCCTCTCCAGATACCCAGTGCCAATTCTTGACCCCTAGGGAACGACGGCATAAAGCCGGGTGTGATCTGCAATGTGATGAAGCACCGGATTCAATGCTATAGCAAAAAGCCAATGTACAAGACCGGCGTTCGTTCATACCTGCCGGATGCGATATAGATTATGTTTCTCTTGGGGTCTTTCTCTGCAACGTACCATCTGAAATGGGCCCATGTCAGTCCGAGTGCTCACAAAGATGAATAGCCATCTAGAATGATCCATACTTCTCGACCTCCCCGGGTATTCTGGCTCGCTGCCCAATGGTGTACCTCGAGATACCTCTGTGTTCCCCTTTGACCTCTCCATCGACCGACACGAACGCGCCATGTGGCTGAACCAAATAGTCATCTAGTAACATAGGTCCGAGGCCTGATGAGACTTTTCGAAATCACTTCATGCCACTATGGGTCAACCTACCAATAAAATCACCAAAATTCCTCTTTCCTACAAAGCATATCCCCATACTTTCTCGCTTCACAGCTGTGTGAAGACCAGCCTCCGCGGCGATGCGCTTAACGGTTGACTTTAAGTAGGCGCCAATTGGAAAAAGTGTGCGTTGAAGGGCAGTGGAAGGGACAGTCGAGAGGTAGTAGGTCTGGTCTTTTGTCTTGTCGATTGCTGCGGTGAGGATGCAGCTCAACGTTAACCATGAAAAGAGGAGATGGCAAGGTATCTTTCCTACCTCTCAGAAGCAGAGCACGGCCATCCGGCAAGTGGTGGAGCCGTGCATAGTGACCAGTCGCAATTAAATCAGCATCAGCCTTTATAGACTTTTCCAATGATCGGCTTTGGGCGCATTGGTCATTTCCCACAGACTCCAATGCTGTTGTCCCTAGTTTGATTTCTCCACTGTTTTCGCGTCGTATGAACCGATCAAAGAAGGAGCCAAACTTTATCTCACGATTGCACGCTATATCTGGGTTGGGCGTCCGACCCATAGCCAGATTCTCCAGGAAGGCATCAAAGACATTTATCCAGTATTCCTTTGAGAAATCCACCTATGAAGAGCGCCTCGCTCCGTTAATCACCTGGACTGTATCTCGTCGATATTTCAAAGAGTTCAACCAAGCGTTTGAACGCACCCGATGAGACTTTATTCCCAACTTATCGCAAACTCTCAGAACGTCCTTCCAGTCCTCCTCCGACGGACAGACGCCGTTCTCGTCTCGCTCATCCCAGTTGCGCATGTAAACTCCTTCTACCTCGTACCCTTCCTTCAAGAGCATGTACGCTGACACACTGGAATCAACACCGCCTGACATGCCGAGTATGACCCTTTTGCGACGAATGCCGTGAGGTGGCAGACCGTGCGAATGACGACATTTTTGACTTCGACGGTTGATTCTACAGGAGGTAAAGGCGGTATTCACAGACGTTCGCAGGTATGCCAGAAGGGATTCGGACGGTAAGAGCATGCTCAACCGATGCAAACAAATGGGAAGATAGCTTTGTTGAAGTCCAAATACGTGGGATCTCATCGGCTTGACGACCGCGTTGCCAAGGGACTCACCTATTCCGATTCCCTTTACCCATTCCTTCTGAGATCCCATTCGTTTCGACCTCACAAGCTCAAAATGGTCTTCGCGGCACTCACTCGGTCTTGGTGCCAAGCACAGGCCTCTTCTGCATCCTGTCGTTTCATTCCGCTTTCATCTACACACCTCCGACGTACATTCTCCTTGACGATCCCTCCCCATGCATCCTCGACGGTAGCCCTCGTAGCTCGCCTCCGTAAAGAAACGCAGTGCAGTATCACAAAAGCTCGTGAAGCTATTGCTGCGACAGGAAGCTCATCTTATGAAGAGGCTTTGAAATGGCTTAACAATGACCTCGCACAATCGGGTGCGAAAAAGGCCGCGAAAGTCGGGTCTCGGGTGGCGGCCGAGGGCCTTGTTGGAGTCATTTCAACGGACTCTAGAGCGGCGTTAGTGGAAGTCAACGCTGAAACCGACTTTGTTGCACGTAGCAAGGATTTCTCAGAACTGGTTCAAAGGATTGGTGCTACTGCTTTGGTGGTAGGCGAAGATGTGGTGGCCGCCGCCGGAACTCCAAGCTCTTCCATTGTCGAAATACCATTAGATGGTCTGCTTGCCTGTCCAGCGCTACCTCCCGCTTCAGCAACATCTCCTGCTGTAGACTTTGATGGCAAAACTGTCCAAGAATCCATTGTGGAGACTATCGGCAAATTGGGTGAAAACATCAAGATCCGGAGGGCAGCAGTTACTGTAGCTTCTCCAAACGCTTCGGGTGCCACTTTTGTTGGAGGCTACGTCCATTCCGGGGGGGATGGATCAATTCCGGCTGGTCTGGGACGTATCGGCGCCTTGGCCATGCTGGAAGCCACTCCAGCTTCGTCCTTGACATCAACTTCCTCAACATCCCTTTCGCGCCTCGCAAGGCAGCTTGCACAGCACATTGTAGGCTTTGATCCAGCTGTTGTCAGCGAGTCGGGTTTAGAGAGAGCGGTCCAGAAGGAGAAATCCGCCAGACTTGATGGCGAGAGCGAGCAAGAACATCTTGACCGCGTCGTCCTCCTGCGACAACAGTTTATCTTTGGTAACGGAACCGTTAAAGAGGTTCTCAAGCAAGCAGAGCAACAGATTGGTCCGGATGCTTCGATTGTGATCAAAGAATTTGTGAGATGGGAATGTGGTGAAGGCATTGACAAGAAGGAGGACAACTTCGCCGAAGAGGTGATGAAGCAAGCAGGAATGGCCTAGACTACAATTTATTATTTAAATGCGGTTATGTACCATGTGTAGATTATTTCCAGTTACATTCAATACATTAAAATGCTCATATACGACGAATGATTAAGCAATAGCACGAGAGCACATACCGGACGGCCCATACAAAGAAACAGATAGAAAAATACATACTAAACAGTAGGGGCACGCTTTACTTCCCCCTTTGCCGAGAACCTTGGCCTAACCGTTGTTTGCTGTAACATATTCAGCAAGACATCGGCAGGTATGCCATCTACGCGTAACGTTGTCGGTTTTCGTTTAAACAGGTCGTTAACAGCTTCTGGAGTCCTTCTCTTTGTTTCCTGTACTGGAGCAGAAGGAGCTCGCACTGGCGGGGCAGGTTTGGGGATCTCCGTAGCACTTGTTTCCCCAGTGGCATTTGGACTAGTTTGACTCTCCGCAGCATGAGCAATGGATTTTTCCTGCTGCTTATCCTTCCCGCTCTCAATCCGAGCCAAAAATTCTGGTGTAAGCTTAACCGACTCATCCCGTATAATAATTCCAGTGTCTTTCTCCAATTGTTTTTTAACTTCCTTGATCCTCAACGGAATCGACTCCACGATCCTTCTCAATTCCCATACTGATGCACCCGAGAACGCAGTTCGGAGAGCGTCACCCATATTTCGGATATCCGCCATCGTGTCCACCAGTTGTTGATACGCAGCAACAAGTGACGCGTCAGTGGCCATGAGCTTGTTGAATATGAGAAGATATTGAGGGTAATCACTCTGCTCATACATAAGTTTTCTGTGCTGCCACCGTTCCCACGCTTGTCGGCTCTTGAGTGAATTATCTTTTGGCGGTTCGGGATCATTGAACGGTGGCGGTTGAGGGGGAAAGCGTGGACCGACCAGGAGGGCAATCTCGTCTAGGACATGCTTCTTTGTTTTCTCGTCAAAGCGATACAGGTGCACACGCGTGAGGATTTGCGCTTCCCCATTCTGGTCAACTAGGTCTGCTTCGACTGCATCGGGAAGGTCAATGGCATTAGTCCATTCTCTCCCTGGCCAAACTTGGCATGGTTTAGCTGGCTTAGCATCCTGCCCGTCCACAAGGCGATATCCAACAAGCCATCCTCGCCGAATAAGCGTGAAAATGAATCCACGGCCAGTGTTGGTGACTGATTTGCATTTTTCAGCGAGCTCTTCAATATTTCCACCTGGTGCTTCCATAAAACCCAACATCTAGGGATCCAAGCATGATCAATGATAAATCAACGTATAAATGAGAAACGCGCATTTTGTACCTCGATGAAGAGCTCGCTCTTTTCCATTTCAATGTCTTCTTCTGTGGGCCCAGTCTTTACTGGAGTCGCCACAGGCTTTGGAGCAGGAGCTTGCACCTTGCGAAGCTTCTTTCTACGGTTGGGGTCGCGTAGCTCCGCCAAAAACGCCGATTGCAGGTCTCCAGCGTCCATAACTGGAGTACTTGCTGGCGGCAGTCCCCTCACCGACGGCGGAGGTGGGGGCGGTGGCGGACCTCCTCCCATGGTCGGTAGCGGCGGCGGAGGAGGTGGAGGTGGTGGACCTCCTCCCATGGTCGGTAGCGGCGGCGGAGGTGGAGGAGGTGGTGGACCTCCTCCCATGGTCGGTGGTGGCGGCGGAGGAGGAGGTGGAGATGGTGGCCCACCTGCCATGGTTGGTGGTGGCGGCGGCGGAGGAGGGGGAGGAGGAGGTGGTGGCCCTCCTCGCATGATCGGTGGTGGAGGAGGAGGCGGTGGCGGCGGACCTCCTCGCATGATTGGGGGCGGGGGAGGTGGTGGTGGTGGTGGTGCTGGCGGCATAAGCCCTTCTCCGGTCACAGCGAGCGTTGATGAAAGTGAATCTCTACTTTCTGTAACAGCATCAAGCTTCTTTTCTGGAGAGGCCCGCGAATCTAAATCGATCGATCGACAGTCAGTTGTCAGCTAATGTCACCAATTGGGCCATCAAGGGGAGTACCTCTCTCGGTCGTCCTCTTTCTGACAGCAGTCCTCCTGCCAATTCCTCCTGGTTTGGAGGAGACGGGCCCCGACACTGGGGCAAGCTCTTCTTCGTTGGTAGAAGTCACTTCGACGGGGCCGGGTGCTTCATTGAAAACTTTCTGGAATGGTTGAGGGATGTTTTTCACCTCATGCGACAGCAGCGCCAACAAAATCTATCGAATATGTAGTCATTAATATGAGCGTTCGGTCTCTTCGCAAAGTTCAGTAGACAACCCACATGGTCTTTCCGATGCACGCTCGCAACCGATTCGCCACCAAAAACACTCCGCCCTTCCAGAGTTTTCGCTTGTACCAGTTCCACACCCTGGAAAGCTTCCGAGGCCTTCTTCAGCAGCGCATTCAAATCAACATTGTCGGGAACAGTAACTTGCAGTTGTCCTTTTGAAGTGATGATGGTGAACTCAAGGTCGCGAGTTGGGGTTGCTGGAAGAGTGGTGGGAGATGTTGACTGTACTTGTGGAGGTGGTGTAATTGACGGCATTATGGGCTCTGGCAGTGAAATTGTTGCCGCTCCTGCAGTAGCAGCAGGCCTGGGGGCCGACGCAAGCAGTAGATCGTGCACACGGCTCCTGCGCATAATGCACTGTCGTGGTTGCAGACAATAAGTGTATTAACGTGGTTACAGTATAAGTGAAGCACAAAGCAACATGGTCTGGTAGCGTGTGAATGGAAATGCCAATGTGATGAGGGTGAAAGTAAGTTCTTTTTCAACGTCAAGAAGGCGACAAGGAACTTATCGCGTGGCTCAGCGCTACACTCACGTGATGCACGCGCTCGAAAGCTGTGGGTGGAATTTGGGGGATTTGGCCATCCAGCAATTGAAACGATTCCCAAAAGAGAGGTAAGTGAAGGTGTAGATTGTGGCAAGGATGGCTACAGGATCAAATGGGAAGGTGCTGTGAGAAACGGTTTGGTCAGCGTCTTCTGGTTGAGGAGTGATCACTCAAGGTATAATAGCGACTTTTCCAGCTCATCGTTCCTTCCTGTCTGTCGATATTCTGTAGTCTCTATCTCTCAATCGTAACACCAATACCAACACCCGCTAGGCCACAGTCAGACTACAATGGCCCACCTCCAAAAGGATCGCTCGCTCATTGCGGTGCTCGGAGATGAGGTGCAATAGTTTGCCAATGATATTTGCAATAACCCTTCTATGTTGGCTTACTCGACCATATTCAAAAGGACTCTGTGACAGGTCTCCTCCTTGCGGGGATTGGTCATATCGATTCTAAGCAAAAATCAAACTTTCTTGTAGTCGACTCGAGTAGGTCACGTTGTCATACCAGGGCATTCCAATATCCATTGTTGTTTATCCGTGATGGACATAGAAACACCACTGGCCAAGATTGAAGAATCGTTCGAAGAATTTACAAACCGCAAAGATGTTGCTATCATTCTGATCACACAGCAGGTTGCCGATGAGATTCGTCATATATTGGATGATTATGATCAAGCTTTTCCAACAATTTTGGAAATCCCGTCCAAAGACAGGCCGTATGATCCGTCAAAAGTACGTGAAGGGGAATATAAGACTTGCAACATGATGCGTTACTTAGCAGCGTCTTCCTCTCACAGGACTCGGTATTGAAGCGTGTGCAACGATTGTTTGGTGAAGGAGCTTAATGTGGGCATGACATATATGGTAGATGTAGAACGCTTTGTAACATGTGCTTTCTTTCCAAGCTGGATCTCGATGCAGAGCGACACTGCTTTATTTACTACGAGAGAAAGAGGATCTACCTGTACAATAAAAACCGGAACATAATCATCATCACCTTGCTCTCTCCGTCTTACTCTTCTTGTTGGGCCGTCCAATCCCATTCTTCTCCATTTCCAAAAGTTCCTTCCCACTCTTAATCTCACTTTCATTCACACTCAAACCCGGAATATTAGGCTCCACCAACCGCAACGTCAACTTGCTCCTTCTCGCCGCCCCACCAGCCTCCTCAACGTTCACAACGACCACAACTTTGGAAAACAACTTAATGGTCGCATTCATCGCCACAAGACGGTTGCTGTCACGGTCATATGTGAACGGTGATGATGCTCCACCATCAGCAGATTCTTCTCGCGTTGAGTAGACATAACCTTCAATACCGTACTTCGGGATGAGGACAGAAAACCCGTTCTTCATCACGCGGACAACGTAGCCTTCCTCTTTAATGACCTTGTCCTTGAAGAAAAGGTTTGTGAAGAGCTCGACGGAGGATCGGGAAGCTTGTTGAGCCATGCGATGGCGGTAATTGAGAACTAGCAAACAGAAAGTGTGTCAATAGGTATTGACATCAACCAAACCTAGACATTTGGCTCCTCACCATCACATAATTCCTTCAACTTGACTTTATCTATCAGTTCGGATGAGTAATTCTTCTCATACCCGATGGCAACCGCCAACAATCTGTGCACCACCAAATCAGAGTATCGTCGAATAGGCGATGTGAAGTGTGTGTAAATCCTAGTTGCAAGACCGTAATGCCAAAAGTCGGGTTCGGATATCGTCCCAGAGCAAAAGTAAACGGCTTGCATCATGCATCGTGTGGTCATGATTCGGATGAGCTTATTGATATATGGTTCGCGTGGTACCTAATTAACGACTGTGTAAGTAACCGTAGAGGATTGACCCGCATTGTTCAAGCAGCATACGTACAACCGCTTTATCGAGAGAATCAGCCAATGTCTTGGACGTCTGCACGTCAAGGGTTATGCCAAGTTCACCAACTGCTTTGATCAAAGCTTCAAAATTCGAGGTGGGCGGCTTAGGATGCCTTCGTAGCATGGAGGATTCCGGAAATGCGGAATAAATTTTCGTCGCAACCCAAATATTGGCGAGCAACATGAACTCTTCCACTAGAGCATTTGTCTCCTTGAGTTCCTTCATCTCCACGTCAACGGGATCTTGTTGATCCTCCTCCAGCTTAAATCGAATCTCGGGTGACGCCAATGTCAGAGCCCCGGCTTCCATTCGTCGTGCCCTAAGCTGCTTGGCGAGCCGATTCAATCCTTTGATACCCATGGTCACAGGGTCTGTCAATGTTGCATCATCCAGACGAGCTTGTGCTTCATCATAAGTTAACGATGCTTTTGACCTGATAACACTCTTAGTGTACCGCACATTGACAACATCGGCATTTTGTGTCATCTCCCAGATACATGAGAATGCCAATCGATCGACATTGGACCGAAGGGAACATAAATTTGTTCCCAACAATCCCGGCAACATATCGATCCGCTTATTGACAAGATAGACAGTTGTACCTCTCCGCCGCGCCTCCAGATCCATTGCATTCTCGGGTTTTACAAAGTGGCTCACATCGGCGATGTGCACTCCTACTTCGAAGTTGCCATTTGGTAATGAACGACAATGAAGGGCGTCATCAATGTCTGTGCATCCAGGTGGATCGATACTGCAAACGTCGAGATGCCTAAAATCCTCGCGACCTTCCAAGTGCTCATTCCGCACAATCCATGAATCCCCCTCTGGCGGCAAAAAGCTCAATACTTGCGGAGAGAACGGAGCGAAAGGGACGTCATGCTCAAGCAGTACCACCTCTGTCTCAGTCGCCTGCTCGCCAACATCCCCCAAAGTCCGTATGTAATGTCCCGACGGGTATCTTGCATTCTTTGCCCATCCGTCAATCGCAACAACTATCCTTCTTCCCACGAGCTTTTCCGCCTGGCGCGTTCTAATGCGAATCTTTGGGATTTTCTTATCCATAGCCCAGAAGAAGACCATTTGCTGTGTCGATAGACCACTGCTTGACCGAACCGAGGACTTATCAATGGTTCCACAGTACGGTCTCCAGTTGCGCTTGATGATGCCGACAATCTTCCCTGTGGGTACCGTCTCTTTGGCAGCCTCATCGACATTCATTCGATCTTCTGCTCTCGCCATTGAATCTTCAGCGTTTACTGGTTCATCATCACCATTTTCGACTTCCTCCTCTTCTAATATGACGCCCACAGGAGCCCTCCATTCCGACCGTGGGAGAAGTTGCACCGCCACCACGTCCCCATGTATACCGCGGTTCAGATGTTCGCGTCCAACAATCATCACCGTTTTCTCTTCCTTATCAACTTCAGCAAAAATGCTCCCCTGGAGGCCATAGGTAAGCCCATGTACATCATAGTTCATCCTCGTTATGGAAACGCACCTCTAAGAAGTTATTTGAACTGATGCTTAATTTTCCTTGAAGGAAGGCGCCTGATCTCAGACCAGCTGACATTTGACTCACTGACAGGTGCTAACATGAATTATCATATCAGCATCTAGCACATTTAGTATTCGAGAATAGTTTGTCACGGACTGGTACACACCTCAGGGTAGCTGAACTTATCCTCCTCATCAACATGCTCTTCGTCCACGGCCGCTACCATGTCAACAAGCTCTGGGTGATCCGTCATTGATGCGACATACTGTCGAACTAGTCATGGTATGGACAATTTAATTTCTTTTGCGTTTACCCACCAACTTCGACGTACTACTAACCCGAAAATGTCGTCAACCCTTCTGCTTGTGCTTTCTTTCGGTTGTCCGCATCGTCGGTGACAAGAACGAAAGTCCACCTTCCCCCAACATGCTCATTATACCAACGTGTAGCAGCTCGTATCGCTGATCAAAACAATTTCATAAATTATCTCACTATCTAGGTCCAACCTTAAGTGCGATCTTACCTCGATCATTACGATCGTTTGGGGTCTCATCTTTCTGTTTTTCAATGTACGTCTCTCTAAAAGAAAGCATTAGAATTTCAAAAGGAACCTAAGCGTCTTCAAAGGCGCATTTTACCTGTTGTGCTCGTTCGAAAAAACGTAGAAACGACGAGCGGGATCCGATATCAGTGATCGTACGCGATTGTAAACTGGGAAACTTCTATGTCGTAACTCTTCTAACACTGTCTGTAAAACTACTACATCTGTAAATGCCTTGTGCTCTATTACATCGATCTAAGATAAAGAAAGCGTTGGTTGGATCAGAGACAAAAGTGACATGCTCTTATGAAGCGAGCACGCACCTGGTGGTAGAGCACATTGGTGTCTGGCACCAGAAAGTGTGGTGTGTTGACTGTCTTGGAAGTCCGAGGAGACGTCAAAACGACATTCTGCTCCACGCATAGTTTACAACCAGCTACACCACAATATATATCGTCTCGCAAATCTGTCACATAGCATATTCTCAGCAACTTGGTGTGGCAAATTGGGATATAGCAGTCGAGATCTAGTCTGAACTTACAGTGCTCTTTCACCACTTTCACGATTGTCCCTCGCTTGGTTTTTCTTATGAAAGCTTTATTTCTTAGCATGTTGGGCGAGCAGTTACCCTATCTTTACGGTGATCTCGGTATCTGAAGGCAGGTGCTCGAACCAGACCACATGTAATTTCCATGGCAACAAAGCGAAGAATCATTAAGCCTATTTTGGTTTAATCATGATTAAGCTGTCTCAAGGCCCCTGTGCACTCTGGTGTCGTTCATGAAGCGAGGAAAAATGGAATTCTCCTTGCGGACATGGCTCCAAGTCCGCCAACGAAGCGACGAGCTGGCGCTAGCTTGACACAACGTGGGAAACGAGGAAAGTGGAAGGAGGGGCGTGGACTGGGGCCTCGAAGCCCGAGACAGCGAACGCTCCGGAACTTTTTTGGAGACTCAACGACTCACGGACCGGACCACGAGTCTGCCGGCAGCAAAGAAACTTTCTTTGAAGACGACTTGGAGGAAGTGTTAGATTTATCTGGGCATGCTTCAGATCCAACGCGCAAGGGTCACCTCGTCGTACCGCTGCCGTCTCCTCCGACCGACTCTCCTGACGAAGATGGTGAAGGTGGCCAGAAGCCTGAAGCATTTCGGTTTTATACTCCTTACTATCAGCGTGTTTTTGAGGAAGGTTTGAAAATTGTGCTAGATGGGGAGGGATATCTATTGAATCAAGAAGAACTCACGCTTGTATCGAGGTACATGAATTTGCATGGTATGATTTGACATCTGTCTTGTAAAGGAAAATGGTACCCATCTGATCGTGCATATAAATATGTGCAGTTGATGCTCAGCGCTTGTTTATCAGGCTTTTCTCCCGAGAGTGCAAATGGTTGCGACTGGCATCCCTGAAGTACCCCGAGATAGATGATATCCCGCTAGGTGCCGCAGAATTGTGCAGTTTAGATTTTGCAGATAACGGTAGTGTACTATCGCGAAACGCGATGTCCAAACTAGCGTATTAATTCTGGGACCATACTCAGATATTGAGTCGCTCTCCGATCTCCTTGCCGTCATGGGAATCATGGAATTGAAAGAATTTATGAGGGACAGTTTGATGGTGTTTAAGACTACGTCTATAGTCACCAAGTCGGCTCTCATTGAAGCAATTATTGCGAACGTTAAGTCCCAGCGCCTGATCACAGGTGATCCGATAGCTAGATTGAGGAAACGGGTCGTGCAGCTTCTGGGTAAGGTCTGGGACGCAATTTCCATTACCCCTTCTAACGTTTTACTACTAGGACCTATAATCAAAATTAAAGAAACGATTGTAGATCTTTTTGAACGAGTGATGGTGATTTATTTCCGATCTTTGGATATTCTCGAACGACCAATGACGGCAGGTATTTTGTCGGAAGTGGAAAGGTGGTCATTTCCAGAATACGAAGTGGATCGGAGTCGTATTTTTGAAAGCAGAGAGATATGCATCCAATGTAAGGACAATCATCTGCCCAGTCACCGCCGATCCGACGAATGACATGTGTCTGTAGATTTTGATGCTTTGAAGCTCCACGCCAAAATTGAGCGATTTATAGAGAAAAGGCTGCTCTCGGATGCTCTTACACACCTGCCGGAGATCCAGTCTGCATGGGAGTCGTGTGTCAAGCATGGGCGTTTAGCCGAACCATCACAATACTTCCTCTTGCAATTTACGCCACCTCGTGTTTATACCCTTCTTTTGACAACCTTTGCAATCCACATCCTACCACCACTTCATCAGTACGACCTTGCGATTTCCTTGCTCCATAACCTCCTATCACAGCAATTTTATGGTCGCGGGTCGCGCGGGAAATGGTGGGACCAGCTCTCGCATCTAATGCTCAATCATGCAGACATGTCACCCAGTGATCGGGAAGAAACGTGTCTGGAGCTTTGTGCTGAAGCTGTCCGAGATCCGCTCGTGCGGGCTGGAAGGCTAGTGAGTATACGAAAACGCATGGAGAGGGTGGCAAAAAAAATCTGGGAACGGATCCATTTGATAGCACGAACTAATACCGGGAAAGGAAAGCCTGGCAAAAAGGACAAGGTGATGCTTAGCGGATGGGAACAAATTATACCCTCGGATGTGAAGAAGAGATTGGTGGATTTGACGATCAGAGATACGCCGGAAGTGATCTTTGAAGGAGAAAAGCTGCCAGATGGGGTCACAGGTCACAAGTCACAGTGGAGTACACTTCCTGAACCGTCGTCTACATCGCCTCTACAAGTGGAGACTGAACCCCGGATAGGAGAAATAGCCACAGCTTCTAGCGTCGAAGAACTCGCGCTTCAGCACTATGCAAGGCGCGGCTACCATGGCCTGCATGTGGAGAATGCGCTTTTCCACCATTTGTTTGGCCTTCTTCTCTATCCGATTCTTTTCTCACCGGTTCCCGCCGTTTTCCAAACGCGCTTCCAGACATACCCACTTGACCTATTCACGGACGATTTCTATTTAGGCAGAGAACTGGTAATTCGAAGTCGTTGTGAGGAAATCTCAGGGTGGAGTCGGGAAGAACTTTTGGCTGAGATTGTTGATGCAGACGCTAGGCTACGGCAGAAAAAAATTAGAGCTGCCGGATTGGCCTGGAGTTCGTTCGACGATGTTGTACTGAGACACATCGTCTCGTGCATGGACCCCAAAGCTGTGGCGGCTGTAGTCAAGTGCATGGCAGAAGGGTATAGAGAGCATTGTGGTGGGTTGCCAGATCTGGTACTCTGGCAGTTGCCCTCCACGGACGCTGGAATCGGGAAAGTGAAGCTGGCGGAAGTGAAAGGACCAGGGGATCGGTTGAGTGAGAAGCAAATTATGTGGATGGATGCGTTGGCTGCGGCTGGATGGGAGGTAGAGATTTGTAAGATAGTGGATACGAACAAGATCCGCCGCAAAAAGTTGATTAGATGATATTTAGAGGTAAACATTACAATTGACAGCATCCAAAAAATCGGCTCGTATCTGGGTCTATAATCTGCTCTCCGTTCTTGACACTCGCTATGCCAGAACCGCGGCTCTTATAACCGACAACAACTACCAAGAGACTGTTCAAGATCTGTCTTCTTTGCTGTTTCAATCGGAAGCTCATTCAAGTGACGTCTTCTCTTTTGTTCCTTACTCACGCGACCTTCTACACTAATATTCCAGCGTTGCAGGTCCCCTCTACCAGGGCCGGAACTGGAAAGAACTATAATTGCAATTGGCTACATATTACCTGGTAGAAGACTGAGGTTTCCTTGGGTGATGGACGATAACTGCTGTACCGTTCAGCCCCATTTTGGCCGCTTGACGATGTTGCGATCACCTATCGCAATCCTTAGCGCAAGTGCGATCAATCGTGAATCGCCATTTAGACAAAAATGGCAAGATGCGGATGACTCATGTTGCCCATGGCGACGCGGAAATAACAGCAACCACTTGCTTGCTGTCGAGCGCTCTACGACCAATTCCACACCGTCATGACCAGCGTTCCACGAACGGCATTTCGCGGGTTTGCCCGCACCGCTTCTTCCATGCCGCGCACCGCGCGCTCATCCTTCACTCGTCCCGCCGCTTCTGCGTTTGCTTCAGCGCCAGCGGCAGTCCCACTAACGCGCGGGATCTCATGCGCTCCAACCCCAGGAAGTGCTCTACTGGTGAGGGTCAACTGCAGTCCTGCGTGTGGCCTAGGGATCCATCGCCAAATGGCTTACTGATGCTCTTGTATTTAGAAATGTGGCTCAACAACTGCAGGACATTTGGCCGCGTTGATGCGAGGGCGTGCTGTTCGGACATGGTACGGTTCGCTTAAAGATGATATTTAGGTACGGCATCTTCGTCAGGCCCTGCCGGCACAGATTATCTTGTCGGGCGGTTTCCGGTGGGCGAGAAAAATCTGTGTTCTGGCGAACTGGGCTGGCAGAGTTCAATCGCCGCGTCCTCGTTCTCTTTCTGCTCGACGAAAATGGATCTTACTGACGCCGGTTGTTTGGCTTTTCTATAGCGGGATGGGCATATTAGAAGATCGCTGACACTCCATTGTGATTACTTAACATCAACCAAACCGGGCTCACGCATGCCTCGATAGTATGATGCTCCAAAAGTTCGGCATTCGGACCTTTTCACCTGAGTTGTTGTACCGATGATGCGCTCGTACTGTAATTTGTCACTTGATATATTTATTGTAAATTGAAGACGTTGAGCTGTCATTCTCTCAAGCACTTGAAATAGATTGATTTTTCACCAATGAAGATTGATATCTTCACGAAGCATACATTGAGATGTGAGGAAGAGTGACAAGACAGCTTGCACCACTGAAACCACCATTATTCAAAGGTTAAACAAATACATCGCGCTAACTACACCGCAATATGCTACTATACGTTATTCAGACAAATTCTTAGTGTCGACTCACTTGATCCCTGCCCCGTCCTTTAGCGTCAAATATCCATAGGCAGAGGGGTTGCTTCCGAGTTTGTCACAGCGCGAAGGGTCACTTTGATTGGCTGACCGTGGGTTCTTGGCTTCTTGTGAATCTTAGCTTCGCCGAATGAATCTGCGTAGTGATGACATCTGCATACCTCTTGATCGCAAGTAGATGCGAAAGCCATGATTGTACCGTTCGGGTTGAAAGTCAAACTAGTGATGGATGAACTGGCTTGGATGGACCTTTTCAGTCGTCTTCTTTGGGTGATATCCCAGAAATTGCTGTCAAAAGTGAAGATACCAGATGATATGCATTAGTACGTGGCTGCTGATTGCAGGCAGGAACGCGCTGCGTACCACACCCCGTCCGCTCCCCCAGTTGCGAGTGCTCCAAAGACGGGATGGAAAGCCATGCAATTCACTGGTGTCTGTGCTTCCTCTTGGGCCCGGAATATGTAGCCTTGTCGATCGGCGTATTCTACTGCAACATGGCCATCCACACCTGGCAAGGAAGACGCCTCTATATGGTGTCAGCTGACAATAAAAAGCAGAACATACCACCGCATGCGTAGCTGGTACCCGACGGAGATACGGATACGCATTGGATCGGGCGGCGGAGCGGACCTTGGTCACCCTGAACACTATGCATGAGCGTCGTGGTTATGCAGAGAGAATTCAATTTAGTGTCAACCTTGAGGGGCTCGCAAGGTTTTCTCATATCATATACCCCAATCTTTTTATTCTCCATTCCCACCACCAATAGAGAAGTTGCAAAGTCTAAAGGAGGGAAACGGGACAGCTGTTATAGATTGGATTGCAGGGAAGGATGAATTATGTACATACCCATTGACTTCGCGCGCTCCGGAGTTTCTGATGTCAGTACGCTATTGGGAGCACGAAGATCCCAATACTTGACAGAAGTGTTGGAGGCTGCCGTTTGGGAGTCCCAAACTCAGGAATGTGATACCTTCATCTGCTTGTCCCAACCAGCAGTGCAAACAACAGCGTCATCCACAACACGAATGCATCTGAGGGGCTGTATAAATGGAATGCTGCCGATTAGTATGATCCTATGTTTAACACGCAAACCGTTAGGCGCCGGGGGTCGCATACCGCCGCATGCCGGGCAAAAGGCATCGGTTGCGGTGTTTGAAGATCCAAGACTGCGCCAATCCCGTTAGAGCTGCCACAGAATATTTTCTCACTATCCTACATGAAAGGATGTAGTTTAGCATATACATGCATTTGCTATCATCATGAGCGTTCGGCGTACCTTGCTCCATTGACAGCAGAGAGTAGTCGGTCCGCATTGCCAAATGTACTTGCCGACAGTCAATCCTGGAACAATGTAATCCATTTATATAATCAATGAGTTTTTGCTTGCTTGAAGAGAAACACACCGCTTTGTTGAATTTCCCAGACTCTGACGGTACCGTCCCAGGAAGCCGCCGCAAGATGCTCCGAGCGAGGTCTGAATGAATGAGAAGTCATCTAATCATCGTGACAGTTTTCCTAACACGATCTCAAAACCTACGAGAAAGCCAACTCGGAGACAGTGTCTGAAGGGGGCTGGACTGCAGCTACCTGACAGCGTTCAATGGAATGGAAGATAAACAAACGATTTAGTAGCTGCTCGCGTCAACATGAGCATTATTTTGCTCTTGCACAATTGCTTCTCATCCACTACTTTTGTGAAAGAACATCACCTCAAATTCCATGTTGCTGTTGAAAACGATAAGTCAAGAGCGGGAGACTATGGAGAGAGTAAGCTTCGAAGTGGAGCTCAGGACACGGATGAGGTAAGCGGTACGATCGATTTGTCACATGACCCATACATAGGGGTAATTTGGAGTCTGTTCTCCTTTCTTCCTTCCGAGGTTTTGAAGGACTGCTGAACAGAAAATACGAGCAAGAGTATAGTTGAAGGTGCTATTGTCTACTTTTAGGAGATAAGAATTGCTTGGAAACCCCCGGATAGAGCTGGTTCGCGGGAAAGGTTGGCTTTGCGGACAGCGCTCAGCTCTATCGGTTGCGGTTGCGGCTCATTGACCTTGAACCCTCGGGGCTTCTCTGCCAGACCCTCACCAACAGCACCATTTACTGTATGGCAGCTATTACAAACCTCACATTAGTTGCAATGGAGGTGAAACCTGTCGCAATGGCTCCGGATGAGGAGTCGCTGTTTGCCAGCGACTCGTCGCTGTCGGAGCTTGGAAGCGACTTATGCACGAGTGGAGACGACGATGAAGTTCTAAAAGGACAGAACGGTTATGATCTTACAAAAGATCCGTCAATGGCGGACTCGTCATCGGTGCGGAGAAAGAGAAAAGGAGCAGGAACACGATCAGAGGAAAAGAAGGTAAACTTTCGCTCAATTCTCCTGTTCGTACCAGGATGTCAGCCATCTTCATAGACGAACAGAACGGGTGTATTTTGTTAAGCAATGCACTGAGATACACCGTTTATGACAATGATTGCTAACCTTATTGTCTGTCGGGCGCCACTTGATTTTCAAGCGTTTGCACATCGACGCAGCTTTGCTAGCACCATCGGTAATCCCAAAGTTTTCGGACGGTGATGCGAGCCTGCACCCACCACTTTCCGACACGGTCACCATTCTAGAAGGGGAGGATACTCCCGCGCGACACGTCTGGCTTCCGATGCTCGGTCTAAAAGCCTTCCCCACAGGATATACACTTTTCACAGTAAAATCACGCTCGTGGACGCAGGACGGGCAATTTCGGATTGATCAGTACTTATACGGGCATCCCTCTGGCGGCTCTTATCGCAGCGCAAAAGAATTCCGCCCGCATTTGGAATGGCTAGTTACGGGTGACCGAAATGCAACTTGCATCTGCCTGTTATGTGCACGCCTCAGCCGTTCGTTCGAAGCAGTATCTGCGAATCACACATCTGAATTGAACAAGAATAAGCCAGAAGATACCGCACTGCTCAAGCCACAAGAAATGGACGTAGCCGAAGTGATGGGCGATGCTTCCAAGCCGCGCATAGCCAGGAAGGCGGGCAGTGTACCAAAGCCAGTGCAAAATGCCAGCCATAATACCTTGCCACAGCTGGAGGTACGACCTAAACGGAAGGCGAGCATGAATAACAAGGTACTAGCTATGTTGCGACCAAGCATGAACCGAACGAAGAAACCGGCAAAGAAGAGAATTCCGATTAAGCAAGAAAATCCCGCACCGAGAAAGAGTTCAACGAAGGCCGGGCGTGACTTGCATGTCCAAGTGGACGTCGACAGCACAACTTCAACTCCTTCCCCTTTATCTGACAATTCAAAGCAAACCCCGGATTCTGAAAGGCGGCGAAGGTCCCGGAGAGGCGAAGGCGGTGGTGGAAAGTGGAAATGGACGATGCGTGGATGGGTTTGGGTGGATAAGGATGGAAATGAAGAAGTGTTGGACGGTGATTTTCTGTCCCCGGCCGCAGAGGTTGCAGGGAGAAAGTTGGGTTTTACGGAAGTTCCACCATCTATGAGTCCCACGGAGAAAAAAGCTTCTGCTCCTGGAGTTCTTATTGAGACAAGCGTGGCAGAGCAACGCTTGGTAAGTCGAGTGCTGTAGAGGGGCTGACGCTGCATGGAAGTTGCTCTCTAAGCTAAAATTGCTTGCTTATAGAAACCGTCGGCTACCGTGACTGACAACATGATCAAACCGCAGTCACCAACGACCACAGGCGTTCCTCTACCCGCCTCAAACCTAACCGTCCCTTCATACTTACGCTCGGAGGACATTGAACCCCTTGAAATAAGCAGCATTTCCAGTGCTGATCTGGAAGCGGCGGAAGTTTTGGTGATGGTTGCACGCCGGGGCTCTTTCGGACATACCGAGATGTTGCAAGGGAATTTCGCCGCCCACGCTGGGCAAGTTTGAAATCTGTGGGGGATATATATACCCGTTTTATGATTAGAAGCCTTGACACTTATTAATGTGCTGGGCACTGTGCGATCTGGGGATTGTATATAGGTGATATTTTTGCAAGTGTTTTATAGAGACACTGAAGAATAATAATATTTTGAAACGAACCAGTCGAATCCCAATGATATTTTTCCTGCTATCGAAGCGGGATGTATGGACAAGACAAAATATAGTACAAAAAATCAATTGGCCGGAAGAACCGGCCAATGTAGCTATTTCAAAGGACAGTATCAGACAAATGACAGTTGAGCTCATGTGACAGGAATGCCATAATCCGCGGCCAACTGTCGTATCCGCTCTTTGCAGAACTTCTCCAGCCGATTTGCGCTAATGGAAAGTATGAGCTGCATATCAACCATGTCTAGGTCGTCCGGTAGGCACTCACCACTTGACGTACGGCGTGTGGTCCTCGTTATAAATTTTACAATTCTGAACAATCAATGCGAATTCAGCCTCGAATTCAGCTATAGATTGATATTTCCCATCCTCCAGATGCTCGCCCATTGTTCGCAAGTCTGCGGATGCGACATGTTTATCACAACGCAATTGAGGAGCAGACATGGATTGGGACGGAAAGGGAACTTACCCATTGGATGCTTAATTATATCATAATAGTCAGGTACTCCAGATACAGGCTCTGTAAAGGGCCAAGCATTCTGGTTCTCTCTAAGCTCACCAAGTAGTTGGCTCAGCATATAATACATTGGACTTTTGGTGTCGTCTGAGCCTCGTATTCTAGTGCAGCAGAAGGTCAATGCGGTTACGACTGGCGTTGATGCATAGATACATACTTTTCTTCAATATCGGGCGTCCAGCCTGCCTCCTCTACGAATTGTGAACAATAAGTAAAAGTAATTTAAATCAGGAGCGCATCTGATGCAACATACGAAGTCCAGGGATGTCCTGGGGATTGACATGCGTTGCGCCCTTTTTAAATGCATCCAAGCCGGGGTACACAATGTGCGACTGGGATATTTCTTTTATCTTTTGGAACACAGCCTGCGATTCCGTGCGTGAGTTGCATCCGCATTTAGCCAACATGCGCCTTTGCCCGAAGCATGGGAAAGTACCTTTCGATGCGCCGCATATATGGTATAAATTTCAAGATACCGGACCTTGGGGAAAAATGTGCATTGGAGGAGAGTGGCACCTTCATAATCTTTTATATATCCGACCCAGATTGCTTTCTCGAGGGTTATCTCCGAAGTGAAGCCCTAAAAGCATGCGATTATGGCCCGCTCACTAATGAAGGCATGAAACTGCGCCATTACTGAACTAACCTGCTTCTTAAAAAACCCGATAGCAAAATTGTCGGCGTAGGTGAGGAGATGTTGCACGCCAAAGGTATCACGTACGTAGTCTTTGAAATGGGCCATAAGACGTGCCCCATATCCCTATGATGATCATGGTTCATGTAAGGACGGAATAAACCCGTCATGTATACGTCAGGACCTCGTACCGAAGTTTGATTGCCACTCAATACAGCCAAGAACACAATTTCAGCAAACTTCCGTGCTTCGAAGGGTCGAAACGTGATACCTCCGATCACCTCACGATTGGCTCGGACAACGACGTAGCTAAAGTGCTCCCTGCAACCAAGGGAGGTCAGCTCCAATGACCGTCCGACCACACGTGCCGTTTATTACTCACCTTGAATACACCACGCGAGCGATATACTCTCTTGGCATTTTCGGCAATTGAGCTTGAATGACGGCTTTGAGTCTTGACAGCAGAACAAGATTCTCCTTGCGGCCATCATTGTGCGCCAGCTTAAAACTCACGAATCCAGACTGCTCTTCCTCTAAGATTCGCTTGTATTTCGCGGAGCGGACCTAAACGACACCACACGTCAGTACTCAAAGATGGCAGATGCTTTGCACTTCAAGATCTGAAATTCACCTCGTTAAATTTTTCTGGTGCGGGTTGGACACCATCTTGAATATCATCCACAAGTGTTGTTGGGGCAATCAATGGACTTGGCAGCTTCGGTGGTACTTCGCCCGTTGTGAGCGCTGATGCTGTGTCACCATTTGCCACATCCCCGTTTTCATCCGCCTCTCCTTGTACACCAATACTCTGATTAGCCAACGTTCTTCCACTTTGAGCAGGGGTATTTGTAGGTGTGTCACTGGCAGGAGTCTCTTGGGAGCTGAATATTTGCTGACCCATTCGACGGCGTTTCGATAGTGGCGCCTCGTCCTCTTCCGAGGAGGAGGACATGCGCCTCGCGGGTTCTGGTGTACCACTTCTACTTCGTTTGGGTTTACTGCTTAAGGTAGGGCTGGCCTCCGCCCCAGCAAACAAACTATCTGGTGCTTTGATAACATCATCGCTGGCAGTTCTCCGGCGTTTGGAGAGCGGTTCTTCGTCGTCGTCTGAGGATGGTGGTTGTGGCAGACGTTCAATGGAGGGAGTTCTATGCCGCTTTGCGGTTTCCGGTGACATCGCTAAGAATGATAAGGTATCTGAGACGTTGAAAGAACCTGCTTGCAACGGGTTAAGCGCTTATGAAAGCGCTTAGATGAGTCCTACAGATTGCGAGCCAGATGCGAAAAACCTCACGCCGAAATCTCCGCCGATGACAAGAATTGCTTTGCCCCCGACTTAACCGACTGGAACCGTACAATTTGTGGTTAAGTCACGATTGTCATGCTGAAGAAGGAATGTTGGAATCTGCTGGGACCCTCCATTGACTATCGCTCAGGCATGTCATCAAATATTTTCACTCCGGTCAATCAGGTATGATTTGTATCTTATCGAACTATAGACAATGTCGTCTGACAGTAGGAACCAAGGTGCGGTTGACAAATGTGTCCGTGGTACGGTTGAAGAAGGGTGGGAAACGGTTTGAAGTTGCCTGTTACAAAAACAAAGTTCTCGAATGGCGGAACAATGTGTAAGTCATTTGCAAGCAACAAAATTGATGCGAGTCAGAGATTGAGTTTAGTGCAGGGAAACCGACCTCGATAATGTCCTGCAAACCCGCACAGTTTTTGTGAACGTCTCAAAAGGGCAACTTGCCAATAAAGAAGACCTCAACAAAGCCTTCAAAACAACCGACACGGACAAGATCATTTTGGAGGTACGCAATTGGGCTATATCTCAGAAGACTGAGAGCTGTAACCACCGACATGAAACAACCTTGGCATAGTTAGATTTTGCGAAAGGGTGAATTGCAAGTTGGAGAAAAAGAACGAACACAGCAGCTAGGGAACCTTTCGAGAGATATTGCTACCACGGTTGCGGAAAAGTGTATCAATCCCGATACCAAACGCCCGTATACCGTGACTATGATTGAAAAGGCCATGGCGGACCTTCATTTTTCGGTCAACCCGAATCGGAACGCGAAGCAGCAAGCCCTTGAAGTGATCAAGCAGTTACAAGAAAAACAAACCATTCCAATAGCTAGAGCACAGATGCGCCTTCGTGTTGCCATACCTGGGAAGGAAGGAAAGAGAGTAAAGGAGAAGATCTCGTCACTAATAGAGAGCACAGAAGACGAAGATTGGGGCGATGAATATGAGCTGGTGAGCCTGATATCAGTTTCATGAAGTTGCATGAATGATGGATGATCTAATGCGCTCGAAAATTTTAGATATGCCTGATCAATCCTGGACAATTCAGGGCATTGACAGATGTTGTGCAGAAGGAAACAAAGGGTAGAGGACAAATTGAGGTGTTGAGCATTCGAGATACGGACGACAGGGATGAAGCTTTTGCATAAACTATCTAGTCCATAGAATCTGAAGCGCATGTGTTTAATTATCCATTCTGAAGAGAACATCTGCATTATCCAAACACGCTCTGTATGCACGGAATAAACGGCAATCCGGAATGTTACCAATTATAACACTATAGGGCTGGTGAACTGACGGCATTAGGTGGAATGTGCACATCAGCAATTGGCCAATTCAGCGTGACGAGAACACCCGACACACAAAGAGGCACTGCCAGTATCTTGTCAAATCGTTTTACCCTGGCTTCTTTGGCATCATCGTGAAGGGAGAGGAGATGCTTGTGCTCGGCCATGACCCCCACTTCCAGGAATCCCTTTGGCAGCCTGCTTTCTCTTCTTAAACGCTTTGACTTGCTCGTGACCCTCCTCAGTTACCACCAAAATCCGCTTCTTATCATTCTTCCAGAGAATCGCACCAAATGGCTCTGCATAATCGCTGAGTTGCTTGTACTCCTGTATGTCGGGGAAGTCGTTGTACATGTAGGCTGCCATGTGACGTACAATGAATATAGCTAGAATTTACACAATATAGGAAATTTGAGACTTTACCTCTAGACACTCGCAGTCTATTCCGCTCCATTTCCCATAATCGAATCTGATCAACAACCGTCTCGGGCAAAATTGGCGACTGTATATATGGCAACATATTCGGGTCAAACGCTCTTCCTTGAGGCACCCAAACCGTACACCAACCTGTTTCCTCATCTCCGGATGTGCATGTGCGGTGAGGTAGGTAATGATCTACGCAACATAATGAGACAGTGCAGCGGGTACAACGGCAATCTTGAACAAAGCAGTACATACTTGATCGGCTGTGATTCCTTTCGCTAGCGCATCTCTTACTCCATCACGTGTAATTAGCCCCACAACCATATTCTGGAAGCGTGCTTGCAGGGAGACAAAGAGACTTAAAATAGCGATTTGCAAAGGAGACTCTACCGGAATTCATAAAATGAGTGCAACTGAAAGCGCTTCAGAGAACCATAAATACAAACCCGTATAAGCATATATTCGATAGTTGGTTTCCACAATAATATATCCATGACCTTCTTCTGGCTTCCGTGCAGCAATCATTGAACCTGACGTGAGGGATGTCGCCATTCGTGTGGGGTAAAACCTGCTCGATTTTTTCTATTCCAAAGAGTGCTTCAAGTCAGTAATTTCGGCGTCGTGCACATTGGCCCTTCCCAAGTATACCAACCTTCCTTTGATAGAAGAGGCCAAACCATTTGAGGTCTTCCAGAACCATCTTTTGAGTGTCCGTCAAAGGATCTATTGAATATGACTGCCATACCATTCATAAGCAACAACCATATATGGCCAAGTGAAGAACATATCGGGTCGCGTCACTAACCTGACCAAGCTCCAAACTGCCAACTTGGAACAGGAAATTCAGGACCTCCACGATATCCATTTGCAGTTGCCTCTGATAACACATCCGTTTTAGCGTGGAAACCTCAGAACGATTTGTACTTCCAGGCTCTCACCTCTGCCAGTTCAAGATACTGGAGCAAGAGCGACCACACTTGAACATTGACATCTAGCAATAGAAATTGAAATCCTTTGCTTGTGATCATGGTTCTTTCATCGTCCGTTACACCAGACCGGCCACTGGAAGAACGCTATGTATTAGAATTTGTGCCAGAGGATAGGCGATCGTTTCGCGTTCTTACTCTTGCTCTTGTAGTCCAGATGCAACAAGTAATCTTCCGACTGCCTTCGGTCGTTTCTCAGTTGGTGTGCCAACAAGGTAGTGTAGTACCGCCTGATGAACAGAGCTGATAAGGTTACACTCTCAATTGTAATCTATCAGTTCGTTGACATACCTCCCAGGCTTCAGATGCATACCGATCGAGAAAAGGAATGTCTACCTCATATTTATCCTGGGTATCGGCAGGCTTTCCGAAACTCGCATGTGTACCACTACATTAGGGTAGCAAGTAAACGTGCGTCATTACAATACTGGTGCTCACTCCCGCCCTATTGGTCCTCACCCGCCAACCAGAGCATTATGCATATTCTCTTGAAAGATTCGATTGATCTGGAGATGTTCGCTACCGGTCTCTGTGCAAATATTCATTTTGGCAAGCTTTTTCAGACTATCTCGGAGATCGCTGGAACATAGCAGTCGTGTTATACTATTGCTGTTCAGAAGAAAGGTCGTAATAGGCCCATGTGACGTACCTGCGATGCTCCTGAAAGCACCAAGCTTCAACATCTGCTTTCAGGACGGGGCGTTGTGTATAGAGTAGTCGCATCACGATCTGCTTGGCGACAGGTGGAAGGAGTCTATTTCCAGGTCTCAGCTTCGAGTTTTCAAGGAGCTCTCCTGATATCAATTCTCACCGAAGCGCGGCTAAACATGTTGCAGGCTGAGTGTAGAGTTTGTCAAATGTTTGTTTGGGGAGAGTTTCTAGGTACTCTTGGATACTATTCTGTTGCAATTGGCCATTTTAAGTGTCATGTGAACGCTTTACGTGACTATCCAGTGCCATACCTTTACGGTAGCCAATGAGTCCGACATGTTTCGATCGCCTGAACATCTCCAGATCCCGGCACTAGATGTTTACGAAAACTCCGTCAAGCGACAGGAAGATACAGTTCCACATTGGTCAATGACATCTCAGACTTGGATGCAATTTGGATATAGTGTGGATCATTCCCAAAGTGGTTAAATTGTGATCTGAGCGGCTGTGAAAACTATATACAGCCAGATATGGATAAATGACGCGCAGCATTCCATTACTCACAAATACCAATGCTCGGTTGGTGTGATCTGCCAAAATGCCCAAGGAAATCGTAACTCTGCAGCTAGGCCACACAGCTAATTGGGTCGGAACACATTTCTGGAATATTCAGGTAAAACATGTCGTGCTCTGGGCATATGGACATTCTCATACCGTTATGTTTAGGAATCATATTTTCACTTCAACCCAGACGATGAACCAGAAATTCAACATGATGTTTTGTTCCGGGCCGGGAGCAACGTATATGTAACTATCCGTTTTCATTTCCAAAAACGACAACCGGTGTACCAACGTATCCTTTGTGATCGGAAAGGGTGAAGAAACATATACCCCGCGGTTGATCCTGTTCGATCTGAAAGGTGTACCCGTGTCTCTACTGATTTTTGGCGTACGTACAAGATGCAAGTGTTGACATAATGTCAAGGTGGTCTGGGGACCTTGAAGAAAGTTAGTCCTCTATACGAACCTTCAAACGAGAGCGCATCCTACACCGCTGACACTTGGTAAGAAGCGCTGATATCTATAACTCTATTGCAAGAGCTAAGACGCTGTAGGAGTGGCAAAGTTGAACGATATGCAGAAGAGCCGTACCCGAAAAACCAATTCCTTCATCATCTGGACGAGGTAGCATACGAGACTCACTTGTTATCGTAGGCGGGCCTTTAATCCAAACTTTAGCCCCCGCCAGAGACTACAATACCACTCACTTACGCCGATGAGCTTGAAAGAAAAGTGTCTGTATGGTCAGATTTCAACAAGCTTTATTATCATCCCAAAAGTATAGTCGAGATACCCCACTACTTGCACGAGGACGACAGGAATCCTTTTTCAACATTCACCCAAGGTCTTGACATTTTTTCGCAGCCTGACGTTGTGAGTACCCAGCCGTGCCCATTTCATCGTCCCCTAAAAAGTAAATGTGCATATTCAAATACGGTAATAGAAGGAAGACGTCCTTGATGAACGACTTCGCTTTTTTGTCGAAGAATGCGATTCGTTGCAGGTGCGAGTTTAAATCATTACCATGATTGGAAATGCTGTACTTACGAACCAAGTAGGGGTTTAACCTTGTGGCGGATGCTGTAGACGGATTTTCAGGCATTACCGCCAGTCTGTTGGAATATCTTCGTGATGAATTTCCCAAGAAAGCTGCCATAACTTTTGGAATCCACAAGCCGCTTCCGCACGAATACACTGAGGTGGAATCATTTTGTTCCCTAGAGTGCCTTCAGCGTACAGCTCACTTTACAATCTACAGAAAAGCCGAACCATATGTTCTATCAATTCAGCACTGCTTCTGGAGGCCGCCTGCCGAACAAGTTCCTTGTACATTCCTATGTTTCCACCTACGAGAAATGATCTTGATCCCAATGGATGGTCTAAGTATCTCAGCACAGATGTGCGTATGGCACGTATTTTTTTGATTGAGTGCCGGCTGACAATTTGTGATTCTATCTAGTTTACCTCTATATATCATTGGAGTGCCTACCTGTCTACTGCCATAGAGACCACACTACTCCCGGTTCGGTATGTCCGTCCCCTTCTCCCCATATTACAAGTGCGCTGAGCACTTGATAACCCCCTTCATTCCAGGGTAAAGGCGAATCCGCTACATATGCTTGACATGGCTGATGTTGTCAGTGGCGGAAGCGCCCGTACATTGGCGGCATTAGCCTCTTCTCTTCCATTTCCCATGCCTAAGCATGCACCTTTTACCACCGTGATGAGCCCCCAAAATTCAAGGATACGATGGATGCGGGACTTGACTCAGCAGCTGCCATATGACTCGGTGGGTTCCCACAAATTAACATATGCTACAGGTGCGCCAAACTCATGACATTTGCTGCAGATAGGAGACCATTTCGGACACGTCGCCGTTTCACGAGGTGTAGCTGAGATTGCAAAGTTTCAAAATCACGAACATCAACAATGGTGAGCGTTTGTGGGGGATATGAATAGCAAAATCCTAACCATTCTCATCTAGTCCGCCTACCAAATCTCAAGTACAAGAGGCACTTGACAGGCTTTACAATTCGCAGTCAGCAATGGCTGGTGGCCGAAGGTAAGTCTCTTATTCCTCTCAATAGACCCACCATCGCGCTCAAAGAGATGACGGTCCAGCATCGCGCTCGACCAGGCCATGCCGGTCGCGGAAACTTTTCCTCAATTTTTCACCGAGCATGTTGATAACAATGGTCTTGTCGATGATCTGGCTGAGCGACCTAGCGGTAAGATTACAGAGCGATGTGATTTTGATTCCGTTTTCTCATGAAATCTATTGATGCAGGGGTTGTAACCCGAGTAGCTACAATGACTCACCTACAAATATCACCTCAGCTGAAGAAATTGATCATTGATGCTGCTCGGACACTGACCAGAATTTCAACACCTATTGCTGTCTTATATGAGAAAGGGGAGCATGGGATATCTGGAGAGGATTGGCGGGCAATGAGAGAGGCCATTGAACAGCTGGCAGAGAATTATGAAGAAGAATAAAGGTACTGTCATACCTCATGTAAAATCGCAACTGATACTAATACTCCACCCACCAGACTCGTGGTATTGGCACATTACCCCCACCAATTGTAGATGTCTGAAACCTTTAGCATAGCCGCGGGCAAATCTTTCTGACTCGAGCTGAGCAGTCAGTTCATATGTTAACTTTTGTATTTGCTTTTTGTATGAACGACAAAACAGATCAATCTTCTCCTGCTGGCACCTCCTCCTCTAGATATTTGACCAGCTTTACGCGCATCTCCGTTAAGTCATCCCCTCGTAGGATGTCACTGACGAATGCCACCTCCACTTGCATGTGAACCATTTCTAAGGCCCCTCGTAGTACCCCGCACAAAACATTGGAATACCACAATTCGGTCACGGCATCCTCTGGAAGTTCCACGAAATCTGAAAGCGGGTTATCTTCGAGGACTAGGGAGAATTCTTTGGAGTCTGCGGACCAGTTTGTTACAGTGGGTGATATACCGAGGAATATTTTGAAGCCAATCTGTCCGAATCGCGGCGTAAATTAACGAGGCACTAGCAATCAAGCCTTCAAAGGCCCAACACCCACTTTTGCTATTGTATCTGCCGTTTCCCGAAAGTCACCGCACTTGGTAGTACCAGATTTTGCCAGGAAATCTTCAATCAACCGTACTCCGATATTATATCCCCTGTGGTAGAAACAGTTTTTAGCAACGAGAACGATATATCTCCCCCACAGAACATTCAACCAACCCACATCTTCTCCAAGTGCTTATTTACTTCTATATAGTTTTCGTGATCTTTCATGAGTTGCGCCACGACTGAACCGTACGTCAGCGTAAAAAGTTCGGCGCTCTGTGCAAACGTTCGTTAGAGTCTAGAAAACGCAGATGAGGGGCGATCCTTTGAACCAGCATACAATTTTATCCACTTTTGTCTTCCATATCTCATCTCCAGTTTGTCGTGGCTGCCGAAGCATGGTAATCTTAGCTCTTTGGTGGTGTAAATTGAGGAAAGATGGGGGAAGCTAAACGGGCAGAACGCGTTGACGGTTGACTCACCGCCAGTGAACGTGATCCAGCATCCAGAATCCAACTAACTTGTAAAAACCGACATGTTCATTTTCATGTAGACTATTATAGATGACCTCCACGGTTACGACCCGCACTCACGTTCGGATAGATACAGAGTACAGCGCTGACGCTGTTGAGTTCTGTCCGATACATCCCTTTACGCATGTGGTAGCGGTTGGAACTTATCAAGTGGTCAAAGACGGTAACCTCTGGTCCCCAGACGCAAATGGGAATATAAAGGAGACGACAACAGAAATCGCGGAGGACAAGGGAAATTTCAATACCGGTAGGCTTGGTCGACTCTTATTGTTCGGTTTGACAGAGTCGGGAGAGAATGAAGAATCCATCGTAGCGTGAGTTGAATATTTATTGTCAACAACGCTTCCGAAACCTCACAAAATTTCTGTCTAGGAAGGAGGTTTTCCGGATGGAAACTGGTGCCATTCTTGATATGAAATGGTGGGACTGCTAGTGTCAACTCTGTTGTTCCAACATTAAGCGTGATCTACGCAGGTCACACCATCCAGTTGATGGTCAGGCGTACTTGGGGCTTGTCGATGCGTTGGGACAAACGCAGCTTCTTGGCTTGAATGAGGTTGGTGAAAAATAAGTGCATAAAGAATTACCGTGAAACTAAAGCCAGACTATGTGCAGGGCTCTGAGGAGCTGGTGCCAAAGGCCTCACATTCTAACGGGAAGGATGGAGTCCTCAGTCTATCCCTGGACTGGTCAAATCGCGTCAATAACAGGTAAGATGCACCTCAGTATGAAAATTGTGATCGTTTTTTGTGTCCTGAACAATAGTACTCTGTGTTGTCCGCCAGCGATCCACGAATTATAATCAGCGAAAGCGATGGAAATATTGCCCGCCTTTCAATAACCGGCGGGTCGATTGTGCGAAGCGAAGAATGGCACGCACATGAATTTGAAGCTTGGATCTCGGCCTTTAATTACTGGGAGACGGAGATTGTTTATACTGGTATGAATCGTCTGTCTACAGTCACGATTCCTTCGCATGTATTTGCTAACATGTTTGCCATCCCTTCACAGGTGGCGACGACTGTACTCTCAAAGGATGGGACCTTCGAATGAACCCGGCGTCACCCACTTTTACGAATAGAAGGTGCGTACTGGATCTTGTCTCCTGATGTCATTGCTGTAGTGCTCACATTTTGTCATCGATTATTCTAAGGCATCAGGCCGGAGTTTGCAGTATTCAATCGCATCCTCATCGCCAACATATACTTGCAACCGGAAGGTGATTGCTTGTCTCTCGCGAGAGAAGTACTCTTTGTCCTTTTGCATAACTATTCTACCCCCAATGTCAGCTACGATGAAAGCATCATGATCTGGGACACACGAAAAATGCGCACCCCATTATTAGAACATCATACGGGGGGAGGAGTCTGGCGTCTGAAATGGCACCCGACAGACCCCGGGCAGCTGCTCGCTGCATGTATGCACAATGGCTTTCACATCCTAAACGTCGATACAGGTAAATGGAAGCACCACATCTTCCAAACATGACTCTAATAATATATCCTGACAGACGCAACTCGATGTGAAACTGTGTGCAGCTATATGGAGCATACCTCCCTTGCCTACGGTGCAGACTGGTGCTATTCTAACCTCAAGCCAAAGCTAGAAGAAACTTCTGTCCGAAAATCGGCAAAGGACACTTTGGGAACATGTTCATTTTATGATCACATTTTCCACGTGTGGGATGTTGCACAGCCTCTTCGATGACTGCACAAAAGTTGCGGAATCTATTAGCACCTGAACATTATCTACTCTCTTTATGATCGTAATGGAGGGCCTATATGTCGTAGGGTATCGTGTTCTGACACAAGAGGAGGTGGAGGTGATCCGTTTCTGCGTGCGACGTACAAACCGAGACCCTTACGTGGAAGTGAATGAGCCGGCGGACCCCACTGTCGAACTTCTCCTAGAAGGTATTCGCTTTTCGTATTCTGGATATTTGAAATGTTAGAAACCCATATAAAATCATTGATCAAACGGTGTGTACATACTGGACCGAATGGCAAAGGTGCAGTTTGCACAGCTACGTCGCGATATGCTTCATGGTCTGATGAACTAGACTGCAAATTTTCTTTTTGCGTTGACGGTATTGCCGCGATTACAGCCTGCAACCCGGCTGGAGGCAGTTTTCTAGGAAGGCTATGCGCATTCACCGACTCAGGTGTTCTTCGTGGTTCTGCTGGGGCTTGACGACCAGCTTGAGATTCCAATGGGGCAGTCTCTTGACGCAACATTTTATCCGTTTCGATTTCCTCAGAGCGCCCCATTTGATCATTATGTGTCTCAGCAAAGGAGTCTGTCGCCACTGAATCCAAATGCAACCGGATGTGTCGGAATCATATGTACCGTTGACGCAATCAAGCTGCATACTTACTTGAAGCGCTGTTAATGTCGACCAACCCCTAAGTGCGAGAAAGTTGGAGATGTTTGTACATGGGTTTGGTTGTCAACCTTGTGCCGGGATAGGGTACTCGTACCTCGTGGTTGATAGCAGCCACTGCTTCCACCAAGGTGCTCCGCAATCTTGAAAGTACTGTTGTTCACTTCTGCTGTTCCGGAGAAAGCAAAACGGCTCTTGGAACCCTACCTTTCAATATAGGCGCCAAAATCGGTCGATATCACATCCTGATTATGAAGTCTGTGTTCATCCCAGTATTCAGTCATATCATCTGCTACCCGACAGACTTTCATTAACAATGAAGAGAGCTGCGAATTTTTGGTCTGTAAATCTTCGTCTATCTGCAAGGGAGTATAGGTTCAGCGACGACAGTGTAGCATGAGAGCGTATAAATTACTGTACCGGCAGATCAGCATTGCTACTCCTATCCGACTCATATATCTGATCTGTTGATTCCTCTTCTCGGTCTTCGTACTCGTATTGCTCACGATCATAAATGACATTTCCCTCTAGATCCAACAAACCGCTTTCATATGCCATCTCCAGCATCTTGTCGCTCTCTGCAATTCCGTATCGTCAGTTAGGAGTTTTTCCAGGTACGTTTCTAAACTTTACCTTTGAGCTTCTCCACCAGCATTTTGATAACTCGCTGATTGGTCTGATTCTTCTTGGCCAATTCTTGTTCGGATTCCGTGAGCAGCCCATTACCTGTTCGTAATTGTGCCACCTTTTGTTTGAGTGAATCGTTTTCGCCGATCAGTTCGATCGTCTTTGCGCTCATTTTTTTGAGTTGAGACGTTATGGCCATGTTCTCGCGGATGGCTCGTTTCGTTGTCTGTTAACACAAAACCGCAGGATCAGAATGCATTTTGAAATCAGCCTCCAGTTTCCCAGCCGCATTATACCTCTGCCATCTGCTGATCCGCAACTCGTCGGAAGCTGGCCACCGCTTCATTGACCTTTTGTAGCATCTCTTTCTTGACGGAATTCTATGTAGATGCCTCTTTAAGCAAAATGCTGCCAGTTTCAGTACAACTGGTTATGTACCTTATCCTGAAGTACTTTTCGCTCAATATTGTGAATAGTCTCCTTGTATGACCGCTCCTTTGCTTCCAACTGATTCTTCAACGATTTCAGCTGCTGTTCTAGCTCGTCCTTTATCAAGTGACAAGTTGGCGTCGTCAATGTCCACCACTGGTGAGGAGACCCTGAACAATGCAGTCCTCACCTTCCTTGCAGCAAAAGTATTCAAGTCATGCAGTTGAGCCTTATAAACAGCAACCTGACTCTGCAGGCCTTCGATCTCTTTATGAGCAGCTCCCACCGCGTGCTCCACGTCAGTCTTGGCTTTCGCCTCGAGGTCTCTTTTTTCTTGGTCCATTTGAACCACCTTTTCCTCCAGATCACTGATATGCTTTTCGTGTTCCCCTACTTTAATGTTCAGGAATTCCACAATGTCTTGCTGTACCAAGTTGTTGTGAGTGCGGGGTACCAGACAGCGAACGCTTCAATCACAGGCGGCTATGGCACCTTATCGTGGCTGGCTTTTGCTTGAGCTTTGCCCAAGGCGTCGTTTTCTTTGGTCAACACATCGCACTTGCTTTTACTTTAAGAATAAGGTAGCTGTTAAATTCAGTAGATTAACATGAATAAACGTTAATATCCGGACTTACTATCGCTCAAGCTTCTCCATGAGGTCTCGAACTTTGGCCTCATAAATTTCAATGGTGACCTCATCTAGTTTTGATTTCTCGGCCTGCTTAAAATCTCCTTCATCTGTGCTGGAGGCAAAGTGTCAAGAAAGACAACAGTCAAGGGTTAAGGACAACTGTCAAGCAAATCGGATGAAACATGAGCATGCTCATATTTCGTATAAAACACAAAAGGATATCTGTCCCCTGTAGCGCTAGCCGATTTTCTTCCACCTTTCTTCCCGCCCTTTTTGTCAGACATGGCGACGTGAAAGCGGTTGTCACTGGCTGAATGCTCGCGGGCAAGATTATACTTGAGGAATGTCGATCATTTGATCGAAATTTCGAGCGGACTATTTGGCTGGATGGCTTACCAAATCCTTGGATTCCAACCATGTTTAACCATCATTCGAGCAATATTGGATATCAAAAGAGAAATCCCAGCCCAGCAGTTTCGACTTCCCTCTGCGAGACTGATCAAAGGCTCTTCCAAAGCAAAAGAGACTGGCAAACGGTCTTGTTTGCAAAGGCCATTTGTGAGCATCAAGGCGGCTGTGGATCCAAAGTATGCACGGGAAATACCGCGTCGGCTTCTCTTTGTCAACATATATCATATTTCATCCTATTTCATCCTTTATCACAGGCCCTTCCCCCGAAAAGGATGCCATCATCGCCCGAAGGCTCCGGCGAGTCGTTGCTCCTACCATTTCTGGCGCGCGCACACGATCAGTCCCAGGCGCCCACCTCAAAGAGGTTAGTACGTTGCATTACTACAACGGCCTTTAAAGTTATCCGGTTATGACTTTTCGACCGAGTTGAGTTTAGCGCCAAGTTCCCAGGGCGGGCTCGAGTTTTACGCCATCCCAAGGCGAGTGAAGAGAGAGTGGGGGGGATGCGGGAGAGAGTGCCTTTTTATAACCCTGGGGGAACTGCGCTTTTTTTTTTTGCAATTCGGAATTCTCGGCGGAAGATTCCGTATCCTGCGTACGTCATTCTTGTGAGCACGCCATGAACGCCCAATCATCGTCGTCGCTTCCACCTCCTGGCAGCCCCTTGCCCACGGCGCGCGAGTCAAGATTATGTAAACGCGTGAAGCGAGTCATTTGTTTATCTTGATTTTCCCACGGTCCTCCCCCAACGAGATGAAGAACAAATATCGTACGCACAGACGACAAAGTTCACTACTTGATGGACGTTCAGTGAGGCGGAAATCGGACAGTCTGTATATGGCTTTCCTTCTCCCGCTCTCAATTGCAGAGACACATCTCATTTTTTTTTGGACATGACAATTCAAGCCGCGACGGGCATCATCTTATTTGCGAGTGTGGTAGGGAGCCCGATACAATAGCAGGCTGCATTCGTCGAACGCCAGATCAATGGAGCTTCATTTGTTATGACAACATTTGCTGCTGTAATCACACCTATTGAAGCGGCTATTGAAAATGCTGTTACACTTCATTGGATAGCCGGTGCTATATGCTCAGAGGAAGCAGGTTCATTCCAAAAGCGATAGATATGGAAGATTTGTGACACAGAAACAAGATGTTATTCCCCCCGCTTCGACCTGCTATCTTGCAAAATCAGATAAATGTCGGTGTGCAGGAACGCATCCTATGTTATCTAAAAAGAAACTATGCAATGGCATGTAATGCTACGTGTATGTACATAATCCATCGGAAAGGAGGCCAGAAACGTCAACATGTGGTAATACCCCAGCTAGGAGCTGCTTTCAATATCAACTTGCTCGTTAGACACGTCAAACTTTCCGGTAGACTCGACGCCAGTAGCACGGCGCGGGCTTTGCGGTCCAGTTTCGTTATCATCCTTCTCAACCGGGCGGGTAATCGTATCATCATCTACGGCGTGCCGTTTTCCTTGGAATTCTTGCCGCTGAACTGTATCAAGGTATGCATCCGATCCAACAAACGCTGGGGCATCCCGGAAAATTTCTTCCTCATCATCGTTGGCTTCTCGGTCCAATTCATCCACATTTGCTATTGCATCTACTTCCCCGAGCATCTGTTCGTATTCAGGTACTTCGGTTTCATTTTCCCAGCGAGATGCTTCGGTCTGTTCAAAGTCTTTCACAACTAGGTGTTCAAGTATTTCATCCATGAGGGTCACGTACTCGGGATACAGATGGGGATGTCGGACAACACGCGCAAATCCATCGCTTTTTCGTACCGCGTTGAAATCGGCTAAGACGTACTGTAGCACTAACCGACGTAAAGGTTCGTACTTGTATGCAAAGGAGAACAAGAATTCAGTGACGGTATCTGGTTGAATATGGGTTTGTAAAAGGCTTTTGGCTTTGCTCATCAAATCGTGAACCTAGTGTATGTTGTTAGGAAGAAATATATCGGCCGCAGGTGACTAGAGTGGTAGTACTAACCTGATATTTGTCCGCAATGACGTACAAGTACCCGATTTCTGATATCGACGATGGTGGATCGATCTCACGGACGTAGAGGTATAGCAACATGTTGCGGACTGTACTATAGGGGAAATCCGGTATCTCCACAACAGTGATATCACGCTCAGTCGTGCTTTCTTGAAACCCTCTCGTGAACATTGCCAGAAAGTAGTCAGAAAGGCTAGATAACACACTCTTTTGCGCTGTCAGAATCTTCCCTTCAACGACAAAATGCACATCGGCAACTGCTGGATTCGCCAAGAGAGAGCGAAAGGCCATCGATCGACGCCAATCCAGATTCCCAGCTGATTCAGTTGGCTCGAAAATTGGTGGTCTATGTGGCGCAATAACTTCCATTCGTCGTAAAATAGCTAAGAGGCTTGCAGTACTCCGACGAGTAGGATGCGTACTTAAACGTCGAAACGCATCGCTCGATCTGATCTCAGCAAAACTCTGAATGATGTAAACGCATATCAGTTCCCGTAACGATGGAGACAGGCCACCGAGAGCCATGTAAACATCCAGAGCATCGGTAACCGTGAGACAACTGTAGACCATTCTTCGAGACGTCCTTCTCAGTTGCTCCATGCCAAAACGCTCGGCAAGGACCTGTAGATATGCATGATTCTTGGCAGTGTTTTCTACATGCAGTGCACCGGTGTAGGCATACGCAATGGTGGCCCGTACAACCTCATAAGGGATATCATCAATGACCAAAGGCGATCCATCCTCGGGAAGTTCACATCCCGGTAACCTGCTGGCAAGGACTGATCTTTGCACGTATATCGGCTTTCCTCCAGCTATCACAGTCAGATCGGAAATCCTTGCGTCATCAAAAAGGCCTGCCGGTAGAGCACCAGCGGCTTGCACAGGCCCAATAGGTAAGGTAATTACATCTTTTCCATTGATAACGTCGGGTTTCTGGCGCAAGCCGGCTTCGCCTGTCGTGAAAGAGATCCTAATGATCAACGTGTCATCGGTCAACTCCATCAATCTTGGCGAGCTTCGGAGGCTTATCAACCACCATCCAGCAGCATCCTCCATGTCACACCAAGTTGACTGGCTGCTTCGAACAACATGAAGGGCGGCTGGTTCAGGCTCTGTGATTGTTATCTGAAAATCAATATTGTTTGCACGAATCCAGGAAAGGAACTGCTCTTCCGTTTCGTTTGCATTTTGAGCCCATATATGTAGGTATATATCAATCCTAGACATACTCGTGAGAAAGCAACACAGGCACCGCTCTTGTGTTTTCTGGATCCTCACCTTTGCCCATAGTCCTTTGACGCCGGCCGTAAGCCAAACGGATATACATTGCACCCCCATTTTCGGTTGCATACTAGAAATGGAGTTGCCCCATAAGAGAAAGTTGTTTTCCCATGCTCGGCCTTGCTAAAATTTCGGATTGCAAGTTCCAGAGTCCTACGGTTCTCGGTCAACTTCAAGGGAGTGATAGCAACGTTGTTGGAGGTCCCCATGACCAAGAGGTCTGACTGGGAAGCGGCAGATCTCAAGCTGCTCAAAGAGGGCTGGAGGTCTGATCGCGACAGTCACATGGGCTTGCTTACGTTCCCATCGCCCGCTGTTGCAAAGCGTGATATCTAAACGGGCATCAATCCTGTAGGCTACATGAATTGTCTTTCCACTGGTATTTTCCAACACATTTCTTCAGTGAATTGTTCCTGGCTCTATTCACATACCGGTGGACCTTTTATCCAGAATTTCTGCGTTGATGCTCTCCCATCTCCCTCCCTCAGCCCACTGGTTTCGGTGTTATGAGCCTCATCATCCAACTCTACCAAAACCCTTCAATGATTTCTCCTTTTCCTTATCATTGAGCTAAAAGATGCATGTCAATATGTAGAAGGTCTCACCGAGTTTTTGGTTAACCCCTTCCTTACTCAGCTGTCACCATCGGCCCCTTCCACCATGGTAGCTACGTTGAAGATTGACCCACAGATGCAGTGACACTATTTGTTAGATGGCTTAATCTTGTCTATACATTCCTGCGTTCAGCTTACTTGCTGGCTTATGTATCTGAAGACAGTGTACAGAGAGGCAACGGTATATATTTGTGGAGCGACACAGGACTGCCTACGAATTCTTATAGAAGGCTGGTTAGTCTATCCAGGCTACCCGGATATGGATGCGAGATTTTGTGACGATTGATGCTTGTACTGAACGACCGGCGATCCTCTTTGTTGGAGAATCGTAAGTTTGTTCGAGGTCAAGGGAGACAAAATGCCTTTAGCACTCGTCTTGACTTTTGTCCTTTGTATTCAAAGCATGCCTAAGAATCACCACTTGGCTTTGATGATGCTGATTTTTACAGCTCTCAGCGATCTATCAGGATGTTGGGCTTATCATTCTTCTCTCGCTTCTTTTTTCCTACTTGCTTTTGTTTCTGGTTTCTTTTCTGTTTCTGTTTGTTTGGTTTCATGTTTGTACCGGTTAGGACACTAAATGCAGCAGGTGTCCTTGTCAATAGGGGTTGCTGACTGCCCGAAGCATACTCTCATCTTGCACATGTTGACGATACTCCTCCCTATAATGAGGATCTTGCATGGATGAGTAACAGGAAAATCGAGCCAGACACACTTTTATCCCTGTAGCGAGTGTCAACTTTGGGCAAGCTATGATGTGAGGAGGAGAATAGTCAATTTTTACCATGATATGGCTAGGTGTCGTAAGCTGTCGTCTAACCTGCTTTCCCTGCCCCAACCGAGGTCCCCCGTGTTTCTCTTCGAGCTGGCAATGTGGCTGCTTCCCTGGCGCTGCTTACTGGCTTTCCAGTACCGCAACAGCAAAACTTGCTGATCGCAGACATATCCATATGACCGAAGGGTAGGGCGGCTGGTGGGACTATTTGTGCCTAGGAGTGCTTTCTTTTGTTGCGGATGGCGATAAGTTCATACTCGTAAACTCGATCAGGACATCCTCAGCATTCGATTCGAACTCCCTTTACAATAGGTTCCTCTGATACCATTGTGTTAACATAGGTCATGGAGGCCGTTGGTTGAGAATGGCACTTCTCAACATCAATGGTGCTTTTCTCCTCCCTGCGCAGCATTGAACTGTCGAGAAAAGGCCTGCAGAACGGTCAAAACCCTTGGGCAAGCGCTGGAAATAGTGCTTTGCGAAACAAAATAGACGACTGGTTCGCGATTTCAACAGGTAGAGAGACGGAAAAGCGTTGAAATGGGTGTATGGCAGGTGGTTAAATGATGGCCTTTCCGCTGATTGCTGTAGGAATTCGGAATTGCCTGCATGATATACATAATACCATCACCCACAGAACCATTTTTGGAAATCTTGCAGTATATCTGTGGAACTACGACTAGTAAACACTGCGATGCAATATTTTTGCTGTAATTCTGCAATTCCAACTGACCACCTGCTGCTGATTTTGACAGTATGCTCCAGCCTGTCAGCAATCGGCTGATGCAAAGAAAATCACAATCAAGAGTCGTTTTTGTCCAGGAGGGATTTTTTCATTGCAAGCAATTAGGCTCATGCAACAAGCTAATAAATGTCTCCGGCATTCACTCTCATCCCTCTGGTAGAAGAGTCCACCACCTGAAGTAAAGTCAACCACGCCAAGGAGAATGCCGAAATCATCCAACTGATTCTTGACATCATAATGGTACTAACAAAATAGGTGTGTTGAAGAAATAGGAGCTTGATTTGGGTGATCTCTTCCCTTAAAGATGGGTTCTAAACTATAGCCAAATCATTTTCAGTGTAACATTCGACAGTTTGAACTTTTTCCGGATGCGATGTTTATTTTACAGCCGAGTTGGTACATGTGCATCTATCTAAATAAAAGCCGAAAATAAACAGATGTGATTCTCCTTGCGTCCTTTTCACAGCTCATCGTGTCCCCCTGCTTCTGTTTGGCCCTCCGGTTGTTCCTGTCGCGTAGTCTCCTTCTCCGCAGGCTCTTCAGACCCCTTAGGATTTTGGTCTTCCTCGGCCGCACCTGTAGGCGTCGAGGTAGGTGTTGTGCTTGAAGTCGATGTTGAAGCCTTGGGACTTGGCTTTCGCTTCTTGGGTTTAGCCAACAGCTTTGACATCTCCTTTGTTATCTCCTGGGCTTTGGTCGAGAGATCGTTTGAAAGCAAGATAGGATGCTCGTGGGGTGCGAGCTTTGCCTGTTCCGCTTGTTTCGTACCCAGCCACTCTTCAGCTGCCGTTATGAGACTCTCGAATCTAGTCAATTCATTCTCGGTGAACCGGCTCTCGTCGTCTGCTGTTAAATTTCTAAAGGATTTCAGGATGCTTTTGGCTGCGGATATCGCTGCCTGGAAGCCAGTAACTGCCTCTCCCCGCTTGCGATATTCACTCCGCTTGAAGAAAAGCGGCTCATGGACGTCCATTAGTACTTTGAGCCGAGACTTAAGATCCTCGGTAGGCGCTACGTCCGCCTCTTCGTAGAGCCAATCTGACATCTCGTCAAGTTTCTCCTTGAATGCCAGCCGTTCATCCTCGGTTGTGGTAAGTTCCACCTCATCATCGTAGAGGAATTCTTTGCTACTGTAAACGAACGCTTCTAGACTATTCCTGGCTTCTTCACGCGCACGCTTTTCGGCGTCCGCACGGTCAAGAGCGGCAAGTCTTCAAAATGTCCAGGGTCAGCCATGGTACACACTGGTAACATAGCTGCATTGTAGCACATACTTTTTCTTGGCTTCTGCCTTGTACTCTTCGTCTATGGGCTTAATGGTTTCCCACTCGATGGTAATCGGAAGCTTTACTGTTTCAATTGTAATCTTCACGGCTGGCACGGTGCTGTTTGCTGTATCGGTTTCGGCATCTGGTGAGTCCGACTTCGCTTCTTCAGGCTTCTGCTCTTCTTCGCCTTCTTTTTTCTGCATGTGAAGTATGTAAGTGTTTGAATTCAGGCTGAAATATATTTGTTACGAACCTCTGCATTTTCGCCACTGCCGTTATCTTTCTTTCCCGTAAAGAAATTCATGACCGTATCTGTGCTGACTCGGTTATCTTCCAGTGAACGAGGACTGACAGCTTGCTTTCGCAATACCTCTAAGAGATGGACCATCCTTGGTGTCCTTGTCCGTCTGCTCCACCTCGAACTGGGCGGTAGCTTCGCCAACGGAAACGAGTCCCGACTCGGTCAGCTCAATTAAAGACTTGACTTTGGGATCCCCAAAAGCACGATTCTTGAACTTGTCGACTGCGTCAGTAACACCGCCGACATGTGCGCGGAGAATGACAGGCTTATTGCCAGTTCTGTTGGTTGAAAACGGTCAAATTTCTGACCGAGTGCCAATCCATGTTCTCCCAAACATACTTGTATGCGAGTTCATAATCAAAATCCGTTTTCCGCTTGAAATTCATCAATTTCTTGGCGCCTAGAACCGTCTTGTTGCTAAAGAGAGTTGTCCGGAAAGTGCGGTTCGCTGCATCCTCTATAGGTCAAGGCTCCGTTCAGAATAATCATATGCGAGTAAAGTGTCTAGGTATGTATGTACTCGACCGACCTTTTGGTTCCGCATCGTATACCACTTCAATGGGATGGATATTGATGTCCTTGACACGGATTTCCTTGACCCTAAATTGCCTGCTAAGAGTAGCAGCCTCGAGTCCTGCTCCCATTACTGCAGCTTCATCGGCGTTCACATTTTTCGCAATCTTCTCTTCGCCCACCAGATCAATCAGCGCAGCTTGAATGAACGGGATTCTGCCGCCTCCACCCACTAGTACCAGTGAGTCAATGTCTGCAACGGTCAAATTTGCCTGCGCCAGAACCGATTTCACAGGATCCTGAACTCTGCTCTTCACATCGTTTGATATATCTTCCAGCGTAGATCGCGTGACTAGTACCTTGAAATCGAGATCTTCCATGAGGCCCTCGACAGATGAGATTGTTTCCTGGTTTGCACTTAAAATCTGCTTGACACGGTTGGCTTCCTTTAATAGTTTAGCCATAGCTCTAGAGTCTTGGAACACATCGCCTTTGAGCTTGTCGCCGGCCTTCTTTGCAAACTGTTCCGCGAGATGCTGCTGCAGCTTCACATCGACCGAGTGGCCACCCAGACTGGCATCGTAACCAGTCGCTTTCACTTCCAATTCGGTAACGTTTCTGGCGCCTTTCTTTGGCTCTACACTTTGGAATTTGACTAGTGCCGCCACAGTGCCTCCAGCGCCCATGTCGTAGAAGATATGATACTGCGGATGCGGGAAAGACCGACCGCTCGCGTAATTCAAAGCGACTAGGACAATGGTTAGACTCATGACCAAGGTTCGAGTGGCTCAAAGTTTGCATCGTACCAGCAGTTTCGTCATTCATCAACATCAAGACGCGCAGACCTGCCAGCTCAGCTGCGTCTAGTAAAGCCCTGCGCTCAAAATGTCCCCAATAAGGTGGAACCTACAGCAACAGTTTCAAATAAACATTGATTCGATTGTCTTCAAAGTGGCAACCGACACCCACCGTGATAACAGCTCCAGTAACTACTTCTCCACCAGCAACTTCTGCCTGGTGCTTTGCTTGCGCCAATTGCATGGCGACGAGCTCCTCTACTGTGTACACAGTTTTATCATCGTATTTAAACGCCACCGTACCCCGTTTTGCATCTTTGACCATGGAGTTGGTGAACGTCTTTCGATATTCTTCTGCTATGGGGTCATCATAGAGCTTTCCGAGGAGGTTCTTCAAAGCGCCGTACGTATCTTGGGGGAATCGAGTTGCCTATTTATTCCAAATATTTCAAAGAATAACATAAATATGGATGTCTTGCGGGAGCCGTTTACAACCGGAAATGTCCTACCAACGACACGGCATCAGACCCATATCGTCTATCACCATCGCGAACTAACACAATGGCTGGTGTTTTCCGTTTGGACTCGGCATTTAGAACAATATCAAGAGGTATGCCTGGCTTTACAATGGACACTTTGAACCAATCTGTGCCATAGTCAATCCCAATTACGGCGGCCGATGCTGGTTGCAATGATGCAACGAGGATGCATAATCCTATTCCCCACAAGGCGAATATAGGATATAGAAACCGCATTGCCCTAGTTTGAAGAGGGGGTCAACACGCCAGAGGGTTGCGTTATGAAGAGATGAAAGCAAGATCTCGCTCAGTGCCCTCCCGTTGGCAACAAGTCGAGTATGACTCATGCGAGGCAGGACGCGACGTGGCGGTTTCTCGATGGCCTTCCATGGGCACAGGAACACCCAAAACCATTTGTTTGAATGAACGACAGGTCTTTGTTACGACGTTAACGACGACGTGGTGATGAACCATGCAAGATCAGATCATTGCTTGGTCTTCTCAGCCTGAGGATTTCCTTCGTTCTTGATATGGTGAGTTATGCCGCCAGACAACTTCCATGTACGTAATTGAACCTTGATTCGCTGGCTCATCGTTGGGAAGCGAGGTTTAAGATGGAAAGTGCGCTGTATTTCCCGATACGATTCAGGAATCGGGATTTGCTGTCAGAGGCTGTCAGATGGATCTTTTCATAGCAAAAAAAATAATGTACAAAAGAACCTATGCTAGATAGTGCTAAATGCAGCAATATCAACAAAAAACAACAGCAATCGAATACACTCTTCGTCAATGCAGATCTTATAGTCATGGTCGTAATTCATCACTCTCGCATAACCAACTAGGAATAATCATGCAATGTCCGCAACAGCCCCTGCGGGGGGACCTGGGAAATCTTTCTTTAATCCAACGACCCTCAGAACCTTGTTAGCCGTTCCTTTCAAAATCCCTGGTTTTTCGGTGACAGGTTTTTTTGCAATCTCCATCTCTGCAAACTCCCCTATACGCACAGGAAACATTTCCAAGAACCCAGTTCGTTTCTGGTACCTTGCCAATTTGAGCGCAATCCGCCACTCTACGACGCTCAGTTCTGCACGGAGAATACCGTAGAGCTGATGATGAGTTATAGGTTCGATAGGGAGGTTGGTTTCGAGGGAAGCCGTCGCGTCGTCGATGAGGCTCATGAACCCAGTTGTTGCATGTTCGTAGAGATACGGGGTTTTGGCAACAGGGGCATAATAGGCGGCATATGTGAGATAGGTTCGGCAGGAGGGGCAGAGCTGGGTGTTTGGAATCGGAATAATGACAGGCAAATGGGTGCTGTGGGGATCTTCGGGATGTCGCAAGGGAATAAGGTTCTGCAAAAGTTTCAATGGATAATGTGACAACGTCGAAGGTATATCATGATGACAGATTGTTCAACCTACCTCCAAAATATCCATCAGATCACCCCTGTAACTCGTCAAAGCTCCAATCTTGTTTTCTGAACTCTTTGCACACCTTTTCTTTATTTGTCTTGCAAGTACATCAGGATGAGGCCGACCAGCCAATTTCAATCCCTTCTTTTTCAACAGCTCCGTTTTGGTTTGAGCTCTTTTCGCGTCTTCTTCCGATATTTCCTGCTTGTTTTCATCCCATCCGCCTGTGCGACGGGGCAGGTGTTCGGCTAAGGTTCCTGAAGTAGCAGAATTGCGAAGACCCACAGCAGGATCGGTCGCTGGGTCTGGGGCGGTAGTCTCCTGTTTAGTATCTTTAGTATCTTTGTTGCTTTGATTGTTTTGACCACCCGTCAGTACGCTCGGAAGCATATTAAGAATGTGGGACGAGTTTTGTTCTTCCTTTTCAGCCTCTTCCTGTGCTTGGGAGGCAAGTTCTGCCTGCCTCAGTTCCTCTACCTGCTTCCAAATACAGGTGCACGGACCCAGCGTAGTCGGGCGGGGTGGAATTATGGCAGTTTGAGGCATTTTTTTGTGTGTTGCAGCCAATGGAGAAAATGTGGGAAGCAGCGCTTCTAAAGAAGGATTGGTTTGCTGCATATTATGGACTACTTCCGACAAGGCATTACGTAGCATCAAGCTTTGAACGCTTGTCCCTCTTTACATAGCCCTGGGGTGAAAAGTAAAGGGTCCACATGACGCCATAAAAACGTCTTCATTTCAAAAGCCTAAGGCCACTTTACGGGAAGTACATGTGCATGATGCACATTACGAACGTTAAACACATCCCAGAGGCGACCAACCGTCCAAGATCCTACAGCCGTTACAGATACGCCACAAATACAAACTTAATTGAAACCAAAAATAAAACCATTCGACCATCCCGGAAGGTTTATGTCTTTCTTCCACAAGAAGACAGGCTGCCTAAACGGATTCAGAACCGGTTCTACAGTCAATGGACATCCGATCTGCGCGAGTTGCTTGCCGATGAGTTCTGCGGTATGCTCCATCTCCTCCGTCATCAAAGTCTTCTGCCCGTTCTCAATCAAAAGTTTCAGTGCCGGCCCCCACGTTGGTGAAGCCAGGAGACCAGAGTTCATTATCACCACCAAATCAGGCTTGCCGGTTCCGAATGGTAAACCTTCGGCTTTGTATGCCTCACCGCTATACTGCTCTGGAGAGTACATGCCTGGTCGAAGGGTTATGAGGATTGTGCTGCCCATCGTTTCATTGCGGATGCCGAGAGTGGCATGGGGTCCTGGAAGGCGGGGGGAAATGGCTGGTGAGATCATGTGGACAGCAATGTCGGTTTTGGGCAGAAGAGATAGAAGGACTTCAAAGAGAGCAGTGAGATCGGCTTCTTTTTCAGCTCCCAGAAGATGAATAGTTATTTGACGCCGGCCTAGGTAATGCAAGACCCGTGAGAAATCCATGTTTCATGGCATATCCGGTAGCAAAATCATACCCTCGACTTCCGCAATGTTGTCCAGAGCGTACTTGTTAATCAAATGCCACAGGGTCATCGGCACTTCCAGGACCAAAGCAGCAGGATCGGACAAGGGAATATTACGAAGCTCATAGAACTTTCTCCACGAGTCAATATCTCGTAGATTCGTCCCTTCAGGATAAGGAGCCGATAATGGATAGAGTTGCATGGACAATCCAAATAACTTGAAACGCTCCAGCGGATCCTGAACATTTGCTACTTGCAGCTGTGCAAGCTGCTGCGCCGCTAGTTCGCCGTATGGGACGTGACTATAGCAGTGGCATAACCGCCGGAAAACCCCTACGTTGTGAACATCATTGTGGATGAGGAAATTGACCTGGTTGTAGGCATGAAGTTGTTTTTTGTCGTTGTAATAATCAAACGGGAAGTCATGGCGGTTCTCCTTCTCGATGCGGGACATGTGCGCTTTGAAAACGGGACATACTTGTTTGTGCGTTGTCCAATCCTTTTTCTATGGTTAAGATATAAAGATTTATTTCGTTAGACACAACAGTCAGTTCCCTACCAAAACGGCTACGTACCGCGCACTCAGGGCCGCAATAAATTATAGCTTTGCAAGCACTGCATTGACTGGCCTTTCCTTCAATCTCCTTCTTGCACACAAAACATCCGCGTTCCGGCGCCGAGATGAAGACAGGTTTCCCATTTTCGTCCAAGTTTGCTGGTTTCTGAGCAGCTGACTGCTTTGCTGTTTGCTCCTGTCGCTTTTTTGCATATTCTGCAATTTCGGATGATAGCTGCTCAGCAGCGCCAACCTTTACGTCGAACTTTTTCATTCGCTTGGCGACATCGGCCACAACGTCATTAGAGCATTGCCGGCTATGCAGGAAGGCAGCAATACGGGGGCGATGAACCGGCTGCTCATCCATTGGACGTGCCATTGCCTTGACCAGGACAGCAGCAATCTGGATGGCAGTGGCCTTCTTTTGACCAGAAGGGAGTGTTTCAAATGCGCGCAATACACCATCTTCAGATACAGCTATGGCCCTTCCACTAACTCCCACGTCAAACAACTCATCAACAATCGGGGCATCGACGGCAGCTTCCGTGAGCTCCTCTGCCTCCTCAACAAGGGACTTTGGTCTCCAGTTTGCCAGAGCATTGACCTGCAATATAATGCGAATCTATCAGTCACAATGTCTGTATCGTTCCAGAATCTTGCGACAGCTAACCTTTTTCTCTCCCATGAGACTCTTCACCAATATCCAAAGCAGTGTTGGCATTATCAGCGTTCCGAGTAGTGCACCTGCCACATGGGGTAACTCGTCTATCGCTTTGGCTGGATCCGTAGATAAGTGAGTAATGAATAAGAAAAAGTCGTCCAGCAGAGACGCTGTGCTGCCAGTTGCGTTTGTTCCATTGAGTGGAACATCTTCGAAGCTGGCCATCTTTCACAATCTGACCCCACACTAAGAATACCACCCAAGGGCTGGAAGATAAAAAGGGCGCTGACGGCCAGGCAAGTTGGAGGTCAACATTCCCCACCACGTGATGCGGCTTAGTATATAGAACAATCGACTGAAATTCAACAGCGCCCATGAGTCGTCGTTGTCGTCGTCCTCGTTGCCGTTGCCATTATGTTTTTCGTCGTCGTCGTCGTCGCAATTGTCATGCTATGTTTATGAATAAAATAAATCCATCTTGTACATAAAAATGAAAGTCCGTTGAATTTCGAGTCCCAAAAATGGCTTCTTCCAGAGGCGGCGCCACGCGTTGATCCCAAAATCCAGTCGCCCTTTTCACGCGCTATTTAACGCTCTTCCTTTCATAATTGCCGTTTGTTTGAGCATCCCTTTTTCTCATCCCACTCATCGTTAGAACAGCTGCTTTGTTAGCTGGCTCCCATTTCACAGGCTTAGAACCGTACTTTTGAACATGTGCGGTATTTTCGCATACCTCAACTACTTGGTGAGTGTGATGAGCGAGCCACGAGAATAGTCTGCCTGTAACCAATCACGTATTGTCCGATCAGGTCGAGAAGGACCGACGCTACATCGTCGACACTCTCCTCACAGGTCTGTCTCGCCTTGAATACCGCGGTTACGACAGTGCCGGTATCGCCATAGATGGGGATGAGGAGGGCCAAGTCCTTATTCACAAGCAAGTCGGAAAGGTGCATGCCCTGCGAAAAAAGATAAACGAGGACAAGAGCCTCGATTTTACAAAGACGTTTGTGAGCCACACCAGCATGGCGCATACCCGGTGGGCAACGCATGGACAACCTAGCGAGAGAAACTCTCATCCTCACAGGAGTGACCCTAAGAATGAGTTTTTGGTTGTGCACAATGGTATCATCACAAATTATAAGGTTCGTTTGCAAATCCTGCTATCCCTTTTCGAGCGTGTCCCTGTCAATACTAACGGTTTACGGATTGCAGGAGTTGAGGACCGTCCTTGAAAAGAAGGGCTATGTTTTCGAGTCCGACACCGACACTGAGTGCATTGCCAAACTTGCCAAATACCTCTTTGATTCGCAAAAAGGCAACAAATCACTGAGCTTTACGTCGCTAACAAAGGCTGTTATCAAAGAGTTGGAGGGCGCGTTTGCTCTCATCCTGAAGAGTACGCACTTTCCCAACGAGGTGGTCGCGACGCGCCGTGGTTCCCCTCTACTAATTGGTGTGAAGACCGCCAAAAAGCTCAAGGTGGACTTTGTGGATGTAGAGTTTGGCATGTCGGAAACGCAGGACAAGTTGGCAGAGGATGGCGAGAACCTGCTTACACCCGCTGACCCCACGCACCCCAAAATTCGGCGCAGCCAGTCTCGCGCATTTTTGAGCGAGGATGGCATGCCTCAGCCAATCGAGTACTTTTTGGCGTCTGATCCTTCTGCTATTGTAGAGCACACCAAACGGGTCCTGTATCTCGAGGATGATGATATTGCTCACATCAACGAGGGTGAACTTCACATTCACCGCCTTCGTCGCGAAGACGGTATTTCTGCCATTCGATCTATCCAGACGCTTGAGATGGAGATTGCAGAAATTATGAAGGGCTCTTTTGATCATTTCATGCAAAAGGAGATTTACGAACAGCCAGAGTCGGTGGTGAATACCATGAGAGGGCGTGTCAACTTTGACAACCACACGGTTACTCTTGGAGGATTGAAAGCGTACCTGTCGACGATTCGACGGTGTCGTAGGATTGTTTTTGTCGCTTGCGGTACCAGCTTCCACAGTTGTATTGCGGTATGCTACTTGTTTCTCGTTGAGATCTGGAAAGCGCTGTATCTCATCTTTTTCGTTGCTAGACTCGGGCCATTTTTGAAGAGTTAACCGAAATTCCTGTCAGTGTCGAGCTCGCTAGTGACTTTTTGGACCGCCGGACCCCCATTTTCCGTGATGATGTGTGCGTCTTTGTATCGCAGTCGGGTGAAACGGCCGACACCATTCTTGCACTTCGTTACTGTCTTGAACGTGGAGCTCTTTGCGTCGGTATCACCAACACGGTCGGCAGTAGTATCTCACGCGAGACGCATTGTGGTGTTCACATCAACGCCGGTCCCGAGATTGGTGTTGCGTCTACCAAGGCGTACACGAGTCAATTCATTGCATTGGTCATGATGGCCTTGCAGTTGAGCGAAGACCGTATCTCGATGGCTGACCGTCGCCGCGTGATCATCGATGAGCTGCACGAGCTTCCTCGTCACATTAAAGAAACGCTTGCGTTGGACAAGGAGCTCCAGCAACTGGCGCGGGACGTGCTCCATAAGGAAAAGAGCTTGCTTATTATGGGACGTGGAGCACAGAATGCTACATGTTTGGAAGGTGCGCTAAAGATTAAAGAAGTATCATACATGCACAGCGAGGGTATCCTTGCCGGAGAGTTGAAGCATGGTCCTCTTGCCTTGATTGATGAGAACATGGTGGGTGCACATGTGTGTCTATCGCAAGCGAGATGTAAAATGATAAGCTAACTATCGCAACAGCCCGTCATTCTCATCATGACGCGTGACTCTCTTTACCCCAAAGTTCAGAGTGCACTTCAGCAAGTGACGGCCCGCAAGGGAGCACCGATCATCATCTGCAACAAGGAAGACCAAGGCATTTCGGACCAATACCGCACGATACGTGTTCCATCCACTACTGACGCGCTCCAAGGTATCATCACTGTAATTCCCCTGCAGTTGCTTTCGTACCATTTAGCTGTTCTTAATGGAGTGGATGTCGATTTCCCGAGGAATTTGGCCAAGAGTGTTACTGTAGAATAAAGAAGAAAAATAGGTTAATATTGTTGCGGTGGGAGTGGCAAGTTGTTGTATGGGGGGACTATTTTCAATGTTGATTATCTGGGTCAATGAAAAATCTTGCTTGCCAGTGCAAATGTCGTTGACGGAATTCGAACTCGCCATTCCAATGGTTTTTTTTTCTTTCACAAGCCACATCCTTTCACGTGTGGACTATAAATGCTCGCCCCAACCGCTTTCCGTTCTGCTTTCTTTATCCAACCAATTACACACAGTGATGATGAGCGCGAGAATCTCCTAGTCCTCCGGGTGCAAGCCTGTGGTTAGGATTGTGAGAGAGAAGTGCGCTGCCCAAAATAACTTGTTACATGGTGCGCACTGGTCGTCTCTGAGCTGGTTACCCCAGCAGCACACGGATTGCAGTAAAAAGGTGAGTTGACGTGTTTTGAACGAGTAGTGGTAGAGATGGACTAGTGGGAGGGGATGACCATGCATACTCCGACGAATACAATGGGGAATTGCATTTTATTATAGACTACAGACGGTATCTGATCCCAGAGAGATGGTGGACTCTGACGAGGGAGCAATGGGTTTTTATGAATATTGAACTCATGTCCCTTTTTGTTTTTTGTTTAGTGTTTTTGTGTGGACTCGATTTGTTCAGAGCGGGGTAAGAAGGCATTTGCGTGGTGTTGGCCCTTTGAATTCAATCCACTGCCAGCGGCACAAATCTTTTTGCTGTGCACTGTTTGGCTGTGTGCACTGGATTGTGTAAGAGGGCCTGATTCCATGGATCCAGAGGCCAAGGCATGGCCGCCAGTCTGCAATGCATGATTGTTTGTTTGTTGTCGTTCCAATGAGCTCTCGCAGCCTATCCACACCATACATGACGTTCATTGTCAAACCACAAAATCTGATGCTGGGTGCTTGTAACTAGTGGTGATCCATGTTTGTCAAAAGATTGCAGTTATGACTTGCGTTGACCCCATCTGTCTTGTCCATTACCGCCATCACTTACCGCCCGTGGCCTCCAGTGATTCCCCCATGGCCATGTTCTGTTTATGGACTGGCTATGCCTTTTCCTCTTTGTTTTATGAATCGCATGGCATACAAACGAGCTCTTTTCTACTCTTCTAGTTGCTTTGTAGTTACTGTTATTTCATTTGTGTGCTCAAGATGCACTTTCATGACGTTTTCAATTTCTTTTATTTTTTAATTTGAACAGAATGGTTCAATTGAAAGGAGAGGAGGGGTTAATACGCGCAAGACACGCATGGAGTCTGAAATTAACTAACGCGTTATTCTCCCCCCTTGTGGATCTCCTCCTCCCCTCCTCCTCCCTCCTCCCTCCTCGCAGCTCTTTTGCTCTTGGGTTTTCTGTCCTCTTTATCCTCGCCTTTTTGTGCACGACTCTTTCGCTCCCTCTCACAGCAGACAAGGGAAACTCCAGTCGAGAGGACAAAAAGAGCGACAAAAACCCAACGAAGCGCGCGGTCATTAGCATCTCCGACGGGGAGTAGCAGATCGCAAACTGACAAGAGATCATGTTTTCCTACTTTTCGTCTTCTTTGGACTGCGTCGCCCCAATCAATACAGGTGCAGCATGTTTCGGAAAGAGCGTCCCTCTCTCGCCGCCGTCTTGCGACAAAACTACGCGCGGAAACGTAGACGGGAAGGCTGCCAAGCGGGGGAACGGGGAGAGCTATACCGAGAGGGAGGATATTGTCGAGAGCGGTGAGTTTGAAGAATATGTCATGGAGATTGTAGGAGTTATGCACGAGGCGGAGGTGAGTGTGTTTTATTCAGATCTTAAAAATGCGCAGTCATTGACATGTCGATCTGAATAGGAACGGACACTCCCGGACCCTTATTACATGCACTCTCAAACAGAGCTCACTTGGCAAATGCGCGAAGCGCTCATCATATGGCTCATTCAAGTTCACTCCGAGTACGATCTTCGCCCTGAAACTCTCTTTCTCAATATCAACATCATGGACCGAATCTGCTCCACGCGGCTCGTCACAAAAGACCAGTATCAACTTTTGGGTATAGCTGCCCTCTGGGTGGCAGCCAAATACGAAGAAAACCACGGTCGCGTACCATCCCTGAAGAATCTTTCTTTCATCTGCATGCATCGGTATCGCGAAAAGGACTTTGTTCGGACGGAACGACTCATTCTGAAAACTCTTGAATTCGACCTCAACTATCCCACGTGCGAATCCTTTCTTCGGAGTCACTGCAAGTTCTTGTGCCATGTGGGACCGGAAACGCGCGCAGTGGCCAGATATCTGATGGAGCTGGGTTTAGTGGCTCCCAATGGATTCTTTGTGGGCAAGAGATCTAGCATGATTGCGACGGCGAGCTTGGTATTGGCTGAAATGATTATGGGTAATGGTGGAATGTATCCCTTGGCGCCGAGGAGCCAAAAGGACATTGAAGTTATTGATTGCATCAACGTTTTGGCGCAATGTGCTGGGAAACCTTGTGATGTTATCAGATTCAAGGTAAGATTGTTAATCTCATGCACAAGGACAGCTGGAAACACAATACTAACAATATAAAACCTCACAGTACGCGGAACAACGATACTGCTGTGCCAGTGACATTGTACAGTCTTGGATCCTACGCACTCGCACTGCTTCATTTCAGCCCACCATTCACCCTCCTCCAGGCCTTCTAACACCTCCGAAAGAACCTGTGGCATGCGATTACCACTCTGCATCGGCCACAGCAGCCGTTCGCGTCTGATGGATGCACACGAATGATTTATGAACGATATTTTTCTTTAATTTGAAATGGATGTATATAATTGTGGAAAAAAGCGGAGGCAGACGAGCTCTTTGTACAGTGGATACCCCAACGGAACAGCGGCGACTTCAGCCAAACGTCAAGCATTTGAAGCGGTGAAATTGGCGCAGACCCTAGAACTCGGAATCGAGCCATAACGATTGAACTAGACCATATTACAAGAGAGTTGTAAACGGAAACGATCAAGGAGGATTATACACGATATACAGAGCAAGGGATAGTTACAAAATATTTATTTGGATCGAGGCGGAATTAGAGACTGACCAATAATTGCCAACGACAAAGCGACTATGGTGTGCAGGCGACGAGGAACGTTATTATATTATTTTTCTACTTTTTGTTTTTCAACTTTGTACTATAGAAAATGTGTTCAAAAAAGAAAAAAAGATTGGAAAGGTGTGAGTAGGTGTAAACTACTTAAGGGAGTTATTCTGTTTCTACATCTAAGGATCTTGTAATTTAAAATATCCGGAAAAGCAGGAAGCAGAGCTCCGAAAGCACCGCTCCAAGTGGGCTCTTTGAGCCTACCCTTGATGATAGAAACGAGCAAATGATCGCAAATCATCCTAGTAAAGCACGTTTGTCGCGCATGCTAGCTGCTCGTTGCTTTTCTAAATCGCCGTCACATTCCGCTCTTACGAACAATACCAGGGCGTACGCACGTTTTCCTTTGCTGAACCATCACCTGTTCCGCTTGCCACCCACCAAAAACGGGATCTACCCTCAGAAAAACATGAAGCAAAGCGATTCCAATCAAATATCCCTAACAACTATGCAATATGTCATTGATAAGGTATTCCCTCTTTGCATCCCATGGCGGAGACGGATGGATTTTTTGACATCATGTATTTTGATTTTTGAAAGATTGGACTGGTAATCGAAATAATATCCGACGATATATATAGACTCAAATCTCGCCAGAGTCTCGCCCTTGAGATCCATACTCCGCTTGTAAAACTGTTCTTATTGTACAGACATCGTTCTGGATATCTTATACCCTATCTGAGTTAAAAAAAAAAACATCCTTGAAGAGTTTTGTACACTGAAAAGCTACGATTTGACACGACATTCACTTCCGACGGATATCTTTGTACAGACAAACCATTTGCGATGGGTTGCGGAAGTTCCAAAAATGCCAAAGGGGCTGTTGTGACGACTGGCGTCACAGTTCCAGCTGCCCATGCCGCAACTACTGTTGGAGCTGCTGATGCTACTAGAGCGGTACCCGTCGGCAAGGGTAAGACGCCAGCTACCGGAGTTCAGCAAGCTAGTAAAGAGCAGGTTCCGGCCCCGGTTACTTCAACGACTGCTGTAAAAGTTGCGGAGGCCTCTGCACCGCTTGATGACAAGAAGGGCCTGAGCAATCAAATTGCGAACCAGGTTGCAGCTTCTGGTGATGCCAAAGGCAAAGAGACATCAACCTCCGCCTTGGCTCAGTCTATCAGCGTTGCCATCAGTAAGCAGCTTTCGGCTTCTGAGAACCAATTGGCAAAACCGGACACTGCACCCAAGGATAAGCAGGCTATTCTCAAGCAACTTACTGCCTCTGCGGAGAAGCTCAATAAAAAGGAAAACAGCAAATCTGGCAGCAAGTCTGGCAGCAAAGCATCACTTGCTCCTACCCGCGCTTCCCAAACTATTGCTCAAGCGATCAGCACAGGTATCGCTCAACAACTCTCCGCATCTGCTGGAGAAATCTCCGACAAACCCCAACAAAATACGGTAGCAAAGTCGCTTCAGAATGTTGTAGCAAGCGAACACGCTGGTGTGAAACCCGAGCAGGTCGACGTCAAAAGCATTGAAGTAACGACCGAAATCCACCATGGGGCTGGTGGACAACCGGCTACGGTCCATGCTTCAGTGGTGGCTGTTTCGGACGTTCCGGTTACTAAATCAGCATCTATTAATGCCCTTCAGCAGCATGACAAGGACAAGGCAAAGTCGCATTCGTCGATTGCTCCGGTCAAAAAGGCAGCGTCCGTCAAAAGCCTTAAAGGCGAGGAAGGTGTAGTGAAGAAAAGTCATACAAGCTTGGCGCAAGACGTCAAGAAGAGCCATGCGAGCGTTGCGGAAAAAGAAGATCATTTATCACCTGCTGCCCGCAAAAGTCTTGAACAGCTCAATGCTGAGCTAGCTGAAATGAAAAAGGGCTCCTCAAAGCATAGCGTGCAAACGGGTGCGTCTCAGAGTAGCTTGAAAGGCAACGAAACCGCCAAGAGCAACCAAAACCTCTCAGAAGCGACACATCAAAATGAAGCAAAGAAGTCAACTGAACAGCTTAACGCCGAGCTAAAGAAGAATCCGTCTCAAGCAAGCTTGAAAAAGAGCGACTCTCGTAAAAGCATTACCGTTTTAGTCAAGAAAAACGGATCCAGATCTAGCCTCCTCGCAGAATCCAAGAAAAGCCATGAACATCTCGCCAACGACGAAAAAGAAAAATCAAAGGACGAGCTTTCTCCTGGCGCTAAAAAAAGTCTCGAACAGCTTAACGATCAACTCGCTCTTGAACGCAATTTGTCAAAAGAAAAGGCAGCCAGCGTCCAGCTTGATGGAAGCCAAGTTAAGAAAGAAGTCAAGAAGAGCACCGAAAATCTCAAAAGCAGTCTAAACAACTTGGTGCACCACGAGAAAAAGGAACACCACGTCAACGCCGCTGCGGAACGCAGTTTACATGAATTGAACAAGGAATTGGAACAAGAGAAGCACCAACACAAGAGCAAGGAGCACCTAAACCAGCCTGAGCAGGTCAATGATGATGCGGTCGCTGTTGCCGTTGCACCAGTGGAAGGACACAAACATAGCACAGAGACAGAGTTGAGTGAACATCATCACCGTAGCCTGAAAGACCTTGCAGGGGAGGTCAAAGCAAGCCTCAAGAATCTCGTGGACCAGGAATCCTCATCTGTGGTTGTTGCCCCAGCTGTCGTTCCAGAAACACAGCAACCTCCACTTGAAAAACAAGAAGATCATCACCGCAGCGTTAAAGAGCTTGCCGCGGATGCAAAGCACAGCCTTCAAAACCTTGTTGGCAGCAAGAACAAGCTGAATGAACCTGAAGTAAAGGCTCATGAACCTGTTGCCGTGTCAGAAAACAACGAGACAATCCGCCACCGAAGCGTTCATGAGCTCGCCGCTGATGTGAAGAACAGTGTTCATAACCTTGTTGGCAGCAGAAACAAACTTAACGAATCAGAGGGAAAAGATACCGAACCTGTTGTCCCCGCCGCAAACACTAACAGAATCGGTGGAAGCAAGGACCAGCTAAATGAATCCGCTCCCCTCGTCCCACCTTCAACTTCAACCGTCCCTGATATCCCAAGCAATGCTCTCGACAATTCCGAGCACCACCATCGCAGTATCAAGGAACTTGCCACCGATATCAAGCACAGCGCACAAAACCTTGCCCACAGCCACAGCAAGAGCAAGGAGCCTTTGGTAGAGTCCACCGTTCAGCCCGCGGAGGAACTCAGCCCGATTCACGAAAAAGAGTCACATCACCGGAGTTTGAAAGAACTTGCCAGCAGTGCAAAGCAAAGCCTACAGAACCTTGTTGGAAGCAAGAGTAGGGAACACCTTGCTGAGCATCCTCCTGCGGACCAAGTGGAGCCGCAAGTTCCTACGGCCTCCCGTAATGACCTTACCAGTCAAAACACCATCAATGAGCATCTCAAACAATCCTACCAGCAGCAAGAAGAGTGGGAAAAGAACAGATCCACTCCAGCACTCAACAAGAGCAGCTCAAAACGTAGTTTGAAAGAGGTCGCTTCGGAAACCAAACAAAGTGTCAAGAATCTCCTTCACATCGGCCACAAGGAAGCACAGCCAGAGTCCGTCAGTACTGTTACAACGACCGTTGTCGCCGACGGTGATGTCGGTGTCGTTTCGGTTGTCAGCCCAGAAGAGGTTATCACCGTAGAATCCGGAGAAAACCGCGCCGTCCACATTCCAAAACAAACCCATGAAGAAGATGTCGAATCTGTTGCTCAGCGCAAGAAAGCCGAAAGAAGGGCTTCAAAAACAGCGCAAAAGTCTGAAGCTCCACAAAAGACTGAACAAGGCCCAATTCGAATGATCACATACTCTCCATCCCAACAGAAATTGCAGGATCTCGAAAAGGAAGCGGCGGCAGCGACACCTTCACTTGAAACCCATGTAGAAGTCGATGTTTCCAAGCATTCACCGTTAGAGCCGGAACCACAAGAAAAACACGCAGATCACAAAAAGAGCATCCGTGACCTTGCAAACGATGCAAAGAAATCCATTCAGAACCTCATGCACATCGGCTCTCACCATAAAACGGAGGAACAACAATCTGTCAATGTCACTGGAACTGTGGATGTCACTCCATCTGAAGCGGTGGCTGATCCTGCTGTTCGTCACTCTGCTGAGAATCTAGCCAAAGATGTCAACAAAGAAATTCGTGCATCTGCTCACCAACTAGAGAAAGCGGTTGAAAAGTCTAGTACAGCTGACGTTCATGTCTCTTCTACAGCGTTGAACAAGGCACCCGTTGCTGGGTCGACCAAAAACATTGCCAAGGACGTTGTTGGACACGCTGAAACTCAAGCTGAGACGCAGATCAATGCACAGAACAAGTCGTCCCGTCCGACAAGCCCAAAAGAAAAGACGTCTAGACCGTCCTCTCCTCCCAAGAAGGCTGTGTCACGGCCTTCTAGCCCTCCCAAGGCCACAAGTCCTAAAGGCTCTACAGCTGCCTTGAATAAGAACACCAGTCCAAAAGCTTCAAGCAACGCGCTTCACAAGGCTCCCAGCACGACCGTCAAGAACTCCAAAGGATCAACAGCGGCATTGAACAGTGGACGACCCCGCAGCCCTCCCAGGCGTTCGAACGAGAGTCTCACCAAGAGCCATACCAGTCCCAAAGGATCCTCTCAGTACATTGCCACCAGCGCATCCAAGGGATCGACCGGCTCTCTTGCCCGATCCACCAATGTAAAAGGATCGGCACCTGTACTGGCGCATGCAACAAAGGGATCGACTCAAGTCCTAGCCGCGACCTCTGCCAAGGGATCTACAGTAGCCATTTCCCAGTCGACTCAATCCTTGGTGAAAGGGGCCGCGACACACAAGTCAGCTGCAGCTGTGGCTACGGGCTCTCGTGGAAACTTGACAGGTGCGACTTCGTCACCATCGGTGCGTCAGGATGGACCTGTGGTAATGAGGACGGGTTCGGCTGGGTCTCGGAAGGGAAGGACTGAACATAAATGTGAGTGGTGCTATACCTTTGCTCTGATCGCTTGCCCGTAAACTGATGCATATCCTCAATCTTTTAGCAAACGAACGCCTTCGTAGTGAATCCCCCAGCATGCGGCACATCCTCGCTTGAGGTAGCATGTGCGATGCAGTGGTGTTATAGAGCGCTATTTCGAGTGTGATTGGGAAAGAATTAGCCTGTTTATATTCCGTATATCGGATTGAGCGGTTTCAAACCTTTGTTATTTTTGCGTTTTTCAAACATGAAAAGAATTGCTTAATTGAAATCTTTTTTTTTGGCGTTTATTTTGTTTGCTAATACATACAGTATGTGATGATACATAAAAGGCTAACGTTGGTATCCACTATCTAGCGCTACCAATTGCACTCTGCTCCGCCTCCTGCACTTTCTTCCAATACTTTGCTGTCCGCTTCAAGCCCTCCTCTAGACTAACAATCGGTTTATACCCCAACACATTCTTCGCTTTTGAAATATCCAGGTAACGGTTGTTGGTAATAACCTGTACTCTAAATTTGTTAAATGTTGGATCGATCTTTTTGACAGGGCGAAGGACGGCTACGACAATGTCCACTAGTGAGCCGAGAACAAGTCCAATGGACTTTGGGATGCGCGTTCTAAGGGTATTTCGGTAACCGAGTTCGTTATAGAGAAACTTGGGAATATCCCAAAAGAAAACGGGTGTGTCATTTGTGATATAGAATGCCTTTAGTAGGAAACGCGTGGATGATGAGATACTAGACTAATATATATGCAGCTGGACTAATTCCTTTCAAAATACCTCTCCAGCGACCCCTGGCCGTTGATCCAAGTTCTCCGCCGCCAAAATATGCGCATATGAAACATTGTCAACATATGTCCAATCAAAAAGAGAGGAATTGTCGCCAATCATGAACTTCCAGTTGCCTTTCTTTGCCGCTTCATATAAACCTTTGCTGGCATTGTTGTCACTAGATTGGACAATCACTTAGCTAGCCCAGTTGAATGGGTTGTTGTCAAAAAAGACAGACAATAGACTTACGCAGGTCCAAAAATGCCGGCAGGTCGTAATGATACTGTGAGCAATCCGCCTTTTCCATTTGCCTCGAGAATCAGCCTTTCTGCCGCAGCCTGCCGACCCCGGTGATTAGCATGCGTAACACTCTACTTATATCACAAATTTTGTCCACCTTGGTCTCATTATAGGTATCCATGTGCACCTTACAATACGGATCCTTCTCCGTCCCATTTCTTACGTCTTGGCCATTATATGTCACGCTGGCAGAACTCGTATAGACCAACTTTCTTACTCCACTCTGAACGCACGCGTCAATAACGTTCCGAGTTCCCTCCACGTTAACCTTCCAATACACAGGTGTTCGCATGTTTTCTATCACTGCTGCTGTGTGAATCACAACATTTTTATCCTTGCAAGCGGCTACTACATCGGAAGGTTTTGTAATATCCCCAGTAATAAAGGATTTGACTCGTGGATCCGAAAAGGTCTGCCGAACATCGAAGACGTGTACTTCACTGTCTTTTTGATCGAGTAGCATTTCTACAATCCTTCTGCCTAGGAAACCTCCCCCGCCAACTACCAGATATGCATTCTATAGGGAATAGGTTAAATGTCAGGACCACTGAGGCGCGCCTAGATCACACACCTTTTGGACCATCGTTCTCGTTTCCCATACACTTCCGGCTCACGCAGAAGCCTTTCAGTGAACTATTACTGTGTAGATCTGTGATGACTGGCTTAAACTCTGTAGATTTCAGCCTCGTGCAGTAAATGCTGGCCACAATGCGGAAAGCGTGAAAGCTATGTCAGGTCATCCAAGATCAGCCCACCTAGACTGACTCAGCGATCACGTAACCCTTTTCCGCCCATAACATCACCAAGTATAAAAGGTTCGTATGTTATTACAATTATGACATTGGACATGTAAACAAGAATCTGCTGAGGGATAAGGAAAAAATATCTCAATTTATTCTTGCACCCTCGTCCTTGCACCGATGTTTGGTCGGTGATGTAAAGTCTTGATTGAGAAGAGCGTAATAGCTGTAACCAGAACTATTAAATACGGATTCAAAATATTCTCCGGGTGGGCTTTGTGGGTTCTTGCCCTCGGAAAATATCATATATTTGGGAACTAACCCTGGCTTACTTGCCTCGGAGAAGAGAATTCAACCTTCAAAGCTGTCTATTGCATGTGCACTTCTGGAAAATATCCGCGAATACAAGGACGTATTTTCGGAAAGTAATCCTTGGATCTGCATCTATTTCTGTCCCTGTTGCGGCAATTTATGGAAATCCAAAACCAACTGGATTGGGGATATGGTCGCGAACTAAATACGAACGGAAGAGATTCTGGTAGGCTCGACCCCATTTCCCCATTGGACACTCATAATTCCGAAGTGGTGGGAGAGCTATTTGGCTTCAATTGATGGGATGTCAAATTGCTGCCTGCCACATCCAGAAGAGCGAATACATAACGTATTACAGTGCGCTATCTTCGCCTGTTGTGTAATTTAGCTGTTTCTACACTCTCCAGTCGGACATAACTCTCCCCAGTCTTGTATCTTCCCGCCTATCATCAGGTCATTCATGTCGACAGCTCTACCGGCCCTACCTACAACTACAATGCCAAATTATGTCCCGTCGGGGGCCTTGCCAGCACCGACATGGGGAGGAGTACACATTGTAACGGGAAGCGACATGAACGGCCTATTGAACAGCGGACAACATGCTATGGGAGGGATGGGATTGCTGCATCAGCAACTTGGCGCGGGCGCCGCGGTGCACCCCGTCCATATGATACCAAAGTCGTTCATGGCCATGGATCCAATACTGTTCAATAGTATCAGCCCAGATATGTTATTTGCTCATGGACACCAACCGGTTTTCTCAGCGTACGAATCCCACGAAGTGCAGCACGACAACATGGGCCAAGACCGCTCGGATTCGCCGACGCTGTCATCGAGCTTGAGCGACGAGGCCGGTAATTCGATTTCAGGTGAAGGCGGGGAGGGGGCCCTCGGCATTGATGAGTTATTGGATTTTGGGGATGGTGTGGATCACAGCCACCACATGGGTTATCAAGATAAATCAGAGGATGGGGGAAACAGGGGACATGCAAGCACAGATGCGGGGACTCCTCATACATTAGCGCTTGCGGTTTCATCGGCGCCGCAAATGTTGTCCATGGCAGGACCTTCGGGACCAGGAGCCTTTTACTCTACCATGCCCAACATGCCCAACATCCACATGATGTTACCCGGAACCATCCCCTTTCCAGCCCAATTTGCTTCACCCTATCTTGGCCCACATTACAGCCCCGACTCCACCACCACATCCCCCGCCACCGCCTTTCACTTCTCGCCGGGAAGTGTTCCCGCGTTACCCAAGAAAATAACACCAGCGACCTCTTCACCCGGTCCTCTGGCTTGCCCATATGCAGATTGTGATAAAACCTTTGCAAAACCTTTCGCCCTCCGGGCACACGTCAAATCTCATGGAGCCGAACGGACATACCGCTGCGAACTGTGCGAAGCCAGCTTTCGGAGGAGTCATGATTTGAAGAGACATTTTCGGAGCATACATACAGTTATTAAGCCGTTTGGATGCGAAAGTTGTGGAAAACGGTTCTCCAGAATGGTGAGGGTGCCGCTTCGTAGTTGATATTTCAAATGAATCTGCTATCGCAACATCCGACCAACTCCTTGTTTCCTTCCCTTGTAGGATGCCCTTAAGCGCCACGTCTCTCGACAAGGTAGCCCTTGCTACGTTCGTCTTCCCTAACCCAATAACCCCTCTCAAACAGCCGCTGGATAGTTGATTTGGCCGGAATCCAGTACCTGGCGCGTGCAGCAAAGCGTTGTTCCCTGATTCTATTAGGTGCTCTTCCCTTGTTTGCTCCTTTGTATCTAGATCAGATTCCCACTTTGAAATATAAGTGGCTTTGAGTAAAAATGGCTACGTCCTGTTGTTCAAGGTGTCGGATCTGGACATCAGACCTGTAAATCTACAAGATATCTCATTGATTAGTGGAAAGCTGTCTGAACCTGTTCAGTAATCAACCGAAGCTACACCGTTGCCATCGATGAGCGGTGCATGCTGCCCACCTTACCATGGAACAAGCTTGTTTTGTTCGACTGGATTGTACCAACTAGGTGATGCTCGAGCGCGTCCCTTGGCAGATATGTGCGTTGGCCTGGTACAGTCGTCAAGGGAAAAGTTAGCACTTGCGAGCGCTCACCATATGCACTCCACTCCTAAAGAAATCCGCATTATCTTCCTCATCAGATAGATTATATTTGCACCCTCTTATGCCAAAGTGATTGGCTGATTCTAATCTTAACTTCCGTCTGCTCGACTACTGTACCAATAGTTTCAGCCGGCATTTTGATGCAGAAGCTTTAGTCTGAAGGCTCGTCCTGTATGTGACACGGATGTTCCAATGCGGTGACGCTTCACATACTATGATTCTTTAAGAAACCAACAACATCTTTTTTAGATGCCATGCACAGCTCGTCATTTTTACCATTTCTGTCAGGAACATACAACTAGTATCGAATTTTTCATCGGACAAGTGTTTCTGCTGTGTTCCCGTTATTTGTCCGATGAAATAGTCGATACTAGTTGTACAATAAGACGATCAAAAAAATTACAAGGAGAGTATATTGCAAAGAACCAAAAATAATCATGATACAAAAAGTCAGGTCATCGTCAATCTTTCAAGTGGAAGAGATGCATGAAAAAAGTCTTATTCTCAATATAATCTTCAATCGTGTTGTGACTCGCTAGAAGAGTATGATTTAGCACAAGCCGGATATATCGATTCGTAATAACAGCGGACCTGATGCATCGATGATACGCTCCAAATGTGGCATCACTTCCCACAGCGGAACAAAGAGGGTAAATTCCAATGCGGTATAAATGGGGAACTCGTTAGCCATGACTTCCTTTGGAGCCACGTCTAGGACTTTCTCCATTGTCTAGAAACGAGGAAGTTCAAATCTTCATCGTCAACGTCAATGCCTGGGCCACCTACCTCCAAAAGCTTGGTATAATTGACCTCCTTTGGGTCATTCACCTTTGCAGCGAGAAACAAGCAGACCGCTAAACCCGCAACGAGGTGTTCATATAAAGCTTTCTTTCCACTTTGCACTTGTACGTGGAACTACATACCAGCGACAAGCCTTCGCGTTTCCTTGCTGACAAGGTTCTGCTCATCCACAATTTAACTGTAACTTCATTACCTGCATCGGATAGACGTGGTACAAACCTTCAGAACCAGCTTTTCGAAATATACATATGCGCAAGCAACACTCGAAAGCTCCAAGTCCTATACCTGAGATTAGATGCGAGGACAACCGATAATCCACTCATATGACGTTCCCACCTGCATTTCACCGACTTTCAACAGCCGATCCTTCAATCGTCGAATTTGTGTCAATGTCAAGGTAGAATCTACCGTCGGATGTGTCTCTCTAAAATGCTCATTCAGCTCCTTCTTGATGTCCGATGGTTTGCTGTACTGGATAATAGACCCCTTGGTAACGGCGCGAAGGCTTGGGTTATAAATCGAAAAAGTAATAGCTTCTGATTACTTATATATGTACCATGAAACAAGGGAGCGTAATCACAGTCCGGTGTTTTCCGGTACGAAGCTCGGGGTCGTCCAGGAAGAAAGGATGGTACAAGGAATTCTCCACCGTTTTGGGTCTAAAAAAGACAGTAATCAGCGTAACTCTCTCCATTGATTGACGCTGGTTATGATCTTACTCAAGGCTTAAGGCTGGTTCCAAAAGATGGGCGTAGGATTGGGCGAACTGAACGATTGCGTCAAAATGTAGATTACCGACTATAGGTAGTCTATCTGAACTTACTTTTCTTCGCTTCACTGCGTCCATATTTAAATTAAACCCAATCTTATCACTATATTAACATATCGGCTGCCTAAGTAAGGTGAGGAGCGGAGAGCGACAATAAGGACAATTCTTACAAGTAATGGGGGGCAAACTTTGACGATCGTGTCCGACGTCGTCGTGGTTTAGATTTTGCATCTCTATACGGAATTATTGAGAACACTGACAGTGGCGCACCCTGTATAATTGATATATCAGCTGCAGGTTCCAGTATGAGCAAAAGCTTTGACCCTCACAGTTACGGTTGTGAGCGTCACTCGATGTCCTGACATTGTATTGCAGGGGCTCACGCTTCCAACGTCGGTCAACGAGCCGCGACGAGAGGTACTGTCGCGCTGTCGGTTGAGCACTCTACCAGAGTAGATCTGATATGCTGGAGGCATATAGGATGCTTGTGCTAAACGGCCCAATATGTATGATTAAGCGGATGCAGCCTCAAAGTGAGCCAGCTGGAGAGACGCTCACGTGTATTAGATACGCCAAGGCTTTGCATGGTTTCAGAGAATCCTGTGGAGGCAAAGCTACCTCCTAATGGTACGGGGAACTGTAAAGGAACTTGCTCGACGCTAGGTACTTTCTCTTTGTCGGAACTTGCGTCGAGGCTGATACTGGCTAAAAAGCTTATGGCTGCTTTCTCCTTCTCATTGTACTGCCGTTGCACTGGTGGGGCCTTTTCGTACTGGACAGTATCAACGACATTAGGTGGAATCAGCTCCTCCACTCCAACTCCATTTTGAGACGCCGATTGTCGTGGCTTCTCAACAGCAATATCTGGAACATCTTGAGCAGCAGGAGACACTGGTTTGGAAGATCCAGGCCGGTTGGACTGCGGGGGTTTTGGTTTAGAGTCCTTTCCAAGACTAATGTTCGCTAAAAAACTGAGTGCCGCGGCTCGACGGTTAGCCGACTTTCGCTCAGGCTGCGGAGAGTCTTCCATGCAAAAGTCGAACAGCGTTGTCTTTATCGACTAATTTCCGACTTTTGTTACAATGGAAACCGCTCTTCTCCGAGTCATACGTCTACGTTTGTCAATGTCGAGAGCGGAAAGCCAGTGCAGGAACATCGCAGCCAGGTCGAGCGAGCAGTGGACGTGACTCACCCCGCCTGCACGTGTCGCGTTTACATAAGCAGTAACTTGAGAGCGATCTTGCCAACCAGCCATAGCAACCGCCTGTGGCACGGATGCCAGTTGTGGGCACAGTCATACAAACAGATTCTTGACATTTTGTCAACAAGCAAAATTACACCCCAGTCCCCTTATTGCTTGCAACCATCGTTCATCCTCAACACCTAGTTGATCAACATGTCCAACCTTTTCAGATTCGCGCGGGTTGTTCCACGTTTGACGCCTCGTCTCGTCCAGACTCCCGTCTTCCAACCCGCTCGTCTCACTCCCATCACCCTCGCGACCCGTTTCTACTCGGCTGAGAAGGCTCCATTGACGCCTCAACAGGTCGAGGACAGGGTGCTGCAACTGCTTCGCGATTTCGACAAGGTTGACGCTTCAAAGGTATGTAGTCAGGCGCCTAGTTATAGAAGATTGTGTGCTCATTGCTTTGCGCTAGTTGAACTTGGACGCCCACTTTATCAACGACCTTGGCTTGGACAGTCTTGACCAAGTGGAGATTACGATGGCGGTATGTGTTTCAGTCAATTGGCAAGAACCCATGGCAGTAGTTAATTAAAAAACTACCGTCTTTTAGTTGGAGGATGAGTTCAACATTGAGATTCCAGACCGTGATGCCGAAGAGATTATGACTCCTCGGCAGGCATCTGAAAAGGTAATTTTGTTCATGCATAGATCGCGAATATCTCTATGGATTGTTGATCATCTCACTTCTCCCACGGCAGATTTTCGCAAACAAAAACGCTATGTAGAAGCGTCACAGATAGAGACTGGCTGATCGTGTAAATTCATTTGTTCACAATATATAATGCCCCATGGTGATTGCGAATCGTCTCATTTTTCCAAGTGGCGCCCTATGCATTCGACGAATGACGCAGGCACCAGATTTGCATAAGACGCCGGATGATTGCCCAATATTTCCGCTGCGGAATGTTTTTTATTTCAATGGAGAGAAGGGCATTGGCTTCATAATTGTAGATTCCATTGTTTCAATCAATGGTACAGTTCGCGCGACTGTTTGCGCCCACCCGTCAACCTGCCAGGCTTTTTCTCGCATTTCCTTTCGGACTTGAAGATCCCTAATAGATCTCGTTCAGTATATCGCATACCAACGCTCATTCACCTCGAATGTGTAATACTCACGGATACGCCCACATGTGATGAACCCAGTTCAGTGGTCCAAGCTGGGAGAACCACGCTCCCACTGGCTGCACGAATCTCCGACGAGCGTCCAACCCACGTCGCCTGCGAAATGCCATCGGTGTTAGATAACCTGGTGCCAACCATTGATGAGGTACCTAAGTACCTACCACTCTGTTTCCCATTCAAGCAATCGACCCGGCTAATCTCAGAGAAAGTGGTCAGACCCCTGTTCGACTTTAAACGACAGATGCACTTAATCGCACCTTCAGAAGATACGATCGCAGCTCATATATCCCATCATGTATCTCTGGTGACGATCCCTGCCAAAAGGCAAACTCCAACAGCATCTGATTCTGTCTTGATCGTAGCATAGGCGCCAGTTGTCTCAAGAATGCTTGATACCGCTAAAGGATGGTGAGATTGAATATAATGATGCGATGGACGACCGATACCGCAAGACTTACAACATCTTTCTTCAGCAAGGCTTGGGTTTCAATGTAACCAGGATAGTTATTGTACTCCCATATGTGAACTAACGCAAATTATTAGATTTGACTCCTAATAATCAACAGATAATGAAGGTCATCGTACCAGCCCTGTCGAGTTCCCCAAACTCGGTTGTCCAGCTGCCAAATAACTTCACTTTGAATTCTGGCATGTCCGCTACTCGAGGGTAGTTTTCGTCACTGAAAAGTTGTATAGAGCTCAAAAATAATATCGCGGTAAGTATAACGGATGGCAAAACACGTACAGGAGTTGGATATAGTCCTGCATAGCTTCGGGTTTTACATTGTGGACTAATTCGAGCCAATATAATGAGTACGATTTCGTCTAGCAGCTCGAGACAAGCACTTTATGCGTCAACACGCATCACAGCCACATACTCTGCAATTCATGCACGTATTTTCCTCTGGCCAGGATCTTTGAATAGGTCTGGTTATCGTCAGCCTCATCCCTTTTGGCTTTCTCGCTGCCGTGCAGAATGGAGCTCACGATGGCTTTTGCTTTGCTCGTTTTGGTCGATGGGTGGGAAGGCTCGGGTTTCTCGGGAGTCGTGTCAGAGGGGGTTGAGGATGCTGACAATCCCTGAAAGCTCGACCGGCTAAAGCATCGTGTCTGCCCGTGCAACTGTACGATTTGCTTCGGAAGGCGACGCGACAGATGGCCAACGACACGCATGATAATCAGTTATCTTCAGTGGTTAGTGAGGAAAACGACAAGGTGCTGATCAGATCTATAGATGAAGGGCAAAGATGGAAGGCAACGTCAAAGAGTCTCCCCCACCTGACAGCGTGGCACAAGGAGGCGCGGCGGTCTTTGCTGACGCTGTGAGCTGCAAAGACAACGCTATGAGTTTGCAGGAGGATACAGTGGTCAAAAATCCACGACGAGTATGTCAGGGTTAATATTTATAATAATAATCTATCTTTAAATGCGTTTAATAAATATCCTAAACTATTCTTTAGAATGAGATATTATGATGCTGTTTGAGTATATTGCAGACATGATACTTCTGTAGTGCAGAGTCGCGTAAGCAAATCAGCAATGACTCATCAACCAGCAGCATCATCTTGTCCTGGATGGCTGGACATGTTAAGGTCGGGGAAATGAGCAGTGAAGAGGTCAATCAGGCTAGCATAAAGTCTATAGATAAAGCCTCAATCCACAGGATATGCTCAGGACAAGTTATTCTTGATCTTGCTACCGCCGTAAAAGTAATTCACCAATAAAACAAGAGAGAGACATATGTTTTTTTCGTCCGCACAGCTCTTTTTGCTCACAATTGTTTCCCCGCAATAGGAGTTGGTTGAGAATAGCATAGATGCTGGTGCGACTAGTATTGAAGTTCGTTTGAAGGAGTATGGTTCTGAGTCGGTCGAAGTGATAGGTGCTGATGTTACAAGGTCATGGACGTGATCTACCGTCACTCACGTCTTGACCGTTTTGTAGATAATGGTTTTGGAATATCCCCTCACGACTATTCCACCTTGGGTAGTAATGGCGTTGACATGCAATCGACTTAAATCTCTGCTAACAATGTGCTTCACCCATCCTGCTCAATAGCACTTAAACATTATACATCCAAAATTGCAGAGTTTGACGACATTTACCGCGTCAACTCGTTTGGCTTTCGTGGGGAGGCTCTAAGCTCCCTATGTTCGTTTGCAAAAGTCACCGTGGTGACATGCACCGAAGATCAGGTCCCAGTAGGGACCAAGTTGGAGTACGATTCCCGGGGAAAATTGGTAGCTTCGGCGCCTCTGGCCAGAGCCAAAGGTACAATCTGCGATATTCGCCTCAGTATTATTTGTAACATAGGCTGATTCTTTGGCTCATCAGGTACAACGGTGGCTCTTTCCAATCTCTTTCACTCTCTACCTGTCCGCTTGCATGAGTTCAAGCGCAATCTGAAGCGGGAATATGCAAAATGCCTGGATCTCATTCAGGCCTACGCAATCATTTGCACTGGCATCCGCATATCGTTTAGCAATCAAATCGGAAAAGGGTATGTTGATTTTCTCTTTGCTGCGGAACATGGCTCGTGAAACATCTCTTATATCCTTGTAGAGAGCGGAGTCGCATATTTACCACGCACGGAAATATAACCCTGAGGGATAATATCTCAAACGTTTTTGGCGCAAAATTGAGAGACCAGCTGGTACCGGTTGAAATCAAATTGACTGGCATGGAAGGGGATTCGGAAATACCAACGTAAGGATCAATTAGCTCCCTGAACGGAAACCTTTCGTCTCATCCGCATTTGATGTAGGCTGGTTGTTACGGGTTTCATATCACGGTGAGGACTTGGCGGTAAATGATGCGATTCAGTATTCTCATGTGTCCAAAGCCCAGACCCGCACTATGCACGAAATAGCACAGATCGGCAATACTTCTTCATAAATAAAAGGCCCTGCGATATGCCCAAAGTGAGTAGTTATATTAACTGGATTTATGATGGTTTCTCATTTTTTATTTTTTAGATCGCAAAAGTCGTCAATGAAATTTATGGGGGCTTTGTTACCCACAAATACCCCATTGCAATTCTGAATTTGGAACTTGAAGCAGGTATTTGAGACAACTGGGATCAGCATGCAGCCCAGAATCAGTAAAATCAACTAACAGAGCTTACTTCAGGGCGATATGATGTGAATATCACTCCAGATAAGCGCACTGTGCTTCTTCAGGATGAGCGACAACTTGTCGATGCCTTGAAAGTACGTTCAATTAGAGCGCACCGTACAATAACATGAGTCTCATTGCGCTCTCGCTCTCTAGGAACAGCTCAGAGAGTTCCTCGAGACTTTTCAAGGAACATATGCTACTCAACGGCCCGTCGAACCTAGCTTCGATGGACGATTGTCATCGAAGGAGACATTGTCACAACGGGGCAGCGTAAAATCGTCACCTGTGATTACTCCTCGTCACGTCGCTTCATCCCCCGAGGTTCCTGAAGACATCTTTCATGAACCACTCGCAGCGGATCCGGCTGACATAGAGTATACGCCGTCCGACGCAAGCATTGAGCTGGTTGAAGCGGAGCCGATTCCGCGTACAGAGATGAATGTAGATATCTCTGATGAAGAAGTAGAAAACGCCGGCAGTGCGTGGGGTGCACTACTGAAAGGAAAACGTCGCGCTGAATCTACCAAGAAAGATACAGCCGGCCCCAGAGTAAAAAAGTCCCGAAAGCAAGCTGCAGATGGAACACGGCATCGGGCATTCGCTCTTCGTAAATATCTAGCCGATATCTCTTCCGGCGCGACAATGGCATTCGATCCCGTGCAAATAACGGCACGCATGCGACAACGGCAACGGCAACGTGCGGAACTCAGAAAGAGGCAGATTAGGACAGTCCCTTTAGTTACGGACGAGAATACTGCTGTGGAAGAATTAAATAGGCTGATCAGAAAAGAAGATTTCAAGAGAATGCAAGTCCTTGGTCAGTTCAATCTGGGATTCATCGTTGTGAGGCTAGGAAATGATCTGTTTATCATCGATCAACATGCAAGGTATGCGCTGCTTGCGCGCTGACTTGCGTTCTCGCGATTACTTACTTGCGATTTATCTGGGTTATTCGCTAGCGATGAAAAGTACAACTACGAAAATCTTAAAAGGACAATGAAAATTGAAACGCAAAAGCTACTACAGTGCGTACGAGCCTGGCTATCATGCGGGTTTCATTTCATTGACTTGATTCCAGGCCGATCGCACTCGATCTCACAGCACAACAAGAATTGATAGCTGCTGAGCATGAGGACATTCTGCGGTATCTGTCATCATCGTTGGTATTCGCTGAGAGGCATTTGTTGATGTTGTCGTCTCAGGAACAACGGTTTCCAAATCGCTTTTGACCCAGACGCTCCACCTTCACAACGTGTCACACTCTTGGCATTACCCCAAAGCAAAGGTGTGTCCTTTTCAATCAAGGATCTCGAAGAACTTTTGCATAAACTTGGTGATGGTGCGGACGAAGACGTGAGATGTTCACGTTTGAATACACTCATGGCATCGAAGGCGTGTCGGACGGCTGTGATGATTGGTACAGCATTGGATATGGGTCAGATGAAAAAGGTACTCAAACATAAGCACGTGCTCTTGTTGTTGACTGTAAGCTAAAATGTCTATGTTGCCAAGATTGTTGTACAAATGGGTGAAATGGACCAGCCCTGGGTAATTTCTACGATTGCATCATCTTACATTGCTGGTCTGTAGTTAATAGCATCTCTTTACAGAACTGCCCGCATGGCCGACCCACCATGAGACATTTGGCCGACCTCAAAACAATATCCTCAGAATATTCGCAAAGAGCGGCCTGCTTTGGTGTCGAGGATTAGGTCCTGGTTAATCTTGTGTAACGTTCATTGGCAGCGTAGCCACGTGATTTTGGGCTCGGTTTTTTGCTTTTATGGTACCTTCTCTGTATTTATTTCAATGATTACAATGATTGATTGTACGAGAAGGTAGAGCAGGCCTATTATAGTAGTTTGTTTTGTGTATAGGTTAGAGGAGGGTCGCGGCCGTCGTTCTCGAGCTTAGGATTCAAAAAATAGTTTTTTCCATGGATTCATTTAGAGCGGCATACGCTGATTACATCCCTTTTAGTCTTTACTTGTCTTCCGCCTACATCATTACGATGGAGAAGCTGGTATCAAAATAAGCAAATGTTCTACCAAGCCACTGATCGTCTCAAATGGCCCCGCCTGGGCCAGTGATGGACAGTTATTTGAAAGCCTGCTCAACTGATACATTTATTAGTGGGGAGATTCATATTTTTCGCCGAGTTCCTCCATGAACAGCTTGGGCTCCTATCTAGCGGCGAAGGCTGCTCAATCAAAGCCAGTGACGCCACAACGACAAAGTCCGGCTGAAAATGGCAAAAAGGCAGTCTCACCAACATCTCCAACAAAAGTGACTGCATCATATCCCCCTGCACCCCAACGTGCAGAGTCACTCATTTCAGCGTCCGACGCACTGTCCATTATTACTGGTCCTGCGCCGTCTAGTTTGGGCCGAGGACCCCTCGTTACGTCGCCCACACCAACATCAGGGAATGTGTCACCGAGATTTTCGCCCATGCGAGGACTGTGGGGATCAAGTACACAGAAACCTGTATCTACAAGTGGAGGTCTCCTAGATAATTTTGATTTTGAATTTGATGGTTTGTCGGGCGGAACGAATGATTGGGACGCTGATTTGGAACACGGCGAGGAGCGGGCTAGTCCTGCCGCGGACTGGAAGTTCGGAAAAGGAGGGGCCGGTCGCAATGCTGATGCTGAAATCGTCAGACCTCCTCCTTCTGAGGTAGATACCGACTTTACAGGTTCTGCTCGATATTCATCTCAATTTCTTTCATATGCGTGCAGGTTGCACGAGGCGGTTGGTTGTGGACTCAATTGACGCTAAATTGGAAGAAGGTTTATGGCATTTTGACATATAAGAATGGAAACATGGGTATCATTCACTTATATGAGAACGAAGACGTAAGGCTCTGAACAATATTGTATGACGGTCTCGAACTATTTCTCTAAGCCAGTTGAATTCCAGGACTCTCAACCGTTTCGCATCGTCGAACTCAGCACATGTACCGAGGTTGAGGCCTGTAAAGATGCCAACACTTTCATGACAGGAAGATACGAATTTAGGCTGCGGATGTCGTCTAGGCAGGATGCAGTCTTTGCTGCTGAATCGGGGGTGGATCGATCACAGTGGATAGCGTCACTCAAAATGCTCCTTCCACGCGCACATACTCCGGGTATGCATTCGCCGATGCCGCTGCCGAGTGCCCCTCAATTAGACCAACTTGTTGAAGATAGAATGGGAGAGCAGAGAGAGGCAGATGAAGAGTATTATGAAATACCCAGGAGGACATCTGATACTACGTTTGCACAAGCCGCATTTCATGGCTACGCCAGACGACACAATGCTACTGTTGACTCGGAACAACCAAGTCAGCTCTATAGTCCCACCGGGCAGGATATTCGAACTGAAATCGTCAATGTGAAAGATCTCCTTCTTAAGCTGTTGGACGTCAATACGCGCGCCGACACTTCCACTGATGTCTCAGAGCGTTATATCGAACTGCGATCCGAATTAACAAAATTGTCGCGAACCTTTGAAGAAACGTCGAAGGGCATTGCAACAGCGGTACAGGATTTAAAGCACGCCATGCCTCCAAAACCCAATGAGACCTCCTCAACCACCGAGCTAGAGACGGCTGTCGTAGAGTTAACGGATTCAATGGAAATACGAACAAGCAAAATTGCCAAAATGGTGCACGAATTGTTGCAGAAGGACGATCATGGAGAGCGTATCCAAGCAGGACTAGAAGATTTGAAGACATTGTTAAAAGAAGCTTTGACCCGATTTAGTGGCCAGCATGCGAATGCTTCCTTAGGGCAAAATGGTTCACTAGAAGCATCAATTGCGTCACTGAATGCTACAGTGCATAGCATTGCACAGAGTTTCAGCGAACTACAGCTAACGCTTTCGACACCGTCAGAACAATCCCCACATCTGGCTGAGCACCTGGCGAAGAGTTCGGATGCATTGAACTCCATCTCTGGACGCTTGGAAGGTCTTTATGAGACTCAACATCAGCACAGTGTCGATATGGGCATGTTGATGGGGATGCTAGCAGAATCCAATCAAAAAGCTGCGTTGAAGCAAACCGAAACAATGAGTTTAGTGAGAGATGCTAAGGGTGGTGTCGAAGAGATGAAGGTTATCTTGCAGCAGCATGGATCGACAGTCATTGAGCGAATTGACTCGTGGGCCAAGAATGTGGACAAGACTGGTGCCGGGCAACAGACCGAACTCCAGAGTGTTGTCACAAATATGCGCGAGGAGCTGTCAACTACTCTTCAGCACCTCCGCGAAGAGAAATCTGGCTCTCAAAACGACGCCATTATAGCTAGAATTGATCGTCTCTGTGATGCGCAAGAGAACACAAAACAACTGCTGATAGACAAATTGGACCCAAGTACCACCCAGGAACTACTACGATGTCTGGAAAAGCTGGATAAGCGTACCGAAGTTGACAACGTCCACATCAGGGACTCTCTGCTGACGATTGAGCGGGCCGTAAAGATGCAAAACGAAGGGTATCTCACAAAAAATGATATCCAAAGTATATCCGATACCTTAGAAGACGTCAAAGCCCGTCTGTCATCAGCCCTGTTGCGTCCCCCACCTTCACCAAAACAAACCTCAGGGGACCGACTTGACCGGCCGACAACCAATATGATCACTTCCATCAACGACAAACTTATCCACCTCTCTAAGCTCATTGACCATGTTCAAGAAACACAAACGGCTCGTTTCTATGCAGTTGAGGATAGACTGAAGGCCTTGCCAAGCGCATCGTCCACAGCATCCACCACTGATGAAAGCGCAACGGATGCAATGCTGCAACAGCATAAGCTTACGGATATTCGAAACAGCTTGGAAAGCATTGAAGAAAGACTATCGAGAAGCGGACGGGAAGGCCAAAGTCGACATGACGTCGTCGATGGACGGCTGGACCGAATGTCAGATCAACTTAAACACATGCAGCGAACGCTTACCAAGCTTGTACAAGTGGGTATGCTTGGTGACAACGATTCACCGTCCGTTGATTCAAGACGGTCAGATAACCCAACAGATGGAAACCTAGCATCATCATTAGCGGATCACCGGGGATTGCTGATGCAGCTTCGTCAAGAGTTGATTGACGTGAAGGAGCAGCTCGGAGACGATGTGACGGGGGAGAGAATGAACGACTTGCTCGGCATGTTCAGCATTTCGCAGGATACGCATAACGTCGTTGCAGGGAAAATTGACGCTGTTTTGAATGAAATGGTGACAAAGGATGTGCTTGAGGAACTTAAGAAGCAGATACAAGCGTTAGGCGCTAGTGCTGGGAATGGTGTGGGTGGGGATGTCCGGGAGCTGAAGGAGATGATGAGCGAAATGACATCGCAAATTCAGAATCTTCGGTCTGGAACAGTGGGTGGGGCCCCTCAGCAAACAGAAAGTACTCTGCCAACCATCCTCCGCTTAACCGAATCCATTCACTCCTGCCTCGTGGCCTACCTTCCAATTGATCTTGATACGAAACTCTCAAATATTCAATCCTCTCTCGCCTCCGCTCGCCCTCAGGCATATTGCCCTCCTCCCCAGCCACAGCAGATAACACCTCCTCGCCAGGCAGACCTACGTGATCTCCTCACTTTTCATCAAGATCTTGCTCGGCGCGAGTTGGCCACTACGGAAGCACTCGACTCGATACAGCACTCATTGGCTAGGATGCTAGATTGTTTTGATGCGCATGGCTTGCTTCAGACCAAGGTCACCTTGGCACGGCCAGCCACCGCACCTCAGGTGATGGAAATAACCGAGCTGAAAGAGATAAAGGAAGCCATTTTGAGTTTGCAGCGAGCAGTGTCCAGACCTGACACATCAGAACCAACCAGCAGCAAGGACCTAGAAACCACAAAACTTGACTTGACAAGCAAAATCAATGTATTGAACGAGAGCATTCAACAACTGCAAGTAACGCAAGACACCATCGCAGCGGAGATTGACGCAATGTTGATGCAGCGTACAATGCTTGTGGAACAAATTGGAGGGCTTGAGGCAAAGCGCTATGAACTTGCTGCTGCACCACTGAATAAACTGAACCGAGCCGGTAGTCCGCGGAGACCAAAGAGTCGGCAAAGCATTCCTCTTAGACGGATATCTTGTCCAGTAAGAGGCAGCCTGGATCCAAGTGTAGAGGAAAGAGTGGGAGAAGTGGCGTGAATAAGAATAGACTGATAGGCCTGCTAAAGTGTCCGAAAGCTTTCAGATGCCCATTTCTACATGTATTTGGAGATGTTGCACATGTTTTTCTCTGAGTGGTCAGAAGCTCTACTGTCAAACCTCAATCGGCCGTCTTCACAAGGTGTATGCTTTCATAAATTAAGTATTTCATGCAAGAAAATGTACAAAGCTATCAATCCTATTGCAACTCAAATGTCCGCGTCCGTATCAAAGATATGCTCATAGTTTGCAATGACAATTTCCAGTATGCGTGTCTGTAACTTAATTTCCATCGGATCAGGAGAAGGATCAGGAGAGTCCAGGACAGTTGGGCCCCAGACGATGGAGAGGTTAGCTGCAGTCATCCGATTTTGAGATTCATTGAGGGAGACGCTAAGACAATTTGCAATCAGACATTGAACGCATTGACGGGATGTTGACTGTGCACTCACCGCCATAGGTGTCCGGAGAGTGCCTGTAGCGTTGCGTAATTAGCGTCATGAAGTTGGTTAACCAGTTCGTGGATGTTTATGAGTCGTAGACGATCATCTTCTATTTCTGTGGTTGCATATCAAGTGTTAACTTTTAATGAGCCATCGGCATCGTCTACGTTTGGCACAATTCATCAACTTACTGGCAGCCTCAATTAGTTGTCTGTACATGGCTCTGGGGAACAGCGGATCGGGAAGTTCGCGGAAATACAATTTCAAAGCACTAGTGACGATATGGATATCTGAAGTCCATTCCTCCATGCGTACTGTGTCAGGATCTAATGGATAATATCAATCAGTGGATGCGGACCAACAGGTAGCTAATATGCCCCACCTTTATTCAGTAGCATTCGCAACTTTTGAACTTGCGCAGTCGAACCAGACATTCGATACAGCCCTTGCACGCCCATGCCATATTGTTCCACACAGTCGATACATTTTGTTACAACCGCAGGTACCGGGACCCCATCTCGCTCCATTAGAGCAACAAGATCAATTCCAAAAGAGGGCTTTGATTGAACTATCGAACTAGCCTCAGCAGACTACATTGCGGCCATCATTGTCAGTGGAAGACAGAATGCCTAAACAAGGTCATGCCCTTGGAAGAAGAGACTCACCATGGAATACGGCGTATATTGGTGATCTGATTTCAGCAATTGCTTTGTATTCTGCACATATGCAGCTGCATAGTCTTCAAAATCGCGCTCATTGTTGATGTTCTCCACCATCTTCACTATTCCAGGCTTCTCACTCTCGAGCGGGCTCAGTGTCGTAGCTTCTTTCATTAATGATGACTCCAACTCTTGAGCATATTTGACGAGATGATACTGTAACCCTTGATCGCATTCGTCGTTGGTTTCCTTGAGCAACTGTGAAGTGGCATTATTTAGACGGAGAATGCAAGCTTCATAGGCATATAAGGAACTCACTCGAATGAATCTGGGAAGATGGTTTTGAAAGTATGCACTGCGGATGGTGTTGGTTTGCTGAAGCTGAGTCTTATAAGCCTCGTTTGCTATGGCTGCTTTAACTCGGGCATCATCCTCATTCTTTTGCAGCTACATAGGGAAACCGAGATGTCAGAATATTGACTTCGTTTAGTTGCTAGTGTCTTATTACCTTAGCGGGATTTTGCGATTTCCATCGCTGCATGGGATTGGACAACCCCTTCGATGACAAACTCTTGTTTGACATACTTTTATGAAGGCCACTTCCAGCTCCTCCTACGTAGCGACTGAAGCCATCTCTTTCTAGCTGTTGCTCCCGGTGAAGAATGGCACGTTCCCAATCTTCTGATGTTGCTTCATAACGTGTTTTTGCCTTCCCAGCATTGTCAGCTGAGCCCGGTCGATACTTTGAACATCAGAAGAGAGGAGCCTACCTTCTCCAAAGCCATTTCCGCCTCTTGAACGGTTTTAGAGTGTCGATGCCCAGCCTCCTTTAACTACACAGAAGGCACGTTGGAAGTGAATCTTTCAAAGCCTTGTATGATGATAGTTACCTGCTTCCTACTTCGCTCAGTATTCTTATGTAGCGCCGCAAGCTCTTCAGAAACCTCCGTTATAACCTCGGCAAACTTGACCCTGATCTCACCAACTTGTTCATGAACTTTGGTAAATTGTCCCCATGCGGTACCAAATGATCTATACAGCAAAAGTACGGTCATACAGGAATCCCAAACGAACCGGAATAGGCATAATAATTACCCTTCCTTTCCCTCTGATCGACCCGCTGTAGCACCTTGAGCAAGCTTAATCATGCTCTTCCCGTATTCTTCTTCTATAGTCGCTCGTTTTTTCAGAAATGAGACAGCTTCCTTTGTGCTATGGATGTCCTCTTTGATGCGGTCAAGGAGAAGGTGGAATCCGTTCTAAAGAATTGTACCCGGCATTTTGAATTTGGCATCTTCGCAATTATTTTGACCTCCTAGTCCCGCCGTACACACCTCAAAATCACAAAGCATCTGTATAACGCCGTCCATATTACTTCCTTGAGCTTCTGCGCCACCGTCGTCTGGTGTTCCATGAAATGAGGGATTGTCAAACTCTCGCTGTTCCGAGTCAACATGTGGAAGATCCGGCAGATGAGCTGCAGACATTCGCCGACTTGGGGGGTTAATGTATTCTTAAAAAAAGAATTATGTTAGAAAGTCTCAATAATTCTATATTAATTGGAATGGATCCGTGTCCATTGCCTACAAGAATTTATTCAGTCAACAGCAACTGCTGACTCACCTCTTCCATCTTCTACTGCCGGAGCGGCTCGATCAACATATTCCTCCTCTCTGACGCTCATACGTGAAACTGTCCTCGATGCTGTGTAAGGTCTTGGTCCACGCTTTACAGATCCTAACGATCCGGAACTCGCAGTGGTAGGGGGTGAAATGGGCCGAAGCATCATGGACGGCTGATACAAAATGTAGCAGATTTATTGGAAGAGATTGCCCAAAGCTATCTTCTATGCTACCAGGCTTTGATATATAGGTTCATCACCTCCTGAAGAGATGCGTTGCTGGCAAAAAGCCTGTCAGGTGCCGCAGCTCGGATGGGGCCTACATTGGTGTAGGATGAAACTGTCGAAATGCGCGTCTTGCATAATCGATCATGCGCCACAGCATTCGCGCTCCTAAGCCCTTTGGTAGCTCCTTTTCCTCCTCCGATTTACTTACGATCTATGTTGGAACATGACTGGAGGATTCGACGCTCGCCAGGTAGAAGATTCTGCAAGAGAATATCTAGGTGAGTTGTGGGGATTCTGGCTTTACAAAGTCCTGTGCGCTCATCATTGCACAGAACGGCATAACATTTCCGTCTACCTGGAGGTGATTATTGCGTGATGTTTTCCACTACTTGACAAAGTGTGTATTAAACGAGACTATCAGGACGCGGTATGTCGTCTACTAGATGATCGGCCCGAGAAACCGGCGAAATTTCTTTCAGAATAGTGAGTAGGTAACATGGTTGGCTACAGTGATGGCGGATCTGGCAGCAGCTCTGAGACTTCACGAAAAGTTTCGATAGTGTTCTCCGCGGTACAAATACGCTGCTCCGAGAATATGAGTATGTAAAGGCAACCCCGCAAAATAGACTCTCATTTGTAGATCGGTTTGGTGAAGTTTTAAAAGGAAGGAATGGTAGGTTGATTACGTTCATGATGTTTTCCAAATGTGAGCTAATGCAAAAATCCATGTGCAGCATCATATACGGCGACAGAGTATCATCATCTTGTCGAACTTATATGCCCTGATTTCCCCTACGATGTTATCGCTCGCGCAATGGATATCGCGGAATGTCGCGGAAAGGTTTCAGTGACTTATGATGACAATGGGTTGGCCAAACCAAAGCTGCCAGGTTCAATGTTCATACCCTGCCTGCGAATATGTTTTTCCTACCTCGGTAAGGCAACGATGATACACCGTTCCTCTTGCTATCCAACTGATCACCCCTTCACAGAGTTTTTTGAGCTCTCTCATCATGCCCTTCGTGAAGGATTCGCAAAAGCGTACTCACAGACTTGTAATTCAGAGCTGCAAGCTGGATGCACGGCCCCAGAAGAATCAGGAGATGAAAAGGAGATTACAAAAACAGTATCAGAAACACTGTCGAACGCAATCAATAAATTGCAAACTGATGGGTAAAGCAAGTGCTAACATCCACATTAATGATTTCCCCAAACTGACACCCTCTTTGCGTAACAGATTGTTCATCCCACCCGAACCAGCAATTGAGAGGGCCATACGCGCGGCGTGCAAACACATACACGAGACACCGATGTCATTTCCAGACGTGTACCAGTCGTTCTTGACCGAAATACTCAAGGCAGTAGAAGATCCTAGGACTGCTAGGAGTAGTTACTGACCGCAAAAAGAGAGACTTTCTACTATGAAAGATAGTCCTTCTACTGAACCATCCTATGTATCTAGCTTAATATTACTGCGACTGTCTGCCCATTTGATCCGCGTTTAATATCAAAGCGACAAAAAAATTGATCATGCCATCTAATACGTGCATAAGAAGGGTTTAGAATGAGCATTTGTTATCCTGAAGAATCAAACATACCGTAATCTTTTAATGAAATACGCTCATTCACTCCATGGATCCTGTCCGGATCACCGGGATACATCACCACTGGCTGAAACCTGAAAATATTTGCGGACATTGACTTGTACGCCGTTGAGTCTGTCGCGCCCATAAGCAACGATGGTGCAACTAGTATGTCTGTCGAACTAGAGTTGGTCCCATGGTTGAATGCAAACACATGACGAATTGTGCCCTCCAGTAGCTTATAAGCACGAGAGCGCGGTGAAGAAATAGAACTAGGCTCGGTATTGCGACCACCAAGGCTCAATGAGATGGTCACAGGGGCATCGTCCGAGCCATCACGAGGGTCATCCGCATTCGCAGTCTCATTGACAATTTGTGCGCCAATCGCCTTCGCAATAAATTCCTGTACTCCGCGGATGGATTCTCCGGGCCGTATGCGGACGTTAATGTTAGCCGAGGCGTCCCGAGGGAGCACATTGGCGGCAACGCCTCCATTGAAGGTTGTTGTGGCTGTGAAAACGAAAGTTGGGTCACCAAATCATTGAAGAATGGCGGTAATAAAGCTATTATTACCCCAGGTTGTCCTTGTCATCGCGGCAAATCCCGGAGCCACGGCAGGTGGTAGAAGACCTAGAATGTATTCAAAGATCCGTATATTGCCAAGGATTGTACGCATCAACATCGATGGATGTTCGGGTGCTATGGTTGATAGAAGGTGAGCTACAGGGCCCTCACTGAAAGTTGTAATTGCACGAGTCTTTGCAAGGCGGGCAATCGCGTCCGAAAGAGTATGGATGGCATTCTGTCCAAAAGGCATTGAAGCGTGACCTCCTACACTTCTCGTTCTTTCCGACCAGCATTAGCAAGCTCGCTCTGAGATCCCTGCTCCTATAAGATCATACCTGATGGTGAAGTCTGCAACACCTTTTTCTGCTATTCCAATCCAGGCTATGTATAGAGACAGTGTCAAGGGTCTATTGGATTGCTGAGAATTTTCTTTCGCTCCACACCTATCGGCACATTGATCCCCGGAAACATGCCATGGGAGATTGGTAGGCCTTCATCAATGATAAACTCAAATCGCAATCCTCTTTTCTCCAAGATCTCTGCTATACGCGCTGCACCTGCAAATGTTACACTATATTAACAATTTGCACGACGCACCGTTGGAATTCAGCTTCACGCCACCTTCTTTGCCCGATACTTCCCTAAGACAATCGTACACAACATGTAAGCAGCGATATGCGGATGAGCTGCTCTTGTTTTACTTTACTTACTCATCATGTCCAAAAGCTAAGTAGATAGTTCTTCTGGGTTGATACCGCGCCTTCAGCAGCGCGTCCACGGATTCCAATTGCGCCATCAGCATTCCTTTCATATCTAGAGTGCCGCGGCCTGCATAAGATGTCAGCTCGACACTCTGGTATCGCGTACTGTGATAGCGCGCGCACCATGGATGTATCCATTGTTGATTTCCCCTCCAAAAGGAGGGAAGTCCCAGCGCTCCGGGTCACCTACTGGAACGACATCTTGATGGGCGAGAAAGAGAATTGGCAGATTGCTATCATCTACAGGTTCGGAGCCTTGCCACTTCAGTAGCAGGCTCAACTCATTGACTATGTCCCACTCCAACTTTTCAAGCACCAGCGGAAACTCCTCCTGCAACATAGATCTAAAGCGCAGGAAGGTTCTGCGCTCTTCTTCCGTTGCGTTCAGTTTTGAAACAGTCGGAATCCGAATGGCAGACGCAAAGCGTGCGTGAGCTGCTGTGTGGTTAACATTGGAGACTACCGAGTCGAGCGCAATCGGCGGGGCGAGGGAAGGTGACTGACGCGTGGACAGTGTCGAGGTAGAATAGATCAAGTACCCAACGATGGAGAAGAAGGGTACTATTATGAACGATAGTATCCTTGTAGAACAGCACGATATCCGACTGCTCGCCATCACGTCTGCTGTGTTCCTCTGCCGATGAACGCGTGTGAAAGTTTCGCTTTTCAATCCATGCGACATCCACAGCGGGAGGGTTACATAATGCCTGATCGACATAGAATTTTCAGCAACTGTGCCGCCTGCAGGTAATCCAACAGTCATCTCTTGGCTCAAGACCTGCACATCCTCCAGTATGTGCCAATACTTCTTTTCTTCCCAACTACTTGGCTATACTGTTTTTTAGAGCGACCAGTCTTCATCTAAACTGATCCACTCATCAAGGTCTTCCTATGGTCGTTGACCAGATCCTTTCCTCATAACTAAGACAGTAGAGAATCTACCTTTACCCGTCCAAGTAGTGGGCCAGGTTTTCAAAAACCTAGCAATCATAATATCACCTGGTCTTTAACAATGGTCTTTCCCGTTTCAAACCTAGCAATCATAATATCACCTGGTCGAACCTTGACAATGGTCTTTCCGGAGTTAAAGACCATTGTGAAGGTTCGACCAGGCGATATTACGATTGTTAGGCTTGAAAAGCTGGCATGCTGCTGGAATCCTCTCTACGGCTGGCAGAAGGGACAATCTCTGTGGACGTGCCAAAACTGCAATTCAGAGGTCGCTCATCCTTTGTGTGTGCAATATATTTAGTCTGATGCGATACTGCTCGACACAGTCTTCACAGTTTACCCATTTTGACAGTTGAGGCAAGCCACGCACGTGAACACTGCACGTGCGCCACAGCCTTTGGATTGGCTGCAGGCCTCTCCTTTCAAAAATCCTCGTTGGACAGCAACGCGCAGCTCTCCTTTCAACTAGGTTACCATTCGGGAATTTTTTGGTCTGTGGGATTGAGTGCAATTTGGCATCGTCTGGTTGAAGGGGCGACGAAAAGATTGGGAAAGAGGACAAAACGAATTGGAACTACGGTCATAACTTTGTGAACCACAGTCACTCGTAGCCAAATACCCATATTTCCCCACACAACGCATCACAAGTCACAATGGCAACAACAGCCGCCTCCCTATCCGCTACAGACGACTCCTTCCAAAATGGCGCTCCACACCCGTCTAATCACAACCCAATAGCAGAGTCAGACACACCACGCACTTCATCTCCCGAACCCGATCAGGTCTCTGACGACGAGTCCAGTTCATTCAAAACAATCTTTGACGATCCGAAGAACTTCAATGCAAAGCATCCTCTCCAAAACAGATGGACAATGTGGTTCGATAATCCTGGCAAGAGGACGAACCAGCATAACTGGTCGAATAATTTGAAGAATTTGATCACAGTCGATACCGTTGAAGATTTTTGGGGGTGAGCGTCAGCTATTCTTGAACGGCGGTATTTAGCCGATTCACTCTAATCTTGTTGACTGTTAGTGTCTACAACAATGTCGTCAAGGCCTCGCAACTGACTCACGGCTCAAATTATCACATATTCAAAGAAGGCGTTCAACCCATGTGGGAAGACCCTCACAATGCAAACGGCGGGAAGTGGGTAGTGCAATTACCAAAGAGTAAGCGCAGCGAGTTGGATCAAATGTGGCTGTTTTCGGTAAGTCCTTCTATCTCGCTGTAATCTGGCGAATGGAGCTTAGTCGCGCGAAGGATGTGATGCCATGCTTGTCCAACTGCTGTCGGAACATCTAATGTCGAAAAAATGGCGGCATATTAATGCCTTGACGCATGATGGAGGAGTTATGAAGTGCGTGATCCTCGAATGTGTAAATGGTGGACTGATCATATATTCTCCCCCGCTTTTTATGCAGGTCCTAGCAGCCATAGGGGAAACGTTCCCTGATAGCGACGAAATATGCGGCATTGTCGTATCTATTCGCAAACAACAGGACCGCCTTTCACTCTGGACGAAATCCGCTCTTGACGAAGACAAATGCAGAGCCTCTGGTCAACATTGGAAGGGAGTCTTGGGTTTGGGAGATGGCGAGAAGATTGGATATCAAGCACATTCGGATGCATTGAGAAAAAATTCCAGGTGAGTCAACAGACCAATGTTCGATACAACGAGATCGCAAGACATGTGCTAATAGCTTTTCCCACAGCTTCTCGAACCAGGACATGTATACAGTATAAAGCGATAGCTGGGATATACTCAGGTTACCGCGTCCAGATTTTCATCTTCTTGTACCGCGACCTGTATCCATGAACCAACGATCCATCAAAGATGTAATCTGCCGCTTCACTGTTGGCATTTGCTTCCCTTTCTATTTTCTTCGTCCTCTGCGAGGGGTTTTGTCATGGGTGAATGGTTGCAAATGTTGGCTGAGAGAAACACGTAGCTTATTTTATTGGGCTGATGGGGGTAGGTGGGCACTTGAGGGATGGGGGTAGTATGCGTGGCACTTTCTTTTACTTTCTTTTTTTATTCGTTGCGCTGTGTGGGATATAGCATTGTGTGTACGTTATTTCTTGTATGAGAACAGAAAAATCTCTCATGATTGTGCTGACATAATTGACTTTTAATATTTGCGGCGTCAAAGCGCGAGCCTTCTCGTCGTGTTCATTGCACCTACGAAAATCAACGTGCCCTGTGTGTGCACCGTCAAGACAATGGCCTCTATTCGCGCGACGGTGCGCACCTTTTTTTCCCCTGTCTTGTCCCTATATAGCACCCTACGGAACCTCACCCTTACCTATGGCCCTGCCTGGCTTGTCGTCTCCCAGATCCACTCCTGGATCCATTTTCTCCTCCTCTACCTGTACCTCCACACTACAAACACCGACGTAGTCTCTCTAGTGCAGTACTACAACTTCGGACCCGAAATGGAACGCGTTGCCGCGACTAGCGGGCATTTCGCGCTGGCTGTACTGGGAAATCGGGTACTCAGTCCAGTGAGGCTTGTACTGAATTTGTTGATCATGCCCTTTGTGGCGCCAAAGATGAATGAACTTTTGGGACGATGGAGAGTATGGGTGAAGCGGCGGTGGGGGAGTCGCAAAAAAGTAGAGGTGTGAGAGTCGTCAATAGAGTACATATTAGCGTCGTTGCTTGTCGGTTGCTATGTCCGGTTGCTATGACCGAAAGCATGTCAAATCACCTCATCCAATGGAACGGCCTGCAACTCATTCGATTTTGGTTGCGCAATCATTAAATCCAAATATGGACATATCAGCACGTGCTCCAGATGGAGATCTTTTTTGATGTCGTTGGGTTCTTGGGGCGAGGCTTCCCAAAAAAAAATATACAAAAATACCCACGGTCGTGGTTATTCCCCAGTTTACATTTGCAAGTACATCACAGAAAACGACAAGATGACCTCGCCTTCAAAGACCGTGTCGAAGTCGACTGCACCAAAGGTTCTCAAGCCATTCAACAATGGAGAAATCAAGATATTGTTGTTGGAAGGTGTGTATGTGGATGCCACATGTTTCTGGTGTAGTGGTGCAGTCGTTGATGTATGCGACTTTAGGTGTGAACAAGACGGGTATCAACATTTTGCAAAATGCTGGCTATCAGGTCGAAACGCATGCGAAAGCACTTTCGCCTGAAGTTTTGAAAGAGAAAATCCGAGACGTTCACGCCATTGGTATTCGGTAGGCGCTTGTGACGTGATATGCATACCCTCCTGCGTGAAAAGAGAAGGCTAATATGTATGCACCTCAGTTCCAAAACCCAACTGACAGCCGAAATTCTTGGTGAAGCGAAGAAGCTGCTTGCTATTGGCTGTTTCTGTATTGGCACCAACCAAGTCGACCTCGACTACGCCGCCGCCCACGGTATCGCCGTGTTCAACTCTCCCTTTTCCAATTCACGCAGTGTAGCTGAGCTCATGATTGCCGAGATAATTGCTCTCTCCCGACAATTGGGAGACAGAAACAAGGAGCTTCACAACGGGGTTTGGAACAAGACCTCCAAGAACTGCAATGAGATTCGGGGCAAGACGTTGGGTATTGTAGGATATGGACATATTGGTGCACAGTTGTCGGTTTTGGCTGATGCCATGGGCATGTCGGTCATATTCTACGATGTGCTACAAATCATGCCTCTGGGTACAGCCCGTCCAGTGCCAACACTAGACGATCTGCTCTCAACGGCCGACTATGTCTCGCTTCACGTCCCCGAAACCGATGACACCAAGAACATGATCGGTGCTCGCGAATTGAGTCTGATGAAGCCGGGATCTTACCTCCTTCAAGCGTCCCGTGGAACCGTTGTGGATATCCCTGCTTTGGCAACTGCTCTTCGTAACGGTCATTTAGGCGGTGCTGCTGTGGACGTGTACCCCGTCGAACCCTTTGCCAACGGTCCAAACTTTGAAAGCGAGTTGAAGGGCTGTCCCAACACGATTTTATCCCCTCATATTGGTGGGTCAACTGAGGAGGCACAATCCTCCATTGGTGTCGAGGTTGGATCAGCATTGGTGCGGTACATCAACAACGGAACAACACTGGGAGCCGTCAACTTCCCCGAGTGCGATGTAAGACAACCAGCTGCAGAGAGTAAGACGGTTCGTGTTTTGAATGTTCACCACAATGTCCCTGGTGTCCTTAAGGTACGAGATACTCCACGCATTCGAATGGACCATGTATCCCCATCATGCTAACTTGAGTTACTTGAAAAGCAAATCAACAAAATCCTATCTGAGTTCAACATCGAAAAGCAAATCTGCGATTCCCGCGGTCCGATTGCGTACCTTATGGCTGATCTCAATGTTGAAGATGAAAAGGATTACCACAGAATTTATGAACGGATTGAGACCATTTCCCAGAACATCAGAACGAGATTGCTGTACTAGTCTCAATTGATGACCTTTTTTTTTCTTGTGTATTTTATTGTGATAGATGTTCGTTGTATTCTCGTGGATGATGGGTTTGATAAATAAAGACCTTTGAACTAGATTTCTGTCCAGCTCTGATAAGAAAATTGTGGCAGGCACACCTATGTAAAGCTCATCTACATTACACCCCATGTCAGCCGCTTTCCCCACGCTCACCCAGCGCAAAGCTTCTCTTCTTTGCCTCGCAGCGCCTCAGCCACTGCCATACTGGTGCTTAAGACCATTACGACAACACCAAAACCTATACAGAGCAGCGGTCCGGCCTTTTTCAACGAAAATGTTGGTCCAGATGAGAGGTAAATGTAGCAGAGGGGTGGAAGGATGTATGCCAAAACGGTAGCCGCAAAACCACCCTGCATCGGCAAAGCTCAGCAGATTCCGAAGCGGCCCTTACACGCCAAACAACAACAAAAAAAAATACTCACAGTAATCTCTAAAACGATACCTAAATCGCACGTCCAAAGCGCCACGCCCATTGCCGAGAGCGTCAATGCGACTGTCGTACCCGCATGAATAGGCAACGATACTGGTTTCTCCTCCTCTCCTTGACCATATATGCAATGCAAAAGCACCTCCCGGCAAACAAAACATTCAAGGGGAAACGTTAGAAACATGTTAATCCCAAAACATAAGCGTGCAAGGGTGATAAGAGGATGTGTGGGTGAAAAGTTGTTGAGAATGTTGCCTAAAAGGGCGGACTTTAGAAGATTTGCATCTTACTGATTGGTAAGTATGCTTCGCACAGTACCTTGCGTCTTGTCGGTGAAGACAAGGTAACCCCCACAGGCAAGCACCAAACAAGCCAAAAGCGACAATCTGAAAATGTCGCAAAAGTAAGGTCCGCAAATCGGAGATACTGACAAAGGAAAGATGACATGTACCCGGTTGACAAGTGCGTGACAACCGCAAAGCGGTCCATGGTTGGTTTCCGTAAGGAGCCATAAATGAGAAAGGTGTTGTGATGACAGACAAATGCTTTAAACCGAGCCAAAAAAGGTAAGGTCAGATTTACGCATACCACACTAGAATCAAAAAAAAAAAAAATCAACGCACCAAAACTGATCACGCCAATGGCCTGGAACACCCCACCTCCGACCCAGCTCACATCACCTCCTTGCCGCCCTTCCCATGCCCCAGCCCCCACCACCGCCAAAACAATAAATACAATCGCGCCTAGCGAGACGGCACTCGTTTTCGCTAAAGCTGATATGTCGCGGTAAAGGGAGAGGGGGAGAGACACAAAGAGCGTTGTGAGGGTGATCATGGCACGGCGGGAGGTAAGTACGCTGTAGAGAGGGGTTTTGGAGGGAAGTTGAGAGAGGACGACGGGAAGTGTGTCACCGACGATAATGGCGTAGGCTTGAGTTGCATGAATTTGTGAGTGTCAGTGGCGGAGAGTGGGGAATGGCAGGCTACGTACCACACATTGCTAAGAACCGAGAGAGAGAAGTCACGTTTATTGGATGTGAACCAAGCGATTTGCACGCAAAAAAAAGGAAACTCACCACCATAAGCAAACACAAACTGAAACACCGAAACCGCAATAAATCCCCATCGCCCAAAACACCTCTTGACTAGCTCCTGATACGATCTCGTTCCCGCCAGTTTCCCATCCACAATGAGGAGGTTCACCGTCCAGTCTATAGTTCAATATCTTAGCTACGTTTGCGCTGAGGTAGGAGCACTGTTGGATGGTGGTTTTACCTACAACAAACGTCAATGCAAATAGTAGCAGAACGCCGGTTGCGAATCCGGATTCGGCGAATGCGTAAGGGAGACCTAATGCGTCATGCTCAGTCATAAGATCACACCAACGACGATGAACCTCAACGGTTGCTGATTCTTCTTCTTACCAATAATTCCTGTGGGACAACGTAAGGGTATAGGATCAGCCCTTGTGCGCATTGCAACCGCCTTTCCCACCAACCCACCACTTTCACTCACCAGCTCCAATGATGGAATTCGTGAAATTAAAGGTTGCATCCCAAACTCCACTCGCATGCTCCTCAATCCCACCCACATCAACTATTTCACCTTCTTCATCCAGGTCAAACCCCAATAGTTCATGCTCTTCACCTGTAAACGAGGCTTCCTCCCAAATTTCATCAGGTGGAGTCGGAGATTCCAGTGCGACGGGAGTCAGTGGTTCGTCTGCTGGCATGTGCGTAACAATTTGGTTTGTATTTGCCGGGGAATCGTACAAGCACTGGTGCGAGCATGCAAACGATCTAATGATCTCACTCGGCGCTCTGTGGCTAATGCGCAGCAACCGCACCCCGATTCACTGTCGATACTACGCAACTAAGCATGCTGACGTAACACGCTTAAGCTTCTCCGCTCTCCACGCGTTCAGGGCGAGCGTCTTTGGCATTGTTTGCGACTTGCTCGCCAATCTGGCCCAAGAATATAATCACCCATGCGGTCTCTTTCATCCGCATCAAACAATATATAGAACGCATAATGGCGTTGATTTGATAATGGACACGACGGAGTGTCGGAGTTGGTTCCTCGTCTATAAAAGGGCGGCCAGGCTGCCTCGTTCCCCTAAACCACACAAGGTAGGTCTACTGAAAACCAGACAGAAATAGTAAAACAAAAAGCAAGAACTATACGCCGTATCATCTCGCATATTGACGTCGAGTACCCTGCTCTCTGGAGAAGAACATGGGGATAACACACACCTTCAACGCGTTGTGTTGTCCCTGTCGTGTTGTCTCTGGGGACTATTGGTTCGGGTCTCCACCTCACCGTGCGAGTGTGACGGCGTATAATTTTCTTTTTTGTCGGCGTTTTGTTCTCATGTGGCGGGAATGCGCTCTACCCATGCTTTTGATACATGGTGACTTTCAGGTATGCGAACAGCTGGACTCGTTTGGATTCGCGGAACTCTTACTCTGTTCGCCTAATATAACTATTCACACTGGTACGTATCTACATTAATACAACTGAAAGAGATAACTTGGGATGTATATTGATGGCCAGCCGCGGGTACCGGAAACCCCGCTGAACAAACTTGTATTGCCAGCCTAGAAGTGAGTCTCACGTTGGCGCCTGTTGTGAACGGCTAACCATTACAGCTCGCTCGCCTTATTCGGTAAAAAAAAAAGCAGGCTATTGGTAGCCCGCTTCAATACTCTCATAAGCTAACATCACCCATGGCCACTTCCAAAAGCCCAAGGAAAATCGAATATCGCAGGACGCAAAGGCTTGACAGGAGGAGGCACAACGCTTCATTCCACTAGCCGGTGAGGCCACATCACAAAAGAGCAAATCCATAGATAAAAGATCCAACATCAACAGCATTACATACAAAACGCCCATTCACCACCCACGCACCAGTCCCTTTGCCAAAATGTTAGGCAAACTCTGCAGTCGGCAACTCAAACACCGATGTAGCCAGGGTCCTCCATATCTGTTCAGTGACATATGAGGAGTCAAAATCATGCAAGTAAGATGTCATGAACGACGTTACCAACCTCAGAAAAATGCGAAGACAGCCGAATCTTCTCGCTCACAAACTGCTGATACATCAATGAGATGAAAGCTTTTTGCTTGTGATAAAATTGCAGTTCCTGCCACGCGCAATATCGGATGAAATCAATACGCTTTCTTTGAGATTCTACTTCGCGTCGGTCCTGGAAAGCGGGCATCGAAATTAGGATTCAAAAAACGCTTTATATGAACCATCGAGTGAGACACCAACTGTTTCAATTAGTATGGCAAGTCGTTCGGTTTCCTTTGTGCTCCCTTTACTCGTCTGCAGATCTCGAAGTTTTGCTTCGTGTGTTACTATGCGTTTGGTGAGGACGTCGAGCGTAAGGGATACTAATGCGCGTTCCTCGCGATAAAATAGCTCCTGCGAAAGAGTAGCAGGTATTCAGGAGACAGAGCAGTCTTCTTCACAAATGAATTTCATGTACCTGGCATGCTATCAAAAGATCACGATATGTTTTCAAGCTCTCAACGATTCCATCAAAAACCGACTGGGCCTGGTGCGTCGAGGGTTGAGCAATCAGATCCACCACTGCACACGCCACTCCCCAGCACACTCACCTCCTCCTCTGCCACACGACTGATCCTCTGCAGACCCCCCGATATCTGACTATATCCATTATTTATTCGCGGACAGTTGTAACATTCACGGTCTGTGCAGTCGGCCTTTTCAGTCATTTTACTACAATTGGACAATCATGAGGAAATAAGTACAACCACATGCTCAATTAAACCAACCAGACGCTTACTTCAGGATGAGGCTATAACGCATCATATCCAATGCTGTCGCTGTAAGGAAGATAAAGGTCAGCCTCCGTCATTTCCACGTCTGTGTAAGGCTCTCGATATTACCATCTTCACGTCGAGCAATGCGTTCCATCAACGTGGCCATATCTCGAAACTGACAAATTTGAAAGTCGAGATTTCCCTTAAATTCGGTTATCCGCTCGGGCAAATCCTCTGGAATGACTGACAAGTCCTCTGTGCTTGGATTTAACGACAGAGACTCTTCGTCGTACACGATTGCGGCTTTTTTCTTGAATGACTGTATATCCTTTTTAAAACAAGTATGATTAATGGTATATTCCTGATCCCTGAACTAGAGCACCCACCATTTCCACAGTTAAGAAAGCAATAACAGCCTCGTCTTCTCTCAATACCGGATGATTGGCAATCATATTGATAAACCGGGATAAACCACGCCGTCGTCGCTCCAAAAATGCCTCGTCCGCTAGATCGCAACCGTCAGTATTCATTAATGAGTAGATGCCAATGTTCTCCACAACTTATATGATTGTTCCTGTTTTAGGCAAAAAACGTACCTCCAACTTTCTTTGGTGGAAGCTGAACACGCGGGGGCAAACGATCATAAGCAAAAAATACATATACGAATGTCAACACAAATAACGTACACTGGGAACTGTAGAAAAGCAATCGATTAGTTTCATAATGAACAAAAATATCATTCGCTTGATATCACTCACTTATTCGAAATGGGTATCGTTTGACCAACACATCAAGAAGCCACAGGAAATCTGAATATCGTCGAAGGACGCTGATTTGACGGTACTGGTCGTTCCTCAAAACAATTAGCATTCCCCCACCTCTTTAGCGTGATGAGTCTTGGACCAACCTGTGAGTGTAATATGTAATTCACATGCTTGAATACCAAGCCACCTTTCTCTGGGGCAATAGTAACCTGTGAGAGGTATGGAAACCACGTTAGTCAAGGAAGGTAGGACCGAGGTGATAGAATTCCTACATTAATTCGTTCCAAATTCAAAAATGACGTATCAGGTTTGGGTGGTGCCTCCGCAGATTCTCCCACCGCAGATGATAATTCTTTGTGTTTCGGTGCCTTCTGATGATGATCTGTTTGTTCTTCCCGGCCAGGGTGCGGGGGATCGCTCGTCGGCCGCCCAACCACAATATCATGACCATTCAATGCCACGTCCAGCTTGGGTATTGTCGCCTGCCATGGGTCTGGCTCGGGTTCAGCTGATCGTGATGCTTCCGTAGGCGATACATAGTCGAGAGATGCAGTACTGGTGTGGTGTGTAAGCGATACGGAGCTGGGTGTTGATAAGAGGGAACGGGTATTATCGAGAAGGGAGGGTTGGCTGAAGAGACTTCGGGGGAGATCTAAGTGACTTGAGGGCAAATCGTTGACGCTAGAGGATGGATCTTTACTGCCAGACTCATGTTCTGAAAGGGAAAGTAGTGATCAGTTAACAAGCCATTCGCTGGAGGACTTGAACGGGAAGTCCACCCGCGTCTTGGACCATGCCAGAAACGGATGGCCCAAAACGCCTATTGGACATCACCGTTCTTTCAAAGTAGACAGATACATACCAGCAAACTCTTCCATGGTGCCTGGGCCATCCCAAGGATTGGAAACAAGGGATGTACGATTAGCGGAAGCTGCCATGAGCGACGCAAAGTCGGGGGCTTGTGCCAGCACTTTTGAGAACGAGTTTATCGAATCGCGATCCTTGCGCTCCCACGCAGCGTCAGTCCCTTCGTCAAAAGTCGCCATAAAGCGTAATCGTGACAGCCGCACACTAAAAACAAAGGGTTTTGTTGAAGGGGCTTTCCTTCAGCTCAACACGTCACGATCAACAACAACGCGGCGGGCAACTAAGCCTCGCGATTACTTGTGCAGTGTGACAACCCATTGCGGACTTTGTGTTATTTTATGATGTTTACGGGAGGGTTTTAACATGGTAAAGGTCGTATATCTCTTTATAAAGTATGTCGGCAATGCACAGCAAACGCTCGCGGAATCTGGCAGAGGAGTCAAGGGATAAAGGCTAGCATCTTCACCTTCCCATGTCGACATCTTGTAGAGCGCAACATGCATACGAACGATGCTAGATGGGTAGTAAGATGGCAGCAATCTACAAAGGCTCTACTCGCGCAAACAGTCTACAAGCGCAAGTTGTGAGGGTACCAAATAACATCAATGCTTTGTTTTTACATTTGAAGATCTGGCAGATTCCACTGTAATCACGTGGATGCAGATATCGTAAGCACGACATTTTTCATTCACCGATTCTGTCGCTCCCACTCCTCGACCGCAAACCCCGTTGCAACCACCAAGTCTAACAAATGATGACCATTCGGCAATATTTCTAGTCGCCCTTCTTTGGACCACGAATGTTTGGTACGATGGTAGAAAGCAATGATAGTCTTGGTTGGGTAGCAGACACATTTGAGGTCGCCGCTACATTTAACCATGAGATGTGACGCTTCAGATTGTAAAAAGGCGATACAAAAGGACTCACCCAAGGCCATGCCCCTTCCATGCATAATTCTTTCCATCAAACCCCTTAAAGGAATGCTTTCGCTTTCCCAAAACGCCACCGCCACTTCTCGTCAGTTTGGTGGACAACGCGGGATTGACCGGGTCTTGGATCGTAAAGTCCCATCCCATAGCAGATTTGGTGATGAGAAAGACGGTGGGACCGTGTGATGAGCCGCGGCGCATATTGACATGCCAGGATCCAAAGAAACTATAAGGGTACTGATATGATGTATGAGCAAGTTAACCATATATGTAAGCTGTAAATAATCATGTTGTACCTACGTCGATGTGGTAAGCGACTGATTTCTTATCAGCGGTCAGAATACGGCAGTCTCGAGAGACCCAGCTACGCATCGCAAGACCATTAGCGTTTCTTCACAGCTTTACGTGCACACACAGACAGACCTACCCATCCCGATAAATATGGAACTGCGAGTATCAATGTTAATGGACCAGGAACCAAGGTTAACTTGAGTAGGCACTGTGAGCACCCAAAATTCAATAATCACAACCACATACATTTACTGAGCCTCCACCGATGATCATCATTCCCCCGGTAGCAGTTGGCACCTGCACCGGCACACCGGGCCGCGTATAATACACGTTTGTTTGACCCACCAGCTGCTGTGGCTGGGCACACTGTTGCTGTTGTTGTTGTTGCTGCTGCTGCTGCTGCTGCTGCGCAACAGATGAGTCCATCTGCGGGGCCGAGGGCGCAGGTAGTCGTGCATCACGAGATACGGGTTCAACTCCAGGTGGAACGTAGTCATGAGCAGATGGGTATATGCTTGGCCCAGTATTGTCAACAGTGTAGGCTGTTGAATCAAATCCGTACTTGGTATCTGAGGCTGCAGATGAGCGGTTGGGGTTTGCATACGGCGGTGGATTGTCGCTCGACATGTTGATACGATGTTGAAATATGATAAAACTTTTATCGATGGTACTGCAGAGAGAAGGGACGTTGCACGATAGAGTAGGGACAGGGCCTCTTATATCTTTTTCTTGGCGAGAGAGCTCGTCCGTCACGTCACTTTTAAGGGTGCTCGACGTCAGGTAAGTCGTTGTCGAGGGTCAGCCCTAAAGTTTGTGCTTAAGTCATCCGGCTCCAATACTGCGGGATACACAAACTTGGCATTTGGCATAGTTCAAGGCGCAGTAGCTGCATTAGCAGAGTTGGGTATTCACGTTGATATACTCCTTGCTATAGCTGTAGCTGATCATTTTACTCTGACCGTGGTGGTATGCTTACTTGGTTACGGATGAGTAGGCAGCAGTTGTAGCACCTACATTGGCTGGCTGGAACACTTGATTTAAGCAATTTCCAAACACAACCATAAAACATGCCCATTGGAATTCCAATTTTATTAAAAAAGAAAATACAAGCCTTCAAGGACAGCCATTCCCTATTCCGCTTCATCAACCGAACCTTGCATCATACTTGCGTCCCTAACTTGGGACTGCCTCGCAGATGCTGCTCCAACTGATCTACCCGCCAATTTCTTATTCACTTGAATAGCAGTTGCAAATCTCGTCAACATGATGCTGAACACTTCTTTACACCTTGCAATCTCCAAGGGCTCAAAGAGACTGTTTTGAGTGAGATAGCCATCTCGGATCGCCGAGAAATCAAACGCCGTGGCGTCCACCATTGTTTCGGATAGCTTTCTGATCGGGTAGACAAGCGCATAGGCAACGCAAACTGCCACAACAGTCATACCCACTACCGTCCCTGCCACGGCTGCTATCACCGTCTTGCGAGTCTGATTCACCGTGCCAAGATAGTCATCTCTAGGGACAGATACCACTAGAAGCCAATTGAGACCATAGGGGTCGGTTACACGACGGCTGTTGACAAGGATGACACCACTACCGTCTTCCTTGATAAATGTCGATGCTAGATTGTCTGGAATGCTCGCGGCGGAGGGGTATAGACTGCGCATATAGTTTGCGGTCTGTCGAATCAACGATTGTGGGGTCTCGAAGACGGAATACCGGTAGGTGCGGTTTCCGCTTACACCTGCAACACTGGCAGCGATCATTCTGCAGTAGACGGCGTTGTTAGAGTTGGGATCCCTGTAAAGGTCATCAGCATGAGCGTGAAATCAGTGTCGCCGGATACACAGCTGTGATATCAATTCCATTGCACATACCATAAGGAAACCACGGCATTCGGGCTAATTTTGATAGTCTGAAGGAAGGCCTCAATGGTGCTCACAGACATGGCTACCATCGAGTGAGCAAAGGGTTGGACACTCGGATCCGCTTTGCCCGGTGGCAGATCGGGCCTGTCAGAATGCAAATGTTAGATTGCTTTTAATCAAAGGCACAACATCAGAAGCACCTACGTACCATATCCACCACATAATCTGATAATAGAATTCGGTTCCTGCAGGAACAGCGCTCTGCCATTTACCAATACTATTACCACTCGCAAACGACGGTTTTGTAAACTATAATCCCAGAGTTCAAATAAAAGGAAAGTCAAGTCAGTAAATGACTATGGTAAATAACAAAAGACCTGCTTCAGCGCCTCATAAGATAGATGCTTACAGGTGGCCACAAATGTGGTGATTGATAAGCACTCGCTCCAACTAATTGCACGTCGCCATTACTATTGACTCCACCAACTCCACGGCGGTAAAGATTTGTGGTGTTCAATGTCGCATTGAACGTGGTGGAATCTTGAAAAACAAAGATTTTGGATCTGGGCACGGCAATAGCAAGGTACTCCTGTGTGTCTAGCATGAGAGCCACGTTATGGATAAAAGAGTAATTGGCGCCGGAAGCCCATAGCCGTGAGTAGCTAACGTTGGGCTTGATGTCAATTCCAGCTCACTTTTGCGACAAACCCAATACTTTTCAAATATCACTTACACATCCGGATCGCTCATCATTGGGGTGGTATCATTCGCTTGCATTTGGGTAAGGAACATTCGCACCCGTCGATCCATAACGAGAGAATACGTAATGTTTGTACTTATTTGCACGATGGATTGAACGCTTTCGTGAGCTCTTTCTACCGTGCTCGTGCGCAAGATCGAGGTCACTGATCACGGAAAGGCAAATGGAATGTTAGCAACAACGATCTCTACGCTCATGGCCATAACTGACTCAAGTGACTTACTATCATCGATCGTTGTATCGACACAGTTAAACATCAATTTTGAAATTACGGCAGATATGATGGCGGCCACAGCAATCGTAATGCCTAAATGAGCCCATTTGGCGTATCAGGCTCTCTTCCTTGGTCCAACCCAACATAGCAGCTACAGCACATGTACGTACCAATCAAGGGCACTACGAACGGCAGACGAATGAGCCGACGTCTCTTCGATTCTCGTACTTGGCCTTCTTCATCTTCGAACGTTGTTTTTTTCTGCACATTAGACACTCGAGTCGAACCTGCCTCAGCATCATTATGGGCCGGAGTGGAGCTCATGATGGTGCATAAGGGAAATACGGAAGGTTCGACAGATACTTATATAAGTTCTAATAGTCTTTTACTTGAACTTGAGTATCTGAACGAACCTTAGGGCGTTTCATTGGCGTCTCGGCTCTCATTGTCCCAATATTTTCAATGTGATATCCCAACTGCCCGACTTTGCAAACAATCTCAAACTCTAAGCGTGATCTCGACGGGTGCGCGGGTCGCTCGAGATCGGGGGGATATTTGAGGGTTGCATATCATACCCTACGATCCGTATTATGAGACACAGTCAGGGTTATTGGTAAACTTACCGATTTCATCGCTTCCCTTGAAAATCTCCGCGGCATCTAGCCCCATGCATTGATATGTTTTGCTGAGGAGAAGCGGGCGGAGGTCGAATCGATTCATCTGGACAGTCTCCTTGTAAACATCACTCTATGGTCGTTCATTTGAGGGATCACCACCAAGAAGGCTCTCGACCTTGAAATCTCTACCGAATTCTTTCCACTTTATGATTTTAATTCGAACGAACTGTTTCAAGCCGACAAACTGGGTGCTTGATCATCTTCGTTCGCAAACCAAGGCTAAGGGCTGAGCTTAACTTTCAACATCCGCTCGGGTGACCATTGCCCAAGAACTCGGGTTTAGTTGAGAACCATACTTCGTGGGGCCGATACAGAACATTCTGTCTAATATGCCATTGCTTTCACCCTTTGGCGGTAAAAATTCCGCAGATATCTATGTATCCTTTTTGTGTTGTCGACGACATCCATGAATGTTATTTTCAGCGCATAGATGAGATCCGTCCTTGTCAGTAGCGATCCAACCAACGCTGCAAGGTATATGGACTACCAACAGCACTCTCGCCACATCGGTGTGTATTCATCAGCAACCTTGCACAATGTCAGGTTTCCATCACTATTCCATATTGAAGGGGAATGTAATACTGCGATTCAGTAACATGTGTGATGCGAATATACCATAGCCAATCTGATCCCTCCCCATCTAGTCAATGCTTTGTATGACCATGAGCGAACCTCTTTGATCTCTCATACTGCACTGGCCATGCAACCTCAACCTCAAGATCGTCAGCAGCATCCAGAACCCAAGTAGGATGCCTCAAAAATTCTCTAGCCATAAAAATGACATCTCCCTCCCCCTTTTGCAAAACACATTCCGCAAATCTATAATCAACAATACCGCCCACAGGACCAGTCATGATATCCTTCACATTTTGTTTAATATCCCGGGAAAAGGGGACGTTCCAGCCTTGTTCATGGCTTGGTACTTTCTGCCAGGGTACGTTTCCGCCCGAGGAACAATCGATCAAATCTACCCCACGATCACGCAAGTAGGGCACAAGACGGACTGTATCTTGGCCAGTCCATCCACCATCGGCCCAGTCAGTACAGGAGAGGCGTACAAAGAGGGGCTTACTAGCTGGCCAAACGCTGCGTGTGTGCTCGGTAATCTCCAATAAAAGGCGAATACGATTCTCAAAGGACCCGCCGTACTCGTCTGTTCGTTGATTGGAGAGTGGCGAGAGGAAGGAGTTGATGAGGTACCCATGGGCACCATGAATCTCTACAACGTCAAAACCTTTACCGGACCGTTCAGCCAAAGAATCTCGATTGGTCAAAATGCTAGAGATTGTCTCGCCAACCTACCAGCCTTGTCCGCCCGCTTTGCTGCTTCTCCAAATGCCTTAATAACGTTTCGAATGTCCTCTTTTGTCGCCTCTCGCACCTGCGGTCCACCCTCCCATTGCTGAATAGGAGACGGACCAATCACATCATCAGGCCACCCTCCTTCTTCCTTTGGACAAACAACCGTATGCTCCCCATGTGTCCGAAACGGGGAATAACAGCTAGCTTTCCTTCCCGCGTGGGCCAGCTGAAGACCGGCTTTCGTGCCTTGCGTGTGCAGGAAGGCCACAATCTGCGCCATGGGTGCAATATGCTCATCGAGATAGATTCCGGCGTCGTTGGGTGTAATGCGACCGTGTTCTTTGACGGCTGACGCTTCAAAAATAACGAGGCCGGCTCCACGGGTTGCGAATTGGCCTAGATGCGTCATATGCCAGCTGAATGAAATACATGAGGTCGTCAAAAAAAAGCCGTCATAAGATGAGGGGTGCGATAACTTACGTGTTCATAAAACCATCGACTGCACTATACTGACACCTATAAAACCATGATGAACAAATGACAGTGCGATTCCCTTTGCATATAGCGCCGTAAAACGCACATGGGGCTCACAATCACCCTATTCTTCAACTGTACATCTCTAATTTTGATTTGCTTAAACAATAGCGGCACACCGCCAGTGCCTTCTACCGAGCGTTGCAGTGCAATTCCCGTTGGATGAACAGGGATAGCGGATGCATCAAGCGGTTTCAGTGGAACATTAAAGAGTTGATCTGTGGACATTGCTGGATAATCTGTGCTGGAAAACGAAGGAAAAAATGGAAGCGACAAGTAGAACAAAAGCAGTGCCAGGACTATTTATATGGCAAGAAATCTGACGTGATAAGAAATGACGCGACGTTATAAAAAGTGTGTGTAGTGTGTGTGGGGGACCTCCAACAAAAGTCAGCGTAGAAACACATCCAGCTTGGAACACTTGGAAGTGGGCAGCATATAAAAGTCTTTTAGAGCGCCCCACTTTGTCGTAAATCTATAGCGGATATCCAAACGATTGAACAATCGCCCGTGCTTGGACATTGGACAATGGACATCTCAAGCAGTCGTCGTATGTTTGAATGGCGACATGCACCAGTCTCAACAATACAAAGATAAATTTACTCCAAAGTACCATCGTCCGTAATGGAATGGGAACCGTTGCAGTAATTGTGCCTTCTACATTGCTGTGTTGTGAAAGCGGAAAGGTTTTAGATGTTTTATGGCTGCAACTCTATACGTGCATTGCCAACACTGAAAAAAGTACATAACAGTCTAAAACTTCGAAACCAGGAACGCTTCCAGTCTTTGATCAAATCAAATTTCCAAAAAAAAAGCCAAAAACAAACACAACATCTACCCAGTCCCTAACCGTCGTCCAGTCCCCCACCTATGCCGCATGTTCTCGGTAACCGATGGCTGAACGCCCGGGCGCCGTTGCGGTGGTATAGCCACATACCCTTCCGCCCTTCTCCCCTCCCCCTCCCCAACATACTCATCCAAAACCCTCGGAGCAACCAACACCCTCCTCCCACCCCGCTCAGGCACAACTTTTTCCAAATACCAGTACACCCATCCAACAGCGATACCCAACAATTTTGGTATAGGAAAAACATTTCCTTGTAAGACGTCCATGGCAACAAGGACATATGGAAGATACATGGCCTGGAATTGGATACCAAAGAGAAACGAAACGGGTCGGGAACCGTTGGCGGTTGACCAGACGTAAATGAGCGCTAGTAAAAGCGGGTCGACAAGTGAGTACAATTCCAAAAAGTACGCAGCAATCTGTTGAAGAAAAACAGATTAGATCGTGGCCAAAACCAAACATTAAACGGAAAAAAGAAAAACATACGTTGATCACCACAGCAGAAAACCCTAAAAACACTAGAAAATCCGCACGTCGCCCACCAAAGAAGCCCCGTTCAAGATCCGCACTATTCTGACCCAAAAAATACAAGTGCATCAAAAACGAGAACCCGAGGGGCATCCAAAAGAAGGGGGTGAGTGTACGCCATAGTTCGAAAGCGAGGATTTTAGATGGGATGAAGAGGAGGCGGGTTGGATGCACCAGACCGAACGCTGGTAAGAGGGATGTGAGGAGGGTTGCTGTTGTGAGGAAGCGGGTTATGGGTGGGATGGAGGTGTAGTAGGCTTGGAGGTCGGATAGGAGATTGGGTGTTGGGGTTTGAGGGGGCATATTCAAGTTGAATGAATGCAAAAAAGATTGAAAATGCAAAAGCGATGTCAAGGAATGAAAGTGTCCCAAAGCGCAAGTCCTCTGGGTGAAGGTGACGTGACGCGAGTTGATTGGTCGGCCGCCGAGGAAGCACCTCCCTCCTGCTGTCGTTGCTGCGCTTCAGGCAATCCATGCGTTAGAGCGAGAAACGCAGGAGCTCGTTGGTGTTTGGTAGGTGCATTGGGGTTGGACAGGTGGGGTGTCCCGCTAACAAAAGAATGATATATTGTTGACATAAACACTGTTCAGTTTATTATTACAGGAATAACTACTCGTCCGATACTGATTATCCTGATTCAAGCCACATGAGCTTCCCAATATAACACTTGGTTTATGTACCATTCGAGAACTCCGCTAAAGAACTGTCGCATCGGCAACTCCACATCAAAGTTCCTCTCATCTGAGCCTCTTGGATAATTCCAAAATCGGAACCGCCACCCGCCGGCGTCCTCCCACCCAATACCAATTTGACCATGAGAAATGGCATTTCGCAACATAGCACTGAAACTGTTAAGTTGGGGGTCCCACATGTGCACGGTGCCCTCGTACTGGTCGCTGAAACTAATATCAAAACCAGCTTCGATTGGAAGGAGGTCGTTATCAAATCGTGCTGAAAGGATCGGCCAGCGTTGCGCAACCGGGATGCCGTTTGTTCGGAGAAAGTTGTTGTAACGCTCGTAGGGATAGACGAACAATGCGTAAAGGTACGGTGCAATTCGAGCATTGAAATCGCGGGCATCCTCGTTATCCATTGTCATTTCTTGTGTGGCCTCGTACAGCGGTTGCATTTCTTCGTGCAGGGTACGGTGGGGAAGGAACCAGGAAGCTAACTCCTCGGTAGAGGGCTCTGGGGCCGTCATTGGAAAGAGCGATACGGTGAAGTGGGGGGAATGTGGGCTTATTTATGCTTGATATGTGAACTACATTTTGTGTTTTGAATGAAAGCCCTTCACCCTTTCGTTATCCCTTTTACATCCTGCATATCGGAAGCGAAAATTGTGTAAAATGTGCTGAGGCCATCGCGTGCAGCTCCTTTCGCCCTCGCTTGGTCAGCACGCTTTATTTCGTTGGGCGCGGCTCAGAGGTCGGAATTTCGTTGGAGAGGCGTTTTGGATTTGGATTTAGAGGGTGGATCGAATTAAGTACAATGTGGCTTAGGAGGTTCGAACCAGAATTGTCGCTCATTTTCACCTACCCGGCGCCGAAGTCCATATCTTTCAAGACGTTTCTTCCCTCATCTTCATCTTCATCCAAGCGGACGTTTGTATAAAAGGTAGAGCACAAGAGCACTTGCTGTTTTGCAAAGGACGCCATGGATGACAAAATGGGATACCGAATAAAAAGGATGAAGAAGCAATTATTTTTCAATTGTTCCTACTGAGGCGTCAGCATTGCTTGTAGGGGGGCAATAACTTTATGGAAACAGTGTGCTGATGATTCTTTGTGCGTTTATAGGGACGATACGGTATTAAAGAGTGCAAGAATGTCCAAGAGATGAGATGGTTGCGATAGATCATTATCATATAAACGAAAAAAGAATGCTCTATTTCAAATAAATACTATATACATGAAGAATGCCCCAATATACTTAAAGCTACTTTTTCTTCGCCAATGCCCGTTTCCGCTTTTTCACCTCCTTGCCAAATTCATCAGCACCTCCTCGGGTCCTCTCAATCTTGGCAACATCCGAAATCATTTCCCCAGCATTATTGAATTTGCGTTTTCGGCCGTGACGGTCGGTTCCGAATTCGGCGGCACGGCGGTTCTGTTTCTGGAGGACGCCCTTACCGTATCGGATTTCGTCTTCATCTTGAACGGCCCGCTGGAGGCTAGAGAGGTCGCGGAAATCTTCTTCCAGAGCCTAATAAAAAAAATGTTGAGCGATCGATCAAATGATCAAGATATACAAAACGAATATACCTGGAATTCATCCTGGAATCTCATCAATGCCCCCTTTTTCCTTAGATTCGCAGCCAAACGCTTATCTTCACGCGTCATATTCAACCGTATAAAATTCTCTTCTTCAAATCGCTCCCGTTCCGCCCATTTCTCGTCCTGTTTGCTCGCGCCTACTTCGTGAGCCCCGTAACCTGTTCCTTCTGCCGTCATTTCTTCGGGTCGGTCGTCGTACTGGGAGCGGAGATCCCGGAGGAGTCGCGAGCGTGAGGCTTTTTCTTTGGCGGCTTGGGTTAGGCGGCCTGTCTTGGTGCGGCCACCTTGTTCATCATAATGCATGGGTGCCAGCTTTGGAGGTCTGTAGACACCACCAGCTTCATCTTGTCCATCTGTTGTGTCATTGTTGGTTGCAGAGGATACCATCGCAGCAGGGTTGGGTTTGAATGCAAGGGGGTCTTGTAGGGCGGAGACTGGTCCTGTCACGTCTTGTTGATCTTCATGCATGGTAGCAGCCTTGACGAGCTTATCGATTTGGTATTTGAGTTTCTGTTCAAGGGGTTTAATTTTCTCGAGCACGATGCGGAGTTCCACGAGATTGGATATCGCCTCATGGTTTTGTGGAGAGTGGCCGTGGAGTTTGAGGAGAAGGTAAAAAGCGAGGTTGGTGAGATAGCTGAGTATACTGTGGACTTTGACTTCGAGGAGACTGACGCCGTTGGATGTGCGTATGGATCCGTTTTGCACACTGAGACAAAGTTAATACCTACACACCATATGAACCTTGAAATGTACTTACCCGTCAATCGTCACCGCCAGCCTCGCACGCAGTTCAACAACCTTTGCCTTGAAATCACTCAAAAGTGTGACAAACTCTCCAACATCCTTCTTGACTCGTTCCTCAACGTCCGGCGTGGCATGTATCGAAACTCCTACGTATCCAAGCATAAGTAAACAGATATATAACCATGACGATATAGACTGTATGAACCGGTCATGTCAGATACACTCAAAGATGTCGAGTGCACCGGACCGCTATGATTCAATTTATATTCCACGTTTAACCATTTCGCACTCGAATGACGCATGTCATACATGCTCGAGGCAAAAAACTTTGGCGGCCTCTTGCTTCGGCGACCTCTATGTAGGAGATCCGAGGGAAAGAGGACCCGCAACCGTGGGTCTTCTTTTTTCACGCTGTTTGCGACGCCGATAACTCACCTTGCTCTTGGTCTGACCCGCCGCTCAAGTCTTGATCGTTACTGGCATCTTGATCCATCCCGCCTTGGGATCCATCACTGCTGCCTTCCACGTCATTGTCACTAACCGACGAGTCTTGTCCATCGTCACTGTCCGTTCCAGCACCATTCTCTTCAAGGAGGGCATGGTCATTAGCTAGCTCATCCTCAACCCCCACATCACTATATCCATCAGAATCTGATTGAACCGGTGCGTTTTGAGTGGCTGTGGGCTTGCCGTTGGGTTTGGACGTCTTGGTCTGCATCACACAGGCAACCCTCAAGTGACAAAACAGAAAGTCCACTTCCAACGAGACGATCGTTAAAACAAAATAACCACGTGACGTAAATTATAACCATAAACCGCACTACAAGCATTTGAATGTATATTCATGGCAACCCCCAGTCGATGAGTCATCACCTGTTTTTCGGATCCGACTTTTTGACTTTTGAGCTGCTCACCCTCAACGGAATTTAGTTTGTTTGATCCATTTTGTTTTGGAGGCATGTTTTCAGTAGCTGTACGGGGACTTGTCGGTCGTTCTTGTCGTGCTTCTTTGGTGGGCAGTACACTTACGAGTAGATCGTTTGCGGGTAGATGCCACCTTCCAAATGTACGTCCATGTGCAATTGTTTTCTTTGGCGGCAAACATTAACTAAAATATCTTTACAGCGACCCCTTTCCTCAAGTGCCCCCCGTCTCCTACCACGCCACATTTCTTCCGCGTCAACTGCCTTACCCATTGAGTCCCCCTCGACGACATTCTCCATGCAAGAGCCCTCACCAACACGTATCACAACCCTTCCGAATGGACTGAGGATCGCTTCACAGGAGGCACCAGGACATTTTGTTGCTGTGGGTGTTTATGTGGATGCAGGGACGCGGTATGAGACCGATCGAACGAGTGGGTGTAGTCATGTATTGGATCGGTCATCATTCAAGGTGGGTTATCGAGTTTTGTTATTGCGCGGTCAGGATGAGTGCTGACGAGTAAAGATAGAGTACAAAAGATTTCACGACAGAGCAGCTGGTGCAGCAACTCGAGTCTTTGGGCGGGAACGTTGTAGCACACAGCTCACGAGAAGCCATCATGTACCAAGCAGCCGTCTTCAGACATGATTTGGAAAAGATGATGCAGATTTACGGTCAAGTGGTCCGACATCCTCTTCTCCTCCCACAGGAAATGGACGATACACGCAGCACAACGCTCTACGAAATCCAAGATCTGTCCATGCGTCCCGACATGACACTCCCCGAAATCCTACACGCGGTTGCTTTTCGAAATGCAGATGGGACGCCATCGACACTCGGAAGACCTTTATTGTGTCCTATCGAGAATCTGGAAGCCATGACGCCCGAGCTGTTGCGTGAGTACCGATCTACATGGTACACACCGGATCGGATGGTTGTGGCAGGTATTGGAATGGACCACCAAATGCTGGTAGATCTCGCCACACGCGAATTTGGGGATATGGCACCCGCAACCCCCGCCATTACCGCTTTGCAACAACAACAAACCAAACCTGCACATTACTCTGGTGGTATTGAACTTATTGACGCAAAGGACCTCCCACCGTCACCCAACCCCGACGACCGACCTCTCACCCACGTTTATATTGCTTTTGAAGCTCTCTCCATGTCTGATCCTGATATTTACGCTCTAGCAACCCTTACGAGTCTCATGGGCGGGGGTGGATCCTTTTCCGCGGGTGGACCCGGAAAAGGCATGTACACCCGCCTATATACTCAAGTCCTGAACCGGTACCATTGGGTCGAAAGTTGCAACATGATCAATTTCTCGTACCTTGATACAGGGTTATTTGGAATCCAAGCGGCTGTCCCTCCATCGCCTGAAGCGCATGAGCATATTATTCCGATTTTATGTGATCAGTTGTTGAGGATGACGACCGAGATTGGTGCGGAAGAATTATCGCGTGCGAAAAATCAGCTCAAGAGTAGTTTACTCATGAGTTTGGAGAGCAAGATTGTTGAATTGGAGGACGTGGGGAGGCAGGTTATGGTCCACGGAAAACGATTAAGTGTATCAGAAATGTGTAAGCGGATCGAAATGCTCACTGCAGAGGATTTGAAACGGGTTGCAAGACGAGTAGTATTAGGGGATGATACACCCAGTCCACTTGATTTTGGAGATGCGGCTCAAAAACCTTGGAAGCGTACTGGAGATGGGAATGCGACAGTATTGGTTCAAGGACCTATTTTTGAAAAGGATGCGTTTTTGGATATGGAGCAGCATTTGGCGGCTTGGAGGATTGGAAAGAAGAATCAGGGGGGGCGTAAGTGGGGGTTGGGTAGATTCAAGTTGTAATTTTTTCTTTTCTTTTGTTGTTTTTAGCTTGAGCATTATAAATAGAGTTTCATGCATGATCATCTATCATTTCTATCCAGTTTCACGTCGCCGCAGATTAAAACGCCATGAATGCCGGACGATCCTCCAACTCCTCCTCAGTCATATCCCACGGCACCGTAACACTCACACTCGCCTCAACAGTCGTTACTTCATGCAAAAACCCTGGAGGCGTATACACCACATCCCCCGGCCCCAACTCTACCCAATAGGGTTCCGTATCCCTCAATTTCGGAAACCTCTTGACCAACTCCTCACATTCCTCCCCACTCAACTTGTTTTCAAACAATTTCGTAACGTGTCGTATACGGGAAACATGCGCCGGCCCAGCAATCCCATCAAAAAGGTACAACCTATGTGCATCCTCTTTTGGAAACGCCACAAATTTCTTTGTACCTACGAGTTGGATGAGGAGGCCATGGCATTTATCGTAGTGGAGGGGTGTGATGCATCCTGGTGTACTGACCCAGAGTCGTGTGAGGGTCGGGTTGTGTGGTGGGAGAGGGGGGAGGTGCGTGTGGAGATGGGGTGGTACCGGGCCGCGATAGTACACTGGGTTGGGTAATGTTGGACATTTGAATTGGGTTAGGAGGATTGAGAGGGGGATGTGGGTTGTTTGGGTGTACCGGGTGTCGTCTAGAAAATGTTGGTTATCATGGGAAGTCATGACTGTTACGACTCCGTTTTCGTTGTCTATAAGAGACGAGATGTACATTGGATCCTGGCATTTTTGGAGGAGAGGAAAGGATGAGGGTCCAAGATGAATATGCAGCGGACGACGGTTTTGGTACGGTGTGAAATCGGGGGGTAGGCTTGTTGTTGTTGGGGGATTTGTGGGCGTTGGGAGCATTGCGGATGAGGGATTCTTGAACACTTGTTGGGCAGTAGTTTAGATTCCTTGTTGGAGAGCCAAGCCACGGAAGCCACAGTTGGGTAATGTTGTTGATCGCGTTCGTTGTCGTTGTTTGGTTTTTATCTTGCTTTGCTGGTTTTTGGGATTTGAGGTTTGTCCAAAACACAAAAGCATTCGAAATGACCACGACGACGATGACGACGAGGACACTCCACGTTGCGCTCCTCATTTGCGACATTCCTTTACCAAGTACGCCTTTTTCCTAACATGACCTACATTCCGCTCCCGTGTACTCAGACCCTTTTTAGCCATCGTATCCCAATACGGAGACTACAGTACGTCCCCCTTCTCCTAAAAACACCTGCTCACACCAAATACACACCAAATACAAGGAAAAAAACTGACCAAGAAACGTTTTCTAGCCAAACTATTTACAAACCTCCTGACCAAAGCCGCTAAAACCCACTCACCACCCATTGACCTCCACATTGAATCCTTTAATGTACTTGAAGGAGTGTACCCAAACGACCCGAGTGTGTTTAACGGGTATATTTTGACAGGATCCAGTATGTTTTGGTTTTTTCAATGGAGTTTTGGTGCGTGTTCCAAATGACATTTTGTTACTTAGAGTTTTCGGCGTACGATACACTTCCCTGGATATCCCATCTAAAAGACTTTATAAAAACACTGGATGCGCAAACGAATGCCAAAATTATTGGAGTTTGTTTTGGACATCAAGTTATTGTTGAGGCTTTAGGGGGTCGAGGTAAACAACCCAAAAATTGGACATGATTTATCAACAAAACTATAATGTTGTATAAAGTGATCAAGAATCCAGCGGGATGGGAAATCGGATGGACGAATGTAAATGTGAATGATTGTGGTGCGGCGTGTTTGAATACGACCAAACAGTCCATGGTATGTATCGTACTTCTCTTACAAGAAATACAGGAACTGATTTATTAACAACATATTGTACACTTAGAGAATACAGCAAATGCACCAGGTATGTTTCCCCCATACGGCAACAGCATATCCCAATAGTATATGTTTGAAGTCAACACACACGCAAAAACAATAGGACCATGTAACGGTTTTACCATCCCACTTTGAAACCATCATGTCGACACCCAAATGTCCCATCCAAGCAACTATAAGCGGGAATCGGTATCTAACCATTCAGGGACATCCAGAGGTAATAGAAGTTTGAACTGTTAGATTTAAAAACCCTATACGTATATTCATTTCTTTAAATAGTTTACGCCAGGTGTCGTAAAAGAGATTGTAAAGTAAGTATATATGTACTATATCTAGGGTGTGATTTCGTTTTCCTCATGTCTTTGTTCCTTTTTTTCGTAGGGCACGCAAAGCTTCTGGAGTGTTTAGTGAAGAAGTTGCGAATGCAGTACTGGAAAAAGTCGATAATCCTGTGGATGATGATTGGTTTGCAGGCAAGATGATTGGGTTTTTGTGTGGGACGGTCGGGAAGGAGTAGGTGGTTTCTTTTACATCGTATCGTGTGCACTGTATTTTCTTTTTATTTTGTTTTTAGAGGTGAGTGAGGTGATGGATAGTGAGTTTACTTTTGGGGATGCCAAGTCGTCGGTGGACATTGCAGTACATAATAGCCATAATATTCTATACAGTGATATTCTCCCAGAGCAAAGAGTAACTCCTTTACATACAAAAATATATTGGGGAGGATCTCAGAAAACCCTACACATCCTCCTCGGACTCTGACTCTGAGACGTGCACTTCCGACAACTCGGACGTGGGCGATGACGGCTCCAACCCTCCCCTCTGAGTCAACGCATCCACATCCACATCAGAATCACTCGACGAGTACTCTACACGTTGCTTTTTAACAGGTAGATCAGGAGGTTTGGACTGACGGTTGGATTCAGTATGCAAGAGGCGGCGTTTGGTGAATTCGCTTGCTAGAAAGACGTGGGCGGGTTGGATGATGGCTGTGTCGCCGTCTTCGTATTGGACACGCAATTGTCGGCCATCCTAATAAGCACGTGGAAAAATAAATTCTTTTATGCATAAAAGAATGAATAGAAAGATGCAACATGCCTTGTACAGTTTGGACACGATGGCCTTGTAGAATTCGGTAGAGAGTTGGCCTTGGTCGCGGTAGAGAGCGTATACGGCGTCCCCTGAATGAAAGGTTTTGGTGCAAGATGTATAGTCGAGGATTTTTGATGGGGGTACGGTCCATGTTGTGATGGCTGACTTGTCAGTGGGGTCGGGGTCGGGGTCGATGCAGGTGTAGAGCTAAAATGTGCGAAAACGTGAGGACGAAGAGTGCAATGTAGGAAGGGATGAGAGAGAACGTACATTGGTTTTTGGGTCGTAATGGGAGATTTGGACCGTGTATACGACCTCATGGTTGTCATTGCCATTGTTCTCGTCGTCGTCGTCGTCACGAGAAACGGTTACAATCGCTGCAACCATTTGACCCTTACGAAACTCGGCAGCCTTGTTGGGCGCCTTGTTGGGTACCTTGCCCGTATTGGAAGCACTCGTGCGCTCTGCTTTTGCCACCCCTTGTTTCTCTCCCTTGTCGGATTTGCTGGCGGCTCGCTTCTGAGGAAGCACCTGACTAGGTTTTGTTGCTTGGGTAACGAGTGAGCGGCGGCGCTCTCCAGGGGATGTACCTTGTGCGTCTTTCTTTACACCCTTTTTGATCCTGGCCTTGCCACTCTTGGCCAGTATCTCGTCATCCATCCTAGTCTTTGCATCTTTTATGACCGCGTCCACCCTCTCCTTGCCTTCAACTCGCTTCGCGCTACCGCCCTTCTCAGCGCTCTGTTCAACTTTATCAACGTCATGATCATCCTCGACTGATTTATCCTTGCTCTTTGCTCCATTCACACTGGCTCCCGCCTCAATCACAGACTCGGCTGTCTTGTTATCATCGTCTGTCCTCGGAAGCTGTTCATTGAGGGCGACACTTTGTTGTATTGGGCTTTCTACCACTGGTTCCGTTACTGTGTCCTTATTTTGATCGCCATGCATGTAGGCCAGGACCTTGTCATGCAACAAAGCCTCCATATCCTTGTCCTGCCACAGTTGGCGAGTCTCTTGAACAAAATCGACATTGTCCAATATAGTCCTGCAAAAGTGTGTGTAATGATGAGCGAATTGTTGACACGAAGCCGCGACCCAAACGAGAAAATGTGCGGGCACGGGTGTGTTTCCGGAAATACTTTGCAGAAAGAACATACTTTAACTCTGAACCAATCCATGCGTCGAGGAGAGCTTTCTGGCGGTCCTCATTGTGCCCTTGGAGCAAGAGGAGACGGTCCTTTGGGAGCGGAAGGAGATGAGCGATGAGCGAGTGGATGCGGGCGTCCAAGTCCTTGTTTGTGGGAGTGAGGAGGAAGCAGTCCAGTTGCTGTTTGGCAAGGTCTGGATCTACGTCGAGTCCGCTCGTAGCCTCCTTGATGCCGGCCTGCATGTCAAGTGAGCCAAATGCGATATTGTTAAAATAATCTAGAGACAAGGCGATGATGTGTCATTGTCTCACGTGAATCTTACTCGTATGTAAGTATTGGACAAGTTGGTTTCGGGGACAATTGGTGTGAATGTGTATTGAATAGGTGGCATATAAAGTAATAGAGTGATATGTATCATTCGAATAAGAATCGCTTGTCTGGTGGAATATAGTGATACGAGTTTGTATTGCAAATCGTTTGCGATTAGGGCGATATCTTCAATATTACTCTTCCAATTTCAATAGTTGGAATCTAGACATGGCTAGCGCCGCAGACGAATCTGCATCGAGTAGGTTTGCCATACAGATTTCATACCCGAAGTGATTTTGTCAATCAATAGAAACTGGTCGTAGGTGGGAGTGAGAGTGGAGCCGAGGGTATTGGAACTTTGCCGAACAAACCCAACATTGCAATTGAAGCCTCGGCAGAAGCTAGTCAAGTCACAAACGATGAATCCGAAAGCATCAAACCTATCGACGTTGCGGAAACTACTGTTGTTGAAACCCCGCCCTTGCTACTGGCTATGTTGAAGCTACCCAAGTTACCCAAGTGGTTCATGGAACGAATATCCCAGCTGAGGAATATGAACAGAGAATAAGGGAACTGGAAGCCGAATTGGCACATATCAAACAGGAAAGCCAAAAATTGCGACGGTTCACCAAACGTCCAATTCTTTTGTTTGGACAGAACGCTGCAAGTTCATACTGCTGAATTCACTGCACCTGATGACACAGTGCGACTCTACATTTTCAACACCTGGCATCACGACGACCGCCAATACATTGCTGGTATCCTTAACAAGGACCGCTCAGTACAGTACGGCGGTTCGTTGAGCATCTGGAACTATTCGCACCACACCACACAGATATTATTCACACTTCCCATGCACACAAAAGATCGCCTCCCCATATCACATGACAGCATGCGCCTCATTGGATGACTCATTTCGGTTTCACATTTAACATTTATTCCCACGCCCTAGGGTTCCCACACACACACAACGCCACGGACTTTTTGCATTTTTATATTCCCACGCACGGACTCGTACTTTCTCTTACGCAAAAATGTCATCTCCATCTACTGCATCTACTTCATCTGTCGACTTGACGGGCGGTCTATCAGACTATGCAAAGCTATTACGCTCCTTTTCTCAAGACGGTCTAGAACCTATGACACAGACAGACAAGCGCTCCAACAGGGACTCTGGATTTGCGGGCTCTCTCGGCGCAACAGCATCTGCAGCAAGTCTGGATAACTTGATGGAGGAGGAAGAAGAAGAAGAAGAAGAAGAGACAGTCGAGGAACACGATGAGGGTGAGTTGTGGGCTACAGTTTGGCACAAACTCCAAGAGTATTAATCTTGTAGTATAGTCTTTACGGATTACCTTCGGACGCACGGGCGCAAAACGTCACAGCTGTCCATGACCGTCGACGACTTGCTGCGGGAACTCGATTCAACCCTCAAAGTGTCTTCTCCTCTGACCACCCCTACTGCATCCCCATCCCGACCGCGCGCAAAGTCAGGAACCATGCCAATGGCAGGTAGCTCTCTCCCAACTCTCAAGATTCCCACTGGGTTCACCCGCTCGCCTCCCTCGGCTCCGATTTGGCGCCCTCCACAAACCCCTCCTCCTCCGCCCCCAACCGCATCCCTCTCGGCCACTCCTACCGCAAGCTCGTATGGAGGAGCAGGTACAGCATTCCCTTTCCCGAATATGCTACTACCGGAAACCCCCGCGGCCCGCTCAGGCTTTGTCCAGAAACAAGCGCAAAACGTGTTTGGCTCCACTTGGAAGCGCCGCTACTTGGTCCTTGACCGTGGCACACTCTACCTCTTTCGCACAAAAGGCTCTCAACAAACGGAACTAGGCAGCATGCTCCGTATCACGCCCGACACGTGTGTCCGCGTGTCGGAAAATGGGTTATGGGTTCTTGAAATCCTTGGATCAGGCGTCGCTGCCGATTTACTCAAGGACGCCTCCGATAAAGAAAAGGGAACCAAGAAAATGTGGGTTATTAAATGCGATGGCAAAGATGACATGGTGGGATGGCTGGAAGCGGTGCGAGCTGCCATTAAGCAAGTGCCCGTGGCTCCACCGAGTCCGATGGCTACCCCTCCAACATCCCCGAAAGTTAACCGGGCCAAAGGGTCGTCGTCCATGGCCTTGAGCATGATTGGGTAAACAACAAGTTTTCTAATGGGGAATTTTGGGAGCACGGACATTTCAAGTCCTTTTTTACGCATCACGCATAACGCACGCACGCACGAACGAACGATAGACAGAGAAGCCAGTCGACCTTTTTCATCCCCCTATGAACCGGTCTTTGGTCTTTTCTTTTCGCGGCGGCAACGTATCCATACTTGTAAAAACGTATTCATTATTTCTTTTTTTTTGTATATGTTTGAGGAAGGAGAAACTAGATGGAAGACTGTATATAGCAAAAATGTGCATACACGTAAATTACGAATGGAAAATAAACACTGTGTAAATTAATCATTTTTGCCCAGTGCATGTTTTGTTGCAATTGACATTTGGGCAACAAAATAACGTATTCGTGTATTGCCCTAACATGTCACATCACATCTCCAAAACACCAACCATAAAAAATCAGGGAATCATCATAAAAAAAAAACACACACCACTCTATAAAAAAAAACAATAATATATACATTACGAAACACCCCCCAAATGACTCGGCGAATTATGAAACAGACTTTTCCACATGTAGGCTTCCGAAAGCAATAATTCTATATCCTTTTCATCCCATTTCTGGGTAGGTAAGGATTGAAGAAACATGATCATTTCCTGAAACTCCATTTTTTTAATGGCGTCTGAGAATTTCACGAGGAATGCCGCGCAGACGTAGAGGTGGAAATCTGAGAACCCGTCCGGGCCTTCTGCCTAGCATTATCCCACAAAGAAAAAACATGAGCATGCATATGTAGGAAAATGTGAGAAACGTAGAGTGAAATGTACCTGATAGGAATCCCACATCCGAATCGTATTCTTCAAAGATAATTCCCGCATAAGTAAACAATTCATCCATCGGAACGCGAATTGGATAAATTCTACGCCTTGGGATTGGAGATGGGTATATAATCGTGCTGTTCACCAAAAAACAAAAAACATTATAATTCAATTGTAATTTAATGAATTGATATTCGTATTTTACCATCAATCCGATTCGTAAGCTCTTTTAATCGCGCAATTTGACGTTGAATCCCCGGTTGAGCATGCGTATAATTATCCTAGACAACCCAAAAACGAAATTCGAAAAAACCCCCCATTGACTCAACATTAAATTAAAAAGACAAACCTGTATCCCATCCAACAATTTCGTCAAACACCAAAAACAATCCGCTTCAACTTCTGTCAACCATCCCGCTGGAATCGCGTCGACATCCGTTGTTTCCACGTCCCCTTCTAACAACCAAAAAAATTTATATAGAGCAATCAAGGAATCGGGAGGGTGAATACTTACTGACATACGATGAGAGAAACACGTGGAAAAAGGGGGTGACGAGGTCGTTTATGCCTTGGACGTAGCCGCTGGCTGGGTGACGGATGGCCCAGCAATAGAGGACGCGTTCAAGTGCCTATAAAGAGTTCAGAGTAATGTCCCCACGGTAAATGTGAACAAATATGTCTACCTCTTGTATTCTGGGATGTTGGTAGAGAGGGATATTCGCATGCGTTCGTTGGATATCAATATGAATCTACACATACGCGGGGCGTGAGTGAGGGCAGATGTCAGTGTCGCAATTGGTAATGCATACCTGATGATACAAACTCGCATCAATCCCCGCCTTGCCTCTCCCAAATGATTGGGAAACATACTCTTCATACTCTTTTCGCTTTCGAGAGAGTGTTGCGTCGCGGCGGTCTGCACTGGATGGGAGGTATCCCTATCATATGCGTGTGAACATGGAATTGTATGTGGTGTGTGAGAATGTGATGTTACCATCAAGAGTTTCCAGACGGTCGATCGGATTTCATCGGGTACACCCGACCAACTCAATTTTCGTAACTGCTCTACACGATGACAAAAGCAAAACAAATAAATACCATTTAAATAACCTTTGCATCCCCCACACCACAACTTTCTGCAAAACCACTCACCCAAATCAATGACAGGCATATCCAACAAATTCTTAAACTTATTAAACCGTATCGACATTGTATTCAATTTCGCAATATCCGCCATCATAGCCGCCTCATCATTCTTTTTCTCACACTCTGGTTTTGTTGTCGTTGATTTCCGGGAAAGAGGGGACCCAACACCTTCTGTGCTTTTTCGGATTAGATTCATGGCTGCGGCTTTTTCACTTTCGGTTGTTGTAGAGGGGTTAAGTGAGTACCTAAAAAATGCCAATCAGTATCCACATTTGAAGACCCGAAAAGATATTCTATGATTTATGTAGAAAACGTACTTTCCGCCGAGGATACCAGCACCTAAACCGATTTGTGCGTGTGAGAGACTCCCCGGCACAGGAATCGACACTGGCTTGATTCTATCCTTGTCATTTTGAAATATTCATTAACAACACCCTTCCTCACATGCTCATCCTCTCCTATTTTCTTTTACCTTCCAGGTAAATACGCAGTATGAATTCCCCACAAACTTTTCTTTTCTTGAATGCTAAAATCCAAATCCCATTAGTACCTAATTGTCTTGCTTTTTTTCATACCATTCCCAAAAATACGCATCAACACTTCCAAATTACCTCCGTTCAACCTTGTTCCGATCGTCTACAGAACCGACGCGTGGGACCATCGGGCGTATCGACGTAACAATCAATAAACAAAATATTTAAACCAAATGTCGTTCAGCGTATTCCAACAAGTGTTTTTAAAGAGATGTTCATTCAAATGAGTAATGCAAAACTAGTTTTTTGATTCCAACAATGCCCCGTTTGGGCAGCAACCCAACAAAACCCCCCGCGTCAAAAAGGTCGGAGAATGTCCAGGTATGGTTGTATCCATTGTTCCAACCGGGTCTAACCCTTACGGATGTAAACAAAAGCATGATGGGGGATGAATGAGGATATCTTGTTTACAACAGTGTGATTAACATGCAAGTGTTATCTTCTTTTTTGCTGAGATACCAAAAGTATTGCATTGTCCAGATTTCTACAAAAAAACAGTCGGTTATTGTCGTTAATTGAAAATCCATTCATTTGAACAAAGTGTATGACGCCTTATTCATCATCTTGTCCAAAACCCATCCACCAAATCATAGCTTTCAACAGCTTATCGTATGAATATCGCTGCTAGTGTACCATACCCCCTCATCAATATCTTACTTGAAAATCCAAACCATTGACCATTTCTTACATCCAACGAAAAAAAGACACATTCTACATACATGCAGATTCATGAATATATGCAAGGAGATACGCAGACCGTTCCCGCCGCTTCTCAACACTCGTCAACCCCTCCGTTACAGCCGTATCATCAAAACACGTCCAAGAGCTTTTGGTTCTATCATACACATCCGTTACATAATGCCCTGTTTATGAAAAAAACATGAGTATGTTGCCAATGACGTCCAGCTGGAAAAAAAATGAAAAGTATTACTTACCGCTCATGGGCTCGGATCCTAAATGCGATATAATGCTATACAGGGACGATTTAGGCCATGCACCGAGGACGACTATGGTCTATAACCATACCTCTGTAAAAAATATCGTCCGGATCGTTCAAGGGCATTCTCATCTACTTGGAATTAGATGTAATATTACGATTCATGAACTAAGCAACAAAACTTACTCGTATGTACGCTGTTTTTGACAGGCGAGGCATGCAGTAATGCATCACCAGTCGATCTATGGTCTTGTTGTCCCTTTACGCTTAACAGGGCATCCACATCGCTACAAAAAAAATCGTATGAGAGGCGTACAAATCCCACGTTACATGACACACTCACCCATCCCGAAAGCCCTTGTCATCACGTCCATACGCATCTAAAACCCTATAAGCAAAAAAATGACAGAGCCAAAAAACACGACTACCAAAACACCCACCAAACGAAACGCACAACGGAATTTCGACGATATCATTCCGTTTCTGTATTTTCATGTCCTCGACAACACCAAACCGCTTGACATGGACCACCATGACGGGTGGAAGGGTCCTGATTCGGTAAAAGGAGTCTGCAAGCGTTGCGTGACATGTACCGCAGTCGAGTGTCACTTGTTCGTGCTAAACAAACATAAGAACGTGTTCACCATAACATAGATGTATGATCTCCTACCTTGAAAAATTCTTTGATGAGGGTATGCAGGTGGTACTCCCGGCCTTGTTCCAAAAGATCCAAGGGTAGAGTAGCATACGTTTCGGATGAGATGGACGTTTTACCGCATGTTTTACATCTTGTCGTTCTCTACACGTTTGGTTAGTGCATGGTCGTTACGAGAGCAAAACACACCCATCCAAACACACTGACGCTGACTACAGACCTCGGCCAGCCAATAAAACGTTGAATCAACCGGACAAGCAGCAAGTCCAACCCCCATCGCCTCACGTTTCAACTCACTAAACAATTCCAACAGAAATTCTTGTGCATCCTAGCATACGTCATGAATCCCCATTTCGGTATCATACTACTTTGAAAATCCATACCTCTTGATGGTCATGCGCAAATCGAGGAGAAACAGCACCCAAGCGGCGCTTCAAAGCAGCCACACTAACGAGTTTTCTCTCATCTCTCTTACGAAATATTTCGGATAACGCGTAACATATTTGTGTGTCCGGGGTCCTACGGGCTGCGTTGTGGAGTTTGGCTGTACGACACTTTAGCAGATAAAGGGGGAATGGAAGAACAAGGCAAGCTAACCTTTGAACGGCGAGAAATAAAGCATTTGGATCGTTGCGGCCATATAACAAGTCTGTCCCGCGTTCTTTATTCCATCCACTTTAGATGGGGAGCCATCCAAGTTTGTTGCATAGTTGTTTTTTATGCCGTAAAAGTTTGAGGGAGTCCATGTTTTTCGTGTTTCTATTCAATAAAGAATGAGAACGAGTCATGTTGTCGTAAAAGGAAAAAGCTCACCATCTGGGGGAGTGAGTAGGCCGGGCGGACGGAGGGAATAGGTTTCTTGTTTCCGTTTCTATACCCCAAGACAAATTAGTGTGAGCAGTCAGTCAAGTATGTCATAACCTTACATTTATAAACGAGTCCACACGAGATGATAGGGTATTCTTTGGAACAAAACCCGATAGAATAGAGTTTTTCGGTGTTTCGGGATAAAGGTGTGACTCGGCCTTCTTATTGCTTAGAGGACTTGGCTTTTTCGGCGTTACTGGTGGAAAACTCCCATCATGTTTTGGTAATTGGCCCAGAGGAAATGCAGTGGTCTCCTTTGGCGTTTCCAGATACAGGCGTCCCTCGTTCTGATGCTTCCCTAAAGGACTTGACTTTTTCGGTGTCACCGGTGGAAGAGTCCCGTCAAGCTTTGGCAAATATCCCAGTGGATCTTTAACAACATAATTAAATACCACCCTGCACTCGATTACGGCACATTCAAAGTCTCACCAGGCGATTGACTCAACGTCTTACAAAATTTGTAAAACTCTGATTGTGGCAAACCTTCTGGGGTATGTAAACGAACCATTCCATATCGTTTTACATTCAACGTAAACGAATGTTGTCCCGTGAATGGTTTTGGAAAGGTTGGGATGGGAATATTGTACTTTTTTCGGCCAGCAGAGACGAGAAGGGAAGCTTCTTTTCCATCTAATGATAACCGGTTTAGAATATGTGAAATATATGGCGTACTATAGTTTATACCTTTGACAAACCAGACTGTCGCATCCGTCAACTTGATAGGTTTCTTTTGTGAATGGGGTTCCAACGTCAGGTGGCCGTGAAAGAAGGGTCCAAGGCGGTTCTCCTCGTTTTCTTTATGTTCCTGGACAATGTCCATTCTGAACAACCTGAAAAGTCAACCGCCCCCCTCAGACTCGTGGTTTCAATGTCGTTGAACTGAACTATTGGGTTCAAGCATCGAGAGGAAATATCGCAGATCTGGGGCAGTCGGCGAGGAATGCTGATGACACTGCGTCACGCGTTCTTGTCCGATTGCCACGGACACTGAACTAGCAAGTTCCTCAGCACGCTCTGACTTTCTCTTTTTTTCACCAGCTGGTGTGCTCTGAGACGCAAACATGCCGCGTGAGATCATCACCTTGCAGGCTGGACAATGCGGGAACCAGAGTAAGCGTCTACTCTAATATATGCCAAAATTCTAGACTTTTAATCCACTTGTTTTTGCGGTCTTGTAGTCGGGCAAGAGTTTTGGAGTTTACTCTGTCAGGAACATGGGATTAGTCCAGATGGGACGCTTGAGGATTTTGCAACGGAGGGCGGAGACCGAAAGGATGTGTTTTTCTATCAGGTATGTAGATGGCACACGATGCGCGAATTCCAAGTATTAACATGCTTCGTTAGGCCGATGATGAACATTACATTCCGCGCGCCCTCCTAGTCGATTTAGAGCCCAGGGTAACTAAAGATTACCGCATACTCATAAAACAGAAATAGCCACTAACAGGCACAAAAGGTCATCAACAACATTCTCTCCTCACCCTACGCCAACCTCTACAACCCCGAAAACATTTTCCAATCAATAGATGGGGGCGGCGCCGGAAACAATTGGGCTGCTGGGTACGGCCGAGGTGAAAAGATTTATGAGGACATTATTGAAATGATTGATCGGGAAGCAGATGGAAGTGATAGTTTGGAGGTGAACCTTTTCTGTAGCAGTGTCGAAGAAGGCTGGTACTAATGGGTTTATAAAAAGGGCTTTATGCTCCTGCACTCTATTGCTGGTGGAACAGGCTCTGGTCTTGGCTCCTATCTCCTCGAAACCCTCAACGATCGATACCCTAAAAAGTTGATCCAGACATACTCTGTATTCCCTAATAGTCAAGAAACCAGTGACGTTGTCGTACAACCCTACAATTCTATCCTCAGTTTGAAGCGACTGACTCTCAATGCTGATTCTGTGGTATGTGATGTGCATATCTCATTGGACGCAACGGTACCTCTATCTCTAACGCTGGTCTCAGGTTGTGCTTGACAATGCTGCTCTCAACAGAATTGCAGCCGATACACTGCACATTCAGAATCCTACTTTTGCCCAAACCAATCAACTCGTGAGTACTAGCGTATTTTCTGTAAACTAGGGCGACACACACACTGAAAGGACGTATAATAGGTTTCCACGGTCATGAGTGCGAGCACCACAACATTACGATACCCGGGTTACATGAATAATGATCTTGTGGGCATTGTTGCGTCCCTTATCCCAACGCCTCGCTGTCATTACCTGCAGACGAGCTACACACCCTTTACGGGTGAGCAAGTGGACAAGGTATTTTTAATCCTGTGTCGTAGGTGATCGCGGTACTGAACCAAGCAACAGGCAAAGAGTGTTCGAAAAACCACTGTGTTGGATGTGATGCGAAGATTGCTACAGCCGAAAAACAAGATGGTATCTACCAACCCTTCCAAAAAGAGCTGCTATATCTCAATTTTGAATATCATTCAAGGAGATGCGGATCCTACGGAGGTAACCACACTTGATATAGAAGATTTACGACAAGGGGCTCATGATGTATTTGTGTAGGTCCATAAATCCTTGATGAGAATCCGAGAGAGGCGCCTGGCACAATTCATCCCATGGGGACCTGCAAGTATACAGGTGGCGCTGTCACGCAAAAGTCCGTACGTTCCAACCGCGCATCGTGTGTCGGGTCTCATGTTAGCGAATCACACAAGCATTGGTTCGGTACGTCTCTCGTTCTTCAGAACCATTATAGATGGACCATGCTAACGTACCGTACAATAGTTGTTCAAGCGCATATGTGATCAGTATGATCGGTTACGTAAACGAAATGCGTTTTTGGAGCAGTACCGACGGGAAGCCATCTTTGCGGACGGGTTGGACGAATTTGATTCTTCTCGGTGGGTAGCGCTTCCATGGGATCTGTTCGGATCTGCTCTCTTATGCTTTTTTGCCTTATAGGGAGGTTGTCCAGGAATTGATTACAGAGTATGAGGCTTGCGAAAGTCCTGATTATATCAACTGGGTATGTATTGCAAGTGGGTATCTGGTTTATTTGGTAAAAGATGATTCTCATAGAATGCTCTACTTTGCTATTAGGGCGCTGATGATGAATAGTGCAAGCGACGCCTGGACTCGTTAATTGTATAAAGTTTTTGTTTGTAGAGCTTCTAACAAATAGGTTATGCCTTGAGATATAAATAAATATTACATGCAAGTGCTAACATACGTGTGCCCAACCCCCTCTTTGGCCTTCCTGGAGGTTCATTTTGAAATCAGATCCGTTGCATTGTCTACTGCTGCCCTAGCACTATCCCTATATACTACAAAGTGCCCCTGCAACTGTGCTGGACTCACACTATGCAATTTCAGATTCAATTTTTTCACAAATTCATTCGCCAGCGCTTCTTCTCCCTCAAAGAATCGCAAAAACATTTGACGTGCTTGTTCGTCACTTGCATTGTCCAACAACAGTTTGACATCCACACGACCAGGCCTTATCAGTGCTGGGTCGAGACGCTCTACGTGGTTGGTTGTCATGAAAATAACACGTTCCTCCGAGGATGTGACGCCATCCAGGGCGTTCAACAATCCACTAAACGTTACCATGGACTGGTACCTATCATACAAGAGTTTGAAAACCACCCAAGGCCTAACCCTGCGTACAAGGGAACATACCCTTGCTTATCTGTTTGCGACCGATTGATAAACGCCGCGTCTACATCCTCCAATAGAATAATACTACGAGGCGGTGCGTGATTCAACAAATGACTCAGCCGGTCATCTGTCATTCCCCGCTCACTCAGATTCATCACGCAAATGTTGTATTCTAATTCACCCGCGAGGGCTTGTATAAAGCTTGTTTTGCCACTACCTGGTGGTCCATATAGGAGGTACCCCCGTCGGTATGGTATGCCTATAAGGTAACAATGAGTAACCTGGGTGGAATAAAGGATCAAGTGAGAATATGCACCTCGATCGTGGTACCATTTGCCGCCAGAGAGGAATGCCTTCACATCCTTGTGTATCATCTCTGCAATACCTCCGTCCAAAACAACCGAGGCGATGGGTCTCCTCTTTCGAGGGTTACCAAAAGGTCTCCAATCCGGTCCGTAACTGGTATAAACGACTGTTTTGCCCTCTTCTTTTGCCAGTGCGGCTTTTTTGGCCTCTTCCAGCATTTGTGTCAGTAGCTTTCTATCCCGACTAAGTGTAGTCAACGTGATCGTCTCCCATGGAGTTCCGCTTTTAAGGTCGATCATGTTCCTCTCGCGTTGACGCTCCACCTTGAGAAAAGGGATATCAGATTATGGCCATCACCGGCATACCACCGCTGCATGAAGGTTACCTGAAACCAAGCTCCCTGATATTTGAAAAAGTGCCTCCCGGGTCCTGGCACGAGCGAGAAATGACTTGAGACGCTCCCGTTATCTCGTCTGACAAATGACGTCTCGACAGCTAGTTGGTGCGCATTCCTTCGCGCCCCGTTGGTACTCATCCACTGCAAAAACCAGGCATAGCTTTGGTCCTTGCTTGGTATTTCCAAAGTGACCAGCAGTCGCCGTCGTGCCAGTGTCACGCCATGAACAGCTCCTTGTCGAAGTACCGCCAAACTTGCAGTTACTCCTATAAGGCCAAATCTGAATTTACAGGTAAGCGAGAAAAGAGTTATAGCAAGCACCACCGTAATTATTACCCTGCCGAGAAATAGGGGTTATTCCCAAAGACATCTAGTAACCCCCCGGAGGGTATGGAGCTTGCCATGTTGCCCAGAAAGGTTGGATAGTTGCTGAACGCGCTGCGCGATCTAGTAGCCCCCGGTGTTTCCATGACAACATTTCGTTCGGGCAGTCTTGAACTATTCAACGAGGCCATATGCAGATCCCAAACTTGCACCATTCTGCAAACTTATCATGAGGTTTATTCGCTCCTCCATACACCTTTCCGCCAGGGCTGCCCGCCGGGCAAAGCCAAGCGCAGCTCTTCGGGCCACTATTCCTCCGTTTGCCTTGAACTCTCCATCACAGCGGTTGCTCGCCAGCATCAACAGACAGGCAGCTGCCCTCCACACAGCTGCACCCACTTTGGGGCTCTTGGACGCTTTCAAAAACACTGAAAATGCCACCACTACGGGAGAGGCACTAGGTCTTCCCCTCGCCGCCGTCGACGAGTCGGAAGAATCGGAAGAATCAAATAGGTGGGTAGTGTAGGACGGTCGTAGGCTTCGATGCGAATGTTAAAATCTTAGTCTCCACAGAACGCCAGAACGGTCACCACCAGAACCAATACCAGCAGAACTAATTGATCAGGCTGTGCAACAAGTTGTTGAGCAACATGTAGAGCTCAATTCGCCAGAAGGATGGAAAAGCATCGAGCTCGCGTCTCCATCATTAAAGTTCAAGGTTCGCTTGTGAACACTTTTGTTTCTTGTTGACCACGAACGAAGCTGATATGGGCCTCATTGCCAGATTGTTCGTGGGAGCATGGCTGCTTGCGGGAGACGCATCTCAAATGTCGATCTCACAAACTGCTTGACTGTTCAGGACTTGTTGGACGTCTTGCACGGCCGACACAAACAAGATGTGTTTGATCCGTACAGCAAGGTGGACACCGTGGAACAAATGTTCCAAGAGAGGTCTGCAGATCTCCCCCCAAATGTGTACTTTCTTCCCCGGGACACTCCACGTGCTCGTGTATAGCACTTCCTTTTGCAATATCCATATCATTATTTCTTCAATATAGTCAATTTATTCTCACATCTATGTGTTGATCATCACAATATTATTATGGAAGGTGCCCCCTCATCAGAGGCGGTCAGTGTCCGATATGTACATGTTGCAAGAAATCGAGCCATCCCGGAAGACTGTGCGGCAACTCGAGGCATTGTGCGCCGAGCTGAGTTGGTGCGCGATTTCCTCCACCCGGCAAGCTTTCATGGTAGATCACATCCAAAAACATCTTAATGGAGGTTTGAGATCTATTTGTCATTGGAGTCTGCCGTTTGAGCGGCTCGTCGTTGAGCCTCCCGCCATTCCCTTTTCCCCGCTAGGAACTGTTCCCGACGCTTATCTCGTTCCTCATCGGTGGTATATTGGCCTAGGCAGTCGTTCAAGGCGCGGTTTTCTTTTTGGCATGCCCAATACACTGTCAAGGTTCTATTTCGCGTACATTGCACTAATTCTGTATCCATGAATGGAAGTCAGGTTCCGTTCTCCAACGGCTTAAACTCTGTAGTATTGTTAGTTACCTTCCAGATACTGCCTGCATTTTGTTGTTGCGTTCTTCTTCAAGTCGTTAAAAACGATTTCCTGTTGCCGCCACAATTGTTAGCGGACCATACAGGTATACTTAGACCAGTGAATTGCGCACCTCCTCTTTGTTTGTGAGAACCGTTAACACAACCATGTTTCTAGGTCCAAATTGGGTTGTCCACTAGTCGATCAGCTGGCGACCAGAGGAAGTTTACCAGAGCGTTTCCATGTCAACAGGGGATATGAACGGCTTTTGATAAACTTGATCATTTTCGACTTCACTATCCAGACATGCAAGTAGGAACATGACCTTGGACATTAGCGAAAGATCTTTAGAATTCCTGACTCTAATACGATGGTTACATCTCCAGTATGATTCATTACCTACGGATATATCAGGCCGTTACATAGTCAAAGCTTTCAAGCGCTCGTATTTTCCATTCATGTGTTGAAAATGAATGCTGGATGACAGCAAACAAGCATCCTTAAATTCTCTGTAGCAAGAGGATATTGCTAAACAAATTGCTTATCGTAAAATCCTACCAGAAACGAAAGTTGCTGCACTGATAGGCAATATATGAGTGGCTTAGCTGGCTGGATGTGCTGGATCACCTACTCGTCACTCTCGTCTGATTTGGCAATCTGAGCACTCCACCCATGTCCAATGTAAATGAACAGCTCTCTGCCATCGCCAGTTCTGCCCAGCAGAAAGAGCGTCCGGCGCATTACCGCTCGCTCTTGGAGTCAATTCTGTCTCCGTCCAACCGATTTCTCGACGAGCAAACCATAAGGGCGCTTCAAGAGATCATTTCGCACGCGATTGATGAAAGTGTTGGCTTGGTGGCCTCTCGACAGCTTTTACAGGATTTTATCACTCTCTTTGGGGGGTGGGGCCAGGGGAAAGATGGTGAGGTGGTCAAGCAAGTATGGGGCTTTGCTTTAGATACGATGCAGAGCCGGGCTGTCGCGTTTGAGGAGCAGGTACGGCAAAGTTGAATTGACGCTTGTATGCACAGGATTTTATTGTATACATTCACGGTAGATATCGAGTGTCCGCGAAAAGCTCGCTGCAATTTATGAAGAAGAGGAAAACTGGTCAGAAGCGGCAAAGATGCTCCAGGGCATCCCACTGGATTCGGGCCACCGAAACGTATCCCAAGACTACAAGCTACGGATATACATTCACATTGTTCGTCTACTTCTGGAGGAAGAGGATGCGGTTTCAGCAGAGACCTATATGAATCGGGCAGCTTTATTGATTGTCAACAGTGCTGATTCAGAGATGCAAATCCACTTCAAGTCATCCCAAGCGCGGATTCTAGACTACAAGCGAAACTTTTTGCAAGCGGCGTCCAAATATCATGAGCTGTCTTATATGAGTGAAATCCACGACTCGGTTCGAATAACGCTGCTAATACAGGCAGTTACGTGTACAGTCTTGGCCGGTGCGGGACCACAGCGAAGTCGAATGCTTGCTACCTTGTACAAAGATGAGCGTGTACGTGAACGACCGGAACTCAAAGAAGGTGGAGTGTATGGGATTCTGGAGAAGATGTACCTGGGTCGGGTCCTCCGAAAATCTGAGGTCGAAGAGTTTGCGGGTACACTTGCACCACATCAGCTAGCGAAACTCGGTGACGGAACAACTGTGCTAGACCGTGCGGTTATTGAGCATAACCTTCTGTCTGCGAGTAAGCTATACAACAATATCACATTTCAAGAACTGGGAAGTCTACTGGCGATTTCCGCAGAGCAAGCGGAACAGACAGCAAGCAAGATGATTGTCGAAGGAAATTTGAGTGGAACGATAGATCAGATTGACCGGTTGATTCATTTCAAGAAAGCACACGTCTTGCCCTCTTGGGATGCCCAAGTGTCGGGCCTCTGTCATCACCTTGATGGAGTCGTCGAAAGCATACAGACCAAGTAAGTCAAAATTTGAGAAACTGTCACTATATTGTGGGTCCTGTTTTTCATTTCTATTGATCTAGGTACCCGGATTGGGTTGCAGGAAGATCATAGATGATGATTATTCCATCACAAATTATGAATTGTATATTTCAAGGATGTAAATCACAAGAATAGCAAAAAGGACCAGATCTATTTTGGTGATTCATTGGCATTCACGTCGCCTGCGCCACTCCCTCATGTGATCTATGAAAAGGTGTGAGACAATTTCCGCGACTTTCCCCTCCACCAGACAACTTGCGAAGACCATCATCGCCAATCACCATCCTTCAAGCTTGCCGGCGTAGCAACCGAAGCAGTGGACTTCTTGGACCTTTGGCAGACAGGCTCATATTGAACGTGCAGGATTGATATTGTGTCATTGCTACTGGGTACTCTTTATCTTTTTTCTTTTCTCTTTTACTGAGGGATTTCACCACAATAAAACAAGTCTGGGGTCATAGCGTCTGTTTTTTTGTCGGGATTTCTGTTATTTGGAACAAGCGGCCATCAGTGTTGCAAAAAAAAGAGAAAGTTAAAGAAAGAAGCACTCTGGGTTGGGACATAAAAAACGACAAAAAAAGGAGGGTCCACTGCAAAATAGATTCAAAAACGTTTTTTTCTTCCTTTTGGTTGCGTGTTGTGTGTGAAGCAAGTCTGGGACCTGTGTGTTGCGGGTGCCAAGGTTGTTTTGTCTTCCGTCCAGCTCGGTTGGCTTCGTCTTTGGATCATTCGTCGTTTTCGGGGTTTAAGCGCGCCATACCACACAGTTTGCCGATTTACGTCAAAGTCCAAACTGCCGACGACCCGCTTCGTAAAAGGTAGCAAAAAATGACGCACGCTAATGCAGCTGAACTGGAGGCAATCCGGTTAGAATATCGGGCTTCTTTGGCGGATCTCACGTTCAACTCTAAGCCAATCATCACCAATCTGACCATTATCGCACAAGAAAATACTCCTGCCGCCCCAGCTATCGTCCAAGCCATTGAGGACCAGATGCGAAATGTAAGTGGATTTGCGAGATGCTCATGGATTGTTGAAATAATCAGAGCAGAGAAAAGTTTTGGATCAGTTATTGGCCGTTTTTTTTACTACTCATGTCAACTTTGGGCATAGAAAGCTACTCTCCCTAATCTTTTTTCGTTTCTTTTCCAGGCACAGCCGAAGCAAAAGTTACCAGTATTGTACTTGATGGATTCCATCATTAAGAATGTCGGCGGTATTTATATCAACCTCTTTGCACGCAACATTGTCCGCATCTTTGTCTCCGCCTACGAAATGGTCGATGCGGATGACAAACAGAGATTCTTCAAAGTGCTGAGCACCTGGAAAAGTCAACCGACTGGTCCAATATTTTCTAACAATATAATGGCGGGTATAGAAAGCGCTATGAGGAAGGCCGCAGGGCAACCTAGACGGCGACCTTCACTTGGACAAATTCATGTAAATCCTAATTTTGTGGTATGTTTGGAGTGTTCAGCCTTACTTGCCGTCATCATTCTGATCAACCCTTTGTGTTTCAGGCTCGAGGGCAGTCATTCTCACCACAATCCACTACTGCATCACCCAACGTTCTGACCATGCCCACTAATCAACCAAATTCACAAGATCGGTCTGCTACTCGTAGGTACGGTGCTAACACTCCGTATGACCGACCACAAGGCGGCCGCGGCCGACCGGAATCTGGCCCACAAAGACGAGGTAACAGAGCAGAAGGCAGACTCGATACCCGCCGTCACCCCTCTCCCATCCAAGACGCTAGGTTATCTGACAAAGGATCGGTACGTGGAAGTTTGATAGGGATACACGGCCGTTCTTTCCCAACCGAAGGTTGTCTGGACATTGTGTGGTTCTGCATATATCTATTAGCGCGTAGTACTTTGACGGGTGGCATACTTGAAAGCGCCATTTGCAGTAGACTTGTAAAATGTTGTAGACCCATCTCTGTACACAGTCTGTTGACACCTCGGTTAGGGCTGATGGACGGCCTATCCCATTTCCGGGCTTCTTTTTCTTATGTCGTACTTATATTCCTCTTTTTCTTTGCGCAAATTTCTCTTTTCTTTTAGTATGCCCAGGGCCCATCAACCCTAGCATTTGGCAATGGACGATCTTCAGGGCTCTCACCAGCGATTCCCTCAGTTACGACGGCGACACCTATTTCCCAGCCTTCGATGGCATTGGATGTAGTGTCTCTGCAGCAGCAAATTCAATCTCTACTCGCTCAGAAAGAAGCGCTTGCAATTCTTAATCCGCTGGATACTTCGAATGCTGGCCACATTCAAGTACTTACCCAGGTTTGTAATATTTATGAAAGCATCCTGGATCATTCGATTAAAGTGCTGACCCAAGTATATCAATGTATTTCCTGGTCCGCTAGCTACTTGGAGCTATGCAGAACACTGCCTTAGATGCGGCTTCTATACAGCAAATCGCTCAAATGTTACAACAATACGCATTAGCATCCGTTCCCGCCGTTCCTCTACCACAACCCGTAGCACCCCCTGCGCAACTTCCTCCCATTCTTTCCACAATCCTCCCTTCTCAACCTCTACCCCTTCCGAATGCCAGCATGGGTTTTGGTATGTCGGCGGCACCCTTTTTGCAACGAAAGTACTCGACACCAGGTTCTGGATTGGTTACTCCACACGCTGTTGCCGGCAATCTTTCGGGTGGTGTGCAAGGTCTTTTAGCTAATGCCTCTGCCCTCGATGGATTGTTGGACACGCTAAAGTGGGCCTCGGGATCCTCGAAGACGGGCACCATGATCGGGAATCTACCATTTGGGTCTGGTATTGCAGTACCGTCCGCTGTGGCACAGGATGATGGGGCGGTTATTGGTGGTGGGGAGCATGGTGGAGGCCGGGTCCGAACCGTGAAGGATTTGCCGATTATTAGATTGGTAAATGAGGATATCAACAAGTGAGTTGGCAACAGTGTTTGAATTTAGCGTCTAATTTAAATTCTTACAAATTATGGCAATCAATTTCAGGACCTACCCAAATGCCGTGGAACTCCTTTACGAAGCATTGGACCTCCAATGCAGACAATGCGGTACACGATACATGCGGAATGACACGGGACGAGGAAAAATGGATGCACATCTTGATTGGCATTTTCGACAAAATCGCCGAGCAAAGGAAAAGGCAAAGAAGGCGATATCGCGTGATTGGTTTGTTAGTGAGGAGGATTGGATCAAGGAGCAGGAAGTGGATATTAAGGATCGTAAAGGTATGTGTATTGGATCTTTGTGTGGTGGATAATGGGAGAGTGATTAATGTGTATATTTGTTCTTTTTCAGCACCAACCCTGTTTTTCGAAAACGACAAAACTGTCGAAGAAGCTGTTGAAGAGGTTTCCAATATTCCTGCGGAAGGTGAAACGAATCCACGATGTACAGTATGTCAAGAACCCTTGGAAAAGTTTTATGATGAGGAGATGGATGATTGGATGTTGAGAGCTTCGGTTAGGGTTGATGGAAAGGTATGTATAGGGTTTTGTTTTGGAAGGGTACCCTTGTATACTGAATTTGTACGTTATTGTAGTTGTATCATCAAGCATGCTACCAGGATGCCCAAAAGGATGGTATCCCGTCAACGAATGGAACGCAAGTCATTTCTCCGTCTACTGGGAAGCGAAAACGTGAGGATCAAGAGGAGACTCTAGCACGGGAGGGCAAAAGTAATAGTCCACCTCAAATTATTGCCATACCTACGCCGCCGCACCTGATGGCAGCGTCCCAACCATTGATACCCATCGGAAGTGTGGCACTGGGAGAGGGATTGACTGGGCTGGTATCGGGTGTGTCAGCTGCGTCTTTGTTGTCATCGTTGGGAGCTGGAAGTATGGTTGGGAATGCGAATGTGTCAGAGGATGTTGTGAAGCGATTGAAGCTTTCCGGATGAAATTTTTAGCGGAAATTATAATGTTTTCCGATTTTTTTTTTTTTGTTTGACTTCTGACTGTGATAGCACTCGGGATTGAGTGATGTGTGTCTTGGCGTCGTTATCGAGAAGGGATTGATTGTACTGCTGATTTTTTCTGTTATGATGAACGGAATACATTTGCATCATGATCCATTTCTTGCGAGATTGTACACAGTTGCATTTATCACATTATGCGATCAGATCTTTTTGCAAGCATGAAAATAAAGATTCCAAAAAAATATACTATGATGTGTATTATACATAATGTTATAGAAACCCGTATTAACGCGATGGAATTCGTATGGTAAGCCCCCTTAAATGACTTGAATGATAACCTTTCCTGTAGCACGGCCCTGTTTCTGACGGGCAAAAGCCTATCATATGTACACGAGATCAGTATGTAGGAACGAGGCAGCGAACGATGCTGATTTGGGCACTTGCCTCGCGGACACCTTCAAGCGTGAATGGGAAGGTACTGTCTACCAAGACTTTGAGCTTTCCTTGGTCGGCTAGGTTACCAATTTCCGCCAATTGTGTTCCGTTGGGACTATATATAAATGTTCCAAATCATGATTTAGTTTAAAACTTTTATCAAACTAGAAAAACAAAAAAACAATTCAAACGAACCTCATAAACAAATAATGGTAATCAATATTTTTAGAGTTTGCCGCCCATCGCAGTTTGTAGGTTAAGACGTCCAAGACTTTTCCCATGAAAAATCCGACGGGAAAGACAGCGTTTGCTTCTTCGCTGTTTGGAAGGGCAGCAATGGAATAGAGTGTGCCGCCGGGTTTGAGGATTGCGAATTGTTGTTTTGTTTCGCCGGTTGTGTCAATGGCCCTTTTTAGTAAAGTATTAGTTTTTGTATGTAGATGAGCAAAAGAATGGACTGAATACATACATGTCATAGTCTTTCAAAACCTGGGTGTAATCCTCCTTTTTATAATCAACGACGACATCTGCGCCCAAATCCTTGACGATATCAATCTTGGCTTCACTGACAGTTGTAGCGATGGTTTCAGCGTTGAAGAGGTGTTTGGCGAGTTGAATGGCCATGACGCCGATACCGCCCGCACCGGCGGGAATGAAGATTTTGCGGGAGGGTTTTGAAGCAAAGCCGGATTTGTCGAGAACTTGGTAGGCGGTTAGACCTGTTAGGGGAACTCCAGCTGCTTGGACGTGTGTCAAGGATTTTGGTTTCAAGGCTAGTTTTTCCTATATAAAAATGTTGTTGAGATTTTATCCATATTTTACATGATGAAAAGCAATGTTTTGGAGTAAAAACAAAATGCTCACCTCTGTCGAAACAACATATTCGGCGACAGTACCCACTTCTGACTGCCCGATCCGTCCAAAGACTTCATCTCCGACTTTGAATTTCGTTACACCCGATCCGATAGATGAGACGACGCCAGAGACGTCGTATCCTGTGCGCAAGGGGAAACTTTCCTTGACAAGCATTTTCAGCTGGCCTTCTGCGCGCTTCCAATCGACTATAATGAACAAATGATGAATGTTTGTATAAAAGTTTGGAATCACATTATAATGGAAACATACTAGGGTTCAAAGACGCAGCATGGACTTTGATCAACACGCTGTCGGGAGCGTCAGCCGTGGGGATAGGCAGGTCGGAAATGACAATCTTATCGGGTCCTCCATAGGATGTAAATTGTGCTGCTTTATAGGTTGCCATGATGCTTTCCTTTCGTGCAAGAGTTTGGTATGGGATATGTCAAATAGCGAGGGTGAGAAGCGGGGACGATACCCCAGCAAAAGAAATACTTTAAAAAGACCTTGGATATGTCATCACGATTGCCATTTGTCATCATCGCTTTGGCAACACACAGCGCATTATTATTAAAAAAAAAGGGCGTGCAAAATGCCCCAACGGCTGAATTACCCTACCGTTGTCCGCCCTCGTTCAAAACAAAAAAAAAAAACAGCACGGCAAAAAAACCAGCTCAAGGTGAGTAAGTTTGGGAGTGTTACCGGACACGTACGGACAAAAAGCAGACAAAAAGCACCAAGAAGAAACTTGTCATTTGGAACACCTTTTGCAAGTTGGAACACCTCTGTGTGGAAAAGCTTTTTGGATGTTGACGCCGAAATTCGAACTCTCGCATCACATCCAGTCATGTGATCATATCGACTAAGCCATCGGCGAGAGAGGACGAGCTTGGATTGCATGTGCAATAGTTGGGCGGACACCTTTTGTTCGGAGGCGACCTGGCAATCGCGATGAAGGCAATTCTTGTCTCGCTGTTCCTGCTGGGAGCTATCGTGGCTCCCATCGCAGCACTCAATACTTTTACTCTCTATGTCCCTGCTCGTACCGAGCTTTGCTTCAATGAGTACTTGCAACACAAGGACAGACTGGATCTCTCATTCGAAGTCGAGGAGGGTGGGAATCTAGATATTGACTTTGTGGTGGGTACAGCTATTGTTCGTCTCTGGTTTTTCATTTGGCAATCTTACATGTACTGATTTGGTCACTCAGATTTACACGCCTAGCTCAAAACCTCTTTACTCGCTAAACGGTGAATCGTCCAGTCACTTTGGCTTCAACGCCGAGGCGGAAGGAAAATATGTGTATTGTTTTGGCAACAAGGTGCTACTCTTTTCTACTTCAACATCTTTTGTCAGTTTCTGATGATATTGCTTTCAGATGTCATCCATGGTTGAGAAAAGGCTTTCATTCAGCGTTCATGGGCCGGACGAGAGATGGAAAATTGAGGAGCTAGAGATGAAGCAGAGCATTGGTAAGTTTTGTACAGAGTAGCAAGCATGTAATGGTGCTATGGACATGCGAACGAATCTCTGAACCCTCCTCGCGCTTCAGATGACCCGACCGAGACACTCCAATCTGAGATTCGCGTTTTGGACGCGGGTATTCGAGCTATTCAAGACGAGCACGCGTTCCTGATGCAAAGAGAGCGAAGACATCGGCAAAGTATGTGTGGGGTGTTTTGTGATTTCAGATTACTTTTACCAATTGTTTGCAACCACAGCCGCGGACAGTACTCGATCCCGCGTTTTGTACTGGACGCTTCTCCAGACTGCAGTGTTACTTGGGGTGTGTTATTTTCAAGTGACCTATCTTAAAAAGTAAGTTTATGCTTGCGTTTGTGATTTAGGCAGGCCCCTAACGAAATGCAATGCATATGCAGGTTCTTTGAGATGCGAGGGGGCCGCATTGTATAGTTGCAATAGAATTCCTGATGCCTCATAGGAGTACAATGCTACCTTTCTCGGTTATATACAGCCACAGAAGCATACTAACAGCCAGTTGGATTTTGGAAGGACCCCATTCGCCAGCTAGGATGGGAACTTTCGCCAGCTAGGATGGAAAGATGCTTTTTGTTATTTGGAGCCCGCCTTTACACCATAGTGTATGTGGGGAGGCTGATAAATGGGGGGGCACGAAAACTCGTACTTGTAAAGAAGGATGTGGTGCTCTGTCTCAGCGGAATCATTTATTTTGAGTGCTCCCAAACATGAACAGATATCATTGGTCCCTTGTTTGGGATTTGGGGAATTTGGGACCTTGGTTATGGGACCACGTGATATCCCAGGAATCAAAGTAGGTATTTCTCTCGTGCAAGCAACTTTGGAGTGTGAGTTGTTTATGCCAAGGGTTCACTTTGTTTTATATCATTTATATATCACGTGTATTAACTACTCTCTCACACACTCTCTTGAAAGAGAAGAAGAGATGAAACATACAAATTTTCACACTAGAATGGTTACTACTTGAGGGACATTGAACGGTGTTGCATTTGTAGGACAATTTGTATCGTAGGGAATGATGGAGCCATGGATATGAACATTTGATTAAAGGCTCTCTTGTTTTCCCTCCCCTTTTTATTCCTTTTATTGTACGATATTTCATAGTAATAATCATAGTAATAGAGAACAAAGGTGAGATTGTTGTTGTTGTGTGTGAGATGCCATCACTCGTTTAGTTGACAGCTGTCTCTGCATTTCCATTGAAAAAGAGTTTCAACAACAGTAAGGTCTTGCCCCAACCTGCAAGAGGACAAAGGGGCGGGATGCGCGCCTTCCTGCCTTTTGTTCTTGTTTGCCTCACGTTTGGCACAGTGCATGGACAAGGTAAGGACTCGATTCACTGTGCTAGAGTCTTGTTGAACTTTTGGGACTCTCTGTTGAATGTATGCGTTTTTCCTTGCAATAGCCAACAATGACACCCAGACAACAGCACAGCCTTGTGCCGTACCTCTCGTTCCTATTCCTCCTTCCTTCACCCCTTCCTTCATGTCCGCTTGCCATCCAACCCTCCGATGCTGTCTTCCTTGTCCGGCTACCGACTATCTGTACCCTCCAAACGTCATTATAGATAATCAACGCACAATGGGCATCTTGCGCATCATATCGGGCACGGCTGCATTCCTCGTCTCCGTCTCATACCTTGTTCTCCCTGGCAAACGAGAACACCCTCGTGTCTTTGTGCTATACATCAGTTTCCTACTGGCAATATGGCACTGGATAGGAATGAGCTATTTTTTTGGTGACAAAGGACACAATGTCTTTTGTGCAAAGGACGGCGTGACGAGGGCGACTCTGGACAACAATGCCTTTTGTGCGATACAGGGCCTAACAATGATATGGGCAAGCATTGCTCTGACTTGCTGGGGACTGGTGGTCGTTTTGAATCTGCATTTGGTATGTTGGTGTGCCACTGTCTATACTCGTAGTGTGGAGGTAAATCTAATCAACGTCAAACTCTTGGATTTTTTCATCAACAGCAACTCGTGTGGTCAAACGCTGTTCTGGAGCGACTAAAGTGGGCTCCCCACTTGTTCTCCTGGGCCATCCCTACCATTGTAGCCGCTTGCGCGATAATCTCTCCTGCTGTCCAGTACGGTGGTGGAGGATTATGTTTTGTGCAAACATACAAGGGACGGTGGATTTTTTTTGTGCCAACCGGGATCCTCTGTACTAGTATCTTTTTGATCCATACTGCCACCACTGTGTGGCTATGTCGGAAGGCACGCTGCTGCGGTAGAAGAAAGCGGAAACCTCTGCTCAAAGAAATCGAAGGCGGACTAGGGAGTATTCCTAGAGATGCTGCAAACTCGACTCTTCTTGATCTCGATCGCAACTTGACGGGTATACCATCGACACCTCCGAAAGCGGCAATCCTTAAAAGAACAAGCCGCGCGACGTTCACAGGCGTGAGCAAGTCATCAGATAGCTTACTTCAATCGGTCGGCTCGCTCACTAGAAAAGTGTCAGTAAAGCTTTCTGGCGTAGGCACTGTTCAAATACGACTCATAGGTGTCGGAATGATCGTGGTTGTTATCGCCACGGTATACGGTCTGTCGTGCAGCCTTGACAAAACTCAAATTAGCGGGTTTTTCAAAGCAAAGAATGCCGAACAAACACCCGCCGAGGACCTTGTAGCCTGTATGCAGACAGCCCTGACACAGCAACCGCCATTGTCGAGCAGCCAAGTTTTTGACATCTGTAAAGCTCTCATAAAGCTAAAAAGAGGAGTGGTCTTTCCTAGTCCGGAGAGATGGATTGCAACCGAAGTCATCCTCTCCCTTCCTGGCCTTTGCCTTTTGGTCATGTTAGCGAATAGTCTTGGAAGAGACTGGCGAAATTGGTGGAGCACGAAACGTGACGCGGGAGGTGGTACGAGAGGGGACAAAGATGCGTTGGAGTTGAGACCCTACAAATGGGAACGATCACCATCGCCAACATCAACGAGGTCCACAAAAGGGCTACTGCCACAATCCGTTTCCCCACCACTCGCGAAATCCCAGCTATCCACATCGTTTCCAACACAATATTCCGAATCCCTGTCGGACCTTTCCTCATCAGAATCAACGTCACTGCCACATATCACCATCCCAGCTGCTGCTAAAACTCCTGCCACACCCAACACATTTACCTCACTAGTGCCGGAGACGCCGTCGACAGCCATTGGCGAATCTACCTCCCAAGGCACATTTTCGACAAGTTCAGTTGGCACACCTGTTTTGGTTCCCTCGAGCTCATCCATTCCAGTAGCTCCTGGCTTTGAGCGAGTCGCACACGAGCCAACGATAAGTCACCCTTCTGAACAGGAGGTGTATGGACCAACCTTTTCTCCCTGGTAGAACTGATAAAGTTGCGTAGAACCGACCGATAGCATAGACCTTAAACAGCGTAGGCCGCACGGTTGCTCCGATATGTAGACCATACCGACTTTTTTTTTGTAAATCTCTAGTTTCTCTGTATATACTTTTTAGAATACACACCCGTCATTCGTGGGAGCACTTTGTTTGTATTGAAATATGGCTAAGCCACCTTCATCGGTGGGTTTTCGAGCAGTCCGTTGCTGGAAGATCCTACCGACCTCAGTGATGCATCCGCATAATAACTCAAGCTTCGACCCTGCGCATATAACACGCACACAACAGGAACGCTATGCTCGTGCATTCCAACCTACTCCAAAGGCGCAGGATCCAGCAAATGAAAGTGATGACAATGAACAACTCGACGACACAGTCGAACGAACAATGTCCCGCCGGGAACAACCCTCTGGATATCTTGACCTCGACGCTCTAGACCAAACTACCATGGACAAGCATTTACCAGAGTCCAATATAGGATATCGGTTAATGCTCAAAATGGGCTGGACGAAAGGAAAGGGACTTGGAAGGGAAGGCGACGGTTCGTATTGCAGATTGTCACCTTGAACAGAACTGACAATTGTCTTACGAGTATTGTTTTTGTTTTTTTGACTTTTTAGGACGGGTGGATCCCGTACGCATCATTGTAAAGGAAGATACTCTTGGAGTTGGAAAAGGCGAGGAACTCGATACTTACCATTCCGAGAGCACATCAAAACGGAAAATGCTGGAAAGTGAGAAAATCGCAGAGGAAACTCTGGAGGAAAAGACAGCGCGAGAGGTACGGGAAGCTTCTATACTTTAAGTATATGAAAGGGGAAAGATTCAGCGCACACCAGATCCTATCGGATCCAACAAGTTTAGTGTTGGGTTTGCTCTGGGGTCCAGTTTTTTGCCTGCATCTGTCCTTCTCCAAAGTTCTGTGCTGCATATCCTTGCGTCGAACAGTGTACTTTACGTTTCCCTCCTTTCCATTCCATGTTTTCGGTGCTGCCTTTTACATGTTCCGCACGCGTCAATTTCCGAACGACTTGTCACGACGTGAATTGATGAACATAGGCCAAAATTCAACGCGACCAAGCCATCAAGGAGGAAATCAAAACGGTCACATCAGCGTTCTACTGTGACATATGTCATAAACAATACCGGAAGATTGCAGAGTATGAGACTCATCTGTCTTCTTATGATCATCATCACAGAAAGGTTTGGCATTGGGCAGTTGTTGCTTTCATGGAGCAAGTCTCACATGGAATGTATCTCCCAGCGGTTTAAAGAAATGCAGAATATGTCCAAAAAGGGCACACTACCTGGGACGGTTAAACGCAAGCGTGAAGACAAGGAACGTGCCAGAGAAGAAAAAGAACTGCGTCGGTTGCAGGAGGCGGCTATGGCTAAGGAGCGGAACAAGGGCGGTGCAAGTTCAAATGCTGGAGTTGCGCCTGATATCGTTTCAGCTTTGGTGGTGGAGAAAAGTGCTGCAAGTGAATCGGGGGGTTGGAATACCTTGCCAAAAGCGTCAACAGACAATGGCAATGAATCCGCCTCGTCACTACCTGGCAACGGAGATGCCGCCCAAAAACAGACGGGGGGATGGGCACCGATATCAGAGACTACCTCGGGCAGCGGCTGGACAAACGCTGAGGACTCTCCACAAAACGGAAAGGCAACCGGTGGCTGGTCATCTATCGACGAGACTTGCCAGTCACAAGCGGAAACGTCGGCAAAGAATACGCCCGCTGCACCAAGCGAACCCCCCTCGGCGCCGTCGGCACCCAAACTAGCTTTTGGATTTGGATCCAAAAAACCGGGCAGTACTGGTTTGAAATTCTCTTTCGCGAAAAAGGGGTAGAGCTTTAGGAATTTTTTTTTTGGTGTAAACGTTTAATCAAACAGTACTATGGCCTGAGTAAAATGTGTGCGAATATCGGGTTAGAATTACACACAGATGACAGATTGCTTTCCACTAAGGAAATGGCTGGGAAATTGCCATTCCTTTTTGTTTGACAAAGGAACCAATCTGAACACCAATCTTTGGTGCAGCACACATCCATGTGGGTGGGTCACGACTGTAAAAGTGTTTGCATCCCATCGACCCATCCAACTGGATGTGTATTCGACAGTTGGTAGACGCTGACCAGTCTGCTTGGATGGGGGCTTCACCACAGCCTTGTCTATACACTTGAAGGGCACTGCCAAATGCCAAAATACTTTCACAACGCGATTCATGTTAGATATCTGCTGCTCCTGCTTTCGTCTTTTCTGTCAGAATATGATTAGTACGCCCTGTTACTACACCAAATGTTTATCCAAATTTTAGTTTTTTGCTGTCGAGAACTATGGAATCTTTTGCCGATCGAGACTACACAAAGCAGATGGCAAGTTGCTGCACAAGGGTTGAAAATCGCTAAAAGCACTTTTTGACAGCTAATGACTGTGCCTCCTGCGCGTTTCCTCCGCTCTGATCTTTCTCAACTTTTTCTCAACTTTTTTTTTTTTTGCCAGATCTGATGCCATGTCTTGTTTGATCTGGGGTATCCCACTGTCCAGAATGCGGGGGTATCTGATATACTGGTTGCGTGGTGGGTTGTTTTCGACGAGATGTGAAAGACGTGTTTTGCGGAGGGACAAACGGGTTCGTCATAAAGATCGCGGACATTGGCTGTTCCAGCGTTAGTGACAAGGCAATATGTTCAACTGGATTTACGCACCACTATCAGCACGGCTTTTGCTGCGATCCCGAAGCAAGCGAACAAGTGAGACCGAACGGACCGAACAAGAACCAACACAAAGTCTTCGACATGCAGCATCTGCGCCGAATTTAGGCAACAGTGCACAGTGCCGGACGAATCTAAGGGACCGATTGTCTCCCATTTTATCTTCTTGTTCCATTATTGAGCAAGTTAATTTGGAGACGACTGGGTTACCTCCTTATAGCTTTTTTTCGCACGGTCCTGGTACACCTTCCCAAGCAAGCCTAGACGAACCTCCCCCGTATCCCTCCCTATGCAGAACAACCATGTTGGGCTACCGTGCCTTTGATTCCCCCGAGAACAGGTATGTTTACAAGGAGAATCTGTACTGTTTCAACATGATGATTTAGTTTTATTTTTTATTTCGACTACACAGTACATGCGTCATCCGAGTGCGTGATGCAGGAGACTTTTACGTCCATCAAGAGTATTTGGCTCCATACAGTGCCGTATTCCGTGACTTGCTTGACCCAACTCATTCTTGTCATCAACGGACGTTACGAATGAGGGCTGGGCGGGATGTTTTGTATTGGGTTATGGATCATGAAAACTTTTCTGGTTCTCTGAGTAATGTGCAAATGGATGGGAAGCGAGTATCTTTGACAGGTTACATGCAGACAGAACACTCATTGAGTAAAAGTGGTCAACCAGAACAGTATGATGAATCCCACGATGCTGACGATGAAGATGAAGACATGTCATCACCATTCTATCCCTCCCGTATGCTGATCACCAAATCCGCCTTTTGGGTACACCTCCGTCGATACAGTCAGCAAATAAATAGCCCCGACCGTCCGTACAAACGATCCGTCTTCCGTACTAAGAACCGAGATTTACCTCGTCCAGTCCTTTACCTCTCCATTCCACGGCCGTCCATGTTCCTCCCGCTATTGAAATGGTTGTATACGGGAAATCATCGGGCGTTGTTTATTGAAATTGGGAACGCTTCAAGTGGACGAGAGACTGCTTTTTTTGATTTATTACGGAATGCCCAGGCTTTGGGTGTTTTTAACGAGTTTTACGAAATCTTGGCGGTTTACTTGCTAAATGTGAGTGTTGATTGGAAGAGTATATAAAATTAATTTTTGGCGCCGGACAACTCTAATGAGTATCTTTACTTAGTGCCCTGATATAACCGTGTGCGACCGGTTTCGCAAATCCACGGTCCCTGTTCACCTTCTCCAAAGCTTTTTCGGACGCTGCAATTGGAGCGATACAGATAAACTGGCAGTCTTACTTTGGTGGTCTCGCGACGCCAAATCAATGCCCCAGTCCTCACAACTCGAAACGGTACACTCCTCATCCACCCACACACAACGAAGACGGACATGGGAAGGATGTTCGGAAACCATCGGTCTGTCCTCTACGCACAATATGCAGATAGAGGAAGAGCTGTTTTTGCTCTATATCGATTATTCGGCGGTGCCAAGGCAGCATTGTGATGAGTTGCGGAAAATGTTGCCTGATACTTATGAAAGGATTGTGGTGAATGCACTAAAGTGGTATGTTGGGGCTCAACTTGTCGTGGACGATGCTAATAGGCGGAGCATTGAGGACTAGCTTCACATGATATCGTAAATACATTGTAGACTCTAGACTGTATCCATTTATTGTATTTAGTGTAAATCGCCTTACCCATGGCCCGTTAGATCGATAACTTTTAATAGCGCTCCCAAACTCTATTCCACACTATGTACATGATGTTTTTCGTCCCAATCACGCTTTTGCTATCTTGATTTGAAATGTACCTGAAAACCCCGAGAACCGCAACATTAGAATTACATATCCAACCATATGAACAGCGCACGCACTCCCTACATTGCGGTATCGTAGACACCTCAGCAATAACCACACTAGCGACACCAAGATTTGCAAGTGCCCCTCGGATCAGTCCACATGGAAACGCAAGATACTTGTCATGCAATCTTGGATGTCAGTATCGCAGATATGAAAGAAAGCGCAGAACAAATACGTACAGCAAAGGCTTGTCGACTAATTTCGGCGCTTGAGCCGTCAGACGACATGCGGAGGAACCAACGGAAATTATTATCTGTCAACACATATACACCCTAATAAAAGTTTCATTAATAACATTATGGAAGCGAAAAACTGGTTCCCCATTTCTAGATAAGTTTTTTCCTACAACCAACCCGATGATTCGTCTTGAGGTTATCAATCTGTTTCTTAAACAGCGCAATCCAATAATCCTTGCAAATGAATTTAACAGCATCTAGGGTATCAAGGAATCGTGGTCTATCTCTTGTTATTCTATCAAAACAATAATTCAGTTCACCGCAGCTTCATTTATTCTCGCGTAAAAGCCAAGATGCTTTTTTTGGTGTGACTTACCGTTCAACCATAGCCATACCCACCCGATACCCCAAACTCTCCAACTTGAAATACGCCGCCTCCTTGTCGTTCTCGGTCTCGGTTGGTGATTTGTGCATTACATCCACCATTTCCAAGACGAGAAGATCGAATGCGGATTCTGCGACCAGGCGGCGATCATCTTGGCCTAGAATAGCTGACATTTCGGTTGTGACAATCTCGAGGATGAGATGCCAGGACGGTTACGTGGAGTAAGCGGTTGTGGCTTAGCTTGGAACGCGCTGACATGTTGAGGGAATAAGCAAGCGGAGGTTGGTTAAAAACTGTTGGGTGATTGTAGATCCCCATTTCACTCTACGGCAAACCTGTTGAGAACGTCCCTACGATCGCATATAATTGAAAATGTCAGATTCAGGTGCACCGATACCGAATGACAGCGATCCGACAAGTAGGGGAGGGACAACGACTAAATCGCGAACCCCATCCCGCGCCAACATTGTCAAATCCTCGTCCCGTGCCGCATCTAGAGTATCATTACGAGCTGGTGCTTCCGGCGTCGATCTAAGACCTGGTTCAAACGCCGATAGGGATTTGGGCAAGCGGGCTAAAAGCAAAGCATCCATTCGGGGTGCCGCTGAGAGTGAGGATGAAGGAGCAGGAACTGGAGGGAATGGAGCTGGGGGGGAAGATACGGGTGCAACTACTGCTGGACCAGCCAATCCACCAGCGGGAATCTTTCCCCTATTTTTGACCACTATGACGCAGGATTTGTTTAAAGTACGGGTCGGGGAGGACGTGACAGCAGAGAAGCCCATCAAAATGATTCCCAAAGCAGATATTCTGAGTGATTTGCAGGCAAGGCTTGCTATTGGGGATTTTTATCCTGCCAAACAAGCTATTTTGGTACGTTTTTCTTGTGTTATCTCAGACACTTTGAGAGCGGTATATATTCAAAATGCGGGTTTCTTTATTCAGGATTTTCCCGGCGAAGAATTCCTCCTCCACTACGATGCCGAGTTTAAATATGGACAAAACTTTTATCTTTGCGTGGATATGGATGCCATGGATGCCATTCTCCGGGTACGATCATACATTAATACGCCCCATCTTTGTTTACCCATCTAATATTCTTAGTCAGCCTGTCATGGAAGAAGTACCACCAGATACAGCAGCCGAAGTCAAACGTCCGGCATCACGTAAAAAATGGGAATCACTAGGAAGCGAGAAGGAGGTGGAATCCGATTGGGTGGTAAAAAACCGCGATTTGGTTGGTACGCTTGCTACTTGCCATGATTTTCTCAAACTCTCGATCAACTCATCTGTTCAACCTATTACTAGATAAACGTTCGTGTATCACGCCGACGGAGACATTTTGGAGCACGATGCAAATTCGGCGATCGAGATGCTCATGATGGGTTTTTAGAGTGTCGACCATTCAAGGATCCTAATTATGATATTTCGAGGATGGAAATTTCGGAGGGTGTTCAGGTAGTTTGCCTTCTCTTCGTGTTCAGCTTCTGAAAATATTGTTTTTTGACACTCTTTGATTGTAAGGCGGTACCTAGTCTGGTAGAAGCTGCTGTGCAGACTGCATGGTATGTTCTTTGCATGCATTCCTGTAAACGTTGTCCATACATTTAGGATTCATCCCGGCATAGGTTCCGGCCGCTCAATTTTGCGGTTCAATACGAACCCATTACAATGTCTTCCCAAGAAAAGGACGCAATCATGCAATCAGATGAAATTGAGGATTTCGTACAAGCAGTTTCAATACGGTTGGTTCAAGGTCTACATACTTGTTGTGAACATGTACACAGCGATCTTGACTTTGCTCCGCGCGACAAAAGATTCGAAAAAGCACTACAGCAAAATAGTATCGTGAACATTTTCCAAGATGATTATCAAGAGCTTGGGGAAGAAGACGTGACGCTCGAACAGGGGCCACATACATACCTTCAGGTTTGTGTTTTTCATTTTCCAATGTTTCACATTTTCATTGCAACTCAATTAATCATTTCTCGTTAATGAACGCATAGGAGTACCAATCCTTCACGGACCTCAAACACAGCAAAGACCGGTGCATATCCTGCGTAGACTGGCATCCTACCATCAAAGGTACCCTTGAATCGGTATCGTTTTCGAAAATTTGGAACTCTGTTAATATACTTTTAGGTGTCGTGGCGATATCCTGCACGGAACGAATGACCTTTGACGAACGCGTGGAGAAGGGCCTGTTCTTCAAGTCACGAAAGTCTTTAATCTTGGTGTGGAGCTTTCACGATCCCATTCATCCCCAGGTACTCTTCTTGATTTCCTGCTCATATTCAGGATATAAAAATGTAATTGGCTGCTTTCCCTTGGAGCTTAGTTGATCTTGGAAGCACCAGAAGATGTCCAATGCTTCCAGTTCAACCCTCACGATCCCAGTATCATTGCCGGAGGTTGTATTAACGGACAGGTAAATCGTATAGTCTTGTATTCAAGATATCCTCGTGTACACAAAGCTCACACTCCAAAACAGATAGTGCTATGGGACATATCCGAATACACCGATAAACTCAAAACGAGTCGTAAACCTGGTCGGAGCGATACCAGCACCGACGAGGATGTGAACTCCTTATCGGGTACTGAAGAGCGGGAGCGCGTCACGGATACGTCCGTGTTGCATTGGGTAGCTGTTTCTTCGATTGAATTCAGCCACCGGAGTGGCATTACTGACATTCAGTGGTTGCCGAGGAATATGGAGGTACAGTATTGCGATTACCTTGGTTTACTAGCCTCTGAGACTTCGAACTAACCCATCAGCTGTATCTGCTCAGTTGAGCCATACGGGCGAGATCCTTGAAAAAGGCGAACACGGGCATCGGGAGCTAGTCACGACTTCGGTAGACGGTCAAGTCGCGTTCTGGGATACGAGATATAAAAAGGATTTTAAGGCTCTGGATCTCGTGTGGAGGCCGTTTTTGCGGGTAGGATATCCTTCTGGTCGTCGATGAACCTGCAATGTCTGAGATTGTTGGTTGATTGCATATTAGGTTCCCCTGAGCGCAATGGACAACACCTTTGACTACAGCTTAACCAAAATTAGTATTCGGAGGGTGTTGGCCGACAAAGGGACTGCAACTACGGACCCAACCCAATCGGATGCATTGACAGAAGTAAAACCGGAAACATTTTCTTCCAAATTCTTTTGCTCGACGGAGGAGGGGGATCTAATTTACGCGGATTGGGTCGCTGAAAAGGCCAGTGAGGAGAAAGGTTTGTGAATTCACAGTCGAATGCTCTACTACCATTTCCCCATCTCATCAAACTGCTGTTTTCAGCATCAAGAGTCGAGCACGCCTTCAGCTACCATTTTGGCCCGATGAGTGACCTTCATCGCTCTCCTTTCTTCCCCGACATTCTCCTAAGTGTAGGTGGATGGTCATGTCATATATGGCGCGAGGGCGTAACAGGAGGGTCACTCCTCTCCTCCGCGCCAACATCCAGCTACGTCATCTGTGGACGGTGGAGTCCGACACGACCCGGTGTGTTTTATATCTCCAAAGCGGATGGCACCATCGAGGTTTGGGATTTGCTAGACCGGTATGTACATGTTGGATTTTGTCCATGTCAAGTGGTGAGCGTTAACATGTACGTGTAGATCGCATTCCGCTTCGTCGGTGCAAAACATTTCTGGGAGTGCCATTTCGTATCTGGCCGTCCGACAGTACCCAGGTTTGTTTATCTTTGGTGGTAGAGCATCTACAATCATCGATAATAATCACGTTTTGAATCCGCAGGAAAATCTCTAACCCACAACCAGTTCATCGCCGCGGGAGACGATGAGGGAACGCTTCACATTCTAGAAGTACCAAGGAATTTGACAAAACCTTCCAAAAACGAAGTGAGTTCTATCCAACCTTTTTCCATATAATTACGAACAACCCTATTGATTCAACACGAGCAGAAAGCATTCGTACGAGCCTTTTTCGATCGTGAAGTTCGACGACTAGGATACGTGCGGGGGAGAAAAGAGTATAGGATCAAAGAACAAGCGAGATACGAGCAAATTGCTTTGGAGGCTGCCGCAGCAGTATGTCTTTGGCTAGCATTGCTTTCTTCGTCAACTAACATCCAACACGTTTGTCGTAGAAGGGTGCAAAGAAGGAAGCAGAAGCGGCTGTAGCACCCACCTCTGCGGGAGCGGGTCCACCTGGATCTGCACACTCGAAGTCTACTGTGGGTGGTAACATTATGATGTCGGAAGAGGAGGAAGAGAAGGCCGAGCAGGAATACTTGAAAATGGAACACAAGTATGTAGGAATTGCTGCTGCTGGATGCTGTGTGGAAAACGGATTTCTGATCATTCTTGCATTTCCAGTTTCCTAGAGCTTGAGGGGCTTCTCCCGCCAGCTGCCACATGATAGACCTTAATTTTTGAAAGTCCTTGTTCTTGTTGATAGTTTGTTTAGACACATTTTAAATTCAACTCTTCGGTTAAAGGCCAAAATAGATTGGATCCAAGCACTTGTGGTAACCGTTCCCATCAGTTGGTAGCACCCTTGTCTCTTGAATCGCGGCCTTCAACACCGTATGCACAAGGAACATAGATAAATTAAGAAAAAAAAAAACAATGTGTAAGAGTCAAGAGCATCTAGATATCACGCCCCCTTGGACTTCTATATTCTATTGGCTGTTGACGATGCGGTTGTAGTGTGGGTCTAAAAGAGCAGAAAAGATCAGTCAGACCTTTGCCTCATGGCATGCGAGAATACAATGGAGACCCACCAATTTCCTTGACAGGGGTGGCTGTAGCAGCCAAAGCAGCAATTCCCGCAACACCAGCCAAAGCTATAAGAACTAGAGTAAGCATAACATTCAGGGTAGAGACAACAATGGTTCTCAAGTACGCACCAAACGTTTGTGCCATCATACGAGCATTGATGATTTTAACAGCTCGTGTAATATCTGTTCGCCGCCAGTTGTACAATAGGGTAGCACCCAATGTCCCCGCCCATCCATATCCTAATAAACCGCACATGCAACGAGATCTTGGTCATCAAGGCTTGTCAATGCTCATCTCAATGAACCTCACAATACTCACCAACAATTTGATATCGATACTTTTGTATAAGCTGGGACAATGACCGGTTGCCGTCAGCTTCATCTACAGGCTTGGCAAAATCTTCCTTCTTGGTAACAGAGAAGCGCATGGCGTACTCCAAGTCAGCGCGCATAGCAGCACGGTCTGTCATGGACGTAAATATTAGTTCACGATATCACACGCCAATTAATCCTTGATATATCGATGTAAGGACATACCAGTGACAGTGAAGAAGGCAGCAGTGGGAATCATCAAGGCGATAAATGTCTGGAGGTCTCAAAGTCAGCAACGCGCTACCATATATAAACAGAGGGAAGCCCACCTTGAAGGGAAGAGACAGACGCTGATAGAAACGGATATTTCTCTGTGCGAGAAGGGATGCTACCAATCCCGTAGGACCAGCAATCGCCGCCGCCTTTGCTCCCTCCATGAGCACCTTTCGGTGACGAGCTTCCCTGTCCTCTGGTGAGATCTTCTTGTGAGGATCATACGTGTCCATGGATATGGGTGAGGAGACCATGTTGACGGTTGAGTGATATGGATAAGATGTATGGAGAATGAATGCGTTTGCTCTTGATACGTGGGAACAAGTTGGGACAGAGCTGCGAGACGAGAACAAAACGTCCAGTTTATAAATAGTCAACAACTGCAAAAGACATGGATTCGAAGCGATATGAGTCATCATGTGTGATACAAACCAAACTCATTTTTACCATGGCAACAAGCGAGTGATTATGAGATGCCCGACTTATTCCGGCAGTGTCTACCAAATAGTTGGAGAGTCATTAGGAATGTTGAATTGGTGGTCGTCGTCGTTGCCTTTTACGCTTGCGAGCAGCGAAACTCGCTGCAGGCTTTAAAGTAGATTATTTAGATCGTGGCAAAGGATGGGTACTGCTTCAACAAAAACCCAAGGTGTCCCCCAGGGCCTTGAGATCATTAAACCCCCATGAAGCAGAACCTGCAGCATGGCCTCGCTTCCCTAAAGAGCACTCAGGTCAACTGGCGCTCATCCAAACCGTCAGCCATTGCATCCAAACAAGGGACCACCAACATACAAAGGAGCTCTTGGCCAAAAACGCGTGTTGGCTGCGTGGCAGTGTTCCTCAAAAACTTGGACTCAGCCCTAATTGCTTGCTACCTTTTGTGTGTGATGAGGCTGTTTTCGCCCCTTCCCCCGCTTGCTTTTTGCTTTGACTTGTGGAATTGCTGAGCGTTCCAACCCTTTTTTGGGACTGTTCTGCCGTTGTACCCACAACCATGTTGCAAAGCCAAGCCATGTTGATACAAAAAGGAGGAGCAACCTCCCGCATTTCGCACTAGATTTCACTGCTGACTTTGACCATTGCAAACACATTCCACATTCCTAAAGAGAATACACCCTTTTGACAACCAGCGCAAGCAGACTTGCTACATATTGGCAGCATGCATATACCCACATCAGCTCTGCTGCTGTTAACGTTGGGAGGCACAGGTAAAGAACTCAGGCGCTCTTGTTGCGGCACTGCACCGTCGACCACACTTTTGAACACTATTTTTTTTTTTTTTTTTTTTTGGTCCGGCTATACAGCTCGCGCCTCCCTCGCTCACAACCACTTGGCCGAGCTTCATGCCCAAGAATACCCGGCTCGCCCTCACGCTAACATCCACGCTGACCGGTACTACTCCAACCGTTACAATTACCAACACGGCGACAGTTACTACCGGGAGCGTCCCGAATACGAAGAGTATTCAGAGTACTCTGACTACGAATACCAAAGGACCCACCCGCACTTGTTTGGGAGTTCGGGTCGCTATGGCGGGAGGCAATCGATACGTCCACATGAACAGGGCGTTAGGGTCCAGGCTGCTGACGGTGAGTAAACGCACCATCTAATGTGGAGCAGTGGAGCATTGCCTTTGGGTTCTTGCATATGTCACATAATGGCTGTTGCCATTCGGGCCTTGCTTTGGGAATCTGGCAGAAATTTGTTTTCCGTCCATGTACTGATCCGATTTTATCCCAGGCTTTGCTGGCCCAGATGGTCTCAATGCTACCGATCTTCAGGCTGTGCAATATATCATTATAGGGCAAATCGTTGGCGCTTCCAACGACAACACACAGGCCATGGTTCAAGTTCAATGCAACATTAAGGGATCTCCGGCGTTAGCGCGTGGGGGAGCCGGGGGACCTCCAGGACCTAATGGTCCTCCTCAAAACGGACCCGGTGGCCCTCCTCAAAACGGACCCGGTGGCCCTCCTCGAAACGGACCCGGCGGTTCTCCTCAAAGCGGACCCGGTGGCCCTCCTCAAAACGGACCCGGTGCCCCTTCTCGCTTGCCTCAAGGGCCTGGCGGACCACCAGGTAATCCATTTGATTTGGGGCCAGGTGGATCTCCTCAAACCGGACCCGGTGGGCCGCAAGGACCTGGGCCACAGGGACCTGGTGGGCCACCCGGGCAATTCGGTCGGCAAGGGCCAGGTGGACCGAATAGCAATATGGAAGTCCCTCCTCAATGGCGGCAAACTTTCGACAACCTCCCTCCTGAAACTCAAAACGACTTGAGGAACATGTTTGGACCTCCGCAAGGTCCTCCTCGATCGGGTAAGTGATTTGTGCGGTTCGTAGTGATTGGTCTAATCAGAAAGCTGATGATCCGCATGTTAATTTAGGTCTTTGGAAACGTCAGATGCCGAATGGCCAGGTACCCCCTGAGGGACCTCCGGGTCCTGGCGGTCCTCCCGGTGGTTTCGATCCTACTAATCCAGCTGGTCCTGGTGGGCCTGGAGGTCCTCCCGGTGGTTTCGATCCTACTAACCCAACTGGTCCTGGTGGGCCTGAAGGTCCTCCCGGCGGTTTCGATCCCAATAATCCTGGTGGTCCTGGAGGTTTTCCTGGCGGCTTTGATCCAACTAACCCAACTGGTCCTGGTGGGCCTGGAGGTCCTCCCGGCGGTTTCGATCCCAATAATCCTGGTGGTCCTGGAGGTTTTCCTGGCGGCTTTGATCCAACTAATCCCAGTGGTCCCGGCGGTCCCGGCGGTCCTTCCCGTGGTCCTCAAGGTCCCGGTGGTTTTGATCCTACTGATCCATCTGGTCCTGGTGGTCCTGGTGGTCCCGGTGGTCCCGGCGGTCCGGGGCCTAATGGTCCGAATGGCCCTGGCGGTTCAGGCGGTCCAACCAACGATACTACTCCTACGAACGGCCCGTCCGACAGCCAACCTATCCAGATATCTGGTTTCTCCCAACAATGCACACCGAGCGTTGGGAACACTTCAAGTATTTCTCCTTACTGCATCTGCTGGCCGACAGCCAACGTACACCCTTGCCGGTGGATGCACTGGAGTACAGACCGCTTCCCGCGACACTCTTCAACAAGTCTCAAACGCCCTTGGTGCCAACCGGAACGAACTGGCAGGACGACAATGTGACGTTCTCCCGCCGCCCGGCCAAGGAGGCAACACGAATGGAACGTCAACCCGTCTTCAATCTGCTGTGGGCACTCAGAGTGCTGCTGGAAAGTCTGTCATTGGATGGAGTGGAATGATGGTTGCGATTGTCGCCACTCTGGGCTCGTTGTTGCTTTGATCGTGTGATACATGGTGTGGAAAGGTGTGATTTTGTAGATTGCTGTGCTGCAGGTGGGCTCTTATGATGAGCTGCACATTTCAATATCTTCTTAAATACTTGGTCTTGCCGCCGTGTATCAATACAGATTCCTGTAAAATATCATTGCACACTGTTCATATGGACACTATTTGGATCCAGAATGCATCACATAAAGCCCTTGGGCCACGATTCAAAAAGCACGGCAATCATCAAAAATAATTCATCATCTTGCAGACAGCTCCGCTTGTTGAACCATGAATCATCGTTGCCATAACAACAAGCTTGCGCACGTCCTGCCCAGTAGCGAATTCCGCTCAATCTTACAAATTCTGCAGCCTTATGCCCCACACTTGCGCCCCTGGCACTTCATCATCTTCATCACGCACTCCATCACACACACCATCAACACACATCTCTTCAAACATGGTCAAGGCAGTCAGTGTTGTACGTGGTGACTCTCCTGTCACGGGCACGGTCACCTTTACCCAAGAGTCAGACAGTGCACCTACCATTATCGAGATTGACTTGAAGGACTTGACACCCGGAAAGCACGGGTTCCATGTTCAGTAAGTATCTTGGGAAGTTGGGGATAGTGAATAGTTTCTTGGAGATGGTGGATTCACGGGTCATGGCGCGTTAATCATGATGGGATTATTTGGTTCGATTGCTGCACATAGCGTTTACCAGTAACTTACAATGTTTCGAATGGGTTTCTGTAGCGAATTCGGTGACAACACCAACGGATGCACCTCCGCCGGTGGTAAGTTCTACCTTGGACTCGGTTCACATGGTTCACGCAAATCCTAAGTTGATGTTGTGAACAGGTCACTTCAACCCTCTCAACCAAACTCACGGTGCCCCCACTGACTCTGTTCGCCACGTTGGTGACCTCGGAAACTTGGTTGCCGGCCCTGACGGTACCGTCAAGACCAAGATCGAGGACCAACACATCAAGTTGATCGGTCCCTTGAGCATCATTGGTCGTACGATTGTGGTTCACGCTGGTGAGGACGACCTTGGCCGGACTGACCACAAGGAGTCAAAGATTACTGGAAACGCTGGTGGTAAGTCTGAAAAAGGACATTGGATTCGCTAAAAAGGATGACCAGATACTGATGTGTTATTGGTAGGCCGTGTGGCATGTGGTGTTATTGGTGTTGCGAAATAGAGGATTATAATTCATAGTTGTAACTGTGTCGGCGGTCACTTTTTTTTTGGCCATAAAGACTTTACATTGCAGAAATATCATATACGAATACAGAAATGCCGTGGCCTGAAGGTCTTGATACCAGATGGTAAATCTATTTACTATTAGATAGTGTGGCGGTGACAGAAACTGGCACTAGCTACTACACCAAGGAATAAACCGGCGACAACCGGTTCGGAAAAGCTAAGCTACTACTAGGCAATTATACACGCAATACGTAACGGTTGGTTTTAACCGGATAATTGCCCACCACCACACACGGTCCCTACTAGGCCTTGATCTGGAACTCTTGATGGCATTGAAGCCAGACTCTTGCATCCAGGAGCGAATCGACTGGGCAGCGTCACAAGCCAGAGGATGTTCAGTAACAAAGGCTTGGAGACTAAAAACTGCATGTCAGAAGATGACCCGATGACAAGAAATGCAAGAAATGCCATCGATACATACCAACCAAGCTCAACTAATGTGGCAGCATAATAGTAGGTTTTGTTATCGGATCCGATTGGTTGCCACTGGTTCTGATCACGGTTGCTGTCGGGAGGGCGAGGTCCTCGACACCACCACATCGGCGTTCTCATGGTTGACCAAGTCGCGATGAGGTTGTGTGGGGCGCTATGAGGCTGCAATGTGGGTCGCAATGAGCGTTGTGCAGATGCTTTGAGAGTCGAGGGATAAAGAAACAAGAGGGAAGAAGACGAGGGGGGGGGGTTTATATAGAAAAAAGAGGGGATACATTGAGTCATGGAGCGTCATGCATGTGGCAACTGAAGCAGATGGCCGCAAGGGATAGTAACTGCAGTCATTCATGGCTGCATATTGGACCCGTTTTCTCATGATGGAGCATCTCTTGTGCATAGTTCATTTGCCTAAATCGAGGCATCTTACATTTCATTTCATTCGATCCAGTGGCTGCATCATCTGCAGACTGACAGTCTTTTTTGCCCACACACTATGTGCTTACCCAATCTTAATAAGACCAAATACATCCTTGTGTAACAATCATCCAGCAAGCTTCCTTCCACTGCAACCCTCATTGCTCTGGAACTTCGCAAGACGCACCCGGCGCAAACAGCACGTTTTGACCACCAGCTTCACACACAATGGTCGTTCCCATGCCTGAATCTGAACGAGGGACATACCACACGTCTCCCCTCGACTTTTCACGCGAAGCTTACAGAACTCGGCATGCACCAAGCGCCATAATTTTTGGCGATGGGTCCACTCGGTGGTCGCATGATGTTACTGTTCCTGAGCCTTTGGATGAGGAACCTGAGCCAGTATTTTATTCCCAGTGGGCAAGAGCGGGAGCGCGGTTAGACAGTGGCTTTGACTATGTACCCGTCAACCCTTTTGACGATATGTTCGGTTCCAGTGCCGAGAGCAGTTCTGAGGAGGACGAGGACGAGGAAGAAGAAGAGGAGAGGGTCGGCGTTTCGGAGGTTGGGCAGACGACTATGAGGGAGGAGGAGGAAGGACAGGCTGATGATGAGGATACTGATGAAGAACTTGACGACGAGTCAGAGACGGATGAAGACGAAGAAACTGAAGACGATGAAGAAGATGATGACGACGACGACGATAATGACATTGAAGAAGGCAACGATCAAGCGAACAATTTTTCCTACCAATATAATTTATTCTGTGCGAGCTGCGAAGACCAATTTCTGATCTCCTTGCGACAACCCTTCTCTGGACAGTTGCAGTGTGTATTCTGTGGTCGGCCTGCTACCACCTTGCCTGCCACCGACGACGAAGAAAGTCCAAACTTGAATACACCTACCGATTCAGATGTGCGTCGACAGCAAAATGAACAAGTGGAGGTTACACCTAATATACCACGCCAAACGCGAGAAGATGACTTTATTGCTTTGACGGATCCTTCGTCGGAATCAAATCCTTCAAGATCTTCTTCGCCTATACCGTCTGCTCCACCACCTCCACCACCACCCCCACCACTGAGACAAGAAACACAGACTTCACCCCGAACGACATCGTACCACCCGACACCACCAGCCCAAAGAATTCTCAACGCTTATCTGGAAGAGTTTGGTCCAAACCTTCCTGACCTTGATCGGCTTGTTGCATTATGTCCATCCTTAGTTGTCGATGGAACGACATCAAACGGAGCAGCGTCATCCTCTTCCTCTTCGTCTTCGTCGTCCTCGCCGTCGTACCGAGACAGAGTGATCTCACAGGCGGATTTTGCCTCTCTTGCGCCCTTGAACTATGAAGCTGGGTGGTTAAGAAAGCGAAAGAGGGACATGGATGATGACGGGGTAGGCAGATGATATCGCTGGGCGTAACTATGTAGCTGTATGATAGTATGGGGAGCGGGTCGGGTCGAACAAATTTTTGTATATTTTCTAGTGGATTGGTAGGATAATTTTCAAGTGCGGGATTATATATTGATTTCGAGCCAAATCTGCTGAACAAGAGATGTAACTGGCAAACCCTGTGCTTGTCGGGCCATTAGAGTCATGATTCATTTAATTTTACTAGTACTTTGCTTCGTGCAGCAGACCTGTAAAATGCTGAAGTCTGGGATTGCAACGATGAGGTGCTTTCCGTACATATGCTACTAATACGTCTTTTGCGATCAATGATATTTGAAGGGAGTGACGACTGTCAATCTGAAAGCAAATCCTCACCCACCCTAGCCTTCTTCAATACGATTCAGATTTTCCGTCGCTTGGTTAGCCTGGGAGTTAAATGTTCATTTGCTGGTGCTTGTGTGAGGAACCTTGAATGCCCCCCCCCCCACATCCAGGATAGGCGTGGTCGTAGCGACGTTTTTGTAAATCCACAATTGAAAATCAATGATTATCCGTGCAGATTAGGTAAAGCATCGGTATGTCCCTAATGCTAAAGTCTTGGAGTAAAGTAAAAGCGTAACACAGAATGTATACTCTAGAGTTCATTCAGAAGCTCTCTTAGAGTCATTAACATCAATGGCTGCTACCTTTGAGCTTGGCTTAACGACTGACATTAGCCTCTCCGTTTGGCGGCGCACCATGCTTTTCCTTGGGTCTAAAGAGCAGTGGTTCTCTTATACGCGCATTTGTGTTGTCCAATATGTGACTTGGGGTGCAAATTTCATAAAAAAAAGGCAACTAAAGCGTCTGAACTCGGATACTTTCAGTTGTTGAATGACACAGCTGACTGATATCGCAGGCATGGTACATAGTTGCAGGTGATAGATGAGGGCCAACTAACCGTTCAAGGCTCGCTCGAAGACGTTGATTCTACGGAGAGGCCCCAATAAAACGGAGTTGACATTTTCAATACAACACTGCGAGTCAAGAATGTGGTCCTAAAAAGAACTCGTGAACGAAATGATCGGCGAGTGATTAAAACGTGGCGCATGAACCTTACGTAACAGATAACATTCGCGCATCACGTGCGACCTGGGGTTATCAGATGCGGGCTCTTTTGAACTTTTTTCTCTCCAGCCGCCTTTTGACTCGGTTCGTTCCCCCAATATGTCTTCACCGCCATGTACGTGCGACCCCCCCGTCGTAGACGGCTATCGGTAAGTTGCTCACCATGTTCTTTGGTCCAAATTGTTGTTCAGTGACGGTGCACGGTCGCTAATTGTTCTTGTTTCTCCATTCTCAGATACATTCAATGGATTGGCACGTACTTTGGCGACTGTATCCGCACACCATGGGAGCAGGCGGCTTTTTGGTGCGGAATGGCAGGATTGGCATGTTTTGTCGTAGCATTGGTGCCGCAAATGGTAAGTCCGTGTTGAGATTGTATGCTACCGCGAATGAGCGCTAAGTATGGTTCTATATTTGTTGATATAAAGTGGAAAAATTATAAGCGCCAAAGCGTTGAAGGACTAAGTCTGGGGCTACTTCTCATTTGGTTGGTATTGAACGAAAACGCTTTCGGCTGTATTGCACCGCTGCTCACAAGCGGTTGAAACGTTTGTATAGGGCACTTGGCGATGTCACAAATTTCCTAGGTACCATCCTCACAAACCAGACACCCACCATGAAATATACTGGCGCATACTTTATGCTACTTTCCTTGGCCTCCTTTCTTCAATATTTCTACTACCGACGCAAGGAGCGGAGCAGGCATATTTCTGAGGAAGTTGAGCCACTCGTCGCAAGTGATGAAGAAGTGACTGTATCTGAACGAAGGGGATATGGCACTGTGAATCGGATCACGGTCGTAGTATCCGTTATGGTCGGATTGCTGGCATTGGTATCTGTGGCCGAGGGCCGCAGTTTGATGGAAATAATCTCCGAGTTACCTTTATGTGATGAGACCATGTCGACCACCCTATGGATGCGGATGGTTGGGAACATTATGGCTTGGATATCGGGGCTACTCTACTTTTCAAGCAGGTACTCTTGGAATGTCTGTGTTTCTCTGCGTTGCGTCGATCACTAAGATCACTCAATTTCAGGATTCCGCAATTAATCCAAAACCACCGAGCAAAATCCACCGAAGCCCTGAGCCTTACTGTATTCTTTCTCACGATCGTCGGAAACGTGACCTACTGTCTCTCGATCGTTCTACGAAACCCTCCATTGAACCAAGCTTTTTTCATATCCACAGTCCCTTATTTAATTGGAAGTGCGGGCACTTTGGTATTCGATTTGATGATCTTTGGACAGGCTGCTGCATATGGACAGTTGTGAAAGTGACTTGCATGTATTTAAAATTTGTTATTTGGTATTTAGGGCAAGGGTTTGTAGTATTTTCCTCATCGTGGTATACAGGCCGAGAAAGTCATTCGCCAGTTGTAAGTTAATGTATATTGTGTATGCATCAGAGGAATATAGAGGGCGCATACTTGGTATAGCAGTCAAGATGCAAATGGGTTCCCGTTGATCCCGGATACCATGGTTCAAATATGTACGGATGTTGAAAACCATATTTTTGGCGAAATCGAGCATTCTGTGAAATCCGAGAGCAATAGTTCTACGATCGAGGTCATAGATGCACTTTGTACCAGCTTGATCATAAAGCGCTACTCGCACTTTGTCAATATACCCCAAAGAACGGGCCACTACAGGAACAGCAAGAAGTTGATGTCATCATGTCGAAGAGAGTCTCGGTCAAGAACCCATGATCAGCATCGTATCTCAAGCAAAGTAAATGTGCTCCTCCCACCCAGTTGTCCTAGTTCCAGTCCACGTCGAACCATTTCAGGACCTCAAAGGGCCACAAATGTGCACTGTGGGAACAGGAAGCAAGAGTAGCAAGACCTCGTGCTGCAAGAGAAATGCACCGTGTTCCTCGCCATCAACATTACATGCGGTCCCTGGCAGTCATGAGTAGTGAGCTTGTAACGGGGGAATGACCAAATATTATGGAATCGACTTGCCCCCGACTATAGCCGGCAGCCTGTTTGTGAGTCTCGACATGGTTGGAGGGAGTGGACTACATTCCATATTGCATGCATGTAGGCCACATTGTCAAGCAATATCTAATTATATTAACCACTAAATCGGGTTTAAAGACTAATGAGCTGGCGGCTCTTAAAAACATTCGGCAAATGAACGATGCTATATACAATGGCAGCAAGGGTACGCCTATATATCCAGATCCACACTAAAGTGAGCATTGGGCCACGCTTCGACATCGTCATAATCCATTTCGCCCTCGTCCTGATCCCATTCTCCATCCCATTCCCCATCCCATTCCCCATCCCAATCTTCTCCCTCCCAATCTGTTTCTTCCCAATCGGCAGATCCGGTTGGCATAGTATCAGTGACGATTTCTAGACGCTCCGGCTTTTCTTCCATAATCTTATCGAGATCTACCACATTATAGCACAAAGATAGATCCAAATAGGCTAAACGCTGCGCTCTTTCGATAAGTTCATTTACCGAGCGATCGCTCACACGCGTTCCTGCTAATGCAACGGATTCCAGAAATGTGCAGTTCAGAGCAATTTCTTCGACAGATAGATCGCTGACCATAGGCATCGCTTTAAGTTCCAGAATTCGCAGCTGGTTGCAGTGTGTTGCTATTGCAAGGATTCCTTCATCAGATACTTTGTCACACTCGGACAGGGAGAGGTACTGGAGTCCAGGACAGTTTTCGGCCAAGGAGACAACACCTCTGTCTCTCAGGGCACTGCAACCTTCTAATTCAAGATATGTTCTGAAGATCGTATGATTAATTACTGATATCAGAATAATAGGATTCCCATATAAAGTCCACTCACAGTTGCGGACATCCTTTACCAAGGGTTGTAATAGTCTGACTGTCAACTACCAGCCATCGCGGCCATGGGGAGGACAACAAATCTACCTCCCGCACAATGTTACCCAAGTTTGAGTTTTCAGATACCGTCCTGAGAAAGCTTTGAAAGGACTGGCTAGATCCAAATTTTGGTATTCTGTACAGCAAGGGCGTCGCGAGACTGTTCCATAACTTGCATACTTGTGCTACTCCAGCTAGGGTAGGTTGGTGTTCAATCGTATGTATGATTTCCACGATGATTTCTGCTGGTAAGCGGTTCATGTTGATATGGATGACATGGAGGTGAACGAACAAGGCCAGGCTCCAGGCTAGCACTGTTTTTGCCAGGATGGGAACACGTGACAGCATCTCATGTAAGCATATGAGTCACTATCGCTTGGCCTCTCTGTAGCCCAACTTTTGCGAAACTGCAAGCACATCCACCTTATTGCCGCAGTCGTTTCCTGCATTATCATTTGAACAGTCACATCATCCTGCTAGTGGGAATAACAGAGAAACATAGAAGGAATGGCCAGACGTGTGAGACACAAACCGCCACTACTATTCAGATAGGAAGTTTGAGCATTTCGAGTTTTGGCTTCGCACATTCGAAACGGAACGTGTGCGGCTTTGCGATAGTGAGTGGCCTCCAAAAACTTTACAAATATGCTTCTATTACACCCTTTGGGCACATATCTTTCTTCAGCGACGTGTAAGCTTACTAAGGATGGGGACCCGTTGGGCGTCCTCAGTTCTTGTACATTTGAGCAGACTCCAGAATGAAGGTGTATCAGGCGGAATCGGGGATTCTACTCCCCACAAGAACGTTTTCCGTAACCGAAAGGTTGGTATAATTGTTCTTTGTGCAATGCGCATCATGGGGAATGTCGAGCACGTAAAGGTCGGAGGAACCATGTTCATGGGCGTGGATGGAAGTAGTTATACGATCTTCTGCAGTGACCGATACTAGCAGCATAGGATGAGTGGATTGGTAGGGGCATACCATAGCAAATATAAAAGGGCTTGCCAGGAGGGTGTCGCGATTCTGTGATAGTCATATTCATGCTGACAGGTTTGGCTCGGCATGCCTTTATTTATCTAGCATCGATGATCTCCGACAAGAAATCTTTTCCTTGACATCTACCCCACCCCATGCGCAGATTTTGTTGACTCCAGCTGGAGTTCAGCTAAAGCCTGAGATGGTCTCTGAGATTTTCGCAAATGCCACGAATAAGGTAATAGTCGGAGTATGGTTACTGTGCTTTTCCAAGCTGCAAGTCCTCAAAGCGTGCCTTGTAGGATGAAAGTGTGGTTTATGTTTTCAACCGTCAACTACTTGACCGAAAGACGGTGATGGCGTCGCTGATGCCTGTATCCCCAGATCTCGAGCCACCTGTTCCGCTGAACGGTGAGCATCACGATTTTCATCTGAAGCCGGTCCAAAATTGATGAAGTATATGTTGCGTTAGTTCTAATAGATATCAATCTCTCCGATACGACCACGCTCCTTGATCGCTGCAACACATACAGCCAGGCATTCCGGTCCCACGTAACATATGGCCAGGTATGCTTGCGGTATTGGTATGATTGAGAAGCTGGATAATATGCGAATAAGTATCTATTCTAGGCAACATTGGCTACACTTGTCTACCACGTATCTGTATGCGAACGGTCACTAAATGGTATCATGGCACTAAGTGTGATTTCGTTGGTTATGAAAGAACGACTGATTTCCATGTATCGGCAAAGAGCAAAAGGCGCAGGTTGAAGCATTGAACATCGTCCTCACTAACCTAAAGGGCCATAGCCGGTGAGAGCCTGCTCCTTTTCCGTTGATGGAGTTCCTGTTCTTACCTCAAGGACTAGCTCCCTTTGTGAAGCATTTGATGCGTTTTATCTACACGCACAAAGAGAGTTGGCCAAACATACAAATCGCCTTCAAAGGTACTGCGCGGAACATGGCAGCCAGCGAATCCGAGAGGATACGTACTGAAGTGTCGCTTGATAGTTTTCCCACAGATATGCAAGCGTTGCATCGATTGCCGATCCATCCGTCTATCGCAGATGGAAATAAGTATCTATCAGATTACGTGCCGGAAGACAAGCTCATTACCTGGGCGGATAACTGTCGAGTTGCACATGGTGTGTAAGGCACAGCGCGCATTTGGGTATGCCACCGCCTCATGTTCGGCTTAATCATGTAGGGCAACTGGTACGTAAGGTCACAGCCTTGGCGGAAGCTGTTAAGAGCATAAAATCAGGCACCGACTCGGAGACTTCCCAGCCTTTCGACGTTAAGTATGTTCATGTACGACACCAATACGCGGTATTTTGCTGACCATATCCCTATGGTAGCTTTCGTCAGCTCGAAGCATTCCTTGCGGACGTCAAAGATGCTCGCCAGCGCGTTGAGTCTAAGCAGCAGCGGCTCGAAAGAGGTGCCTATTCTAGATAGTCGGTTGACTATTCACGGTTGATAGCTGACATCTACCGATGTTTCTAACAGATTTTTCCCGAGTGGAAGACATTCTATCCGAGATGCAGGCCAGCACTTCGTCGGTGGTCAGCGATAAGATCACCTCTCTTGATCATCTGCACAAGATTCATCGCACCGAATATCTGCCCAGTAAGAGATCATGGCCTCTCTCAAGGTGTTGGAAAAAACCGTCGCTGAAGTCATTTGGTACCTTAGAGATTACCGAGATAGATACTTCGGTCCGGCAAATGGCATCTGCCTTCATAGAATCGAAGGTAGGAGTCTCCATGTAGTTTCTACCGTTCTAATCGGCGATATGAAGTCTCACGTCGCCGTTTTAGGTCCACCTATCTCAACAATTACAGACTCGACTTCAGTCTATATCGCACATCCAATCCCAAATTGCCTCAGTAACACCGACCTTAACTGGCTTGACTAATCTGCTAAACGCCCACATCCAAGCGTTTACCCAACTCCTCCATGTACATCGAATGCCGGCGGCGTGGGGAGCCACCCTTGTGGAGATTGTCCGGCGACGCGAATTTGTGAGGGTAAGGAATACGCAAGTAGTCGGATAACGTTCTTATGACTTAGATGACTGATGGAGCTTTCCAGGTGTTCCTTGCGAAAGCGAAGGATATGGCCGAGATTTTAGCCAGGTTTCGAACACATGAGGAAAAGCGGCGGGAGGCCTTTAAGAACGAGATTGGGCGTTATTTGCCTCCAGATCTAGTCCCAGGTGCGTGACACCCTGGTCGCCAATCTGCATATTCCAACCGTGCTCAAACATGTTGCAGGGTTGGATGATCGACCACCTATTTGCGAAGTTTCTGTCTCGAACACAAAAGACGGGTTGCCCGACATTAGCCGTGAAGACATTGCAGGTAGCTACAAAGTGCACATGCGCGGGCTACAACGGTGTACTGACATTGCTTGCAGATTTTGAAAAGCTCGTCACCAGCATACATTCATCTATGGTGGAAACGGAACCGATTGGGCCGTCAGCTAGCCAGACGCATTCCAATCATACTATCTCGAAGCTGATTGCAACCATGGTCAAGATGGCCAGTCAGGTGGACGCAACCCCTGCCGATTTCGAGAGGATTTTGAGCAAAACCGGTAGGTGGATTGTAAACGATAAGGAGGAACTATTTGTTGAACATCGTTTTAGGATTCTCCGAAAGATTATTGAGACTGGAGGAAGAAAATATGCGGTTGCGAGCCCAACTTCAGGGAGCAGGTATTCCTCCTTCACACTTTTCCCGAAGACAATTCTTTAACCTAGGCATCCTTTCGGTAGCCGACGTGCAGCCGCGTATGCTCATTAGCCGCAGCCCCTCGTCAGGACCATCTGACATGCGAGACGCATCCCAAGTTTCTATGGCCCAAATGGAAGTGATTGCCCTGCGGAACAAAATGGCCGAGTACGAAGCACGGTGTGCGGTCTTAGAAACTCGGAGTCAAGAGTACGATGCGATTGCCGCACGCCTCGTGGAAACTGAACAAGCTCTTGAGACAGAGAGGAGAAATACTACGGAATTACGAGCAACTGTGTATGAGATCGGGCGAGAGCGAGAACAATGGTTGCGGGAAAGGCAGGAATCCATTGCGATGACAACTGCAATTACGGAGGAGAACAACTCGATCAAGGCTGAGGTAGAAAAGGTAAAGCATGTCAGCCACCTTCTGGTTGTGCGTCTCCAACTTACACTTGCCGTTAGTCTCGTTCCTTCTATGATGAAGTTCGAGAAGGATTGGAAGCATGCGGACGTGCTCTGCACAGACGCAATGAAGATGAATCCACGGGCCAGAATACCGATTCCCAACCCGACATGTCGTCCACAAGTACGCGTGCTAATGCAACGCCAGATGAAATCCGCAGAGCTTTACGAGAGCTTCAGGACGATATATTGTGCCAGACCGCCCAATTGGCAAGTATGAAAGCGTCCATCACAGAGGGCGATTCGACCAGTGAGGTGAGGTGTGGCAGTTTGCACACCAGCAGGTAGTTCAATTTTGTTGACGCCATATATCTTTTTAGTCTGTGGAAGGGGAGATTGTGGCACTCTTGACCCAAGTCGGAAATCTCCGGGAAGACCTCAATGCCGCCCAGCTGCACGTCATTGAACTACGGGACCATTTAACAGCCACCGAAGCGCGGGAGGCAATCGTTGAGGCGGATCTACATTCAACTCGTGCGTTACTTAAACGTGCTGAAGAAGATCTGGCCATGGCACGTCAAAAACTCAAATCGAGGGAGACCGATTTGGAGGTATGCCAGGGACGTCTGACAGAAAAGGAACACCAGGCTCTTACCGTGCAAGTGGAAGCAGATTGGCTGAAGAAACGGGTGAATGAGTTGGAGGATGTGGTTGCTGGATTGCAAGAGGACCAAAAACAGCTGAACGATGAACTGGCTTCACGACAAGCAGAGCTGGGAGCGACCGAGGCTGACATCGAGCAGACCCGGGCCACCCTCGCCGAAGCACGCCAGCAGGTTTCCACTTTGATGGAGAATCTACATGTAGCCGAAACATCGCTGCTCCAAAGGAATGAGGAAATGCAGACCATGGAAAAAGAACAGCAGAACCTTGCAGGCCACGTGGCGAGCTTAACCGAACAACTAGCGCGACAGGGTGAATGGCTCAACGAGAAAACCACCGAGATGGAGCGGCTAGTACGTGAAGTTGGAGACAAGGAATCCCAGTTGCAGGAGGCAGTTGAAAAGTCCACTTCACTACAGAACCATGTTCAAGAAAAGATCTCAGAGGTAGAGACGCTGCGAACGACAGTCTCTCAGTTAGAGCGAAATCTTGCCAATGTTCAGCTCGAAATAGCCGAACAGACGCAGATGGCGGATGCCCTCCGCAAACAGCTGATCGATACTGAGGGGGATTTAGCTGAACAGACGCAGATGGTGGATGCGCTCCGGAAAAGTCTGACTGCTATCAAGGAAGACTCAGCTGCTGTCCAAATAGAGTGTACTAAAACGCAGGGCAATGTCAGACAGGAGTCCGAGGATAAGAGTGATCCAATCGTTGCAGATATCCCAAAGAAACAGGATTGTGGTCCAGTGTTGGCCAATACTGCAACATATATGCAAGCAGCGATCGGTCAGCTGATTGCCTATCATGAAGCTCTTTATTCCATTGTAACAGAGATTTGCGGATCAGAAACTGCAGAGCGCGTTCTAAGTCACGCGAGCATCCGGGAGATACTTAGCGCGGATGGCATCACCGCTGATCCCGAAATACCTGATGTTCTCGACCGCGTATGGCTCTCCCGTCTCAGTGACTCGATAAAAGAAGCTCATGAAAAGTTGATCCAAATTGGCACGGAAGTCGATCCGGCGAATGCTTGGACTCAGGTTTTGGAACGCTGGAAAGATTTGATGGAGAGGGAGGTACCACACTTGCGAGGTGCGTTGTTGACGTTTGTCTCAGGGTGTTCATCAGGAGCTTATTCCTTCCTCATGTTGCAGAGACTTGCGTAAAGGCGAAGGAAGCTGGGCGGAATAAAATCACTTTTAAAAAGTATGTTCATGTGTCTTATTTGATGCTCTTTATACGCTATAACGGATTCTCTCTTTCAGCTTTCGCGCGAACGATTTGGCACTGTTCTTACCCACCCGGAATCCCAAAGGTAGAACTATCATGCCTCTTGAACGAACGTTTATGCATGTATTGATTGGTGGTATATTAGCCTGGGCGGCGTTCAATGTCAATTCCCCGCATTTCTTCTTGTCACCTGAAGTCAGCCACGCCTTCGCTGAGCGAATGAGGTGAAACATGACCGATTTTGCACTGACTCTGAAGGATTTCCTAATTAACGCTCTCGATTAGGAATCGCGATTACATTCTTGCGTTCATCACTGACATCAAAGAGCACGTAGTAGACCCGGGAGATCCGACAAGTAATCCATTTGGACTCGCTACAAAGACTCGGTTCCGGCTTTGCATGGCGCGAGCATGGGAGCCAAGCAAGTAATTGCGGAGAGGGATGCCTGTGTCCGTTATTCACCCGATATTGCCCGCTTTTAAGGGCACCATATCTGCAGGCAGACGGGGAGGGAGACCATGAGTGCTTCATAAACCCAACACAAAGTGATGGAAAAGGGATATGGGAAGGGTTCGACCTCTTCTTTATACAAGCATACCTGGCTTAATTAAGCGGACTTTTTTTGTATTGTAGGTAGCTTCTTGTTGCATTTGTATGACTATGCTTTTATTTTCGCTTTAATGTTTTCCATTGCATTGGGGATTATGTAAATCAAGTTAACTATGGCACTCTGCTTATTTTGGGCATATTGTTTTGAATTGCGATCGTCACGCTATCGAACATTGTTCATTTGCCCTTTTTTGGACTATATCTTTCTGAATGATCTGCATGTATTCGGACATGGACATGCTTTCGTCTTGGGCTGCACAGTGGTCTTTCGATACTTTGCACAGTGGAGACGACTTGGAAAGAAGACGGCGTTCCACTATCGCATTACTCCTTTCACAAAGCTCTCCTTAACCATACGCGTCAGATCGTGCCCATCTTGGCTCTGGTCGGCTGTCACCCTGTGAACACTCCTTTCTTGGCTGCATCATGAGCTCTTCGAAAAAAAAGAACACCGATAAATCAAAGGGGAAAGCTGCTCCTAGCGACGCTTCACCAGTACCCTCCGATGATACTTCTACAGACCAGCCGGAAGAAGTGAAAACCATCACAGCCCCTGAACCGGAAAAGCGCAAAAGGGGCCGTCAGCCCAAAAGTGCACAAGAAAACACAAAGGGCAAAGAAAACATCAAAGGAAAAGACGTAGTTGATAATAAAAAAAAGGAGGAGCAGGAACCAGAAGATGCACCGTCCCCCAAAAGGGCGAAAACTGAAGAGGACACTACACCCACTGAAGGCCGTGTTAAGCGCGAGCGAAAGGCTACAGTGCATTACAACGTGGACGCCCCTTCTAAAGCTCCGAAGAAGATTGAGATACCTGAGGTATATACAAAAGAAAGTATTCTGGTCATTGATGTCACAACTAATCCGAACATTAGGGAAAAGGACAGCCGCTGAAAGACATTCAAGCCAGTGCGTGTCCTCTGGGTGCTCGCGGCGCCGTTTCTTGTCCACTAATTATCATCATGTAGTTCATGATGTGATAACGACTACCCGCGCGAGCGACGAAGTATTGAAAGGATTCCATAGTCTGATTTGGGGAAGAGCTGCCGTAGGTCATCGAGCACGTAGTTCAATGTGGTTTGTGCTAACCCTCCCATTGCAAAGCATAAACATCTCAAGCAGGACTTGTTGAACTTCAAGGGGTTTAACTTTCAATCGGACGTAGGTGGTCCTACACAAAGCTACATTTGCATTTATCCTGACGCATCTGTGGTCCGTTAACAGAAGGAGCACGATGTCGTTTTGCGCAAATTAGAGAAATGGATGCTGACTGGGCTAAAGGAACTTTCTCACCTCCTTTGCCTCGAATCTTCTGGAACCAAGGTGTGGCTGCTGTAGTATTCCAAAGTTAACAGGAAACTTTTTCTGACTTGCCTTTGGCTGTCTAGGAAGTGATCATTGAAAGGATATTCAAGTTTTTACAAGAGCCATCGGAGGAGGCTATCAAGTCTGGTAGCAAAAAGGTACCTACTCGGAAGCGATTGGTGAGCTTTGTCGTGCTCGAACTGAAGTTGCCCCCCATCAGAAGCAGTCTTCCAAATCTGCAAAGAAAGATGCTGCAAAAGATGCCCCGAAAAAGCGTATACCAAAGTCAAAGACAGCTTTTGAGGTCTTTGCTAAAGAGAAGCGTGACGAGGTCACAAAGGAGTTGGGCGAAGACGCAGAAAAGGACGCTATCGACAAGCAGCTGAATAAGCTCTTCCAAGGCTTAAGCGAAGAGCAGAAAACAGCATATGAGCAGAAGCTGGAAGCTTCAAAAGTCAAGGCCAAAAAAGACGATGCCGTTAAAAAGGCATCCGGCGACGTTGGTTCAGTCAAAGTTTTCTTGTGGTTAAAGTGAAACAGCTTGGTAATCTTATCTACCCTAGACCAAACCAAAAAAGCGAGCCGCACCTAGCAAAAAGGCAACGGAAGTTGTAGAATCAGAAGAGGACGTGGAAAATAAAAACAAAAACGAGGAAACGGCACCTGCGAAAAAAAGCAAACCCTCAAAGAAGAAAAATGGATCATCCACTGGGCCGACAGATGCTCAAATTGAAAAAGAAATTAAAAGTATTCTCAAAGGTGCATGTCGCCTAACCTTTCTCGCGAGCGACAGAACGCCACTCATACTCTTGTCCGTAGATGCAAACCTCCAAGATCTGACGTCAAAGAAGGTGCGTAGCCATCTTCAAGAGGTCTTCAATTGTGACCTTTCAGGAAAGAAGGAGTTCATCAAAGAGAAGATTGATCAATGGTTGGGGGAGCAGGAGTGAGTAAAGCGTAGCTAGATGCATTAGCTGGATGTTGGCAGACTGGAAACTCGGTCATGGACCGGGCGCTTTCATGTACTATAGTCTCGACGTCAGCCATCTATTGGCATACCCTGCAATCGGCTAAATTGAAGGCAGCGGGCGTGATTTATAGGAATATTAAAATATTCTCTTCGTCGCATTAGCATTCTGCTCTCGTTAGTTGACAAAGCAAACAGCATGCCAGCTACTTGTGACATATCTTAAGCACGATCATAGACTGTCAGCATAAACAAAAAGAAACACTGGTCCAGGAGCCGATGGCCGCAACCGTAACATGTTTGAAAATTCGGTCTCATCATCATTTGCAATATACTGAATTTTCTTACAATTGCCTCTTCGAGTCGGTCTATCAAAGCTTCCCAACTCGCTGTTCACTCTGTAATTCTCTTCATCCGTCCTTGATATCCTACAAGGACGATGCAAATTTAGTCGCATGTCTGTGGTGTCGAGGTCCTCCTGATCCCAATGCGACGACAATCTGCGACTGCCAGCGTATCTATGCTGCCCCAATCGCAAGTGTCTTATTTCCCTAGTCCGTTCGCACGCAGCTGCAGTTCCGAGCTTGTGAACCTGTCCCACTAGAGACGGACATGGAAGGTCGCTTCCCAAGATATGGGGACCTAGGACCAAGTAGAGTAGCATTCGGAGTGGTGGACAATGTATTCGGAAAAACAACCGATATATTTATTGAAATATAATAGCTGATTAGTATCTTAATTACAGATGGGTTAGATACCCTCCTCGCGACCTGACGGTGTGCGATACCCATTCTGGTAGAGGGATGTGGGAGCATGCAAACGTCTTTGCATCGTGTAATGTTGCAATCTAATATGCCAGGATCTATCCTAAAACTACTATCCAAAACTCCTATGCAAAAAACCTAGAGACATTGTCCATCTATCTGCAAAGTCTACACCAAGTATCGGGATAGACTCTCTGCGCTGGAATCGCTTCCTCCAAATTGTGACATCCGTCCTGTACTATTTGACGACGTACTCGTTGCGCCAAAACTATCGTGTCGCCGCGTTGCCATGGTACCAAAAGGTCTGGAGAGTGAATGGCATCGTCTATGTGAAGATATTGAAGCCATTTTGGCCGCATCGGGTAACGACATTCGTCGCAGGCTGGCTAATGCTGGATCGCTGTGCAATGTCCCGCTGCTTGACAATGTGCTGTTATCGCTGTGCAATGTTCCGCTACTTGATACTGTGTCATTGTCGCTGTGAAAGTACTGCGACACCGATTCAAGGGATCGAGTGCGCATCGGCATTAGGTAGTCTTCTGCGTCAATATCCTTATCACGCTCTTTAGTAAGAAGGTGAGGTAGGGCTAATGAGGCAAGTGGTGGTGGTTTTGAGAGTAGTATTGCCGGAAGCGTAGGTTTTTTGGCGGCTGATGAGGCGAGTAGTTGAGGGAGATTGAAGTTGAGGTGCTTCAGAGCAAATACTGCAAGTCTATTTGTATTCGATCCTGTTTGCGGGACTGGTGCTTTTGGAAGGGGGGTAGGTGTCGGTATACCGCGAACAGTTGACGTGACCGAGTTCATGCCAAGTGTTGTGCCGCTTGTTACCGTAGACGTTGAGTCTGAGAACGCGGATGTTGTAAAGGCTGCTTCCAAATTCAGAGGCTTTGGACTACCCATGGCGGCTGTGTCTCCATCCAAATTGGGAGGGATCTTTGATTCCGGATCACCTCTTCGGCGGCGTTGTCGTTGCAAGAAGCCTCCTATAACGGCGGCTGCGATAAAACCGCTCACCAACAACCCAACAGCGATTCGGGTGACCGAAGAAGACTGTCCACCTTTGTCGTCAGCGAATGGAGAACTACCGGACGGTCCGGAACCTGGCACACCTGGAGCCGGGATTAAAACCGGTCCATCACCACGTCTGGGAGAGATGTCATTCGAACTGTCTAGGGTACCGCCCGACTGATCTCCATTAGGAAGCTCAGGGCGTTTGGACAACGCTTCCGGAGGCCGCCAATGTCTCTGAGTCGTGCTCGTAGGTAGAGGTTCGGATACTGAGGTAGAGGACGATGGTAGCGGCCCACCATTGATACTGCTAACCAGTTCAGGTGTATGACTACCGCTCGGAGACGCTGATACAGTATGAGGCGGATTTGTCACAATCGGTGATGGTGAGCTCTCCGTTGATGGTGCAGGGGCGGATGGTGCATGGACGGAAGATGTCTGAGAACTTGTGCTCGATGGAATCGCCGTTGCAGAGGGTGTAGACAGAGCTTCAGTGGAGGGACTTGCCGTCAGATTGCGTTCTATATTTTCTGCTATGGCTTTGGTTGGGGTTATTGATGGCTGGGTTTCCGATATTGCCACGGTACTGGCCCGTCTAAGAAGACCGTGAGATGCCTCTTTCCCGCCAGAGCCATTCTGGTGTAGACGGACAGCTAGCGACAGTGGATTCTTGAGGTTCCAGCCGTAGACTGTAAGTGTAAGACAAAGAAGCTGTAGCAATACGACTAGCAGACACGGTTTAGACTGTCGTCTGGACCGTCCCGTCAGCATTGTGAAGCCAACTCGGGGGGCGTCGTAACCTGACTCGAGACCTTTTGTTCCCTTTAGTCAAGTCTATAAACTGCAGACATGCCAGCGCAAACGCAAGTGTACACGCTTCAAGAGTAGTGGCTGCCGGAGCCTGTTAACCAGTGAAAGGAAGGAGGACGATGGGGAACAGAGATGAAATGAATGAATGGAAGAAATGATTTCCTTGAACGGTGGTGGAAAGGCCCCCGACCTGCAAAAGTGTGCAAATTGAAGCCGAAATGGACGGCAGTGAGACAATTTGCTTATTGTGTAACTGTGCCATGTCGGTTCCGGCCGCGTGACTGTGCATTATTGTCATAGCAACAGTGCGATGGGTGGAAATCTCCTCGCGCGTTTGGCTTTGGCTGGGACAAAGGGGGGAGGAATGGAAAGGTTGCGATGCAGGGCGGACGTTGCGAGGTTGACATTACCGCCACATCCCTGAACTTGCCCACCGGTTGCGTTATAAAAAGCAAGTACAAGTGTCCTCATGCTCATGTAGGTGCGCAGCTTTCATGTACGTTGGGTGAGTTGTGACATCGGCAGATTGGACGCGTCCGGATATGCCAGTGTGTGTCTCATGCTCCATCCTTTTAGCCTTATCCACAGCGAGGCGTGCCGCCCTCCTTTTTTTCTTTCTTTTTGGACAGCGTAGCTTTCTCGTTTGAACTGCAGACAGCGTGAAAGCACACTCGGGATTCTTTCCACACGATGGTAATACTAGCGTAGGCAATCTTGCGTTCGACAATGCCCAATTTTGGAGCTCGGCGTGGGAAGAGGCGATTTAGTGTTTGCAATTTTTCCGCATCAAGACGTGAAATAGCTCACTTCGTAGCCGTTACAATACCATTACTCTTGATGGTTGTGCCAATAACGGCCGAGGGGGTCGGGGCGATTGGAGAACAGGCTCATTCTCCCTCGCCAAGCGTGGGAAGTCGGTCGGGAAGACAAAGACCAAGTCAGAATAGAACGCTCTCACCAACTCCCACCAGCCGACCATCTATCAGTACAAAAGTAATAGTCCCCGAAATTACCTCTGGCATTTCTGCACCCACCGAAATCGTCGACACCACTAGTCTTCCAATCGATTTTGAAATAACCGTCACTGCACTTCCGATTCCTGCGTCACCACCAGAATTTTTCAAATCACTTGTGAATCCACATGGCTTTCACCGCACGGGCCATCGAAGTTGGCTTCCTGAAACTACAATGTCTGCATTTACGAAGGAACCGGCCACGGAAACTACAACTCCATTACCCACATCAACGGCGATTTCAAACAAATCAACAGGAAATACTGTTCTCAGTCGTCCTTCTCTCATATCAATTGCTACCGTGGTCCCTCTTCTGGTAATCATAATATGTGCGCTCTTGGGCTGGTGTTTTTATCGCCGCCGGATAAGAGCACGTCCAAATATGGTGCGTCTTTCATGAATCTTAACGGCAGTTATATCGTGTAGCTAATATATCTGCTAGGCATCTAACGACGATGACACCAAAAGTTTAACCTACGACGCCGCGGATGATCTCGCAGATGCGGTGATGGTGGAAACAATCCCTACCAAAACTTCCAAAAGCACATTGTTTGGAAAGATGGACTTCCGTAGCGTCGCGTCCTCAGTCGAAACTGGCTTGCACACAATGAGCTCGAGCATCAGCAGCATTGGCTCCAGTTGGCGCGGTCGAATGAAGCTAGCTGAGGTATGCTCTCAATTCCTGGTTGCTCATTGATCATTCGACAGCCATACAGTCCATTGATGAGATTTGTCACACAGACACCAACACTGCCTGATATCCTGCGAACACCGCAATCTCCATTGGCTTTCTTGTCACCACATTCTCTGGACCTTGAGAATGGCCAGGTCGAACCGGACTTGGTTGTGCAGGACTACATACTATGTCTGTCACGATCGTCCTGCGAAGATGCAGTACCAATAAACCCGTTTGCCGACGTACAGGAAATAAACACCGACGTGAAGATATATCGACATTTGACCCAAGTTAACAAGGAGGACTCCGTCGTGACAATTGTTAATGTGGAACCCACTTGTGGGTCAGGGACATCATTGCAGACCGCACGTTTGAGGCAATCACCTCCACGTGGTGAACGCGCGGTTGATAGCCGAAAACGTTTATCGCCCTCACTAAAGTCGCCACCGCCTGCGATCTTATGCATCAAGAATGGTGATGCGAAAGGTGTTTTGAGGGATTGCGCGAGTCGCAGAAGTGCACATGGCCCTGGGCCCATGGCAGCACCCACGCGAGAAGAGCGTAGACAATCTGGAAGATGCAGATCCATGTCGAGTTATCAACGGCCCTGTTCGACTCCGTCTACCATCGACGGTGACCGATATCGTCTGGGCAGTACTGGGTACAGCACACCTCTTACCCGAGGGACGGCCGCATTGAACCGATGTCCGTCCAACAGCAGTACGTGTACCAAGGCGACAACGGCAACTGGAGGATCGGGATCCTCGGCCGCTTCACGGTATCTATGCCGTCAATGTTTAAACGTACTCGCCGATGGATGTACAAAGGGCACATGTAAGGCTTGTCTAAGGGATGCATCATCAGATGTGTCGGTGATATCAGTTGAAAGTGGAGGAAGTGAGGGAAGCTTGTCGAATTTTCTGTGATATTTATTTATGGGCTTTATATGTTCTATCTTGTACTATACCTTACTGTCGCCTCTCCATCAGCCTCTCTGGTACATAACTGGTGTGATTTACTTTTTACGGGCAGCTGGTGGGGTGAAATAATCTGTAATATTCCTTTATTCCTTTGATAAATAAAGTTTGTACTTGCGCAGGGAAGCCCATGACAGGAAAGTACGTATTGGGGAAATGTTCATCAACGTATTGCCAGGGGGATTTTTCATCCTGTGTGATCTTCACCCAGTGGGTTGGTGAGCTGCTTGATAGGTCCTTTCCAAGCTAGAGGTTGAGCGCCCGGCCATTCCATGACTCTCACTTGCATGGTGGGGATCGTGACACCATTTCGTAAATCCTAAGTAAGATACTCAAAAAGCGCCTGGTAAACCCGTCCATGTTCCATGCAGAAATCTCCACTAGAGCGATGACCTCCTTCGGGTACGGCAAACTCCGTCACTGCTGCCCCATACGTCTTCCGGATATAAGAGACGGCAAGGGACTTTGAAAGTGGCAGAATGACCCTGCATCTAAAGATTATGTTTCGGCTAAGAGTGAAACTGGGTGCGCTGGTGGACTGCAAATATTTGATAAGTGGCGTGAGTAGATAAGAATTTGCACTAATGAAACTGAATATCAAGCTGAAGTCTGGGAAGAGCAGCTGGTGTGGTCTTGATCCGACATCTCTTGCGCTTTTTCCATTTGCTGAAAGCACCGATTCAGACAACTACGAATCTTGCCTGCGACAGATGCCAAATGTCGCCGCTACGATGTGTTTCCGTCACCTCATGACGATGAAGTACCTCAAGGACTCTGACATGCGACTAGGAACAGATACTGGAGCACAGCTTACTTCTTATCCAGTTCGCGACCTGCTGTCTCGTGGAGTCAGACTCCACATTCTTTCCTCGCTGATAGTAACTAAAGTATATTCGGGAACTCAATGCTCTCTCAAGTGCTTGAATATATTACGTCATATGATGTTTAATATAAAATCTGCTCGCCCGTCCTTATTTACAGCATTTCGTCAATCTTTCATACATGCCTCAAAATCCAGTCTGCACCGCCAGCCTAAAGAAGCGAAGATATACAAAATCAGCTCCCCGTAGAATGAAAGCGGTTCATTAACCCATCGTCAAGCATTTCCAACTGTTTGATTTGGACAGCCATCACCGAAATAAACCGACTCTGCCAACGCAATACGATTGACTCCGAGGATACTCACATCAACAGCCTCAATCTCCTTCTGGCTAAAGGTCTTCTTCTGAAATCTCCTTGGCAGCTGTTCGATTGACTGATAATTAACCGCATTTCCGACGCGTTGGGGTGCAGCAACTGTTTGTGGTTGTGCTGCTGGTGAGGTGGATGGGTGTTTGAGGAAGCGGCGGGGACCGAGAAACTTGATGAGCGGGACGTGCTTCCGGAGTGCAATGTTTGCCATTTTTGATTGCGTGAAAGGATGATGTGATGAGGCTGTTCGAGTCCTTGTCGCCTCAGGGGAAGTGGAGGTCAAGTATTATTGTTGACGATGTAAAATTAGTGGTCAAATGCTCGTTATATTTGGCGATATCGGAACGGATGGAGAGAGTCAGCATTGTTGCTGTGGCAACATGTTACATCAGCACCTCCGCTGTGGAAGATCGATTTCTGTTGTGTTGACTTTCAGTCACCTTGAAACCATCTTGCAAATCCAGGATTCCTCTTTTCTTCTGTTCCTTCACTTGCAGATATGTCGTCTAACTTTCGCCATGGTCCTCGTCCATAGGCAAGAGAATCGTTCATTCACATTTAAAGAGAAGGCCACAACTATATCCTAGAGAGCAGGCAAGCCATGATTAAACTCATCGATGTTGTCGTGATCGCATATATTGGAAGGGAGCATTTTTCGGTCTCTATATGTGTACTGCTCGCAAGGCAGATTGGCTATGTTCTTGTATATTTTAGCGTGAAATGTGTTGGCGCTAGGCCACCAGGATCATAGAGGCGTTGAGCTGCACCGATCTAATTAGCAATGCAATCACAGAGATTGGGAGGTATCAACCCTTGCCGCATACAGAATCAGGCGAAAACCACGATATCATCCTGCTGCAAACTGCCTTCTAAGGAAACCAATACAGTTCCAGAAAGCGCTGATCCTGGCGTCGGGTACTGTCAAAAAAAATCGGCTGCATTTGCCCCCAGGCAATCAACCCCAACAGCTTTTTCCAAAAGATATTGGTAAACGGAGAAACGATCCTTTCGCACGCTCGTCCTTTCAGCGACACATCTGCCTGGTAGCGAACCGAACTAGTTGGCCCCTCCTCTTCAAGAAAGCGTAAGGGAATATGCACAGTTGTGCGGACACTTGGTCGACGGGCGTGATCGAAGTTGGTCTGCTTACGCAATAGATTGGTCAACCAGATCTTTCTTTTCAAAAACTGTGCCCGAACATGTAGTCTGAGTTGGAAAAGATTGGGAATGAACACCACACGATCCTTACCGTTTCTGTTCTCCCGCACACCCTGTATCTGCCAGATCATTCACCCGACATGTAGGCGAACACCTTTGCGCTTTTTTCTAAGAAAACCGGACCGATTCAAGTTCGTCACCAACGAGTTGGCCCTTCCAAAGGAACGTCGCATATCGAAATCAGATCTGCCGCCACTGGATACCCCATCAGAAGTGGAAGCAGACGTGCCTACCAAAGGAGAGAAACTTGAATGGTACAATGATCCATTCTACTTGCGAGTCCGAGTTGAAAAGCTGTTAAAGAATGGTGACGAGGACACGGCTGTGGACTTGGTGGACCGACACCGCGGGGCGGCGAATGCAGAGGTGTTTGGAACGCTGATAGCTGGGTTAGGACGTCGAGGGAATTACAAAAAGGCTGTTAAAGCGTTTAGAGAGGTTAGTTTTGTTTTGGGAAATCATTGCACGGTGTTTTGCAGAGAGAGTTGATTGTAACCTTCCCATTTCAGATGCGCCGAAGAAGGATCAAGCCAACACCACATTCTTATACCGCTCTCTTGAACGCTTATGCACAAGCTGCGTATGGTCCGTTGGATGCAACAGCACGAAGCAATTGCTTGCGAGACGCACGAGAGTTATGGGAATCTATGGAAGACCGTACAGCAGTCCATCTCAATGCGATGCTCAATGTATGCACGGCATGTTCCTCTGAAGGTGGTTGGGATCTTGGTTGGAATATATACCGGGAATCGGTGCCAGAGAAGGGGCAGCGGGATGCACAGGCACCTCCGCCCGATGTGATCACATTCACGATCATGCTGCGAATGTGTGCAAAGTTGGGTGGAAATGACGGTCTTGATGCTGCGATGCGTATCTGGACGGATGTGAGAGCGGTCCTAGATAGGATCCAGCCGGCTGCCGCTAAGAAGAAAGGTGGAAAGTCAGGAGTGCGGGCATTGGCTGTGGACGATCGACTTTTGAGTGCATTGCTTCTGACTTGTATTCGCGCGGAAGATAAACTGCGTGTTGTGAAAGGACTCGAATTTGTTGATGAGTACCTTGATTTGCCCGTGGACTCAGATTCGCCTACCACTCAACAGTCAAACGGTGGAAAAATCTCCTTAAATACTCCTCTATTGTATCACCTGATCCATTTGGCAAGTCGTTTGCGTGAACCGGCGCTTGCTGTCAGGTGGTTTAAGATCGCGTCAAGTAGAGATGTTCCGGCGGATGAAGGGGTGTACAGTGCACTTATCGGACTTCTCATTTCGGTCGGCGATTTGGAGCAAGCCTGGCAAATTGTGCAATCGGCCGACACGTTTCGTCCCGCTCTTGGCCTTCGGGTGTGTGCAGCTGCGGTACGTAAAAGCGGGGAAGATTCAAAGATGTGGGTCACAAGAGCCGAGGAGTTTACAGACAGCATCAAGTCGGCGTCAGTAGGACGTCAGACAGGCATTCATGATCTGCAATCTTTGGTTAACCTTGCTGAGATATATGTCGCCGCAGGACGACGAAAGGATGCCTGGGACGTTTTGGAGCGCGAGCGGTCCAATCTGATTGACGTTACGCGCAAAAAGTTAGAGCGATCCGTAACAGCCGCTGCACCATTATTGTCTGAGGAGGCTCTCGGAAATCCTTCGTTGGATGGAATCACAGAGATGAACGGAAAGACTTCTGCCTTATTATCTCGATCCCAACGCCAACAATCTGAACTTCAAACCCGCATTAAGGCGCTCAACTTGGCGCATGAGTTATGCTCGGAGCTAAAACGCCAAACATCAAACCGTTCTGAGCGTATGCGCTTCTCTCTCATTGATCGACAAATACAGGAAGTTCTCGGGATATTTGAGATGGTGGATAGTGAAGCGCAACGGCTTCGCACTAATGCGATAGAAGGAAGAAAGCGATTGGAGAAGGTGCGAGGGGAGGGATATAAACTGGTCGGCAGGGAAAAAGGCCCTGCTGACACGACTGGCGAAGGATATAGAGTAGTTGGCAGGGAAGGCGAGCACGCAGATGGAAAAGATGATATCCACGGCAAGACAAGGAAGAACTTGTCTCGTAGTAACGCGCCTGAGCGTTCCCGAATTCGTGAACTGAATGACAGGAACACTGGTGTTCCTGTTGCTGCAATCAGAGGATCGGGGGGACGGAACCACGGATATAGAAATCGTCGATCAGAAGGAACTAGTCGCAGTGGGCGAAAGAAGACGGAGCAATAACATGGCACGGCAGGGATAAACTCTTGTATATAGGATACGCTAGATTTTATTTCTTTTTTTGCTACACATTGTGCATTGCAATATCTACATGTTATCCAGCTACCATTCGCTTAACGAGACATTGTTGCCTTCCACTAAGGCAAAACGATTTTCCCATAAACAAGTGGTTTACAAAGGTCCGAAACCACATTCAGAGTATTGAATTTAGAACATGTCCTGCATTCCTTCTGCCATGGCTGATTCGGTAGCTGGTGCGATCGGTACGAAAACTGCTTCATTTGGTACGACTGGGCTGGATGGACTCTTGCTTGGGTGAGCGGTGTGAGTCGGCTTGCATTTGAGAGGAATCGGGATGCTGGAGGACGAGTAGGGGCTCGCAGCGAGCTCTGAAAACTTTGGATTTTCATTGTATGACGCACCGTCCTTCGACCTAGTTTGCTCCGGTGAAACATCAGTACTGGTATTTGGTGAACTTTTGAGATTTTCCTCATCTCCTGCAACGTCCATTGGAACGGTTACACCTGAGTCGAGAGCGTCAGATTCCGGTGGTCCCGGTTCCACTTTGCAGAGAATGACAGAACTTGATGTCAAGGTTGGAGCATCTTTTGTCGCTTGAGTGAGTGTGTCGTGTTCAGATGGAGATGCAGTGTTGGAGAGCTCAAATGATTCTTCTTGTGGAGCCCCTGATGAACTGAGAGTGTTTAACAGTGATGAGGAATTTGAGTCTTCGGTATCTTCTTCGCCGACCTTCAAAATTGAACTGAGGGTGCGTGGTGTGACAGAGTCCTCATCCTCGGGGGTTTCTACTGCATCTGGTTCGGGGCCTACCGACGCTGATACAGGTAAGTGCCCGCAAAATTCGGTGTCCTTCTCCGTTGTCTCTAAGACATCGCCTGGTTTCTCTTCTACAGGCGTGCCACGTCCCTCGACGGCTGAGGAAGTTTTCACATTCATGACATCTTCCCGGTCTGCTTGAAAGTCGCCCAAGTCAGTTGAGCCGGTTTCATCCGAGGACAACAGTTCGTCTTGGTTGCCTGCAGCAATGCCATAAATAGCCGATGTACATCCCTCGAATTTCGCGTTCAACGTATTGAGCTCAATCTCAAGGTCGTGAATCCGCGCAGTTAAAATAGCTTCCCTTGCAAGGCTAGCTTGATATAGACTTTCAAGTAAGGTGTTTCCATCGGTTAGTAGTTGCACGGTGGCTTTGAGGTCTTGGTTTTCATCGACAGCGTTTCGGTATTCCATCTCAAGTGATGAAGTCGACAGGTTGCTCTTTTCACGAGCTTCTGCGAGGAGATTCAAAACGTTTGTGATCTCCTGTCTAAGTCCTACGCACTCTTGTCAGATCAAGGATTACATGTATTTGATCCATTGTACGTACCTTCAATCTGTTTCGCAGTCAATGCTCCAAATTTTGATGATTCTCGTACTTGAGCCGATACTTGATTCTACATAAAACATATGAGCAGACTGAATCTAGCACAATTTAACGTCACGCTCATACCAGCATTAAGTGATGCCGCTTAATCAGTTCGCAAAGATTTCTCACCGTCTGCGTCCACGCGGATAACGCTGACTTTGGCTGATCCTCGCATAGCTGCATACTATAATCAATCATCGTTCCATGGCGACATTATAATGCAATATCTCCTAGGTTACCGTGATCATTTCTGGTATCATCGCCGAATAAACACAGTAGAAGGCTATCAGGGCGGTAACAAGCGCAAGCGCTAGTGAAACTAGGTCCTGTAACGTCTTGTCGTCGGGGTGGGAATCCATTATTTCGTCCATGCTAAACAAAGGTACACATCTAAGCAATTGCTGTGCGCTTACGCATAGCTTATACTTCACGTCTTCCACCTGAAGACAACGGAAAGACATACTCACCTCACAAAATCTTGAAATATCCAAACCAATATTCGGGTTTGGGCTGCTACGTAACGTTGGTTTTCCCACGTTCAAACTTCCACATACAAGTCAACTGACGTTCGCCGATCGCTGATGTAAGTGAGGCGCAGCAGGATGTGGCGGAATGGCTCATGGAATATGGCTGGTGACAGCCACTGCCAGCGCGCGCAGGATAGCACCTCTGCCCATCTACTTCACATTTCCTGAGTATTTGCCGCGTATTTCGACAAATTCAGAGTAAATTCATCACTCCAATCTCGCCAATCTCACATTTGCTTTGGGTCTTTATCATGGTATGCTTTCATTGTATTGGACGCGGGAAATTCCCATACTGAATGTTGCTACTCAAGGTCGATCCAGTTGACTGTGCGTTGGACCTTATGCGACGACTTCCACCGCAGAAGGTGGAAGAGAGCCTGGCGAATCTTGTAGAACTTGCACCGCACTTGACAGAGGAGCTACTGTCAGCTATTGACCAGCCGCTGAAGTTGCAACGATGCAAACAGACCGGAAAGGACTATTTGTTATGCGACTACAACAGGGATGGTGACTCGTACAGGTATTTTAGAGTGATCTTGATGGATTCTGTGAGTCTCAAAGAAAGATGCGGACCCGCGAGACGGTTGCATATTGGGATCCGCTGTTGAGGGTGTCCTCACGTAGCGGCAGGGAAAGGCGACATACGTCGAGAAGGGCCATTGCCATATATCGGACCTGTGGCTAGGGGATAAGTGGTCACTAGCAACACGCTTTAAAGCAGAAACTACCGATTTGTAGGTCGCCGTGGTCAAACGAATACGAACCACCGTTGAGCGATGGTGCACAACCCTCCCCAAAATTGCGAAAATTGGAGATAGCGGCCAACGACGCATTTACTACCTACAGAGAACTGTGAGGCAATACTTGAGGTGAAATTATAATTAGAAACTCACTAAATAGCGGTCGAACACAGGTATTTTGACGGAGGCGTATCGTCGGTGTATATGTGGGATCTCGATGAAGGATTTGCATCAGTTGTGTTGATTAAAAACGGTATGTACGTGGTTGATAGACTTGGAAGACACGCCTCTCGCTAATCCATTTCGCACCGCAGTAAATGAGAGCGACTCAGGCTTGAAGGGCTCATGGGACTCAATTCACGTCATAGAAGTACAGGAAAGTGGCCGGAGCGCGCACTATAAGCTGACTTCTACGGTCATGCTCTACATGGAAACTGGTGGTGTTAAGTTTGGGAATGTTAATCTGTCAGGAAGTCTGACGCGACAGGTCGGTGGATATCGCATACACCTCATAGTAGAAGGCATTAACCAGTTCCTGTTCAAAACCGACAGGCGGAACAAGATTACCCACTGGATGATTATGGCACACACGTAGCAAACATGGGACGGCTGGTTGAGGATATGGAGATCAAATTGCGCAACAACTTGCAAGTCATTTATTTTGGTAAAACAAAAGACATCACCAACGATCTTCGATCGATCAACAGTCTGACTGACGCGCGAAAGCAAATGGCCATTCAGTCAGAGTTGATTGGCAAACTACAGGCGAGATCGCACTGATAGTAGAGGGACAGTCCATGATTATTGATTGGGGAGACTTGTGTTATATAGACATGAAAAATATGATGACTATGAGACAAAATAAGCAAGCTATTTATTGTACATTCTACGAATTCCTTCCCACCAAACGCTGCTTGGCTATTTAATACTATGCGATGCGGGAGCACTATGTATAGCCTAAGCCAGCCAACGCAACCAACTACGAGTACATGCCTTATCTACTTCCCTGGTCAAACAAGCCGCTAAACCACTCATTTGCGGCATCACCTTCACGGTCTTCATCCCGCGATTGCCGGGGTTGGCGGGTCAGGAGCTGCTTTTCTGGGATGTTGAGGACAAAGCTTTCCTGCTTTTTACCCTGCTGACTTATTGCAATCTAAGTGGCAAGTTGCCAGATGGCTTGTGAGGTTGTGCCGCTCATAAGGCTATGTCTTTCTAATGTGAATGCATACGTACTCCGGTAATCGATTGCAGGAAGCCTTTTACGATCGCATTTTGCTCTTTAGCAGACGATTTTTTTGCTAAGCTCTCCTCAAAGGCCTGTTTCAAGGAAGAAGACAAGACTCGTGTAAATGGACACTGCACAACTTGGCAACCTGACAAAGGTTGGCTGCACACCACCTTTAGAGAGTCCACATTCATTCCGGGCAAACTGCCAAAAGTTTCATAAGGAAGCATTGATACCGGTCGTAGCCGGATATAAACGTCCGCAATGGTGCTGATAATATCCGAATGTATTTCTTGGTGGTATGGGTCATGGAGAGCCTTGAGATCGGGAACCGATTTAGACTGCGTTCCATAACTCAGAAGCTGGATTGCCGAGCGACATACCTCAAGCAAAGACATCAACAAATCTTTCCCCAACCAAACATGAAATTCGTAATGCCCAACGAGAACTGGAAGCAGTTTGGAAGAGGTTACCGCGGCCTTTCGGGACGTTTGCGTATCTTTGTAAGTCACTAAATGGGTGATGCTACTGAGTAGGGGACCGGAGATTGCCTAGTTTCGAGTGAGATCGCTTAGCGGTAATTGTGCATCGAAAGGGGTGTGGGTATAGGTACCTCATCCCAGAGAAGAAAGCGAACCAAGTCAGGATTCTGAAATGATTGTTTTAGGATGTTCGCTGGGTTCTCTTCTGTCTTTTTTGCAGCTAGCGCAGCGAGGGTTGATGAAGTCGTTCTTCGAACCTGTCATAATTCACTACTCACCAGGAGTTGCAGGGGCTAGGAGGGCTGCAATCAAATCAATATAAGCTCTGGTGACATCTCTCAACATCTTCTCTGCAATTATATCGTCAGACATGTCCGTCGCCTCCTCGGCCCTATCATAAACTCAGATTTAGCGGGGTTTGCGCCTCTCCCATGCACGTCAACAACTTACTCCTCATTCGTCAACCGAATACCCCGTTCGACAAGATCCCGCCACTCTCGGTCTAACTTGGACACCATTGATCTGAGGAATGGTGACAGAATCGGCTCTAGAATAGTGCTGTCAAATCCTGAGGGACAATTAAGACTCAAAGGTCGCATGACGTTATGTAGAAACGGGAGAAAAAATGAGTTAAGGACTCTGAATGCCGTGACGGCAAACGATCAAACTAAAAGTCAGTGTAAGAAGGATATTCAAAATAAGCTTCCAATGCCGATTATCAATGTGCATGGCGTCGGAGAGGAGGGATTGGAGCAGATGTTGTCCAATGGAGGGCACAGTATAAAAGTTGGGACTGGCGTATGTAAGGCGGCTCAGGATGTGGTAACTTAGTGGGCATTTTGTTTAATGTGAGTAGAAATATAAAGTCCTTGGATAAAAGGTAAAGGCTCACCATTGGTCCCGTATACTTCCCAGCCATCGACTCATCATCGTAACCTGATTCATGAATTCGTTGGCACCTACTGCTAGTAGGTCGTCGGATACATCCGTTCCTGTTGCGCCGCTGTTAGGTCATCCTGAACATTGGGATCAGGACATTAGGCAGCAAACTCTACCTGCAAACAGAGCTCTTTCTTGTGGAGTGGTTGCCAATACACGAAGAACATCTGAAGGAAACTGTTGCCACACAGAAGGATCCCAGAGCCCGTGAATTGACCTGTTACATGTTAAATGCATCCATCAGATTGGCTACCCGAAAAACAAGAGGTGTAGATGCAAAATCACAGGCAATACTTGATGATTGTTAGAACAGATCTCAAGATACGGGGAATATAGTCGGCCCAGAGTTCAACTCTCTTATTTCCTCCGCCAGACTTCGTACCCAAAGTTGTTCAACTTATAAGTGGCACGTTCCATCGCAAATACTTTGGAATTTAACCTCAACATACCGGTTTAGTTTCAATTGTTAGCTTCAAATATTGTGACATTCCAGATAGCAGCCCAAGAAGCTGGGAAATCGTGTCGTTTGAGCAGAAGGGTATAGGATTTTTGAAAGGGAGAACATACTTGTCCACGTTGCTCTTTTTTGATTGCGAAGGCGTCTACCAGGCCGGGATTCGCTACTTGCAGTTGCCCAGGTGATATTTGGATATTTTGCACTATTGACAAAATTAAGCAATTTATAAAAGTTACCTCACTTTTCAAATCCTCATGCTTACCATTCGATGCCAGAAGGGGAGCCCCCATAAATTCCATAAGCTGACTCGGCGAAGTCAAGTCAACATTAGCTTTGTCCTCCAACGCGCGAACGGTAGGCTCTACAAGAGAAGTAAAGGCAGGTGCTTTCTCGACAAGAGGCGTGGAGGAGAAATATCTGATATTCATTTTGTTCTTCAGTCACAGTACAACTCCTTGCGAATCGATATCGATCTACATACACAATAGCAAGTAGAAACTCTTTCAAAATCGTTTCTTCCGACATGAGCACTAAACGTTCGTCACTGAGTCTTTGTATGGCGGGGCTTATACTTGCATAGATGCCCTAAAGACCCCAGTCCCAATTGGTCAGTCAATAGTCGGCCGCAGCAGTAGAGAGGAGTCCCTTACAATTAACGCATCCGGCATCGTCATTGCAAGTTTGACCAGTAAGGATGCCGCTTTTCGTCGCAACACCCGCGTCGCCTCACAAATACTGATCTTGCGACGAATAAAATCTTCTTCTCCAGGCATAGTAAATGCTACGAAGGTGAAGATCTTGACAAATATAAGTACCATGTCAGTGACAATTGTCCAAGCAGTGATAGCCCTGCAATAACGGACCAACCTTTTCCAAACATTGCAGCAGTAAAGGAGGTGCCAGGTGAAGGACCCCGCCAAATGCAACAATCATTTGAAGCTGAATCCGGGCGAGGGTTGGGTCCTGCAATGTCCAGTCATTCAGCTACATACTGCACTGGGATTTGGAGGTGAACATACATACCGCAGTTTTGAAATTCAAAATCAACTCAACAAGTTCCATCATGAACCTCCAGAAACCTTCATCGAGTCCCTGTTGATCCTTATGAATGGCGGTCATCATCTCAGGATACAATTGGCATACCTCCGATGATTTGAGACTGCCAACAACAATAATTTCGAGCATTGCGCAATTGCCTTCGAATAGCTGGACATATGGTGAGTCGTCTTTCTGAAATCCCAGGTCTGTACAGATAGTTGGGGGCCTTTAGATCGGTTGTAAGTGTTCCGTGTGATTGTATAAGTTACCATTCGTGTACGCCGAATTCGGTTGTAGCACCAACATTTGCCTGACACGTTCTGCGATATACGAAAACGAATCCTTCGGCTGTAGAACAAGTCAGTACCGATGATTATGAAGCGGCGCTGCATGCTTACCTTCAAATTTGCTACGCTCCTCACAATATCCAGCATTCGTTGCCGAAACGCACCGGAAAATGTCTCGAACTCGTCCGCTGAATCAAAATCAATATGTCGATAATGGTTTACAGCGTCCTCATGCGTGCGGTCCTAATTCAGCACGAAGTTAACGGCCGGACGAGCACATAGGTACTAATCATAATTTTCTTTACATGGCAGACTCTCGTGGCAATGAGGGTTAGCAATCGTGGTAAGGAAAATAGAATCTCCTGGGTCTAGGTGTTATAAATGAGATGTTAAAGACCGAACAATTTGGTTCGCACATACGTTGCTCTTACCGATTTGAAGTAGTCGTGCTTTACTAGTTCTCCCCAGAGAGAGGCAGTGGTTGAGGCGACAAGAATTGACGGATGATCGAATATGACCATCATAAACTCCAAATATCTGTACCGTATTCTTTAGTCCACACCCTTTGTTCAAGGTGGGGAGGAACATACCTTGTGAAGTTTGGAGGCGCTTCGGCAGCCTTTCTGAAACATATCTGATTCTCTCCGAGAGCCGTTGCCCCCTGCCCGCATTGCAATCAATATAAAAGCAGGCAGCATGATATTTGCCCTTGTCTTAATCTCACCTGCGCTAACCGTTTCATAAATTTATAATCCTCCTCCTCCACTAGTGATGTCTGCTCTACACTATCAATGCCACCAGCGTCGGTTTGTCCATGCACCCTCGCCCATGCAGTGATCATCTTTTCAAGATTTCCGTCCGAGAATATGGGTGTCCATATACAGGAGAGACGGTTTTCAGTGTCGGCGTAGTGAATATTGCGGGAAAAGAGGACAATCAGGCACTCTGCCGCTGACTTTTCAGAGGCAATTGTATATGAATGATCCAGAAGAGCTGGCACTGAAGTAATCAATGTACCTGACGGATTGGCAAAGAGGCTGAAAGGAGCAATTCTGTCAGAAGGTATGCAACACGGGATTCACCTATGGCTCTTCAACGGTCAATTGGTACAAGGGCCATCCACTAGCAGCGGGGTATGAATATTCGCTTTTGATACCTTAGCAGTACCCAGTCCAGATACACAACCAAGGTGTTAAGCGTCAATACCGCCAATCTCTCTGTCACTGGTGCTTGCTCCGCGTTTCCCGCTCGCTGCAACCCAAGATGTGGACGATCGTCATGGAATGGAGGAGCATAGATGTTCCCTCACCTGTACAATCCATTCTTGATGAAGATCAGCAGCCCCACCAACCCACCGGTTCAACCACCCTTCATTCTCAGGGTTTGCACGTATTAGTCTTAGTAGCATCTCAAAATCCGTTCGTCCGCTGTCAGTCGGTTGCTGAGTGCCTTCGGAACGCAAATTCACATCCGCCCCGCGTTTTGCATGCAAATCCTCTAATATATGTGCGCTGACCGTTACCGCCATCATTCCAGTTACGAGCTCCTGTTTGCGTAGTTCGGCTACCACGTCGTCGTATAGAAATACATCTTCCGCTAAGGAGCGGTAGATGAGGAGGCATAGTTCTCGGGTGGTTGGCTGTGCAGAAGGTTAGCAAGAGTAGTTGCAAGCCATTGTGGATCAGACTCGGAAGTTCTACGCACATTTTGCGCATATAGCTCTCGGAGCAAGATGTCCATGTGCGGCCATTGGATGGGCCACATGCGTTTTGCAACCTCTACAAACAAACGAGACACCTTTTCCTTAATGTATGTTCTTTCGACGAATATCTCGTGCGTGCCCTGTTGCATGATTAAAAGGTATCAATTGAGTGTCAGGTAGAACATGGCGTCTCCATTGTGCGTCCAAGATACTTTGATAAGAATGTACATATATTACGCTCTCATACTTGCAAATCATACATGACAGGTATACAAAGCACACATAGAAGAATGTTATTCGGTCATTGGGCAATAGGTAGAGGTTCCCCAACGCCATTAAATTTGTTTCACCACAACTTGAACACTTACATTAGTGACCAAATCCACTACAGCGTCACGCAATCCTGCCCGATCTTGATCAGAGTACGATCCATCGTTCCATTTAAACCGTACGGCATTCTCAATAAGAGATAATCCAAAGTGGCGGAGGATGTCCGGCTGGGAGTTTTGTTTGTGTGCAAGGTAATGACCCCAAAGGGGGCTCTGGGGATTGTCTTTGAGTGTTTCGCAAAACTGTGAAGCAAATCAAGCAACGCGGTTGATGCACTTGGAGATTTGAGAAGAAATGACAGTCAGTGCGCACATTTTGAGCTAGCTGGCGTTGAGAGTTGGTCGCCGATGCATCGTAGATCGTGTTGACAGCTTGCGCGATTTCTCCCAAAACTTTGCGATGTAAGCTATATGTGAGGGAACAGAACGTGATATAGGGAAACTCATAGTCATCCCATTACAACCTGCCGAGTTCATGGTTACCGTTTACATCAAGTGGTCAAACGCAAGAATACCAAACAGCTAGCCAAAAATCCTGGGGACTCGATTGACCTGGTTGCAGCCATGTGGCGCAGGGACTATCATGGCGTAAGCGATTAAGCGATGTTTGGGCCCCAGAATTCCTCGCAAGGCACGGCGGTCCCTCCTTCGATCTCAAGATCCTCAACCTGACCATCTACAGAACGGGGCTGCATAGATAACCCTAAGGTCATTAACACATCCATGCCCAGGAAGGAGACAAGGTCACGGCCCACAAATGGGTCGACCCCACCAGCGCGTCATTCGCCCTGGCTTAGTAAGCCAGTCGGCCATTTGGTCGGCTCATGCTTCCGCTGATACTTGCTTCCCGCTTGTGCCTTTGTGCTCCGCTTCTTTGCTTTTTTCTTCCCGGTGTCTTTCAAAGATTTACACTGAACCCCTCATACGGGAATGTATGCGTCGAAAGTGTGTCGAGACTCCCAAGCGACGGAACACGGTCCCCGCACGTACTTTCCTGATGCCCCATATACGATGAGCACCTCACTTACTCCTACAGTACGTTGGAGTTACATTCCATACTCTACGCATTTAGATGTTTTTGCATCCCCTCATCCCAGTGGTCCTGCACCCTACCTCTTACGGAACGTTTGTTCAAATTCAAGCGAAATGCCGAACGAATTGATTGACGCGCAAAGCGTCCACATAGTGGAAAATAACCCGCATAGAGCTCCCTGCGCTGCTGAAGAGGGTGAGGGGAGAATGGAGTGGTGCTCGTTGGTCGACGGGACTTTGACCGAGTGGATGATGTCTCCGGCAGGGTACTCAAAGCAGCGTGAAGCGGAACGAGACATGCCAAGTCTACCACTCGCCAATTTGACACCACAACGAGTACAACCCAACCCGGCATCAATACCACAACAGCAATCGAGTTCGTCACATCTAAAACATCCACAAAATCGAAAACCTTCAATATCTCGGCATGTGTCAGCCGTCATAAATCACTTCACTTCTGTCACGTCGGGTCCAACCCGGTTACTCTCGCACATCGACGATGTTATGCACATTATGGATCCCAAATCCTACACCATCCTTCTCGCGTCCGATAGCTCCAAATCTGTGCTGGGAATTGATCCCTCACAACTGACATTAAAGCACACCATGCATTACATAATCCATCCCCCCGATTGGGACTCGTTTACTACGTCTGTTCATCGGGCTACGCAGTCACCTGGGGAGGTTTTCTCATGGTGGGGTCGATATAAAACAGTATTGGATAAACACCCAACAATCTTGGTGCATGTGCGTGGCAGGGTGGATTCTAATAGTGGGGCAGCTCTACTTTCTGCGCGACCTTACAAATCCTGTGCGATGGAGAGCATGGATGATTTTTTGGAGCTTTGGCTAAGGAATGTCAGGTTGAGACGAGACGTCGGGGAGTTATTGCGAGGGAGGCAGGGAGAGCCGGTGCCTGCTGTTGCGGTTGAGATCAAAGATGAGCGCGACCGGGGACACGAGCAACGCAGGTTTAGTGTTGACTCCGTGTCTAGAAGAAATACGTATCTTGGTCGACGGGGCAGTGTCACTTCCACGGAGGGAGATTTGCCAACTCCAACAGCGAGCTCTGGCCGACGGGTATGTAATCAATGTTTCATTGGCAACTCCCAACAATATCTTGCTCTGGTATGCCTGATGCATCTCCTTTAGAAACATCATTCACGACAATTCTGCCAACATTGCGGAACAAACGAGTCCCCCGAATGGCGGAAAGGTCCAGCGGGCCCAAAAACGTATGTAATCACTCCCTGTAGCCTTGTCTTGGTGCGGGCTGCAGGCAACTTACTCGTGTGGTCCATTGTTTCTAGTCTGTGCAATGCATGCGGACTTGCTTATGCGAAACGAGAGAGAAGAAAGTGCGAGAATGGGGAGACGGGTGCTTGAATGTATATATTCTCAAAAGATATCAGTTTTTATTTATTGCCAGTGGCGAACTGGCGCTGGAGGGAAGTGATAATCGGTTTGCATACAACTTGGTCAGAAATATTCACATCATATCCAGAGCCTCATGGAGAATGTCCATATCTTTAAACCTCATTATACATAAACATTAATAATCTACCTCCATCACTCTCTACTGATTAAATATATGTTAACTCTTCAACTCCGTCGCTATCACTGGAAGAATAACCACACAAGCCGTGTATATTGCCATGACGCTCTTCCAAAGATTCTTGGGGAACTCCACCAACGCCGACTGTTTCCGTTTTTCGTGGGGATTAATCTGATTGGTAAGGATTAAATAAACGCCGTAGAAGGCTACCGCAAAGAAATGGCCCACAAGGGTTTGTGGTTCAGGCAAGATCCTTTCAGAGCTGATTAGATAGGATTGATTTAAAATAGGGACGAACGGAGAGTACATACCCGCCCAAGAGTCCAACGGGGGTGGAGACGCAGCGACCACCGAGCTGGAAGTATCCAAAGCACGCCAGTTGAAGGGATTTCATATGTGGATCTGCGAGGGGAGTATTACAATCAGTTTAGCGCTCATCGCTTCTACCAGATCAAAACGAGGCAACAAACCATTGCCAGCAGAAAACAAAGCATACAGCGCCTGCGCCAAGATATTCACAACGCTCGCCAAGGGTTTTCTCTTCCAATGTAGCATCTCCAACTTCCTTCTAACTACAATAGTGTCATTCAATTCTGGGACCTCCTTCTTTGCCAACAAATTCCGTGTGTGGACTACATCCCACAATGCCACAGTCATCCCACCCCCTGTGAGCGGATGTCGCATGTTCATTGCATCGCCGAGAAGGATCAACCCGGAGCGGCGGTTGGTGGTAGGCGGAAGGAAACTATTTGGCATGGAACGGAGACGGGAAGTTTGGAGTGATGCGTGGAAGGATGGCTACACGGTATCGACCACAGTCAGATGAAGCACATGTTTCATAGAAGACGCCTTGGTACGTACTTGGACAGATTTGGGTAATTGTGACATGATTTTGTCCTCCATATAGCGTTTTAGGTCACCGTTTGAGATACTAGGCAATTTTCCAGGGATATCTACCAGGATACGGGTTTCGTTGCGACCAATCTGATAACGCTCACGCGATTAGGAAAGGTGTTGGGAGCTGGTGCAGGATGATGAGGGATAGTACCTGATAGAGAAGGATCGGGGATGGTTGGGCGAGGACAACATGACCATGGTTCGGATGTGGGAGGACGCAGTTTTCTAGTATGAAACTGGAAAATCCGATAGAAGCCGTTAGCTTTCCGAAAGACTCAGTAGCAGAGTTAAGTGTCATCGACTACTCACCCGACGAAATTTGATGTGCATGTAACGTCCTTGTCGATGATCTGCTTCCTAAATTTGGAGAAGCATCCGTCGGCCACAACTGTCAGTGGCGCATATACCTGTGTTTAATTCATCCTTTAGAAGACTGAAAAATAGATTGCGAGTACAAAAAGCTTGCTATTTACGTACGTTATTGGATAACACTTGCCCATCTTTAGTCTTCGTTGTGTAAGTCACACCAATCACTTGCTCCGTTACAGGGCAAGAAATGAGGACTGATGCTGTTCCCTCAACAGGCGTCACACTGGAGCCAAATATTCAGAGATAAGAAAACTTCTAAAACACAAGCACTATATGCATCCAGTACGTACTTTGGGGAAGCTTTTGCCGCTTTTCGCAGATTCATCACAAAACGGCCGTGATGGAATGATCGACCTTCATTAGGAAGTTTGTCTGAGGGGTAAGGGAGAATCACTTTGTCTGGTGGATAGAAGACTGCGTAACCACGACATGGAATGGCATCGATGTTTTCGAGGCAATCTGGGTGCGGTTTTCATGATTAGACTCTTTCCGCTGGGTAGGGGACGAGAGATTTCAGCGTTACAAACCTTCTAGACCCAACTCGCGCAATGCTTTCACACCGCCCGGCTGCAACAATTCACCAACAATTCGATCGGGCTCGCTCCAATCTCGTTCGATAAGAAGGACGTCTCGTCCATCACGGCCTAATGCTGCCGCCAGAGACGCACCCAGGATGCCTCCTCCGATGATGATAACCTGGAGGTGGTATTAGCCTTTGAGCGAAATGCTGGCCGATGTGGACAGGATGCGTATCTACCTCGTACTCGGACTGGGGCAAATTTAGTAATATTAGCTTGAATATCTAGACGGATACGCCTGTTCGTATCTACCTTTATCGCATTTTCTCTTGCATGTCCGCTATCTGGTTGCAGCAGTTGAGGTGCCGGAACCTGACACATTGGGAAATGGTAATCCAATTGAAAGTAGGACGGAACGTGTAGAGTAAGGTGCCCAGCACAGAGGAAAAGGAGACAAGGGGAACGACCTATATATATAATGTATTTCTCTGGTACAGCAGCACAGTGTGGTAGGAAAGTCAAGGATGATGCGCCACGGATATATGAAAATCTCTTCATCGGCTCCAAGACGCAAGCCGCTGCTAGTCAATCATGTGTTTTTCCGCACTCTCAAAAACTTGGAAAGTTGCTAGCGCCCACGTCGTCCCAATGCCATCGGATGTTCAACGCGTCTGGTGGGTTGACCGCGTCCTTTGCTTGATGGCCTGATGATGGCGAAATTATGGCTTCTGGTTGGTATGTGTCATTATGAGCAGGAATGCAAGAATGCAGACTATCTGTCAACGTTGCCCCAGTTGGATGCAGGATGAGTAACTAATAATCTACAAGCAGAAGGAGAGTTCTCCTTTCTCCACCATGTACAGCATAGTGCTTGTGGACAGAAAATATACTGTGGTTGAACCCTGTGAAGAAAATTCGTATTTGGCCATGAAGCCTAAAGGATACAAGTAGTTTCACGCATGCTTACTATTTGTAGTGTGTTATATGCCAGTCAGCCAGTCATGAGCATGTAAAAAAGATTGGCAGAGCTCGCAATGCTTGTCCAGTTCCCGATGCACGAGGAGGACGCGTCTAACAGGACGCGTTGAGGTGTTATCTTTCTGGCGCCCAAGTGTTGTCCATACTTCAACATTCTCAACACCATCCCTTCTAACCAACAGAATGCCAGGTCGTCTCACTGGAAAAGTGGCACTCATAACTGGTGCGGGAAGGTACATATCGTCCACTACATTCAACATTGGGACGATTCTGACACCTCTTTCCGCATGACCATAGCGGCATCGGCCTTGAAGCCAGTATCCTGTTTGCAAAAGAAGGCGCCCAAGTAGTCGCTGCGGATATCAATGAGCAATCGGGACAAGCCACCGTTAAAAAGATCCACGACCTTGTTGGGCCCAAGTCTGCCGTTTTTGTTCGAGTTGATGTAGCCAAAGAGAGCGATATCGCCAACGCCGTGAAGGTTGCCGAAACTGAGTATGGTAAGATCCAGCAAGCATTTTGCTCTCAGGCACTATTTCACACAATAACTTAGGGAAACTGAACATTGTTTTCAACAATGCGGGGATCATGCATCCCGCCGACGATGATGCTATTAACACTGAAGAGAAAATCTGGGATCTGACCATGCAGATCAATGTCAAGGGTGTTTGGTGGGGTTGCAAGCATGCCATTCCGGCGTTGAGGAGGGCTGGTGGGGGCAGTATCATCAATACCGCCAGTTTCGTCGCTTTGAGGGGTGCGGCCACTCCCCAGCTAGCTTGTAAGTATCACAGCAAGCAAGCAATTACTGATATCTCTGGACTATTATGAAATTAACCAAGAGCCTTACAGACACTTCATCGAAAGGTGCCGTCCTGGCAATGACGTAAGTGCAATCCGTGCTCTACATTACTAGTGAACGTCAACTTACCAAGCAACGTCCATCCTGTCTTCCAGGCGCGAGCTTTCCGTCATCCATGCCCGCGAAAATATCCGAGTCAATGCCCTCTGCCCAGGCCCGATCCGTACACCCCTCCTTATGGACTTTTTAAACACCGAGGAAAAGAAACAACGACGATTGATTCATGTGCCTATGGGCCGGTTTGGTACGCTTCACATTGGTACTGCATCTCTGAAACCTGAAGCTCATGCTTATATTCTGCTTCATAGGAGAGGCAATTGAACAAGCGTACGCAGTCCTCTTTCTTGCATCCGACGAGTCATCCTTCATCACGGGAACTGACTTTTTGGTGGATGGTGGGTTGACCGCGGCGTATGTGACGCCCGAAGGACAAACCAAGAGCCTTCCCCCGCATAGCAACTTTTCTGGAGTGTAACTGTGTAGTTTATAGATGAGCCTTGTAAATCTTTTGAAAGACTTGAATTGGCCGGATCTTCAATAAACAAAAGAAATTGACCCGAGAAACTGGCTTAGCTCCGAAGGGTCCGAAAGTCCCCAACTTTGTCATATGCCCATAAAAGGTTATATGATGCGTGTAACCTCAACGCATCCCCTGTCTGTCCTTTCGCGCCAGTTTTCTGCCTTCTTGAAGTGCATGTCTGTGTGCTCGTTTTACGAGTTCTTTTTCGCCGGCGTTGTTCATAGGAAAGCGTGTATTTACCCTCTTTTTTACGGTCGTGCTCGCGGGAAAGATTTTATGAAACTGGGTAGCGTTTGGCTGGCCGCACAAATCCAGGATTAGGATCCATCTTTGGAGTGGGATTTGAGCGATGTCGACGATACGAGTATTGTCGGAGCAGGATCAGGAAGATCTTGCCGCGGATTACATGGACGAGTACTTGTTGAGTATGTGCTCTGAAGACGGAGGTTGTGGCGAGGACGGTTCATTGATGGCTGCATGATATCAGAGATGTCAAAGAAACAGTTAAAAGTGTGGCGTACGGTGTTTGGTCAGGTTAATGTTGCTCCTGGACACTGGAGATGTGCAGGATCGTTTGAAGAATACGCACAGGACATGTGGCGGGGCGACCTTGCGCTCAGGAAAAGCTCAATGATATCCCGCTGATCTTGCATGTTCATAGGTCTGGAGTACCTTCCACAAGATATGTGCCGCAATCTGATGGAATTACGCAAAAAGGAAATAGAATACCAAGGTATTACTATCCATACCCTACCTCAATGGAGGTTGCTAAGAAGTTTAAAACCCCCGCAGACCTCTCCGGCCGCGCCACAGCAACCCAATCCACCCTCTTCCAGCACCAACGCTATAATCAATACTCGACTCCCACCCCGCAAGAGCTCCAGTACATTGAGCGGATACGAAACTATTTCATCAAAGCAACCCGGGCAGCTGAGCAAAAGTGCGCTGTCGCCAACGAGAGCTTGAAATTGGTACTGTTTGTATGAACGCAATTGCTCATATCCAAGAATTCACTCTTCATAAAAGCTTGAAGATCACTTGAGAGAACTTGATGAGGGTTTATTGAAGATTGGGATTGAGGTCAACGATGAGGAGATTGATGCCATTTCCGTACCGGAAAGTGCGTGTTCTTCACCTCACTTCATCATGGTCTAGCCTTTTAGCTCATTAACAATTTAAGATATCCCTCACACACCACCTCCCCACTCGCGAATTCGGCCGTCACGAAAGGCCCTTCGCACCCCCCACCTCCGCACACCAACACCGACCCCGTCCTCATCTTCCACCTCCTCTTCAGACTCTGAATCCGACCCAATCTATTGTCTTTGTCGCCAAGGCTCCTATGGCGACATGGTCGGCTGTGATAACGAGCATTGTCCATTCGAGTGGTTTCATTATGAATGCGTTGGGTTGACCAAACCACCTGTAGGAATGTGGTTTTGCCCAAGGTGCCGCGTGCGCTAGGGGAGTAACTGGTTGACTTTGGTCAGGTGCATTAGGCATTGTGGATGCAATATGTGGTGTATGCTATTTTCTCTTTAATATATAATTTTGCTATAAGGATGTGTAAACAGTTTGAAGGGATGTCAGCAGTATTAAAGACAGTGTCTTTAAAGGCTCGGCCAAAAGATATCATTTCCTCCTCGTAACATGCTATGTACATTGTTCATCTCATGCAAGTTTCATGACGTACAATTGATCTGCTTGGCGATTACACATATCAGATCTTGCGCTTGTCTTTCAGGCGTCCACCTCTGTTCTCTTTGATCTGGCGCACTTCGTCTTCGCCTTCGTTCAAAGTATCCGCCATGCCAAACGTATCAACTCTACAATATCAAAACTATTTTAGAATCTCCGCCTTGGCACATGGATCCATGGTTCTCAGAACACACGCACCGAAGCTTCCCTCTTAAACTCTCCCCTTCACCATGCACAGCACCGAGTCCATGCGGGGGACGATCAACTTGGGCTCTATATTCATAGGCGCTGTTTTTCAAATCCGGGTTTTCGGCAGCTTCCACGACGCTGCCTGGCTTTTCGGCAGGGTCCCTAATGTGCTGAGGCTCTCCTCTTGGGACTGCATCTCTGAGTATGTCCTCCTTTGAAAAACATAAGCTTTCGTTGAGAACTATTATTCAAGCCAACACCAAAGCCTGCCGACCTGAGCATGCGTATGCTGCGTCAGAGGATGCCGTTCAGCCTGCTCCTGAGCATATGCCTTCCACTCTTTGTTTGCCACCTCCATCTGCTTCCGAGGAGACAGCTCTAAGAATTCGCGGACGTCATTGGATATGGTCGCTGAGGGAGGAGCAGCGGTCCGGATAACCTCGCTCTCGCCCGGCAACGCTTCGTTGGGATCTTTGATATATGCTTGCATGTTTTAAGATTTTTGTCCTGGTCGAAATGTCGGTCAAAAAGACGGCAGAACCTACTTAGATATCTATCTGTGCTAAAACTGTCTTACCATAGCGTCACAACGACGCAAAGCTTTCGGGCGGGCAGGGACGATCGTTACGTTTTAAGTTGCTTACCTGGTGTCATTATACCATAAATGGCTTGATGACAATGATCGAGTCACGTGCATAGTGACTAATGCAAACTCAGCTTTTGGAAGAAACTTTCAACGAAGTCGATTTTTTTGACCAACTGCCCGGGAGACAGCGGCATGTCCTTTTGCGATCGAAAGCAATAGTATTGTCATTGTGGATCACAAGCATGGCATTTTGGACGATAACGAGAATAATTCTTTAGTATTAGAAATGCCATTTGTCAGTTGGCAGCACAGACAATGTGATTTGAAATTCCATTCCCGGCTGACGCGACAAATAAAAGCAAACAGTTTGACATCCTTTCCCCAATGCGCTGGCGTTCTTTGATTGCAAAGCTTTCGACCATGACAGGTAAAACACCAGAGACATATCGTGCACCTGCTCTCTTCCTTCCTCACGGAGGAGGTCCCATGCCCCTCCTCAACGATCCGGGGCACCGCGATCTTATCACCTTCCTTACAAAAACGGGGCGAAAGTATCTGAACCCTCGGCCTAAAGCCATTCTTTTGGTCACGGCGCACTGGGAAACACGCAACCCTACAGTCTCGACTGTATCCAAGCCTGAGCTTCTCTACGACTATTACAACTTCCCGCCCGAAACGTACAACATTGATTTTCCTGCCAAGGGTGATCCCGAAGTCGCCAAGCGTGTCGTAACTCTTCTTCAAAATGCTGGATTCAAAACACAAACCGATGCAGAGCGAGGATGGGATCACGGTGTATTCGTTCCTCTGAAACTTTATTTGCCTGATTTCGATATCCCAATCATCCCAATGAGTGTATTGACTTCACAGGATGCCGCAGAGCACTATCGGATTGGAAAGGCACTGGAACCGCTGAGGAATGAGGGAGTCATGATTATTGGAAGCGGCATGTCCTTTCACAATATGCGAGCCATGCGAGGGCGGCTTGGGTTCAGCGGCACTCTCAATGAACCTTTTGACGATGCCGTGGATGAAGCAGTAAAGATTGCCTCAAGCGATGAGAGGGGTAAAGTGTTGAGTGCTTGGGATAAAATGGAAGGTGCACTGGACTCGCATCCTTATGGGGCTGCAGAGCACTTTATGCCTTTATTAGTCGTTGCTGGTGCAGGCGGCGACGAGCCTGGTGTTCGAGCTTTGTCGTGGAATATGAGCCCGTTTAGGATTTCGGCATGGGTATGGGAGGGTGCAACGAAGGGGACGGCATGAGGTAACAATTTTTCTTAGTGCAGAGGCTGTCAGTAGGACTTATCCAACGTATTCTGGATTTAATAACTACTCTCGTAAACTACGCATTTTTTATACTAAGAAGGTGCCATTAATTTATCATGATTTAAACCTGCTATTCTTTATAATCATCTTCCACATGAGAAAGTATATATATTGATCGCACTGACTGAGTTTGTTCAGACGGGTTCAATAAAGGAATAATTGCTACATGAACAATGCAAAACCGAGACAATGAACATATAAAGTGACGTCCTCAGTCTGGGTTACATGTTACCATTCAGTAGAAAAGAAAGTCTTGAAATTTTAGCAAATGGCAAAAGAACGATAAACATTTTGACAAAGGTGAGGTTCAGGAGATGCAAGCCAGGATATGCAAGAAGTATGTTTTACTGTTCATGATTTTAACACAACTATCACTGTTGTTAACAAACAATCTTAAATGGTAGTGAGGTAAAGGCAGATCTTTAACCAACACATCTATATATAATCTAAAAGACATAGCGAAGGCCTCTAAAAATATCTAAACATATCTAAGCTACTGAGTATCTAAATTTATCTAAGCTACAAACCACAAACTTAAAATCCCTTGGGCACATTGCATCTCACAACACCTCGAGAGTCGAACACCCCGGAGACCAACGCAACATTTAGCGTTGAGTCCACCTCGAACACAGTTGATCCAGATAGCAGGTTTCCATCGTCACTCCACACCCGCTTGGTGGTCCCATCAGCCTTAATGACATCTACCCAACTGGGTGCAGTAGCAGCCGTTCCAGCCGCGAAAAACTGGAAATCAAATGCCTTGGGATGTCCAGTAGGTGTCAAAGTCTTTGATACGGGGTCGTAGCCAACATTGTCAGGAACGTAGTCGAGGTTGTACCTCTTGGAAACGTAAAGGGTTTTATCGGCGTTGGGTGTGAAGGCGATAGTGTCTCCTCCCAAGGCCTCGTTGGCGAAAATCGTTCCTTGTCCGTCCGTGTTCATCCCATTAGCACCGCGTAGGCCGTCAAAAGCCTTCAAGCACTGAACCGTGCCCGAGCTAAAATCGCAGTATGTGATCCAGGACAAGGGGAGCTGGCCATATTCTTCCAAGGTTCTTGCAACTCCGGAGCGGTGGGTATGGTCGTTACTGACGTAGAAAGATGTGGGCCCAGTGGGAGCGACATTGTTGGGGGTCCAGATAAGAGGATCGCTAACGGTTTGACGGTGGGTGAGAACGGTAGGAGTGGCTGGGTCGTAATCCAACACTTCGACAACCGAGTACAATGCATCCTCATTGTATGGTGGTTGAGCCCGGTGATTCACAACAAACAAACGAATAATTCCACCATCCATTGGAAGTATTTTCACTCCGTGAGGGTGGAAACTCTGCAATGCTGGCTGGATCTGCAACTTGGTCAAGAAGCGGACGTCACCAGTCCCAGTCACATCGTTTCCGTAATCATACACAAACACTGCTCCATTCCCTTGAGCACCATAATCGGCATCCAGGAATGCCATCCCGGGCATCCATCCCGCGGTCCTGTTAGGGTGAATACGGTAAGGGTCTGAACCCATGAAAGCAATTTTGGATGGGCGGTGCATCACAATGTCTTCGACCATAACAGGGTTGACACCATCCTGTCCAACTGGACCCGGAGTCCACCGTTTACAGTTGGATTGACCCACGTCTGCGACGTACAAACGAGCGACACCCGTGTCAACGAGAAGTTCGGGAATGTAAATATTGAGTGGGGTAGGTCCCAGTTTGGTGTTGTAAACTGGCCCGAGAAGCGTGTCGATTTGGGCTTTGGCGCCCATCAGAGCCAGAGCAGACGCAAGAAGGAAGGTGCGAGCGATCATGGTTTAGATGATTTGATGGGATCTAAAGTCTAAGGTTTGTAGCGCTGAATGACTGGAAGAAAACGAACTGCCATCATCGCTTTTTATAAGCATCGCCAGCTTCCTGTCAGTGCACTCTTCAAAGTAGTATGAATGCATAGACAAGTACGCCATCTAAAACAACAACAACGCCAACTTAAAGCGTTCAAGTTAAATTTATTGATAAAGTTTCCAAGAATAGCATCATGCGACGGATAAACTATGCGGTGTCCCCACTGGGAGAATTGGAAATAGATACTAAATGAGGGTTCATCGTATCTAGTTAGAATTAAAGTTGGGTATGTTTGTGTCTTACCGGTGGTAAGCCATTGTTGCCTTGCGACGATGTTCGGATGGGAGGCGGATGGCCGTCCTGCGGGCGTCTTGCCGGATGCGCTTGTTTGTTACTAAACTTAAGAGATGCATTAGTGGACATGGAACCATTTGCTGACGATACATCGCTAGTTGCTGATGAGAGGTATCTTTTCTTCTCCAGACAAAAGCTGACAAAATACGCTAAGCTATAGTTAACAATGCATGGACGTAAGCAAAATGAGGAGAGCTGGACAGAAAAGTGTAAGGAAGTAATAAGTTTGAGTAGATACATACACAGATGGAAACAAGATAAGGCCAAAGGAAAAATCATAGTATTAAGCAAATAATTTACTATCCTGCAACCACCACATTTCCCAGTCCTTCACCTAACCTGCCCTGACCAAAGACTCGTTTCACCAACCCAGCAAGCTTCTCCAGCTCCTCTATCAAATCCTCCGTTGCACATGCATAAGCCATGAAATTTATCCAATGACTCTTTTCTTCTTTTCTAGCGGTCAGAGATGGGTCCCGTAGAGCTGGCAGGGTGCGGATTTTGCTGAATAGGCGAAGTCGGGCAGCCCGTGCAGCGGGAACGAATGCGGGGAGTGGGGTTTTGGCTAAGAGGGACCCCGCAATGACGTGAAAAAACAAGAGGATGGCTGCAAACTGTTTGAAGATTTACCGAGTCAACAAAGCACCGCACAAATTTCAAAAGTGAACTAGCCAAACTCACCATATCCATCCGGTACTTCTCCACGGGCCATATTATCTCCCTTCGTACGAACTCGCCGAATCCATCTTGTCCAACTCCACCATCTACAAACGCACTTTCATATTCCCCATCCACAATTCGTCTTACGTTACCCATCCGATCGACTAGATTTTGTACACACCACAACATTTCCTTGTAGACATCGTAAGGGAAAGGTCCTTTTAATCGGGGCTCGTTTGGTGTAAGTTCCAAGAGCTCTAAATGATATGCTATGGATTTTGTGAGCTTGCGCTCGAGGGAGCGAACATAGAGGCGCTCTTTTTGATGCTTGCTTAGAAGGTAGTGAGAAGGTGTTGCTGTGTGGGCGGTAGGTGCGGTAGGTGAATCCGCGGGCTGTTGCTTGTCATGGTCATGCATATACACCCCCGCTTCATCTGCAATAAAAACAGCCAGCCGGGAATATAAGATTCCCATCAAGTATACACTCTTGGACACGCCCTTTCGCAGCTCTATCCGCGCAACAAAGGGCCAGACATATGATGTTACAATCAAAGCGGTTAAGACACCGATTGTGATTGTTGCCATCCTTTTCCACGCCAGAAGGCTGACACTATCTCCGTGCTCTGGATCATAGTACGTAAAGTAGGCCGTCATGACCACTACGTTATATGTGAGGAGTGCTGTCGTGCCAAGACGAGAATGTGGTGTTGTTATGTAGATGTACCAGCAGGGATACGCGAATATGATGGTCATAACTGAGATGGAGTAGGGATTACGGGGGGAAATAATCCAGGTTACGTAGCCCCAAAGAGCTCCAAAGATGGTCCCAATGATACGGTAGAGCCCGAAGGCATTTGATCCTCCTACTGTAGGGGAAAGGACAATAATCATCTTCATAAAGATGAAGGGGTGACTCTTCAATTTCCGCATGTACACCTCAAATAACAATGATACTTACCGTAACCAGCGCCCAAGATCCGCGAAACCATGTCCACCTGTCGAAATGTCAACGTTAGGAGTCTTAGATACCTTTGCAACTCTACCAGACTCACCAATCAGGCCAAACATACGCAGGCCATGCCAAAGCAGTTGTCGCAATGGCCATTTTGACACCAAATTTGACAGCATGATTCGCGGATCTTTGCAAAGCATTCCACAAATTCCATCGAAAACGGCCTACCCAGCCTGGCGCTATGAATGTTTCCTTTCCCTCTGTATAAAGCGGGATGTCGCGAGCTGTGCTAACCAATCAGAGCCAAAAGATGGGGATGTTCGATAAGTCGTCAGTTGTACGTACCTTGTCCGTCCTCATAATCCTTCCAGACAATCCCATCTCCCTTCAGCCACGTACGCAACTTCATTTTCGGCATCCAAAATTTTTGTTTGACCTCCCTCTTTGTTCTCAAAGCGTCCACAGCCTCAGCAAACCTCACAACCTTGGCCATCGCTTCCCTCATATTGAAAATGAAAAAGAAGGCGAGAAAATATTCTTCTCGAAACAGATTTGCTGCATTCCAGTGTTGAATGGTAATATCCGCATCGGTTAGGGAGCTCATGGACGGTGAAGATAGAGGGTCAATTTGGTGGGATACGCGTTCCATAACAGACCATTGAATCTCTTCGAAAGTTGTGATCGACTTCTTGAGTCTTGTTATGCTGGTGTCCGAAGGGAGCGAGTGTTGTTCCACCATTGGTATTTCACCCGTGCTTGATTCTAACGACTCAAGCCCTCCCAGTCCTCCTGCAAAACTCCCCAGTCGGGTCGCTAGCATCATCGAAGACCTCTTTACCGTATCTGTCGTTCGACCCACAATTGTGTCATGCTTGGTCTCTTCGTTTACACGTAACATGTACGCTGCACTTTGATCCATGCAGTCTGAGCACGCTCTAGAGAGAATGTGAAGACTGGATCGAACGGAAGCGAGATATTTCTTGAAAAGCTTTTTCGAGCCACCAAACATTCCGCCAGTGATCTCGCGACCAATGACTTGAACCTGGTGCCCTTCAGCGATTTCATCCTGTAAGTCAACACTGGCTGCCTTGAGCGATCTTAGAGAGCGGATACTGCTGACCGTGAGGTTATTTATGGAGGTGACACTCAGGTTATTGCGTGCTTCATTGTAACGTTGATTGAGTAGATCATGCTCAGCCCGGACAGACCGATGTCGGCGAGCCTGCTCTTCAAGGTCTTGTTCCATTCGTTGCTTCAATTTTTCCATGACTTTGGACCGCTTCTCTTTCCCAGCCGCCTCATCTTCCATTTCCACCAGGGCCTTTTCAATCTTCATGCAAGCCACCATTCCGCTCAAGTACTTCATCATCTCTTGTAGGGGTTGAACAATGACCTTATAGTCGTCGGGAGAATATCGGTCGTAGGTTACTTCATATCTACATTCCCGTCTCGCTGCTTTGGTACGTAGAATAGCCGAGCGAACGTTTGCTTGCTTCGCAAGGATTTCGTCCATGGGGATAGGGTTTTCTGTGTCGGTCAAGAGGAATGCTTTAACGAGGAGATCTAGCAGATCCCTTGTTTCTTCAACCGTCCGTTGAATTGAGCTTGTACGTGCGCAAATGTGAATATTGTAATAAGCAAATTCGGTTAGATAAATATCAACCCCTAAGCCTACCTCCTCAACACTCTGCCACTAAATTCAGGAAAAACTGTTATATCAACCACTAAGCATATGCCGGCGCCGGCCATAAACGGTTTGACGATATTCCACACACTAGCAGCCACCACCTCTCTCGAGTAGATATTTGTTGTTAATGGAAAAACCATTACCATTATACTTGTGAGAGTCGCGTTGTTCAATCTCAAGTATAGTCTTAGCAAAGAGAAATTTCACGAATGATCCATTCATCTCAGATACCTCGGATACGTTGCGCGGACATAGCCAAGACAGAATACTCCCACAATGAGGAACAACAGCTGGATCAGGAATCCACCAACCGGCTCTTTCTCTTGTTCTGGACGGGAGCTGTTGTAGGCTGTAGCACTGGCAAGAGCAGCGAGCGAAACGGCGGCACCAAACATGACGCCCACAGCACCGACAAGCACTGTTTCCAATATGGCGCCAATGGTCTTGACTAGGTTACCGACGGATACAAAGACATTAGCAATCTGTTACTGGTGAAGGAAGGTGCGAATGTAAGGTATAGCTGCATACCAGGAGGGAAGAATAGAGTCGCAAATGGCGTCAAATAAACTCCAGATCCAAAGGCAATTGCTATAGGATCAATCAGGACAAACAAACTCGCAACATAGAATGCTATTACAGCCTTTGTACATCTCTGGAAGATTTCCCACGAGAGGTATCTCCTTATGGGTTCCCAGACCCGATTTGTCCATCTTCTCCAAAGCGTCCCTACAGCAGGAAGTGAGTTTTTCTGCTCAGCTGTTGATCTCTCTCCTCTTCTGGTATGACTTTTCTCCTCTTCTCGTCGCCGGGACCATGTCGTCCGTGGGTTACCGAGCTCAAGTACGATATCGTCTGCTTCGCCGTTTTCTGGAATAGATTGATTGGAGCTCTGAGAGTTTAAGTTGTGATTGCTCCCGCAAACTTCTTGTGTGGAAGATCCCTGGGAATTGGCTGCAGATGTGACTGGTCCCGGCATGGGCAGTATGATCTCGTCATGCCTTACAGGTTGTACAGGCATGACGGGTTTGAGTGGCGAATTTCAATAAATGAATGCTGACTACATAAAAATAAATGATAAATATTGCTTTCTTTTGTGCTGATGCTACGAGGTCCTGTCGGTGATATGGCTCATCGTTTCAATGTCGACTATTCCCAGACGGTCCCACTCACTTGGACGGAGTGCTTTGTCATTAAGTAATAGGTCACGTGGAAGCGCGACCACCACGCGACATGCAATCGAGTTGGGGTCAGCAACAAGTCGCCGCCGCATGAGGTTGTAGGACAAGTTCTGCTCAGATTCCTTCGACAGCCCGCCAAATGGAGAAGTGTGCATAGATGCCGGAAACGACCTTCTCCTTTTCATATCCCGAAATTCGAGCTCTTTGCAAAGTCGTGATGAAGTGAAGGACTACTAGTCCCACCTCAGGCAATTTCAGACTATGCTCAGATCCGAATGGAAAAGCTCATGGTTCTGCTTGTTTGGGTCGTAGTGGTTTTCGATACATACATCTCTACACCACATCCAGCTTGCAAACCATGTTCTTGCAATTCGAAATCGTTATTTACTTACAACAACCAGCTGTTATATACACAAATTTTGCCTGCCATTACCAGATCTGGATCCACTACGGAGATGCAAAGTACACTGAGCCAAAGATGTCCTGTCAGAGCTTGTCATCCCAATGCGACCAGTGACGTTTCGGTCTTCGTCCAGATGAACTCTCTGAAATCTCTTTGGATTCATGCAGTGCATGTTTTGCAAGATGCTTACCATCCTCATTCCTATCACTACCAGCCTTATGTTTGATTTGCGACCGTTTATTCCCACCTCGGACGTTCTTTGAGGGTTGTTGGTGATTGTACAGATACAGGTTAAGAAGTCTTCTTTCCTCCGCTGGACTGACATGGGGGAATCTACACTTGTCTCCAGCGAAACAGCCCTTTCCATTGTTGAAATATTTGCAAAACGGGGCTGTATTATTGTATCCACCATTCAGGCTCAGGATTCGATAATTGTAATCCATCCAAGTCTTGGGCCGGGATTCACTCTCTGGTGATCCCTGGACGAAATCATCGCTGACGTCTGCTGGCTTCTTCCCCTTTGCAACATTCTTAGATGCATTCGAGGAAAGTAAAGTGACGCCAAGTTTCCTCCATTGTTCCTCCGATGCTTCGATGTCCTCTCTGTCTGCCTCTTGAGGAGTGCTAGTACTGTCCGTGACGGGTATATCTCTCCCGTCAGTTTCCTTTTGATCTGTTGGGTGAGGAGAGTTTGCAGTATAGTCTGAGAGGTGTCCATCGATCTGTTCGACCACGCATGAATGGAAAACACTTGTATCCGGCTGATGGCGTTCTCTCGGTCTCTTGACCTCGTCCGCAGCCGCATGAGCTGTTTCACAGAGTACCCTTTCCTCCAACGACATCTTAGGGTAGTCAGCAAGTATTAACGGTTCCGTAGGAGGACATTCAGGTACTTTGTCATCGGGTTCGACTGTATCAATCAACTTCGACGTTGTTTCCGATAATTGATCTTCCGCTGCAGCGTTATTGGCACTGATATCATCAGTTGGAGATACATTGAGTTCTCGAGCATTGTTCTCGCTTTCGGATTTTGGATCTACGAGATTGAGATGATCCTGCCGTTGTTCAGAAGATTCGTCGATGGTTGTGGCCAGCTGCGTCCTGCCCATGATATCCATATTCCCGCTGCTTTCATTTTGCTCCTCCGCCTCCAAAGTGCTATCAGCTGTAATGTTGACAGTTTCGTGGTCAACGCTATTATTTCTTTCTTCCTGAGCCTCATCTGTCACTCCGCAAAGGGTCTTGGTGTCGGTTACGCCGTTTGGAGGTAGACCGCCAGCCCGGCTCTCCTCTACTGAGTTCTGCACTCTATCTTTAATGGACTCTCCTTTCTCAGTTTCCAGCACTGGTTCTTTTGAACAGGTCACATCTGGCGAACAGGCTACCAATGTGCTTTTGGTGGTTTCGTACACTGGGCCGTGTAGTAGTTCAATCCTCGCAACAGCCACATCGGAAGAGACATCCCCGCTGACAGAAAGCCGTTCTTCTTTTTCGGTTTTTGACTCGGTATCTTGTAGATCAAACGTAAGGTTCGTCTTGGTAGGCTCTTCAAAAAACGGCGGGCACTTCAAAAATGGAGCAGAGACCAAGATGAGCTCAGGGGAAGGGTCTTTGTGAGGAGTAGTGGCGTTCGGTACAGGGGAGTTAATATATTCTGACTGATCTGGCCCGGTTTGTCCAACAGGAACCTGGCAAAATGCAAAATAGTTACGCGATTGTATTTGTATATGACTTTCCAAAGCTTCTTGCATGCTTGTTTACCTCTAACTGGATCTGCTGCTCGTCTTTCTTGGAATTCTGAGCCAAATTAACAGTCGAGCTATCGGAATCAAGATGTTGCCCTCTGAGGTTCAAAGAATCGCCTATGGTCTTATCCAGCTCCTCGTTGTCGGAGTCGCATATAATGTTGCGTCCTTGGGTCTCCTTCTCATATTCCAAGCGCTTCACGTCTTCCTCAGCTGCTCTTGCAGAATTTTGATACATAGGATCGACTGATATGGTACCCATATCGGCAGCCTAGCAAATTCGAGATCAAGATAAAACAAAACCCAAGGAAACGCGTTTCTGTAAGCAAAAACACTTACAGTGGACTGGTAGTTGCCTACATCTTCATTGATTTCTTCTGAAGTCGGATCGGGCATATCTAGCGATGTGTTGCACTCAAGCGACATAACAAAGGCTCGGCTAGATGCAGTGGGAGATATAGAGCGGATGCCTCTTAACTACTATCAACTTAAACAAAAGGATGTACGAGTAGATTGATTTGCATAGGGAAGATGTGAATGTGGTCTGGGCCCCTGCAATTGAGTGTTGAACGAAGTAAAACTATGAAGGAAAGCTTGCGGAAAGACTTTCGAGAAGTGGCACAGTTGTGGCTTGCGCAAGCTGAATCATCATCTTGCGCGATCGCGGTGTCCTGGAGGCCACGTCACGACTACCTTCCGGTTTGACTTTCGCTAAGGACGACTGGGAGACGAAGAGCATATTGACGAGGAAGACTCATTGTTATCTAGATTTGCGGCGGGGCTCATGGATGCGAGACTCTCTCTGAAGGAGCGGACACACAAAACAATATTTACCAGTTGGACAGGGAAAGCCGAGAGAGAAAATTTCAAAATAGAATCAAGAGGACAAACTGCTATTCAACTTCACATGCATTGTTTCATGTTGTCGGCACTCGATGTAGAATTACAGCTCACAGCCTCAATCTTTCTTTGCCCTCTCACTCCTTGCAACCTGTAATTCCTCCTCTCCTACAGAAGTTTGCATCAACAGGCACGTTACAACAAGCACCCCAACCGCTGCTTGCCAAACCGCCACCTCCCACAACATCTTGGCCTCCACATCCGCCTTTTGTCGGACGCTACCCGCCAACGTCTGAATAATAGGATGCACTTTGAGCACGTAGGCTGCTACTGCCGTGGCAAAGGAGAGAAAAGAGAGGAGGTTGACAACACGATGAGTTTTGTTCACCAGGGTTTGGCCAAATGTTGAGATGAGGATGAGGGCGGAGATGCCGATTGTCACATATAGGAGGTTGGTAGGTTGGTTCGCGACATTGCGATAAAAGGTCTGAGATACAGATAAAATTGTACATTTAGAGTGTAAGCCAAGTCTGAAAAAGTACAAAATAGCCAACACACCACTGCTTCCTGCCTTTGAAGGGCGCTGACTTTGGACTTGAGGGTAGACAGATCGGCACCAATATGCGGCCACCAAACATGGTCAAAAACGGCCCGCGTGAAAAGCTGTCCACCTAGGAAGCCGAGTAGGATGTTTGGAAGGACGCCCATGCTGGGGTGTTCGTATGAAAGAGCGGATGCTGAGAACTGCGATGAAGCAATCTGCTGGAGAGCCGCGTCGCAATGTTGAGAGGAACGTGGGCCCCGTCGTGATCACATGACCTCAAGATGCACTGCGGCCCTCTTCACATTGTGTCGTTCATTATATCTTGCAATGTCAAATAGCATGTGTTGACAAGTAGAGCCTTGCTAGTTATCAAGCAGCATAATTGATATATGAAGCCGTTGTCAACACGCCCACGGCGGTTCTTTCAATGGATACGACGAAACGTCGACAGGATTGATTTGGCTGTGACGTGATGAGTCAAACTGAATTACCCAATGGCGCTGATCACATGCGCGTCCCTGCCTTGGTCCATGTCGTTTTAAGTTTTACGCTTTCCAGCACGGCCCAGCTGCTAGTAAACGTCGCCAGATACTCACTCCTAGACCCCGCTAGGATTTGGGATATTCCCTGCGGTCGCCGAACTACCCAAGGACAATAAACAGGAACAAAAACAAACAAAAAGCAGTTTTGTAACACTCCGTAGCAAGCCTTGTTGCTGCATATCGTTTAAACGAGACCAACTGCTACATATACCTGCCGAGAAATGGGCCTCATTTTCAAGAGATACCTTGAAGCTCCTACCCATTGCAATACCCGGATTTTTGGCTGTAGCGAGTGCAAGACCCATCTATCTACCTCGGAGGATATCTTGTCAAAGGTAGGCTGCGAAGCAACAACACAGCAAAGGCTGAGAATCTATCTGACTATTAACGAATGATCAGGCTTTCCAAGGCCAACATGGGAAAGCCTATCTGTTCAATCATGTGTAAGTTTCGGGCATGGTTGCCACATTGAGTAACAATTCTCACATCGCCTTGTGTACCCCTCCAGTGTTAACGTTCTGGAGGGTCAGCCTGAGGACCGGAACATGACCACTGGCTTGCATACGGTCAAGGATATCTATTGCACTTACTGTCAAACAGTTGTAGGGTAGGTTCCGTTATCTGTCATGTTTGCTTAGGTCATCGTGCTGTCGCTTGTCTCCCAGACCTGACAATTCAACCGAATCACTCGCAGATGGAAATATGTGAGTGATATCCTTCCCTTCTTTGTAACGTCCTCTTCCGTATGTGGCCAAAATGGTTGACGATAGGTGGGCTTTCTTCTTTTCATCGCAAAATACCTTGCCCTCCCCGTTCCTCCATCCGTTTCCCGAACCATGTCACGTGCCGTTTCCTTCTTGGCTATTTCTCCCCTTTTCTTTGCCTGTGAATACATATCCGTGCTCAACGTCTCTTCTTGAATCTGTATTCAATAGGAGAAAGCCTACGAAGATAGTCAAAAGTACAAGGAGGGCAAGTACATCCTGGAACGACAGCTTATGTGCGAGGTGCTATAATGGGTTTGCTTGGATGGTAGGATACCAAATTTTCCCTCTGATTTGAGATGTGTGACGGACCTTTGTCTTATTTCTGGCATTTCCCGACATGACCTATTTCAACTCCGGCTTCGTAAAAGATTGCTGCCCTTCGAATCGGTTTTTCGGTGAATTGTATATCAAGTTTTATTCCCCTGTTTATGTATTTCCCTTTCCTTGGTCGAGAATGGTTTTGAACGGCCATCAAGTAGTTATAGTTTCCCTGTCCTCAGTTGATTTGACAATGAAATGTCTGTTGCTTAATACGAAGGATGATTGCATTCTGTACTTCCTAATTTCTTCGACACCAGGGACCGTAGAGGAGCGCGTGGCAATATACATTTGTCGATGCAAGTGTCCTCGCTGTCCATTGAACTGAAAACAGATCGAAAACCATAGAACAATAGTCACTTTCGATGGTGACAGGATGGTACGTTTCGTACACATCTGGCGACCAAATACTATTAGATCCAAAGTCAAATCGACCGACGTGAATAGTTTGCCGTTAGATGGGCACCGCCGTCACATCGGAGAAATTCTGTGCTACGAATAGCAACATATCTAACGATGAAAGATTTAATCCCTCTGGACGTGACCTCTCTATTTGAAACCCATGATTTTGGCCCATTGTTAAACAATCCGTAGGCATGAAGGATAACTTTCTAAACACTGCGTTTTGTTATACACTGGCAGAACTGTGTACGAGGTTGATGAAGAAAACGTGGTGCGACACATGGAATCCACAATCTCGTAATGTAGAAGAAACACACCAGAGAGGCCCCGCCTTTGTGTCAGCATTGCACTTTTCCAGCCGAACCACTCGTAGGCTGCCCACAGCCCGACCGCCATCTCCTGGCGGCGTACAAAACTCACCGGTAGACCGCGAGCTGACACGCGACTAAGCATTGTGTCACCATCAAATCCCATTGACGCGCCTCGAGATCCGCTTTGCATTTGTTTATTTTCACTTTGTTTAGAAGCAAAACGCTAACCCTTACATCCAAGAGCGATGCAAATGACTGCTCATTGGTTGACAGTGGCCGCTGTGGGAGGCACCACTAGGGTGTGCTTTGGGGGAGCAATGAGACAATTCTTTATTAATGGGCGTAGATAAAAAGTCTCCGGGATATTTCACACATCTCGTTCTTCCACATTCACGTTTACACACCTCATATTTTCAAAGTATTTTTTGCTTGCTTTGCAGACTCAATCTTTTGCAGACATGCCCGGCATCATCGTCGATGTACCTCCAGCCCTTGACTTTACTCAATGGATCTTCACGGCTGCCTTGGTGGGTTGAGTCCGTATTCCGCCGTTACAGGTGGCAGGAGACTGATACATCTTTGGAACTGCAGATTTTTCACATTCGCTTGGGTATTGAGCTTTACCAGTTTGGTAAAGGCTTCAAATATCTCAAGCTGCGGAACGGAAAGTTGAACTGGCTTGCGATCCTTTTGCAGGGACATCTTGTTGCTGCTATTATTGAGGTACGATAAACGACGCTGTGCTACAACGGTTACGTATAAGCTAACCGAATGGCCATTGACAGGCATCACTGATGACTATCATGTTGGGAGGTTTTGTCAAGCAACAATACTGGTAAGTCAATTGGTTCTAGTAATTTTACTATTCAGAGCTCCTTACTCCAACCTCCGTCATCATCAGCCAACCCTTCATCCGCGGTGTATATTCCGTCTACGTCTTCGATGTCATTTGTATCAGCACCGTCCTATACTTTCGCGCCTTTAAGGTTAACAATAGAAATAAGTACCTCCTTCCTGCGGCATTTTTCTTCCCTGCTTTGGAAATTGCCTCGCGTATTACCGAAGGGGTTTACATTGATGGCACGATTGATGCTTCGTACGTTCCACCAGGAATGCTTTCTCCCTTCTATGGTAAGTAATGTATTCCTGCGCTTTCTTTATTGCCTACCCTAATCTGCAGATTGGTTTATTTAATAACAGGGTTCTGCGGGGCTCTTTTTGGCTGGCCTACAACCTTCATCACCGTTGCTTCCATTCTAAACGACTGCGTACAGATGCTCATGTTTGGTTTCCCTATTTACATGGCGATCAGGTAACTTTCAGAGTCACTCTTTTTCCATGAGCACAAATTCATCTTTGGTGTAACAGGAAATCGCACGGATTCGGTGCAACTGGCACATATACCAAGATCTTGTGAGTGACGCCAGCTTAACATCGTGCAATGGTGGAGAACCTAACATCCTTACTCGGGGAATAGGATGAACAGTGCCATCTACCTCGCCATTGCCGCCATCTTTTACATTGCATCCGCTGCTCTTGGTTCTAATCACAACACTTGGGGGGCCGTGACCTGGCGTGAGGTTGCCCAGCTAGCGCACACTCTCGGGGCTTGTGAGCTCCAGGTTGGTTTTTTCATTCTCCTTTTCGAGCTTTGAACGTATCAAAATTGAATTTCTTTCATTTTTGCAGTTCAATGACCACCGAAAGACAACCGGATCATCAGGTGCAGACTCTGCCCCTCAACCTACATCTCACACCATGGGCGGAAAAGGCTCTATGGCTGGCAGGTCTGGTGCCATGCTAGTAGATGCCATTCCCAGATTGCCCGTCGACAGTACCTCTACCTCAAAACTTCATTCCGACCAACACTTTTAAGCAATTTGCGGGAAGTTCCGGAGGGACGTGATATCTTCCTCTGTTCTCAGTTTTAGTCAGTAGTTCTTTACAATTAGATGCGCGTATGTCATAAATGGGTATATACCCCTTGCGTGTAGAGAGACTCCACCACCAAGAACGTAGGACGATCCCAAGACCATTGTAAGGCGGAGACCACAAAGAAGACCCTCGTAGTCGTATCATGGTGCAAACATAGCTCTCGCTCATGGTGAAGTAGGATATTTGGCCGGACCAGAGTTACATGCTCGTGAAAATCAAGAAATATAAAATCCTATTCTGCAATTCAATTGTCTACTTGACTCTAAATCCAACCGGGTATACGTGACTCTAGGAAGTTCCTAGGCTTTGAGTATCTGTAGACACAACTATCTAAATCATCATCCTCCTCATCAAAGTCCTCGCACTAGAAACATGCAACAAATTCAAATAAAATGGGATCGTTAGCGTTTGACCCATTCTCAATCTCGGGTTCAATGTGTGCGGGCGTTCCGTTCCACACGGTTTGGGTATCAAGACCGGACGACGGAGCGGTGAAGCATGCGTGTAAGTAGGCACCGGCCGACCTATGGGGGCAGTTGTCGCGGTTGTTGTTGGATGGGTTTGTATCGCTCTCCGCCATTTAGTGAGAGATTTTATGATATTTTCAGTCAGCGTGGTTGAAACGGGTGTAGGGATGGGCTTGGGAGAATTATATATAGGAAGGAAATTTAAAGCGCGGCCTTGTTCAAATGATCCTCCTGGGAGAAAATGCGTCCTAACCATACGGTAGACAACATCCGCAGGTGGTGTGGCCGGGATACGAATAATACGTTGTTGTCGGCGGCTGAGGGATGCAAACTGACGGGCTTGCTGCGAGGGTGTGTTGCGAGACATTGATTCTGGGGACGATGATCGGTGGAGGCGTGCTGTTGACGACGACTTGCTAAAGTACGACAGAACAGCGGGAGTTTCAGTGTCGTGAACGTGCAATCGATGTGCGATGGCATCCAGGTTATCATCTAATCGTCCTCGATGCGCCATTCGTCGACGAAGGACACTCTGGGGACAATGAAAGTACAACACTAAATGTGGTGACCCAACCGCCTTGTTAAAAAGTTTCGCTTGTTCGAGACTCCGAGGAAATCCGTCCACAAGTACGCCTTTGGTTCCTCGCGGCAGCTTCTGTACCGCATTTCTTAAGACTGCCATAACAATCTCATCGGAGACCAATTCGCCGCTGGCCAGCAGCGTAGCCACTTCTCTGCCAATCTTGGTACCTAGCTCGACCTCCTTCCTCAGCAAATCTCCCGTGGACAGATGTGCGAAGCCAAACTCATTGGCCAATTGAACACATTGCGTCCCTTTTCCTGACCCAGGGCCTCCCAGAACGAGTACAATCGGAGGAAGACCGTTCAAACCCTGTTGGCATTTTGGAGAAGGGAGGGGTGCAGACGTCGTCGTCATACGGGGTGGCCATCGCCCGGTTCTAAAACGATGCACCCAATCTGCCCTTTCCGATGTGTGGCTATTTGTGAATGTATGTCGTCGCATGATAAAGGGTCTATAAATACCACAGCAGAAAACGGTCTTTGTCGTTTAACGCGACTAAGTTAAACGTCAGAAACAAAAAGACACGAGGTAGGCTGGGCAAGTGAGGATCCTTGATCTTTTATAATTGTTGATAGCATGACTTCGTTTGTTTACGTGGTGGCTATTTTTTTTAGCGCTTGTTGACTGCACTGCTGCCACACTCCGCCCTATCAGGATAAGCTTACATAATGCATTTGGGGGCTTTGACTTGCTGGGTGCGGTAACTGCGCTTGAGAACAGGCGAGGTAATGCGCAGCTGAAAGTACTCCAACAAGACTTCTACATTGCCTTCCTTCAGCACGGCCACATAACAACTACCGCTTGGTGTACAATGTGAAGCAATTGGAAACTACCGAGAAATCACTGTAAAAATTTCGCCATTCCAAGATGGATTGCTGGTGGCCGTAGTGATAGGGGGAGCAATCTCGACCTTTGCAAGTTCCTTCATTGAGAATACCTCAACAACGTCAAGAACTGGTAGACATCTGCCATAATACAACGCACCACATTTATCATGCGGAGTATAGGGCAGGGGTATCATAGTGCTGGAGGCTTTGCACCATTTAAATTTGAGAGTAATACTAGTTGGCGGCCCAACAATGTCCATCTCCAACAGCATCGGCCCCAACCAGCGAAAATTTCCATTCCATTCAAGTATGCCTTTAAAATGTATCTCAATGCACTGCCTTATTCCTTCCGTACAACAGTGGTTTTGGCCATCTCCTTGCTATGATATGAACTATCGATCAAGAGATAAACAGGTAACTGGATAGCTACGCAAGAAAGAGTGGCTATGGTAGAGGGTGTGGAACAAGAACAGCGCACAGCACCAAGAGCACGGCAGGAATGGCCACTGAATTGGCGGCAGAATGTAAACATTTTGACCGCCAAATTACACAGCAACCATAGACGTCCTTTTGCTCAGGTGAAGGATGGACATAGGGAAGTGAATTGAGATGTGAGTAGAACTAGATGTTATTGATGACTCGGAAGGAAGAAGATGCACACGTCTTGCGTAGGACATGAAATCACACACAAAATTTAGTGACGAGATAAAACTGCGGGTCAACCAGCACCGTACATTCTGGAAACAGAAAACAGTCAATAAGACATCGGAAAGGAAAGGACTAGGCAAGGACGGCGGCTGCTAGTGATTCAAGCTAGCAGTGAATAAATCAGTGCAAAAAGGGACCTTGCAAGAAATTCATGCCAAAACCATTTCGCTCCGGAAGATGTTTTCATCTTTCCTTTTTCCCTTCTCTTTATCATGCACATTGCAAAGGGACAGCGTCAACAGCCCAATCCGCACCTTTCTAGTGCAACCTTATCTCTCGTAACCGACAACCGACAGAAATCTGGGTTCTCGCTACCCATTTATATCTGGATCAGACCAACCTAATTCATCCGTCAGCCCGCAAGTTATCATTCAATAGTACACGCCTTTTGTGATTGGTATCGTTTGGATTGTGGCAAGCATTACCGTCCGCCCCACTGGACATGCCGGATATAGCTAAATGGCATTACGCAAGAATTCAAGCAGGAGCGTGTCAATAATGGAGACATTTTCGACATGGAGGACGGGCGGTATTCCGATTCATGCAATGATGGATATTGACCTGATCTTACGGAATTTCCCGTTAGTTTCGCTCGCAAGCGCCCATAAGCTAAAAAGAAAAACCCCGCCCTTGATGCCGTCATTGTTCCGATGGGTTTGCGTTAGCGCTATGAAAAACGTTGGCGCGGTCGCGTGCATTACTGTCACAATACGCAATCATCCCTCGTATGCAAGCCCCCCCAGCTTCCCATATAAAAAGCGCTTTCTCATGCATATTCTTTTTACGCCATTCGACATAAAAAAAGCTCGTAAACATCATGACAGCCAACACACTTGCAGCTCAAGGCGTCTCCAGTGTCCCATCTCCAGTTGACAAGGGAGATGCTGCGACTAATGCTCGTCGAGATTCGGGCCATGGGACTCCCGTTCCTTTGGAGGAACAAGTGATCGTTTCTGCTGTTGACAAGTGCCCGGCTACCAAAGCATTTCCTGTTCCAGAGGATTTGGACAAATATATTAGGAACCCAGGTAGGTGTCGAGCCAGGATCCATCCCCGAATCAGTAACTTAATGAGATCACCGAAAAGGCTGTCCGCGCGCTAATGCTGCCCCGAGTGCTGAGCATCCTACGGGCTCCCACGACAACAAACGGGACCTTACTGTCATGCAACAACATATCGAGTTTTTTGATCGAGTGAAGGATGGCATCATTTGGCCTTGGGAGACATATGTGGGATTTCGGGCAATTGGATTCAACATCGCGTTTAGCATTATGGCCGTCTTTGTAATTCATGGTGGATTCAGTTACTTTTCGATTGGTGAGTCGCTTGCGTGATGTAAATTATGATCCTTGGAACCTGAATTAATCTTCTCTGACATGGGTTTCAGATAGTTGGATTCCTCATCCTGGCTTTCCAATTTACATCAAAAATATCCATCGATGCAAACATGGCAGTGATACCGGCACATATGGTGAGTCCGCAGCAATGCAGCGCATAGCTTGATGGCCTATTCTCATGCTATGATATCAGACACGGAGGGACGATACATTCCTCAAAGGTTCGAGGAGATTTTCACAAAATTCGACAAGACAGGAAAAGGTGGTCTCACCTTGCGCGAAATTCTCACCATGACCCGTGAGATCCGGAACGTTATGGACTTTTTTGGTGTCTTTGCAAATCTTTTCGAATGGGTGACGCTTTGGCTTCTATGCAAGGATGAGCACGGTGTTGTGAAAAAGGAGCAACTCCGGAGAGTCTACGTAAGTTCTGTGTCCGTTGGTTGTTGGGAACGGTGCTCTAATTTGACATCTGCGGTCCAGGATGGAACCTTGTTTTATCACATTGAGAGCGAGATCAAGGCAAAGAAGCAAGAAAAGCTGAAACAGAAACAAGCCAAAAAGCAAGCAGCGAAAGCAAAGCGGGGCTGAAGGGAATTATGCATGCGTCGGTTTTAGTTCGAGATGGGATTTTTTTCTTTTGGCTGCAGATATAATTTCAGTCTGTATAGGAGCTGGAAATTAGCAATCTCTTTTGTGTATTTTGCAAATATAGCATTTTCGCAAGATATCAACTGTTGATTTTGATGATGCGGCTACCGTCACGTGTCGTCAATCACCTATGTCACATCTCTCGTCGTAAGTGTTGCGTCTTGAGCATCAACTCCATCTAATTTTCGTTGCTTATACGGCCATAGTTGGAACTCTATACATCTATGGGGCTTTTAGACTTGGTACAGTGGGTGGTGCAGGGTACTGTGTACGTTGGCCTCACGGCAGTTACTGGAGGACTGTTCCTGCTTTACTTTTACCAAAACAACCTCATATGTATGTTGAACTTTGGGTGGACCAAGACTGCCTGCGTAAAGACATTGATGCTCACTGTGTTTGAATATGTAGACCCAGCGCATTTCCCACCGGGCTCACGCCAGAGCGTCTCCAAACCCGACGAATTTAACTTGAATGACTACGAGGATGTCACCATCACAACCCCTGACAATGTCAAAATTAAAGCTTTTCTCATTCGCCGACCGAAAGGTACAACTGAACAGGAGAACGAAACAGTGGACTTTGCGACCGCCTTAAGAGATGGAGTGCGTAAACGAGGGCCCGAGAAGCAAGACGCCGAGGAGTTGGCGGAGTATACATTAATTTATTGTCACGCTAATGCCGGCAATATGGTAATGGTGATGGTCGTCTATACTTTCTGTGAAATGGATACTCATTGTGGTTGTGGTAGGGCCATCGTCTTCCCATTGCCAAGGTCTTCCATTCGCGATGCAACGCAAATGTTGTCATGTTTTCTTATAGAGGGTGAGTTCTGGCGACGTGTACGCTTTTATGCTTGGTTTAAATGAAGATATTCTTGCTTACACTCCTTTATAGATATGGACAAAGTGAAGGTTCGCCGTCTGAAGCGGGGCTTAAGATTGACGCACAGGTGATCGTAAGCTCTTGATCATCCCGAAAGATCCCACCTGACATATTTTGATTGTTTGCAGGCTACTTTAGACTGGGTGCTTGCTCACCCGCAATTAAGAAATACAAAGATCGTTGTATATGGACAGTCTCTTGGTGGTGCAGTTGCAATCCACCTGGCCTCCACGAACGAGGACAAGATTGCCGGTTTGATCGTTGAGAATACCTTTTTGAGCCTGGTACATATGTCAGATTTCCTGCTTTCGAAAAGAGCTGCCGTCTTACAATAATCTATTGTAGCCCAAAGTTGTTCCCCACATTCTGCCGTATCTTAAATACTTGACCTTCCTATGCACCCAGGTGTGGGATTCTGAGACTACCATCCAGCGCATCCCCCGTCTCCCGATTCTTCTTCTCAGCGGTGGCAAGGACGAGCTCATTCCGCCCAGTCAAATGGCTGGTTTGTGTTACGCTGCACGATCCGCACGCGGCAAAACAAAAGCTCCCAGTACCAGTACAGTCAAGCGCGACGAACACGGCATTCGATTCATCGTTTTCCCCAACGGAACACATAACGAGACCTGCGTTCAACGTGGATACTTTGATGAAGTGCTGGCTTTCTGGAGGGAGTGTATTGTTGGGGATGGCAGTCAATCGAAGAGTGGTGAAACGCTGGTTCCGAAGGATGTATCCAATGTTGATGGAGTTCTCGAGGCATACAAGACTATAGAGAAGGGCGGGGAGGGATCGAGGCTGGTGACGGGTGGGCTGGGTGTCCCCCGAATGTGACAGGGATCAGCGAGCGACTGCGGCAATATATTTTTTGTCATGATCATAGATTACATGATACATTTCTGGCTGGCCATTACTACACGCGTATATCAATTTTCACAAATGTATTGACCACGATAAACCACCGCAGTAATATAATACTGATATCTGACCAGCCTATTCTTCGCGACCGTGAATTTCAATCTCCTCACCAGCCTCCTCCTTGCTCTTGATCATATCTTCTAAAAATGCAAACACGGCTTCTTTTGCGGTGACAGTTGTGTAGGCGTGCTCAGTATGTCCTATGGGTCGGCGCAAAAGGCACCATCAGCCATTTTCTACACATGGCCGTCCCGCCATCTACTCATGGTCCGCACCCTACCTGCAGCGCGACACGGGCATCCACACTTGCTCGTTATCCCGCGAGTGATTAATGTGTTTACTGGGAGCGGTGAGGGAACCCAGTTTGTGGCTTTCTGCATCCATTCGGTAGCAAATTTGCTATCCATCCCTGTGTCTTTTGCTTTCCCCCGGAACCCGTATGCACCCACCTTTGCGAACCACCTCCGCACTCTTTGCCAAGTAATTACTGTTGCATCGTGCAGAGAATCTGTTAATGCGATGCCTTTGACTCTTGCCATAGTTTCATCCGCTGCCAATATAGTTTGAATAATGAAGGCGTCAGCGTCCTTTGAATGTTGCCAATAGCATATTTGGAACTTACGCCGCTCTTTGAATAGATTGAAGACCGCAATCCCTCCGGCGCTGTGTGCTACAAAGACGATCGGCTTGTTGACTTTTCTGTTTCGTGCATGTTACCAACGTGACATTGACAAGCAGTAGGAGCTTTGACATACTTGAGGATACTGTCCCAGACGTAGAGGAGATGGTTTGAAGGAGTCTCATTTCCTGTTAAGAAAGAAAGTTAAGGTGTTGTGAACGATCACAATGCCAATGCAAAGAGCCGCGCATACCTCGGATCCATTTCTTCATAACCACGCAAAATAAGAAAGTACAAGCACATCATACATGGAACTGGCTTACTTAAAAGACATACCAGGATCCCACTCAGCCTTCCAGTGTTCTCATTTGGATTCGTCAGAAGAACGTCGTATCCTTCCTCATTTGCCTGCTTCAGGTACTCGAGCATGGCCCCGATCTGAGATGATATCAGTCTTATTATCTGACAGCGCTGTGAGAGGAAGCACTCACATTGATGTTATCGTTGATAATAATGCGACGGGCCCATTGACCAATGCTAGTTGTGCCGTAGTTAGATGGGGGCGAGTAACTTAGATTTGGCACGGAACTCACGAAACGCCGCTGAACAGAATACCGGTTAGTTTATCAGTCGAATGTGGAATAACAAGTCGCATACATGCCTCCCCGGAACAAGAACAAGCAATGGTTTCGTGCTCGTCAATGCATCTTTGCTAATCGTAAATCCCCCATTAGCTTCAAGTCAACAACGCTCGGCGTAATTTACAAAACAGACCTCATAAAAATCTTACTTTTCGCCTCATTCTCACGATCATCAACAGGAATTTGCATCCGCAAAAGTCCAACGTCTCTCTCTAAACGGTCTTCAATGTGCTTATCGATTACCGCTGCTTCAAGTGTTAGTAACTTGAAGTTTCGAGTTTTTGGAGAAGCTTACCTCCCAAACTTTCATAGTGGGCTTCGTTGTAGTCTTTATCTGTTGGATGAACATTGAACTTAAAGCGCTCGTCTGGTACCTCACGATCAAGGTTAGAATGATGGGAGAGGACAGGTTGCAGGCGTGGCCTAACCCGAGTCGATTTTTCGCAACTCTCCCAGGGTGTTGAAATGATATCCGAATTCAGGCAGAGTGAAAGGGAACCTGAACTTGCGATCTGACTTGGATGAGGAGCTTAATGTTGATGAGCTAGAGGATGTGTTGGATGTCATGGTGGTTGAAAATTATTGTTCGAAGAAGGGAGAAAAGAGGGCAGGACTACAGTTTACGTGGTGTAAGCGATCTGCTGTGCCACCTACGTGACGGTGACACATCACTAACGAACAGTCATGTTTTAGAGATGAGATATTCAATGAAAAAGGATTACGATGCAGCAATCTCCTTACAAAAAAAGCAAATAACTATTTACATGGATTGCTGCTAGTGCCAACCCATCCATTACACATTAATTTGCCGACTATATTATTCAGCAGCAGGTTCCTCGATCTCGATATTCTGGAGGACTGGGATGATATCTTCCCAAACTCTTAACCCCTTATATGAAAGGACAGTTGGCAAAGGACCCCTTGAACCTCACGCAAGCATAGTATTCTCACCTTTTGGAAATATTCCATTTGGCTCTCAGTATAGTCGCGCAAAATGTCTTTAAAATCCGCGACTTTGACAGATTGGAAGAGTTCCAGTTCCTTTGCTACCTCGTTCGAAAATGCTGTAGATATATCGTGACTCTGCTCTACAGCTTCGGTTAGCTAGAACCGAGAGCCAAACCAAATTAATAACAGTCCTCTATTTCCGAGAAGATACATCGCATACCTCTGCAATTTTCGCCTCGAGTCTCGCCAGTTTGGCCTGTCTCGCCTGCTCGTGATTGATATTTCTAAAATCATTATATTTTTCTTTTATAAATGACGTTATTCCTCCGCTGCCGCGCCCCGACATGGTTCGCTCTCGATCGGAAACGCTATTTTCTAGGTAGGTTTGGAGTTCTTCATGATCCACCTGCTTTTGGTCCCTCAATTTCAGGACTTCCTACATGATGTGAAGGGATTGGATTGTGATCAGATGTTATGGAGAAAGAGCTGCAATCGGACCACGTATTGATCTACCTTTACGGAATGACAGTACGCAATGTACTCCCTAAGACTTCCAACAAAGTCTACCTCTTCCCTTTGAGACTGCACGTACAATGTGAGGAACTGGCACATTTGGAAAACACATTATCCTAGAACGGGCGTCCTCACCTTATCTTTCAACAGGGTACATATCTCCCGCACAGTATTTCCGAACTCCGTTAGCGGCCCCGTTACTTGGGTCTCCATGACTCCAAGCGTTGTTATACATCCTTCGAACTCTGCTGTATCCCGTTCCAGGTCTACGGAACCAGTAGACGAATCAGCCACGCGCACGTCTCTCGAACTTGAAGACCATGAATTTACCAGCGTGCTGCTTGAGCAGCTTGGTGTGAAGCTTCTCGACTGTGGTGAGGTTCTCTTCAAATTTTTCGACATTCTCCTTGAACTCTAGGAACTGTTGATCGGGCTTTCGGACTTTGGCAAATGCGTTCAAAAACACATCGCTGATATTCTCGAGGACGTGGCTATCACGATTTCGCGAGGCTGCTTCTACAATTTGCTGAACGCCGTGGGATATCATTAATTGACATGACTATCGGGTAGTGGGAAGAGGATAAACGGCATTCCTACCAAATCACCAGTATCCAGAAACTTCTTCAGTACCGCACTTCGCTGTAATGTGGGATGCCTTGATACTCGATCAAGATATGTTTGCAAAGACAGCCGTCGCTTCTCTATGAACTCGGGGCTAAAGCGATCACCTGTTATGTACTCTGACAACGGCCACAATCGGTTACTGCATAGTTTGCTGAAATCTGTCCAGGACGCGTCACCTACCCATTCGATGTTTGCCCGGGAGTGGTGGAACAATACAGGCGGGATATTCCTCCCCTAAACTGCGGTGCAGCCATACGAAGTCCTGGAAACGTCTTCGGGTTGACATTTCCGGCCGTGGATATGTATCCAAGATCGTCTATAAGACCCATCATTTGAATAACTAGAACTCTGATAACTCATTCGCTAAACTCGACGTACTCTCGTATTAACTGCATATGTAACAAACGCTCCTGAACCTTCGCCATGCTTTTGTGGGTCCGTCACAGTTATTTTGAGCGCATCCGTAGCATTTAGAGCAAATGTTGTGAGCGTTGGTGATATGCTGGATCGGACTGGAGAGGTGGAGCTTGAAGCCTGAGAAAAGTGGGACTGAAAGCGTTTGAACACGGCGGACAGTGGTGTTTTCACCCTGCGTTGAGAGAAAGATACCTTGGTTTCTCCAGTTTCCCAGGGAACATCGCTGTAATCTTCCCCCATGTAGACCTCCTCCATTTTGAGCACGAAACTAGATTGAATGTGCTATTAGTATCCGCAATCACAGGATTGCGTCGGCGATGTGTTGGTTGGCAGATGGTTTAGGGGCCAATCCGCACTGGAGCTGCTGACTCACTGCGTGCTTGGCAGGCTTTGCCATGTATGATGGGCACAGTCATGAATGAGCGCGGTCTAATTACGTGAGCAGGAACACTCGCTACATTCTATCAACGCCTTTGACTCCTAGCAGTGATAATCCCCAGCTAATCACAGTTTGTATAGCTCTTACAAGCTCTGCCCTTGCCTCTTTCACCTCATTCGACTGGCCTTTAACCCGTATTCCACTTAAGCAGCTGCCAACCTCCCGAGACAACTCTACGAGATATGTAACCAGAACCGAGGGATCATGTGTGTTTAGGGTCGTGAAAAGGACGTGTGGGTATCTAGAAAGTTTTGAAACAAGAGCCAGGGGGATGGGTGTGCTCAAAAGCGGTGTGATATCCACTTCGGGATTTGGGGGCGGAGCGTGGCATAGAACGGAAGCTAGCCGAGCGTGGGTGTATTGGATGTATACACCAATATCCGATTCATTGGAGACGATGCGGGACCAGTTGTAGGAGAAGTTTTTCGTTCGACGTGGTTGGTACGTTTGGAATAGCAAAGCTGTTAGACCGATCATGTCAGGCGCGTTATTTTGGGTGACCAATTCGTTTTCTACATGTTCACCAATGCTTGACTCCTTTTCCCGCATGATGTCTTCCATGTACATCTTGGCGCAATTCAAATACGGTTCTGGTGATAGTACCGGCTCGGAGGTTCTCATGTCCATGTCGTAGATCTTTCCAAAGGGCGCATCGATCAAATCATGGATCCCACTCTCTACTAATTCCACCAGCTTCCTGCTTTGTTGAAAGGAATACTGACGTCCAATTTCAGCAACTACATACGTTTTCGAGACGTGACATTCTCCTCTTTCCATCGAAATTACTGCATCCACCAGTACTTGTGTTGGTACACCATCGCCAGTCATCAACAGTGCCGTTCCCAGTTGCCAATCCCTCAAATCCACAATTTGTTCCCCTGCGTTTCTGCCAGGTTTTAGTAATCCGGCCTCCTGAAGGAACGTAAGAAATCTGTCCACTCGATCTTTACATATAAGCTCGTCGGTCTCCAATTGGCCGGAGATACCCATGCGCTCGAGGACCGGAGCAAAACTATCCCTCCAAGCTTCCCAAGCTCGGCTCCACATTTCCACGATCGCAGGAATGCCGCAGTAAAGATCGTAGAGTAGTTTTTTTGAACGCAGCAAAAGGGTTGGATTCGTAGTGATATCTTCAAGAGTGCGTTCAAAGTTTTTATGAAGTACAAGTGGTGTATAGGGGCCGTCTTCGAAGCCATTACGTTGACAGGCAAGAAGAAGAATCTCTATACATAGGAGACTGTTACCGATGCTTCCCACATCTCCTCATACATTCGGCAGGATTCTCACCGGTGTGTTTATTCCAAATCCCAATTTTGCAGCGGAGTTTACCATTTTGCGAACGGAGCTTGCAGCATCTCTCTACAAACGCGGCAACCGCAAGGGATCTCCAATACCGCGAACTAAACACTTGGCCAATGTTTGGAAAGTCAAACTCGATTACAACTTCCTCTTCTCTCTCCACAATGGCGGAATGGTTACGGGATTTTTCCGGTCGTGAAAGTTCGCCGCTTCTGACTGCACCCAAAATGCTGGAGATGAACAACCGAGAGTCGACATGAAAGCTCAGATGGTCGCTGGTCGCGGTTACAGCCCGAACATGACTTGTGGGCACCCATCTTGAAGCAATAGAGGCTGCGAGAGCTGCTGGGGTGAGGTTGGAGTGACTACACTTGGTCTCTGGGTCTTGCCGATACAGAGAGATCAGCTTGGCTACAGGAAGGGTGAACTGTCCTGGTTCTTTGAATGGACGCCGGTTTCGCTCTATGAAAGGTAGGATGGAGGTGGGGGGGAGTGATACTATTGGAGCGAGCTCGGTAGCAATATGCAGCTGAAAGAGTTCCCCCATGTTCAGCGCAAGCAACGGGTATAGCGAGGAGTTGAAAACTCGAGAGATTCCTATGACTGTGCCATATGCGAGAACGCGTACGGACACAGGTACGGACACGAGCGTACGAGCTTTCTTCCGACAAGCATCTTTCACATTACATTGCCCATCGCTGCGCGTTCTTGTCCAGTTCCGACAGAGTAGACTGTTGTGAGAACATAGCGGATCTCAGTATAAATGCGGCTGGGAAGTACGAAAGATGAAAACCCGCCACGGCGCTTGTTCATCGGAGATGTTAAGTCCGGGGCGATATGGAAGACCTTCGAATGGAGGAAGGCGGTGGGGGGACATGTGAAGTCTGGGTTAGTAGTTCTACTTGGACATGTTGATTAGCGACGGGCGCATAGCTTGGTCTCCCATCATCTGAACGATAGTAGTAGTTAACGCATACCGTTTCTAGCTCCCTGCTTCGCATTCAGAATGCAGGCCAAGCACATCACACAGCATCGAGAAGTACTCGCACCAACCACCGTACTGTGCCGTTTACTTGCGTCGGCTTTAGCAAGGAAATGACGGATAGTAGTCCATCCCAGCAACACCAGGGTTCGCTTACATTTGTTATGGGTGCTGTGGATCAGAGGGGTTATGTTTGGGTCTTCGAGTTTTCCAAAAATAAGTTTGTATTGATGGTTGGCAATCCTTATGTCCCTTCAAATGAACTTAATGATCAACCTACCGCAGATTTTGGCTTATTGCGAGAACTGGCGTTTCCGGGACGTGTATGGCATTCAATTCTGTGCGAAGACGTGAATTAATCATTGGCTTGTCCGACAATTCTTTGCATTGTTACAATATTGGTGCGTTTTTCCAAATACGCGTGGTATGGACTCGCACTAACGAGCGGTCGTACAGATACATGTCAGCTTATCGCAAAGCTCCCAGCTTATCACAACTGTGCACCCCATCAAATGGCCGTTCATCCCACCCGACCGCTCGCAATATCAACCTCGCGCACGGAAGGAATTCTATGGGATACAGAATTGTGGGAGCGTAAACGACTATTGGTCGGTGCGCAATCCGGTGTACGCCAGGTAAATCAATTGTAGACAGGCAGGAAATACTCTCAGCCAGCTAAATAACTCCGGCAGGCTGTCTTCTCGGCCGATGGATCTACAATTATATCTGCATTTGCAGACGGAAGTATACTTCTGTGGAACGTAGATACATTTAATCTCAATTGGAAGATATCACTGGAGCGTTTCGGTGGGGCCCCGCTGATTCCTTATGAGGAACATGACACAGGATTTGGAAGGTCTTCTATGGCTGCGTCCCGCAATGGCGAGATTTTGGTTGAGGCTGGAGGGTGAGTTTTGTTGGTATTAAATTTTCGCAGTTAATATAGGCAGCCCTGTCTAAGTATTTGCCCTTCCGCCTTCAGGTCGTCCACAGTCTTCGTATGGAATCTGGCCGAAAAAAGGCTGATGCATGAAATTCTCGTTCCTACCTTCGAAGGCAAGAGAATTGTACAAGTGGATTTCCTTGGAGATAGCAATGTAAGGTGATCCTACTTCTGGACATGCGATATCTATTGACGTTTTCTGTCCACAGATTGTCGCGCTACTATCAGACGGGGGTGACCTGCTGTTCATTGATGCAGCGGAGGCCAGGTTCGTGGGGAAGTTGGAAGGGAAACGGAAGGTTCGCAAACGTTGCAAGTTTTCCTTGCAGTTGTGATGGTCAGGCTCATTGGAATCTCTTTACCGCAGTTTATATCATTCGCAGCCTCGCCAAACGGCCGGCTGCTTGCTACAGTCTTCTTGGATTCGACATCTACAATTGGGCTGGTGCGAGTGGATAAGCTTTTGGAACCTCAGGTAAGACTCGCTCTACTTATGTATCCCATAAACCTAAGGATGCAAACCAATTCTCAGAAGTGCGAAGGCGTTGGAGATATGGCTGAGCAAGAGGAGGCCGTACGTGTATACAACTTCCTTCTTTGAACTCCACTTTTGCTCTGCCTGACCGATAATGTGGTCTTCATCAGTCATTCGAGATGCTCGAGGAAACCAAACGTACGTAGCTGGCCCAACACAACAGAGGTTTGGTTGATGAAAATGTCTCTGACTGGAAAACTCAGAGTCAGAAGCAGATGAAGGTTTGCGAACAACGGTAGCTGTTGCTCCCGACCAGGCAAAAACGCTCTACGAGCTTGTTGATATGGGCGTAAGTGACACCACCATTCAGCAACTTGTGGCGCAAGAGTTAAGGTGCAATTAAAACACAGCCAGAAGCCAAAACCCTTAGTCGATCAAAGTTGAAGACGTTCTTATCCTACTACGGAAGTTACCCGGACAAATACAGGTCGGTTGTATATCATGCATATGCGAAGGCACCTGGTCTCAACGGCGATGGATATAGAACTTTGATATGGCGCTTCCTTCTACACTTGCCTGAGAACCGGAACAGCTACGAGTCCCTATTAGAACAAGGCACGCACCCCTCTGTCAAAGATTTCCGAAAACATTTCCCACTGAAAAGTGGGAGAAGTCTAAAGAGTATGGAACGGTGTGTCTTGTCATTTACGGGCATTGAGCTTTGAACCGGGCCATGTATGTTTAAACTCCTTCCTCTCAAGAGTTCTGTCCGCTCTTGCCTATTGGTCTCCAATATTTGAAAGCTTGGATTACCTTCCGTCGTTGGTCTTCCCCTTTGTCAAAATCTTTCTAAGAGATATGTTTGCTGGATTTGAGGTTGTCATGACAGTGTTGGGTAAGGTATTCGAGCAAATTTGTTATACTGATGGCAGTCTCCGATAATTGGGCAACGACTTCTCTTTAGTAAACTGGTGCCAGAAGTGGTGGGAGTACTATCCGAACCCGCCAATCGAGTGTTTGAATGTCATAGAAGATCTCTTAGCCTTCCATGATGGCGCCCTTCTTGAGCATTTTGTCCATTGCGGTGTAAAAAGCCAGGCAAGGATCGTTGTCTGAATTTCAGCGAGATCGCTCATCATTGTGGATATTCTAATTTTTCATGTTTGATAGATATACGCCTGGACTATGATGCAATCATTTTTTGCACAAATATTATCAGGATCGGAATGGAGCATGCTTTGGGACCACTTCTTGACCAACGGGCCAGATTTCTTATACTACTTTGTAGTTGCCTTCCTAAAGTCCCATCGTACCGCCTTGATGGGTATTAAGAATGCGAAGGACTTCGATGTAAGTTGGCATTCACTTATATTGCCGTTTGGTGGTGATTAATCTTCTTGATTGGACATGCGCCTCTTTGCAGTTCTTTTTTACTCGGCCAAACCCAACCATATCGGCTCTCCACATCATCCGATCCACTTATGCACTCCAACGACGTACTCCAGACAGCGTCTCCCCTTCTAGCTTCCTTGAGCCATTCCTACCAATCCCTAAAGGAGAATACCCTGTTTTCAATGCGTATCCAGAATTCATTATAGATTACCAATGTCGAATGAAAGAGAAAATTCGGGAAGATGAAGCTGAATTGGGACGGCGAAGGAAGATGGCAGATGAGATTACTCAGCTGACGGAAGAGTTGAGGAGGGACAAGCGTGCATGGGAGTCGGCGGACTGGAAGATGAATGAGATGGTTGAAAGGTGGTGGGAACAGATGATGGGTAGGTGACCCCTCTAAGATGGTTTCGGGAAGGTTGAAAATTGACGTAGCATCTTAGGCGATGAGGCGAACCACCGTGAACGTCAGGCGAGGTAAGTCGACATATGTCCTAGCATCGACTGGTCGCCTGAATCCCTGATCCGTTTCAGACTTGATGCAATGGATAAAGAACAACGGGCCAAAGCAATGCATAACATTGCAGAAGGTAAAACTGATACGTAGCTCAAAATATGCTAACAACGCAAAGTAACACGGTATTCAATAGCACGCCGTTCCTTCATAACTAATCACCTTGATACAACGCAACGTCACCTGGCCAATCTTGCTAAAGCCATTGGAAACAATCGTACCGCTTTGGACTCCGCAGTCGAGAATGGCATCAATTCGGCTCGGTTTACGGATGTTGAAGACGAGTGGGTGAAAAGAGGTCAGGAGATGATGAGAGTGAGGGAAGTGGTTAAAGATGTGGATAGGATGCGGCTGGAAAGGTATCTGGATGCTCGCTCACAAAAATAGGACGGCTGTATTAATTCGTTACCCATTGGTTTCGTACAGACTCGTGAAAAATGCTCGGGAGGTGGGGATACGAGAGACCGATATAGATGACATACTTCTGCGTCGAAAGAGGTTAAACGAATATCACAGTGTTTCTGATGGTGGGAATGGTTTGGCGAAGGGGAAAAGCCGGGCTTGGACTCCAGTTTCACCTTTATCATCACCTGTGAAAGAATCAGAGCGAGAGGCAAGCACTAGAATATCGAGGGAGGGAAGTCCGATCAAGAGCGTAACTTTTGAAGGCGTTTAAAGTTACATTTGACCATCGGGCTCAGTTGACCAATGCAGCTGGAAATATACATGCCATACCCACAACAATAACCCCTCGAACGTCTCTCCATTTGATGAGAGCACGACAGCACACATTCCATACACAATAAAAATACTGTTCACTCATTCATCATGGAGCGGGGTATCGCATACGAACCTCACAAATACCAATCAAGTGAGAAAAGCTATGTCACCGAACAAATCATAAACGGTGGTCGAGACATTTTCGCAGTCTAGGTAAACTTTGACCAAGGCCCCCCATAATTTGGATGAGGCGTCGCACCGTCATGTGGGCCTTGAGCTTGCTGTTCCGCCTCAGCACCGACCATAAAGCGTATGACGGTGGCAATATCACCTAGTTGGAAAGGTTTGGTCATAAAGTAGTTGAACCCGATTTTGAAGCACCGCAGACGGTCCCTGTAAAAGAAGATGGATCGAGCGTCAGCTGGTCTACAGCTAGTGAAGGAGCTATGAAATGCAACTATGAACATACGATTCCAATGTCTTGGCTGTGAGGGCGATGACCGGGATTGTCCAGCCTCGTCGGCGGATCTCTTCGGTAGCTTGGAACCCGTCCATCACCGGCATGAGCAAGTCCTATCCAAAATGAAACCTGTAAGACAGGCGAGCTGGTGCAAACGATCGGTAGATTTATGCGACCATACTATACCATTAAGCAAACATCAAAGTACTTTTCCCCATTCTTCTCGATCCTCTGAACAGCCTGCTCACCGTTTTGAGCCTGTTGTACTTCAAACCCAGCCCTTGTCAGCGTGGTAGCAGCGATTTTGAGTAACACCTCATTGTCCTCAACCACTAGCACACGAATCGGTCTATCTTTCAGAGGGTGGGTCCCTAGCCGCCGTACTGCGGGGTTTGGTGATTTTTTGGTCCCATTGGGACGGATTGACGGCGATTTACGGTCTCCTTGTGACGACCGGCGTACTCCTGGAGTAAGGTTTGGCGATGACAAAGTGATGCGAGGGCTAGCTACATGCATGATGGACGGGTCGCGTCCTACAGCTTGAGCGCGGGACATGGAGGATGTTCGGGTAATTGGGGAGATGGATGGAACACCTGACAGGGAGGGACTCGCTTGCGGTGGAGTGCTTTGCGACGGACTGCCTCCGGGAGTTGAATCTGGTGATGGGGCGCGATTTTGGATATCGGTCGACGTTATGTCCGCGAATCCGGGGGAGTCTCGAGCATAATCGTGGCTGATAACTACACTGTCGGGAATAGGCGTAATTTGCTGCTCAATACCTGTGCTTTTACAGCCAGGGTTTTTAGCGATGGATTCCCGTCTGCATACAAGGCCTTCGTTTTCTTTTCCAAACGGCAACCCACTTCCAAATGAACTAGCGATTCCCAATCCTTTCAGTTCTGCGTTTGTTTCCTGATCTTCTTGCTGGCTGATTTCGTCGAGCAGATCAAACCACAGCGAGAACGAGACCTTAGTACCTTTCCCTGGTGTAGAAGCCATTTGTATTTCACCGCCAAGTAGCTGGAGCAGCGAATTTGTGATGTTGAGTGATAGGCCACTTGTTCCAATCGCTCGATCCGCTAGAAGCCCCAAGTTAGCGGCTGCAACATCTATATGTCTTGAGCTATACTCACCTCCGGATTCTGGCGAATATTTTTTCAGCAAGTTCGGAAGATCTGTGGTCGGGAATCCTTCACCAGTGTCTTCCACTTCGAAGCGAACCAACACCTGACTTGTTGCATCGACGAGTCCTTCCCGGAAAGAAACTCGCTTCTCGCTAGGCTTAGGACTCTGCGGAATAGCATCAACAGGTATCGGTCTGATACCCTCAACGATCACCCTTAAAATGACACTTCCTCGCTTGGTGCTCTCGAAAGAGTTGGACACGAGATGTAGCAGAGCCTAAAATTCATTTTACATTAGTTAATTTGAACAACGTGCACGCTATACCCTTTTTGATTGCTACCTGCTGTAATTTCGTCGCATCGCCTCTGACTCTGGCAGGAAACCACTCCTTCCCTGATGTATTACTTGGAGCCTCCTTCGATCCCAATTCAACAGTCTTATCGGCTTCTTCAGCAACTGGTGGGACATCTTCAAGTCCCTTTATAACCAGCTTGAAGTCGACATCAGGAGAACATCGAACAGCTTCGCACACGCCACGGTCGTCCAAGCCGTTAGTAAGTTTACATGCCATCTGAGCTTTATACATTCTCTCAGTCAGCGCCTTCAAGTCAAACGGCACACGCTCAATCTCGACTGTTCCGGCCTCAATTTTAGATAATAGACGCATGTCGTTTAAAATAAACTTCATGACTCGTGCAGCGTCAGCAACGGAAGCCAGATGCTCAAGACCTTCAGGACTCAAGGTCATTGCCTGATTGCTCTTCGAGCCGCCGTTACCGTCAGAAAGTTCTGTGGTTGAAGGAGGCGGTGACGGGGTATCTGAAGAGGAAGGAGACATGGCCCCATTATCAGCTGCAGAGGAGATTGATTGCATCAGGATACTGTTGAGTCCGATAACGACATGAAGAGGATCTGTAGAAAGGTTAGCTTGGCAAAAATGATGAGCCAAAAACACAATACGCACTCCTCAATTCATGGCAGACGAAGGCGAGGAAGTTGCTCTTTTCAGTCGTTGCCATTTCAGCCGCATCCTTCGCCTCCAGAGTCTCCTTGATGATGCTCTTCCACCCACTCATATCTCGAAACAAAACCATTTGAATCCGTTCTTTCTGGTCTTGACAGTCAACGATGGGGGAAAAATTGGCTTCGACAGTTATTTCTCTGCCATCTTTCGTTTTCAAGACTGTTTCCTGCATTCCTGGTATGACCATATCATCATCGGTTGCTGCGTTGTACTCGTCACGCGGTGTGGAGTCAGGCAGGTTGATGTACGTACTGTCGACATCAATAACTACGTTATCTTTTTCTTGTACAGCGTCGTTTCCAGTGACCGCTGCGGGTATATTGGTGCTGCTGGCCCATGGACCTGGCGGATGCGAGATCTTGAGAAAATGCTTGTCTTTTACGCCATTCCTCGATTTGGTAGTAGAGACACCTGGGAAGACTCTACTTATATGTATTCCAAATATCAGATCCTCAACAACGAGCTTGGTGAGAGCAAGACCTTCATCGTTTGCATCGATCACGTAGCCTTCACGATTGATGAGAAGCAGTGGGTCGCGGATGGCGCCTAGGATGGAGTAGGCATTTGTACGCATCCAATCAATCTGACGCTGGCTCATTCGTGGGTTCTCAATGATTGTAGGATCACTTTTGTCACGTTGTCGTCTTTTTAACATGCAGCAACGTGTGAGAAGGGCTAGTAGCAGAAACGTGAGAAGGAGGAAGACTATATGATGAGGGATACAAAGAGGTAGTAATTAGATCGCAAGTTGCAAGAAGAGGCAACGGCGCGCCCGTAAACATACCAAAAGCCACATAGGGTGCCGGCAGTTGCTTTGGTTTCCCCCAACAATACAAGATCCATGTGCGGTCGGCTACCGGGAATGAATAATATCCCATGGATTGCCCGGACGGGGTACTATTTCTGCAGTGAATCGATATCACGTTGCGAAATCAGTATTTTGTCACCCACTGTAGAGATCTCAAAGCCCCTGAGGAAAGCAAGAGAAGTGAAATGACAAACCTGGGCTGTGCGTACAGCACTGCATTGCCACCACTGGCATCCAGCACCTGAAGTCCTAGACTGATGTTTGCGGTTGTTGATTGAACAGTGGTATCAATAAGCTGATATGGGTCAAAAACCTGCCGGAGTGGAGAAATGATGGCCACTAACATTAGTAACAAGTAGCACTCTTGTGTCCACATTCCAACAATTCTAAAGATGATGCAAGAATGCAGCTTATTACCCCATAAAAAATTCCCTGCAGACTCCTCCCGGTACCGTTGGGGCCAAACCATGGGAGAACAAATCGATGGACGTCGCGATACCCGTTCTCGAAGCGTAGTTGAACCTGGGGGAACAGAATCCATTGTTAGTGACGGAGACATAAAAATAACGGCCATTGCTCGTAGACCTTTTGTCCAATCGTTAGTAACCCAGTATTTAGTGCACGGAAAACGGCGGGTTGTGACGTGGAGTCGCTCAGCACATCAAATCCAATCAACCATTCGCTCCCCTCGGGAACATATTGTGTTGGGAAGTACGTATCTGCCACCGCACGATTAACGGGCACATAGCCCTCCGTTGGCGAAACAGGTAACGATTCACCGTCGCGGGGACCTTGACTGATGGGACGTCCATTCGTTGCTTCCCAACTAGCCCGCTGATTTTGAGTGACATACGGGGCATACCCGACCCAAGGCACCTTTATCCCAAATTCAATACCCGTAGAATCTGCATCTAAGCACAAAGAGAGTACGTACCATCCAACTTTGTGTCTCATACGACTTGGTGAACCTCTGGAAGACATTCTGCGTTACATTGACGCCACTGTCGAAGAACCATCGATAGCCGTATCTAAAATACAATGTGTCAGATAGCCAACGATGGTTTGAACACGGCAAAACGAACTCACATGAGGGTGAGGGGGACTACATAGGAATGGTCACCAAAATGGTTGATTGGTTGTAAACAAATGTCAGCACCGGAACAGAAGCAAGCAAGCAAAGCCATGGACGATACGTACGCATCATCTGATTCTGTATTGCTGCTACAGTCGATTGACAGTCTGATCTGTACGCCTGTCGCTCAGCGTCTTGTGACCTGTTACGGAGCGCAAAGAGGACTGGAATGGATACCTGTGTGGGCAACACCGCAATAGCAATATTAGCATGCGTGCACTACATTGACGCAAGACATAACCACAATGGACGAATATCCTACCGCCAATCCTGCTAATATCCACAACAACATGCCAATATTGGGCTTGTGAACGGATAAGGTCTCTCGGGTCCTATTTACGCTGCTCCGCCAGCCCGTTGGTTTTGCGGATGCAGATTGAGTGCTCCCCGACTCAACCGGTGATAGATCCGGGGAAAGCGCCGATGACGACGAAATGACTGCACGGTTTGCGCGAGAGGTCAGAGCTTCCGAGGAGACGGCTCTGCTACCTCTTCGAGAGGGTCCATTTCGTCGGGTAGGCATGGCACACACGTTGCGTGTGCAGAGTTGACTTGGTGAGCAAGAGCCGGACTAGTACTAAAGATGCGATCAGTGACCGTTGGCAATGTTTTAGTTCTGCCTTGATGTGTTACAGTTAATTGTTTGTCCGGAAAGAGGGGTGAAGTATGCTGAATCCGTTGGCTCGCGGACGGGTTGTCAATAGGTGAATGTGATTGCACAGGTGATTTCTCAGAGATACCCGATCATGCACACAGGCAAGCAATCAGTGTTCTTCAAAATTGGTTGCGTTGCGCTGTACTACCCTTTCCATATGTTTACAATTGGAATTGTCTATATGAAGCTCAACTTGGGGACTGGCATCCACACGAGCTTACCAACAAAGGCGCGCCATCCAAACATCGAATTCACGATTGCGAAAATGCCCTATTCACCTGAAATGCAGACAGGGCTTATCGGTCGCCCCCATTCACAGGCAACCCTTACAGATCCTTGCCTCACAGTTGGTCAGTAGTTTCGGCTGCTTTTTCACACACATGAAGTCTCAGCAATAGGATACGTTGAGAGGGGAAAAAGACGGCGGGAAATACGATGGTATTCAGATATCAATCAGCTGCCACATCCATGGAGGTTCCTTGGAGGTCACCCATTCACTTGGTCTCCCCGCGTGCACAATCGCAATGGACGTCCTACACCAGTTGTCTGGTATCCCTTAATAGTTCAGCCGTCTTTAAAGGATCCAGTCGTTATGTAAGCGCAACGTCCCTCAGAACCACCTTGCTATTGGCACGCACATTCCAGATCGAGCCAATTACAAGCACCGATAATGAGCCGGTGCCGTCCCGCTCTTTGGGGATAACTTTACCATTCTTTTGCGCGACAAGAGCGGAGTATGCGCGTCGCTTCCGTAAGCCTAGGAACTACATTAGTACTAATTATTACCCGCTGTCCTAAAGTCCCCAATAGACACGATGGCCGAGTGGTTAAGGCGATAGACTAGAAATCTATTGGGCTCTGCCCGCGCAGGTTCAAGTCCTGCTCGTGTCGCTCGTCAAGGCGGTTAGCTAATTTTTTCTTTGTTTTGAGGATTTTATGACCGTGCATGTTATTCATATTTCTCGCTACATGCATGGACAATTACTTCCCTCATACCATCAAACCAGAATACTATTTCTCATTCAGCACAGTACATACAAAAAATAAAAAAGGGATCTCCGTCATCTCTGCACCTCCACTGTCTGTTAAAGACAGGTACTTATTCTTCCATATCACTCCCAGAACCACTTTCGTCACCGCCGTTACCTTCCAAGACCTCCAGCTCAAACTCATACTCCTGATCTACCCCCACATACGCATCACACATGAAATATAAGCGACACTCTAGTTTGCCCAACTTGTTTTCGGGCGCCACAAAGTCCAGCTTGACTTGCCCACGCTTCTGGAGGGTCGTTCGCTTGATGGCGAGGAGAGTCTTGTCCTGAGCGTCTCCGACAACGACCCACCAGCCTTCATCCTTCTTGGTGGGATAGTAGGGGGCAATCACGGGTCCTACCGCCGTATCGGCCTCGTCTTCGTCCATTTCACGTTCCATGACGACTTTGATGGTGACAGCCTCGCCTTGTCGGACTTGGCGGTCGGAAATATCATAGGAAATATCGACGTTGGGGTAACGGTTGACAAAACGGGCAACATCGGCCATGCGCTTGCCGTCAAGTTGGAGAGCCTGGTTGCGATCTTCGTCTTCCATTTCCATGATGTCAAAGACTCCTTCTACACCCGCCTTGGTCAGGCGAGCAATAATATCTGCATTGAAATGTGGTACCTGTCGCAATGGTGAATCTCGATCCCAAACAGCTTGGACAACCATCTGAGATAGATCCATGGCAGCCAGACAGGGTGCCAGCCACCCATTGCTCGAGATGACATCGACACACGCTTGGATGAGTCGCACTACTTTGGCCAAGATTGCTTTTTGGTCACTTTCGAGATCAGGCGGGAGTTGCACACGCGAAAAGTGCGCTTGAAGGAGGATATTGGTCTTGAAGTGTGGATCGTTATAGTTGGGAGTGTCCACCTTGACCGGAAGCCGTTCGTAGATGCGCTTCAGGACCTGGTCTTCGTGATGCCGGATCGGGACGTCCTCAAATTCAGCGGCCGCTGCAATGATTTGCAAAAGACCTCGAATCTTGGTTTTGGGGTTGAGAGACATGGAGAAGACTTCGATGGTCACGTAATTTATGTAATAGTACGCGGCAATCATGCCCAAATTCAGCGGTGTTACATCGTCTTCTTCCACAGCGATACACTTGCTTGTGGCAAGCTCATCCAACGTTGTTTCCACTAACTCGGATAGATGATCGGAAAGATGTCGATGCGTCACACCTTGTAGGTTGTAGTAATTGGGATTCAAGGACATCCGTCGATACAAGAATGTCCAGGTTAAGTAATCCACTGCGTCTTGCTTGTTCTCAATGGTCTTGGTCACAATCTCGGCGTTGAAATGATCATGTAAGAAGTGATCTAAGTGACTTTCGACGGGTAGAGCCTCGTACAGGAACTTTTTGTAAAAGTCCTTTTTGACGCTTTGGCACATAAGAACACATCGCCCAGTTTCCCCAGAAGTTGGGCGGGTTGCTCGTCCCATCATTTGCAATACATCTGTGATGGGGAAATCTGCGTAGCGATGCTCCTTCCCCTCATAGTACTGCGTACCCATGATGACGACTAGGTGACTTCGCATTTTCATTCCCCAGTAAGTGTCCTTGCTCGCAACAACGACTTGGACAGCGCCGGTATCAAACAAATGTTCAATGATGCGCTTGTCGTTCTTACTGAGCGCTTCGTGGAAGAATGCTACACCATATTGCATTGTCTGAACAAGAGCTTTGTCCTGAACTTTATCCAGGTACGGAGCAATATCTTCGTCCGAGCAGTGTAAAAATTTCTTCTCCTCCCCCTCCGCCATCGCTAAAGTGAGTAAGTCCACAGCCGTAAGCCTCGCCTGTTTACGACTCGGTACGTACACAATGGACGGTTTGCCAGGCGCAAGCTGCGTCACAGCCAAGTAAGTGGGTTTCGTCATTGCGACCATCATCGAGGCAAAGTGAGGAACGCTGTATCCTTGGATATGAATCTCGAGTGGAACAGGTCGGACGTTAGGTTTGAAATTGTAAATACTCTGGCTGGTTGCCCCAATCCACTCGCCGAGGTCCCTGGCATTGGCCAAGGATGTGCCCAGAGCTACAATCCGAATCTTGTTCTCGGTTTGTACGCTAATATACCGCATCCTGGAGACGATCACCTCCAGAGTCGGCCCAATGTCTCCGCCGATCAAGTGGACCTCGTCCGCAATAAACAACCCAACTGTCTGCACATTCTTACGTTGCTTCCATCGTCGAGAAAGCATATCCCACTTTTGCGGAGTTGCAAAGACAATGTCCCCTGTCTCGAGGAGTTTCAAATCCGCTGTTGTTTCGCCAGTAAGAGCAACAATATTTTTCCCACCAAGCAAAGACCCAAACTTTGCTTTCCACTCACTCATCTTCACCTCGACCACTTCGTCGAACGGGGCAATGTACACGCACCGGGCCGTGGGATTAACGGCCCACAAACGGAGTAAGGCGAATTCTACGCATATGGTCTTGCCTGAACCAGTTGGCGCACCAATAAAAACGTTATCATCCGTCTGGTACAATGTGTTGAACACTTGTGTTTGGATTGGGTTGAAATGTCGGTAATCCTGATAGATGGCTTCAAATTCCCGATTCTTCAACGCAGAAACTGGTAGCGGTTGGAGATCCAACAACTCCGTGTGAGGGGGATATTTTTCGGGGAGAATCAAGTGCTTGAAAGAAACGGGCAACCTCGTCTCGCAATGCAACCACCGATCGCTGACAATGCTCACATAATAATTTGGCGGCAGTGGTTCATACAAAGGTACGGTGAACGTCACATGATGATCTTCTTCAGCATAGCGTTGTTTGAGGACAAAAATGTCGTGATAGAGTATCATCTCGCTATCCACATCCTCGACCAACACCCAGAAGGCTTCGGCTCCACCATTGGAGATCTTCTCATCAAACTGGAAATCAGGCGTAATTGTTAACTCAAGACGAAGCATCGATCGCGTAATGGGTTGCACATGCGCCTGGAGCTCCAGTTTCGGAAACTGGTGCACAGCTTTATGGATCAGTTTGCCAGCTTTCGGAATTCCAGCCAATTCACCCAGCTCCTGCGGGTTCAGATCATAATACCGTTCCCAAGGGAACTCTTTCCTCTCGAGCCGCTTGATCACGTCCGGAGGAAATCCTCGCACCTGTCGCAAAGGACTCATGGACAGCCACATCCTCTTATCAACCATCTTGCACAAATCAAGAGCTTTTCGGGAGAGCTGCGCCCATCCACGCTTCAAGCATATCTCAAAGATGGCCCGCAAGATACGCCCAGCACTTTGAGTGACGTATACCATGTCGCTCATCAGTGCGAATCCTTCCAACTTGAGTTGTGATATATAGGCTTGGAGGAGAGTGTTGATTTTGGCCGTTGGCTCTTCAATACTTTCCTTGACAGGAATTGGTACACGTTCTAGCATTTTGGCCAACTCGAGTTTTTCTTCTTCTCGCACCGGGATGTACTTGAACTCATTAGACAGAGCGAAAGCCCTGAACAGATCCACTAATGTCATCGTCGGTTTTAGATGCTGGTTGTAGGTGGCCATAGAGTGATGGCTGATATAGTAATGCGAGGCAATGCGTCCCAGTTCGGTAACCTGAAACTTGCCCGTTTTCTTATCGTACTTGATCAGATTGCATTTGTCCAGCACGGTTGCCGCACTATGGATCAGATCCACGCGTTTCTGGACCAGGTACGGATCTTCTTCTAATTCATCTGGGCCTACGCCGTACAAGGCGCCATTACGCAACATCCGAACGTAGAGGTAGGTATATCCCAACCACTGGACAGCTTCATCCCGATTGCGAACTGTGCCCAGCACTATCTCCGCATTCAAATTGTCCGCCAACTTGCTTATATACTGGGACTCGATGGGTAACTGTTGATTGAGCAACGACAGGTAATACTGCAATTCGCTGTGCGTTGTAATAATGATACCTTCACCATTGGTATCAAATTGAGGCCGACCGGCACGTCCCAGCATTTGCAACACGTCCTGAGGGCTGAGTTCGACCCAGCGACCCTTCTCTGGATTGTACACCTGTGTGCCCTTAATGATGACCGTGTGGGCAGGCAAATTGACACCCCAAGCCAAGGTCGCGGTGGAGACCAGTACTTGAATGTGACCATCTCCGAACAGGTCTTCCACGAGGGTACGATCGGCACGCGACATACCAGCGTGATGGATAGCAAAACCGTACGGAAGAACGTCCTGCAAATCGGCATTCTTGACGGTAGCAGCTTCAGTCTGCAAAATCTCCCGACTGGCCGCATCCAATCGAAGGATCTGGCCAATGGTATCTTTCTCAATCGCCATGTCCCGAATGGCCTTTGCAGTCTTGGCTGTTTCTTTCCGGGAATGGCAGAAGACGAGTACTTGATTCTTTCCGGCCTCCTCCATGATCTTTTCATATGCGATTTCGTTCATGAGTTGAAACCGCTTGATGGCCTTCTTTTCAGTGATACCAATGTATTGCTGTTTGAGCGGAGCCGGCCGGAAGCTATTGTCAAAAAAGAACAAGCCTTTTTCCTGATCAACGCGCATGAAGTTGGCGACATCCTGGTAATTTGGAAGGGTGGCACTAAGACCAACAAGGCGGACCATCTCTTGTGTTTGTTGAATCTGGCGGATGGTCCTGCTAATGATGCTCTCGAGAACTGGACCACGTTCATCGTGAAGGAGATGGATTTCGTCTATGATGAGAAGACGCACGAGCTTGGTGTATGACCGATCGGTAGCCTTCCGGGTGGTGATATCCCACTTTTCGGGGGTGGTCACAATGATCTGCGTCTCAGCAATCTGTTGCTTGGTGAGCTGTCGATCACCCGTCAATTCCGCAACCGTAATACCAAATTTGTTGAGACGACTCGAGAAGTTGCCAACCATTTCCGCCACCAGGGCCTTCATGGGGGCAATGTAGATAATCTTGAAGGCATCCAACGCGATTTGCCCTGTCGCCTCGTTCCTGTATTTGCCCACCTCGCGTAGAATGGCAAGCATGGCACAGTTAGTCTTGCCGGCCCCGGTCGGGGCGCAAATAAGCATGTTGTCATCGGAATTGAAAGCAGTAGGGTAAATGCGACTCTGAATCCTGTTGAGCGATTTTGCGCCAGCAAAACCGCCCTGTGCCCACTCAGGAAGATCACTGATCGGTACCAGAGTTTCGTCCTCTCTCATAGGCGTCGCCTTTGGAGCTGGTACGTGCACCTCTTGGTACCCTTTCTTGTCCCGCTTGAACGTTCCTTGCGGAAGTGTGCACTTTTTGTTTGACATCAAGTGCCCACCCTGCTGGAAGGCCAAGGAATCGAGGTCAATATTCGCTTTCGGTGTAACGACAGCAGCTGCTGGTGCAGGTTTCTTTAGATCGAACTGAATAGGACCACCCGTAACCGGCTGTTTCTCGTCGATATCCATCTCAACGACACCACGACGATTTTTGTCGACGTCCTTGCGCGTCGGAGCCACGCGAAGCTGGTCGAGAATGTGATGATATCCTTGCTCCTGCATCCCAGCCTCAATCTTCTCACGCTCTTCCGATGACCCTGCCTTTGCAAGTCTTGTACACCACACAATGATGTCTCTGTTACGGGTCAAAAGCTTCACAAGGTCAAATTTATCGTAATCGAAAAGTCCCATCAACTCGTTTTCACAATCTCTGACGTTAGCAGTCGATGATAAGATTTCAAATGCCGAAGCAGTTTTCGATTGTGCTGTATGAGCATCGGGATATTGTGCGGCGATAGTACGCTGAAGCCAGAAAGCATCGATATCGTGGGGCTTGACGACGGGTGCACCTGCTCCAGCAGCGAACGGATCAGCTGTCCCCCTCTTTCCTCGTCCAGCAGGGATCACGTCTGTAAATTCATCCACGTCTTCACCCTCATCGTCTTCGTCATCAGCTCCCACCGCCTTCAACACATTGTCCGTTTCGGCTTCTTGTCCTTCATCCTCCGAGTCCTCATCCTCCTTCACCTCAAATTCATCATCACTACCCTCCTCTTCATCCTCCTCCTCATCGAAAACAACTGCCACGCCATAGTCTTCGTCAAGACCTTCCCTCCCAGCGCCACCTTCTCCATCCTGCCCTTCTTCTTCTCCTGGGCGGAAATCTGTGATGCGCTTGCCCAAGTTGACAAGTTGGGCGAATTTGTCCGAGGAGACTTGCACCCCCACAAGCTCCTCGATCTCCTTCTTCTTGTCAAAATCCTTCTTCGTGTCATCCTTTAACACCGACAGTGCTTCGTTGGCAGCACCCCTCAAGACATCTTGCGGAATATCGCCCAAAATTTGCTGGAAAAATGACAACATCAATTCAAATGTTTGCCGAGTTTCCTTTGTTCGCGGACGGTACACTTCTCCCTCAAAATCCTCAGTCGCAGCCAAAATACTTCCATGACCAAACCCCTTCAAATCTTTCTCACGCTTTGCTCGCTTGCTGGCCCGCTCTGCACCACTCCTTTTCATCTTCTCCGCTTTTTCGCGGCGTCGCTTTTCCACCTTTTCTTTTTGCTCCTGAATACTTCGCTGGGCACGATCTCCCATCTTTCGGATATCGACTCGTCCCCATAGCGTTTCGGGTTCTCCAGATGGCTCCTGATCACGGCGGGGCAGAGCAGACCTGTCTGCTTGGAGAACCAGATTACTGTTGGCAGTGTACTGGTACTGCTGTGCCCGTTGGACGTCTTCAGCCATGATGAGAGGCGATCAGGTGGTAAATGGGATGATGTTTTGTATCAGTTGCTTTCCTGACGAGTGAAGAGAGCCCTGGCCCAAATGATGGGGCGGGAAAGGTATAAGGCAGTCGATTGGATGAAACCCCCTCGGCTGACCAGCAGATAGTCACAAACTTCTAGGGGACCACAGAGAATAAGGCCTTAAACTTCAAACAGGTATCGATGGAAGTTAATTTTGAAGTACCTTTGGAGCGAAATGTTTCGTAAAAAGAAACAAGAAACAGCAGTCCAATGATCCCCCTCCCTTTGCAGCACGACCTCGTCATACACTGGGAGCGCAGTTGGCCGATCTCAGTGCTTGTCGTTGCTATGGCATTACTTGTTGCTATGGTTACCACTTGGATGACCAAATCAGAGTGGACCATCTGTTTGTCCTCGAGTTTGCCAAAGAAATGCCACAACCAAAAACACATTCCAAACCTCCACCGCCCAAAAAGAAGAAGCCACCAAAGCAACCTGCAAATAATCAACACAAGCGCTCCTCTACTTCCAAACTCCAGGAACAAGAAGCGGACCCAGACACGAACCTCCTTATCACTATCCAGACAGATCTGCTCAAGACTAACCCCGAACAAGCCGTCGTCAACCTCATTCAAAGTGCCCTCAACACACATACAACAGATCCGTCTTTCCAAACCCACCTCCGAACCATAAAACAACTGTTCTATAACCGCCAGTACACGGATATCTTTACCAACCCCGCTCTGCTTCCCGTTTATGCCGCTGAGTATATCCCGGGCAGAGCACTATGCTACCGTCGGCTGTTTGTGGAAACCAAGGTGTTGCGAGATGTGCTGTGTGCGCAGGACGCACTTGTGCATTGTTTGGGAGCAGGAAATGGGAGTGAAGTCGTGGGAATTGCGAGTGCCATGGTGGGATTGCAAGAATGGATAAAGTGCAAAAATGAAGCATCGTACGAACCGAGAGTAACAGTTCACTGCCAAGATTTATCCAATTATGGCACCGTCCTCCCTTGTCTTGAAGCTGCGATCCGCGAAGCATACCAATTACCATCCTCCTACCTAACCATCGAGTCCTCCACATCAAACCTTTTAGATGCATCCGCGCCTCTGCCACCCGCAACCCTAACAACAGCTCTCTTTGTCCTCAACGAACTCCTAGCAACCTCTAAACGCGGCTTCGTAGCCTTCATATCCAGGCTCGTTCAAAGCATCCCCCAAGGCGGCCTGCTACTCGTCGTTGATTCTGCTGGTTCTTTTTCGGAATGCACAGTAGGAAAGGGTGAGTACATGGTGTACCACCTCCTGGATGCCGTCAAGGAATTTGAGGTCCTCATCAAAGAGGATGCAGTGTGGTATAGATGTGATCCGGGTTTGGTCTATCCGCTTAGACTAAATCATATGCGGTATTTTTTGAGGGTATATAGACGGAGATGAGGTGGAACGCTCCAATGCATGAATATTATTAATAGACAGCTACAATGAGGCTGTTGAAAGATCAAAGCCTGATGGAATGGATCATGGCCAACGACGTCCTAATGCACATCACGCACGAGGCTGGCTGCATAGGAGCTCAAGTCTGCTAAGTGATATATTGCAAATAATTTCTTATCGTATAACCATCCGCATTGGTCCAGTGGTTAGGATCCCGCGCTTTCACCGCGGTGGCCGGGGTTCGATTCCCCGATGCGGAGTTAGCAAATTGGAGCAAAGTTTTTTTGCAGTTCTTCAATTATGTATGGTGTCTTAACTGAATCCTCTTATACTTTGATGCACGGTGTCCAGTCGTTGTAAAATGGAATTCTTGTACTTACGAAAAAAAAAAAAAAAAGTTGGAAAGTAGTGCAAACTGCGATACCCGCCGAAGGAGACCGGCGTGATTGTGCGGCAAGCCAACAGGATCTGTTGAAAGATCACACAAAGATGATCAGTCCCGTTCGGACAAAGGGTGATCGAGTAGCATCCTACGCCGATGCTACAGTCTTTGTAGATTTCAACACTGTCGCCATAACCGTGACCAGATAGAATCAGAAAAAGAGAGTATGTGTTTTGATCGATGCAATTGGATAGTTCTCGGATGATGGACGGTTTGTATTGTTGGTGATGGACCTTTTTCAAAAACCGTGATTTCACACAACTCTTTTTCAAACAAACAAACGAATATATCTTCCACGCTGACCCGAAAACGTACAAATAAACTAACGACAATACTCTTGTACATCCGATCATCGCCCTTCCCATTCCGGGCATAGGGTTCAAATGTACATCCTACCCACACAGCCCAAAATGCACATCTTACGCCTCCTGCCGCTCCTCCTCATCCAACACATCCAAACAAACCTTTGCAACCTCGACCCCTCGAACAGCAGCCCGCTCAAACCATCGTCGTGCTTCCGCGACATCCCGACGGACTCCAACACCCTCCCAAAGTATTCTGCCCAAATTACACATGGCCTCCCCATGTCCTTTTCCTGCTGCCCGTCGTAGCCATTCGACCGCTTTGGACATGTCGCGAGGGACGCCTACGCCTGCGGCATAGGATACACCTAGATTGCATTGTGCTGGGGCGTAGCCTTGTTCGGCTGCAAGGGTATAATAGTGAGCTGCGAGGGTGTGGTTCGGTTCATGATCGGGTGTTAGTCCTTGTGTGTACAGGACGCCAAGGGCATATTGAGATGGGGCGTGATGGGGGAGGGAAGCAAAGGTGCGAAAAGCAACTGGAATGTTGCCATTGGTTGCGGCTTGGAGGGCAGCGTTGTAAGGTTTGGGTGGTGTAGGGAGTGAAGGAGTATTTGGGATGGATTTAGGAATGTTGGTTTGGACGGCGGTTTCGGGAAAGATGTTCTCGGGTATCTAAAAAAGAAACATTTGTGTTAGATGTTTCTTTCAATATTTTCATGACGAGATCCGAAATCAATATACGTACGCTCATTCGTTTCTTTCTTAGCCCGCCAAATCCCAACCGCCTTTTGGATCCAAAACTCTCGGTCATGTCAAAACTCATCTGTTTTTTATTGCAACTTTGTTTTGGTTTTTGCAGCAGATCTACCCAAACGAGATGTCCTTTATATATAGCCCTCATGGCCAAGATCATGACATAAACACGTGCAATGAGCCCGACCCGCGCTGCCCTTGGTGCGTAAACTATCAGCAAAAAAAAGGCCATGCGGCTTGCGTAGCTCAAGGGCCAGCCCTCTCCGTCTGGGGGCAGACTGCCTCCGAGATCGATTATGGAAAGGATTCGGCGGGGTTGCGGGGGTGTTGGCATGGCATGACGTTTGCTAGTGAGTTTGGTTTGCAAATGTTGGACATGTCGTCACAGCAAGAATGAATTTTGACAAAAGCGAAATGTTCTTTTTTTTTTATTAATAAATAACCTTGGTCATCAAGTGCGTCCAGTATGGGTTGCAAAAAAGGGAAAACCTCCCTTCCAGTTTTTCTGGTTAGGTACATAGGAACGGGCTTTTTGCGTATTCGTGTTGCCCAACTAAAAAGAACACTCTCAACGTCATACTTTCATCCGAATGCCCGCTTCAGAATAAAAACACATTTCCAAATTCAATTGCCCAAAGGAGAGTCCACAAAACACTTGCACAAAATGTCCCCCAACAACGCACAAGAGAACATTTCCCCCTTTAATTCATCCATAGAAGGCTTTCCTTGCTGTTTTCGTTCATCAGTGTTCAAATAAACCAACTTTCACAAACCCCCACATGCTTAAATTGCATTTGTTGTTCATCTTATGACTCTTGATACATATCGGGCTGGTCCCCGTTTTGCCCCCATCTTCTCCACATTCTGCACTCCAGTTCTGCGCCCTATACCAGCCCATACGCAAACGATCGCACGAAACCTGAACCATTATTCCTCCGAAATCGCTCGGCGGGATCAAGGGACAACGGGATGAGCGTGCAGTAGGGCTTGTTAGGGATGATGATCCGTGGGCCATCGAACGGTACCATTTTTACTTGGGCTAAACTTTCAATGTTGGCCAGCCCAACAAGCTGAAAGCCCACACAAAAGATATGTTTGAAAGGCATGATTGGTCATGCTTGAAATGTTTCAAAAAAAAAGCCGTACTTGATCCTCTGAATGTCACTTGACTAGAGTATTCAAGATGGCTTGGAACGGGACGGTACTTTGGGGTAATGTAGCATTTAAACACAGCTGAGCAGATTAACAATTATTCCTTCCTCAAGATTCGCCTGCGCGAGCGCTAATTCATGCAACACGTTGGATGAGCAAGACTGCATGTTACTCCGTACGGGGTATAACTGAAGGAGGTAGAGGTTGGTAGGGCGGTGGGGCTTGTTGCCTCGACACTCCATGGGGGCGGAAAGCATGGCAGCCATTGTGGCTAGATGGTAGCTCAAAAAGCCCCATGCCAGCCTGTGGCTTGGTGATCAACGTGTGGAAATCCTCGTACCAGGCCGACAGCGTAAAACAGTGGTAAAAAGCTAGCCTATTGTCTATTACGTGCGTTTTGTATGTTGGATAGGCCTTACAACCTCCAATCCAAATGAAATCCTACAAACGGTATCCTCACTACATCAATCTGACAAAACCACAGCCCAATCATCCCGGCGACATAAATACAAAAATAAAAAAATGAAGGGTATGCCACAGGCACCTTCAGCATGCATGTGCCAACCCCGCGAGCATGCACGCACAAGGGCACCTTCATGCAAGGACGTGGTCCCTTACTGCTTGCCCGCAGCGTACATGGCATCAATCTCTTGCTTGTGAAGTTCAACAATTTCCTTGCGCTTGAGTTTTTGCGCGGCAGTCTAAAACATTGTGACATCAGTTGAGCCCACTACTTATCGCAAATGATCACAAACGTGCAAGGGTTGACTCACCAAGAATCCATTCTCGGGCGTCCACAACTCATGAGCCAAGACAATGTTACCCAAAATCTCTGCGGGCTTAAAGTCAGCCTTCTTGGCGACACTTCGTAAGTTACTCAACACGGCAGACACAATCTGCTTGTTCTTGCACAAGTCCTCGAGTTCAACGTGGTGCACACCGTCGACAATGCCTTTTTCCTGGGCCAGCTGGACAATCTCCTTTTCGATAGGGTTGATGATGGCGACAGCGAATCCTTGCTCCGAGTCACCATACACGCAGATATTGGCAACATACGGCGACATTTTGTATTGTGATTCGAGTTTCTCAAGAGCAATGTATTCTCCATTCGAGAGTTTGACGAGGTTCTTTTTACGGTCAATAATGGCAAGGGTGCCATCAGGATGGAACTCGCCGATATCTCCGGTCATAAGCCAGCCGTCTTCGGTCAGAGTTTCGGCAGTTGCTTTTGGGTTCTTGTAGTAACCTTTCATGACTGAGGGACCGCGGATCCAGATTTCTCCTTGAGGACGAGGACGGTTGTTCGGCGAGTACTTTGTGTCCTCGACAGCGACCAGCTGGATTTCGACACTGCCCGAAGGCGGGCCCACACGGCCAAGCATCCATGGGTCAGTGGGAAGCTGGATGGCGGTAGCACTAAACAATGGTGAGCGTTGCAACCAAGGTAACACCGACAACATTAATCTACTCACGCGCAGGTCTCTGTCATTCCGTAACCTTGGATGATAGTGGTCACACATGTTGTCATGAACCGCTGGGTCTCCTTGGGCATAGGCGCACCACCTGATAAGGCAACCCGCAATCGCCCACCGGTCTGGTCCTTGATGGGCTTGAACACGGTATTGTCAAGGAAGCCGGTAGGGAGACCGTGCTTCAAGAGTTGCCACTTGAGGGTACAGGCAAGGTCAAAAATCTTTCTCTTCGTTGGAGACGCATCTTTGAGTTTGGTGGCAACGCCCTTGCGAATGCTGTGACGGTCATTAGCCTGTAGGTCCCTTTTAACCAAAATGATCCAATAGTACTCACGTCTCCCAAACGGCAGGTACACCAGTCATAATAGTAGGACGCAATTCGCGGAGATCACCACGGCAGTTGCGGACGGATGCATCGGTGAGCGTGCGCACGCTTCCGTAGCCAATGCAGACACCTTCTCCGAGGGCAAGTTGCTCAACGAGCAGTTCGAGAACGTGAGCCAAAGGAAGGTAGGCGAGGTAGTACTCTTCCTTTGTGACGACAAGGTCGGTCACCACCTTTGCCCCAGCGACTACGCGACGATTTAGTAACAGTGTAAGGTTCATGATTATGAAGAAACGCCTACCTCCAGCAATTATGTTCGCGTGAGTTAACATGACACCCTTAGGGTTTCCAGTAGAACCTGATGTGTACATGATGCAGCAAGTGTCTTCTGGCTTGGGAGGCACGGGGTCTACGGGATGGTTTCGTCCAAATTCTTGAATTTGGTCCAAGGTGTACAGTTCATAGGAGGGGAAAGCGGATTTGATCTGTTCCAAGAGAGAGGCATCCGCCTGACCATTGTAAATGATTCTCTTGAGTGTTGTAACCTTGGAGCCAATGCGGAGAAGCATTTTCAAGAGTTCAGCGTTGGTGAACATGGTGGTCACTTCACACTCGTTAAGGGAGAAGCTGAGGCCCTCTTCACCAAGCGTGTCGTAAGCTGTCGTGATGGTCAAACTCTGAGTCCAGCATCCGTGGGCAACGAGTTGCCAGTCGCGACTGGTACTGGCAAAGAGAGTCAACTTGTCCCCTGGGTTCAAGCCAATTTTCCTCAAACCCGCACCAATGCGTGTGGTAACTTCCTTGACATCTGTGTACGTCATCCAAGAGAAAGGGGAGAGTTCATAAAAGTTCCACTTTTTGGTTTCCTGTACTGGCTGTCCGTCCACCATTTTTGTGACTTGTTTTTCCTCTTGAACCTGACGGACAATCCTTCGGGCGCCCATGGCACGCTTTTGGCCATTGACTTTAACCGAGTAGTTGAGCAATTCGTAAAGAGTGGTGACACCGGGGTAAGGCTGGTGAGCGAGGCCATGAAGAGACTTTATGCAGCGACGAGGCTTGCTGCGAGTTGGGGTGGCCGTTCCGACAGTCACGGCGCGAGGCTTTCCGAGACGTGTGCCAAAGAGGAAGATTGGAAGTGCAAATGAGATGACAATCCACGCGAGCACGGTGATGAGCGCCATTGTTCAAGGTTTTTATATTTTTTCTGTGTCCCACGCACAGAGAGAGGGACGAAAGGAGAGAAGAGGTCTATCAGCGATGTTGAGCAACCGATGATGATGAAGATGCTTGGCCGGGGGGTAGCGAGACGGGCAGCACCAAGATATAAGCCAGGACAAAACAATACTACGTACCGGTAAAAGTTAAACGCCCTGCGTTGAATCAAAAAGTAAAAGTAAAAAAAAAGCGAACCGCTAAATCCACAGCAAAAAAACAGTGTACGGAAGTCCCAATTTCCTTTTGCAATAAATCAAAGCGCTGGAAGACAAATGATGAAAGGGATGGACATGACTTGCAAGTTTATAAATGTGTTCTAGTTGCCATGTCAACAATCAGCCGCAACCCAAAAGATTTCCCGGCATTTAACACTTTTGAGTGTGCATATTTTGCAACGTTTTGGACAGCTTCCCCAATGGAATTGGAAACTATAAAATGTGCAGCAAAGCAAAAACAGTGAGGGATATCTCTTGGCGAGAGACTTGGCGACGATAACAACAACAAGAGTGCAAAGTGCCACACAAGATTGCAACTCGAGTGCGTAGGAAAAACGCTCAGAATATGCAGTCGTTGGTGGTAATGGGAAACCAGCAATGGGCTGGAGACACACGTGAGTGAGGACTTTCGAACAGCCAACTTATCGGGCGATGGTAAAAGAAGGGCCATTTGCCCACGTGAGGAAACGACCGAGAAATTCCGCTCTGCAAAAATAGCGAGAAAATTACGACATGTCTTTAGAGGCACTCCCTGCGACAATAGCGGTTTCTTGATCATGGTCTTCTTGCAACGAGAACGGGACATTGAACGAAACCATCTTCACCAGTAAGTCATCCGCAAAAGTCGAATGACATGCAATTCTGGAGGCTGCCATGCCGAGTTCTGCAGCACTCAACATGCACACGGAGGTGACTGTCAATCTCTCTAATGGCGCTTCTTTGGTTGCCTTTACACGTGACCCCACCTGATCATATGAGTGGCGTGTTTCATTCATTTATCCAAATTTGTACATCATTATCTTAAACTCCCCGCTCTGGACTTGTTTCCGTTTGGCCCCCCCATTCCAACTTGCCCATTGGCGTAGATTGGACAACGACATCATGTCTGTCACATCCCTCTCGATCGTCTCGCCTACAGACTTTCATGTATTGACAGTCGAGGCGGGCTCTCGTCTCAAGGGTTATGTCAACATTCACTTGTCGAGCTCTCAAAAGGACATCAATATCACTCTCACACTAACAGGCGCCTACACGGCAACTTGGCCCTCTTCTCCTTCACATCCCTCGGGCTCCGAACAAGGACATGTTGTCAAATACTCGGCTGTTGCCTACGACAGCAAACAAAAAGGAACTGGAGGAGTCTTACCAGGAGGCTTCCATCGCATTCCCATTGATATCAATACTGCGGATCTGAATGGCCTCGATTTACGAGACCTACCTCCTTCCTTTCGCTATGACGCAAAGTGGGGAAAGGATATGCAAGACAACGTTGATGACAAGACACCTGTGGGCTGCTTTCAATGCGTGTATTCTCTCAAGTGCAACATATCCTGGGCATCTGGATCCAAACTTGTGCGACGCAAGACCAAAGTCTGCCAAGTGGAGGTATTGGTCATTACGCCCACCAGGTACCGTGCCAAACTCTTGGCATTCCCTTATCCAAGTCTCATTGGCAACACCCTGGCACCTGGTTCACCTCGTCCGGATCTATGGGCGACGCCCCATCGGATCGTGGACAAGGGTCTCGTGAGATGGTCTCTGACGGTCCCAAGACGCAGCTGCATGGCCGGAGATGTTCTTAAATGCATAGTGGGTCTCGGACCTGCACCCCCCAACATGGAAATGGATTGCGTCAAACTGGAACTCTCCGAACGCGCCACCTTTACTTCTCCAAAAGGAGGAACAGTCGTCGCACTGAGTGGAGCCGGCGAAGGCCTTTTACCTTCTGCCTCTCCCACACGTGTCATTGCCGCCGTTCGCGAGTCTTCTTGGGGTCGCCAGAACGGCTGTGCAGAAACAGACACGGCCGCCATTCGTACCCTGCCCATCAAAATCCCTTGGGACGCCTCAGCCACCATGGACACGCTGTTTTTCAAAAGTGTCGTAGTCCTCCGGCTCACCATTCGACTGGTGCACCCTGACGGGTCAACCGAAACATCTACTGTTGTCGAACTCCCGATCCACATTGTCGCCCCCGACATTCGCATGGGCCGGCCTTTCCCTCCAATCCTCCCCCACCGAAAGGAGACCACAACCGAGACTGGCATTTCCGATCTCACCGACAGTGCAGTTGACATGGACAAGGAGGATGATGATGACGACACGTTGTGTACAGATGAACAGGGTGTCAGGTTTGGAGCTATACCCGGCGTTGCACCAGATACGGTCGTGGGAACCTTCAAGGTCGTCTATCCCTACTTTGCACGAGGCCCCGAAGAACTGAGCGTCCGGACTGGTGACGTCGTTCATGTCAGTAAATCTTTTGCAGACGGTTGGTCGTACTGCAGCACGACCACCACCACCACACACCCTTCTGGCCTCGTACCCACGCACCATCTCGTCCATTTTTCAATCGAGCCCATCCCACCCCTCCTTGGCTTTACTCCACCTCGATCGCTTCCTTTCCTGGACGCCCGCTTCCTATGTCGCTGCGAGGACCGCTACCTGCTTTGGATTGAGGCTGTCAAGGAGGGTGTAGGCTTTGTCGTTCGACCAGAGATGGCTCGTATTCCAGAGCCCTTGCGTCCGTCTAATGATTGGAAAATTGGGGGGCGTGCGCCTGTGAGGGCATGTTCGAGATGTCGGTGGTTGTGGATGCAAGAGAGAATAGAGAGTGCTTGAGGTACATGTAATTTATTCCGTAGTGTGAATCAACGTTTTGTTGGTATGTAAAAAAAGTGTAGATATGTACTTGAAAGATGTATTGTATGGGTTGTCAAAGTTTTTGGATGTAGCTTTTGATTTGTATTAAACAGTATATATTCCTTGTGAATACGGTTGGCATATTGAAGCATCAAGACAAGGCACGGATAATACACATCCACCGTACATACACAAGTTTCCTAATTAAATATCTCCCTCTGGGCGTCAACCGGACTTTTTGCATGATGGAGACCGCCCATATTCAAGGAAGGGTGGGGGTGAAGCACTCCGTTGGGGGATGCTTCTTTCAAAATATGGAGAGCATAACTCGTTTCCCCGCCTGTCAGTTCCGATGATGATGGGACTTGGATCGAAATCACGAATATCTTTGAAAGTTTCCAATAATAGCATACCCAGCATCAACCTGTATGATTTTAATCAGACGATTTTTTCCTATTGTTGGTTGGGATAGCGTGTACGACATATCGTTCGCTTCTGCGGGTGCTGTAAATGCGGAACAAATACATTCGTTTTTTCTCACCCGCCATCACCGGCCGAGCACGGTTTCCAGCATGCTAGCGCGTAAAAAGGTTCTTGGCGATTATCAAGTAGGAAAAACCATTGGTCAGGGGGCGTTCTCAAAGGTCAAGCTTGGCTTTCACAAGGAAACTGGCCAGAAAGTTGCCATCAAAATCATTGACAAGAAGCAGGCGGCGGCCAAAGCTGAGAAGGCTAAAAAGGCGCAAGATGACATTGATCGGAAGCAAAAGGCGGAGGAGGCACGGCGCCCCACCAGTAGAGCAGAGAGGCCAAAGGAGCGACAACGGGTCCCGGACCCGAGAGGAGAACCTATTGACGAAACGGGGTCTTCTCCGGATACAGGTCGGGTAGGAGAGACGGATGATGGCAGTCTGGCCGAGGAGGCAAAAACCCCACCACCGTTTGTATCACAGCTGCAGTTGGAAGTCCAGTTGCTGATGCGACTTGACCATCCCAATGTCATCCGGCTGTACCAAGTTATGGAAACAGAGGAGGAATGCTTTGTTGTCATGTAAGTCGCTACTTGTCGAACGACACCGATACCATTTCGGCATAACCAACTTGTCGTACAGGGAATATGCTCAAGGAGGGGAACTGATCGAATACATTGCCCCGCGGGGACACTTGTCGGAAAAAGAAGCACGACGGTACTTTCGCCAGATTGTATCGGCAATGGATCACTGCCATATGGCAAATGTCGTTCACCGAGATTTAAAACTGGAAAACCTACTTCTCAATGGGGAACGCAACATTCTGATATCTGATTTTGGGCTCGGAAGGACTTTCCGATCGGACTCTGAAGAATTAATGAAAACTTTCTGTGGGACTCCAAACTACGCAGCCGTGGAGCTTATATCTGGAATTCCCTATGTCGGTGTGAAATCAGATATATGGGCCATGGGGGTTGTGCTGTATGTGATGATGACAGGAAGGCCCCCATTCATAGGTGAAAACATTTCCGCCCTCTACAGCAAAATCAAAGCAGTGGACTACAAATGCCCAGATTATTTTTCACAAGGGTTGCGAAACCTGTTGGCAAAGATATTGGTCAAGGATCCGAAACGACGTATTGACATGGATGGCATACGGGAGGATCCATGGATCAATTACGAAGAGATTGAGCGTCCCATGCGTCTCCTGCCAAAAGTGATGGGAAGCGCAGATGCGTCCCAAATCAGTCAGTTTATATCCGGCATCACATACGACCAGACCTTTGTGATTTACACCTTCCGCCGTCATACCCGAGATGGAACCAGTGTGTACGGGGCAAATGGACACGCCAACATCACTCAAGCTCAAAAGCGGGAACTTAAACGAAGAAAGAGTTTGACTGTCCAGATGGCACCAAATGGCGGATCGGGTACCAAGGTCTCTCCTACCTCCGCCATCGCACAATCCGCTGTTCCCGAAGAGGACAACGGGGATAACTTGGCTGAACTTCCTGGATACACTTCTCCTCCTGCTGCTCCTGCACGTATGCGTACTCTTCCCGCACTTCGCAATCGCCGAATGTCGTTGGATTCCGCACCTCCACCTGGCGCACCGCCACAAGGCGACATGGCAATGAGCAGAGAAGGACCGGATGCAGCGTCGAACTTTACAGGGTTCCCTCGTCGCCAGCGGCGGAATACGGCAACAGCGATCCTGCAACCTGGAGATGGTCAAGAATCTGGCTCTCCAGAGCTAACTTCCAGCAGGGCGCGCTCAGTCTCTGCCACCCCTGAAGGTGGATTCGCAGCCTCTCGAAACAAACGTCGGGGCTCAATAGGCGTGCCCGGCATACCTGATCGGGAAAGCAACATTATGCGGCGCATGTCGATGGTGGGTCCCGCAGGGGAGACGGAGGGTAGTGAGCCACAGTCTACATTTACCCCTCCCCGTCGAGCGTCCTTCCTATCACCCGTTCAGTCTTCGCCGCAGAGTACTCTTCGCAGCCCCCGTACATCATCTGCGGACGATCCTGACCCGATGCTCTTCAACGATCCCATATCTCCCGTCAATTTTCCAGTCGAGTCAGATGATGAAGAGCAGGATGTGACAACTGTGGAGCCATCAAGAAAGGAAATCGAAGACTGGCATCTCCTTCATCGACCACCCAAAACCATTCGCACTGTTCGCTTTGCGTTTCACTCTGCGACAACATCCACCCAAGCACCTTCTGCTATCTTTCAAGAAGTCCATCGTGTTCTACTGCTCATTCGTAGACATCACGACGAAAGACTGACGTTTACTCGCGTTGAAGACTTTTACATGCTCAATTGCAAATTAACTGAACCGAATCCGGATGATAACGTTGAGTTTGAGATTGAGGTGTGCAAAGTGTGGCTACTGAAGATGCACGGTGTTAGGATCAAGAGGTTGTCGGGGAACCCATTTATATTCAAGGAGATCTATTCCAATTTTGTTGCTATGCTCCAGCTGTAGTGTAAAGTCTAATTCTGATTTCCTATATAACCATATCTTGTTGTGCAACAGTGCAACAATCAATACCTCCTTTTAGCGAATCTTTACAGAGATTTCAATTTCACTATCAGCGTAGGGAATGCATGTAATCTCACTTTTGCAGCGTTGTGGATATCTCACTACACTCCGCAATGCTAATTTGATGGTGATGTATTACGGAAGAGTTAGAAGCCTATTGCAGAGTGTGGTCTGCCTGCATAGGTTGAAGGATCGACTATTAGATGTACCCCAAAAACAAGTGGTCGCACCCCCCATTGCGCTTGTCTCGGCTGCCGGCTTGCCGCAACATTCTGATTTAATAAGCACAGACTTTAGTCGTTGCTCAGGTTTCTGGTTTATCTTGTCAGTTATTGCCAAGCTGCTTGCCAAGACTGTGTTGGCAATCTGGATGCATGCGTTCTGCTTACATCATGAAATCAAGCGCAACTCCGACAACCAAAAATACACGACACCAAAATAAATAGAATCCCCTGATCGAACAGACGTCATGCTCCCCTCAGTTCTATAATTAGTTAAATGCTCTCGGACGTCTTCCCGTCAAGATCTCTCGTCGACACTGCGATACTTCTCATCGTTACGAAAAATGGCACCCAAGAGGCAAGGATTGCCTGAACTTCCTCCAAAGCAGCTAGAGCAGGAGATAGAGACTGTCAAAGCGCTGTCGAGTCCTACTCCTCAAAGAGTTTTGGTAGCTGTCAGAGGTAAGGTCATCGGGTACAGTAGCTCTACTCTCTATCGGGATATTAAAAAGTTTGTTCGTTCAGTCCGACCTCCTGTCATTGAGCGTAAGAATGCCCAAAAGTTTGACAAACCCCTCGGTTACGACCCGACCGCCACATGCGTTTCATATAACTTGAATAACTCGGCGGTTACTATTGCATGGCCATCGGACGCTGGACCACCACGCGGGCAATCGCCTGCGGGCGGAGCCAGCAAAACGGCGCCTAAAGAATTTAACTTTGATTCAGTGCTGGGATATGAAGAAGGGCAGAGTTCGGTATACGAGAAAGTGGTCGAGGTACAGTGCAATGCAAGCTATCCGCTTTCATCAGTCCTTTCTTTGACAATTGCCATGCTTCACACCAGCCATTGATCAGGAAGTGTCTCGAAGGTTACAACGGATGCGTCTTTTGTTATGTGAGTCCTGTATTGATGCCTTGAGCGCCAGCTCAGTTTAGCGTACGTGGTCCTCATTAGGATATATCTTCCAGGGTCAAACTGCCAGGTAATTACGACACCAACGGCGCAATACCCATCCTGTTTCTCATCTGCAGTTTGCCGAAATGCTGTTAGTGGTAAAACGTACACAATGGAGGGCCCAAAACGAGGAACATCCATGGAGATTCCTACGGATGCATCCGATAAAGACACGGGCATCATATTACGTGTTGCGGCGCAAATCACAAAGCACATTGCCGAAGCCAAGACCAAAAAGCCTGAACTCGAGTACTTTGTTAAAGCTAGCTACCTCGAGATATACCAAGAGGCGTTAACGGACTTGCTTGTAGGTCGTGATGAACAGGGTATGATATCGGGCAATGCAAGTTATTCATGACTACATACGCAACTCAATGTCGTTGTAGGAGAACTACGAATACGTCAGGACCCAGAATCAACAACTGGCCGAGAACTTTACATCTCTGGTATTACAGAGCGTTCAGTCAGCTCCATCCAGGACTATGTCAAAGTTCTACAAATGGGTGGGCGGCACCGAACCGTAGGCGAGACAAATATGAATGAGGCAAGTACAGGATGCTATTACACCCAGAGATAAACAATTACAGAAATATGGGAACCTGTATCTCTTATGTCTTTCATTTTCTATGTAGGCATCTAGTCGCTCTCACGCAGTATTGACATTCACAATTGAAGAGCGAAGGAAACCATCTGAGGGGATGTCAGCAGAGGAAGCCGAGATGCTCGCTAAACATGGCCGCAAACGCAGTAAAATCCATCTCATCGATTTAGCTGGTCAGGTCAACATTCCTTCCCTCACAATCCACATTTGCAATTGTTGTATTTGCAAAATAGTCCCTTTCTCATTATCCTCTGTTTGTGTGCAGGTTCGGAACGCGCCAACGCAACAGGTGCAACCGGTGATCGTCTGAAAGAAGGTTCAGCCATCAACCAATCTCTGTCGTCTCTTGGGAATGTAATCAATGCCCTAACCACCGGTGCAAGACATGTACCATACCGGGATTCAAAGTTGACCTATCTCCTTAGCGACAGGTGAGAGAGAGATACTGCATGTCTGGCACGGCCCTCTTCCTAACTCGCGCACCCTTACTAGCTTGGGAGGTAACTCGTTGACATTGATGATCACTTGCATTACCCCAACGCTTGCGAATCATGATGAATCCCTTTCAACGCTTCGTTTTGCCGAGTAAGTGCCCTGCTTGTGATGGCATTGGTGATGACAACCATCCTCATGTTCATCTCTCTGCAGACGTGTCAAGAAGGTCCGCAATGTCGCCAAGGTCAACGTCGATGCAACCATGATGCGTATAATGCAAATGGAAGCCGAAATTCGTGAATTACGCGAAATCCTCTCCAAGTGCACTTGCGGCGGTAAGGTCAAACAGGCAAAGTGCTCGGACGCGTCGACGTCATCTGATTCCCTACACCTGCTAGCACGCCGGGCAGCGCAGGATGCGTGGACAATGGCTGGAGGTGCAGCTGGTAAAGATGCCTCGACGAGCATGAGCATGAAGCTGCCATGGTGGAAACGTATCTGGAAACAGTGTACGGTGTGTGTGCCTTCAAAAACCACATCAGAGAAAATGTGGCCAAATGGCAGGGTCGCGCCGGTCAACGTTGCTCGCAGTATGCCAATGACCGAGACTGCAGAAACGGTTCTAAAGAGTGTTAAGGGAAAGTTGACGTTTGCTTGACACGCTTTATTATTTACTTTCAAAAGCTAGCCATGAGGTGGATGTGTTGTTGATATTAGTGCTTTTTGTACTTAATGTAATGCTATCTTACGTTTCCGACCCCAGGATGGCCTTAAGGTGGTTTGTGAGATATGAAGGGATGTTCTGCTCTAATTTATACAAGTGCCAACGATCTATAAACTATTTATCAGAGTTAATCAATTCAACTACTTTTTACCGCGTATTTCTTTGCCATTACGCTTGATGTCCTGGGCGGCAGTTGTTCGTCGGTGTGTGGGCAGCTTTGTGTCGGTTTCTAGATAGGACGCTTAAGTAGCCTGTGTAGAAAGTCTAAATGTAGAGTTACTTACCAGCCGTGTCAATGAGTACATCTGGCAAGGTACTATCTACGTTGCTGGTCAAGTACAAGCCAGATATTCCCTTTGGCACTAATGGCTGTGCCAGTAGCGACGAAAGCTCTGCTTTTAGCGACTGCAACTTGGCTTTCCTGCGTGCTTCCTCAGCGTCCGTTGATGCATTCCCCTTGTCCGTCGCGCTTTTGGTGTCCAGGCTATGGAGAAGGAGATTTAGAGCCCGCCGTCATAGCACTGAAAACAAGTGACCAAAACTTACAAGTCTTCATCCAGTTCGATATCAGCTTCCTCAGCGGCTTTCTTGAACCAGTTCTTTTCGTGTTGCGTCTGTGAAGCAAAAAGCACGAGAATAAGTAAGGCCATTCTGATGGGACTTTGCAATCTCTGGCCAACCTTCTGCTTCCTATGTTCGAGTTCATCAATCTGTTTAGCTAACGCCATGCGCTGCTTTATTCCAGTCAAAAGGGATCTGTCTAGTGGAAACTCGGGGATACCATCTTCTGCTCAGAAGCGAGGTCACCTTTGGAGGCTTCAATCAGGTATCACAGCATTATGACATACCTTTTCCAAGAATATGACAAATCCTTTTGTAGACGGGTACCTCTTGCGGTGAGCACAGCATAACACTTATACCATCTGAAGCAGCACGTGCCGTACGTCCTGAACGATGGACGTAAAGATCCGCAGTGCGAGGTAGTTGATAGTGCACAACGTGTTCAATGTTTGGTATATCCAAACCGCGTGCCGCAACGTCACTTGCCACAAGAACAGCATCTTTCGACTCGCGGAATCTACACCGCAAGTTAGAGTTGGGAAGTGACACCAATTGTGTAGAGAGCAACTTTACCTGTCCAAATTCTTTAATCGCTGCCTTTGTTGCATTTCAGCGTGCAGAGGTAACGCCTTGACTTTCATATGGGAGAGCACCGGTACTAACCGCCTAATGGCATCAATACTGTTCACAAAAACAATGGTACGTCCAGGATAGCGAGTCAAAATATAATACAGAAAAGCATCCTGCTCATACGATAAGTTTAGCTAACGTGAATCAAAACACGAAGCATTTACAGCGAAACCTTTTCCGTATGCAAGCAGTCAATTCGAGTCTCAAGTAGCTTGTCTGCTGTCACACTTTCCGGCAAAACGTTGACATAACAGGGTTCGGGATCTTGGAATTCCAGCCTATCCAGTAGATCGTCTGAATGCACGGATGTCATTTTAGTTTCTGAGTTGTTTGTACCGGAGGGTCCAGTAAAACTCACCCATTGAAGGTACATGTGAGCTTTGTTTCTTTGAGCCTTTCTTGAGCTTCTGTTTCAACCGGCCGTCATGTACTAGAGTAGCTGAAAAAATGAAGGTTCGCCGTTCTATTGTGGATTGCTTGGCACTGCAAGGATATTAGCTGTCATTTCAACGGATTACGACGACATCAAGAGTCCTGTTGCTTACCGATGTTTCACGGATACAGCCTTCAATATATTATCAAGCTCCCTGAAATGGCCGCGCTCAAGCATCCGATCTGCCTCATCTATGGCCAGATATTTGATCCCTCGTAACCTTGCAAGCAAGGCGGCATCCTATAGGCGGGAGGCTGTTGAGTACCTATCTGTAGTTCCATTCACAGCCACTAATATTCTGACCTCAGATACAAGTTCCCAAAGACGACCTGGCGTACCAATGATGATGTCCGGTTTCGTAGAGATAAGTCGCTTCTGCTTTGGGACAGAAATCCCTCCAACGATAGGGACGATCTGAAGCATTCCTATCAGAACAACAGCGGGCACCGGTTTCAGCAGCCACAGGACAGGATCGCACCTTTGCTTTCATAAACCTAGCAACCTGCTTCAAATGTTCGGTCACCTGCAGAGCTAGCTCCCTAGTTGGAGTTAAGATCAACGCATGCAGTCCCGGATCTTTCGCGGTAGTAGTCCTAAGAGCGATGGACTGAAGTATCGGAAGTCCAAACGCCAAAGTCTTGCCAGATCCTGTCTGCGCGGCTCCAATAACATCGCGTTTCCCATCAAGTACCAAGGGAAGTGTACTTTGCTGGATTTCCGTAGGAGTACAGAACTTTAGAGCGGCCAACCCTTGAACCAAAACAGGAGCGAGGCCCATCGCTTCCCAGGCAGACATGTCCTGCCCAACGTCAGCAGGTTCGATCGATATCGACGATTTTGATCCTGTTTCGCGCACTTCATTTTCAGAAGCAATCTCCTCTGCGGCTGTTTCCGCATGCGTGTCCATGACCTCCGCCGCATCTGCGGCATCATCCTCCGCCTCATCCTCCATTGTATCGGCTCCTTCAGCAAAATCATCGATACTGATAAATCCTTCCATCTCGGACGGAGTCGGTGGGACATCTGGCCGTGCCGGCTTTCCTTGCGCCTTTAACTCCTTAACTTTCTGTAATTTCACCCAATTTAGTTGTCCAGGCCCATCGCTAGGCATCACCGGCTATAAATCTTTACCAACCTTGAACTTGATAACCTTCCCACCACCCGCACCAGTCTCATATTCCACATCAACCCCATCAATCTCCTCTAGGCAAAGAAAACCTCCTGGTCCTTGATTATCACCCATCAAAAATCCTTCATGAGTATGCACTTCCGACCAGGGAATGGCGTTGAACTCCACTGGAAGGCTCTCCACCGCAGTGAGTGCTGTTCCCCCATTTCCGCGACGTCTCTTCTCCTTTCGTTGCTGTTTTTTGTTTTTAGAAGCTGGTTCATGGAGGGTTGACCCACCGTCAGTTGCTGAAACCTCCCGTTTTCGTTTTCGTTCAGTCATCTTCTTAGTTCGGCCCTGGTTCACCTTCGCGGAGCTGAGATTTTTTCCATTGACATGGTTGCCCGATACAGATGGAGCCTGACTGTTGAGGACAGTAACCTCTTGCGTTTTTGTGTCCCGCACTGTCCACATACTGCGAGGATCTCTAGGTGAGTTAATGAGGACATGAAAACGTCGGAGAGTTGAAAACAGTTCTGCACCTGTATCACGTGACCATTCTTTTGACTCATTCAACACTGCGTTAATTCACCGAGGACACATTTGCATCCTAGATCACCATAGATTGCCATCTGGGTTTCTGTCCAAAGATAAGAGGTAAGGATTGTAGAGGAAGGGGACATGGCGCAGGCTGCGAGGAGGATGTTACAGGTACTTCTTGATGCCACCTACGGCAGACCATGTGGGTTGAGGTCGAGCTATTCTCTTCCTTGGAACGATGAGTTGCTCCTGTAGGCCTGCATAGGTTTGTCGGCTGCTGGCTACATGAAGAAGCATTTTGTGGATTACTGAGCAGTTGCTGGGACCAAATTCTAGCTGAAGCCGCTTGTGGTCATATTAGGCTAAACGAAACTTAACAGATCACTCCACCTTGGCCGCCCAAACAAACACCCTTTCACCTTCCCCCGTCTTACACAAATCATGACAAGTCTAAGTCCCGACTGTAACGAATTGAAGAAGCAATATGATGACTGCTTTAACAAGTGGTATGCAAATAAATTCTTGCAAGGAGACACAACGCCAGAGTGTGAAGACCTCTTTAAACTATATCGGGCATGTATCTGGGTGAGTGAATTTGTCTTATTTCGTAAAGCAAAAGTATTGTCACCGACCAGTCTCGTGTGATGTAGAGAGCAATAAAAGAGAAGAACCTAGATCAACTTATCAGCGACGCACGGAAGGAGAAACCATTTTCGGGGCCTGAGGACACACGAACGGGTGAAACATAGTATATATTCATGTCGAATTGGTTTACTTCTGCATTTTGTATAATACATCTATCACTGCGATTCTCCCTGTTGAGATCAAATGGATGCTTCTACTAAATTGCGACGAATGTCCCCTGCCTATGACATTGTTCCGTACTCAAAGCTGAGGATTGCGACTGCCGAGTCTCCAAAATTGCATTGGTATCTATTATCTATCATCTGTACAGTTGACAAATCATTCTAACGCACAATTAATGAAGCAAATAATGCACCGTATACAGTCATATAACCATCCAGCCGTTCCATGCACAAGCCAATCTACATAGCCCACAAAACAATGGCCTTTATCACAGAAGTTCGATGGTCCTCCGTCCCTCACCGTCCTCCTCTCCCAAGACTATCCCATCTAATGCCGTACCACTGCCAGTAACAGGGTTTACAGAATGTGCCTCGCTGTCCAAACCGTCCACAATCGCCGTTTCTCCTTTCCCCGTCATGAGGTTTAATCCCATGCCTATGTGCAATCCTAGTGGAAGATGGCTGTTCATAGTCATCGGATGGTGCATTCCTGGTATACCCATGCCTAGCCCCATCCCTAGCGCGGCGGCCGCGGCAGCCGCATTGCTCGGTGTACTTCCATTTGATGTATTTCCTGCAAGCGCATTGAGATAGTAACTGTGTAGAAACGATAGTGCGGTCGGATCGGAAGGGGTAACAGCCGCAAGTGCCGCAAGTTGACTTGCTGCTAATGATGTTGGCTTTATCGTCGATGGCGTGCAAGCGGGAGTATTTGGAGTGCTGTCACTCGTTGTAGGGGATGATATATTACTTGATTGGTGTGGAAGTCCAATAGGACGGTAAGCCCAGGAATTGTAGCCTGGAATTGTACCCATTCGGCCGAACTGGGCGCAAAAGGTGCCAATATTGCTCCCCCTTGGATGACGAGAATCGCAAGAGTAAGCCGGCATATTTCGATTGACCAGCGTTAAAATCTGGTCAACTTACATGTAAACCAATACGTGACTCTCATCTTGTAAGCACTTTTCCCGTCCCGTCGGGGTTGAAAAGGACAACTTTGTGTGAAACAGACAGTGTGGATAGGCTTGCACCCTGAGAAACCAGGGAGATCCAAAATCAACTTTGAGTAACACCATAGCAGAAGTTATTTCTCCTGTTAAGAACTTGGATTCGGCGGTAAGAAACCATCTACTTTGCCGGCTGGCCCCATCAGGGTCCGTGCCAAGAGGGGGTGATAGCCATATGTCGCCATGCCACGGTTGTGTGAGTCCATTAGTAACTTCATCGTAAATGTGACGGGCGACGTGGTTGTCATGCAAGTCGTTCGCAAAGTGGCATGATGCCGGGTCTAGGTCGAAGGTTGACTTGTTAATTACATGCTTTCCAGCGGTGATGATCTCTTTTGGTGTGTAGAGTTCATTGTTGAGATCTGTGAATGATATACCAGTTTCTATGATAGAGAGCGTGATTAGTATGCGCTGCAAGCACGGCCATGACCTTTCTAGTAGCAGGAGTGCTTACCGTATTTAACTGTCATTGCGACCACATGCTCTTCAGTAATTGTTTGACCGGATTCACACACCTGCTTCCATATAAACCGACGTACTTCCGCGGGAAACTTGTGCAATGATCGGATGTGGGATATGTTGACGGGAACGGGGAGAGATGAGTCCTCAACAAGGGACTCGTAGACACTCCTGATGAAAGTGGACAATGATTAGAATAGAAGGGAGGAAATCAATAGCGGGGAGTCATACTTACGCTGAGCATAAGTATGTATTGGTGGTGCGGCGGCTAAAAGAAAACTTGTTCTTAGCATATGTGTAGATGGACTTTTCCGGAGCTGAAGGAATCGCAATTTAAGTACATGGGAACGCAATTATGGCAGACGCGTCAGTTCAAAGTACCGTAGAGCTTCTCTTCATCGATCTCACGCAAGGCGGCAGCTAATAACGAATTGCATCCCGTCAGATTTAGCTCCAACTGTCCAGACATCCGACTAGAGATGAGGGCCCAAAACCTACCAACGAGAAAGAATTTTCCGGTACCAAGGTGTTCCCTCACGACTGCCTCCAGATCTCGTAAGCGCATTCGGCGATGCTCGGTCTCGTCATGATGAATCTTGCGCTTGTTATTGCTGCCGTTGAACCCAGCTGATGTTCTTGTCCGCTTTCGCGATCGCTGTACTGTTACTATTGGTTGCTGTTCTGGTGGCGGATCGACTGGTGAAGAGCGCCGATGCGAGCGGTAAGGTTCCGGAGACTCATACTCGGCAGCGGGTGCAGCCGTTGAAACTTCTAGGGGGGAGTGTTCACCACCGTGAATGCTGTTATATGTCAGTGGTGAATCACTGTCGTAGTCGGTCATGGGCGATCCAGAGATCATCTTGGCAGGTTCGTGTTGGGCTTGTTTGAACGGCGTCGGGCGAGATCCACCTGTAAGGTATTGTTTTCACAATGAACGCGCGAATGTCCGCGTACCTACTTGGAACGGCGGAGCCAAAGTAAGTTTGCGCATGCCACATGAACGTCCTCACAGCAGTTTTTTCAGCATACATACCAAAGGAAATAAAATTGTAGATCAGTTAAAAGGAGAGAACGCTCAATTGCCAACTAGATCTCAGCGTTAAGAGTACCAGAGCGTCAGATCCAATGTAAGTTTGGCAGTGATAATGATGAGGAGGCAGGACGGGGGAGGGGAAACAAGACAAATAACCAAGCAAACAAAATGTCATGCCCCGGAATGGGCCAAGAAAACCCACGTCCTTATAAGCGATCGTGTGGGGGGTTTTGATGCGAACGGAGTTGGGATGAAGTAAGCGTTGTTTAGCACGCGGAGTACGCGATGTAAAGCTTACAGAAGCACCGACACGACTTTTAACATTTGCCCAGAGTGGCCAGTGTCTTCTTTCGGGATTGGCTGTGAACGCTGTATTTGAGGGTCTTTGTTTGTGTCATTAACGCTAACCCCATTTGGGAGATTGGGAACTGTGAAAGGATGCTATATCGACCGGACGACTTTGCGAACATTCTTCAGTGGCATACAAATGCTGCTCCCAAACATAGATAGAAACGTTAGTAGTCTTCCTCTTAGTCCTGCCTGCTTTTGTGGCCGTGGCAAATGCAAACGTTTTTCATCGTTTAATTTCCCTCAAATACCGCGAAGGTCGGCCAACCCTGTACCAAGGCACGGTATGTACCTATCATACTGCCCGTACACAAAGGGACCGCAGAAAGCGGAATACAGTTGAGGACATATGGCGGAAATGACATAAAGAAATCTTTACATGAGTCTCATATCAGACTGATTTGAGTTCGCGATTCATCCAGCTCGTTGCAGCCTGCACGAGTCCTGCCGGAATTCAAAAACTTTTGATTTCTCATAAGATGCCGAACGTGTCAATAAGTTAACGTCGCCGACTATCTATCTGCAATTGCAGGAATTTGCTGGCCACTTTCCAAGTACTGCAAAATTGCATTTATGTAACAGCAAATGGCAGTGTGTATCTAGCATATTGTCCCTGTCCTTCAAAAATATCTTTGACCCATGCAGTTGATCCAGTTTGGATGTGAGTGGTGTATCCAAAGGAGCAGCAGAATCCGAAATCGACGTGACTTGATTGACCGCCAAAAAGTTCTTTGATGCCACTGCCAATTTCAAACAAACCCAAGTTACTGGACTTGCTCTGTTCACACTGATTGTGGTCAACAGTATGCGCTTTCACTATATAAATGGACACTTCGAAACTTGTCCCAATGTCTTGATATCTGAAAACTCCGTTAATGTAGACAACTGTTCGCAATACCTTTGCACAGGCAATGCTCGGACGCAGAGTCAAACTCTCCCTGCAACTGTGGTGGCGCAGCACGTTAGTAAAAGATTACGAGAGCGAACATCCGACAAGATTTATGTCGTCCAAAGCTCCATCACAAGCGTCAACAGCCGCACCGCCCCCAAAGGATGTCAGCCCCTAAGCCTTCCACCGAAAATGTTATTGTCGTCATTCGTTGCCGGCCCTTTTCAGAAAGAGAACGGCAAGCAGGTCACAAAAAAGTGGTGAAAATTGATCCCCAAACCGCTTCCATTTCACTCACAAATCCCAAGACCGAATCCGATATCAAGAACTTTACTTTTGATGCGGCCTTTGATGAAGATTCACGACAGGTGGAAGTGTATGATGCTACTGCGAGAATTATCGTTGATGCGGTTTTGGGTGGTTTCAATGGGACCGTTTTCTGCTATGGTGAGTGTTCCTCAATCTTGAGTGACCAGCTTTATGCTGACCATGCAAAACATATCTTTCATAGGTCAGACTGGAACTGGAAAGACGTTTTCCATGCAGGGCATAAGTGATGTTCCAGATCTCCGTGGTATCATCCCCCAAGCCTTCCATCACATCTTTGACCACATCTCGCACCGCTCTACCGAAAAGAAGTTTTTAGTACGCGTATCGTTTCTTGAAATTTATAACGAAGAAATCAAAGATCTGCTGGTAAAGCAAACCAAGGGACAGAAAGTCAGTGGTTTGGATCTAAAAGAACACCCGGAAACAGGGGTGTACGTAAAGGACTTGAGCGCTCATGTTGTGAAAAGTGTTCCAGAAATGGAGGATCTCATGACAATTGGAAATAAGAATCGATCTGTAGGCGCAACCTTAATGAACGAGAATTCATCTCGCTCACATTCAATATTCACGATCACGGTCGAGAGTGCTGAACCGGGAGAGGACGGAAAAGATCGGATTGTGGCTGGCAAGTTACATCTAGTGGATCTAGCCGGGAGTGAGAGGCAGAGCAAAACTGGAGCGAGTGGGGATAGGTTGAAGGAGGCGACAAAAATTAACTTGAGTTTGAGTGCATTGGGAAATTGCATCAGCGCGTTGGTAGATGGAAAGAGCTCCCATGTTCCTTACAGAGATTCGAAACTTACGAGTAAGTCACCGCTGAGGTAGTGTTACGGGTTACACGGTATCCTCTAATCGTCTTCCTATTTACAGGACTGCTTCAGGACTCTCTCGGAGGCAACGCTAAAACATTAATGATAGCAACTCTCTCACCCGCTTCATACAACTACGATGAAACTCTCTCAACTCTCCGATACGCCAACCGCGCCAAATCCATCAAGAACAAGCCAAAGATCAATGAAGACCCGAAGGATGCCATGTTGCGTCAGTACCAGGAGGAAATTGAAAAATTGAAGCTGGCGCTTGCTGCCAGGCAAAAAGGAGCGGGCGCGGAGGGCGCAGGCGTACCTCAAGTTATTACCAAAATTGTTAAAAAGAGAGTTGTTAAAAAGGTACCCAAGTTAGTGCCCAAAATCAGCGAACGGAAAGGAGTGGATGAATTCGGCAAGCAAGAATCTGACGCGGTTGGAATGTGATGGGTGGGTAGGGACCAGGGCGTCAAACTGGAATAGGATTATAGACGAGTTCAGATGTATCTTTGCTCATAATCCCCTTTCGAACCTCGACCCTGAGACCATCACACGCCTCCAAGCTCAGGTTGAAGCAGAAAAACGAGCCCTGCTAGTGTCCAAAGACATTCTCACATCAGAGAAGAATCGCATAGCAGCTGAGCTGGAGAAAAGAGCTCAAGAGCTCGAAACAGAGCGCACCATGCGTGAGACACTCTCGCAAAAGCTCAAATCACTAGAAACGCAACTGATCATTGGCGGAGGAGACATTGGAGGTTTTCTGCAGCACGTGGAGCACCAAGAGCGGCAACTGGAAGAAACGGCCACCAAGCTTGAACAGCAACTCCATCGTGAACGGATCCTAGAAGAACAATTGGAGGCTCGGCAAGAAGTTCAACTTCAAATGGAGGAACACTATGCCTCTCTCCAAGAGGAGGTAGACATTAAAACCAAAAAACTGGCAAAGCTCTTTGCTAAACTTCAGGCGGCAAAGACCGAAATCTCCGACCTAGAAGACGAATTTCGCGCTGAGCGTGAAGATTTTATTGATACCATTCGTGAATTATCCCGAGAATTGGGATTAAAAACAGCAATAATCGAAAACTTTGTTCCCGTTGAAGAGAAAATAAAGATCGAGCGACGCGCTATATATGACGAGGAGAGCGATGAATGGGTTTTAGAACCGTTCAGAGATCGAAATCTGGATAGGCGAATCCCAAGACCGTGTAGTTTAGGTGCAGGTGTCGTGAAGAGGCCTCTGTGTAGATATGCGAGAATGATGATCAGTTTAGGCATCGAGAGCATCAGATATCGACCCGATAATATCGTAACATTACCGGTGAGTGAAGAGTCATAATAACGGGTCCTTTCTTCTGGGTGAACTCATTGGGCAGCGTTGAATAGCTTGATATGCCAGAACACGCAAGCATCAACAACTCGGTACCTCGCCAACATCCCACAGCATCCCAAACGCTGAAAGGTGCCCTCGACTACGTGCTGGCCGCTGACGACGGCGAAGAAATCTTGGTGGCTGATACGGAGGTACCCGACTATGGGATACGACAACGAGCGAGGGCTGGTGCATCGATGCATTCCAAGCGCAAGGATGGCAGTGACGGGCGGAGATCGGGAAAGGTGGCAAAATAGAATTAGTTACGTGGATGCACAGGGCATGTATTTACTTTTGTTAGAGGGCTGGGCCATGTAAGATGACTTGGACGGTGTTGCCGTCATTGTGCTTAATTGATGTGATAAATACAAGAAAAGAATCACTAAATTACAACTCCCCACTCACTCTAGATTACCTACAACGATCATTGATTTTGTGCAAGTCCCATATTTTCCCGTCCCCTGCACTTTAATCTAGTATTTTTCATTCTTCGCAGGCTCACCAGCGGCCGATGGCTCCCCTCCAGGTCTCGTTGTTTCCTTTTTCGCTTCCCTTGTTGCTCTTGCAGCCTCCTCCCTTTCGTTTCTACGCTTCTTGCGCAGCGAAGCTGCTTCCTTGTCGTCTCGTCTCCGTATTTCCGCAAACTTTGGCTTCAACTTGATCGTCTGACCTTCGATCACAACTGGCGGCTGCAAATTTGGATTGGTCTTGACCGAGAGTTTCTTCTTGTAAATCGAAGAGTACCATTCATACACGAGTTGATGCCAGTCCGGCGGAAAAGGAGAAGGAACCTCTACTTGGTCTGGTTGGGGAAGTGGAGTTCGCAGGAAAACTGTAGAACACGTTTGGTAGTCCACTTCGAGATACGCGGGCAGGAACATCCAGGGTGCCATATAGTCGACGCGCTTGAAGATTGGTTTGCCAGAGTCGTCCTTGCCGATGGTAGGTACGACATTGTAGTCTACAGTTACCATATCGCCATCTTCAAGACTACGGGCAGGGTATGCACACTGTCGGGGAAATTGCCTATGCATAAGCGAGATCTTCCTTAAATACATGCGCAATTAAAACTTACCGGCTTTCCGTTGACCTTAACATGTCCTTGAATGACAAAACTCCTTGCCTGCCAAATGCTGCTTGCAAAATGACTTCTAAACACAACCACATCTAATCTCCGTTCAGTCTCCGCAAAAGCTAGCGCCTGCACAGGTGGAAGCCGATCTTTTTCTGCCTGTGTCATTTGTTGCAAGGGTAACCGGGCAGACCAATGCCGTTGAATTAGCTGTCTTTCCGTAATGTTTGGAACATGATAAGCACGGAGTTCCCGTTTCGCCGTCCATTTCTGTTGAAAGACTGATTTCCGAGTCAGGTCCTCTGGTGCATTGCGAGTCGCCAAGGCATATAGGTTATATTTGTTCCATGACATGCGGATGAGAGCACGGTTTGGGTCAAAAGGGTCTTTGACCTTCCATCTTATAATGCGGCCTGGCATGGTTTTGCTGGTTTATTGGAAGGGCAAAGTCAGCCGGATCAAAGCTCGTCGACCTCTTCGTGAGCGAACTCCATGGCAACATACGCTGTGCCACTATGCAGCTGTGCCACTAATGCTTACGTAGGCAGCCGCCCACGCGATCCTACGGATCCGCACCTTCAAGAAGCAACAATGCCTTGGAGTTGCGGTAAGAATGACGACGCCTTGGAGCCTGCAGTCGGTGTTCGTAACAAGTAGGAGAGATTCAAAAGTGTCGAACATTGCAAACACCGTTTCGGAGATACATAGAATGTCCCCTACCCGCCATATGTCGCCCTACTTTCACCAACGTGAACCCCCATTTTTGTCGTGTGTTCGGGTGAGCGTCAACAATGCATCGAGAACTGCGCTTTTGTATCTCGTCTCCCTCCTTTGTTGCATAATCTCCAAAAGTGTGTTCTGTTGAATGAGCAAAGCAGCTCCGGGACCTGCGCATGACAGCATGTGACACGTCGCTTCTGATTGGCTGATGACAATCCTCCCTTTTTTTTTTGTCGTTTCTATTTCTCAAAAGGAGCGTCACGCGCGCCCATACGAGTGGCTTAGTACAGTTGACGGAGGGTATATAAACGAAACGCAGTTTTCTTCCCCTCCCGTTCCTTCCTTCCCTCCTTCCCGTTCCCAGCTTCGCCTTTGCGTGCTTCACTTCCTACTCAAAAAATTCAAAAAACCCGTGTAGACATTGCACTTTTGCATATCCGTTCTGGAAAAGAGACTCCTTCACTGTGATCATCTCTTTTGTTTCAAGCGATCTGCAGAGTCTTTGTCGGTATTTCACATAAAATAAAAAATCACTGTCGCTAGCTGCTGCTTTCGGTTTCGACGAAAACAAACAAAAAACCTTCAAAATCACTTTCCGCTTCTCTTTCGCCAAAAACCTTGAAAGAAATGGCTACTACTGCTGCTCCTGCTGCTGTCCCCCCCACCGTCGACGGTGCCGCTGATGCTACCGCTGTCACTTCGGCTCCCGTCGAGCAGACGCCCTTGACGGCCGACCCTGCTGCTGCTGCTGCCGCCGCCGCGGCCGCCGCTGCCGCTGCCGTGCAGTACTCTCAGCCCATGCCGTATCCTGTTCAAGGTGGCTTGCCTATGACTGCTCCACCTACTGCTGCTCCTGCGGGTACTACGAGCGCCAGCCTTTATGTTGGTGACTTGGGTAAGTTATAATTCCACAAAGACGTTTTCCTTTCTGGATATGCTGTAACTAATAATCTTACCCGTCCCTAGATCCCTCTGTTACTGAGGCGCAGCTCTTTGAGATGTTCAACGCGCTTGGTCCCGTCGCCTCCATCCGTGTGTGCCGCGACGCCGTGACCCGTCGCAGCTTGGGATATGCCTACGTTAACTACCACAATGTTGCTGATGCCGAGCGTGCCTTGGACAACTTGAACTACCAGCCCTTGAAGGACCGTCCTATGCGTATCATGTGGTCGCAGCGTGATCCGGCTACTCGCAAAGCTGGCGCCGGTAATATCTTCATCAAGAACTTGGACCCTCTGATTGACACTCGCGCCCTGCACGAGACCTTTGCCGCTTTCGGTCCAATCCTCAGCTGCAAAGTTGCTATGGATGGCGACCAGTCCAAGGGTTACGGTTTTGTCCACTTTGAAGAGGCAGAGTCTGCTGAGCAAGCAATTAAGCACGTCAATGGAATGTTGTTGAACGACCGCAAAGTGTATGTATTTGCTGTTGATGCTTACTATGCGCTACGAGCTTTTTTCTTATATCGATCACAGCTTTGTCGGTTACCACATTCCCAAGAAAGAACGCATGTCGAAGATTGAGGAGATGCGCTCAAAGTTCACTAACATCTACATCAAGAACTTGGACGAAGCGGTCACTGATGAGGAGTTTAGGGACATGTTTGAGCAGTTCGGAGCTGTCACCTCTGCTGTTGTTTCTCGTGACCCGGATGGCAAATCTCGTGGATTTGGATTTGTCAACTATGGTAGCCACGACGAAGCTCGCAGGGCTGTTGAGGACATGCATGAAAAGGAAATCAATGGTAAACAGCTCTATGTTGCTCGTGCCCAGAAGAAAGCTGAACGTGAAGAGGAGCTACGCCGACAGTACGAACGCATTCGCGAGGAGAAGCTGAACAAGTACCAAGGTGTTAACCTGTACGTCAAGAACTTGGATGACAGCATTGATGACGAGAAGCTTCGCCAAGAGTTTTCGGTTTATGGGGTCATCACTTCTGCCAAGGTTATGCGTGACGAGAAGACCGGTACTTCGAAAGGATTTGGTTTTGTGTGCTTCTCCTCACCTGAGGAAGCCACCAAGGCTGTAACCGACATGAACGGCAGGATGATTGCGTCCAAGCCCATCTACGTAGCTCTTGCCCAGCGTAAGGAGGTTCGTCGCCAGCAGCTCTCGGCCCAAATGCAGCAGCGCCAACAGATCCGCATGCAGCAAGCGGTGGTACCTGGTGTTCCTGGAGCTTACCCAGGTGCGCCCATCTTCTACCCTCCTGCGGGTATGCCTCCTCAGGCGCAGCGTGCTGGTATGTTCTTCCCTGGACAAATGGCTCCTCGCCCGCGCTGGGTTGGTCCTGGTCCACAAGGTGCTCCTCAGCCTGGTCAGCCTCCTGTCCCTAGTGGTCCTTACCCTCCTCAGGCTGGTCAAGTTCCTCAACAATTTGGCATTCCCATGGCTCAACGTCCTCCTCGCCAGCAGCGTCAGGGTGGTGGACGCGGACAGCCCATGCCCGCACAACCTGGTCAACCTCGTCAAGGAGCTCCTGCTGTCATCCCCGCTGGACAACCAGGACAACCTGGAGTCGTTCCCCCCAATGCCGGTCGCGGTCGGCCCGCAGGTTACAAATACACGCCCAACGCCCGTAACGCTCCCATTCCTGGTCAGCCTGGAGCTCCCGTCCCTGGAATGCCTGGCGCAATCCCCGTTAAGCCTGTTTTGAACTCAAAGACCTTGGCCGACATGCCCCCAGACCAGCAGAAGCGTATGCTTGGCGAGGCCCTGTTCCCTCTCATTCAGCAGATGACCCCCCAGGCTGGTAAGGTCACTGGCATGCTTTTGGAGATGGACCAAAGCGAGCTTCTGCACTTGCTTGAGGACACCAAGGCCCTTCAGGGCAAAGTCGGGGAGGCCGTTGAGGTCCTCGAGGAACACATTCGTCAGCAGCAGCCCACGGACGCAGGTGAACAGCCTGCGGAGGAGAGCCAGTAAAGCCGAAGATACCCTTCAAGAGGAAATGCAGCGAGTAGCAATTGAGAACCCGATGGGTGGACAACTGGAGGTTGCTGTGCAATCGTGTACATAGTTGTGTGCTGCATGTCATCAGGGGGTGTTGTTCTGCGAACGGGAAGGTGGTCATTGGAAGGTCGTTTAGTTCTAGTTTGCACACTCCTTTTTTCACCCATCTTTTTTTTATTTTTTCGCGAGTCTTCTTACCCGCGCTTGGTTTTTTCATTGCATCATGTTTTTGTTCTTTTGAGTCTTCCTCTGGGTCCCTTTGTTATCTTGTATCTCTGACTGGAGGGTATTTCTGTCTTAGAGTAGGCTATTATCGTGTATTTTGTTTTCCGTTTTCGTTAGCAGCAGCGAAAAATATGAGTAGGAGATGAAGCACAATATCGTCTGTCCCTTTTTCAATTGATTTTGGCAATTTTGTCCTACTTGCAAGTGGGAGGTCGATGGCAGGACACTTCTGGTAGTTGGAGCGCTAAAATCGCAAAGATGCCTAATGAGCCAGCGCTGGTGACTAGTAAGCAATAATTGCATGCAAAACTATCCAGTGATGTTTGCAGAGAATAAGGGTGATTACTATCACCAGCAATAAAAGCCTCCAAAAAATACATTTACACCTACAAACTCAATTAAAAAGTAACAATCAAAGAGCTCCTACACTACATCATACACGAGTGTCATACACTGAACGCAATCTCTCCTGTTCAAAATCCTGTCCATGAATTGAAAGACAGTCAAAGTGTCACATTCAAACGTTTACTCTCCTCTCCTCCCATAGTCAGGCCGATAACTCCGTCCCTGTCGCTCCCAAAACTCCTGCTTACTCATCACCCGTTCCGCAGGCCATGTCTTACTTGGAACTCGACTGGATGCGTTCGCGTACCCACTAGGTGAGTGTACGGTAGGAGTCGTAGAATCGCGTTCGTACCGGCGTTCTCGTGGATCACGACCCCGGTCGCGTTCTTTTTCGCGATCACCTCCTTCTTGGTCGGGGCGATAGGATCTTTCTGGAGGGTACTCGGATCTATATGTCGCTGAACTACGGTACTCTGGACGATAGGTTGAAGCCGGAGGTCGATACCCAGCGGAAGGAGGACGGCTAAATTGTTCATTGCGCTCGCGATCTTCGCCATCGTACCGCTCACTTTTACGCGTGCCTTCCATGCTTCCATCGCGCGATCCTCCTGATCCGATCGTCCGAGTACGAGAGCGTGATCGTGGTGTACTCCCATCCTTCTGGCTGCGCGATGCAGAAGGCGATCTCGACGTTGTACGGGAATGGATGGAAGATTGGAGTGTTGCGGTGTACGAGACGTTGGCATTTGACTCACTCTCTCGTAGTCTAGGCCTCGAGCGAGATCTGGACCGAGAATGTCGAGACACAGGTGTTCTCGCCCTTGGGGTCCCCGAGCGGGATCGAACATCGTGATTCGGCACCACCGATGACCCATACCAGTCGTCGTGTCCTCGCTCCTGCCCATTGAGACTTGATGACTCAGCCTTCGTTTTAATACCCTCTAGGGAGCTGCCTCGTCTTCTCGGACTCCTCGTTCTTCGCCGATCCTCAAGATTGTCTACGTCAGACGGATGCTCTGGGTCGTACGGCGTTGAAACATCAGCTTCGATGCATGCACCTTCCACACTCTTCGTAAGAGAGTACCTCCGTCCGTTGTCCAATGGCGCGTAGTCAGCCTGCTTTTCAATCCCACTCTCCCGAGGAGATGCAAACCCTGATGATCGTCGCCGTGAGGCGCTATCAGGAACGGGGGATGGTGCTGGGAGAGGGCGCGCAGAACGAGGGCTAATGGTTGGCTCTCGGCTACCATCAGAGGTGTGAAGAGACGACATTCGCCCGTCGTCCATCCACGCACCACCTGGCGTTAGACTACCGCCCCTGTCTTTGCGCAAGGGGGGTGGTGGAGGAGGCGGGGGCAACCGTTCCCGTTCCCGTTCCCGATCATAGATTCGATTATCTTCATATTCTCTTCCGGGTGCTTTACTGTTTCTCACATCTCTCTGCCGCTCCCGCTCCCAGAGCTCTCTTTCCCAATCGCGTGAACGATTTTGATCCCTCTCCCACTCCCGTCGATCCCAGTCTCTCTCCCGCCCTCGTTCCCAATCCAGTCGCTCTCGCTCCCGTTCAGGATCCCTCTCTCGGTCGTAGTCGTATCCACTCAACATAGATTGAGGTCCCCCAACGCTGTTAATACCTGACTTTGGACCTGGGTGTGCTGCATGTCGATCATAGTACTCTCGCGGAGCCTGAGAGTATCTGGGGGGTGGCCCAGGTCGTCTGTAGTGATGTGGAGGGGGTCGAGTGGAGTATCCACCAGCAATACCGTCCATATGCGGTGGTGGGGGCCGTTCGGTTGGTGGCGGAGGACGGTCCATGCGCTCCAGTGGAGGATGCCCTCGGTCGGGGGCATAGTATCCACTATACCCACCATATCCCGGATACGAAGGTCGCCGTGACGGGTAAGGAGGAGGTGGTGGTGGGAGTGCCGACGGAGGATGATAAGTAGAGTACATTCCGGGTTGATATGCCGGTGGATTAACGGATTTCGCGGGTGACTGTAGAGACGAAGGAGCGGGCGGCGGCTGTAACTGAGGTGGCGATCGCGGTGCAGGATGCGGCCCCTGACTACTGGTTGAAGCTATTAGCGGGGTCGATGACGGTAGAGGTGGTGTCATCTCGCGCTTTCGCGTGCGCTCGGAACTTTCGGAAATTGTCGCACGTCGTTCCAATGAGCCTTCCAATTCGGGGTTTTCCGCAAACGCAGTAGCGGCGATTGAGGAATTGCTGGCACGTTGCTCAAGGCTATTTCCAGTGTCCAGCTTATCCGATACTTCTGTCGCTACAGACAGTGCCTTCATTCCAACCTCTTTTTGAACACCAAAGATAGAAGCAAGTCCCGAAGTGGGAAACTTCGGAAACTGACCATCGCTGCGGGACTCACTCGCCGAAGAGCTTGACAGGTCGGATGTCATCACATCGTCACTTTTGCGGGAGTTTACAGCACGCTGCTCACAGACTGTCATATGTTCTACCGTGACCTGTCTGGTCAAACTTTTCGTATCATCCAGCTTGCCCTCCGGAAGGGATGTTCCAACGCTGGCACTCTTGCTCACCGCCTCTTCATTGGATTTATCCATCTTCGGAAAAGGATACTCTTGCATAACAGAAGAGTTACCTGTAGTTGATTCCGGGATGGATGGAGTAGAGGGCGCAGAAGAAGCCATAAGCCTTTTCTTTGCCATAAATTCCTGAAGGGAGACTTTACGTATTACACCTGGCGTTGCAGCTGGTGTAGCTGGGGTGTCTGGAGACGAGGATGTTGAGGACACGGTCTGCCCCTTTGCAATTTCATTGTCAGGGGCTTGCTTGCTTAGTGCGGTAGAAGAGCTGACTGCGCCAGTGTCAACGGACCCATTGGATGTCTCCGACACCTCAATCTTTTGCCTTTTAGAACCATTCAAACCCTCATTGTTAGCTCCCTCAACCCGCAACGGTGGTGGAGACTCGGAAAGTTTGCGTTTCATATTGTCTGGCTCGTGTGTGACCTCCTCAGTGGCAGGTTCGTCGAAACTTTGTTCGATCTCATCTCTCGCCGCCTGTGTTGCCCGATCAGCCTCTACTTCTTGTTCTTTCGCCTTAGCCTCCCTCGCTTCCTCTTGCGCAAAGATCCAGGCCTTGAATCCTCCTCGACGTGGCATTGGACTAGGGGACGGGAGGTCTGGTGACACTTTTTGCCGCTTTAGGGCTCCACCGGTCGAATGTTCATTTTGTCGCATCTCCCTAGGCTCAGAAACTACAACGGTCTCGTCCGCATTGTCTCTGCGTCGCTTTCGGTTGAGAGACTCCGCTTCGCGAGGATGTTCTGCCTCGTCCACTGATGTTCCACCAGATTTAGTCCGGGCTCTCTTTTCCTGTCGCATCCTTTTCTGTTGAGCCTCCCGCTCCATTCGCTCAATTCTTGCTAATTGATCTTGTAGCTTCTTCTCCTCCCGAGACAGTCGTTTTCCGCTGCTCGAAGCTGCGAACAAATCGAGTTCTCCACCGTGTGTCTGATTATCAGGCGTGGCAGGAATATCTGGTACCACACGTTCCTCACGGTCTTCCTCTATCTCATCCTCACTTCGGAAATCCTGCCCATTTTTCCCCTTGCGTGATCCACTCTTACGCCGTCTCCTTCCACCCTTGAGTAGAGTCTCCTCGGGTTCTCCGTTGATGATCCGCTCGTGCAATTCCACTCCTTTCGCAACGAGACATGCATCTAAATCTTCACATATGCAGGGATATCCAATCCAGCCAGTGGCTCCTTTCCCAAGTACAATCTCTTCCGCGGGTCCCACTCGTTTGGTCGTGAAGATTGCAAGCATAATCTTCTCGTTCAAAGTCAGCCCGCTGCCATCTTCAACTAAAGGTTCGTCAGTCTCATCATCATTTTCCTCATATACCGTTACACTTCTCAGATGAGCATTGCATTTTGATGACATGGCATCGTCCCCTCCACACCAGTATCTGACATAACGACCACCTCGTTCACCCCATTCTCTAGCATCCACTGCTAACGGTTGGTCGCCCATTCGCAGGGCATGAGCAGGATGTGCAAATACAAATGGCGGCGCTAGGACACAATTATCAACTTCCAGAAGATCCAATCCTTTCGCTTTTTCTAAATTTTCCTTGCCGGAAAGAGCTCCTTTGATATCTGTCACATAGGTGTTTGCAGGAATATCGACCGTGGCGAAAAGAGCAAATCGCCTAACACCTGATACAGGGTTCGGGGGTAAAGGGTCCCAAACAGCTACCGGAATTTGATCCAGCAGCCAGTCAACCGAGAGCGGCACTAGAGCTCCAGTATCAAGGTCCGTGTTGCTCTCCCGTCGAGATTTGAACTCATTACTTTGTCTCCAGTCGCTCCAAACGTGTTCTATGTGTGTGCCAATATGTGTACTCGCAAATCGGGGGAATGAGAGCTCTCCAAACTTTGACGAGTGAGAGTAATATTCGGCTTCATATGCCGTTCCAGGTTTTGGTGCGTCGTTTTCGTCCTCGTCCGCTTTCAAGTGTCCGTCTCTATTGGACTGTGGTGTGCCAACTGTACCCGTTACCGTCGGTCGCCCCTTTCGGCGTCTTCGCACTTCTGGAGGACTTGCGTTGGCAATGCTACTTGGCTTTGCTCGAACTTTTATTCTGTTCCTCGCTTGTTTCTCAAGTCTGGAATCCGGCTTATCTCCTTCCTTCCGCTTTTTTGGTGAACATTTTTCCTGTCCATCCTTCCTGTTGCCACCTCCCCTACCTTTCCCTCTATTCTTCCGTTCTCTTCTTCGTTTCTGAAGCTCGACGGCACCGGCCACATCCAACTCTCGAGGGTCACACGCATCGCAAAAGTACACATCGGGAACATGTCGGTGATCGACTCCAACACACACCATGTGTTGCCACACTCCACACTTGTCACAAGCGATGGTATTCCCGTCATCGTCAGTGAATCCACAAATGCAGCGGATCTCTTCGTCATCCTCCACTATTTCGTCCTCGGTTCCAATGCCTTCCTCGTCTTCCTCCTTGCTCATGATTGCGTACGGATTGTTAGAGCTGATTTCGAAGAATGCTTTGCGATAAGACGGTTGGCTGTGCGACGAGGCGTCGAACTGACAAAGTGAGACCGTCAGTGCGAAACCTTCAGCACACCTTAGTAGCTCTTCCGCAGATGGAGAAACCCGATAGGACGCTTGCCGATCTACTCCTCAGAGTCGCCTCAGGAAGCAGCGAAGCGTCAGAGATAGTATCACAGGTCATGAAACGTCGTCCTCCAATACGTCTCTTCAACGGGGCACTTCGGAATTGACAGTGTTCAATGATTCTTTTCCGCCTCCTTTTCTGGGTGCGACTACGCATGAGTGCACGAGCCTCCACTCCCGCGCCACACAGGAACGTCATTAGACTATGACCAATAAACATGCAGGGCGCAGTGTGGCGCGACATGCTGCGCGACTTGGGACAGGATGATTGTGTTCGTTCAGATGTCAACCACGCAGCAAATGGAGACTAGGTATTGCATGATTACTGGAGGAAATACTGGCCTGGGCTACGCATGCGCAAGAAAACTCTTGGCAACAGGAAACTATTACATTACCCTAGGTGATAAAGTCAGATAATGAATTGTTGCGCTGGTCACCAACCCCCGCACATGCAGCTTGCAGGACTGCAGATAAAGCGCAGCGAGCTGTACAAAATCTCAAAACTGAGAACCCATCATGCGCCCACCTCATTGAATACCTCACATGTGACTTGTCTTCTCCAGAAAGCATTCATTCGTTTGTGAGATCCTATAAGGAACTAGGATTCCCGCTGCACGTCCTCCTAAACAATGCCGGTGTTTACCCAGGCTCAAAAAGGGAGACCACAGAGCACGGGACAGAGCTAGCCTTTGCGGTGAACCATCTAGGGCACTTTTTGTTGACAAGTTTGCTCTTGGATTTGTTGGAAGCTTCGGGGACAGGTCGAATAGTGAATGTTTCTTCAGAATTGCATAGAGGTGTGTTAAAAACTTGTCAACTGCTGAAACATGTCCACCAATTGCTCGGAACTACGATACAGGGGCCCCATCATCACCGGAATTTCCACCAACACCAGAAGAATACACCGCGAAAACCGCATACGCGACATCTAAACTAGCGAACATCCTCTTCACCTACGCCTTAAGCCCACGCCTCAAAACTACGACCGTAAATTCCTGCAGCCCCGGCTGGATACCATCCACCGAGCTCTCTCGTCATGCCCCCTTCCCTGCTCGTTGGATTATGCAGACGATTCTCCCTTACCTCCCGGTGGCGAGAACTGTGGAACAGGGAGCAGTAGTCTGTTGTCGATTGGTGATGGATGAAGATATAAGGGGGGTTACGGGGAAATATATGGGCAAGGATGGGGAGTGGATTCCAAGTTCTGAACAGAGCTATGATGTAAATATGGTACGTCTTCAGGTATGCATCTGTTTCGTGGCTGTAGTTAACGATTTGATGAACAGCAAAAGCGTTTATGGGAGGTCAGCTCCGAATTGCAATTGCGAGGTCTGTGGTAATAAGAGTCGCTGGCAACAACCAGGGAAGGCACTTGGTTAGGGCATGGGCCTGATCCTACAAGGTTGCGATGTTACAGTTAGCAGCAGATTTGCGGTCGTCCACGAGCACCCCGTGGGGATTCTTCTTTGATAACAAACAATAAGATGACTCTGACTTTGTTATTAGGCAGTATTTCCTTATTTCACGGACAACCGACGATATGAGACATGTCTCCTTTATTGGAGTTGGAAGAGAGGCTAATGACGGCGACATACGTAATGGAGCCGTTAAAGCATTAGAGGATCAACGAAGCTGTTCCCTTTCAGGAGGAGAGATTCAAGAAAACAAAAAAATCTCTGCTCGACCGTGAGGAACCATTGCAATCACAGACTCAGCGGACCTCACAAGCCCTCATTGTTCACCATCTATTCAACTAATTATGACTCTAACAAAAACGTACGAGGCTATTCTTATCTATCTTCTCTTATAAGATGCGGTCAAGTTCTGGAGACTGTGACAGTTACCTTTGCCCCGGGTCGTCCTGGCTGCTCCCGCACTACATGGATGAACCCATCCTTTGCTCCTTCGTTTGGCTGTAGAACACGGAAGCCTGCAGAAGCACTCTGCACAGCAGCGCTGTATCCAGACGGGTAATGGCGTGGAGAATTGACACGAATTTCAGTGGGATGAATGGTACCATCGCTGACGAACGTGAGAGTGAACAACCCGGTTTTGTCGTCAAACGACATTGAAAGCGGGATGCCTGCGATTGCGGTCGCGTAGGTGCGACTGTATACCTCGGCCATGTCCGGTCGGACGAGCCCGGTCTCCGGATCCCGGATGCCATTGTTGGTGCCAGTGATCTACGATCCAAAGACATCAAACGGATGTAGAACCAAGTAAATCATGTCCACGCCACGTACAGGTATGTAATCCGTGTACTCCCATCCAGTGTAGGAGAAAAAGTATTTGTCAGCGAGTCGGGAAACATCTCGGATGTACTCGATGTTCCCGCCTGACGATGGAGAGTATGTGTTGAATAATAGAGCAACCGCTGCAATCAATCACTGCTGTCGCTATTACCATTTTTCCATCCCATTTCAAACTAAAGGTGGACAGTAGATAGAGGTTAGATATTGCTCCCAACCGACATCCGCCGCACGATGGAATGCATTTAAGCAGAAGACAAGTCTAGGTAAAGCACTCCTAAACATACCTCGGTTAGCATTCCCCCACTTTGAAGGCGCAACATATCCAGAGACCGCTCGACGAAGGTAGCCTAATCAAAGTTCACCCAGCTTTGAATGTGAAAACTGAAGCCTCCTTTCCGATCGAACCTTACATTAAGATTAAAGAGCTGCGGAGGTTGGTAGTGGTGGAACTGCAGGGACCGAGAGGGACAATATCAACATGACCGTAGCCAGTAGCAGAACAGAAGAGAGAGCAACCCACCGACAGCACAGATTTTGAGGCATACTGGGTACCCCCGGGCGCATGGGTAAATCCTACCACAAAATTGTCCCATGTCACAGATTCGAAGAAAATCATTGCGTTGGGATCAACGGATCTGATGGCCGTGGCTATAACGTCGTAGAAATTCTGTAGATTCATTCTGTCGGCAACCCCAGGTACGAGAAGCCCGGGATTGGAAACAACATCTACAACCTGCAGCATCAGCAAAATTGAAAGAGGAGCACCACATCCCATGCATGCATTCACATACTCCCGGCCCATGGCTCGTTTATAAGATCGTATCCAAGGATATTCTTGAATGGTAAAAATGTCTGGGCGACAAGCTTCCAATAATTCGCAAAGGAGTCTCGTAGCCCATCATAGTTATCATATAGTCGTTGGTAGGCTGTGCCCGCAGCATATGAGAACTGAAGTTTATCATAATAATGCTTGCCACAGTCCTCTGGTGTAGGAACACCATTCTCTTGGAGTTTGTAAGGCCGGGCCTCAATGGGCACGGGGAATCCCAGTAGGTTAAGCGGGGAATGCGCGGGTTGCGCTGCCCATAAAGGTACGCCCTCCCCACAGAATTTTTCGCTGAGGCCATCCTGATGAAAGTCGAGAAGGACGTAGATGCCCGCATCCGAACATCTCTGGACGATGGTCTTCATCACCTCTAGGTACGTATAGTTATACTGGCCCCGCACAGGCTCCACACCAGGCCACATTATCCCTGAGTTCGCGACAAATAGAGTCGACGATTTAGATCTAGGTGTGCCATTCCGCCATGCAAAGGAAGAGCGCACAACACACCGAGGCGAATTGCAGTGACACCATGCGAAGCCAGAATGTCAATGTCATCTTGATTGAAAGACCATCGGGGCAAGGCCTCCGGACTGATGTCAGGATGCCATGGAGCACCTTTGTAGACGACATTTGTGCCACTAATAATTGCATTTTAAGTCTTGTCAACCTCAACATAATATATGCATGTCATTTTGGAAATCCGATATCATACTGAAAAATGCGGGATCTCCCAAGTTCGTCTACGAAAAGTGGACCCTTGGTGGAGACGATTCTTGTTGGCACCGACTGAGGAGGGATGTCAATGGCCGTCACACCCAGCAAGACGGCCAAGGCGACGGTGATGCTGAATCGCATGACAGGCTCGGCTGTCCTTTTGGACCGGGCGACCCCAACGTCCAGCAGGATTTAAATTCCCCCTTCCCATCGCCGTCAAAACGCAAAAAAGAAAAAAATTGCTGTCGCGGCGTGTACAAGGTGCCATTGTAAGAATGCTGTGGACAGCATCAGTCTTGCAACTTGTACGTGATCACCGGACATTCGCAAGTAGCGATGAGCCACACTGGTCCTCTGCATCATATCCTTGTAGAGTATACAAGTATATCACACGGTTTTTACATGAACGACATCTGTGTATACCTCATGACAAAGTCTTTGGCATGTCAAGACTCTAGTGGAAACAGCAAACTCCAATTTGCAGCACAAGCAGGAACGCTGTTCTGAACATGCGCTAGAAACAACCACCATAGATTGCTACATCGTCTGCATGTTTGAAAAGCCTTTTGCTCTTCTCGTCTTGTTAATGCGTGCTTTTTCCAAGGCTGTCCCCAAAATTTCCTGCTTTTTGTGCGCTAATAGGGCGCGGACTGCGTGCTTGCTTGCTTTTTTCCTTGTTTGCGCTCGATTCTGGTAAATCCTATTCACGATAAGGTTCCGCACGTGCAGGCAAGCGTGCTAGTTCAGAGACTGTCCAAGTCGTCGGCATGTTAGTCGATGGTGTGCGCTTGCATCACCGAACAACGCACTTTAAAAACTCTAATTTGTCCGCACGTGCATAAACCTTTGTTAGCTAGCAAAAAGACTAGAGGAAATGGGGGCGGATTATAGCTATAAAAGCCCACCCCCCTTTGTTTGTTCATGGCAGTCCAGATCTCATTCTCATCTACCCGCCTCTAACCTTTCAGGTCAAAGGCTGCTCCAATGCCCAACATTTTCCGCACAACTGCGTCGCTTCTAGCGGCATCAGTTATCCTTTCTAGTACATCTGGCACTGCGGCCTTTCCCGTCCCAGAGTGGATCACTTCTTTGAAAGAGTTTGGAACTGCCACTGAGTCCCTTTTAAAAATCCGCTCACTTGAGTTGTTTGGCATCCTCGCTCCACTACCCAATAATGCCCCACCGACGCAAGGTCCCTATCGAAAACCCACGCAGAAAGCTAGCGATCAGGTCCTTCTGTCCCCCGGCTTGACCGCTCGTTATCTGACACGCCAAATTGCAAACCATGCTGACCAGCCTTCGTTTTGGCCATGTACTGGTGAACCAACTCATGCTGTTTTCTGCATTGAGGCGGAGAGGGAAGAGATTGAGAAGCCTGGTGCTGGTAATGGCTACCGTCTTTTAATTTTCGTTGTTGAACTTTTTGATAATCATTCTCTTACTCGATAGGCAACTTCTCAAAGATCATTCCTAAATTCAATCCTTCCGTACAGGCAGTTGACCTGAAGACAGGCAAAGTTACCACATTTCTCCGTGGCATGACCCGCTGTGATGGGCTTCGTGTCACACCTTGGGGAACTGTCTTGGCTACGGTAAATGCCCACATGCTGTTATCATTATAAAACAGCCCAATCTCTAATACACGCAAATCCTTAACAGGAGGAAGACGACAAAGGGGGTGTATACGAGATCTTCGATCCCTTCAACCTACCTGCTGGTACCACCGTCACTGATCGTGCGACGGGAAGCATTGCTGATGCGACCGGTGCAAAAGTTGACAAGGTGGTGAAGAGGACTGCCCTGCCTACCATTGCCTGGGAAGGACTTTACATTGATCCTTCTGGCGTTGTCTATGGAGGAGATGAACTGAGACCAGGTAAGAATCAGGAAGAAATTGTCGTTATGCAAGTGCTAACTCATGTTCTTACGATAGGAAGCGGCAAACAAGGAGCAAACGGTGGTTCCCTCTACAAGTTTGTCCCAACCAAACCTCTCAAGTCCAAGGGTGTGATCCGTAACCCCGCGGATTCTCCCCTGGCTGCGGGTGCTGTGTACGCCTTTCAGGCTTCTTGTATTGCGCATGGTGAAGCCAAATTTCCACAAGCTGGCCAAGGATGCGAGATTGGCGAAGGTGGTTGGGTGCGTATCCCCAACCCCTCTGCGGCACGCTCGGAGGCCGACCGGGTCCGAGCCACAGGCTACTACAGACCAGAAGATCTTATCAACGACCCTCACTACAAAGGACCCGGTGTGCGAATCTGCTGGACCAATACTGGGGCTGCAGATGCTAAAAACTACGGAGAGGTTAATTGTCTGATCGATGAGACAGTAGTTACAGATGGAGAAATTTCGAGGCATCAGCAGAGCTATGCGACCATTGGAGGGAAGGTAGCCTATGCAACCGCTAATCGGTAGGTCCCATCTTATTATTATCTTCATGGGCTGTTCCTTTCTTGTACGGTTTCCTGACCTCGTCATTTCCTCTTTTGGCTACTAGCTTCATCACTGGCACACCAGAATTCAACCAGCCAGACAACCTCGACTTTCAACCCAACTCTCGCAACGTTGCGATCATTGAAGACAACCCGAACGGAGATATTTTCATGTGCCTTCCTGATGGCGCAGATAAAGATACGGAAAGCGATGGATGTATTCGTTTCCTCTCTGTCAGGGACACATCAGCGGAGCCAACTGGATTCACGTTTTTGCCCGGTGGAACCAAGGCGATTCTGTCCATCCAACACTCCAATGATGAGTTGATGACCAAGGTGGATGGCTTTGATACCGATGATATCCTTATCATTGAAGGGTTTAGGAAGCCTTTATGGGCCTAGAATATAGTTTTTTAGAATGGGAGCCTCGATAGAAATAGTAGTGCGTCCGATGTGGACATGGCAATACAACCGTACCTTAGAACTTCTTATTGGCATTGAAATAGAGTACGCAGGAAGTACCTAATAGAGTTTTTTAACACCCTTTTTGTGGAGTAGCATGGTAGTATATGCATACCAAGATGGGGTGGTCTGGTCTTGTCCGTTGTTGGGCGTCCGTATCCCAATGGTTGCGTATGTAGCGTCAGACCCCCGCTAATGTGTCGTTCATTCGACAATGTTCAACTGAGGCCAGTATGGTTTCCAAGTTTCTGGCAATAGGTAATTTGATGACATTACATGCCCAAATTATGTATGCCTGGTAGCCTCCGCATGAATTGTGGATTTTCCACAAAAACAAAAGCTATTGAAATCTAGAGACGGAACAATCCAAGAATCGGCAACTGATGGCGAACTATATCGTAGCTCATTGAGAGAAGCCATTCTTCTTACTTATGGAGACGTGAAATTTATATTCTAATTTGAACCAGGTAATCTTCTCCACACATTACTACGTTCAGGTTTTAAATCACGCTCCACCTAGTACTCTCAACAGTCTAGACCTTGCACAACGTATAGCGGTACCTCTTGAGCGATACCTCCTGACGGACAATCCGCTTAACCTTGAATCATAGACTGCCCTTTGGGGTAAGTGATGACATATTTCCGAGTTGACATTATAAACAAGTACTCACCCATCGAGTTGGATGCATGTTAAGCCCCTCGATTGCCGGGTTCCAAGTAACAGGGAAGACTAGAAGGTACATTAGCTTCATACTCATGCAGCAAATATACAGGTACCGTCTTACAATGGCGAAGTAAAAGTTTTCTCACAGCGGAGTAAGCTACGATCAAGGCCCCGGATGCCATTCCAATAAGCCAGTAAATAGGCGACAGGTGGTAGCTTGTGCCAAAACCAGCTGGAAGCGTAACATTAGCATGGTGTCCGTAAGGACACCCGAAATCAGGACTCACTGTTCAAAGGTGGAGCGTAGACAATGAAAGCCGTGAATGCAGATCCAGATAAAACAGAGAGGAAGGTATACCGATTTCTGTAGAAGTATCAGACTGGAATGCGCTACATCTCTAGTCGTTGAAGGGCAACTACTCACTTGAAAACGTAAATACCAAAGGGCATCCTGTATTTGAACTTGCAGGCAAACAGATTCCACATTTGATTGATCATGAGACAAAAGTAGAATGCCGATTGGCCCTGCGCTAGAGCATCAAGTTGATCATCCGCGTTCTACATCAAATTGTTTTTAGATGCGATTGGAGTGAGAAATTAGACGAACTTGCGAAAAATACTTACGAGTACATGGCCTGACTGCGTGATATAGTCGGATGCTCCCGTTACAAAACCACCGTTATTTTGAAGGTTGTATGCATCGTACGGTGTCAATCTGAAGGGTTCGCCAGTGGCGGCGCTCTTGGCGTTATAAAGCACGACAAAGAAAGCCAAGATACATCCGCCAGTCTCCAAAATGGCAGCCTCAATATAAGCCCAGGATAGAACACCAGCATCAACCAGCACCTCGCCGTTGGCAGGCCTAGTCTTGCGTTTCCAGTAATACAATGTGAACGGGGCGCGTACAAATTTCGAAAGTTTCTCAAAGAAGCCCAGTTCTGAAAGGTCCTCACTAGAACCACCTCCATGCTGCAGATCCTCTGCTTGATACTGTCTGCGGCGAACGATCGACTCTTCCGTCACAGGTTGACGGGGCGGGAGTTTCATAAGGCCTTCTTTGGATTCAGGTGGCTCCCAGGCAAAACAGAGAGCAGCAAACAGTTCGAACCCGAGGTCTACGACGAGAATTTGAAGGGTCGCTAACATAATGGGGAGCGGAACGACAGCATAGAGGAGAAAAGGTACAACTTCGGGGATGATATGCGTCAAGGTGTACTGGATACTCTTTTTTAGGTTGGCAAAAATCAATCGTCCTGGTATATGAAAAGTCAGGATATTATCACTAACTCATATGTGTGAGCTTAATTCATACCTTCGGCAATACCGCCTACGATGGAAGCAAAATTATCGTCCAACAGAATCATCGAAGCTGCTTCCTTTGAAACATCCGATCCAGAAATATTCATAGCAATCCCCAGATCAGCCTTCTTCAATGCTGGGGAATCGTTCACACCATCTCCGGTAACGCCAACAATGTGTCCCAGATTTTGGGCACGAGAAACGATTTCCAGCTTATGTTTCGGACTCGTTCGGGCAAAGATAATCTACCAAAATGTTGTGAATGGAAGCCCGTGGTATTGAGCAGGATGAACCAACTTACTTCCTCCTTCATAAGGATTTTGTCCCAATCACTATCAGTTAAATCATCGATTGTTTCACCATGAATGACGATGGAAGAGTACTCGTGTTCTTGGATAGTCTCAATTGGACGACCAGTCTTTTTGGCCAAAGTTTCTTTCGTATGGCCCAACATTAGGTTAATCTTACGTCCGATAGCCTGGTTTGCATATATGAGAATGATTATAATGTTGCAAAAGATCGTTGGTCTAAAGTGGCAAACGATGTACCTCGGCTGTCAAAGGGTGATCACCAGTAACCATCATGACTTTTATACCGGCTTCTCGGCATCGACCAATGGCTTCGCGAACACCATGCTTGGGTGGGTCTTCCAAGCTGATAAGTCCCATAAAGCATAGATCTCGCTGTAAAGAGAATAGCGCATTAACCCTGATGGCAGCTGGTCCAGAGCAAAATTTCGTGATAACACTACCGTTGGATAATTCTCCTTCTCCTTTGAAAACTCTATATTTTCTGGATATTTTTCCGCAGGCATTTGTAATTGTGCAAAAGCCAGCACTCGACGTCCTTTGCCAGCCATCCACTGGTAGGTCTTTAAAAATGCCTGTTCATGCTCAGAGGTCAGCGGCACGTCTTTGCCGTTTACCAGAATAACAGAGCACATCTTTAAAACTCTTTCGGGGGCTCCCTTTAGGTACAGCGTAAAGACACCGTTTGCATGTTGTTTCCGGTGGATGGTTAGAGCCCATTTATTGTCAGAATTGAACGGGACTTCAAAAACTTTGGGATACTTTGCGCTCAACTATTTGTCCATCAAATAAGTAGGAGGAAGGTGTTTGAAAAAATCAAAAGATAGTCCTTACTTGGTCAATGTCGCTCAATTGCTGTGCTGACCAACGCAAAAGACCACTTTCGGTCGCATCCCCATTGATGTTCCTGTGCCCCATGTAGCAATTAATGTCAAGATTCATGCATAACCAAAATGGCTTAGCATTCTTACCTCTCGGGAACCGGAACGTCGGCTCGGTCAAAGCGCGCCCTGTGGTATGAATAGTGAGCAGCCATAGTAACATGCATGAAACAAGAGATTAACGATTCCTACCTAGTGCACATGGCAGAAAGATGTAGCATTTCATTGACCCCACTGATAGATTGATCAAAAGCGCCTTCTTCGGCCTCCAAATTGGTTGCATGTGGATCCGCTGAAAGGATTCGTAGACTTGTCCAAATGCTCGCGACTGTCATTCGATTCTTTGTAAGTGTTCCGGTTTTGTCAGTGGCCAAAAGGGTTATTGCGCCCAAGGTTTCGACTCCACGAAGATCTTTCACCAAGACGTTACGTGCGGCCATGCGCTTTGCAGCAATGGTCAATAGCATCGTCATTGTCGCCGGAAGTCCCTGCGGTACCCAAGCGGTGAGAACTCCAATTGCAAAGTTGAAGGCAGTGTTTATCTTTTTGTCTTTGATCATGATTACAATAAAGAATATAAGGGCAGAAATGAAAGCTATCGTGGCGATGATGGAGACAAAGTCATCGATTTCGCGTGATAGCGGGCTGGGCCTCTTCTTTTCATTTTGCGTGAGTCCGGCAATCTGTCCTAGAACCGTTTTATCGCCAATCCGAATAACGACTCCATAACACTCTCCAGATATAGCCAGAGTGCCGCTAAATGCCAGATTGGTTGCTTCGAGAGGGTTTTTATGGGTATTGTGAGCAGTACGTTCTTGCGGATCAGATTCGCCAGTTAGGGACGAATTATCGACCTTGAGTTCGCTCGAGTGGAATACATAAATATCGGCCGGAATTTTATCGCCTTGTCGAACAAAAACAATGTCTCCCACAACGAGTTCAGCTGCAGGTAGGTCAACCAGAGCACTCCCGCGAATGGCATGTCCTTTCATGGGGACCATGTTCTGCACCCAACATAGTAAGTAGCGAAATACTTTAATAACCTATACTGAGGCATGACTGACCATGAAGGAACGAAGAATGGCAGCACTCTTTTGCAGCTGGTAGAACTCAATGAACGCGTTGAGCAAAGCCACGCCCAACAGAATAGCTCCCACATAAAGCTACCAAAAAAAAAAAAAAAGTATTGAAATTAAGGTTATTTTGGCAGACTGATTTTTAGCTGTAAAAAAAAGATAACTTTTTGCGACCCTACATACGTTAAGATAATTCCCGACTGGATCAATCCCGTAGAGGATATAGGTAAAGACACCAGCGATTAGGAGCAGGAGATTAAATAGATTGGCAAGACATTCCAAGTAAAGCAATAAAAGAGACTTTTGCTTGGGGGGCGTCAAAATGTTGGGGCCATGTTCAGCCTGTCTTTGGGTCACCTCGGTGGGTGTGAGACCAGCCGATGCAACCGGTTTGCGAGCATCGAAGGAGGTTTTGTGAAGCTTTTGAATTTCTTCAAACGAAAGAAGATGTTCATTCTATAGATGTATATAATCAGAGTCAATTCAACTAGCCCAAGCTACCTTGGGAATTAGAATGACAAACAGAACTTACCAAGTCCACTTTTTTTGTTTTCTTGTCGGTTGCTCCAGTAGACTCCATCTTTTTTTTCGCGCAAAAAGCACCGAGTGCTTTTGCAACAGGTTAAAGAAAAAGTAGAAACCAAATTGGAGCAAGAAAAACAAAACTCATATTCCATTATATCCCTTTTATACCCAACCGCCTAATCGCTGGTAAATTCAATATGTTCCTAGATTGGAGGAAACGCCAAGTCAGGGTTTAAGGGAAACGCGCCTTGCCAGAGTTGATGATATTTCCATTTGTTTGAACTCCCATCTAGATTTCGATGCACTGGGAGATAACGAGGACCAACCCAGCACAGGTTGGATATCCCCCATATGGCGTTCAAGATCACGTAAAGGTACTTGTGTTTTTGCCAATGTGTTGACAATCAATATTGATCAATTGCCAAGTCATGGCGGGAGAAACTTGGTCGCGAGATTACAGGAACTAAGCCTTTTTAATTTCCCATTTGTTCTATTCCCTTGTTGTAGAATTTCTTTTGGAGATTTTCCAGGCATGAACCAGCCTTTTAGGTGCGCGAACACGCGAACAAACTTGTAAACAAACAAACTCGTTCCAACGACTCTTGTTTCTTTTTCGAATCGCATGGTATCGCCCAATGTTTATCATTCCTAAAATATACCAAAGAATTAGTTTCGTCCCTCCAAAGTCTTCCTAGTGCATGAATATGTGTTTTATTGGTGGGATTCAACTTTTCCACAAATGTTGAGCAAGTTGACCTATACCAGAATGTAAGCGTTTGTACCTCACTGGAATCCACCAAATATTTAGTGTAGAGGTGACAGAAACTGGCACTAGCTACTACACCAGGGAATAAACCGGCGACAACCGGTTTGGAAAAGCTAACTAAGCTACTACTAGGCAATTATACACGCAATATGTAACGGTTGGTTCTAACCGGATAATTGCCCACCACCACACGCGGTCCCTACTAGGCCTTGATCTGGAACTCTTGATGGCATTGAAGCCAGACTCTTGCATCCAGGAGCGAATCGACTGGGCAGCGTCACAAGCCAGAGGATGTTCAGTGACAAGGCTTGGAGACTACAAAAAATGCATGTCAGAAGATGACCCGATGACAAGAAATAAAATGATGCAAATCAGTACATACCAACCAAGCTCAACTAATGTGGCAGCATAATAGTAGGTTTTGTTATCAGATCCGATTGGTTGCCGCTGGTTCTGATCACGGTTGCTGTCGGGCGGTCGAGGTCCTCGGCACCAGAGCAGTATTCTCATGATTGGACTGAGACTTGTTGGGTGGATGCTTTGAGTCAAGGATGGGTAAAGAGGAAAGAGGGAAGAGGGAGCAGGTCCCCCTTTTATAGACCTTTGGCATGCGCCTCACCGCAGTTTAAAAAAAAAGCTACATTAGCATGCCACACCGCAGTTTGGAGAACATTAGCATCCATGCCTCCTCACCGCTTTGAGCAATGATGGGGGTTCTGATTATGCGATATGACTAACCGGATTAATCCGGATAATAATGGGTCCTAGTGCCATTTTCAATCACCTCCACACTATGGACCCTGTACCACGGCTCCGATAGGCTCCGACTCGGCACGTGACACTTGTCCGAACGCGTTGGACAACACAGAACGATGATAGATGTCAGCAGCCTCACTACCCAAGAAATCCCAGTGTACAATCTCGCATCACACCACTACACATCACACACCACATGCCAAAACAAACAGGAACCTGGATCCAAACCACCAAAACCCCCAAACCAATCCAAACCCTCTTGGTCCCACCCACATTCTCTTCACGATCACGACATCAATTGAAAATGTCTAGAGTCTCCAGAGCGGGGATGGAAGGTACACGGGAAAAGAGTCAATGTACGCTCGTGGATATTAAATGGTCGACCGTGGGGGATGGGAAGGTGCTGAGTGGGGAGAGGAATTCAGTTATTGGGAATGAACATGTATTTCTGGATGGTGCCCGACATTCTTTGGAGGTACAAGAGAAAACAACGACACACCCAACATCTTTTCACCAAAAAGAATCCAACACACCATTCATTCCACCATCAATCCCCTCACCAACCCCCAAGAAGCCATCCGTATTCCAATTGGACACTCTCCCTCCACCAAACGATACATCGACAAAAAGTCTACCTACCATGACCACACACCCATCCCTCCCCACTCTGGAACAAAAGAACCCAACAACACATTCACCATCTTGTCACCAAAAAGAATCCGTATCACTCTCAAATACAGCATCAATCCCCTCACCAACCCCCAAAAACCCATCCGCGGATCTCACATTCCCACTAAACAATGTGTTTACGGAGAGTTTACTTACCATGCCTTCACCCCCGTCCCTCCCATCCACGAACGAGTCCCTACCAGATATGTATATCCCCATCTAGTTGATATGATATTAGGGAATGCTGTGTGTGTGGTTGGATTACACGCGGATTGGTACTCTATCACAAAACAAAACTTTTGCATCTGTATTGACAAAATGCTGGTACGGCCCCTGTATATTATGGTCGACCCTTCTCTTCTCACGCACTTGCGATTTGATTCTACCGTTAATGGTACATTGTTTGGTAGTAAACGTACATCCAAGACACAGGAATTACTAAAAGAGAGAGTAGATCCATCGTAGTTACCATAAACAGAGTCATGATAAACACAAAAGTCTTATAAAGGGCATAAAATGGTTTTTTTTTTTTTTGCGTGTGCATATCATTCAATTTCCAAACAATACGACAAAAAAATGCTAACTAAAAACTACACAGCAGAGCGAGTAATGTTTTATTTTTTTGAATTTTTTTTTTTTTTCATTATATATATACATTCCAATCACAAACCCCGTCTGTTACAACAACACACACACAGATTATTCCATAATCTCTCCATCCTCCAAATTCTCTCCAGCAGGAGCACCCTCATCAAGCACCCGGGGGGGAAGCTTCATTTTAATTTTAGGTAATTGACCATATTTGGACGGAATCCCCGGAACACCACTCTCCCGTTTTCGTTTTTTCGGTTTAAAATTATCAACACTATCATCATCATCCGACCACCGTTTACGTTTCTCATCGTCCGAAAAATGAGAGGAAGCTTCAGAGCGTTTTCTTTTGAGTGATTCAACAACGGGTTCGGCTTCATCAATGGGTAAAATGGGTACATCGCCTCCAGGTGCCAATTCAGCAATCTTGGAATCAAATACGTGTTTCATTTGAACGGCGTCATCGTAGACTTCGGAACCATCTACATTGTATTGCATGGCATTGGCAAACATGAGGTGAAAATCGTCAATGAATTGTTGGAGGGATTTGTAGTAGACGTGGATGAGACGGTGCCAGATCATGTCGAGTGCGATGGGGCTTCGGATCAGTTTGTAGTAGTCTGGGTATTGGGCTCGGGGTGGGATGGATTGGAATAGGCCGGACCGTAATCGGCGAGCTCTGTTTCATTCAAAAAAAAATGTGTGAGAAAAGTGGGGCTTCTGTGTAGACTACCAAGACAAAAAGAGGGTGCACTTACCCATTCTCATATACAACCTCGGACGCATCTACTGCCTTGTAGCACGCCTCAAAGACCCGTCGAAGGGCTCTACGTTTAGCAGGCGGGAGAGGATCTACTTCATCCGCATCGACACCCGCAAACTTTTTACGTCGTCGCTTGGCCAAAAGAGCTTCCTCATGTTCTTCTTTCGGTTTCGGTTTTCTGCCGCGTTTTTTAGGGAGTTGGGGTGTTGTCATATCTTGACTCGGTTCACCGGTGGTCGTCGTACCACCCCCAGTGGTATCTTCGACTTCTTCAACAACAGGTGGTCGCTTCTTTGGTGGACGACCCCGTTTTCTACCGGGTACTTTGGGCGTTTCAACAACAGGGGGTTTATAAACGACTTGCTCAATTTCTTCCTGTCCGTCTTCATCGTCTTGATCATCATCATCATCACCCGCATGTCGATTTTTTTTGCGTTCCTCACGTTTAGCGCGCTGTTGCCACCGTTTCTCGATATATCCATCCAAATCCCCGGAATCCAATCCAGCAAGGAACTGATCTTCATTTAATCCATCATCGTAGCGTACTTCCTTGCGTGCCCGTGCACCGCGTCCCAATTCAATTTCCTGTTCTGTTGGGAGTTCCTCTTCTTGGACGTAGACGGAGGGGAGTTCACTGTCTTGCATGAGTCGCGGTGGAGGATCACCGCGGTTCCCAGCCGCCCGCCATAAAGATAATTCACGCGCATTACGCTCCGCATCCATCTTGTTAAATAACTCCAATTCTTCTTCGTTCCTAGCTATAATCTCATTCAAATCGTTATCATCCAATTGCCCTTCATTATCTCCTTTATCATCCTCATCTTCCTCAGACCCAAACAAGGACCGTAAAAGCTCATCACGTTCACGATCCGTGGTTTTGTTATCAAATTTTCCGGCTTGGATGACTTTACCATCGATATCCAGTTTGTATTGTGCACGAGCCAAGATGGTTTCTTCTACTGAACGAGCAGTGATGAGCCGGAGGATACGGACCTCTTTGGTTTGACCAATACGATGGGCACGATCCTGTGCCTGTAAATCCTGATGCGGATTCCTACAAAACAAAAAATCATTGTCTCAACATAAAGTCCCAAAAAAAAACAACACAAACAAAATCAAACGCACCAATCCGAATCAAAAATCACAACCGTATCCGCAGTTTGCAAATTCAATCCCAACCCTCCAGCCCTCGTACTCAACAAGAAAATAAACGGGGGATTCACAGGGTTATTAAACACCTTCAACATGGTCGTCCGATCCTCTGCTTTGGTATGTCCATCCAACCGCAAATACGTATGAGCCTTTAAACGTAGATAATCCTCCATAATATCCATGACTTGGGTCATTTGGAAAAACATTAAAACACGATGTCCACTAGTTTTGAATTTCGGGAGGATGCGATCGAGTAATTCAAATTTTCCGGCGACCCGCCATAAATTGTCGTCGGTCATGCGGGTGGGGTTCATAACGTGTTCGACTTCTTCAAAGACGTAAGGGTGATTACAAACTTTTCGGAATTGCATAACAAGGTTATTCAATGCCTTTCTCCTAAAATTGCCAAGGTCAACGAACCATAACAAAAAAATCGAAAATTGAAAAAAAGCAAAAAAAAAACGTACCGGGTAGCACCATCCACCCCAAAACTACTCTTCTTACTCCGAATCTGTTCATACAAACGCAACTGTAACGCCGACATGGGACACTTGACAACCGTCTCAACTTTATCCGGTAACTCAGACTCGACATCCTTTTTCAATCGACGCAACAAAAAGGGTCGAAGGACTTTATGCAATCCCCGAATAATCAAGAGCGATTCTTCTTCATTGAGTTTCATGTCCGTTTCTTTACCGCCTTCTTTGGAAAATGGGTGGTTGAACCAATCATCAAATGTTTCCACAGAGTTGAAAATTTTTGGAAGGATAAAGTTGAGGAGGGCCCATAATTCCGGGAGATTATTCTACAAAAAAATGGGCAAGTATATTTTAATATATACATGTCTGATCTTACACATGTTGAGTAAACATTACCTGCAACGGCGTCCCCGTCAAAATCAACCGATACCGCGTCGAATAATACTGCATAAGCGTAATCGACAATTTGGATTGCGTATTCTTCATGCGATGCCCTTCATCAATAATCATATAGACCCATTTGGTCTTTGCCAGCAAGCTCTTTTCACGAATAATGTATTCGTAGGTGGTGATGAGTACATTATAGTACCCAGCCTTTATTTCGTTTCGAAGACGAGCACGTTCGGGTGCGGTGCCTTTGAATACAATGCGATTGACAGTAGGTGCCCATCGCTCGAATTCAAGGTCCCAGTTGGTAATGGTCGAAAGAGGGACAATCACCAAGAATGGGCCGTTTTGCTTCTTTTTTTCCATAAGGTATGTGATGAGTGAGATGGTTTGGATCGTTTTGCCAAGTCCCATTTCGTCAGCTAGGATCCCGTTCAATCGGTTATTGTACAAGGACACCATCCACTGGAGCCCTTTGATTTGATACTCTTTCAAACGTCCACCAACAAGGATACTGGGTTGCTCCGTGACGTGTTCGGTAATCTTGTGCGCAGTGGCATAGTAATCCGCACCGTCGTCATCAACGTTTCCGTCGCGTGGTTCATGCTCGGGTACTTCGTACTCAACGACACTGGCTTTTTGATCTTGCATGGCTTTTGTCAGACTGTTTAGATACGACTCAGTTTGGTTAAGCAGATGCATGATACGGTTATCCTTGGCCTTGTCGACGAGTTTGAGGTAAGCGGCTTCATCGTTGGCTTTCAAAGCGTTTAGACGTTCCTGGGAGATACGCTGCTGCCTCTTTTCTTCCTCCTTTTGAGCAGCAACATGGAAGCGCGCAACAGCTTGACCGAGCCGCGTCGCCTTATTCTGCTGCTGTTTATGAAACCCAAGCATCTCACGCCCGTGATGGAGGATAGATAAGAGGTAATCAACATGTTTCTGCCGCTCCCGTTTCTCCCGCTCCAAACGTTGGTTCTTTTCCAATTTTTCAGTCTGTTTAGCTTCCCTCAACGACTGCTTTTTCATTCTTCGGAACGATCCCCGATCAGGAGCGGTAGCAAGCGTCGTTGCTTTACTCAAACACTGTACAATATCACTTCGAAGCCTCTTTTGCTTATCCAAGAGTTTGAGGGATTTAAGCTCAATCAACGCTTTGAGTTTCGCCCCCGTATCATTGGATAAATTACTAGGAAGGTTCTCTAGCTCGCTAATACGGTACTGAATACGCGCTTGAATCTGTTTTTCTCGCTCTTGCATCAAGGCATAGGCATCAATTCCACTTGGTGTTCCACTGGGTATAACGACCCGCTGCTGGAGGTCCGCCACTGAAATCTTTTTAGGGAGCAATGAATAAGGGTTGGAGAGCGGTCCCATGTCAAAGCGGGCCGTTGTGGCTTTGAGGACGGGTGAAGGGTCTTGATTTGGTTTAGGTGGCGTAGGATGCTGAAAGACAGATTCAACAATTTTCTGCGGGATAGGATGCGTCTCGGATTCGTTTGGCGTCTGCGACTGTCGTAATTGGTCAGCATCAAACACGCGTTGACGTAAATGCTCAGGAACGGGTTTGTTGCCAGATATGAGTTTGAAAACGTAGATTTGACATCGGAGGGCCGTTAATTGTTCTGGGGTGAAGGGTCCGACTCCTGCTGCTGTTCCAGATGGTTGCGAAGTCGGTGGTGGTGGTGGTATACCATCTTTTGGTTGCGAATGTTGCTGCGGATGCACTGCTTGTACCTGTCCAACCGGTACCTGTCCAGAGGTCAACTGTCCAGCGGGCAAGTGCCCAACGGGTACCTGTCCAACAGCTCCCTGTCCAACCGGTCCCTGCCCAGCGGATACCTGCCCACCAGGTAGCCCAGAACCCACAATCTGCCCATGCCCCCACTGCGCTCCAGGCCCTCGCTGCTGCTGCTGCTGCCCAACAACACCATGTTGCTGAACTTGCTGAACTTGCTGCTGTTGTTGCTGTTGCTGTTGCTGCTGAGCCAAATTCTTCCCCAAAGAACTATACTGCCTCAAAATCGCAATCTTTTGCGCAAACTCTGGATCATTCGCCTCTGTCGACCCCTTTTCCTTCAACGCCTGAGCACTCTACAAAAAAAAAACCATCAACCAACGATCCCCTTTTCAAACATACTTCATTATACGTACTGCAATAATCCCCTTCAACTGTTCCTGCGTTAAAGCCTGCATATGCTGCGGAATAGGTCTCACATTTCTTTGTATAGGTCTTTGTTGCGGGTACGTATTCGCCTGTTGCTGTTGAGGCGGGGGGTAGACTTGTCCATTCGTGTACATTGCGTACGAAAGGGGTCGTTGGGGTGTTTTGTTCCCCGACGAAACAATCGAGTGCGCGCTCTCAAGTAAAGAAAGGAGAGAGGTAGATTGTTGAAAATCAAGTGTTGATCACAGTGTTTTTTGTGTGTGGAGAGCGATGACACGACTCACAGGCGAGCCTACCCTGTTGGCTTTCCCTCCCCCCTCCGTTGCTGGGTGGTTTAGTTAACAGATACCCGTGACTGTGTGTCATGTGACTGATTGACGCGTTCGAAAATGAATATATTACTAATCTGATGATGTAAGCATATTCCCGTTGATCGTCACAATGTCCTATCGAGAATGGTTGACAAAGGTCACAATTCCATACTCAACAAAACGCACACCCCAGACAAATATAGAGATTCAACTACGTCAACAAACTTTTTAAAAAGCCTTTGGGTGCAAGACCCATACATTTTTATACAATTAAAAAAAACCCATTATAAACATTCACACACTCCAAAACAAGCATTCTACAACCATAACCCACTAGACTGTCTCCGCACAAGCCCATCCCCACCATCCAACTCTACAGCAACTAATAAACAATATCTCAACCTAATGACACAGTATCAAAATCCATGCATAAGCACTCAATATACAATAAAAAAAACCCATAAAAATCCTCACCCCCAAAAACGGATGCTACAACCATAACCCACTAGACGGACCCCTCCGAACACCAGCCCGTCCCCGTCCCCTCCGACTCTGCACAGTCTCAAGTGTCCCATTCTCAACCTGATGCCGCAAAGCGGATAAAAGGGCTTGAGCGTCTTCATCCCATTGTATGGGCATATCGTCATCCGATTCTCCAGTTTCAACTTGGACTTGACCTTGTTGCTCAGAACCTGTTTCCTCAGATACAACTGTATTTTCACCAAACAAACACCACCCAACATCCTCCATATGGACAACTTCCCCCGCTTTTCGGACCTTACATGCACCACGTGGGCGATAGCGTAACCCATAGACACGCTCTTCAAGTGTGCCTTGCATGAGGTATCGCCAGACGGTTGTGGGACGTGTTTGGCCGATTCGATGGATACGGTTAATCGCTAAAAACAAACAAAAGTTACATGACTGAAAATTTATCAAAAGTATAATGTATGATTGCCATACCTTGGGCTTCTAATTCAGGATACACGACAGGCTCAACCAAAAACACATGGGCAGCACACGTCAGTGATAACCCCGCACTCTGACTCCTAGCATTCAATAACAAGACCTGAACGTTCGTTTCCCGGAAGCGTTGGATGGCGTTCGGGGATTTTCCGAGGATCACGTAGGAGATGTTGTTGCGGGTTAGTCCTTGGGCAAGGATATCCAGGACTTGGTCCCATTGGGAAAAGACGAGGGAGGGGGTAGAGAGGTGTTTGAGGTGTCGGATGAGGGTGTCAAGTTTAGTGCCAAAGGAGCCTTTGAGGGGGATATTGGAGAGATGGGATAAGAGGGTGGTTGTTGCCTCGTCTGTCGTGTCGGAGAGGGTGTCGGTGGTTGTGGTGGTGGAAGAGGTGGGTGGAAGCGGTTGAAGGGAGACTGGGGTGGTTGTACCAGGCATAACGGGTTGATTACACATGGGACATTTCCGATGTCGGTGAATCCATCCTCGTACGCACTCTAGTAGTTTCCCAAAAAATTATTAACCACAATAAAATGAAATAACCAAATATTTTCATACTTGCCTGCACAATAAATATGCCCACAAGGCGTCAAAACCCCTTCCCGAACACCCATTTTACAAATCGCACATTCCTGTTCACCCGTGTCACGTTGTAAATGCTCCAAATAGCGTTTTCGTCCTGCGAGCTGCGTGATTTGGGATGTAAGGTCTGCTTCCTCTGTTATGGTTTGATGGAGGGAGGCTTGTATGGACGGGGGTTCAGGAGGGGGGATGACGCCGTCAGAGATTTTTTGGAGTTGGCGGTAGTATGTGATGCGGAGGTTGAAGAGTTTGGCAAAGGCAGTGGATTCCCTAATGCGAAAAATTAAACGGCAAATGATCAATATATGGGTTTACGCAAGTGTGATTCCATCAGTGTGTGGATATGGGTTAACACTTACTTTTGTAAGATACCAAGTTTGGCTACTTGGTCATCATACACGTTCGAGACGATATTGTGTGCCTCCTGGACCAACTGGACCTCAACCTCCGACACAATCCTCTGCCTCATACGACGCAGCTCGTTCACCAAATCCTTGAGCGAAACACACGAGGCCGGTAACAAGAACGGATCCAATTCGCTTCTTAAAGCTTTTTCTTGAGGGTTTTGGGACTCTCGGCCGCGCATGCCACCCATGGTTCGATGGCCCGTCAAGAGTTGGCGACGATCTTCAAGGGCGACCGTGTACCAGTTTTGGTAAACGTCAGCCGTAGATTGGAGGTCGATACCTTTTTGGTATTCGTCACCAGTGGGTGGGTCGATACGTTGAGACGGTTGACCCTGTTCCGTACTCCCATCGGATGCATCCTCAAGGGGAGCCGTGACGGCACCCCGAATCCAATCCCTCCATCCCCTCATCACCCCCCACTGCCCATCCAACCGCCTTACAATCTCTTGCACGCGCTCCATTACGTCCGCAGTGCAGATCCCACTGATGGGTACAGTCCCAACGACCATTCCCCCGCCTTCCTCCAACTTGCCCCACGTATTAGACACGAACCGCTCCAACCGCGCGGTCATGACACGCACATCCTGTTCAACAGGCCCTAAAATGCATCGACGGATCTGTTCAGCGCGTTTATAGTACTCGGCTTCGCGGGGTTCGTCTTTAATGGAATGGTAAACAGAAGCGATAAAGTAGAGGATACGATGCTCGAGTTCTTGCCAGAGGTGTAGACGGGATGTAAGAGTAGATTGCTCATCGATGAGGTCGTCGTGGAGGTCAGATGATCCGGTCAGGGAAGGGCTATCCTCGTCTGGCAGGTCAAACCCGTCATCGGCGTCGTGGGTCGTATACCCCAATTCTTTCCGTCGGGCATCCACGGCGGCCAGTTCTTGTTGGATAGAGTTTATGGTGTGTTGGACATTGCCCAATACTGAATGGTAAATCTCGAGGGAAGTATCCGCTCCTTTTTCCCATCTACGAAAACACACAAGCCAGTTATGAACACTTTCTGAGCAAGACTTGTTCCTCATTCATTCGCAAACATACCCGGACTGCTTGGCAATAAACTCGTGCAATTGGGCCCTATAGATTCTCGTTACATAAAGCTGTCGTTCACACGTCAATAAATTCGATACGGCTTGTTTGAGCATGTGCTCAAGGACTTGTCCAATGGTCCGGAGCGTGCCGCCCAGCGCACGCCGATTCTGGGTGCCCACCTGTGGATGACAACTATGGATACAGTTTAAACATCCCAGTTGTTTAAGTGTGTCAATTTCAACAATGTCTTTACTCACCACGCCTGTCTCAATTGAAGTAACCAACCCGTCAACCGAGTCTGCCTCATTTCTTCGGCCCGCTTCCCCGTGCCAAACCCAGGTGCCCGCACCTCCTCCATCATTCGCTCAACCAATTGATCATACCACGCCCGCTCAACCCGCGAAAACTCTAGCCGCACAATCCGCTCCGTCTGCGGCGGGATGGTGAGTTCAGACTTTACAAGGGATTTTAAATTTCGATGCATAAAGCGTTCCAGCGTCGCGTGGAAGAGGGGGTGGTTTTGGAGCTGCCACCACATGTGTGGGTAAGATGAAAGGGGTTGAATGTTGAGGAATTTGACAAGGCCGTAGAGGTCGGATGTACCGTTCTTGCCCATAGGTGTTCCTGTGACGGCCCATGGGTGGATGCACGTGAGGAGGCGGGCCATTTCTTTAGGAATATGCAAGTTTAGCGATACTGTTGGTAATTCATTTTTCACATTTGCGTACCAGCTGCTTGCGAGACGGATGTTTTGACCATTTGAGCTTCATCCAGAACGACTATCAAGAACCTCAATTTTAGCGTTACAAAAAAAAAACAAAAACTCGTCACAAAAACGCTACCTCTCCACCAAATAAGCCGCACGAGGGGCGACAAGCGCCGCTTGTACTTTTTCGCATACCGTCTGGACCGTCCAGGTTCGGGTTTTGCTGCATGTACTTCCCGCCTCAGCGAATCATATGATGTCAGCACGATATCGTACCTACTCAGTTCAGTGGGAGTGATGGGTTTGGCTGGGTCCGCTTCGTACACGAGACAAGTGAGCGAAGGGGCATGGCGGTGCGTTTCCGACATCCATTGTTCAATGATGACGGATGGCGCAATGATGAGTGTCCCAGAGGTTGGGATTGGATTAGAGATTTGATCCCGTTCCATTGCCTCCTCTGTCGGGGAATCATGAATACAGGAGCATTGTAACCGTAAGGTGGGGTAAGGGACTCACCGCAGGAAGGACACACATAGCGATCCAGTCGTCTTGCCCTCTTTTGCGTCAATCCGACGCATCGCCCGTGGTACCATTTATCGCACTCGTCACATCTGTGTACAAAAAAACAGAGCTGTTCAACCAGCAGTATGACTAAAAACGTGCAGACAAGAGGCGAATTACGCACGCTATCCAGAATTCAATTTTATCGCTCGGTGGTGCTTTGCACCATGTGCAGTAGTCATGGTCATTTGTGTCCGGTACAATTTGGCCGTTCTTACTAGTTTTGCCATTCCTGCGATTCCCGCCGTCTATGATGGTCCTATTCCTAGCTTGCTCCTTTACACCCTGCATGTCACTGCTCGAGACACGGTCCGCCAAGGCCCGTGCACGTTCGTGAAGAAGAATCAAGGCCAGAACCATGACCGTCTTTCCCAGACCCATCTAATCACACGCAGTATGAGCATTCTCCTATTAAAAGAAGATGAACGAGTCGGATGAAACGCACCTCGTCCGCTAAAATGCCACCCAAGACTTGTTGTTCATTTTCCAGCATGAACGGTTGATCCAGCGACACGGCACCCGTCAACCGATGCACAAAGAGCGTGTGTCCATGCTCTGTGGGGACGGTATAGGTCAAGAGCGGTGGATCGCGGATGGTGCGGGGTACGACACATCCATGAGCGTCCAATGTGACATGTTCTCTTGCTAGCATCCACCCAACGGCCCGTTTCTGGAATGGGAGGAGAGTTGGGACAAGAGTGGAAGGTTGGAGATGTGGAGTATCTGGAATGGGATAGACGGACGGCACAATGGGTGCGTTCTGAATGTCCCCCTTGGGGACTGTGAGATATTGTGAATCACTCGAGTGATTTGGGTGCAGAAAAGAAAAGAGATGAATGAGCTCCACACATTGATTCCGCTTTTGCGAATCGAGTGCGTCTGCTTGGGACTGCAACAAGGCAGCATGGGTCAAATACACGCGGACAGTCAATATCCATTGCAATTGTGGGTGTGGCGACTCTAGAGCATGCAGTGTCACGTTTCCTGCCAGCGTGCACAGGCGGCGTTGGTAGGCGGTGGAGAGGGCTCCCAACAGCGTTGGTCGGTCATGATCATGTGGTATGCGTTTATGCAATAGGATCGAGTCTTGATGATGAACTAGGAATGCGGTACCGTCCATGGACACTGTCACGTTGCATTGTGATGAGGTTCCCTGTTGCTGGCGAGAGAGAGTGTCTTGAAAGAGTTGCCATGCACCTTGTGGTGAGCCTGGTGTCAGTGTGTGTGTGCAGTCAATGCGCAGTGATGCGCAATCCCAACCAGACTCGACGACCGAAAGACCCGACTGCGTATCCTTGTCGAGTGGCGGTGTGCTAACCACGTTTGCTTGCCAGACCAAACACACATGAGGAGGAGGAGGAGATGCTGAATAAGGAGTATAATTCCAATGCAAGAGATGAATGCTGCAATCCTCTTGCATGAGTGTGCGTGTGAGTGTGAGAAAATAAAAAAAGAGTCATAATGCTGATCATGTAAGAAATGAAATGAAAATGCAGATCATGAGATCATAATGACATCATGTGTATCCCAATGGGTGGATGATCTTGTCACTTTTGATGATGAAATAATCACAATTTTTTTACTTTTTGTTTCAGAAGCGATTTGAGAGAGAGAGAGAGAGAGAGAGAGAGAGGGATTGACAAGGGAACAAAGAGAGGTAGGAGAAGAAGAGAAGAAGAAGAGAGAGCAACTAGTTTTCTCTCTCTCTCTCTTTCTATTCAAACACTCGAAAGAGTCTTTCCACACACACACACACATTGTACTATTCTTCTTCTTCTTCTCTCTCTCTCTCTCTCTCTTATTGACACTCTCCAATCAACAGAGAGAGAGTTGATTTTATTCATTTCTTCTTTCTTTCTCACACACACACACACACATACATACATACATATATACGGATTCTTTCTTTACTCCCTCCCTTACTCCCTCCCTCGCATGGACGCACGCTCTCTTTTGTATATTATCGTCTCTCGTGAGGGTCATTTACTCTCAGTATCAGACGGTTTCTCTTTTTCAATTGATTGGGAATACACGGGGGAAGAATTGGAGCATCTCTCTACTTTGGATTTGCCTCTCTGCGTATTCAAGACATTGGGGAATAGAAACTGTTACTTTTTGCAAAAGGTCTCTAGAGTATCTCTTGCACAACAGACGTCTGGTTACTGTATTCAGTATCAGGTAAAGAGTTGGAGGGAATTGGCAAGTTTCCCAGGAAAATATAAACAAACGCGTCTTCTGATTTTGGTTTGTTAGGACGTGACGGATCTCGTTTCCCAAATGAATCTTTCTCTCGTCGGCAATGTCGACAATGCCATCAAGGACATTGGAGAGAGTGTGGACAAGAGCCTGGTTAATGACATTAACGTCGCAGTCAGCATGAACCACGATCCAGGCGGCCCAGTCCAAACCCTGTCACTTTCAGGCCTCTCTCCCGGTGCATTGCCTATCGACAGAGACAACTTGACCCATCCATCCCTCTCAAAGCGATTGTTTTCGGAAAACCTCAGCAAAGGAGCGACAGAGATAAACAATGTCCAGAAGGCGAGAGAAGCTAACAGTGTCCATGGAGCAAAGGAGGCGCGAAAGGCCAACACGCCCAACACGTCCATTGAGGCAATGGAAATGATTTACAAGAGCACACACTCTATCACCGGGGAACAGTATCTGGAACAGCTCGCCCGCCTCCTCACTCACCTCTTGCATGTGCGCCTTGCATTTGTCGGTTATTGCATCCCAAGCCAGCTGGTTCCCTCGTCCGCCATCGACTTGATGTCCGCCCTCACTCCCCCAGGAGACTTTCAGTCCGTTATGACAGGCTTGTCAAAGCAGGAGCAGCGTGGAGAAGACAAGCGGTTTCGCCTCATTACCCTTGTTAATAACAATGGGTCCGTGTGTGTAAACATTTTGTGAATTTGTTTATTTCTCATAACACTCAACAGCCCCCGCTCGCTTTCATAGTCAAGAGACTCTGGCTCCCAAAAATGTCGTGTCGGCGGAATTGGCCTCCCTCTTGCAAGCTCACGACACATTTACCCTGGACTCATCCCGCCAATGGATCATCTCCGACCTCTTTGACTCCTTGGGTCCTGACCATGACAAGGACATGTACTTGATTGTTGCAAGTCTGCGCAACGCAGAGGGTGCACCCAGTGGATGCGTCGGTGTCATGTTGCCGGCTGCTTTGGACCCGTCTCAGAAAGACCTTGTGCAGGCCGTATTGGAAAGCGTTCGACCGCGTGCAGCGAGAGAGGTGGCTCAACTGGAAGAATTGGAGCAATTGAAAAAGGACAAGATGGCAGCAGAATTGGCCACAAAGAGCAAGTCCAACTTTTTGGCCAACATGAGGTAAAGGGAGACTTGGTTTCGAGATGCATAGTACCCATTCATTCATTCATGACTCTTGAATGTTGCATCAATAAACAGTCACGAAATCCGCACCCCCGTCTCTGCCATCATTGGCCTTACAGACATGATCCTTTGGGACAGCCGCGCCCTCTCGGACGAGAACAAGTCCCGCCTCGATCTCATCAACTCGTCCGGTGAACACCTCTTGGCCGTCATCAACGGCGTCCTCGACCTTAGCAAAATTGGAGACCAAGACGTTAAATTCTGTTTCCAAAAGAATCCATTAAAGCTTCGGAAATGCATTAAAGAAGCTGGTAAGTATCTTCAAGCCCTTCCCCCCTTTGCACAGGTATGGTTGTTTGGAGGGACACAAAACACACTACAAAATATGGATATCTGGATATTACGGTACTTTTGGTAGAACGCTTTTCTTTTGTGATTTGCAAAAAAAACCATGTTCACTGCGATGTGGTTTTTTTTTTACGTATTTGGTGGATTTTTACCAATGCGTCGATACAATGGATACTCACACGATTTATTTGATTACACATTAGTTCACCTCGCGGCCCTCTCCCCGGCAGCAGCAAAGAAAAAGATTCTCATCCTCGACGGTCAAAAGACGGATAACCCTGTCACTGTGGATGCAGGCGCACTCTTACCGGAAGGAGCGAAAATGGCGGATCTCGTTCGAGTAGGAACACGGGAAAATTCATTGCCTTTTTACTTTAAAGTCGATAGTAATGTTCCCGAATGGATTTTGGGGGATGTGACGAGGATCCGACAGATTGTACTCAATCTGTTGACAAATGCGCTCAAGGTAAGGTTGTGAGCATCCTGTACGGTGCTTTATCGATTCTCACCACAATTTTGTTTTTTCTAGTTTACCGATCAAGGCAGTATCACATTTACCGTCACACGCCTTGATGCCTCCGACACTGCAGAGCTCCCCGTCCCGCTCTTTGAAGGACAACACCATCCCCTGAAAAACGGGACCGCATCCGTTAGTGGCGGTGTGGAAATCTCTCCCGTGCGCACGACCGACAACGCAGGCTCTACTGACACGAGTGTCACTCGTGCTGACGACGTTCCAACCGCGGGACTGGGCAAGGCTGTCATTTTGTTTACGGTCGTTGACACGGGTATGTCCTTAACCCTTTGATTTACCATGGTCAGTGGAGGGAGCCTCGTGCTTACCATATCCATTATCAGGATGCGGTATTCCTCGCGAAAAAATCAACAGGCTGTTTATGCCCTACTCGCAAATCGATAACCCAAACAACCGAGACTCGGCGGTTGGTACTGGTCTAGGTAAGAAAAATAGTTCCTTACACTGGCCGATTTTATTTTGCAAAATCCCTCATCTCTGTTTCTATTTGAAAACAGGACTAGCCATCTCATCACGCCTCGTCCAAATGATGGGCGGTCAAATATGGGTAGAATCCTCTGAATCCGTCGGTTCCAAATTCTCATTCTGCGTTCCCTTCCCGATTGTCGAACCTGCCGAAACCTCTGGCGGCTCAACATCTTCTTCTTCCCTTTCTGATACGGACCAAGACGCAACGACAACATCTTCCTCGTCAGAATCACCACGAACAAAATCACCTGGACGACGCGCCGGTGCATCTCGACGGGCTCCAAGTCGAGAATCGCGGCATGCCCAACGCAATGCTAATCGGAGTGCCCAGGGGGATACCCATAGCGATGGCAACACTACGCAAAGAGGGACACAACATCACCGCTCGTCTAACCGCCGAGCCGGTCGTACCCCACGCGGAACAAACACTACCCGCAAATCGGCAAAATACACGAGCAGCATCGCCGAAATGTACCCTCTCTCCATCTTGGTTGCCGAGGACAATCCAAGTGAGTAAATGTACATACATGCGGTTACAAATAGAGCATAAAAGGCTCACCAAACTATTAAAGTAAATCAACAAATCGCTCTGAGCCTACTCCAAAAAATGGGATACGACGCCGACCTAGCGATTGACGGCGTTGACGTGTTGGAAAAAGTGGATAACGGGAAACAATATGATCTTATCCTGTACGTTTGTTATTCCTATTTCTCTTTTTGCCTTTTTCTTCTCATTCATTATTTTTATATTTTTTTGTAGAATGGATCTCAGCATGCCACGCATGGGGGGCCTGGAAACCATGAACCAACTCGTCAAACGCTCCCATTCTGGATATTCACTCCCGATCGTGATTGCCTTGACTGCATCCGGAACGGAAGATGATTACGAAGCGTGTCAACAAGGTAAAAACTCTAAACATTTCCTATTTCAATATCATTACAATGAAATTAATTTTGATTTTTTAGCGGGGATGCACGATTGGTTAAATAAACCATTTAAAGCCCTAGACCTCGAAACCAAAATCTCGACACATTTTTCCCATCTTTTGCATTCTTCTGCCAAGGCTGCTGAACCTACCCATCAACAACATCATTGTACCACCAAAAATTTGAAAAATTAAAAAGTGTTTTATATTCTAGTTTTTTTAATATACATTTCTTTTTTTGGAGGAATGATTCGTATGTCAACGTATGCATCGAGTTTTGTTTTTTGTTTATTCATTGATTCACATTACATACTCGATCCACCATACCACAATAACTTATAAAAACACACACAACTCTCCAAAAAACCATTATACTACCACCCTAAACCACTTGATCCATCTTTTGCATTCGTAATCTATGACCCCTCGTTTGAACATGTACATCCCACTCCAACGACCCATTCAAAACCCGCGGCTTTCCATCCCGGTCGACACAAACTGGACATGTTTGTTTTTTCCATTGTGGGGTTTTGGAGTGGGTTGGGAGGAGGGTTGATGCGAGGGGTGTTAGGGTGTGTGGGGAGGGTGTCGGTTTGTTTTCGAGGAAATCTAATGGGGATGTTTTAGTTGTATGAATGAATGTTTGTTTTTTGGGGTGTGGTTTTTTTTTCTTACCTTTAGCGATTTGGATTGCCGGATCTCGAATGGTTTGATTCCACCCATCAAGACCTACCAAAACACAAATCAACACCCCACAAAAAAAGAAAAAAACGATTACCAAAAAAAAACTCACTTGACGCATCCAACAAAAAAAACTCAACACCCTCTACACCAAAACACCTTGTCGCAAGTTTATTTTTAATCCACGTTACTTGTCGACGAGCGTATTGCCTTGTTGCTCTTTTCATATTCTCTATACCCTGCGCGCAAAGACTATCTACATCCGTATCCGCGCCAGGGGATTCAAGATGGGAAAAGTATGTGTCGAATTCCTTGAAACCTATGGAAAATTTCAATATTAATGATAAATGTAAGAACAATCAAGGGGTGTTTACCAATGGCTTGTAATATCCCTCGTGTGTAATTATAAGGGGTGTGGTCTTGCGTGGGTGTACCAATGACTTGGCCGGTAACGAGTTTTTTTCGCATGTCGAGTAATTCTGGGAATAAACCCAACTATAAACAAAAGGTTTTGAGAATTTTTTTGTTTCGGTAGAGATATAAACTCCCAAGTTTGAAAATACTTTGATCATTTCGTCAACTCGTTTGTCGAGGCGGGGGTACAAGGCGGGTGGATCGGCGTAAAGCCAGAATATACATGTTTTGAATCTAGTAAGTTTTTGGTGGGTATGAATATAACCCTTCTTCTGTGTTGGTTCGTATGATTGGGACTGTACCTCAATGTATCCTTTGTTGAAGCTTGTTGTTCTGCGATCCATTCACTGTGGGGTTTTCCAGTGGTATAAAAAATCTAGTGTCGTGCAGTGTGAATTTCATTTCTCATCACTTGGGTATCGTGTGGATATGCGGGGGTACCTGAAGACTTCGTCGAAGTTTTCGGTCCTCATTAGGATGCCATCGCTCCGCCATAACTAAAACCCCATTAAAAACAATACCCCCAAAAAAAAGCACAACAGCAGAAAACCATACCAGGATCTACACAAGAAACCAACTCCGCCAATTCATTCGTCCCCACAAACTCTGCAATCTCTTTCATGGACCGCCGTTTAGGATCCGTAGCATCCAATGCCCGCGCCATCCGATCTGCCAATGGATGACTAGCAAGACTCTCATGTCGTATATCCGGTGCACTCAAATCGGGTTCAGATGCAGAGGCAATGATACTTTCTCGCCATAAGAGGGATTGGATGTAGTAGTTTGTTCCACCGACGAGAATGGGTGTATGGCCTCTAGAATGGATTTGGGAAATCTTTTTGAAAAAAAGTGGGTAATAGAGTAAAAAGTGGAGTGAAAGTGTTTTTGTTTTTTTTTGTTACCACTTGCAGTGCGTCTCGTTGGAATTCGGAAACAGAGTACTCTCGACTGGGATCCACGAAATCCATTAAATGATGTGGAATACCATCTCGTTCTTCTGTTGTTGCTTTGTTGGTAGCGATATCCAACCCTTTGTAAACCTTGAAAAAATAAACAAAAAACAAACATATATGCCAAAAAGGAAAAAAAGAAAATATATTTGAAAAGTGACGAGTATATGCAAAAACAGAAAAGCACACAATCTATGAATGCTCCCAACTATCAACATGTTTGGCTTTTTTTCATCCTCTAATAGAAAAGCCATTCCTTCCACTTCTTTGGGGGCGAGCGTCTTATCGGTTCAACATGAACATACCTGCATTGAATCCGCATTCACAACCTCTCCATTCAACGCTTTGGCCAACTCAATCCCCAACTGCGACTTTCCGACGCCCGTGGTACCCACCACGACCAGTAGCGGGTGGGTCATGCTGCGTAATGTATGAAAAGCATGTCGAGTGAAAGAGAGCATGCCCCCACCAACAAAAAGCTGGATTTGCGATGGATGATCAAGTAAACAAATGTGGTTTGACAAATGCATTTGAATATGGGTGTGACGGATTGTGACGTGTCCTTTGAATGCGATAAAGGTTCGTGGTGATCTGGAGTGTGCCTTTATTGGAATGTATGTGGTGTGTCCACTGCAGGGAGACGAACAACAAAAAGCAGAGACACATTAGCGAATGCTACTAGAAAATGGTCCAAACACCCACATTCCAAAACCGCAAACCCCCCACCAAACCCAAACTCCCAAGTGAATCCATCCAAAGCCGGACCCGACGACGACGGACATATCTGAGTGATTCCGATGTATCCAGTCTAAGTGATATTGACGTTTTTTGGGGTGACAGTGATGAGAGTGATGATGATACCCGTATATCGAAAGGAGAGGTACCAAAGAGCATTATACGGCCCTCAAAGCAGACTCATAAAAGGGATACCACTACATCGATACATACTCGTACACCCAAACGACGGAAATTAGGTTCAAATCCTACCCGCCCATCACTCAACAGCTCACCTCTAAAACAAGCGCCTGTACCGCACCCGCATGCACACAATGACACGCATCCGCCCGTGCCGGTAGTACCTTCCACACCCATCCCTACCATTATCCCAAATGGGATCCCACCCGCCCCTTCAACTTCCAACACTTGCGACACACCCAACACCGCCCATGTCACGCAGAGTAAACCCAAACGTGTAAGATTAGGGCAAAAACCCGTTCCTGCTCTCCGAAATGCTGAAAATACGGTAGAACGCGACGTCAAGCGAGATGATATTATCGGGCATTTGAAGGGCCGTGTTGGATCTGAAGCGACGTTGGGGAAGCAAAAGAAGATGGGTCGTGAGAAACTCAAGGTGGGATCAGATGGTGGTAGCCACGGCGCGAATGGATCCAATAAGGGTGTTCTTGGGGATGATAAAGAGGGAGTAGTCAAGAATGTGGTGGATGAAGCGGCAGGGACTGCCAAGGATGACAAGGACGCATCGGTCAAATCTGGTCTGTCAAAGCGTGCCAAGGTGGTCGCGGTGGGTAATGAGAGCACAAGCGCGAAATCAGACGGTGTGATCCCCCCAAAGCGATCGAGGCGGAGTTTGGGCGTCAAGGAGGTTGAGCACGCCGCGCAGAATGGTACCAGCGTCACTTTGAATGGATGGCCCCTGTTGGTCCATGATAAAACAGACCTGGATCTTCAAGTACAAGCATTTCCATGCAAGTCAGGCAAATACGGTCATTACGACCGCTGTCGACCCTGCCTCGCCAAAAAAGGGGAACCATGCCGTTTTCAAGGTATGCGGGCTTTTCGCATGAAAGACAAGACTCCCATCGAAGACCCGTACTTTTTCTCAGACAAGCCGATGGAAGATGTCAACGTTCCCTCCATACCCCACTCTGGAAACTTTCCACCATTGAGTGATGCAACAGCCTATAAACTGTGCTTGAGCTATACGGCATTTCGCGAATGCATTGACAGAGAGCTGGCCCACATCACAGCCTATGCGTCAGGCAACCGGACAACCGCGTCCCTTCACTGTATCAAACGCCCCATTCCGTTGACGAGGCAAACTTGTGATATCTGCGAGCAAGGAATATACAATACGTATTACATGTGCACTATCTGTGGGAGGGATATGTGCCTTTTATGCGTTGAAGAAGGGTGGGGTGTACCGAATGGGCATGCATCCGAAGCGGTAACGAGCACGGTAGTCAAATCTTTCAAAGACACAGACAACAAACCGACAAGCGTCAAAAATCCAATAATGGTTTGCTCATTCAGACGAACGCACGATATGCGTAATTTTCTGGTAATTAGTCGATGGGATATCGACCAGATGACTCGATCAAGGGATTGGGTCAAAGGATGGATGAATCAGCATGCGAATCGCAAATTGGGCATCAACGGGACAGCAGCACCCTCGAATGGAATTGACGCGCATTCGGATGAACACCTCAATGGGAAAGACAACCAGATGCCGAACGGTACCACCCATATCCACTCGGCTGAAACTGCCAATATAAAGATGGACGACTCGTTTGACGTTGACAGCCTCATCAATGCACCCCACCCAGATCTAGTCATTATCCCCTACGAACAGCTTACGGTCCCTCTCTTCCAACACTATTGGCGGCAGAGGAAAGCCATTTTTGTAACAGATATGGCAAATAGTGTAACGGACCACTGGAAACCGCAAGTATTTGAGGATCTTGCTGGCGAGGAAATTGCTAGTCTTATTGACTGCAAGTCTGGTAAAATACACTCTGAGTCGCCGTTAGCTTCCTTTTTTAAAGGTTTTGGAAAGAGAGAAGGAGACGGAACCATTGTTAAGCTAAAGGTGTGACCATTTCGACTTGGGGTAGTGGAACCGAACACTTATTACTATTGGAAACTGTTGTAGGACTGGCCAAGCGACATGCACTTTCGAGCAAAATTACCAAAACACTCTACCGATTTCCTTGATTTGATCCCTATACCAGAGTACACTCACCCCGATGGAAAATTCAACCTTGTTTCCCATATTTCGGAAAACGATGTCCCACCGGATCTTGGTCCTAAAATGTATGCTGCCTATGGCTATAATCCGGATCAGACGGGGGGTACCACGAATTTGCACCTTGATGTTGCGGATGCTGCCAATGTTTTGGTGTCGAGTCAACGACATTGGGTTCCGCCCAGTACCGAGCCCCCTACCACTGCTTGTACTTCCTCACCAGAAAACATTCCACCCCACAAACTCGAAGGCGCCATTTGGGATCTCTTCCCACCATCCACGCTTACCAATCTCCGATCCTACCTCCGACACCACTACCGTCACCCCACCCACCCACACCCCCTCATGATCGACGACCCAATACACGATCAAACCTTTTATCTCCACCCCCCACATCTCCACGACCTAATCACCTCCCACTCTGTTCGACCCATCCGTCTGCACCAACGTCTAGGCGATACAGTATTCGTACCAGCAGGATTCGCCCACCAAGTCAGCAATTACGGTGATTGTATTAAATGTGCCTTGGATTTTGTCTCGGCGGAGGGTGTAGCTGTTTGTGAGGATTTGTGTAGAGAGTTTCGAAGACTTGGAAAAGGACATGGACGCAAAGGGGATACTGTTTCGGTTGGGAAAGTTGTTTGGGGGGTTGTGAGGAGTGCGTTGGGTGAAGCTGGTGGTTAGGAAATGGTTGTTTTGTGAGTGATTGTTGTAATGATGGGTTTGGGGGGACTTACGGAATTTTGAATTTCTGGGGTGTATATAGCGTCTTTTTGAAAGACTGCAAGATTTTTATTATTTTTTTTTACGTGTGTTTTTGGGTACGGTGTTGAATGCTACTGTGCTAGAGTATCATCTTATTTTCAGGTTGAATAACTTTGTGGTAGATTTTCCATCTTATTGTCAGTACATGGATTTCGTTGAGATAATACTTGGGTTTTTTGACATGCCTATAATCATATGTATTTGACAGTAACAAAGATTTTGGGCAATTGACAAACATCTGATACATCTCATTCGAGCAGATCAACCGACAAGTGCCCCAAGGACACAGATTCATCGTAATTATACATCGCCGCAATTGACTGACTTATTTGCATTGGACAGCTCCCCCAATTCACTCCGTGGCCTTTACAGATATGGCCCTCCTTCCTTTGTATGTTTCGGCTCACTTTTTACCGATACTCCGACATGAGCAGCCAATCATTTCATATCTTAACACCCTCGACGAAGTTACAAAAAAAACAATACAATATCAACAAGGCCATGATCGAACTCATCCATGGCCAAAGAAAAAAAAAAAACAATTTCAATATGAATCTGAACACTCGCCGATCACTCCGACATTGCCTTCAGCCAATCAAAATGTTTGTTCATTAGGTGTGATCGGATCCCCTTTCTTGATTATTCAATGGAACACTTTTTTTTTTTTTTTGCTCAATGTCTGCGGGCCTTAAGGGCTTGTGTTGTTTTTTTTGGCCCGAGGACGTCCCATTTTTTTTTAAAAAAAAAACCCTGAACAGCCGGTTTATATACCAAAGGCATTAGGTTTTGAGTACCGTGGCCGGAAAACGTGATGCCTTGTGAGTAAAGATTGGGACATTTGCCAAACTTTTTTGTCCATCATTTGGTACATGCACTAACTTTTTTGTAGGTTTCGTTGATGTGGTTTTGCATTGACGTTATGACAAATTGTTTTAGCACTTTTCTCTAATAATCTTATAAAGCACCTTGAAGAGACTTCTTATGCATGCCCTGGCTACTGACCCTCAAGATATAAGTGTCTCTCTTTTTACCTGACTCGCGGACTGATGACCTTTTGAATGCCATGGTCAACGTATTCAAACCTGTTGGTGCCTCTATCTTTCAACCCTCTGTATTTCAAAGTAATGATTGCTAAGGCTACCCTCAAAAAAAGCCAACGATGAACAATACCAAAGGTACATGTTCGACCAACCATCCGTGCCAGGCCCGGGACTAGCTACGTAGAAAGCTTGTACATTCTTGCAACTACTGGGTGTCCCCCTTTCTATCATTGGCGCAATGAGCAAACTGTTTGGCCATGATCCTCAAAAAAGCGAGAAAGGCGGGTCTAACTGATCCTCAAAAATCAGAAATCACAGAACGTAGGCCCGGGCGTGCAGGTAATAATCCATGTCGAAAAAAAAGTCAGCTCTCCACCCCCACTCATTCCTATGATGAATTCCCGTTTTTTTACATACAGTACATCTATAGAGCTATATTCATATTGAAACCCCGACGTCTAATAGGAAGTTTTTTTTATAAAGGCCAGCCTGTAAGTCATTTCCCTTTTTCCTCCTTGTCCTGGGACGTTCACCTATTTTCAACACACAACTAATTAACCAACTTATTCTCCATCACCTATTTTTTTGCTTCGACCGCCGTCGCTATTATTATTTGACATCCATGGAATTCTTTCCGATTCTCCCTCCTCTTCCTTTCTTCATGCCCATTTCTTGGGATTTCACCAGCATGCGCACTCCGACGCTCCCGCATGCTGTTCGCAGCGCTACCGTCGTTCCGGCTGCCACCATTGCATCTCTCGATCACCAATTCAGAGGTCAGATGGATCTTCAAGCCAAGGGAACCGTCCCCGGTCAGCTCCGCGACAAAGGGAAAACGCCCGTTCATGTCTCAAAGGTGAGTATCTGTGTCGGGGTGTCATATCTTACTGGCTTTTGATATGCTATTGGCTGTCGCCGATCTAACATGGGCCCAGAGGGCTATATGAGCGGAGTCTACTGACAAATTTGTTATCGAGATGTGAGCGCTGGCAGAGTTTGTTTGGCATTTCTAGTCCTACTGTCGTAGGCAGGGTACTCTACAATGGCATGGCTGTCGCCGGTTAGTGCATATGAGAGTTGGTCCTGATATCAGACATGAGCTTGTGTGCCTGTCGGCGATTTGAGATCCCACCGAGCTCGGGTTGTGACATTGAGACCATGATGGGCTGTCGCCGATATACTACTACAGCTGGGACTTTGCTTCAAATGTCTCCTGTCGGAGCTTTAAAAAGTTTGATGTTCTGATCTGCCGGTCAGCTTTTGAGTACTCAGGCTGGCGGGGGCCGGGCTGGTACTATGATGTTCATCACTGCCGTGATGGCGGTATTGATAGCCGAGCACGGGATGCCGAGCATCTACTGCTATAATGTCTGTTCTTCTGTGAGTTTTTTTCTAGTCATCTCGTTGTGCATTAGTCTGATCTGAGATTGGGAGCTGTCGCTCTAACAACTCTCATGGGACTGGCTTCTTGATGTGTTCGAGACTGACGGGAGGGCCACTTTGGTGGTTGTCGCAAACAACTCATTCTTGTTCTTCCGTTTGTGTCAAGCAGTCTACCGAAAGTCTCGCCTCACGGGTTAGTGTCAGGGAAGAGATCTCACGGATGAACGCTGCAATGCAGAACAAGCAAGAAGAAGTTGCTCGCAGCCGCAAGTCTAGTACTGAGGTTTGTATGAACGCCAAGCGTCTTCCTACTTTCATAGATACTAAACTTGTTCTCCCTTCCCTCCTATGTACAGAGCACCACAAGCGCCTCAGGGATTCGTCGAGCGGCGACGGTGGCAAGAGCCCCTTTGGCTCCTCAGACGGCTACCCTCTTGGCGAGTATCGACACCGCAGCCGACGCCGAGCGAGTTCTTCGGACGGCAATTGCAAACCATGACGCTGTCCAAGCCGCCATCAGGGACGCCACTGTATCGGTCGATGCCGAACGCCGCGCTGAGGTCCGGCGACGCAAGGAACAAGACGAGCGATGGGAACGCATGCGGGCAGCTCTCGCAAGAGGCGAGATGGGTCCCGCTCCACCTGGAGAAAGAGACATCCGCATGATCATGGCGGATCGAAAAAAGATCGATGCCCTCCATGCCAAGAGGAGGCGGACAGCAATGTCCAAAGTTAGACAAGACAACGAGATGAGGTTGTCCAACATTAAGGCTAGTCTCCAAGGCCTGGAGCCCCTCCTAGCTGGGTCAAACCAGGAGTGGGCCGACTTGACGCAGCGTTTCCATCGGGTAAGTTGACATGGAACCTTCCCTCTCGGATTCGACGGACCACAGCTTCTCATTACCAACTTCTCCTCTTAGACGATGGAACTTTTGAACGAGGTGGACGATGTTCCCCTCGGCACGGAGGGCTCAATGTCCAGCCTTTCATCGGGAGATGAAAGCGTTGAAGAGAGGGACGAGCAGCACAGGCCCCCAAGTCCACAGAGCCCTCCACTTGCACCCACCACAGCGGACTCGGTCGAGACCCTCCAGATCGAAGTCGTCCAGCCCGCTCCCCCTTCGCCCCCCACCAAGCCAACCATCCCGGACCTCCCCACCCTTCCAGCAGAGCCGTTCGAGCCTTTCGGGCCGTTCGAGCCCGCTCAAGCGGCAGAGCCGTCCCAACTGTCGCTCTCCTCGGAGGTGTTCCTTGCTCCGGAGGTTCCCCCGTCTCCGCCCTCCATCCCCGCGGAACCGGCCGCTACCTTAGGGACGCCCCTCGAATTCCAACCGTCCCTCCCCTCCGACCTATCCCTGTCCCTCCCCGCGGTGCAGTCGGAGACCCTCTCAGAGGACGCCTCCACATCCTTCCCCACCCTCCCCTCCCTCAACTCCCAGGCCTCCCAACCCTCCCTCTCTGGCCAACCCATCCACACCAGCCCTCAACCTCCCACTGACGTCCACACGGATGTAGTCAAGAAGGAGCTGATGTCGCTCATTGAGGACCATCCATACGTCATGAGCGCGTCGGTCCTCTACTCCAAGCTGCATCCGTCGCAGTCGAGGTTGAAGCGCATCTGGCGAGATATCAAGCCTCGCCCATCCCCGCCGGACATTTACGGGGATCAAAAGAAAAGGGCCGCCAACAAGAGTATGTACAATGCTTGCAACTGTTGTGGTCCATGTGAATATCATGCTGACGTTGATTGCTCTCTTCTTCCCTTCCCTTATCATATCTTGCAATGCCATGTTCCATCACTCTAGACCCGCCGCGGTACTACGGCGCCTCCCTTGAGGAAATGATGGGCGGGCCAGACCCCGGATCCTCCATGCAGACCATCACCAGGGATCGGATGCCAGCTATCATGGTGCAGCTCATTGAGTGGTTGCGCGCCGGAGGTCTGTATCTGCATCCCGGTTAACCAATCAATCACATATGCTTACTTCCGGTTTTCTTCCTCTTTATAGAGCCGCCAGGAATTGCCTCTGACGGCATTTTCCGAATGGGCATCGGCAAGCTCAAGGTCGAGGGGTACCGCGACATTATTGAGAGTGGTGGCCAGCTCCCTTACATCCCCACTCCGGACCCCAGAAAGGAGCCGCTCACTGCGCTCCATATCGGAGGACTGCTCAAGATGTTCTTCCGAGATCTCAAAGAGCCGCTCTTGACCCACCGGCTCTACAAACCGTTCATCAAGGCCGCTGGTAGGTATCAGCAATATTGTCTCGTCTCTTTGTTACAGTCACCTAATGGGTGCGTTATTTACAAAGGCTTCACCGATCATGAGAAGCGGCTTCGGATGCTGCAGCTCCTTGTGCAGCTCCTTCCCGCAGAACACCAAGCCGTGCTACAATACTTGCTCGGCTTCCTCGCGGATGTCGTCGCACTGTCCGGGGTCAACAGGATGACCTCAAAGAATGTAGCCACATGCTTCGGCCCCAACATTCTCCGGGAAAAATACTACCGGAAGCCAACGGAGGAGGATGTCAAGGAGCACTACGACCTGGTCGAAGTGGTGTCCTTCATGATAGACAACCATGCGGACCTGTGGCAGGTAAATATCGTGTGCGGGTTTTGAAACCCAGTTGCGAATTGCCTCGGCTGACAAATTCCTTCTCATTCTACCAGGTGCCCGAGGACGTTCAGGCCAAGTTGCAGGTCGCGGCCACCGTGGCGCCATCCCAGCCCACCTCAGAGAAGACCAAGACCAACCTCATGTCGAGGTTCATACCCCGCCGCCGGAGGTCGGCTTGAACTCTCTCCAAGCCCAAGTTTCTTTTAATTGTTTTATATTATTTTTATATTGTTTTAATAGAGCGGGATGTATTAAGCTTGAAGTGTGAACCCTGACCTGCATTCAAACTGCCCACCGGGGTATGTTTTCTATATTTACAGGTGCATCTACAATACCTGATGGTCCGTCCGTCAGTCACAGTTGTTCATCACAATCCTCGGGAATAATCGTCGGGCATTGTATGTTGTCACTTCTTGTACCATGTCCACTGTGACCTCCTTTATATTTGCCTGGCATATGCAGGTAGAAGGAAACAAGAAATAAGATGCCGCCCGGACAAGGGAAGCTTATCCTACCGAGTACTGAGGAGCTTACCAATGTCTCGCAAGCTATCGTTATGTTGGCAGGGACATTCTGCATTCCTGGCTCAGGTGCGAGAGCTGGTGCGTCCGTCTCCAGGACGAGAGCATCGAGAGGCAGTGCCTAGACGCCCATCAGCCATCCTAGATCGGCCATCAATATGGCAAACATAACGCTACCTTGACCAACTTTTGCAAGTGCGGGTTACGTCCTATGTGAGCAGCTACTGATAGCATGCATCCATTCTGCACTGCTTTAAGCGCACTCCCAACTTTTCCATCAAAAGCATGTAACAAGCCTGTCACTCCAGCCTCGACCATCATATCCACAGCATAGTGCCCGGCTTGTCGTGAATGGACATTTAATGGAATATTCAGCTCTTTAGCCAGTCTTATCTGGGCTGCAAAAACCTGCTTTTGCGCATCCCGCTGGGCAGGAATGTCTCCCGACGGTATGGTTCGGAAGACATGGGGCGAAAAATCGAGACCACATTCGCCAATAGCGACGATACGATCTGAGTACCGCTGTATCAGATCAAGCACAGGTTGTACTTCATCTGCCCGCACCGACCGAGGGTTACCATTCGCTGACGGTTGAACGGGATGCAACCCAACGCACGGCTGGAGAATCTTGTGCGTCGCTGCTAACTCGAGCACGATCTTGGCATCCTCAAGTGTCTCTGGCACATTGATAATAGAGGTAACGCCAGCTGTTTCAGCTCTTTGCAGCACAGAATGAAGCGTGTCGGATGGAAACTGTGGAGGGTAGAGATGTGCATGGCAATCAATGAGCATCTTGAACTCAGGATTTGTCACGAGATTTCACACCTTAGAGTCAAATCAAATAAATATTCGAATACAATACTCCAAAAATCTTCTACCTAACTAAATGCCTGTCATGACGCAGATCTAATGAATCCTATACAGCTTATCGTATTACATGCTCAAGTTTCATCTATTCCGCCATTCACCACGGAAACCACGGGAATGATGCCGTCCCCGCGAACCATCGTATTGCGGGAACACATTCCTATCATCTGAATAACTTGTAAAGCTTGATGTCCCAGAGTCATCCCGTCGATGATGGGTCCAAAAGGTATCGCCTCGCCCACCACGTGAGTAAAACCGGTCAGAGTACCGCCCGCGCGTCCCCTGTTCCGTCCTACTCCAAGATGCAGTCGAATAAGGTGACCCTCGTGATGGGCGACCTCTGGATGTGAATTGGGGTTGCGCATAATATCGCTCTATATGTACGCTAAGAGTCGTCACTTCAATGATCTGCTCTTCAGTGAGGATCGCCAGAACACGAAGTCTTTCAGCAATCTCGAGACTGGCCTGCTGGCGTCCTTCTTCTCTTGCCTGAGCCATAGCCATGTCTCGAGGAGAGTCTCTGCGACTACCCGGTCGCTCTGAGGCCAAGATGGCATCTACGGTAAAGTCATCTTCCCAACGCTCCACCATGCGCTGAATGGCTTCTGCTGAAACCCCATGCGTATTCCGTTGGGCAAGTTCTGTCACATTCTTCTCCTTCCACCACGGCGTTTCGGGCTCAACCACAACAATAGAGTATCCCTGCTTGAGTCCCATCTCAACATATGGTTTGGCCTCCCATTTTTGCGTGTGCGTATTGTCAATGATGATTGGCGACATTCTGGAAGAAATAGCATCTCGTGCTCGTTCCTGATTCCATTCGTGTGCCTCGGCCAGTTTGGCCGCATTGAACTCGTAGTTACCCGTGTCAATACAGAAAAAGTCGTCCGTACTCAGGATACAGCCTTTGTTGCCGTGCTTGACGAGAAGGTCCCGGGCCACTGTTGACTTACCGGAACCCGGAGCACCTTTTCAATTCCAGACTGGTGTGAGAAAAAGCAGGCAACATATATATTGTTTGTTTCGTGCGTACCTCGCATTATGTACATCAACTTTTCTTTCGGCTCAGCGTCAACTGGTGTCCCTCCAACAGGCGCAGACTGAGGATCCGAGAATGGTGGTAATGGACCGTCGGACGCAACACTGTTTTCCTCCCGAAGCACTTGTTTCCCTTCCCATATTGGTCGCTCTGTGTCTGTTGTATGCATACATTGATTCATTTGAGCAAGATCTCTCGTTTGCTGGAACGGGAGCAGAGGACGACAAGGCTTGAGCAAGTTAACCAGTTCATGTGTTGGAATGCAATCCAAGCCCTGTCGATCCTAGCTTTGCCATCCAGCTGCTTCTGCAATCAATCACTAGAAGAAGTTCTATTGGTTTTGATATTACCATCTTTCGCAACTGGATTCTTATCAACACGGCGAAATAATCGTCATTTTTTAAAGGAGTTTTTTGATACTCAAGAAATGCATCTGCCGCTATTGTATGGCATCCTTGGATTGGGGGATCGCATCCTCTCGTCGGCGAGTCGCCTCACGACAACTTCAAGGGACGCAACGAATGCACCCGCAATGGGCACTTTCGCCTGCGAGTACGTCACCTTTCCACCCACTGGGACCTTTTGGAAATTAGAAATCTGATGAAAAACCAGATGTGTTCCTTCGTCAAGCTCAAGGAAACCTCAAGCCATAATGTGCTTTATCTATTTCAATGCCGTGACTCTCACATCCAGGAGGAAATCGGATAAAACAGAGGTGGTTGGAACCTGGTTTATTATCAACGCGGCGCGCCGCGGCGACATTAACCTTGACATCTCGGCGTCGACGATAGTCATCCGTTGTCTGCTCTCAATGTATGGCCCTCTAGCCGACTTTCAAAATTTGTAGATACTCTATCTCGCGCTTTGTTTGACGTGGTTGGCTTGTTGCGAGCTTAGAGCCGCGCTGGACACAAATGTTTTCCGGGCTCACATCTTCGCCTGGTCCGCAATTGGATGACAACGCACTCCGAGAGTTGGTACAAAACCAAATTATCAGAGAAGCGGGTATGTATATCTGGCTAGACAAGTTCGCTTTTTGTGCATGACTCATTCTTGTGTTTTATGCACAAGGTGTGGACTTTGAAAGCCGACCGATCCTTGTCGTTTACTCTTGCTATCTACCGAATCCCAAAAATGCAAACTATGATACGTTGCTTAGGTGAGGGACCATCTGGTGCTCATTGTGATGCGAAAAGTTTTTCATGTGAGCCACGCCTTTATTCCTTAGCCTCCTCCTTCAACGCCTGGACCAGTTTGTAGAGAACGATTATGTAATAGTCCTATTCTCTGCTGGGACTCAGTATCAACCATCCTGGACATGGATGTTTAAGGCTTATGCAAGTCTTGGAAGAAAGTAAGTGCATAATGGATCTCAATCAATAGTAGATCTCGCTATGTTGGTATTGACCATTTCTGGCGACTGGTCTAATGTCTTGGATCTTTGGCAGGTATCGAAAGAATTTGAAGAACCTGTACATAGTTCACCCTTCTCTTTGGCCAAAACTCATCATGCAAACAATGGGAGCTGTGGTGAGGTCATTATCATAACCTGGCGAAGATCTGTGTGATACGCACAATGGTCGGAGAGCAATATAAGGCTAACTCTTGAATGGTCACTTTTCAGCCCTAAATTTTCACGAAAGGTCGTTTGGGTATACAATCTATCCAAGCTGGGAATGGTTCTCCCTCTAAAGCAGCTCTTTATCCCGGATGTTGTATATCAGTATGTGTTGTCATCAAAGCCTTGCGGTAAACGTATTTCGGTTTAACCAGTCCGCATCATAGAGTCGATATCAAGTATTCCGGTGGTTTCAGCAATTCACCGACGGCAACGATACCTAGCCCAACGTCAGAGTCTAAAAGCAAAGTTTTTGGAGCGAGGTTGGAGGATATCATGGGTGAGAACGGCGAAAAAGGGGTGCCCCGCGTAATACGGGATTGCATCAGATTCATTTTGGTAAACGGTGAGTGACATGCGTAGTGTATTCCTAGCGTATTGAAATTGACACTGCTGAGGGTACCCAGGTATTCATGTCGAAGGAATCTTCCGACGGTCACCGTCTTCCAAATTGCTGCAAGATGCCAAGGCAGCGTACGATAGAAATGACGAACACATAGATTTGGAAGCGTTCGGAGGGGTACATCTTGCCTGTGTCCTTTTGAAAACTTTTTTCCGCGACCTTCCGGAACCGGTGTTTCCAAGTAGCATTTACGATGTCATCCGAGGTATCACAGGTGAGTCAGTCCAATGCGCAAACCTGCAGCTAGTTCATGCACAGTAACCGGATACCCACAGCCTGTCAATCCGAGAAGGAACAACTCGAATACATCAAGAATGCGATCCTCCCGCTACTACCTTACCCCACCTATATGATTCTGCGAGCTACCCTCCGTCTTCTGCATCAGGTGCAGCTTCACGCATCTGAAAACCTCATGACAGCGAGCAACCTTACCATCGTTTGGTCTCCAAACCTTGTTAAAAGCGATAACCCCCTTGCGGACTTTAATATCTGCGGAATGGGAGCTCAGGGGGGTGGAGGGGGAACCATGCTGAAGCTGTGCATTGAGCGTTTTGTAGAGGTATTCGAGGGGGAGGAGCCTTGGGAGGTCGTTACGGGTACACAATCGGAGGGGACTGAGGATGATGGTGTGGCATCAGTCGTAAACACGCTGCAGAATTCACAGGTGTCAATTAGTGGTGACGGAGGTGAGAAGAGGTCGGAATAGCGTTTTGGGGTAGGCGTAAGCGCGGAGTTTTGCCGTTATATTGTACAGTATTACTTGCATGTCACTTATTTTGAAGGTTCTAGCCAAATTACACAGACATTTTCTGTCCACCTGCACGAATGCTCTCATGAATGTCTGGGGACATGCTGCAATATCACTTTGAACCTAGAGAACATTTTCACGAAGCCTTGGATTTGGAGATCTGATATCGTGTTTATAGTGTAGAGGTGACAGAAACTGGCACTAGCTACTACACCAGGGAATAAACCGGCGACAACCGGTTCGGAAAAGCTAACTAAGCTACTACTAGGCAATTATACATGCAATATGTAACGGTTGGTTCTAACTGGATAATTGCCCACCACCACACACGGTCCCTACTAGGCCTTGATCTGGAACTCTTGATGGCATTGAAGCCAGACTCTTGCATCCAGGAGCAAATTGACTGGGCAGCGTCACAAGCCAGAGGATGTTCAGTGACAAGGCTTGGAGACTAAAAAAAACTGCATGTCAGCAAGATGAATGACAGAATGAAAAGAAAAATGCCATTGGTACATACCAACCAAGCTCAACAAATGTAGCAGTATAATAGCAGCTTTGTTGGTTCCGAGTGGTTGCTGCTGGTTCCAGTTGGTTGTAGTCAGGAGGGCGAGTTCCTCGGCACCACCACATCTGCATTCTCATGATTGACCAAGTCGTGATGAGAGTTGCAATGTGGGTCGCGATGAGCGTTGCGCAGATGGTTTGAGAGTCAGGGAACTGGTGAGGAAGGGGAGAGAGAGCAAAGGCTCCCCTTTTATAGACCTTTGGCAGGCGCCTCACCGCAGTTTTCTTAAAAAAAAAACATTACATGCATGCCACACCGCTGCATGCCACACCAATCTGAGCGATAGAGGGGGTTCTGATATGCGATATGATTAACCGGATTAATCCGGATAATAATGGGTCCTAGTGCCATTTTCAATCACCTCCACACTATGTCTTTTGGTGTTCGCCTCGCTAGTCGTTGGCTGGGAAGAAACTGAATTCATTTTTCGATGGAATATATGCCATCAACACCTCAATACACCAGAAAAGAGGATAAAACGGGTAAGATAGAGGGAAATCTGGAGCGGGCGACTACTAGAGTACAGATAACAGGACCAACGAACTCTCCCAGAACTGGTAGATGTCATTATTCTTCCTTTTCTACTAGTGCGCCAGGGAGGAAACCGACAAAAATAATGTGCCTTGTGTGATTGGGAACGGCCGCCTGTGCATATTCTTGAGAAAGGAGGCCTTCCACCTATTGGAGATACGAAAGCTGTCACCATACACAGACGTATTGTCTCGCACCTCACTTAAACCAGTCCGATCTATCCTGAAGGATTGGTCGTCCGCGTAATTTGTGGCTTGGGGCAGGCTTAGAGTGGCTGATGCCCGTTTTCGGACGACCTGCTGCGGGATACTGAATTGAATTGCAATTTATCACACCATTCAGTTATGACAACGGTGGATTGGAACTCCCTCACGGTGGTTAAGCTCAAAGAGGAGCTAAAGAAACGGAATCTATCCACGAATGGACTCAAAAAGGATCTCGTCCAGCGGCTGGAGGAGTATGATGAGGCCGGTGGATCTGGTTCAGCTGAGGGTGATGGTGATAACGAAGCCGCTGCTGCTGCTGACTTACCTGAGACACCTGCAAAGGGCGGGAAGGAGCGTCGGAAGTCAACTCGTGTGGGACGGAAAGGAAGTGAAGTCCAAGAGGACAAGGACAACGGGGAGAATGGGGAACAGAATAATGGAGAGTTGTCATCCTCGGAGGATCGCACTAGACACGATGCTCCAGATGTAGAAAGCGAAGTGAAGGAGAATGAGAATGCAAATGACATAGCTATGGACGACGCTAAGAATGAGACAAAAGCAGAGCAGGACCCCTCACTTTCGAGCGCCAAGCGCAAGAGTCCTTCGGACTCAGAAGAGCCCAAAGTAGCAAAGAAAACCAAGACGGAGGAGGTCAATTTGACGGATGGGCTTGAGAACAAGGCGCCAGAGAATGAGGCGTCTCATGTGAACCAGAAGAGTGATATCAAAAGCGAACAGAAAAGAGATGTTGAAATCCAAGGTGAAGAAAAGCTAGTTGGGGAGAAACCGTCATCACCGACCAAGAAAAGAAATGATGCGGTCAAGGACCAACAATCAGATCCTTCCACATCATCTCCGCAATCCGGTGCGTGTTAAGATTACAAGGATGGCTACCCGTACTAGTAGTTATATCATTGACCCTGTATGCTATGTTCAGAAGCAAAGGAAATGACTTCTGCTGATAAAGCGGCGGCTCCTGTGTCCACTGCCAATGGTGTTAACGAGAAGCATGCCGATCCTGAGAGTGGAACAACTGAGAATGGTAAGGCGTCACACAATGACATATCCGTCTTTCGCTGCCGTTGAAAATCTGAATGCAGATGAATCATCTACCGAGAAAGAATCGTTGCAGCCCTCTTCTACTTTGGTGATTCGGAACTTTATCAGGCCACTCACTGTCCAGCAGGTGAAGGAGCTATTGGCCAGTTATGGGAAAGTTGAAAACTTTTGGATGGATAAAATCAAAACTCATTGTTATGTTACGGTACGTTACGTCAACAGTGAGCAGCTGTCATTGCTGCATAAATCGCTCACCTTGTCCATATGGTAGTACGAAAATACAAATCAAGCCGCGGAGGCCTTTGCCGGTTGCGATAATTTAAAATTCCCTCCTGACACCGGGAAGAACCTGACGGTCGAGTACATGACAGAGGAAGCTGCCACCGCCGCCATTGCAGAAGAGGAGAACGCCCAACGACGAAACAGTGATACCAACAATCCTCCTGGTCGGTTTGCTGCAGCCCACAACCCCCTCCACCGTTTGGCGCCACCGCCGGCTCGCATTGAGCGACCGCCTTTCAATCCGCCGCCGCCACCCCCGGCCTATAACCCCCCGCCTTTGCGCCGCGATGCACGTCCTAACGACGCCATGTTCAGGAAAACCAAAACGCAGCCTTCCATCTATTACCGTCCTCATTCCGAGGACGAAGTACGTGCCAAAAGGCGAAGACTGGAGGATGATGTCTCACGGGATAGACGTGAGCCTCGAAGGAGGAGCAGAGAGCGCAGTAGGAGCCGAGAAAGGAGGAGTTACGGTCGCGGACGGTATTGAGGACATAGGGCAGATGATCCGCAATCACAGCTCTATCGGCCTCTCATGGTGTTAAACCCGCTGGTCTGGCCGGCTTGTATATATCATGATCTTAGGATTGTCTAGGGTGTAGTTCACGCTAAGAGATACCAGAAGAGTATCATTAACGTTCTGGTTGGGTCGCAATGGACAATAGATGTTCTGAAACTCTGCATTGTCTTTACTTTGGACAAGATAGTTCTCCGTCTTTCAAGGTGCCGCTTTACATGGGCGCCTTTCTGCATAAAACGGCAATTTTAGATCCAATAGCTTGTCAGAATTTCAATATATGCACAAATTTTCCAGAAAGCAATAAAGCCAATAATAATATACAAACGAAGAAGACAGCCATTTCTCCCAACCCATAGATATACATGTCAAAAAAAGGAAAAATAATATAAACTAAAGAAAGAGCAAGGAAAGACAAACTCCAACCAATAGAGGCCTCATTCGGCAAACTCCCACAGCTCACAGTCCATGCAGTCTGGTTCAGGAACGCATTCTGGAACATCTTCCGCATCCTCCAAGAACAGTCGTATCACATTGTTGATCTTGATTGTAATACAAATGTGAGTGAATATATTCATATCTGATCCGGATTTTGGCGAACAAAAATACCTGATGATATCTGATATTTTTCACCGCCGATGCATTCACGACGTTGGAGGATATCTCCAACGACATCCCACCGTCGGTTGCGTAAGGGAATAAGGCGTTCGTCCTCCCATGCTGATTATCCACATTTGTCACCCATTTTCCAAACGTCTTCAAATCCATTCCTTTTTTTAGGCGAACTTCATCGGGATCATATACGCAGCTCTTGCCGAGATGGCATTTAGTTTCCATCGCAAACCGGGCAATCCAGCAAGACGTAAAGGGTCCGTGACATGTTCCCGTAAAGACTGGGTCGCCGAGATTACCAAAATGGTAGATGGGTGTGTCCGGCACTGGATTGGGAGCCGGTGGAACTAGCCCTAAACGACGGGCAAATGAGAGATCACCGGGGGATTCATACGAGAACGCTGGCACGTTATTAGTGAGCGCGACGAGAGACGCAAGGGCACCTCCCAAAGAATGCCCTGTTAGGTAAATAGTGTGATCAGGATATAGTTCACGGACTGTCAGGTACATTTCTTGAGCGAGGAGGTAATATGAATCGGGATAATGGGAGGCTTTGCTCAGACATTTTTGCGAACACGTCCGGCCCGCTTCACCGCAACAGTCACATATAGGCCTCCAGGTCGGGCCGGCTTTGCCGCAGCAGCATGAAAACATCATGTTATCCTAAACAAGTGTCTAGATGAGACATGGATGGCCGGCGACGAATATGTCCAATTGTCCTTACATTGTACTTGTCCTTGGCAGATGTTTCGCCGCCAATGCCAAAAAGACTGGCGGACGTGCCTTTATAGGCCAGAACCAAATGATCTTGATCATCTGTGAAGACATATGCTCGTATGCCATCGTTCTCCCATCCATAACCGACCGTCTAACCAAGAAGACTTAACAAATGCCATTATCGGTAATGGCAGATCACTCTGTACGTACGGCGTTCCAATGACCAACATCTTTCCATTGCTCGTCGTCAGGAGTTAAATATGCATTCGAACACATTTTCGCAAAACTCAGCACCGTTGCCGGATCGGTGTAATCAGGGACCTTGACGACAGTGCTCCGTTTCGCTTCCATTGTAATCTGGAAGTAGGCAGCGTGGGAAGAACACCCAACAACAGAGAAAAACTACTAGTTGCGCTCAATTACCTGGGCTCCCGCCCTAGCGCCCTGTACAGCCAAGGAATCTTTCCTGTCATTGGCACGTTTATCCCGGGTCTCCAAAATAGTTTCTCGATGCTGAACTTGGTGTACAAAGGTCTGTCCAGTCAACAGCTCCTGCAGCCATAGATCGGCCTCATTATCAATATCCAGCCGCTTGAAGAGATCTGGGTAGCGACTAGTCCCCCGGTGGAAGATATGCGATAGTTTCAAGCGGGTGGCCTTTGAATTTGTGGCAAACGTGGTTTCAAAGAGAGCACAGACGAGGAGAGCTAGGACGAAAATAAAAAGTACAGCAGGTCGACGTGGTAGCATGAGGGTCTCGCTGATTCAACTTGCAAAGTAGAAGTGCATAATCGAGAAAAACTCAGTTCCGCAGTCGGCGATAAGAATTGCGAGCACGTTTTGCAAAACAACGACCTTCCTGCTGACATGTTCGCATGACGTCCGATTGTGGCGTGAGTGTGGCGAGGACAGCGCGTGGCTGACCATGGCGCAGCTTCACGCGTTCTGACAGTTTTCACAAAATTATACGTTTGCTGTGGACTTTTCCCCCCGTTTCCTTCCGCACACCCATCCCCTTTCTCCTTCTGAACCTGGTCAACGATCGCAACCTACTCTAAAGATATATCACAATAATGAAGCCTTTGGCGCTATCGCTCTTCCATCCTCTCTTCACCAACACCTCTCTCGACTTGCTCGGACTTCATCCGGACGAGTTCAAGTTTGAGAACGCGCCATTGTCAACGCGTTCTGAAGTGGGTATGTTGTCGCCGTCAGATCTGCTCTTTCTGATCGTGTCCACCGTCTCACGAACAGTTGCGCAGCAAAATGGTTTCTCGTGTACTTGACAGTGGTGCTGGGCGGCCAAGCCTTTATGCGCAGATTCGTAAAGGAGCCGATTGCCGTTAAGCCCCTTTTCTTCCTCCATAACGCCTTCCTGTCTGCGTCATCCCTGGCATTGCTCGTTCTTTTCCTCGAGATTATTGTCCCTAACATTTGGAATCACGGTTTGCTCTGGGCTGTCTGCCATGAGAAGGTTAGTTTATCAACGGCAAGTCTCACTGTTGGTCTCTCCCTAACCATCATGATTAATAGTCATACAGTCCGCGCATGGAGCTCTTATACTATATCAATTACTTGATCAAGTACTATGAGTTCATTGATACTATATTCCTTGTGGTGAAGAAGAAAAAGCTGGGTAGGTGAATCAGATTAGCGATGAATGCCTGTGTATACTGCATGCTCATCAACGATGTAGAATTTCTACACGTATATCATCACTCAATGGTAAGCATGCACGCTTTGATCACCCTTTGATCAAAGCAATATGATGTAATCATGCCTATGTGTCCACAGACAATGGCTCTGTGCTTCTTCGAATTGGAAGGTCGGCCATCCGTAGCTTGGGTTCCTGTTACATTGAACTTGTTTGTACACGTTATCATGTACTACGTAGGTTACCTTGCTGCGCTGCACCTGTGCTTACGTGTCCGGCTGACTGAGAGTTGATTTTCAGTATTACGCGCGAACTGCCGTCTCCTCAAAACCCATCTGGTGGAAAAAGTACCTGACTACGTAAGTTGATGACCGCGCCGCGCATGTGGGATTGCCAAGTACACATTTAGTGACTTCATCCAAATTAGCCTTCAAATTGTTCAATTTATCATTGACCTATTTGCTATCTACACGGCCACCTATATCTACCTCTCATCGGACCCACTTGCTGGTGTTCTTCCGAACTTTGGTCTCGGCAAATGCTCCGGAACTCCCGTGGCCGCTGGTGTTGGCTGCTTTATCTTGACCAGCTACCTTGGCTTGTTCATCCAATTCTTTTTCAAGACATACAGTGGACGAAAGGGTGGCAAAGGCGGAAAGGTCGGCAAGGTTGCAGATGACACCGTTGAGCGGTTCGAAAAGGAGATTGGCCAGGAAAAGGTGCTGAGTGCTGTAAGGAAAGAGGGATCTACGCGAAGACGGTTGAAGAGAGTGGATTAGACGGCGAAATGTGCATAAATAGTCTTAGTCTTGATCAGGATTGTTGCGGACGATTGAATTAATGGTCGTACCAAGGTTTGGTGATGAGATATAATAGCTCCGTAGTAGATTATAAACGTCGTTTGGCTGGTAACCCCTGACTTTGCTGCGGAAGGCATTAGCATACTGGACAGGTGATTCTTCATTTCGAAGAACTTACGAGGTCAGTTTTTATAAGACATTGCAACTCGATGCGAGGTAAGCTAGCAGCAAGCCCCCATTCGCCGTTTCAGGCGTCATTAGGATTTTTATCCCCCAAAAAAACTATAACAGTTTTAACCAGTCGAAGTTGTTCGTAAATGAGCCCTGACAGTGATTCCTAACCACGTTCAAAATTCATAATATTATTCTCCCACGAGTTTGATAGAAGGTAAAGCTACAAAATAAGCGATGTCCACAGACTGTAAATCTATTGTGGAATTTGTTCATTGGTAGCTCCATCCTCGATAACCAAGTCCACTGCTACCCCGAAATGATCGCTCAAGAAACTGAACGGTTGATCCTTGACCTCAAATTTCTCCACTCTTACATTCTCAAAGTTAATATCTTTTTGAGAGTCCGTCAGTAGCGTTCCATCCTCTCCCGCCGGTCGGAACGTGAGAACAAAGTCAATACACTTCCGGTCAGGCTCGGGTCTTCCAGGGCCGACCCTTAGCCTACTCGTAGTGATCGGATGCTCCTTCAGGATCTCATAGCAAACATTGCCAACATCATATCGCACGCATTTAGCTCCGGAGGTACTATCAGGATCGGCGGTGGCACCTGAATAGATACCCAACATTTTCAGATACTCCGCACCATGTCCAATGCCATCCTCAGGTCCAGCCCTCGCATCAACGTTCATATCACCCACAAACAGGACAGGCTCAGAAGGCTTCCGCTGGTTCTTCTCCAGCATGTTGTCTATGAAGCGTTTGGCTTCAATGTATTGTCGGTGACGGAGTTCGATGGCGCGCGGCGAGTCGGTAGATTGAAAATGCGTCGCAAAAAGATGTAGGTGCCTATCAGGTGCCGCTTGTATCTTTGCATACAATACGCCCTTAGCCGCCAACCAATCCCCAATTTCTGTTCCGCGTACGAAGGTCCATTCATCGACACTGACAATTGGTATACGGCTCAGAATAATTAACCCAGCATCGACGCGGAGCTTCCAAATACTCTGTTTCTTGCCCGCTGCAACGTATTTAAGACCGTGCTTTTGGGCGAGGGATATAAGCTCATTACGCCGGCTGGAAAGGGATGCGAAAGTTTCCTGAAGCGCGATGATGTCATAATTCTGGAATTGGGTTTCAGCAAACAGACGTAAACGCTCAAACTTCCAGTCGCCTTTCGAGCCCTTCTCAGATACACCGGGAGGGCGCAGAAAGAAGTTTAATGTTAACAAGCGGAGACGGGTCATTATAGTTGCTGTACTGGAAAGATCACGGCGAACGAACGCGAAGGCTGCTGAGACGACATCATGATCACGTGAAACCAGTGCAGGAGCTGCTGTGCCGATGAACGATGATTATGGAAAATACTGTAAATATTACGGATCTCCGAACTTTTTTATTATCGGTGTCCAGTCAATAAACTCTCTTTTGTACTCTGTAGTCCAGGCATTTCGAGACATTTTCAGTTTTGCCAGGTAGCGCCTGAGCGCTAGGAGTGTTTGCTCGTCTGGAATACTGCTGCGAGGATGCACTGAAGTGTTGTATGTTGCTGGCGTTGATGACAGGGTCTGCTGAAGAAAGACCTTCTTGATGTATTAGAATTAACTCCAACTGAACAAATCACTTCATTCGAGCTACATACCTTCCCAGGGGCTTCTTCACTTATTCTTCCATCCACATGTCCAGTTGCAGCTCCATTTTGACCTACAACAGTTTCAGGAGCATGGTTGTTCTTGCTTCCTGAACCATCCGTCAATCGTTCAATCCCTTCTCCTCCAGTTTTCGGAGGGCTTTCGACTCTGACATTTTCCTGGATGGCAACAGTCTTCTGGATAGGCTTTGTAGCATTCAGATTAATTGGAACAATGTCTGGATCCGGAACTTGAACTGCGTCGTCATGTGTGAGAGGTAGCAGAGGAAGCTTCCAAGTGAATTGCCGCTGTTCATTCCACCGCCAGAACCGCGTCAGCCGGGCCCGACAAGAGGAACGAGGTGCTATCCGCGTACCTGATACTCTGTTGTCCACGGGTCTGCTGCTTTCCTCAGTATCCCATGTACATATCTTGTACGGGCGTCCACCTCGTAGGGGGGCATCTGGATGAATTATCGTGAGCAAAGCTTGACACAGCAGAGCAAGCAGGTTCAGGTAAGCAGCTGACCGCGACTAAGCCACTTCCTCGGTACTTGCCACGTCGGTTGTTTGAGCCAGTTTTGGAGTGTCATTGATGGTGTTTTGCCCCTTGTCAAACCCTTGAAGGCCGCCAGCCCTTTTCTGAGAACAAGTCCCAGGTCGAGATGAGGTTCGCCATTTTTGGCTGCCTGAGCACAGCTCTTACGATCGCCGTTGTTGCAAACGCCTGGGCGCAACGAGGACAATTCTTCACAGCATGTATTCATCTGACTCGCTCTAGCGCGAGTCTCATGGTATGTTATCAGCAGGGAAGATATGCCAAACTATTGCTAGAATCCTTTTCTCTCTAGATTCTGCTCAATATGGGCTTATACATCACCATACTCTTGGGACGGGCCTTGCAAAGACTATTTTTTGGTCAACTGCGGGCATTAGAAGTGGAGGTAGCGTCTCTGGACCGTTTGAGTATCCCGATGACACATTTGCCGACATCCTGGCCATTTCTAGCATTTGTACGAACGATCGTGGTTTGCTGTAACAGAAACGTGTCTGGCCATGACCATTTTTCGCGATGAATTCGATATTCGATTCATAATCCTATTTGGCCTCCTGCTTCTTGTGAAAATATTTCATTGGATTGTACAGGATCGAGTCGAGTTTGTATGTTTTGAAAGGTCAAGCTCGTCACGATGCAACTGCTGACCTTCACTATGGGTGGCAGATGGAGCAAGCGCCGAATCCGTCCGTTGGCTGGCACGTTCGAATGCAAACAATTACTGCCATACTTGCTGCAATCGATTTGGCGATGATCGTGTATGCTGTACAATATACGAGGACCAGAGGGCCAAGTATGATGATTATTTTTGGATTTGAAGTAAGTTGAAATCCACAGGGCCTTGTGAACGGCCTGTCCAAGTGCATACGGAGCTGACATCCTTCTGGTGTTCTAGTATACGATTCTCCTGTCGCTAGTTTTGTCAACGTTTGTAAAGTATTTACTGCATTCTTATGACCTGCGAAGAGATCGACCTTGGGAAGAAAAATCTATGTACATCTTTTATGTGGATCTTATGCATGGTGCGCTCGAACTCGGTGTTTTTCGCAAATTTCACGTAATTGATATCAGTATGTTCCTCAAGATTTCGAGAAACTTGTCACCTACTTCTGCTTTTTCGGCATCGTCGTATATTACTATAGCCTGCCACTCCACATTGTCCGAGATCTCTATATGACCCTCCGAAGTTTCATCCATCGATGTCGAGATCTCATTCAATACCGACGAGCAACTGCAAACATGAATGAACGATATCCAGATGCGACTCCGGAAGAGCTATCAGCAACGGATAGAGTTTGTATTATATGCAGAGAGGAAATGGATATCGCTGGGAATAATGTCGTACCGGCGGCCCCTGTAAATAATGGGCAACCTCGTGCTGGGGCCGGGGGGAGGGTTCCCGCTGCCGGCGGTCCCAGACCGATAGCACACCCGGACACTCCCAAGAAGCTTTATTGCGGACATATCTTCCACTTTCATTGTTTGCGGAGCTGGCTAGAGAGACAGCAAAGTTGCCCTACATGGTATGTGTCCTGTCCGCTTTGATGACCGTTAGAGTGACATCACGATTCTCACTCTTCGAACAACATAATCCTTTCAACAGCCGACGATCTGTCCTTGAGCAACGTAAGTTTTATTGCGGTTCGGGCAGCAGAGAACGTCATCAATACCGCGTTGCTCACCCTGTTCCTATTCAGCGTCAGCAGCGGCAGCTCAACAGGCAGCTGGACGTCCGCCAGCGGGTGGTGCACCGGGTAATGCTGTCAATGATTTCCAAGCATTCTGGCAGCAACATCAGCAACTTTTTGCGGGTGGGGTATTGCATGCGGCCCCAGGGGTGAATACACCGGGCCCGTCAGTACAGCCCCAGGCGAATGGAGGAGCAACAGCAGCTAATCCAATTCGCACATTAATGGGAGAACCAGTGAGTAATCGTTCAAGTATTGCTAATGGATGGATTGCTAATGTCTTCCTGCAGCAAAATCTCCCAACATCGAGTATACCGGACGGCATGATGTTCCCTATCACTCTCACACCACTTATACCATTGACAGGTGCTCATAGTGGCCAACCTCAAAGTACGTTGTCAAGTGTCGACCAAACCTTTGGACCGTCGTTAATGTCTTCATCTACAGCTATTCCGCCAGTCTTGGACCATCTTTCCGACGAACAGCTTCAATCCATGGAGGGACGATCACGAGAGGCAATGATGGAGCGAATCCGGGCCTTGCAGAACATACAGCATCAGCTAACTGGTGTAATAACCCAGTTGATGCAAATTTCACAGATAATCCCACCGCCATCTGCCACCCCTGGCGCGGAATCTGGTAGTGGAATTGGTACATCTAGATCTGGTGATAGTGATGGAGCCGGCGTCAATGCGGGTGCCGGGTCGTCATCATCTTCGTCGGCGGCAAGAGACGAAACGGTTGATAAGAAAGGAAAGGGTGTCGCACAAGAAAGTTAACCGATCGCCATCCCCTCACTCCAGCAGAAGCAAAAATCTATTGCGATGAAGGAAAGTGCGTTCACAAGGGCCAAATGGCGTGAATGTGAATATGCCAAGATAGCACGTCTATTATCAAAATGTGACTGTACATCTCTGACCGTGCCTTTTGCAATGTAAACTGTATCAATAGGAACAGCCCTTCGACATCATCGGCCGTATCCGATCCAAACTTTGATACCTGTAACACCCTTCTTGTGAACATAAAGCGATCTTGCAAAATCCACATAGGCTCCACCAACATTCCCAGTTCCCAACTTTCCATACGCAAATCTCTGCGTGGAGGACCGTGTCCCTCTACGGCCTGTCACTTCAATCCTAAAACCCGTTATTTTTCCAATAGGAGATTGAGCATCGAGAGTTGGTGACGGGAGGTGAATGTGGCGGGTAATAATGTTGGGCAGGGGGATATCGGTACGGAATGTTTGCTGTTGCTCCTGTGGTGTCTGGTTTCCTGTCACCGAAGTAGATTTTGGTGGCAAGCCCGAGGCTGCATATTCCGCTGATTTGTTAGCGAGAGGAATGTGGTGCAACTGGGTCGAAGAAGGATCTTGGAAAGGGCTCTTGACGTATCTGTGGTAATTGTAAAGTTTCGGTGCTCGCCCCTGAGATCCACAGAGTGTTTAACCTTTGGTTGAGAGCATTTGGAGTAAAGACCTTTCACATACCTTTGGAGCGTGTGCACTCACTTTTGCAAACTCTTGCATGACGTCCTTGTACACTCGTGTTGTTGTCATTGCGAAAGTTGAGGTGGACGAAAAGGATTGGAATCGTCTGAACTTTGGAAGACGGCAAAGCACAACAACCAAAAATTCCCAATAAAACTGTGCCGCAGGAACAGGTCCCAGTGGTTACTATCCCGCGCCCCCGCGTCCAAGATCACCATTCATCGGCCAGCAGAATAAAGATGCGGGCACTCTTCTGCTACCTTACAGCACTGGTAGCACTAGTAGCTGGATCAGGAGCATGGGGAAAGCCAGTGGGAGGTGCGCGAACCTTGGTAGTCTTGGAAAAACTTGAGGACAAGACTGAGTATGGGACTTTTTTGAAGAGCTTGGAGGGTGAGGGAGTTGATGTTGTCCAATCAAGCCAACAGAGGCACTAACTGCAAAGCCGATCTCTTTACAGAGAGGGGTCACAACTTGAGCTTCAAGACTGCGTCTGAAGATGATTTCGGGCTGGTAGCGTACGAGGAGAGGAAATTTGATCACTTCCTTGTTCTTGCACCTGCTATTGCAAGTAAGTCAAGCTCTTCCCAAAACTGCATTCTAATATCCTGGTGAGCTCATAATGTCATACAGCGTTTGGAGGCCAGCAGGGAGTTGGAAACGTGCTTGATTTTATCGACAAAGGGGGAAACGTCCTTGTTGCAACGTCTTCAGACATATCGGATGCCATCCGAGACTTGACATACGAGTTCTCCGCCGATTTTGATGAAGCGGGATCAGCGGTCATTGACCACTTTCATGCCGTCAATGACGATCACACACTCATCGCAGCGTCAGATTTCATCGGGAACGACGTTGCAGTGCCACCTGCTGTAAAGCAGGGACCACCAGTCTTGTTCCGAGGCGTTGCGCATCGACTGACGGGAAAGAATCCTCTTGCGGAACCTCTCTTGATCGGTGCACCTACCGCTTATTCGTACGAAGCAAATGATCAAAATCCAGTCGAAGTAAACTTGATTGTTGGAAAGGAAGTTGTACTCGTGTCATCGTTGCAGGCCAGAAATAACGCTAGGGTCGTGTTTGCGGGAAGTGTAGATATGTTTTCTGACAAGTAGGTCACCATGAAAAGGCAGTTGGTCAACATATGTGCTGACGCAACCTATTTTACAGACTGATTGATGCTCCAGTGAAATCCGGCGACAAACAGTATGTCTTTTTTCGCTAAAAGCACGGTTGTAAGGAATGCGCTAAAATGATTTGATGTCCTAAGGCATCAGAAATCTGGCAATCTGCCGTTTATTACTGCGTTGAGCAAATGGGTTTTCCAGGAAAGTGGTGTTCTGAACGTCAACAGTAAGAAGCACCATCGTGAAAACGAAACCGCCCAACATGGCATCTACCGCATCAAGGATGACATGGTATGTCACTCTTCACGTTCTCGATATATGACGAATTCGCTCATATTGGCTTGCCCTTGGTCCAGGTTTTCGAAATTAGTATTTCCGAATGGCGGGACGATAAATGGCATCCGTTTACTCCTACGGACATGCAATTTGAAGCTGTAATGCTGGATCCCTACATTCGGACAAACTTGGTCCCACAACAATCGGGAACACTTACAGCGCATTTCAAGCTCCCCGATCACTATGGCGTTTTTACTTTCAAAGTGGACTATAAGCGTCATGGGTACTCGTTCATTCACGAGGCGGAGACGGTGCAGATCCGGCCTTTTAGACATGATCAGTATCCGCGATTTTTGAGTCCGGCGTGGCCGTATTACGTGAATGTATTTAGTTTGATGGTGGCGTTTGTTCTATTCTCTGGGGTCTTCTTGTGGAATAGGGATGTTGGGAGTAAGGTGAAAGTAAAGACAACCTAAGGCATGCGTGATGGCGGGTTGCTGTGGGAATTATCCGTTGTGAATAGATGTTTGTCGCCTTTGGATACAGCAATTACTTTTCTTATCATTTTTTTGGGGAAACAGTAAATCCAAACTTTTCCAAGCTATTGCTGGCCCGTTTACTACCCTTCTCCTGATCCTGTGTTGTCTTCCCCTGATCAAACCCCATGCATTGGAGTAACTCGTCAAATTCCATCTCCCCGACGCTTCCCCCTGTCGCCTGCGCATGCCCTCTAGCAAATTCATCGCCCATTCTCTTTCTCAGCCCAGATTTAAGAGAAGAAAATTCTTCAAGGGTGGAGATGAGATCTATATGCTTGGCGCTAGAGGATCTGGATGCAATGCGGCATGCGAAATTTACGCGACCCGGAATGTAGCCTGCATTTGCGACCATGACGAATAGAAGTTTTGATGATTTGAGGCTATTTGACTAAATAAAAAGCGTTTGTGAGAGGTATATGGAAAGGCAGAAGCACTTGGCCCGTACCCATCTGGAAGCGATCACTGGATGAACTTGAGCAGCTGAAGTGATACGGATAAGAGCAATTTTCCCTGTTTGTAAAGCGCAAATTGAGGTTAGCGAAGCACTCAGTTAATATGAACAGGAGTCCGTATATACCGTCTGGTGAGAATTTTGGTGGAATTCGGGCGCATCTTTGAATCTCAGCATTGATTTCAGCCCGACATGCGGTCAGCGTCTCCAGTTCGGAACTCTGCCCAGACGTAATATCCGATGGAACTTGAGCCTTTATCAGTGCATTCCAAGATGGTCTAGGGTCACTTGATGACGTCCGTCGTGCTAGAATGAGAGAACTTAGGGGGACTCGATGACGATAATAAGACTCTCAGTTCCCACGCACGAGCATTGAGGAGAGCAACCAGCTCCCCTATTGTTTTCGATGTCAATTGGCTCCGTACGACTGAGGGTAGATCTGGAAAAGGTGGAACCCATTTATGTGACCGGCCGAGATCTCCTGCCGTGCCCAAGACTGCCAGCCAGGCGAGTGTGCTTTGAACCGAAGGATGAAGAGGTTCACAACAAATGTACGCAAGAAGACTAGCAGTTGCAACCGGCTCATGCCCGTAAGCGCTCAGAATCTAATATTTATGAATCATGACGCCTTGGAATTCAACAGACATTTATTCGTTGCCTTTTTTACCTGTGCATGTTCAGGAAACTCCACACTTTGATGGTGGTCTATTATAAGCGTATTCGTGTCCTTGTCGACAATCGGCCCAGCCTTTCGACTTCCCTGATCAACCACTACAATAGCCCTAGCATGAACGGATTGCATGTTTTCCCGCTCATCATCTCTGTGAATGTTGGAGCCTTTGCCAACGAAATGAACTTTGATATCAGACTCTGGTACGCCCAAGAGCAAGAGTGTACGGTATATGATGGCCCCTCCGCAAAGCCCGTCGACATCTTTATCTGGAACGATGAGAATGGGTTTGGATTGTGGATCTGGTTGGGTGAGGGACTGGAGAAAGGTGCGTGCACTGCGTAGAGATGCAGGATCCGCTGGCCAATTTCGGTTATGAGGAGTGCGTACATCCTCATCTATAGTTTCACTTATGTTAGAAGTACAATGCGGTGAAGAATTGGGGTACTCATGCAAGAGTTATACCAGATTCGTGTAAGGCTGTATTACGTTTTCGTTTACCTCCCATTTTAAGTGAGTGCAACGTGTTAAGAAATTAATTGGCAGGATATGACGGTTATCCAGAACACAGGGGAGTAAACTCAATATTATGTTTGTAAATGGGACTGCTCTTTTATGGGTTTATGGTGAGGTTCAAAGTCAATGCGGATGAACAAGTCGATCGGGAGCGATCGCTGACGTGATTGTAAATACACGTGACCCAAGCGAAAGATAATGCTTTTGAAGTAAACTGTTCAGCAACAAGCCTACATGTGGTATGAGCAACAATAACGATGAGGAATTGGTGCACAGAGACTCATAGCCTCCATCTGCGTAGAGTTGTAATTGTCTCGCATATGGGAGCTGTATATGATATCCTGCATACCTCATGCCTGATTCAGATGAGATATGGCAGAATATGAGGACTAAAAGCAGCGTGTAAAAAGTCTGTAACGGCACATATGGCGACAGGTGAACTTTTTGAGCTTGGGTAACTGAGTTGAGCCCAACGCCAAACCAACACTCTGCTCAAATACTCCAATGCCCGTCCTCAATCCATTGGTCACGTGGGAGTCAGGGCAATTGATCGTCGAGCTCTCAGCAGGTCCCTCACGATCAGAGTAATTCTGCAATGGCTGCTCCAAAACGCAAGCGGGATGATGACGCTTCCAGAAGGGAGGATCGTCTTCCTCATATTCAGGCCATAACGAGCGTCTGCAAGCAAATCCGCGAAGAGGTCGGACAAGATGCCAAACGCCGTCGGACTCCCACAACGGTGGACAAGGTCTGTGGAGCATGTCCCTCGTGTCCATCCATATCTTGCCTTCGAATAACGATTTTATTGTTGACAGCCTATCACGGAGCATCCTTCTCTATCTATACGAACGTCTGTGCAGTTCATGGAGTTGCTTCAGCTCCAAAGGGCTGCTTACAGTCACACAATAGCAAGGAAGCAAGCAACACAGGAAGCAAAACATAGCATGGACCGGGTGCATTTGGATTTACAGAATATCAACTACGAAATACGTCACTTGGAAAAAGAGATTGCAGAGTGCGAAGAGCTTGAGTGAGTATCCACAATTTCACGAGGTTGATTGGCTGGGGGAAGCGCTGACTCAAAACCTCCTTCAGGACCGAATATCAAAAGATCAAGCTTATTCCTGAACCTGAGTATTACGCAATTGCCATGGAGAAAGGAGTAAATGTTGAAGACCCACATGAGTTAATGCTAAGTCGGCTCAATCACGAATTGGACGAGCGTACGAGACTGGTACAAGAGGAGAAGGAATTGGCCAAGGAGTTGGAGGAGGTACTGGAGGAAAACCAAAAGGAATTGATAGATTTGGAGAAATTGGACAAGGAGCTGAGCGACAGTTTGAAGGTGCCAGGACACTGTTTGCGAGAAATGATTTGGGTAGGAGCAGGTGCTAATGCTAGGGTGCCAATTCTCAGGCTACTCTTCCTCTGCAAACTCGCTTGGGCATCACGAACAGTGAGAGACGAGAGGCAGCCGAGTTGGCAAAATTGCTTCCAACTGCCCTCTATGTGCTATATAAACACGCCGTAGGCTATTCGGAGACTTTCGGTATGTTAACTTAACTCATGAGCGCAGAATTTCGCAACTGCGAACGACTCATCTGCCATTTCTTAGAAAATAATCTTACTGTTGAGATCTCCGGAGACACAGAACTGGCTGCGGTCCTCATAGGGGAACCCGCTGAGTCTGATCGGTCTCTGCAGCCGGAATCAGCTCATCAACGGTCACCGTCAGAAGAAGAAATGGAAGGGGAACAGGAGCCAAGTGGTGAACAGAAGGAGAGTGTAGGCCACCTCGACCGTTCAAAAACGTACTATAGGCGACATCCGTTGAGCGTATGTCTGACTGTCACTGAAACAGGTATGTGAAGCTCACCTGGTCTATCGCCGCGAGTGAAGCCTCATCTGGTTTCTTTCCTCAGACACTGCCGGGGCACCGCAGATTGTAAAGCTTTCCTTTTCCTACCTTACCACCCTCAAGATTGTCGTCGTTTCTTCGGAATTCGTTCAACCCGTTGACTATATCCCGGCGGGGCTCATATGTACCAACCTGTTTCCCGGTGACGTAGGCAATGAATCACCCAATCCCGCCAATGCCTTTTTGGGGAGCGAGTAAGTAGTCTTGTGAACCACATGCGTTGTTTCAAGTGTGCTAATCGACCCCGTCTATCAATGCCAGCTCAAGCCCATTCCGCTTTGATACAACCGCCGCAAATGGCAACGCCTACACATGGGCCCAGTCCATCTGTGGCATAGAGTTTCCGTCGCATTTAGGAAACTATAGGCTGTATCTGACCAAATTGCCAAGTCTGCTACGCAATCGCGTAAGGTCTTTGAAAGGACTGGCCAAGCAGGTGGCCGATGTTGCTGCAGCAAAGAAGGGGACAGTATCAGGGTGGAAGCTGATCGAGGTAAAGTTTTGCGCAACTGTATCATTGTTGCGCTTTCAATGATAACCAACGACGTTTGCTGAATATAGATGGATGCATATGGTTGCGTCTACGAGGTGACAATCCAGAGTGCAGGTATGAATTGACTTGTGGATCGGGCTGGGAGCTCATTTCTGATTGCATCCTGATATCTATCAGATCTCCTCAGCAAGGCGGAGTTTACACTGCCCCCTGCTACCAATGAAGCGGACATTGGGCTGACGATCAAGCAAGAAGGAAAGCCCGAATAGATCTAATACCGTTATTTTCCTTGGTAATTGGGCTTTCAGATTTCTCTTTCAAAAAAAATTATTCAAGAAGCTTCATTTATGATGGACATGAAATGTATTTGCAAATTTAAGCCTTTCCTCCCTCCTTCTTGGAGAAGATGTACGTCAACCCACAGCGACCACAGTATTGACGATCAAAGTGCATGGCCATGAAGACACCAGCTCCGCAAGTCTCGTTGGGGCACTCACGGCGAAGACGAGTGACCTTTCCGTCGTCATCAACCTTGTAGTATTTGAGAATGGCCAACTTGACCTTCTTGTGCTTGTGTTTGATCTTCTTGGGAGTGGTGTAGGTCTTCTTCTTCCTCTTCTTGGCACCACCACGAAGACGCAAGACAAGGTGCAGAGTAGATTCCTTCTGAATATTGTAATCTGAAGAAATGGCACGTCAGCAAGACTAGCCACATCTGTAGAAACAGCGACCCACGAGCACTAACCAGAAAGGGTCCTTCCGTCCTCCAATTGCTTTCCAGCAAAGATCAATCTCTGCTGGTCCGGAGGAATTCCCTCCTTGTCCTGAATTTTGGCCTTGACATTCTCGATGGTGTCGGAGGACTCCACCTCAAGGGTGATAGTCTTACCCGTAAGGGTTTTAACAAAAATCTGCATGGCTTGATAAGGAGAAAAATGAGTTAATCACACTGAATGCTCTTTCACGCCCGTGACGAACGACAAGCACACCTGGCGTCTCTTGTTCTTTCAGTACAGATTAGCTTATTTGCAAGGAAAAAGCGTCATCACCTGTCGCCTGAAAGTGCGCAGGAAGAGCAACCGATCGCCTTACGTCGAGGAACTCCCATATAATAGCAAGCGGGAGAGAAAAAAAATACTATCACGTGATATCAAAATTGGAATGTGGGTGAAGTGTATTTAGGTCAGATCCGATATTTCAATGATCGTCATGCCGCCGTCAAGTTCAAACGCATTTGAGGTTCTGCAAGAAGAGCAAAGCTCAATAGAGGATACAGAGCAGGGTGATGAGGATGCAAAGATAGTAAGAGCCCGGGGTGACAACATAAGGGCAGCAACTGAGTTGCCAACGTCGGACGATGGCGTCAAGGTGACAAAGAAAAAAAAGAAAAAAAAGAAGCAATCAAAGGACAACGCTGATGACGAAGAGCAAGTCGCAGAACTTGTTGAAAGAATTGAAAGGTGCTGTTTGTATCTGGTATGCGCTGTTGTCACTGTATAAACATTGTACCTTGTCTTTTGCAGTGCGATCCCCGCTGCACCAACAAATCAGTGCGCCCTGCCAAAGTGCCAGGCAAAGACAGGTGTACTTGGAGTAGTTTGCGACTTTTGCAAGCGCAAGTTTTGCATGGGTAAGAAGATAAAGGAACCATCAAAGGGATTTGCTATCCTATATCTAATGGCCATTACGCACGTCAGCACATCGGCATCCAGAGAGCCATTCGTCTCGTTGTGCAGAACTCAAACAGAATGCAGAGCGTGTTACTCATCGGCGAGATGCATCACTCATCATTGAAGCCAACAAGCGCGATCCTGGTGTTGCGAACAGGGTGGGTGGCATCCAAAAGGAACGTCAGGATGCAAAAAGGAGACTGCAGGAGAGAATTGAGCGTGCAACGTTAGATAGGAAAGCAAAGGACAAAGGGAAGAAATAAGGACGCTGAACGCTTTCAGAGTAGCCTTCTTTTATCCTACGAAACTGTAGATATGATATTACGTAAGCACAATGTAGTGAGCAATCTTCCATGTTCTCGGGTCCATCTCGTTTGTCTCTTTAAACACTTGCCCCACGTGAGCGACTAGTCGGCTTTCCAACCCCCTACCCGCGATCATCGTTTTGCTGAAATTCATGTTTTAATATCGGAGAGTAATAAAACCCAACGTTACCAATAAGCACCCCCGGCGCCCTTTAATTGTATGATAGTATATGGAGATATGCCCTCTCATACATCACATCTGTACCCTCACGTGCATCCCTTTTGCATGTGCAAACGTCCCAATCCATCGGATGTGGGGTGTAGGGGGACAGAATGAAAAAGCAACAAACGGCGGGGGCGTCACGCTTCTCTCAATCCTGTTATCACTTATCTCAATAGGCAATGATAAACGCTATCTGGTTTCATTGCGGGATAGAACGGATGGAACAGCAACAAACCTCGAAAAGATAAGGATGTGATTCCAACCATATTCGAATGTACATTCCAGATAGTGCTATCTAATGGTTGGACAATCGCAGAGTCACCAGGCGGAGTTTGTCTCCCTCCATACTCGCTTCCTTGAACCTACTGCCAGCTCAACAACAAGGTTTTTCCTTGAGCTACTCTTCCAAATATGTGCGCAACACTCAAACAAGGGAGACAAGATAGGGAAATACAACAATGGTTATCTCTTTTCTAGATGGACGATGCGGCTAGGGGAGATGGTCTCACATGGGTTGAGGAAACCCAAACGAATTTGCCCGACAGGCTGAGGGTTATAAAAGGATGTAAAGGATCAACCTTCCTCAACTCCCACAGTTCAGCGACTCCTCTTGTTCTCAACACTCCCAAAATAAAAACAACTCGGCGCGGAATATTGCGAAACACACATTTTCCTTGGGCTTCATCTTACAATGTCAGCCGTGGCCGTTAAGAACGTTGATGGCGGAGACGTCTACGTCGCCGGGTCAGCCATCATCAACAATGCTACCAACTCTGGGCCTGTTCAATTCACGGAAACCGGTTACGCATCCACCGGATTTCTTCTCTGGGGTGCCGCGATGGTCTTCTTGATGACCCCCGGTTTGGGATTATTCTACTCTGGAATGTCACGGACCAAAAACTCCCTATCATTGATCATGATCAGTATGTTGGCTATGTCAGTCATCACCATTCAGGTAAGATGAAATATGCGATAGATGCATTTTCACGCGTGAGCAATCCTCTAACAGGCTGGTGATTACAGTGGTTCCTCTTTGGCTTTTCACTCGCCTTTTCAGAAACTGGTGGATCATTCATTGGAAACTTCAAGCACGGCGGATTCACAGGACTCGGTGCTGCCGCCCTCCCAATGACTGCTCCCCAAGTTCCCGGTATCCTCTTCGCTCTTTACCAGATGCAATTCGCCACAATCACCGCCGCCATCATTTTTGGCTCCATTGCCGAACGTATTCGTATGGTACCCGCTATGATCTTCATTTTCCTATGGAGTACTATCGTCTACGACCCCGCAGCCTACTGGACATGGTCTGCTCGCGGATGGATAAAGTCTGTCTCCTGCGTTAACACCATCCTTTCTGAACTTCCCTGTGGAATTGGCGGTCTTGACTTTGCTGGAGGAGGCCCTGTTCACATTGCCTCTGGATTCGCTGGCCTCGCTTACTGTCTCGTGTTGGGCAAGCGTCGTCGCGTTGGGGAGGAAGAATTCAAGGCGCATAACCTAACCAACGTCTTCCTGGGTACTGGCCTCCTCTGGTTCGGTTGGTTCGCCTTCAACGGTGGTTCTGCTGTCGCTGCCACTCCTCGCGCCGCTATGGCTGGCCTTGTGACAACCCTTGCTGCTGCCTCTGGATCCATGGCGTGGGTGTTTTACGATTACTTGCACAAAAGCAAAATGTCTGGTCTCGGATTCTGCTCAGGCGCCGTTGCTGGATTGGTCGGTATCACACCTGCTGCCGGTTACGTTGCACCCTGGGCAGCCTTCATTATCGGCGCAGTTGCTGCTGTCGTTTGCAACATGGCCTGTAGGCTCAAGGGACGTCTCGGCTTTGATGACACCCTTGACGCGTGGGGTGTTCACGGTATTGGTGGTCTTGCGGGCGACTTTATGACGGGTCTCTTTGCGCAAAAGTGGATAGCCCAACTTGACGGCGGTGTTATCGACGGTGGATGGGTCGACGGAAACTTCAAGCAGCTCGGATACCAGCTCGCTGGATCTGTTACCATTGCGGCCTGGTCGTTCACAATCAGCTACATCATTCTGTTCATCATGAACAAAATCCCCGGTTTGCATCTCCGCCCAACAGAAGCAGATGAATTGATCGGAAACGATCTTACCGAGCTCGGCGAGCACGCGTACGAAATCGTACCCGCAAGTGCACCCCACCAGAACATTGCGGTAATGGCCGAGCGGCCAAAGCCCGAACCCGAGAAGCCTGCACGACAGGATTCCCACACATGGAATGAGAAGGTCGAGGTCCAATAAACTCCAACTCCTTTCAAGTTACCCCCAGTCATCCGCACAATCGCTCGCACCTACCTCAGAACCTCGTCTCTTCTTGTCCGAAAATCCCTTTTGAGACTTTTTACCCACCGTGAAAAGACATGTAACTCTTCTGTATCTCTGAAAGCGTGCTTCAGAGATGTTTCATATATAATAGTTTATTTGTACATTTGTCGGAATAAATCATAATTGACCAAAAAGTCTGTGCACTTTGTGAACTTGGTTTTCTGCGGTATTTGCAATGTCTCCAGACAGGTTTCCACAAACTTGAAGACATGCCCCCTGGCTTGATACTGTGTATTTCAAATGTTGGGCCGTCGTTCTTCCAGCGTCAGGAAGGACCATTAACGAGGAGGAACTGACACGTCCCGGCAAACAGCTAGCTCAGAGCACGGATAACTGGAAAATCCCAGCCGCCAAAATTCTCTGAGCCCAGGTCCGCATTTTGGTTTGATGTTGCTCTGATGTCTGGACTTGGTCGGCCATCACTGCTAAAGCACAGGACCGACAAGCAATTGGCAAAGCGTCAAGATCTCCGGTCAGTACAGAATTGATCAAGGATCGCACAGAGTATATGAGGCGGCTGTCAGTCGTCTTCAGACTAGTGCTCGGCTCTAGACCCGGATGCCTTCCTTCCAGCAACCAACATTGGAGAATCACTTGGTTGTTTAACCCTTCTGGACGTCGAATGCCGAGCAGCCTGCCGAGCAGAAAATTCAAGTTGCTATAACCAAAACGGGATTAATGGTGAGTTTTTCACGTGATACGCAATATAGCCATATCGGGACTAATGATATTACATCTACTAATATAAAAGCAGGTCGTTCCCGCGCACCCCGCCAACATCTATACTCATCTCTTTCACACTTCAACTCGAAATTCAAAGCAGCACTTGAGTGCAAACACTTTGTACATCTTCTCATCACCCGTTTACCTATCCGTAACCGTTCAACATGCCCAAGGCAAAGTCTGACAAGGTGTCATCCCCCAAGAAGGCTGGTGAGTGTCGGACACGCCTGGACATTCTCCCTGTGAGAACCTAGCTTGGCAGAGTGCAGGCAGGCTGCAGGTTCTCACACACCCTTTGCAAGCCACTTGGCGCATTGCGTAGTCCTGAATTCGGCTTGCGAGGTCGTGCCCCGCCTAATAATACATGGTTCTCACCTTCATTTTTCCCACAGCTGCTGGATCCAAGCGTGGTGCCTCTCCCTACAACCTCTTCATGAAGGTGAGTCAAAGGGACCTCGCTGCTGCTGTTGCAGTGTTACGGTCTGCAGTAGTGAAGGGACTTGGTCCCAAGCTGCACTTATGATGTCAATAATCTCATCATTGTATATGAACCTTCACAGTCTGAGCTCGCAAAAGTGAAGGCCGAAACACCTACAATTGGGCACAAGGAGGCTTTCAAAGTTGCTGCATGTACGTAATGAGAGCATTTTGAAGCGTTTGCTGCTGCTGTACTTGACGGCACCGTTGACATATGAATTACTCTTTACAGCGCGGTGGAAGGATGCACCAGAGAACCCCAAGAACAAGAAATGAAGTGGAGGAGGAGGAATCGTTGAGGACGCTTTGGTTTAGCAGTCGCTAACACCCGTGGCCGTCGCCACGCTTTTGTATATATCGTTCTTTTAATCCGAATTTGTATCACCTTGTGTGACCTGTCGTCTTCATGTTCGTTGCAAATGTCAGATTCTGCCACCCATCCTACGTTTTCTTCATGCCTCATACCATGGCTACTCTATGATTGCCAAATTGCTGTAACTGAACGGATACGATATCTAATACCGTCTGTCGCCTCGTTTGCCCCTTTCCACTGTCTTTGAAATGAGCGCTTCATTGGACGAGCCTCACCCACGACGCTGGGTGATGCTTGCATTCACTTCGGCCATACTCATTGGGAATTATTATGTGCGTCTGTCCGCTGATCCATCAACCAATATGCAACTACTTAGTCCGCAATTCTAGGTCTACGACACACCAGCCGCACTCAACCGCTTCCTGCGACAAACCTTCTCAATACCATACGCGGAATGGCAACATCATCTCGGAATCCTGTATGCAAGTTACTCACTGCCAAATGTGGTGATGCCCTTCGTCGCTGGAGGCTTGGTTGAAAGATATGGTATGCTAAAGACGAGGCTTTAGGCTTGGAAGGTTGGACTTATAGCGGTTTCTACTCTTCAGGTCCACACAAGGTTTTGACGACATTGTCCCTACTCGTGGTTCTTGGAGCGGGCCTGTTTGCAGTTGGTGTTCAGGAGCGGGCTTTTGGAATTATGGCTTTGGGAAGGGGCCTTTTGGGAATTGCAGGTATATGATCGATCCAGGGGTCATGATGAGGGGTTATTCAGGCTCATTCAGCTGATATTTTAATGATCTAGGAGAATCTCTGGGTGTCGCTCAAGCGCGGATAACATGTCGATATTTTACCGGGCAGGAGTTGGCGCTTGCACTGGGGATCAACCTTTCCATTGCCCGATTAGGCTCCGTTCTGAATGACGTGGTGTCGCCTCTTATCAGTACATCCTCATATTTTGGCACTATTGAAGAGGGGACGGTGGCCGCCGTGTGGATAGGTTTTGCCCTGTGCGTGTTTTCAATGCTTTCGGGGATATATGTGGTGTTGTCAGATTTCTGGTGTTGGGAGGACCACGTGGATTTTGGAAGTGTAGGTGGAGTGCGGAGAAAGGATTCTATCTCGATTGTTGGACATAGGACAAGCTACCAGAGCTTGACGGATGCGGTGGCGAGTGAGGCATGGAAAGGCCGAGAGTCGAAGGCGAGCGGAGGATTAGGTGGAATAATTGAAGAAGAAGATGGGAACGGAGAGCGACGACCAATCTCATTCTGGCGGAAACAGGGCGGCTATGGAGCAATTGCCGGGGTAGAGCCCTCAAATAACGAGAACATTCGAAATAGCCAATATTCGATACAATCCCGTCAAACAATCTATTCTTCTGACACGTCCTTGGACGAGCCGTCAATATCCTTACATCGATCGAGTAAATACCGCTCATCAATCATGTATATCGAAATTTTACCCGACGTACCTGAAAACTCGTCTTTTTCCCATCCCGCCGAAACTGAGCAACAGGGTTATATAGATTCCATTGATGACCAAACGGCTTCACCACCATTTCTGCAAACCCTTCCGGCTCTCCCTCTTCCATTTTGGATTCTGACTACCGCGATGATATGCTTCTACGGAGCGACCATTGGACTCATCAACGTTTCTTCCGATTTTATACATGGACAAATTCGTGTAGCACCAGGCTTTGTCGGACTCATTATGTGTCTGCCAGATTTGGTGTCCACCCTTCTGGTCCCCGTTGTTGGCGGATGGTTTGGAGACTTTGGTTTGAAAAGGAGGTGGGCAGTCGTCAGCGGTGTTGGGATTGTGTTTGTTGGGGTTTTCATGGCGTGGAGCGAAACGATCGGGGAGGGTGTGGGTGTTGTGCTTGGATTGACGGTTGTTGGTATTTGTTATGCGGTTTATTCAAGTGTAAGTGCTTGCGATGAGCTCCTTTGTTGTCAAAGCATTTTCTTACTCGCTCCTCCAAATGTACGCAGCTCTTTTGGCCGACCATTGCACTGCTTTTGCCAACGCCTCATCTTCCAACAGCTTACAGCCTTGCCACCTCTCTCCTCAACACAGGTCTAACCATATTCCCCCTCATCATTGGTGAATTTGTCGGAGCAGACCCGAGTTACACCTCAACAGTGATCTTTTTAGCTTTGGTAACGGGGCTAGGCGGACTGGTTGGTGCAATTGGATTCTGCTTTGTAGGTGAGGAGGAAGTCAATGAGGAGTTTATATGGGAAAGTAAAGGTCCTTCTTCGAGGGAAAGTGGGACTGCGCGGTGGGTGGAGAGTGGAAGGATGTTTGGGTCAGGTCCTGACCAGGTTGGAGAAGAGGTGGTGGGCGAAAAAGTAATTATTTCGTAGACTATTTCGTAGAGAGTGATTTTTGATAGAAAGTGTAGTGTACAGTAAGTAATGCGTAGTGGTTATTAGTTGGCATAGGGAGACATACTTGTAGGCTGTTGCAAATGGCATCATTCAACCTGTTACAAATAGAATTCTTTGTCCATCAAGTCTGATCGCCAAGTGCGGACTTCCTGCTTTTTGGTAAGCATATACAAATGCAACAAAAGTCGAGATAGATCTGCAGCTTTGCTGCCAAGGCCAGACTCCTCGCTTTGTAAATATATTTGCAAAAAAATACTCAATATACACATGATTGCTCTCCGCATCTGAAAATACGCACATGCACAGACAGAGTTGCTGTAGCACAAATAAGGTTCTCACGCCATAATATTGGAACTCAACGATTCCTCTTCCGTAATGACTCCGCGGTCGTGGTCACGCTCTCGCCCATGGTCGTGGTCATCTCCAGTCAATTCCTCATCTCCCGTGTGACCACCATCCTTATCAGAACTCTCCCTCCCCTTCAATTTCTTGAGACGCTTTTCGCAAGCTCCTTCATTCCGGCCCTCCAGTCTGTCTTTAATCAGGGTCCAACGCGGCCCGACCTCTTGATATGCATCCAGCAAGATTTCATCTTCCTCTTTACTCCAGTATGGGACCGGGCTGGAGACGTCAGAGCGACGCGACAGGACACGGAGAAAGTGTTCCTTGCATTGCCGTGTGTTCCGAGTCGGAACGAGAGATGCTACAAGTCGCCAGTTTTGGCCATGTATTTGAACGGCTTGGAGCAGGGCGTTGTCTTCTTGGTTTGTCCATGGGCGGATAGTGCGCGTGGTTGGGTTCTGTGGCGAAGGGCGTTGTGGTTCGGGTTGAGGAGGCAAAGGCGGTGGAAGTTGTACTGGGAGTGGACTTGCGGAAGGAAGTGCAGACGAAAGTGTCGTCACAGGTGTTTGATGAATGCTTGGAGGTGGAATGCCAACGTAATCTTTTGGATCAATTCTTCGCCATCGCTTTTCGCATTGATTTGCGTCTCGGGTTTGTACATCGCGCGCTACTCGCGCCCACGTTTGTCCGTGAACGTTAACAGCATGTATAAGGCGAATCGTTTCCTCTTCGGTCCAATAGCCTGTTTTGCGTGCCTGGGGAGCATCTGGAGGTGTCGTGGTGGGCGTGGGAAGGGTATTCGGAGCAGTGTTAACATTAGGTGGAATGATCACAATGGGTGGTGGAGGGGGTGGTGCCACAATCGGAATATTAGGCAGGTATGAAAGGCTGTGTGAAGAGGTGCGGGAAGGCCCTGACTCTTGAGAAGCAAAGCTGTTTGAGCGCGATGTACTAGCATCGTCTTTGACTTCTTTGGGTTGCTCGTCCTCTTCGCTGGACTGCTCTTCAGCTTCAGAACCAGAGCTAGAACTAGTGCTCGAATACTCTGGCTGAGGAATCCGACCTTGCCGTCCGTTTCGAGGATCGGGTCGGTTAACATACTGCCGTTCCAAAGGCTTATCAAAAAACTTTGGCTCAGATTTCATCTGCTCAGAGTCAGAAGTATCGGTTGACGAAGGATAAATCGGTTTTAAAAGTCGCGCATGTTTTCTGTGGGCCCTTTTCAGCGAGTGAGAAGCTTGTGGGTATCTGTGACCTGACTTGCGCGCAGGTTTGGTTGCGCCTTCTGAAGAGTCGGAAAACGCAGTGCTGCCCGAGGAGGATGAAGGTGAAGAAATGTATTCCCGATGTTTTTTGTTTCCCTTATGATTAAGTTTTTCTTTGAGCTCTCTGCGATGTTTCCGGTCCACGCGTTTGTGCCAGCGTTCTCCCACATCTATGAAAGGACTATTTCGTTAACCCCCAGTCGACAAACCAAAAGAACAAGCTATTCAAGAGCTCACCAGGAATCTTTTCATGACATCCATTTGGGTAGCCGTGTTCATCGATCGCGTCCCTCCGCCGCTTTCCTCCCCCAATGGACGCCAAATCCCGATGTTTTCCATCCTCGCCACGGTCCTCCTCGTAATAATATGGTCTACCTGAATACGCTTCCCATCCCGGCGGACCACCACCGTAAGCGTATGCCGGGTGCATACCGGGTGGAGGATATGGTATGTATGGACTGTGAGGTGGTGGGGGCGGATACCATGACGGAAAACCATCATACCAATGTCTGTCATATGGTATATGGAAAGGAGGTAAGTTGACTTGGACAGCTGCCTCTCGAGTTCCTTTGGGTTGAAGGCCAGAAATATCGTTCATTGCAATGACCCCAACGACATTCAAAAGTCTTGATTCCGCGTTTTGTCAAAAAGACAGAGCGGGCGACAAGAGAAGCAAGGCTAAAAAGGATTGCCGTGGCAGAGGCGACAGCGCAGTTCAATATACGTGAGTGCGACGTTACAGGGCCTTACGCGGAGCTGAGCAACGCAGCGGGGCGTCGTCGGTCGACAATGGGGGAGGTTCACGTTCCCCGGACCAAGCCGGTTTCGCGTGAAAAAAGGCGGTGATACAAAGGGGACGGCGGCGGGGGGACGAGAGGGCGGGGGGCCAGCTGGCCGGGCGGGCGAGCGGGGGGGGAGGCGGTGTTTTGGGAGGGCACAAGTGTGGGTGTACGCGACATTTGCGTGCGTGGCACAGCGGATTAGGTCAGAGTGTCCGAGGGCAGGGAGTAGGAAGGAAGGAGGGGGGGATGGGGGGGTGAGGGCGGGGGTGCGGGGGAGTTGAACGTTGTCCAGCCAATTGGAGGCCGGAACCAGGAGCGGGGACCGTGGCATGAAATTCAGGGCCGAATTCCGTCAGTTTTCTTGTACGTCTCCCCCATCCGATCAGGGGCGCTCTCTCAAAAACTGCATTGAACTGCTAGAAAAGAAATTTGTATCATCTGTCAAAATGATTGCTTCCGCCTCCTCCTACCGCCGTCTTTCTTGCTGGACGACTGCAAAATGGAATCGCTCGACTACAATTACAAAAAAAAAGACACCCGAGCACTTGCGGATGGTCTCTGCCAGGTTCGAACTGGCGACCTTCAGTGTGTTAGACTGATGTGATAACCAACTACACCAAGAGACCTGTGATTACTGCAGGAGGATTCCATGATCAGATTGAAGCCATCCTTAATAAAACAGTTAGGGCCATGCCACCATGGTTTTGGAGAACAGCGGGCGTGATGGTGACATAATTGGCTGCTAAACAAAAGCTATGGCCCGATCAACAAGAGCACAGCAGCAGAATCCAAACCTCAAGATTGATCTTCCGTGCCACCAAAGGGACACGGTGTATTTACATAGCTATTACTGCAACTGACACTCTTTGACCAATTCCACGGGCACAAACTGTCCAATGTGCTTTTTAAACTCTGAAAGAGAGCACCAGCTGAGATCACACCATTCGACGTCAAGAGGTTCGCCGTTATACAGAACGCGAACAAAGAGAGCTTCGTGGTCCACCTTCGCCTGCTTCCACAATTCAATCAGAATGTTAGATGCATAAGGAGGCCAATTCATCTGTCGCCCTCGGGCTCCAAGAGCCCCCAATAATGGAGCAACGGTTGTATCATGGCCGGAATAAAGGGAAAAATGCACGCGATCTTCATTCCTCTGTTCATGAGCCTCCATCAGATTCCGTATTTCTCGAAGCCAATCTCCAATTGAGATGGTGACAAGCTCTTTGGCGAAAGGGCCTTCGGCAAACAGCCTCTTGGTCTCCCAGTTTCCATTCTCAAAGATCTGTTCAGCCATCTCACTCGTAACGCAATCTCCGTTGATTGCACGGCCTGGACTGCAGGGCAGCGGCTTATTGTTGCAGGTGCGACCTGCAATGACATCGAAATATCTGTCAAATGAACGGTAATTGGCCGAATCCCAGAGCTCTTCCGTTCCCATGATCTCATCCAAGCGCTTACGAAGCCCTTCATTGCGCGTCAAATACGAAGACCACTCTACGTCTTGCCCCTGGTTATCGTGCCATAGCTGAGTAACGCGAGGGCAGGCCTCGGTATTCGGAACCATTGTTTCAATGCGAAGGGGCACGGTTTTAACAACAACAGGTTGACGTGATATACTGACTCGCGAATTCATGCCAGCCAAAAGGGCCTCAGCCGACTGTTGTGTTCGCCTCAAGAGAAAGTTGATGAAAAGTTGCCAGTACCGCCGGTGTAAGTAGTTGCTTACCATACGTCGGTAGATCTGACCTTGATGGAACCCTTTCGGATGAGATGCTTGTAAATATCACCGAATGCTTTGCCGAGTTTAATCTGCTGTTTTGCCCCCTTCGGTGTCAACTGGCCAGGAGCACAGCTTCCCGACCAGATAGCGGCACTGAAAGGGTTATCACCTGGAACTGACATATGTAAAGCTGTCTGGAGTTTTCCCCTTCCATTATTGAAACCGGGAGCGGGGATGTTCTGGTCCAGAGAAGCACATTCCCAAGTGACGTTCTCATAGGGTAAAACTACAAAAACTCAAAGCTGCAGCCGAGTTGAACTCATTGCCGCACACTCCTCCCTAACCTGCGATGGGCGACCTATCGCCGTGGCGAATCACAGCAATCGTTTGCAACAGTTTGGCGTCTTTCTATAAACAAGTGTGAAGAATCAGCTGCCCCTGCCCGGCATATACGGGTAAGGTTGGACGTACGGGCCGCTTGTACGTTTCAACATCGGGCGTACGGGCGTGGCAATAAGCAAATTCTGGTCCCTTGCTCTCCCGGCCCTCCCATAGCGTCTGGTCAGATTCTTGTTGGACAACAAGTGGAACGTACAGCCCGTGCGCCAGAAGAGCACTTCCTATAAAGAAAAATAGTACCACAGATAGGACGATTACTGAACTCCTTGTGATGAGCATTGCTGAACAATTGCAGATAAGTTGGAAAGTTGCATTACGTGATATCTCGACCATGACACACAATGAGTCAATTAGCACGTTCAACCAAGCCCTTCGTTCGCTTGACCAAAGCTGCCAAAGAAAATGCTTCGCGTTGCTTCAAGAATAAAGCATATTCGAAGGTATGCGCATTCAAACACACAAGGTTTGTCTTATAGCTGATTGTGGAGTAGTCGTTAGTATATTGGTCGGCTCTGTATCAACTACCCCTCTTTGCGTAAGGTCGGTCACAGTCAGGATCCAGCAGCGCCATCACTGAGCCAAATCCCGACACCTTCAAGCCTTCTGAACGGAAAGTGAACTCTGACAGATCTGAACCGCACTCGCAGGCGACGCCTTCAACACATATCCCTCCCAGAGCTATCGTCAAAAGTCCCAGACTAGCTAGTAGTGCCACGCAAGATGCAACCCAACCTCAACCACGGACACATACTGCTCCTACAGGGCCTCTTACCAAAGATCAGTTGCGTCAAACCCAAGGAACGGGTCAGCAACGAAAGCCATTTGCCCGTAAAAGGCGCACGAAAAAAGGACCTGCTGATGAAATATGGGCTATATTTCAGAAAGTGACCGGTGGGTCCGGCAAATCTCCTCAATCCCACGACAGATCCACCCAGCCAGAGAGGTACCCCAAATCGACTGCTGGCAAAAGCAATTTTCATCACGAACAGAACACAAATAATGTCCATACCCATCCCATAACCAACTCAAAGGAAATCCAACCAAAGCTCAACCTGACTGCCATACAAAACCTTCGCAAAAAACTGCACTCAGAGATAATTCCTGCAAATGGCATGTGGGCCGCCTATCGGAAAGTGGAACGTAAAGGAAGTCTTTATAAGCTAAAGCGCAAGGACTTCCTCCGCATATTCCGTCTCCTCGCCGGAGGCCCTCTGGGTGATTCCGGACCCCCACGCGCACAGGCGGAAAAGGCGTTGACGATCCTTAAGCAGTTTCAAAATGATGCATACCATATGCCGACTCATGAAATCTTAAAATATGTCATGACTTCGTGTGCCCGGGCTGGAATGGCAAAGGAGGTAGATAGACTCGCTTCGATGCTTGATCATTTGGCGGGCCGGGATGTTTTGCACAAGCAACACGTTACTTCCTTAATGGTTACAGCAAGCGCTGTTTCCGGCGATCTTGTATCCGCTGAGAAGAAAATTAACGATATGGACCTGAAACGACTATTACCGATCGCTCACGCAGCGTTGGTTCAAGCCTATGCGAAAGCGAATGACGAAATCAACATGATCAAGCACTTTAATATCCTAGGAGAGGACGTCAGATACGGATCCGATGCTAGAAATTGGGGAATCGCGGCGAGCAGTGCTCTATTCGATTTTTACTTGCGGAAAGACGTTGGCAAACTTTCAATCTTCCGTGCTCAAATGGGTGCGATTGAGAGACGGGGTATGCTGACCTCGAAGGAAATACTGGCAGGAGCGATCAGGGTATACTCAAAATGGGGTCAATTTGAGTATGCAAAGGCACTGTGGCGGCTTGTGCCGCGTGTGTCCATGACGGTAGATATTTGCAAGACAGGGTTGGAAATGGCAGCAGCTGCACATGACGCCCCTTTGGCATGGGAATGCTATGAAGCCCTTGCTGTACTGATTCCTCGCATAGGGTCAGATGACTGCGTCGCTATCCTAAAAGCACACGGACTACATTTGACTATCAACAGTGTAGTGCAAGCCTTAGAAAAGATACAAGTCCCCTTTGGGCAACGCCATGCTGAAACCATTCTTCAGGGATGCTGTACACTCGGCGATGCTAAGAGCGTTACGATGGTGCTTGATGAGATAAAAGCAAGAGACTGGGCCACTGAAGCTACACGCAAGCTGGTCGAAGAATTTCGGCCCAAGCCCGAACCTTTCGCATTCTTGCGAGAACTTCCTGCAGACGGTGAGCTCTTTTAAATAATCAAGTTACATTGATTTCTCCATACAATGATGATATTCAAGTCGCCAGTGCAGCCATAGTGCTTGATTATTGGCCGCTGTCCTACACTTCGTCCCATGGATTCTCAAATGTATATCAACCGGCTATATTTATTACGTGCACTCGGGCCAATGTCAATTGAATATTTACAGATGATGTATATGAATAAATAAAATACTACTTATTACCCCTTGGATGTCTGAGCTTTTTGGGAATCCTTTGCTTTGGAGGTACTAATCCTGCCTCATGTGCACGGCTTTCTTTACCCAACAGTCTATCTGGAGGGAGGAGGCCAGTTTCACCCTCCGGGTCTGTTCCCGTCAACGATTTCATCCATGGTCTTCTCTCCAACCTTGGGTGCTCCTTGTCTAACGAACGACGGGGGTACATGTCCCCCCCAGTACCAATGAGAAGAGTTTTTCTTGGTTTGCGGCCAAACCGCGTATCCCCTATATCGGGCACTTGAGTATCGTTCGCCTTCAAAGGAAGCACGAGTTCTTCCCATACGGACTTCGCGCCGGGTACATCGAGTGTCTGTGCTCTTTCCCCAAGCTTTGTTAGGAGGTCTCTCTCCACTATTTCGAATCCGTGCTGTTTCGTCCGCATGAGCACTTTTTCCGCTCCGGGAAGGTCCTTTGCCATCACGTATGCCCAGCAAAGTCCAAACCACGTATTTCTGTCGGGATTTAATCCATCGTGTTGAATCTGATCCATCCACCGCTCGGCCCGATCAGTTCTTCCCATCTGTCCCCAGCCTTCCATGATGTGATTGTACTGCACAATGGTTGGCAATATCTTTGTTGTTTTCATGACGCCAATATACATCTCCGCACTATCCTGATCCCAAGAACGGGCATGCTCTTCGACCAGAGTTTCGAGAGCTTTTCGCGACGGCAGCCGCTCGAGCTCTTGGGTGAGATCGTTGAAAAATCTGCGGGCGACCTGCAAATCACGTGGCGTCCCTCGTCGTGCATGACGCTGGATTATTTCGTCAAACGTTTCTGGCTGAAGGACCGGGAGCTTATTCGCTTCTTTGATTGCCAAGTACACCTCCTCCATTTTCCTGAATTCTCCAAGCTCGGACCAATATTTCAAGAGGATTTCATGAACCTTTGTATCCCACACCAATTTTCGCGTAGGACCCACGCTACGGTAGAGCTGACCGGCTGCATCCAAGTTTCCTTCGCTTTTGAAGTTTGCCACCATATCGAGAAGGAAAGGGCGCAACCTCTCGCGTCGATAGCCGAGTTCAAATACCAGATCATACGCCACTCGAATTCCACCATGATCTTTAGCAATGGCGGCCTTCTTTAATATATTGCCCACCGTTCTAAGCGAGACTGGAGGAGGCATTGGCTTGTCTGCTTTTTCCCAGTCGGCTATAACATCCTTCACGACTTGAATCGCAGTTTCAAGCGTCATATGATCATCGTTCAGGTACTTTTCAAAATACTCTCGCAGATATTCCGGACGCGGTGGAATGCCCATACTGTTCATGATTTTCCGCATATTCGTCGCACCAGCGATATCATCGGTTCGCACCAGTAGATCGAACAGTAGCTGATAACATAGCGATTCCGGTACTACGCCTTCTTTGACCCATCTCGCCCACGCCTTCTGGGCACCGGCAACATCCAATGCCCTATGGCACACCTTCAGCAGCGTTTGTAGTGACAGAGAACCGCATTTTATGCCTGTTCGACGCAGTTGTTCCAGTGCCCTTTCCAGCTCGGTAACTTCAAGGGCATTGCCCTCTTCCATGACGTAAATCTCAACTAGCCGACAGAACATGTCCTCGTCAAAGGGAATACCGGCATTAATCACGCGACGCATGATTACTTCGAATTTTTGATCGCTTAAGTCCTGCACCACCGCTCTGATGAATATGTCCGTAAGAGCAGGCGGTACTGGCCGACCCGCAGCCACCAAAATGCGGGTCATCTTTACAGCATTCCGGACATCCTTATCCTCGCTCACCCGAGTAATGGCCATACTAAGTAGGTCATCGGCCAATTTGACTTCGCCAATCATCTCCAAAATCCAGGCGATACGGGCGATTGTGACGTGGTGTGACTTCAATGCTAGCGTTTTCACCTGACTTTGCAGGCATGGCAAGCCGCTGGGACTCTTCATCATCGCTTTCAGCACTTTTTTCAATAGATCCCGACCGCCTTTCAACTCTGGTCTGTTTAACACCCCAAGAGCGAGCTTCCAAAGAAGGAAGGGAGGTATCGACTCGGATGCATTCTCCAGCTTGCAAAAGATTGATCCAGCTTCTTCATATTTCTTGTTTTCCAATGCTGTGATGAGTGCAGCAGTTGTATCGGCTACATCAGGCTGCTCAACAAACGCGGTTCCATCATCTCGCTCGAGCTGCCCTGGTAGTAGATCTTTAGCATGTTTCTCGAAAATAGTCTTGGGTTCACCATCTTTAAAATTAAATTCGATGGAGCGGATCGACCGATCCACATCGTCGTGCTCTAGATTTTCAAAGCTAAGAGCTTTGGAAATTGGCGGATCACCGTTCTTCCAAGCAGAAAGCTCTCGCCTAATGCTAGGCACGTCCTTGTCCCGAGAAGACATACAAAGTCTTTCAATCACGTCAAGGGACCATCTTTCTAATTGCGGATCATTGAGACAACGCCATTCCACAAAAGCAAACTTGTATAACTTCCACGCAGTCAGGCAGTCCCTTTCTCGCTCTAATGCGGTCATAATCATCGTGTATGCCGGGACGCTGAGATCGTGGCTTGCTGCAACAGAGTGACGTAATAATAAAGCTGAGAGTGCTGGCCGATGCGCCCGATACATCCTCATCGCGAGGTTCAGATAGAAGCGCTGGTCAAAGGCAGTTACATGACCAGAAATCTCCGTCAGGAGCTCATGAATTGCCGATGTTCTTTGTTCGAGGAGACAAGCATGCATCAAAGCAGTAACGGTGCTGCCATGGAGTGTACAGAATTCCCTCGCATCTTGTGAAACCTCTTCTTCCCGCCATCTTTTCATTTGCTCAAAGGTACCCAATGCTCCCTCAATATCGCCCAAGCTATTCTTCAAATATATGGTTCTGTCATACATCTTAGCAGTTCTGCCCGAGGTGTCGAGAATTGCTTGAGAGACTTCAAGAGCCTTCTCTAGCTCGCCACGTCCAAGTAGGCGAGCGACTAACACATCCGGCTCTCCATTGTCTGGATACCATCCAGCTTTTAGGCATTCGAGGCAGTAGATGCGAGCTTTCGTAATTTGGTCTTTCCCCAGAAGAGCCCTCAACGTCAGGGACCTAGTGGTCGCATTTTCTGTGATACGACCTTCTATCATATCGTCTTTAAGCTGCAAAACTTGGTCCCATTTCTCGAGCGCTGCGTAGCTATTCATGACAAGTCCATACGCATGCGCATCAGGTCTGATCGCAGCGCGCATCTCGTGCAGCACCGCCTTCGCTCGCTCTGCACCGCCCTCACTAGCTGTAGCTGCTTCTGCTTCGATCCTGTCAATAAATGGTTTTCGGAGCAGCTTAAGCTGGTGGTGATACATGGCATCAATACCACATCGATCACTTTCATGCACGTCGGCTGCAGTGTCGAGAACAGCCTTTACCCGTACAACAGTACCCTCGAGGTGGACTGGATAAAGTGCATTCTTCTTGATGAACTCCTCGGTGCGCCTAGCTAGGTTGTTCCTGATATCACTAAATGTCTTGGCAGCCAGACGTACACGACGAGGATATTTATGGCCTTCTCTCTTCTTGAGGCCCATCCCTCCAGTCGCCTCGTAAAGATCAACAATGTCATCAACTTTGTCCTGTGCCAAAAAGCCATCAACTATCCTATCGTACAGCTCCACGTCAATGGGTGCTTCTTGCATTAGTTCCTGCACCGTTCTCTTTGCAAGATCCAGCTCTCCGGCATCCACACACGTACGAATCAGGTGATTACAGGTTTCTCCATCAACCGAGCGACCAATTTCAAGCAGTTGTTTCATAATAGCGAACGTTTCGGAACGGTACCCCTGCGCCAGGAGAGCTGTTAAGAAGTTTTGGAGTTCGGATTTGCCGATATGTATCCCGTCTCCAACGACAGACGCGTGAATTGACAGAGCGTTCTGAACGCGACCGGCGTTCACCAAATGGGGTAGCAGCCGAATCTGCACGGCAAGGGGAACCTCCATACCAGATGCTAGAAGGCTGTCAACGACCTCGACTGCAATTTTTGCCTGGCCCTGCTCTATGGAGTGTCGTATAAAAAGTTCTGCTATTTGAAGAGGTAACGTTCGATCGTTAATCATCTGACGGACATGCTGTTCGGCACTCAATATGTCGCCATCATTGATATATGCTTGAATGACCCGTTTAGAGGTGGCCATGTTCAGGGAATATCCGGCATCCTGTAAGTTGTGCAACAATAACTTGAGCAGTGGAAGATCTTGCTGATGCGCCGCCCATGTAATCAGTTCATTATAGGTAGTTTCAGTCAATTGCCGTGAATCCCGCAGGTCTTGGCAGAAACGAAGGATTGCGGCTGAATCATTGCGGGCCATGCTGGAGCCTGTTAATATCGCGTACGTGTACGCGTCGCCTGTAACGCCCACGATTTGCATGTCCGCATAAAGGGATTTCAGTTTCTCGTACGCATCGTCGTCCGTCTGATCCCGGAGATATGTAAGGAGATTATTGAAAGTTTCGACATTCGGAATGACGGCCATGTCTTTCATATCTCCATAGATTCTTAGAGCAGTCTGTCCTTTTCGCTGCTTCAGACATCTGTCAATAACGAGTCCATAACTTCGTGCATCTAAGCGCATTTGCAGCATTTTGGACTTGTCCAAAACCTGAATCGCATCATCCAGGCGTTCCAACCTGGCAAGTCCTTCAATGAGCATATCCACCTCTGCGCCGGTATCTATCTTCGTATCGGTCTGTATCAGCCTGTTGTACATATCGAAAGCGCGTTGAAAAGCGGGCTTTGCGATGTAAGGTCCACCTTGAGTACTCTTACGGATAAATGTCTTGAATGCTCTGAGCAGTATGGGTGTATCCAGCTGGATGCCTAGTTGTTCTGCCTCCTCGTAGATGCTTTGCGTAATAAACCAATCTTCCGCAACGAGGGCCGTCATCATAGATAAACTCATGAGCTCCGTATCCGGTACTGGGCCAGACCCGCCATCACTGATCCCAGCCGCATACTCCGTCATATTGGCTGGTACTGCAATTTGTGATCGGCGGGCCCTTTGGATCATCCTTTTAAGAATGCTTTGGGCAGTAGCCGCATCCTTGTTCTTTAAGCAGCATCGAACTACGTAGATATAAGATCCCAACGAAGGTGGACATCCAGCAACCGCCATGTTCCGTAGCGTCTGCAAGCTGCGATCCAGATCTGCAGCGTCAACGTAACACTTGAGTAGCCAATTATATTGGTATCTTGTCGGTGGAATGCCCAGAAATTCCATGTCGCTCAGAAGCGATTCCACGTCATTTGAGGAAAGGTGCCGAATGTGATGGCTTCTCAAAAGATTCGAGAGCTCTTGAAAGTCGTCGTTGTTCAACGAGCGGAAGGCGGAGGAAGAACGGTCCGCGCGAAGTACTGTATATAACTCCCATGCCTGAACAGCAGCTTTCGCCTCAAGATTGGAACGAAACGCTACTATAAGTTCGGTTCCTACCGCAGTCGGCACTTCTGCTGACGAAATGGTCTTCTCTCCACCCGTTACCTTACAGAGCGAATATATGAGCATTGTTTTCAGCCTTTGGCGGCCAAGGACAAATCCAAGATATCAGTTACCAATGATCTATTTATCACAGTGGAATTCTTCTTCAGTCCAACTCCAAAAACAACTGTCACTCGCGGAATGTTACAAATCGGCGTATTTGACAGTCGGAGAAAGTGGGCGTTTGGTGCAAGCCCTATAGTACCGATTGATCTGCAGACTATGGGTGCACATATCTTCGGCCGAAATGTAATGAAGAACATTTACGGGGCATCGGCAATAGAATTGCCAGCTTTTCTGGTGATCTGGGACGAAGACGATTCAAGCAGGATGAAGAAATGCACATGAAGATTGGTGCCTTGATTCAAACCGGATAGTATGTTGGATGCGAGAATGCAGATATCAGAAAATGTGCATTGAAAAAACAAACGCAAAAACAAAGAGGTCGCACCCGGGCTAGCTACTCTTCCCTTCTAAGCCCCAGTACTCGATCTACTACTAGGTACAAAAAATCATATATGTTCATACATAACCTTTCTCCACCAAAACCTTTCGCTTCTCCGGGCTAAGGCTATTCCATAATTGTCCCCGCACATCCTCGCCGCAGTTCGCTACAAGTTGTCGCAATATGCCAACAACCTGCGATACCAGATCTGGCTGCTCAGACAGCAGATCAGGTGATGCAAGGGCTTCTGCCAATATGAGAGATATCTTTGGAAGCTTGCTATTGTCAGCGCCGAGAACTGCCGGGTGATTCCTACAGACAAGAAGGTGAGTACTTCGACGGGATACAATGCTCAATTTGACTTAATACGCACTGTTGCAGCAGTTCCAGTAGGTATGCATATGTATGTGGTGCTTCATCAGAATCCTCGGTGATGGGAAGAGCATCAACCCAGGCAGACAATATCTGATTTAAGTCAAATGCTCCACTCTGTCCTAGGAAATGGCAAATCTTTCCAATAGCCGATATGCCGTTCTCCGTGGCCAGAATGTTCTCTTCCGATCGAGCAACTGGGGCGTTGATCATTGCAAACAAATTTGGAAGTGCAGCGGCACATGCTTGTACATAGGCCGGGCCTCCAAATTGGCCAGCAACGCCGACCCCGTAGGCAGCAGCCTGACGAACCTCAGCCGACTGATCAACCAAGGCATGCACAATCGGCTCCCAAAACTGAGCTTGGTATCTAACTGATTCTGGACCTCCAAATTCAATAACATCATCGAACACGCAGATGGCCCATTGACGTGCAGGGGGTTGTGAACTTGTCTGCAAAAACTCATCTAGGTTACCAGGTTCAAGAGTACTAGATATATGCAGAATTGACTTACTATGAACCGGTGGACGTACGGAGCTAACCGGTCAAATTGCGGAATGAAGCTCTCACGATGCTGCTTCAAGAATTGATGCAATGCGGTGGACAGTTCCGCTAGGAAGATATCGTCATTTTCCTCCTCGTTCTGAAGAACTTCTTCATCCTCGGCGTCATGATCGACATCGCTTCGCGAGGCTGAATGGATCGAAAATATGGTTAGATATAGTCCCTCATTTTCATGACGTGGTTTGACCGGACAGTTGTTTGCATCAGGTCAAGTGTAGGTTATACTCCGCACACTGAGGGGAGGAGATTCCCCTTGACGGTGGCCTCCATCAACCCCAAGTTGGACACATTTCGTCATCATGTGCATTCTGCTACCGAATCTCCGCCATATCAGCTTACCTTCTCTTTCAGTTATTCTGTTGAAGTAATCGTCAAGTTGAGAAACCGTAGCAGTTACGAAATCTTCCCGGAGATTTGATGGGGTGCTATTTGGACCCAGAACGTCCAAACACTAGAAATTTTATCCAGTAAATTTGTGAATTGCCAGGTCATTGACAGAGATATAAGTACCTCTTGCATTGTTGTGTACAGTTGTGCAAGAAAAGTGGGATCCATTTCGTCTTTCGACGTCTCGATAATCTTTGCGCACACTTCATGCCATGCGGCATAAATATCAAAGTCCTCACGTGCTGATATGTAAGAGGACAATTAGACGTCATAATGAAAATGTCGCTAACTAACGCGCACTTACGACATTGAGCTTTGACAATAGAGGCAAACAATAGTGGGATAGTCGCCGCAGCAGCATGTCTCACGCCTTCATGGAAGTAGAACTTGAGCAGAGGAACAACAATCGCCATAACCTCCTTCACGTAAGGTGCAAAACCAGCACCCAGTTCCCTCGCGTAACAGATCAACATTTCCACGGCCGTGCATTTTTCCTCCAATACCGTGGTCCGTATACCGATTCGTTGTCCGTCAATGACGAGCATCTCCCAGTCTTCATCATACTTTTCCTTCAACGTCTCCTCATCCTCATCGGCGTCAATCAGGGCAAAGTCGGGCTTGAGCTGAGCACTGCGCAAAAGGGGGGGCAGTACGTATGGAAGATACGGGACAAAATCCGCTTCGAGCACCTTGCAGATACGTGCCCACGCTGAGAGAAGGTAGGAGCTTTGCGGATCATCAGCATCAGTGATTGATTCCTGGCTCTGTCGTAACAATTCTATGAGTTCCGCCGCATTTTGAGCAAAGACCTCTTTGCCTACAGCCAAGGCAATTAAACTAGCGCACTCCATTGCTTTTCCACGCAAAAGCCTGAACTCTTTCTGGGTCGCCTGGCGAAGAACATTGAGGAGCAAAGGCATTATGGCGGAGTAGTATTTGACAAAGTCGTCCCCTGCACTGTCAGCTACAGTAGCGATTGTGGTAATGGCCTGTTCTTGAACGTAAGTCTTCCCCGTGTTCAACAGAACCAAAAGCTTTTCAAATATTGCAGGAAGATAGGGAGCAATGCCTTCCTTCTTCACCTCTTGGGCGAAATTGACAAGAGCGGCTGCTGCGTGCGCTTGAACCCTACGCAAGACGTTCAGCAAGAAATTGAGTACAATTCAAGATTATCATACTACGCACCTTGGGAAATCTCTGTAATCCAAGACGGGAACTAGGTTCTGCAAAATCACATCAGCAAACCTATTCTGTAAAACAGGCTGCGAACCGAAGTGAAGCAGTAAGTTTTCTGCGGATCAAGCACGGAGACCATAGGTCACTTACAGCGAAGTCAGTGCTCATTTGCCCGATTGCATTGCATGTAGCCCATTGGACACGAGGATGAGGATCGCGGAAATGGGGCACAATGACATCCAAGATGCGAGCCAGCTCAGCTTCCATGATTTTGGCGCATCCCTCAGCAATGGCAGATATTGTCATCAGCGCCCCATGCCTTTTACGCCAATCCTCGGCCGCTAACATCGTCGGTATATATGAGAAAGTGACTGGCAAAACAGCCTTCCCACCAAGAGCTCGTGCCAGACGGTCCAATGCTTCTCCTGCAATGATATCGTCAGACTCACAATCCTCATCCTCAATATCGTCCGTCGTGAACCACTTCTCTTCGTCCTCCAAATTTCCCATCCATTCAAGTAAGATCGGGATCAGCGACTGGCAGAAACCGGCATGTTTCCGCATCATTGCGGGAGCAGATTCGGCCAATGTCATCAACAATTCCAACGCCGTTTGGCGCTGCGAAATGTCAATTTCTTCATTTTTCATAACTTGTGTAGTAAACTGAACCAGATGAGGCACCACAGCGCGCATGGATTTAGGATGGACGTCCGCCAATTCGATAATGTAACCAAGTGCTTTCTCAAGCTCGTCGTCTTGGTCAACAAGAGCCGGCAAGACCTAAGAAAAAACATTAAGCACACTGAGTGCATCATAATGCATGGATAAAAGACTTACATCCAACATCCGTGGCACAAAGTCATTGAACGCAGCTAGATTGGCACCTTCAAGCACAATCATATACTGCACACAGGCATTCAACGCCTCCAATCGAACCTAGTACATTTCCAAATATTACATTTATACAACCGAGTGCATTTGTCCAGTGACGGTGAACTAACCTCGACCGCTGTGTCTTGCAAGGCGGCACCAAATGAGCGTTTCATGGATGCAACATCAGTGTCAGAGATGAGCCGGGGTACTTGGGCTACAATCTGGAAGGCACTGACGCGATGGTCTGCGGCCGGCGATCTTGCGCAGTCAAAAATTGTGTGTAAAAGGTCCATCCATGTACCTGAGAAGAATTTGCTTCAGAACAATGCCTGAACGTCTAATATCATCACGACCGGCCATACTTACTTCCTTTCTCAAGCATATGCCTTGCCAATTCAGCTACTGTATCCGCCACCTTTCTTCGTACAACAGATTGCTGCTCTCCCTTCAAAGACTCCAGCAATTCGGTCTGAATGTACGTGCGCGGCCCCTCTCCGATCCAAACGTAATAGGTGACATTCTGATTCTTTGGGGCGTTTGCAGCCTGCTTAAGCGCAAGTCGGCGAAGCAGGATGGCAGAGAAAGATCGCAACTGCAACGTCAAACCATAATGATTAATGCCGACGTACGCACAGCCAACCATTCGGCTCAACTCGCCCACAGCCCTACTTGGAGATACATACATGCAAATCCGGATGCTGACGTGTCATGTGCGCTAATGCGGACAAAAGAATATCTGGCTGGTTCCCAAGCTGAGTGTTGAGTTGCTCTTCCGCCGCAGAACGCACAACATTGTCAGCACTGGCAAGCTGGGAAAGAACTTGCGCTAGCTGAGTCAGTGCCTCAGGAGTGAGGGCCTCCGCAACAATTGTTTGCGCCATTGTAAGACTAGGAGCTACAACCACGACGGCATTAGCTTGGGCAGGGATTTGGAACCTCTATTACCATTATTCGATAACCACATACCTGGTGTACGAAGCACAAATGTGAGCTATCGTGCGAACCTACTCGCAGTTCTGGGAAATAAGCGTGTGGACCGTTTTCTTCAGACGTGTGAATCGCGTTGGTCCATCCAAAAAAGAAACAAATTGCACTTCCATTTACGGTCATATTACAATCGAGTGCGCAGCCATTACAAACAAAGACCCTGTCTTATTATTTACGGACACTCTCCATCAGGACTTTGCCTTTCGTTCCTCCAATTTGTCCTGAAAAGCTTGGATTTAATTTTTCACCAAAATGACTCTCGTTGAACTCAGTTACCGTACCGCAAAATATTGTCGAATATCGTCAGCTGTCACCGTTTGCTTGGACTCTGCAAAAGTCTTCAGGTAATTCTTCAGATCCTCCTTCATTTTCTGATAGGCCAATACACCTGGATGGAAAGGTTCAGCCTACATCTTACTGTGTTCTCGGCCGAAACCGTCATACCATTGATGGCCATTTCTCGATCCATGCTGTTGAGTCTTTTCAATCCCATATCGTGGATGGACTCATCTAGCGGAGGTAGTACGTAAACGGCTGTAATCATTTCTCATGTTGTCTATGATTTGAGTAGGCAGACCTGCATCTAAATCTTCTTCTGGTTCAAATGTTTCTTCCTCAAGTGTAATGAAGGACACATTTTCGTCGATGTAGATAGCTTGACACTAAACATTCAAAGTGTCGATTGACATCTGCTCAAGTCCGCCTACCCTGAAGAATCGTGCGGTTACCTGCTTGCATTGACACAACTCTTCACGCCAGCCCTCCTTGCAAAATAGGTCGGGTACAGACGCGTTTTGGACCGGTGGAACTTCCTTATCTAATGACCAATACAGTTGGAGGACCTTCCCGGCAGCGCTACGCTGGACCAGTAAACGCACCTGCAATTAGGCATAGAGTTTCCCCCGTGGCCTCTGCCTCTAGACGCAGTCTTTTGCTCGGAGCAACATGTTCATCGTCATCATGTCTCGGGCGTTTAGTCTGAATCGATGGATCGGTGACTTTCGTTTCCTCGTTTACTGATCCTTCCATGAAGAGAAACCTTGGGCAATCGAAATATTTCCGTATGAAAGGAAGTCTGCTAACACAATTGCGACAGATGTAATCGTATGAGGAATACACTTCATCATCCAAGTCCTGAAATAGTACGTTTCATTGACGTGCCAGATATTCAGTACCAACCAACTATTTATTCACATACCTTTCCGATGCATCGATCGTGCATCTGAAATCGTGCAACATATGAGCCTTCATATGAATCTCGGAATTTGGCGTACTACATGACGTACCCAATCTGAGAAAAGACGGTTATCAAATGGCATTTTGCATCAATCCATCAGAAGCCTCACCTTCACATATAATACATTGGTACATGGTTCCCTCTTCCGTCTCCGGGTCGTAAGGAGTATTGCAGTAGCAGAACTCTCCGGCAAAATTGTGATTGTATGTGTTCTCAACGTTATTTGCCCCGTCTTTCTTCTGCAAAGAGCATTTTCCTAAATTTCGAGACGATTAGTGAAAGGTTTGACGTTAGAAATTGAGTAGGTTCCTGAATACCTGGCATTGCCGCGGTTCCGCAATCACATCGAAAATGTCTTTTATAAAAGAGTTCGACAACTTCATGCGTTGTATGACACTATGCCGGAAAATACGCCGCATATTAACAAGAGGAAAACATCTTAATGTTTACACGAAAGGGTAGTAACCTACAGAGACACTGATCAGACAAGTAAGCTTAAAACGATGTGCTTCATTGTGCCGCATTTGAACTCCAAGAACAGGACTTACAAGCATCCATAGCATACACCAGCTGCACGGTCACCGGACGCTTGGCATGTTTTGCAAGCATACACTTTTTGCCGCAAATATCCGTCGTTAAAGGAGCACCGATCTATTACTCCCTGCAAATGAATTGAAAGCATGTGAGGGGCAATAGGAATTGAGTTCGACGGGGCCTTAACGCACCGGTAGAACCTCTGAAGCTTCAAGAACGAGCTGCTCCTGCTGTAACAGGTAGTCTACAGCGGTAATGGTATTGGTATCGTCACCCTTTGTTTCCGCCATGGGATTCTTGAAAATGTTGGCTGGCTCTGGGAGGAGTTCGCACTGCACCAGCACGACGCGACCGTTATACAACATTCAGTTTTTCAAGAAACGGTTGTGATTCCTCCTCAACCAGACTTTACACAATCGCTGTGACAGCATGAACGGTTGATGACACAGACAATCGTATGTTTGTACTTTGGCGGCATTCTAATATACAGTATAATGCCCAAAAATGACAACTGAAAATGGCTAGAGTCCCTCAAGATTGCCACTTTGCCTGACCAATACACATTTGATATAGATTGCTGCTGTGTTTTCCCATAGGCTTGCTGCTGTGATCCTCGTTACTATACTTGCAATACCACGGACAGGTGGTAAGAACATCTCAAATTACGGTGTGAGCTGCTTACTTGATCTCGTACGACCGACAACCCGGAAACGTGGTTCAACAATTATTTTTCCAACAGCTGGCAGTTTTACAATTCACTCCAGATCTAACAATCACATAATGGCAAAAAAACGATCTCGAACAGCAAAGGATGCAAAAGACGCAGCACCTCGAGACCTTGCACCGACCCAGGGCAGCGGAATTCAAAAGGACATGCCGCGCAAATACCGCAATCTACTAGCCGCAGAGAAATTCTCAAAGCGAGGGAAGAATGTTACTGGGAAAAATGGTGAATTACCTTGTCACTGACAAGTTTAAAAATCGATTGGTTCTTATTGTTTTATTCAGATAACCAGGTCAGATATACGTTTGCGAACACCTTGACCCAATTTTATCTAATGCTTATGACAGTCAGAAGATCGCAGGCCAGGCGAATCCTTGGGCGACTACAGTAAACGTGTAGATGACAAGGTTCGATCTCTCGTAAACACTGCAGTCAAATCTGTCAGCAAGACCCGACAAAAAAAGAAGGAATGGCTGGCGAAGCGAAAGGCAAAATCAACGTCAAAGCGAAAAGGGCAAGCCTCAGATGATGAGGACGACCGTCGATTGGGGAAGGATAATGTCAAATTCGGAACCGTTGCAATGCAGCCCCCTTCTATCACTGCTGTCCCCAAGCAACGTGGCAATAATGTAAGCTTTTGTCAGTTAGTATATGCTGGCTGTCCCATATGTATCGTTGATGTTGTGTTTCTGTACCTTAGCAGGCCGCAGCGATTGCCGCACTACAAAGGCTCGAAAATGCAAGAGCAGAAAAGGAACAGGAATCACAGCCAAAGGACACTGAGGTGATAAATACTGTTGGAAGGAAACGAAAATTAAAAACCCTTCCAGAGGTGGAGCGAATAGCGATAACAAATGAGAGAGAGAGGGCCATTGCTCACTACCGAGCTATCAAGGGAACGCTAACTGCGGAGAGACCCGAAGAGGAAGATTGATTTGCACTTGTAAATAAGCAAGAACACCTGTATATAGTTTTCATAGAATAAGTTCACCGCACGATGGCAAGCATGATTCGGCATATGCTACAATGAAGGGGCAGTTGGGGGATTATGCCAGAGAAGCACAGCAGAACGAATCCAAAAAAAGTTCGAACAGTAGCGTATACAAAACTATGAACAAAAATTAAATTCTACAAGAAACAAAAATAACCAAGTTCCCACTGTACGGGCCATATTGCATGCCGTTGCGTGAACTCCACCCCAGTTCTTCATCCCATCCCCGTCACCACTGTCCTACACCCTGGGCTTGTGGTTGGGCCTGTTGCGTCTGTTGCTCAAACGCTTTGATGTTGGCGATGCGCTGCTCAACCAAGTAAAAAATATACTCATCGAACAGAAGGCGCAAAAGATGGAAGGATCCAAAACTTGTCGCACTCCGTAGCGTTAGATCACGCATGGCTAACGAGCTATAGAACGCCCACTTGAGGAGGAACTGGCGCGCAACGTAAACGTAGCGCTGGGGATCTAATGACTCATCCAAAAAGCGGTTGACGACCGTTTCCAGCCAGTTTGTCCAATGCTCCAGCTTTCCCCCCGTCTGAAGCAATTGCCGAAAATCGATCTCCATAATTTGCATGATATCTGCTTTTCGACATTCACAGACCCAGGAAGCCTGATCGCGGATGTTCTCGAAATCGATTCTGTTCCAATCAGTCAGCATCTGATTCACCTGATCTTGATTGTCTAGAACTGCGGCGGCTGCCTGCGCCAGATGATTAAGAGATGTGTGTCGGCGCAGCTGCTGAATGAATACTTTGGCCACTAAAGTAGAGTGATTACGTATTAGTCCCTCCATCCTAGCACGTTTGAAACGAGCAACAAACCTTCAATTTTCCTGGAAGTTAAAAGCTGGGAATATCCTTCAAGTGCTTTCAGCATCCACCCTTCCAGTTGACGCGCAAATTGTCGCACTGCTTGTATGATTTGAATTGGCATCATTTGGAGCACATTTGGAAGTAGAAGGTTCATGATAGTCTGGACCAGACACATACTGGTTACTGCATGTTCAACACAGGGCAATTTAGATTCACGTCGACTTACATCGTACAATAAGGAATCGTATCTCCAAACGTATTCTACGATTTCAGAGCTGTTGACAATGTCACGGTCTCCAGAAGGAAGATTCTGCCAGTAGCTCTTGATAATGGTTTCCACTTCGTTGAACTTCATGTACTGGACGCTTTGCAAAATGTTCTGGCAGTGTTCCTTGTAGCCGTCCAGCAGTGCTCGGGCAGCTGTGTAACTCATCCCCGCTGGAATCTGCGATTCAAGAATTTCAGGTAGCTCTGGCATCTTGGCTACCAAAGCCTTGTCCAATTGCTGTTGGTGAAGACGGAGCATGTCTTGATCAATGACGAGGCCAGCTGCTGCGGGTTGAGCAAGTGCCTCAGCTTCTCTTCTGGCCACAACGATTTCCATGAGTTCTAACTGCAGAAGAAAGAAGCTAACGAGAATGCAACTACGTACCTCGCTTGTGCTGCTGCAACAATCGCAGCTGTCGTTTCGGCAGATCGCTGCATGGGAGTTGCTGAACTTCGAATTCGAATGTTACAATAATGATATTTCGATTTGCCACGAGTACCAAGTCGCCTAGTTTTGATATCAGGGAACACCGTCCGAATGAGCTTGCCAAATGATGCCGAGTTTACAGGATCGATCCGATGCTCGAGACAATACGAACAATAGTGATCATATAGATTCTGTCGGGGGATACTGATCCCATCGCACGGTTCATAGTTCTCCATGAGCCAATGCGTCACCAAAATGGATCTCGCTTTATCTGCTTGTGGTCCTTGCTGTGCAGCCTTCTGGGCGAGCTGCTCCAACGAGTCCTTCGATTCTAACATCAGTCGGCGCATGTCTGATTCCGTTGGGACTTGGGTATCTCTAGCATTATCCGGATTGCCCGGATGCTCATCGCCCGAATGGTCCCCCTCATCGTAGTGCTCCAGATCGTGCCCATTAGTAGCTCCTTGTGCAAGAACCCCCTGTGCGTTGGCTGCTTCGGTCACCAGCGGGGATTCGGCAGCAAGAGCCTGCGCAGCCGTCATTGCCACAATGTCCACCGCCATGTGATCCACTACTTGTGCCTGGAAAGGACATTTGTTTAGAATAAGGCGGGTGTTCTGGACAAAGCACACCATGTGAGTGAGATCACCGAATCAAACCTACCTCCATAATGCTCCCGCCGCGCGCCGACCAGCGGCCTCCGATGGCTGCCCGCTCAACTCCTTCGCGTTACCGCCTCTTCTCCTACGTCTGTCTTGCTCGGGATGTTCCACTATCGGCCAGTGAAACCCCGTAGCGCGCCGATGTTGCGAGGTGATCCTTGTTCGGTGGTGGTTTCCACGCAACCTTGTTGTCCTGGCAAAACCAAAGCTTGCAATGGCTCTTCCAGGAAGAAAGTGATCACATGAGTAGTGGCGCAGTCGAACTCAGCACGGCGGAGATCCATTTGCAACGACGATATTCTTCGATATTGCATCGATCAAAGTTGCTTTGGGATCTACATTACTTGTTAGAACAACCGCTTACTTTGTAATATTCAAGCTTTTAATGCACAGAGTCTCAAAAGGACATATGCTGCTTGGTAGTGTACGGCTTGGGTGTTGCCAATTCATCCAATGACATGCCGTCAGTAGGAGTGACCAAAGCATTGGCAGGCATTATCTGAATGAAAGAAGAGATACTATTGCTGCATAAACCTTACTATCCAAAGTTCCATGTTCAAGTGCTTTTCAAGTCCAGGTGAATGGAGCAAAAGTTGACCAACCCGATTAGCCGGTTCGAGTGCTTACGGTATCCGCAGGTTGCTCATCAATTGTCCGCTCACCGTCATGACAGTTCCCACCACACAATCTGCCTTTGATAGAACCTGCCAAACCTTCCTTTCGCACTCAAAAAAGATTGGCGATACTTGGCGCTGGGTAACGGTTCGTTGCTTCTCGTTTTGTACAATGCACAAAACGACAAGTGACGTCTTTGGTTACAGCCTGGCGCGTATTTGGCCAAGACTGTTTGGGTGGTGGATAACAGCAATGAGGAGACTGCGAGCAAAGATGAAGAGGTAGTTCTTTTCAGAGTAATTGGCAGTGGATGGTGTACTTGGCGTGATCTGACTTTATAATAGTCAGCCTTGCATGAACCCTCCGACCCGGCAATACTCTCACCAGCAAAGCCAGGCATTACGCTGGAATTCCACGTCATCTATTCAACCACATACGCATGCCCTGTTCTCTATTTCTGTGGCCACACCTCTGCCGGAACAGGGCTCTCTCTGGAGGATATCCGACAGACTGTGAAGGGGCATATGCCAGATTTAGATGAACAAAAGAGGACGGAGTATGACATGCCTGTTGTTTCACAAAAGGTTTGTTTTCCTTTTATTGCTGGAATGTGATATCTAGGGAGGTCTTAACGTCTAGCATCCAGGATCACCCAATATTAGGGATTCCCTTCTACTTCATTCATCCATGTCATACAGCAGACGTGACAGCAGAAATGCTCGAGGCATGTGATTCAGATGCCAATTACTTCGTTTTCTGGCTAAGTCTGGTTGGACAGTTGTTTTCTCCCTTGAGGTTGGTTGAGGTCGGGTATGTTACCTCTGAGACTTGCTGTAGGTAGGCCACACAACACAGATAAAGTACCATTGCATATACTTTCCATAAATGCTGCACGGGACAACAACACCATGCTAAAAACTCAATAAATTAATCATAAAGGCCAGAATTATGTACAAAACGCGTATCCACATGCAATAACGAAATCCACCATATCAATCACATAAGATTCCATCGTTTCAAAACCGCAATAATGACATCCTTGGTAAACGGTTTTCCAACTGCTTCGTCAGCACCGACTTCTCGCAGCTGTTCTTCGGCCTCTGCGTTGCCCACCACCTGATTGGCCGTTGTGATAACCACTGGAGTTCCGCAGCCAAGATCCCGAATGGAGCGTGTGGCTTCGTATCCGTCCATGACGGGCATGACAATGTCCTATAATGAGAGTGTAGAATGAGTACATTTGTCCAAACACGCGAACATAAGTCTTAAAATAATAAAATTTGTCCACGTACCATGAAGATGATATGATACCAATCCGCCTTCCCGGCAACTTTGCTCCTCTTGACCAAATCAACAGCTTCCTGTCCATTCTCCGCTTGATCTATACGCAAATTATCAGGCGGCAACATCTTTTGTAGCATCCGTAATAAGATGCGGCGGTTGATGGTGGAATCGTCGACGATCAGTATTTGTCGCCCACTGTGGTCGGGACGGCAAATAGGTACGTGAGGCGCCGTTATGATGGGTGCACTATTTGTGGATGGATGATCCATTGGTGATGAAAGATTGAGTGGGACTATGGAATTTTGCGGTTGTGTTTGGGTGGGTAGTGAATCCGTGACAGGTTGTTCATGGATAACAGGGGCAAATGGCGGTATTTGGAGCGATTCTTGGTGGTTAGAATGTTCTCCTTGTTTCTTCTCGTCGATTGTTACTAGTTCCAACAGACTATTCGCTCCTTGGTCGACCCGTGTCTGCGCCATGTCTGACAAGCTGGGAGTTTTGATAACGGGTAAGACTAACGCTGGTAAAGGTTCTGCACAATTGTCCGCTTGGAGGGTTGAAGGCGAGTTACCAGCCGTTCTCTGATCTCTCGTCGAGCCCTCACGTTTCGGGGGACGCCAACTTCGTCTCCGTCTCATATTTCCAAACGGCGTAACCTTCACCTCCAGCCCATCTTCAGGACGGTCGTTGACCCGTATCGGCAGAACAACTGTAAACCTGCTCCCTTTACCAGGTTTTGTGTCTACGCCAACCGTGCCGCCCATCAACGCGACAATTTGTTCCGTGATAGCTAGGCCCAGCCCACTACCGCCGTATTCTCGCATTGTCGATACAGCTGCCTGGGCATACGGTCTAAATAAGGTCGCAACCACGTCTGGTGCCATCCCGATACCCGTGTCCCAGACAGAAATTTCAAGGAGGACCCATTCACGCCAATCCGGCTGCGGAGCCGACCACTCCTTTGGAGGGGTGTGATGTATGATCACTGTTGATCCATCCGTACAAGGACTGTCAAGGGGAACCGCCCAAGAAACCGTGCCTAATGTCTCATTTCGAAGCTCTACCATTGGTGAAACGTCTTCACATTCTTCGTGTGGCAGAAGCTCGCGTTCGTGTTTCCCGTTCACATCTGCTGCCTCCAATATCTCAATCATGACTTCCTCCTGTAAGGTCTCCGGCCCCTCTTCTTTCCACGCCTTTTTAGCGAAGCGAACACCTCCCCATTGACATTCTTTGGGTGCCCACCAGCCAGTCACACAACGGACTTCTACTCCAATTTTGCCATTTTCCGGGGTGAACTTGTAAGCATTTGAAATCAAGTTGTTCATGATTTGCTGAAACCGCACCGGATCGGTTTCCACCCATTTTGGAACCTCCGGACTGATATTACAAGAAAACTCGACATCGTGACCCCGAGCCAGCTGTCTGCCACATGAAAAGTTGCCTTCCAAGAGAGTCCAAAAATCGACCAAAACGTTCTCGAGGGACACCCGTCCTGCTTCGAACCTTCCTAGATCCAAAACGTCGTTGACGAGGGCAAGCATGTACTCAGAGGAGAGTTTTATTGCGTGTGCCGATCGGTGTTGTGAATCCTCAATTGATCTCATGGAGGAGTGACTAGGCCGCCGCGGCTGTGTCTTATACTCTGGCCCACGCTGCAAAAGAGGCACCTTTTCGAGCGATTGGGCTGTCACATCTCCTGTGGAATCCTCCTGTGACGAAAGAGGTGTCGTGCTCTCCTTGTGCTGCTTGATCGCAGCCTCTTTTCCCATGTCTTCCAATAAAAATTCTGCCATGTTGGTAATGGCGTGCAAGGGATTACGTAGTTCGTGGCACAAAAACGACAGAAAAACGGCCTTATCCCGGTCCGCCCCTTCCGCTCTGCCCTTTGCTGCATCCAACTTTGTCAATGCATCAGTCAATTCCGCGGTCCGTATCTTGACACGGTTCTCCACGCTCTGATACGCTTTATCTCTCTCCGCCAAGATTGTGACGAATGATAAAGCAGTGAAAATGAGCACAGACAGGAACAGCTGGATCCAGATCAACTGTTGAGAAATGGGAATGATCTGATCTGTGTCCTTGTGAGACTTGCTGAAGATGACCGCGGTGGTTGCCGCAGATAGTGCCACCAACATGGTGGAAAAAGCTGCACCAAAGACACCCAGGAGAGTGCTCATATACAGAACCCACGGGTAACATAAATAGAGTCCGACGATTGCTGAGAAAATAGACCGGTCCAGAAAATACATGCTTATCGCAGGGCACGCGATGACGAGAACGGACAAAACTACGGATTGAATAAATCGTGAGCGCTGGTATCGTATAAAATTCTTGATTTTCTCCGGAGTTGTGCGTCCGATGGAAACAACAAGGGGGGCCGTCAAACTACAATGGAACTTATTAGGTACCTTGAACACCTGGAACACCGATCCTATACGTACGCCATTCCAACAAAGTTCCGACCTAGCCATCTCAGATAAGCAGCATGGTATTCAAAAGATGGATTGATCAGCCACATGGTCATATAGCCACCGCCGAGGGCAGTGATGAGAATTGTTAGACACCCAATCCCAAAAGATATCATCTATAAATCAAGATTTCAGTTTATTCTCGATGCAAGGATCGAAAGTCCGGGCGCACTTACGTGGGCTCTTTTGGTCAAGTCGATAGGACCAGGTTCTGTAAGGAGACTGGCCAAGGTAAATGTTGTAAAAGACACGAGCAGCGCCTCAACCGAGTTTACGATCGTAAACGCTAGACATATCTGCCACGGCCACTTCCATACCCAACTGTTTGGTGAACGTTAAAATTCGGAGCAAAACTAAATCCAAAGGAACCAGGCAGCAAAGTGCTTACTTTACAGTGTATATGCCTAGCGCCATCCAGAATGGGATCAGCCGCCGGGTATATGGTGATGAAACGATCATGCAGCCCTATGGTTCAGGATGATTTCAGATTCTGACATCAAGGTGGATCTCTTTTGCTGACGTACCACATATACTCCGTTGGGCGGCCAGAAAGAGGAATAGTCCTTCAGAGTATATTGCAAAGCTACATACGCGATGATCCACCAGAGAACAGTAGCAGCGATCGCGCTCCTCCACTGGAGACGCCAACAGTCAGATACATGCTGTTACCAGTTGCAATCACAGACAACATACCGGTCTCCACCAAAGTGGCCTTTCCGTAATTGAAGGAGGATATTCTAGTCCGCATGTTATTAACTATGTTGAAATGATTAGCAGGGCGTTTTACCAACAAAACATGTCTCTCCAGCGATACACGATCACAAGAGTATCACATTGCTGTAACGACTTACCAATCTTTTCCATGATCTCCGGCGACTCCATCTGTTTTCCCCAGACCCAGTCGAGTTGGCATTGCCTGCACTTTCATGCCCTGGTCGGGACAGGGAAACCCTTGGAGACGAAACCCTTGCACTGTCCCGTCGTCGACTATCTGTTGTCGGGCGGGGTGCTGACCATTTCCATTGTGGCGGCGTAGCATCCAGCCGTGTAGGCCGTTGTGCAAGAGGCGGATTCTGCAGAATAGCAATCTCCTCCGTTCCCGAGTTGTCTGCAGCTTGAAACGTAGTTGCAGGGCCTGGCTCAGTGGACTCTGATGGAACCATTGACAGATGTTTCGCCATTATATTACGGACAAGATCTAGATTATGGGGAATGAGCTACATAAACTTGGGTCGTCACTGAATCTCCAGTGTACCGTTTGCAATGCCAGCAGGTGCACTCTCTCAAACGACGGCATTCGGAGTTGTGAACGCCGACGAGACGGTGTTTGCGAGTGCAAACTGCCTACGTCAAAAGTGTGTGGTGGCCAAAAGGAACGGAGTCTGATGGAAGCCAAAAACTGTGAAATCTCGAAATCAAGCAGAATTCCTAGTTGGAAGTTGCAAAAGAAACAGTCCCCAAATCCAACTTTAAATTGCAAGTGTCCATGGGCTTGGACCAGAACCGTACAAACTTCTGGAACTTTTCCGAAGGCCCGACAGTGTCTCACAAGGCATGTTTGGGTCATTTGGTAATTAAGAAGGAATGAAAAAGACCCGCGAACCAGTTGGAAATTTCATTTCAAAGCCCATCCCAAAAGGCTTTTTGCTCGTCGTCGTCGTTTAAAGGCAGAAAGGCTTTGGCCAACGGGGCTTTGCCAACGGGCTTTTAAAACAACTTGCTACGACATCGACTGCCAATCTTGGAGGGTTCGTTGATGGCAACCGACTTCTTGGTTGGCGCCCCTGCTTTTTGGAAACTTTCATAGTCCACGCCCTTGGCTCATGGGCTGATCGACAAACTGGACAAGAAGATAGCCAAAGTCGGCCACAAGCCCCCTCTTCCCTCCTCTACCCCGACGAACGAGCGTATGCGATCACTGCGATGGGGCGAACATGGCAAAGATGGGAACCGGCTGTGGTCGCCAAACGGGCGTTTGCCTCCCATTGCTGTACAGATGAGGGATGCTGCCACATGACGCGTTGGATCCTTCCCCAACTTATTTAGGGGCAGGACAATCTGAAGGGATCCAAAGTAACAAAAAAAAACACACATCCCTCTTGCACATTCGTACTCTGTACAGGAAACTTGTTCAAGGAGGGAGGGGAGGGAGGAGAAATGGCCATGGCAACTTGACAACGTACGTCATGGAACAGAAGCAAAAAACGACGACGACATGAGAAAGGGGGGGACAAGGAGAGTCAGGCGAATTCCAAATGAAAAAAGGGACTGTCCAACCAACCAGTCGCCGTGTGAACGCCGCAAAAGTCACTTTTTTGGGATGCAAGCGAGGAGATCAAAGGAAAGCAATAATGGGGAATTTCATTTCAACTCCCCCCTTTTGGTTCCTGCATGAACAGCACCACTCACCACCCTCATGAACTCGTGCTCGCCGCCCCCCACAGAAATCAGGCGTCTGTCGCAATATCCTGTAAGCCCTTTTTTTTGCCTCGTTTTTATCAGCGACACAAGGCTTGGTATCCTGGGGCCCGTCCATCTCCTTTCAATTTTGCCAAAAGGGCACGCTGCATGCACAGTCGCCATCTTGAGCATTTCGCGGTTTAAAACGACCGCACTTGGTCACATCTTCCCTGCAATCTGCAACCTGCTTTCGCAACGCCCACTTGTCCTTTCCACTAATACTTTATGAGTGCACCTCCACCGCTGCCAGCGCCGCAGCGCGCGTTCCCAGAGGGGAGCGATTTGAACATTAGCTGGTCGGCAGGACTGATTGCTACCAGCTATGTCGTCTCAGCTGCAGGAGCATGGGTGGCACTGGAACTGATCAGGTTAAGGACAAGCAATAGAGGATGGTTTAATTGGGTTTTACTCTTGCTTGCATCCTTTGTGACCGGAGGCCTGGCCATCTTCTCCATGCATGTAAGTGTGCGGCTGTTGAATCCCCGAGGGCTAGGAGATTCATGTTAAAAGGTAACCTTTCTATTGGCCGAATAGTTTGTTGGAATGGCTGCCTTTCAACTTTATCATGCTCATGCATCCGTGAAAGTTTTCTTTGCCACGGGGTAAGGTGTCTTTGAAAATGCACAATGACTTTTACACTTGAATTCATTCTCAGCAACGCACAGATTGACTATTGGATCATTGATCGAACCCATTTTCTGCGTTTGCGTGGGAGTTTACATAACTGGAGCACAAGACAATCCATCAAATCTGCGATTGTTGCTGGGAGGTGTATTCGCTGCGCTCGGAATTTGCTTGATGGTATGCCGTTATGCCTTTCCTAGCAGATCCTTGATGGCATCTACTAATTCAGCGCCCTTTGCAGCATTTCACGGCAATGACAGCAATGCGTGTCGCAATTGATTGGATTCCCGCACTTGTCTTCCTTTCGTGCCTTATCGCACTTTTTGCCACGACAACCGCACTATCTGTATTCTTCCGGTTGCGTGCCGTGTGGCAGAATAGTCTTTGGAAACAGTTGGGCTGTGCCATGATCTTGGCAGGAGCAGTCTGCTGCATGCATTACACTGGTAAGATAATCGAGATGGAGCCATGTAAAATGTCGGCATTAATCTTTCTCTCAGGGATGGCCGCCGCAAATTATGCCATAGATCCAAATTTTCCACCACAGAGCGATGCAGTCACGCATGGAACCTTGCCTGTAAACGATGTCTTGCGGATTGGACTCGGTTTCTCGGGTTTCTGTGGCGTTCTTACACTGGGCCTTTTGCTGATGCGATTGCGAAACTATTACTATGGCATCGGCGTTCGCAAAGGTCAATTAACTCTGGCCGTCCTACTTGTTGACTCGCGTGGTCATATTATGGTCGACAGTGAAGGCCACTTACCAACTCGAGCTGTGCTGGGAAACTTTGATTTCGACCCTGCGAGGCCAATGGCGCATCCAGCGCTGCTCTGGCTGCTAAAGACATCGGGTGCTTGGGACAAGATCAATCACTTGGCATATGCTTTCAGAAAACATGGCGGCAGAGTTTACAGACTGCTCCAGGTACGCAGATGGCGTTTGGTTACGGTGTGGATCGAGTTGCAAAACTGCATGGTGCTTACACTACATTGGCTGTATCCCAGGATGTGCTTGTGGATCGTCCAGATGGTGAATTGGCGAATCGCCGTATGCCTTTCTACCGTCTAGCGCTTGTACATGAGGTAAGATTTTGAACAGTCGATGTTGTGCTGTGCGTAGTCTCAAGCATCGGAAACAGGTTGTAACATTGTCAACATTCATGGGCATTCCTTTTGATCGAATGGGCTTGATGTATGATACAGTCTTGGAGGCAAGAGATGGATGGGTGGGCCTTCTTGTAGACCATCTGGATTCATGTCGTGCTGGAGAGCTGGCTGCCAGAGGATTTCGTTGGGTAGGGGTCTTTTGCGTTCGCTGTGCAAGTTTTTCAGTATCTTACCTTTTTTCAATGACAGACCTCGCAAAAGCATGTCATCACTATTCTATCCCGTCACCTCCGAGTGAGCGCTGGTGCTATCAGGCCTATCATTCTGGATGTGCCTGATTACGTCAGCACTCGAACCCGGCCGCTCAAATCTGGTCTGCATGCGGGCGTGCTCCTTGTTCACCCCAAGATAGGCAATTTTCAGATTATGGTTCCTAGTCGGGATCGCTCAACAATTCCAGAAGTGGAGCTTTCTCCGATAGCTTTTGGGGCACTGAAAGACAATGCCCGTCGGTTGAATGCGTACCTTGCCCCCATTCTCACTGGAGGTGGAGGGGAAAGTATGGTTATGGCTGATTATGTTGCGGCGTCCGAGATCTTGTCTGCATTGACGCGAATGGGAATTGGCATGGATCCCGCATCTGCACTGCCGCTAGAATCACTTACTCCACCTGAGAGTGTGCTTGTACTCCACCGTAAAACTAAACCGATGGATGCGCCTGGAGATTCTCCCAAACTCAATCCGCCAAAGAACGGACGAGAAGAATATCCATGGGTCTCACGCGTTCCTTTTGGATCTTGGTCTCCATCGCCAAACTCAGGTGATGTGGACATACTCTTATTTATTCGGTTGCATTCAGCTGTTGGTGGCAAGTTCACCCCTCCCGCCGGTTTTACCCTCGTGGATCTTACCGTGTTCGAGGCGATGCATTATGCACGATGCTTTCCTGCGAGACTCCGTCGCATATTGGGCTTGGAAATGAATGCAGATTTGGACGAAATGATTGTGCCGACCCCACTAGGTCTTTTAGATTCTGGTGATTCCAAACGCACAAGTGCTCAAAAGGTGCCTATATCCAACCTGTGGAGAGATTCTGTTGGCTCCAAAATGTCGGCTACCGATGGGACCACATCCCGAACGTTGAGCGAGGATAAACATGGACATGTGGTCCTCAATGTGGACGACATCTTGCGCGAGGGCCCGCCGGAGGATGTAGTCTCTCGGCCAGCCATGCCACATTCCGGGTCCAAAGGAACCTTGGTAAATCCTCCGGAGTCAACCCGTTTGTCACTGCCACGTCGCATGTCGTTGCACAAGCTGAAAAAGGCACTCGGATTCACTGATCGTAGCGCCAAAGACGCGACCAACGATCATTTTGTACCCGACTTGTCCATAGATGCCACTCCTCTTGCAGAATTCCGTCCTCACTCTGAGCCATCTGGTGCCCTGAGTGACGATGACGAACCCATCCCCGATGCTTTGGGCCCCGAGGCTTCGCCGGCGGCCAATGCATGGCAGGCCGTACGTTGGGTCAAACTATATATTAACGCGGACTGGAGGCATTTGCTGAACGCTGGAACGAAGAGCAATGGCATTGGCGGATTCTTATTTGGAGGTCCTAACTGGTCGAAAATGAGCATCAATGGAGAAGATGGTGGCCGCGTTTCCAGGAGCAACAGTGCAACATGAAAAGAACCTGAAAGGGCGTAAACTTGATAATTGTGACATCGTCCTAAGTTGCATATTAACTACAGTAGATACTTGAATATTTGGCCTATATGATTATTATTTTAGTGATGGTAGCGTTCCTTTTTGTGTAGCTTGAAAGCTTGCGGGATATCGTATTTTTGATATAGTGATATGTTTGCGTATATTGTAGATAGTAGTTAAACACAATTGAATTAATTAAACATGCCATTAATTGACCCTTGTGCAGTTGAGAAAAACGGATCGCCGATTCCTTCGCAAAGGGATGTCTATCTGGAGACATCCCGCGCAAACCTCACGGCGGCGACCATGGCTGGGCGTTAAATTTCCTTTATAAAAAGACCGTTGAGCGGATGGCCCTTCCAAGCCGTACACTCTCGTGTGCTAGCTGTGTGCGTACATTGGTTATCTTGAGCTTTGCCTGTTTTAAACCCGTTGGCTACAGCTTTCCATACGAGCTTCAGTAACGTTTGATGCAAGCTGTATCCCCACAGGTGGCTATACTGACATAACTTTATTTCCTTGTTCCTTACTTGACCCGCTAATTTGGGTGTCTTCAGGCGTTCATCCAGAGGCCAGAACCTGAAATGCACCAGAGGGCACCTTGATGCTATAGGTACGGATAGAATCCGTGCAGAATGAGAGGGAAAATCGCATCAAGATATCATCGATCCTGCAGCCTCCTTGGTTTGGTCGGAACAATATGGCCGTTTCCTATGCGATTACGCAAACGCCAACATGTCGGAACGCGAAGGCATATCGAGACACATGGTTGGCCAAACAGAACATAAGGGTGTATGCGAGGGTTATTTTGACCATTTAGTTCAGGTAGGACGGTGCATGACCTGAAGCATATCTCCGCATCTGGGGACATATTATTCCTCATGTAGTCAGAGGGAAAGTCTAGATCCGCGTTCGTGAACCCCGTCCCTTATAACTAAACCGTAAGAGGTTGTGAAGCAGCTAGAAAAAAGGCGAACTTGGAAATTGGTGGAAAACCCTTTACCATTTTGACAGCCGCCGTTGGAGGCGACACATATCGATTATACAATGGCACGCGCTGACGACGTGGATCTGGATGCGACGCATACGGATTTGCGGGAGCAGGAGCTTTCACTGCCGACAATTTTGGGTCGCATGCCAGCAAGAACACGCCCAGCACAACGCGAGGATGTGTTGCCTAAAAGGACACGCAGACATGAACGATTTCAAGCACCCGAGCAATTGGGCATAAGTTACTTCGCATCGGGCCTTCAAGCCTGTTTCTCTGTTGTTGCCTGGGGAGTATTCTTTTTTGTTTTGGCCCATATTTCGAGGACCTGTCGTGTTGGAAAGTTGATTCTCATCTGGTTACCCACTGGCGCACTCGCATCCGCCATGATGAGAACGGACACGGCGGTACGATACGTGTTAGCGTTATTTTACGTGCTCATAGTGATGGGATCCATGGCTATGGAATTTCCTATCGCTACAGCAGGCGTTGTTGCAGTCTCTTCTGGTGTTGTCGGGGTGCTTATATCAACAGTGATGCGATGGGCGGTCCCAAACGTATCAAAAGGGCTGGAGACTTTGCGGGGAATTGTGATTTTCTCATGTCTCATTCCGGTATCAGCTCTGTTGGAAACTTGCTGCTTTGCATTAGGGATGTCGTCTCTGCAATTGTTAGCTGGAGTTTCTTACAAGCAGCTCGTTTTCAACATGTTCCCGCCGGTTATGTTGGGTTTGCTAGTAACCTGCCCGTTTTTGACGACCATGGATAAGAGGAAGGCGATTCATGTTGTGTGGTTTTGGAAGCAAGGCTATATGTACGAGGCTCTATGGTTTACTCTTTCGATTGGCCTGGCAGTCGGCTTACCCTTCACATTCGCCTCGGTTCCCAATAACAATTTTGGACCAGTGTTCTTCTACATGTTTCCACTGTCGATGGCCGTGGCTTTAACGACCGGCATGTCTGGTCTGTGTGTTTACGCGGCAGTGGCCATTACCTCTGTGCTATCAGCGAATATTGTACTAGTACAACCTTCCGCTCCTGTGGATACCGACTACACCTCCTTTCGCACTGAGATGTTGCAGCGATTACAATACTGGGTCTGTGTGATGATGACCGCTGGTCTAATGCTAGCCGCTGCTGTCGCCGAAAGAAATGCTCTTTTAGCGATTCTAGAACGTAAAGAACGGGAACGGGAGCGGAATAATCGTGACGAATCTCTTAAGCGACCTAGTGCTGCTTTGGCAGCCTCTGAATCTAGCATGGTGCTCGGGTTTGTGTGCAATGAGCTACGTAAGCCAATAGAGGACATTGTGCGGATGACGGAACCCATGGCCCTCGTGGGAGAGGATGCTTTTGCGGCTGCTTCTGTCTCGTTATGCGGTCGCGCCATCAAAAGGTTGGGAGAGCACATTCTTCAGTTACTAACAGATGCCTACGACTTTGCGCGGATTGGCAATGGACTGGTGACACCCAAAGTGTCTGTAGTGAATCTGCCGGAGTTGCTGGAGCAGATTACGACTGCCGTACGTGCTCAATATGGAAACCGGAAGATCCAGTTGGAAGTTCGACTTGCGCCTGGCTTACCCCAATACGTATTGGTTGATGAAAGTTGCTTGAGACGGGTATTACAAGTTCTTTGTGCCAATGCTTGCAAGGTAAGAATCCTTGAGCGTAAGCTGTTTAGTACAGAGACTGAGTAAGCGGATTCGTCACTAGCATGTTTCGCGACGCAGCCGCATCATCTTTGATGCCGTTCTGTCAACAAAATACTCCCGCGGCGGAGAAAAGAGAGATACTGTTGACGTTGATATGTCCATTACAGTAACGGACTGGGTATTAGAGCACCCCCAAGCCGACATTTTGCTCCGTCCTTATGCTCACCTCTCGGCCACGACAACCGCAACGGCGGATCTGTCACTCGCGGTTGCCAGCGGCTTTGCGCGCTGCATGGGTGGAAGGGTCGTCGTGTTTGGCCAGCATGGTCGAGGAACGGTCTTCTCGTGTAAATTTCCCCTTCGGGTTTTGGAACGGCCGCCCAGTTTGGGCGAAATGGAAATGGGTGACTTGGGGGTATCAGAAACTTCTTCGATAGCATCCACTCCCCCAGCCTCATTACCCACGACGTTAGAACGTCCAAGTCGACCACCGTTGCTGCGTCAACTTACCGGTGCAGCTGGCAATGCTGCTGGGGCCCTACTTACCAAAGATATTTCCCGCCGGCTGTCTTTGGGGACTTTGAGAAGAAGGTCAAGAGATTACGCTGCCGTTTCTGGTAATGAAGCAACTATGACTGTAGAACACACAACGGAGGACTACCCTCCAGATACCCCTCCCGAAACCCACATCGGCGAAATTGAGCCTGTGGAGTCTGGGCCATCAGATTTTAAAGATTCCAAGAAGCTTGTTCTCGTTGTAGACGACTCGAGCATCAGCCGTGCGATATTGGTGCGTATGCTGCAGAGGTATCCGCAATTAGATGTGCACGAAGCGGCAAATGGTTCGCGGGCGCTGCAACTCTGCCTTGCACAGACGTTTTCAATCATTTTCATGGATATGGAGATGCCGGAAATGACTGGACCTGTAAGCATCTGTGCTTGGTCGTCTTCAGGAGGGTTGGATATCTTACCTGAGAGCTTATTTAACGCATGTTATAGGCGGTAGCTCTGCGTCTCCGCCACGAAGGCCTCACCGCACCCATTATCCTTACAACGGCCAATACGTTAGGCCAAGATCAACTTCGTCAATCTGGAATTAACGAACTGCTCGTTAAGCCCATTACCAAAGAGAATATCAAAAATGTGCTGAGCAAGTACGGTGTCATTGAAGAACTCGAGCCGACGTATCCACCCGAGACACCACTCAGTTCGGCCCCAACCACTATGGAGCGGTCCGAGACAGCTGATCTCCTTCCCAAGCACCCAAAAGATGGCATAACGGGCTACGAATCTCCGAAATCAACACCATCATCTTCTCTTAGCCGCCCTTCCAGCCTGTTCCGCCCGCAACACCTACTGGTGGGGAACGCCGCGATATTGGTGGTGGATGATAACCCTATCGGCAGAGCGCTATTGAAAAAAGCGCTGACCCAGATCTTGCCAGGACGGGACATTGTCGAGGCGGCGGACGGATCTGAGGCGGTGGCTAGATGTGCAGCTGGTGAGAAATTTGCCATCATCTATATGGATTTAGAAATGCCGCATATGGATGGAGATGTAAGTTCGCACTGTCTTATTTTCTAATTGTCACACAGTCAGAAATTCAAACATCACCACCCAAAACAGATTGCTGCCACTCGCATTCGCAATATGCGCGTAGCGTCTGGCGGTCCCCCCATCGTGGCCGTCACAGGGCATGGTCTCGACTCAGAGGCCTACCATAGCCTCCGCGCTGCAGGGATAAACGAAGCCATCAGCAAGCCCGTCGCGCGGGAAGTCCTTGTTGATACTCTGCGCCGGTATGGCATCCTTGGTATATCCCCCAGCCCCTCAGGAACAACGTCCCCGGAATTTGAGCGCAAAGATGCGGGATTCGCTCCAGTACGGATGGGTTCTTCCGTCTCTGAATCTGTGGTGCGGAGCGCTCCTGGGTCATCGCGGTTAATGACACCGGATTTAGGAGCTGCCGTGCGTGCATTGAGGGACAGAGAACGCCTATCACCCCTGTCCAGGTCCAGAAGTCCATCTCCTGAAAGAAAGCAGCCTCATCGAGGCGAATCTGCGGAAGCAGGCAGAAGATCGACCATTTCCTCCGGATCTTCTCCTACATTCAAATTAAAGGGTCGATCAGGCGGTACGTCGCCCGATACCGCATCCCCTCCCGAGCATGCTGCAAATTCACCTGGGGATCTCCGGCGAATCCTCCTGCGCGGCGGATCACCCGTCGAGATCCCTCGTCGTCGATTGGCTTCGGCTCCGGATGTCGGGCTGAGTAGGAACTCTGGGGTGGAATGAGCGGTATTGATAGAGCACAGCTCTCAAATGTATACATTATTGTTCGTTTGTTTATTGTGACGTGATATGTTGTGACTGCGACTGCTTTATTTGATGCATGTCTTATTTTAATCACCATTTCTCCGCTGAATCTGCATAAATATCATCCAAGAAGAATTAGGAACGTACACACATGCTAATATGATAAACAATTAACAATAGCGCACGAATATATGTATCCACAATTTGATTCCTTCAGACAAGCATGTAAATGATAGTAGTATAAGCCGCGTAGCTATGATATAGCAAACTTGCATCGCTAAGGTGTCGTCTATATGTGTCCAAAGTCCTTCCTCATGAATGAATGAGTTTTCGGGTACAAAGCAAGGTTGCGCAGCGTGATCTTGACCTGATCCCCCAATCCCCAACGATCATAGTCCGCAAAACGCAGGCAAATGAAGCCTGAAGATTAAAAAAGACCAAGACTGCTTGAGAAGTCAAAAAAACAAATTCCGAAAATAATCAGAAAGTGAGTGCACCATTTTAGAACATCAACTCGGTGCTGCCAGTTATACGTTTTACAGTTATTCATCACTTTGACATCTCTGAAGCTAATACTCAGGCCCTCAATTTATACTTCAAGTCTCGGGTGACTGATATACATGAGTGTGCTGGCTGCAGTTGCGAATCAGATGCGAATCCGACAGTAAATCAGTTCTTGTGCCTACTTCGAAACTTTTGAGACTTAAAAGAGCATTGTAATCGTAATATTGACTGCTGTTATTTTGGTGGCTCGGATGTCTACGCCCGTCGCAAGATAAATTATTGACTGGATTGACAGGTATGCCTTGATAAGGTCATTCACGACCTGTTGTGCAGAAGAAAAACCGCTCAGTATCCTATCTGCAACCCGACTGGATTGTCAAGTCTAAACTCGAGATGAACGCTAACATGTGGTTTAATGGCTCCTATGAAAAGGAGAGAGTGCCCAACTGGGTCTTTTAGAAGGACGACATTTCTTCTTGGTGGTCGAAGTGGGCATGGAATGATAATCATTCAGACAAGAAAGCACAGCACGGGCTCCAAAAAGAGCAAGGTTGAGGAAGAAGTGAGATTCATGCACGATGGCGGTTATGTTACCTCTTAAATGTGCATTATGAGGGGACTCGCAGCCGCCGGCCGTAGCTCTCCCCTCTAGCATTAATCATCAGCAGTAGTGGGACAGCACTCGAAACATTTTCGTCCTCTCGCTGAATTCACTCGGCCCCCAATGTACTCAATATACGAGCAGATAACACAGTACATCCCTCGCAAGGAAGCGTTAAAAACTTTGGGTGTATTAACCGCCTTAGGCCGAGCTAAGGTCATTCAGAATGTCGATCCTTACCAGTGCCGACCTTGGATAGTTGAAGGTACTGGCGGAGCTCACATCCGCCCTGGGTTTCTCTTGCCATAACGACAAGGACGACTGTGTTTGAATGATATATTCACGGTGACGCTTGCTGACACCACTCTCAGCGTTAATTCCATTGGGGAATTGGTATTTAATATACCATATTACAGTGCCCACCGGCTGGCCAAAAGTTTGAACATTTGCAGTCAAGGAACATGCAGACCCTCCTAATGATTTATCTGGCTGTGATGTTATCCGGTGCGGCGAGAATCGAAGAGATGAAGCCAGCGGTATCAAACTGCATCATAGTAGGAGTCATTGAAGCGGTCATTGCTGAGAAATACTTCGGGGATCGCCGGTTCTCCGTAGATCTTGTTAATGAATATTCGCAGGCGGACTGTGTGCCTAGGGATCATCGTGAAGTTCAACACCACAGAGATGTGTCAAGCCATGTGGGGGATGACTGCCACCAGGTACCGTAGCCCGTCCATCTACGCTGGACTAAACTCGTAGATAATTTGTTAAATCTGCCTGGTAGATGGTGCATGGAAAGTAACCGCGAATATTTAAACGTCCTTCCCGCGGGAGGACTTAATGAAGTCCCGATCCCCAGAGGAATAACGTCAAGAATGACGGTGTCAGCAAGCCTTGTTCCATAGATGTATGATCCAAGAGCAGGCTTCGTTGTCGTTTTTAGTCAGAGAGCACGCAACGCGGAAACGAGCTCCACCACTTGAAACCTATCTACATGGACGAATGGGCGGACCGGTGTCCTTGCGCAACCACTTACGATCTTCCATATGCGAATCATGGAAGTGTGGTCATGGAACCCTGCCAATCGGAGTAAAAGGCAAACTATAACTCGTGAATTTACACATCCTTACCTAGAACCTCATTGTGCGAGTGTCTAGTCAACTAGAATGGTCAACACGAGCTCGGAGGAAGACGACGAAGATGGTGATCGATCTTATAAATGGTTCAGGCAAGAGGCACTCCTTACTGCCGGACTTTAATATCTTCAAGTTCACAATGAAAGCGGAATTTTGGCGTCCTGACTGCCTGTTTGGCATTATCGTCGAAGCATGGACAATATTTCAAACCGCATCTGGTTTTTCGATGAGATCTAGGAGTGACACACTTTCACGATTATCAGAATTCTACAAGCTGAGAATTAACCTGCTGTCTCTAGAATATTTGGAAATGCTTGCTAATTGAAATCTTTGATTTTCCAACGCTTTCGTTCCTCTCAATAAGTCACTGATGTTAAACTAGTCAAGACAGATGGATTTTCAGATTTTTCCTTGTCCCATCGCTGCCTATGAATGTCCAGCAGTGGGTCATGGGCAATGTCAAGTAGCGACAAGGACATCACATGGCCGGCAGCAGAACCTTTTGTCAACTGCATAGGCCACATGTCAAGTGAGCCATGTCCCAAAAGTGTGACAGAATTTTGCAGGAGCGCATACAGAAATGCTTAACTCTGCTAACCCTATGCTACTAGTATTGGAAACACATGGGGTGACTTCTACGGGTTCCACTGAGAGCCTTACTGGAATAAATAGCAAAATGTGCGTACTTGCTGGGTCACTTTATGCTTCAATCTTGAAGTTGCTCAGTGTCCTCATGACATATACAAGAAAAGAAAATACGCTGGGATACAGCCTAGATGCGCTTCGGTCCCTTTTCGTAAACATCCATAGGTGTGAACACCCTTGCCCAAGTCACAACTACAACCAGTATAACTAAACATTAGAAAACTCGAAAATATAGAAAAGAACTTGTTCCAACGAACTCCTTCCGAGGAAAAAAGAAAGCGCATCAATGTTGGCAGCGCTCCCGGCCAGGGTCGAACTGGCAACCTCTCGGTAGCTAGTAGCTAATGCTAACAGCCGAACGCGCTAACCAATTGCGCCACGGAAGCTGCATGAAGTGATATGGAGATGATACATATATCCAAATTTTCGCGCCTCTGGAGATGGTCAGAATTGTAAATTCGACGTGGGAGAAAGTTCGAAGACGGACCAAGTCTGAACTACAATTATACTTCTATTAATGAAAAAAAAATGCTTCCAAACCGACATCAATAAACCTCCTACTACTTTTTGGTTCCTCATTCATACAGAACGAAAGTAAATCGTCCTTTCCTCCCCCAAACAGAATGCATACAGTAAAACAAAAACAATCCAAATAAAACCTTTGAAAACAAAAAAAAAGCGGAAATGACCCAAGAAAGACAAGAAAAGCTACATACAAGAAATCGTTTCTTGGAAATGAACCGAGAGCAAAAGACTCTTTAACCAACGGCTTTCCGAGAAACAGCGCCAACACGTCCCCAAAGACTTGCTACAAATCGCTCCAAAACTCTCTTATCCTCGTCTGACATGGCGCCTTCGGCATCAACGTCGCAATCGTCGCCCATGAGGAGGAGAGCTTCGACGAGGAGGATGGCGTGGCGGTACATGCTCTCGCATTGAGAGTGAGAGGGTTGGGACGAGAGTTCATTTAGGGCTGCGGTACGGGACTGAAAGATGACCCTTGTTTAAGCAAAAATGTATGAATCATGTCTAAAAAACATGGGTACTCACCACTTCCAAAGCCCGATCGTACACGACTCGCTCAACACAACGTCGCCCTTCTTCTACGCCTGATCCTTCAATTTTCCCTCTGCACGTCTCAGCAGCATCCAAACACTCGTTAAAGCGTTCTCGAACCCATTGCACAGCGGTGCTCAAAATGCGCAAATTGACACCACCGCTTCGAGACTCCCACACGCCTTTAGCAACCTCTATACCAAGCTGGTAGCATCGAAGAGCTAGAAGGTAGCAACCGAGGGCTTCCTCTGCAGTCGTTGGAGACACAGAGGATGACGAAAGCAGGGAATCACCGAGCTGCTGTACGGCGTGGCCTCGAAGGGCGCAAAGATTCAGGGTGTCAAGCAGAGGATGGTATCCCTCAGTTTGAACGACCTCCAAGCCAGAGTGGATATTTGGGCCTGGTGAGCCTGTTCTACCGCCTGTCCCACCGGCAGTGGCTGCTGCCGCATAGGCTGCTGGAGGAGTGGTCCCCAATATTCCTCCTGGAGAGCCTGATCCTCCAGAGTTACTGGAAGAGACGTTAAGGAATTGATGTGTCGATTCGCGCAAGGATCCGAAAATACGACCTATCGAGGAAATATAAAGTATGTTATGACACACCAAACAGTCGATCTGCTTTTCGCATACATGCATACCTTGTGTCTTGGGCTCAAGTCTAAGACTCCGAGGACTATGTGGCGACCCAGATGAAACGGAAGCACTGGAAGACGTGCCAGAACCAACGAGACCCGATATCGGCACAGGGACGCCTTGACTCGATCCCGTGCTAGGACTTCTTCCCCTAGCAGGAGGAAGAAACACGGCATGTCCGGCGGCAGCAGAGATAGGGCTGACAGGACCCGACTCGCCGGCGCCTAGATCTTGAGCATTTTTGCCCACCGCTCCAGCTACCTCATCGGCAAGCCAATTGACCTCAACAACCCGTTTTTCGACAACGACATATTCTTCCAGGCTGGCCCTGACATTGCCGTGGCTGCCGCTTCCGCTTCCGCTGCCACTACGTGCACTTGTTTCCAGCCGCCGAGCGACTGGCGGTGACAGAGTTGCTGGTGGATCTCCTACCGTTTCTTGCTCTCCAACGACATCATCGGCGTCCGCATCGCTCAATTCCAGGGACCCCAACGAGCTCAGAGAGGAGTTATTGTTGCCATCTCGTGTATCTTCCTCAGGTCCTGGTGCCTGCGCACTGGAACCTGGTACAGGCTCGACACTACCGGTGGCATGAACAAAAATGGAAGGATCCACATTGGCATATCCAGGAAAAGGCGGCTCGATCGCGACACTGACTCCACCACGTGTGTGGTCCAACATGTCGACTTTGCGCGCGTGGCTGACATCTTCTTCAACGACAACTGAAGAAAATGGTGGCACTTTCTCCCCTTCAAATCCAACGGATGCCTCCTTCCGAACTTCATCCCTGTAATCCGAATCATCCCCAGGGATTTTCATCCTCCCTCTTTCGGACCCAGTCCGTTCCAGTCGCAGATTGTCGCTGTATCCATAGGTGGGAGGATGCGGCCCATATACGATCTCGTCGGCTTTTACATGAAACACCGGTGCAGACGTCTGGCGCTGCATATCAAGGCGCTGAATGTGGCGCATAGGTGCAGATGACGGGGAAGGATGCCGCATGCTCTGGTGGTCGTAGACGTCTGTCGGATGCCCAAGTCCAGATCCCGCGGTGTACTGCGACGACGAGGCCAGCATGTCTGCTTCAACACGGCCAGCAGGAACCGCATTCGGATGAGCCATTCCGAGGACCTGCGTCTGAGACTGTCTTAGACTTGATGGATGGGTCACGGTCGTCTGTTTTGCGGGTGATGTATGGACACGGTACAGTGGGGCCGGCATTTGGGCATCGCCTCGAGGTAAGCCGAGACCCTCTGAGATGGCAATATGTCCTCGGTTCGTGACATCAAACAGCGGTTCAGTACTGCTCGGTCCCAATGCAAATGGAGGATCCCCTTCAAGAGCAATACTGCTTGGTATTGATGTCGTTCCTTTTTGTGAAGAAGACGATGGGCTTCGCCGTAGGGTGCCCCTCAATAAACCCTCACTAGCGTTAAAGGATCCGACTGTGTGCCCGCCAATAGCCCGGTTGCTGATGACGCAAGGATCGGCAAAGAACGCTTCAAACGACATTCGCTCAGAGGGATTTCTCTTTAGTAATTTCCTTATCAGATCCTTCAAATCATCACTTATAGGCTGTGCTCCCTGCATATGAGGAAACCGTGGGCTTGAACTGGGACTAGTCCCCAATCTTCTGCTTGGGGATGACGACAGTGCATTACTTCTTCTCCCAGCTACCATTGACGCCATGTCTTCACCTGGAAAAAGAATGATGCCTTCACCGCGTTCAATCTTCCTCAACAGGTCAATGTGATTTTGGGCTTTGAAGGGTGGCCGCCCAGTTACCATTTCGTACAGAATGGCACCAAAAGACCATAGATCTGCTTTGGCATCATATCTGTCCCCGCGGAGAATCTCTGGCGCCATATAGAGGGGGGAGCCGCACAAGGTAGATGCCAAGGACTGGGAGGGCAGCGCACGAGCAAAACCAAAGTCAGCCAACTTGAGCATTGGCAGAGGCGGTACGGTGACGTACGTTCCGGGTTTCGCAGGATTGGGTATTCGGACGGCTGGTGAGTCTTGAGGAGCTGGTGACAGCAGTACATTCTGTTTTCTTCCAATCAGCCATTCGCTCTTTTGGAAACAACGACCGGATAGTTTAAGCATACCTGCGGCTTCAAGTCGCGATGAATCAAGCTATGGGCTCGCAGGAATTCCATCGCCGAAGCTAAACAAGATGCAAAATAAACCGTAAGTCCCCTTGTACGATTTTACATTCTGTTTTGATATGGAGCATACCGAGCTGCTTCAGAAAGTGCCGCACTACAACATCATTTAGCCCGCCCCACGGCCCAGCCAGCGGATTCCATGCGCCCGCTTCGACGGTCGCCCCGCCGACAAGGCCACGGCGCTTGATGTAATGTGAGAGGTCACCGAGGGAGCAGTATTCCATGATGAGATGGATGTGCTTATCCGTTTTCTGTAACAGCATGCAACGTGAGTAGCTGCATTTTTGAGGTGCATCCACATGTTCCGAAACCCTACCATGATATCCAACAGGGCCACAACATGCTCATGCTGAATTCCCTTTAGAATCTTGATTTCACCCTCTAGATTCTCAGCTAATTTCCTATTTAGTTTATCCCTCGACACGGACTTTACGGCAACTGGTTGTCCAGAAGAAATGGATTTCCCCATGTACACCGTAGCAAAGGACCCTCGCCCGATTTCGTGTCCGATGATGTAGTCACCGACCGCAGTCGATGATACAGTTGATGGTATTGAAGACATTGGGGAATCTCGTCAATAGTCGCTTTGTTGGGTCTCTTCGTTGCAATGTGGCTTTCAAAGACGACTAGAATAAGGTTTGCGGTTGTTTCTACTAAAAAGATTTTGTTGAGCGACGATTCTCGTCTGTGGTGGGCGCAAATCACCTAGCTCACCTGACAATACACAACTACCCAGATTACCGATGCGGATATTAGAAAAATTTGGGACAAACTTGGGCAACCAAAAATATGTACACTATAAGAGGTGGCAACAGAGAAAAGGGAAGGACTGCGGCAAAAGACAGCAACAAAAAAAGTGGAAGCAAAACAGAAAACAGGGAAGGGGAATGCTAAGGTAAGGCTGTAGGTAGCATGATACGGCCGGGAAGCCACTCCGTAGGAGTGCTCCGGGCAACCAGACAACGTAAAGCTGCCTGTTTACTTTCTGTCTCTCCCTCCCTTTTTTTTTCACTAGAGGTCCAAGCTGACAAGTGTATCAGGTTCTACGACTGCGCTCCCAAAAGGAATGGTGGGTTGGTAAGTAGGGAGCGGCTTGTGGTTGACCAAAACAAACTGCTCGAAAGATATAGAGTTGGCAGTGCAGTGCCTTTGTGTGTGTGTGTGTGTGGTTGTGCTGTGTGGGCTGGACACTGACGGTCCTGTGCAGTATGTGACTCTGCGCGAAGAGAATGTTGGGAGGTGGTCGCAAATGCACTCGCGAGTAAAGAAATGCGTTCCTGTTGCAGGCCGGTGGGAAAGTTACGCTTCTTGCCAGTTGCTGCTTTTTCCGTTGTCCTCCCTCGTTTCCGAACGTAAGAGGCAGGTTGTCGTTGTGCAAAGTAACTTGGAAGGCAATAATAATCAAGGGGAGAGGAGGTGGCGAATCTGTCCGAAAGCGACAAAGTTCAACCCAGCTGCGGAGGGAAGGAGGAGGTTTCCTTCAAGTCGCGTGGTTTGGGGCAATTGCGTGTACGAGTTTGCCCTATTATTGATTTGATGGTGGAAGAAGTGTAAACCTTTGGCCGTGGAGGTCACTCTCCTTACGACACTTTTCAATTAATTATGTTGGTAAAACTAAAATGCTTGTAACGTAAAAAAACACACAATCCCTTCGATGGTGTGATAACTGCAGTATCTTGCGCGTGCGGACAAATCACAACAAGTAAAGATCACGCCAAAACAACATCTTGCGAGATAATGATTCCAGTCATATGACCGTGACATCATGTGACAGCTGCTTACATCATGAAGATCAAGGGATTGTTCATCATCAGTTGAAAGGGTTAACACCTCGTATATTTTCAATGTCCCTTGCAATATATGTGCCTTCAAATATAAACAATAAAAAAATACATCACGGATAAGCCATAGCTATCCCCGTTTCCACAATGTAATAACAGACTCCCCACGGATGCGAACAAAGAAATTGAGAATCGCCCCGCATACGAACACCACAAATCCCATAATCCTAAATGCCGTGTTCAAGTCATCTACATAGACGGTGAAAACCGCATTGAAAATGGCTCCACCAATATTTCCCCCGGCACCAACCAGTCCACTAACCGCGCCCATAATGTGAGGAATCACAAAGGGAACGATACCAAAAGTCGAACCACACCCGGCTTGCACAAAGTAGGAAAACAGGACAAGGGATACCACGCTGGTGGAAAGACTAGGTGCAAAGCTGAATCCGATAAGGCACGCAGAACTGCAAAGGAAGCCCAAGCTCTGGACGCGAAGACGACCTTTCATTCCCCATTTGCTTGCTGCCCAGTCCGAAAGAAAACCTCCCGACGCGCGGGAAAACAGGTTCATCATTCCGAAAATGGAGGCGAGGTAACCGGCAATGGTTTGGTCAAGCTTAAAGTGGTTGATAAAATACTTTGATATGACAGAGTCGACAGCCAGTTCGACACCAAAGCAGCAGGCATACTGTAAACGAAGAAAAGGTTTTGTCAGCAAACCGCCTTCCACAAATTTGAACAGCAAGTCTTTATCCTCACCTGCATCATCAACAAGGGAACATTGTGGTTCGTCAAGGCGGTCATCATAATCTTGTATACTGGTATATTGCTAGCTGACGTTGCGAGGCCGGCGTCCTTTGGTTCAACGGGAATGATTGCGGTGTCTTCCGCTTGTTTGGGTATATCAGTGCCTTCAGGACCCATGGTGGACTCGCTTGGCTTTGAATCGATGTGCATAGGGAGGGAGCGAGAGTTGGGCTTGTCATCCCCCAGAAAGTAGCACATGGCCGAGACGAGGAGACAAATGGCGACAGGCACGACAAGCGAAACTAGAATGTCAAGAGAAATCAGCTACCAGTCACGTCACGACAAGATCAAGATGTGCGAGCCACAACTCACCTCGCCAAGCATCATGCTTGCTCAAGCCAGCAGAAACGAACCCATTCATCACTTGCGGCATAAGCAGGTAAGTTGCACCACCTCCCATGTTTCCCCATCCTCCGGCAATGGCGTTCGCGCTGCCGACAACGTTACGAGAGAACATGGCGGTTGTCCAGTATTGGCAAGCCACAAATGTTGAGCCGAGTAAACCAATAAATAACCGAATGACAATTAGTCCTGTCGCACTGGAAACAAGCCCGACAAGACCAAGAGGGATACATCCAAGAGCGAGAACAAGGGACATGACACGGCGAGGACCAAGCTTGTCGACAAGCGGGCCGACAAGGATCCGAAAGACAACAGTCGAAGCTACATTGGCGATATCAGACATGGCAACCTGCTTCTCAGTCAAGCCCAAATCGGGTCCGATCGTCTTCTTCAACAGCGGGTTGAGGGCAAACCATGCCGTAAATGCAGCAAAAAATCCGAGCCATGCCAAATGGAACGACCGCATATGCGGGCGCCCCAGTGACAGCAGCTTAATGTTGGTAGCTTTGCCTTCTTCATCGTACGAGAGACGGGAAGGGAACAGGTTGGGACACGACCGGTTTTTAGGCGCCATTATAAACGAGATAGTAAAAAATGTGGGGGAGGCTTGAAGCGACAATAATCGTGGAGAAGGACTTTTGGCTCTTTTCCCTCTAGGGTGGAATGTAGTGGGAGAGACGGGGAGGCAAAATGCTGCAGTCCTTTATAAAAAGTTTGCGAGGATGGAGACTTGGGGAGACAGGTGTGATGTTTTCCGAGGGAGGCATGTGGAAGGCGGAAATCGGCTCCGCTGATAAGAACGAGCTGATGGGTGGGGTAAAAGCAACAGATCGGGATGAGAAGAAGAAGAAACAAGAGCCAAAACTTTGTTGTGATTTGATGGAGGGTAGTAGGCCTAGATAAGCACAACATGTCAAACCCGCAGATAACATGAATAGGGCGCGCGAAATGATAAAAAGAAACCAGAACCAATACCATAGTAAAGGTGCCCGCAGCCTTTTATCTTTTTGGGCTATAACCCCCGCGTTGGAAGCACCAGAAATACTCGAGTCTCCCTTCGACTGTGCCAAGATAAGACAGGTACAGAGTCAAGCCAAAGGGTGGTAGGTAATATCAAAACGTATATTTATATTGGGAGATAACAAGGGTGACAGTCAACCGGGACACGCACGACTGCCAACGAACAAAAGGGAAAGATATATCTTCAGCTCCGACAACGAGCACAGATAAACGATTATATCACGTGGACATTATGTGCACAGTCATGCAATGATGATGTCAGCAGGTTGTTATCGTTGAAACAAACGTGCTGCGAGATTGTTATCAGCAGCGATTGAGGTTTGGAAAGAGGGCGGGGCGCCTTTTTGGACTCTTGAGATTTCAAGGCATGTGGCAGATGAGATCAACGGGAAACACCCGGACAGTGTGCTGAGTCGGCGGCCTGCTGCAAGATCTCTATCAGGGCGCATTGCCCCGAGATTAACCTAATCATGCACAATAAGATATAAAGTTTGGGAACACTTTTTTTCTAACATTTGCTGTACTGTACATGTGACGAAGCAACGGACAATGCGAGATTTGGGTGACATGGTCCACACAGCCTCATTTTCATGATGGAGATTCATAAAAGACTTACAACTCGTATCGAATATTTGATCCGACAAGCATCAACAGCGGGTTTGAACTGGTGTATTGTGGTTGCAATCATTCAGCTATTCCAGTAAGCCATTTCATCAAACCTGGTTGACGCACGCACTGCAATGTTCCTGCAAGGACTCACTATCTCCCATTCGGGAGCCTCAAGTCTTATAGGGAGACATTGAAACATTCTCTCAACTGTCAGCGCAGCCACGTGGCCTCAGATATCAGGAAAAAAAGCAAAGTTGAAAACTCTGAGCGTTGGAGAAATAAAGAGGCGCTGGCTGTGCTTTGCAATGGAAGACTAATCAAACCCGTTGTAATGTTTTCACTACAATCGTAGACACGCCCCAATATACGAAAGAGATAAATCTTATGCGGGGAACGCCCTCTTCAACGCATTAAAAAATGGATCATGCGAAAGTTTTGGACAAAATGGACAAGTCGCAGCAATGGTTGTGTGCTCGTGTTATTTACCTGGTCCCTCAGCGTACCAAGTGCACAGAATGATCAATATTGACCACGGTAATACTGTGGGACACGGGGGACTGATTTGGTAGAGGTGTCTTATGGGACACATATCTCGGGGCAATCAATATACGACACCATTTGCTACAGATCTGGAATTCGCGCTATAGATACATGTTATATACTTGGCGGAGTTATCGCTCCCTTACGCTGCCACGTTCTATCTCCCCATAATCGCCAGTTATTTTTAACAACCAACCAAAATTCCCGCTCACGATCGCGCTACAAGTTCTAGACATTGACGCAATCCTCACGTAGCGCGACCCATTTTTCGAACCTCGTGTGCCAAGGTAAAAAAGACACCGCCGCCGCGACTCGTGCCCTGGGCACTAGCTGTGGAAACGTGCGAGGAATGGATGATTTGTAACAAGCATTTGTTTGCTACCTTTGAAGGGATCAGGGTGGGAATTTCTACTCGGAGAAAATCAAAATGACAGATACTTGTTTTGAGCTGGCCACTATTGCTAACAGTTTGATTGACAAAGTTTGTTGAGAAAGACGATGCGACAGTTAACATACTGTGCTGGGAATGTGCAGGGAATGTCCAATGTGTGAAAAGTCGCTTACGAGATAAAACTCCGACAGCCTGTGGTAAGAATGGTTCCAATCTCCCTGCGCGTCGGACATTAATTTTTTTTTGTTTTTGATGAATGACTCATGGTCGTCGGGAAAGTTGAATGGGTGTGATTTTTGACCTTGTTTACGGGCGTTTTTGCAAAACGACACACTACGAACCTGACGCACGTTTGCGAATCTTTGGACGTCGAAATACCCTTGTTGCGAGATTGACCCTATATCTGCTCGTTCAGTAGCATTGAGGTCACAGTGCGACACATCCCATGATTTGTTAAAACGATCTACGATTAGATATCATTGCGTTCGTTTTTCCCGTCGCTATTTTCGTACATTCCTCCCCGCTCGAACATAAAGGAGTGGTGCATTTGCGTCTCCGCCAAGAATACTCCCCTCCTCTTGGTCCGTCAAGATGACGATGGATAAGCAGACTACCAGAATTGTTATCATCACGACGGCGGTTGCTATTACTGTGGGTGTGCTGATTTGGACAACGAGACGGAGATCTAAAAGAGATGGAGAGGTAGGTACTTGACAGGCGCATGAGATTGTGGGCACTTCTGGGACTAATTCATGATGTTGTAAAGGATTCTGGTAATCTGGATAAGCAAGATTCCTCGCTTCAACAACTTAATGAGCGAGAAGATGCTGGTCCGATCCAAACTTTTGAGGTTACCCAGATTACAGAGATTAAAAAGGAGACAGAATCACTGGTTGCCAATCGTGAAACTTTACAAATTCTCGAGGTGCGAGAACAGGAAGATGTCACACATGTTCAAAGATCCGTTGTCACCGAGATTACCAAGGAGGCAGACCAGCCAATTGCCAACGATGAGACTTCACACCCACTCCAAGAGGAGGACCAGTTAGATTCTGCCTCCATCCAAGCTTGCGATGTTACTCAGGTTACAGAGATTGTAAAGGACGCAGAGTTCTTAGTCACCACTCGTGAGACTCTAGAAATTCTCGAGGTGCGAGAACAGGAAGATGTCACACACCAAACCTCCGTGGTTAAGGAGATTACTAAGGAGGCAGGCCTACCAATTGCCAACGATGAGATTTCACACCCACTCGAAGAGGAAGACCAGGCAGATACTGTCTCCGTCCAAGCTGTCGAGGTTACTCAGATTACAGAGATTGCAAAGGACGCAGAATCATTAGTCACCACACGTGAGGCTCTCGAGATGCGAGAACAGGAAGATGTCACACATCAAACCTCCGTGGTTCACGAGATTACTAAGGGGGCAGACCAACCAAATACCAACGATGAGATTTCACACCCACTCGAAGAGGAAGACCACGCAGATACTGTCTCCATCCAAGCTGTCGAGGTTACCCAGATTACAGAGATTGCTAAGGAGGCAGACCAACGAAATACCAACGATGAGATTTCACACCCACTCGAAGAGGAAGACCAGGCAGATACTGTCTCCGTCCAAGCTGTCGAGGTTACTCAGATTACAGAGGTTGCAAAGGAGGCAGAATTATTAGTTACCAATTGCGAGACCCTGCAAGTCCTCGAGGTGCGAGAGCAGGAAGATGTCGCACATGTTCAGACATCCGTGGTCACCGAGATTACCAAGGAGGCAGAACAACCAATTACCAACGATGAGAATGCAAAGGAGGCAGAAACATTAGTTACCGATCGCGAGACTCTGCAAGTCCTCGAGGAGCAGGAAGATGCCGCACATGTTCAGACATCCGAGGTCACCAAGATTACCAAGGAGGCAGACCAACTAATTGCCAACGATGAGAATGCAAAGGAGGCAGAAATATTAGTTACCAATCGCGAGAGTCTGCAAGTCCTCGAGGAGCAGCAAGATGCCGCACATGTTCAGACATCCGAGGTCGCCGAGATTACCAAGGAGGCAGACCAATCAATTTCCAACGATGAGATTTCACACACACTCGAAAAGCAGGACCAGGCAGATTCTGTCTCCATCCAAGGTTTCGAGGTTAATCAGATGACAGAGATTGCAAAGGCGGTAGAATTATCAGTTACCAATCGCGAGACTCTGCAAGTCCTCGAGGTGCCAGAGCAGGAAGACGTCACACATCTTCAAACATCCGCGGTCAGCGAGATTACCAACGAGGCAGACCAACCAATTGCCAACGATGACATTTCACACCCACTCGAAGAGGACGGCCAGTCAGATGCTGTGCCGATGAGAATTGATGCACCGGCCTTCATACCCACAAGCCCCGAGCGGCGACCAGCATCTCCTTTGAGAATTGATGCACCGGCTTTCATTCCTACCAGCCCCGAGCGCCGGCCAAAATCCCCACTCAGGGCTGAGGCACCCGTTTTCATTCCTACGAGCCCCGAGCGGCGGCCAGCCTCTCCGTTGAGACTTGATGCGCCAGCCTTTGTCCCCACCAGCCCCGAGCGCCGGCCAACCTCCCCACTCAGAGCTGAGGCACCCGTTTTCATTCCTACGAGCCCCGAGCGGCGGCCAGCCTCTCCGTTGAGACTTGATGCGCCAGCCTTTGTCCCCACCAGCCCCGAGCGCCGGCCAACCTCCCCACTCAGAGCTGAGGCACCCGTTTTCATTCCTACGAGCGCCGAGCAGCGGCCAGCCTCTCCTTTGAAACTTGATGCGCCAGCCTTTGTCCCCACCAGCCCCCAGTGCAGACCAACCTCCCCGCTGAGGGTTGATGCACCCGCGTTCGTCCCGACTAGCCCCGAGTGTAGACCAATTTCCCCGTTGAGGGCCGAGGCGCCAGCGTTCATTCCTACGAGCCCTGAGCGGCGACCGATGTCGCCGCTAAAGGCCGACGTCCCCTCCTCTGTACCTACTAGCCCTGATCGTAAATCCAGTTCTCCTCTGAACGTCATGGCTGCTGAATTCCGTCCCGAATCTCCCCCCTATGCCATCCTCCCCATCCCAACCCTCAACGTCTTTGCCGAGGAATTCGTTCCATCAGGTGCCCCTATTCCGTTCCTGACTCCAATCCCAGCCACCGGTGCACCTAATCGGCGCCGAAAATCATCGCAGAGCCGACCTGCGCAATTGAATCAAAAGGCGCCCACGTTGGCAGACTTTGTCCCAGTGAGGACTGCAGCACCCAAGCGGGGCCCGAAGGAGGACGTCCCCAAGAAATGTCTTTTTGGGGAGAATTGTGCCAATAAGACCAAGTGCGGATATCACCATCCTACGGAACTCTGCAAGTGAGTATATCTTTTGCCTGCCATGAGCTTGGATCTTGGCTCCGATTTCTAATCAAAATTTTTCATTTGTCAGGTTCTACCCGAACTGCAAGTTCGGAGCCGCCTGCCGAAACATCCACCCCAAAGCTCACTGAACGGTCCCCACAATCAACTCGGAGACGGAATATATATATTTTTTGGATACAAGATAAGAGGGCTGAAGAAATGGAAATCAACGGAATAGGAATCAAATGGCAAAAGAAAAAAAGAAAAAAAAATACACACGCACACCAACACAGACATACGCAAGCAGATCAATTTATTTTTTTCAAATAAGAATGCATATCACAATTCTATGCTTTGTACATGTTTATGCCCGATGTGTAACCGTGGCGCCCGACTACAAGAGCATGAATTTCGACGCAAGTCGCCGATCGGATTGCGATCCCATCGGAGGAGTCCTACTCAGTTGTATGCTTGGATGAGGAAACGCTATGGTGAACACGTGTATACTTTTAGCTATGGCGGCAAACTATTAAAATGTCACTTTGAGTCAGAAATCGTCTGTGGTTTGGATTAGGAATATATGTTATCCTTTGGATGGATCGGGTCCATATATCCAAGTTAACTGTGCTGCAGGACATGCTCGGGCAGTTTGCTTTTGTTTCGTTTGTTTCTCGGCTTTACACTGCCTCTGTTGGGCTTTTGCATTACTGATTTATGTACACGCAATAAGATCATGTTTTCCAGTCCCATCGTCCAGGTCTTCTTTCATTGTATTAATGGTGTAGGCTTTTTGGGTTTCGGAATCCGGCTCTTTCAGATTTTTGAATGCTTTTTCACGCTCAATAGAATTTACACCGAAATTCAAGTCGTTTTGTTTATTGCTGTGTAAACTGGATATCGAATAAACAACAAGCACACTCCTTCTCTGAGACCACAGAAATCAAGGAGCACAGAAAAGCGGGCGTGCGGTATTCGTTATGGCGCTTTCAGAGGGATTGAGAAACTTGAAAGTCGCAGTCGTCGACGACAACGAAATGTAAGTTTTTGCAGGTGCGGATTTGCGTTGCTAGTCACCTCCGGCTTAAATCCTAGTCGACTCTTTTAGAAACCACAAGATTATGTGCAAAATACTATACAAGTTCTTGGGACTGAACGAGTCTCAAGTCGACCTGTTTCTCAACGGGCAAATGTGCTTGCATGCCCTTGCAAGAGCGCGCTATGATTTGATTCTCCTGGATATTGGTGAGTATTCTTTCTAAATATTTCTTTCTAGTACAAACTCTTATATTCTATTTGCGTTTCAGAAATGCCAGTCCTAGACGGCTGCCAAACAGCCATCCAAATCCGACATCCCAGACCCGCGATACTCGATGTAAACCGGTCTATTCCCATCATCGCCGTCACCACCAATGCAAAGGAACACCAACGGCAGCATTACCTGTCCTTGGGAATGGATGCTGTTGTAGGCAAACCAATTGTGGAGCCATTACAATTTATTGGGTTGCTGAAATGTGTTTTGGCTGGGCAGAAGGGAGGCGAATAGTGGTGCGAATAAGCGAGGGTGCTGTTACAATTATTGATTTTATCTTATTCATGATTGTCTTCTTGTACTTAAATTACTTGTACTTCGGGGTTAGCTTCCATGTACACATTGCTTGGTTTCATTTGTATATACTGTTGCAAAAGTAAGGCTCTTGTCATAGAGGTAACTAGCTTAGCGACCGCAGTATATTTCTTCAAAAAGAGTCAAAAAAAGCAAATACAAACAGAACGGCATGTCTATGGTATATCAATGCGAAGACTTTACACTTTGCAAGCTGTTGATGCTCACGCTGCAAATGCATGTGCAAACTTGTGTTGCAATGCATTCATTCGTCATGCTCTGGTGTCTTGGCACAGCAAGGGACGAAAATAAACAAATACCACGGATCACGGCCCACGTCAATTCATCTCATCATTGTTCATGCTAGATTTCACACGCCCAAGGATTCCCACTGTGCATTCCCATAAATATCAACACCCTGCATAGCACCCGGCACCTGCTGTTGCGGATAGTAATTCGGCTGTGGTTGCTGAACGAGTTGATTCTGATGCGACACTTGCTGTGGAATGTGCCCATTGCCCAGTATCTCTGCGAAAGGATCGGAACTGACGGCTCCAAAGGTCGCATCCTGTAAACACGCAGTATCAAGTCCGCTGTTTGCGGACATCATTCCGTCTGTCCAGTCCCAGTTTTGAACTTCACCGACCGATGGAGGTGGTACGTCTAATGGATTGACGTGCTGCTGCATTGTCACTGCGCCGGGAATGCATGTTGAGGGCGGTATCCACAGTTCAGTTGTGGCCGGGAGGTTGTACGAGTTGTCGAATGGTGCAGCGTAGGTCTGAAGTGTGCTGGTCATGATAGGAGTCTGAGTATGGAGGAGTGTAGAGGGCGCTGCTCCATGGAGGTTCATCCCTCCTCCTCCACAAGCTGCTGCTACTCCTGGTATACTTCCACCAGCAGCGGGCACATTCTCGTTATCCAGATTTTGGAAAAATTCATCAGAAGACATCCAATTCCCGTCATACCCATTCACATCCAGACCAGCCGACACTCCATCAGAGTAACCCTGCCACGTCGGATCGATCACCGGTTGGTTTTGCCCAACATTCGTGTTAGTCGAATTCTCAAAATCCCAACCGGGGGGAAAGGGTATGACGGGCGGGGCGGATGGATTGTACGCATATGCCGGTACAGTCGATTGATTCTCCAATTCAAACGATGAGAAAAACGCGTCAAGGTCGTCCATGTCGACGTCTGGGGCTTCGGCTGCGATAGGCGTTGACGTTGATACGGACGCGTAGTTTGCATCCTCGGCTTCAGGGTAGGTCGTGTGCGTTGCTGAGTCTGTGATAAGGTAGAGGTCGCTGACGTTTGGTATTTGCGGAACGAGGGTCGTTGAGGAATGATGAGTTGGTGTACTTGTTGGTGTGGTTGGGTAGTTTGTGTCGAAGGCTTTCGCAATGAGCGGCAACGGTGAGGAGTGGAGGGGGATGGACGATTTGGATTGAGATGCTGGTGCTGTGGAAATGGTGAGGTCCTCCGGAAGGGAGTCGTTTGGTTGATCGTGGAGTCCTTGGCTTGTGCTTATTTTATCTTTCGCTTCTTCGTCTTTGTTGTCCTCATCCTTGGCCGTCTGCTTTTTCCTCCCCCGTCGCCCTCGTCGCCCCTTTGACTCCTTCCCATCTGTAGCAGGTTTACCGGTAACCACCTATAGCCCGCCATTCCAATTCGTATATTAGCACTTCTGCAACCAAAATTGGATCTAAACGGACTTACCTCAGCACTCTTCGCCATGGGCGGCACAACATCGTTCGCATCTGAATCCACGTCTTCACCCGGGGCCGGCGTGACTGGTATAGGTTTCATTGCCTCTGATTGTCGTCTTTTACGGGGCGATCGTCGTTGCTGACCCAATGTTGGATCTTGGTTGGTGTCAGCCGTTATTAGTATGCTTTTGCGCTTTCCACGCTAGAACGATAGTGGTGAGCCGCGGTGTGGATCTGACTAAGCGATTGATTGATATGAACTTACACCAACTCGCGGCGATGTCGGGTCAGTGGCAGCTGTTTCACGCAAAAGTCAAAACCGCTGTTTTGGAAACTGGGGAAAGTTTATATGATAACGTACCATTGCTCATCACTTCATCATCTTTGCCCATTCCGACAACACTTTTTTTCCTTGGACTCATCACGGTCGAAACTATAAAGTTCTCGCTTGCGGGGATGGAGGTTTGCGATGGCCCAATTTGCACGATAACAGGAAAATCAATCACAACGTCAAGAGCTTGGGTCGTTCGTTGGGAAACACCTTGAGTCCCTCTCGGTTTTATATTCCAACCCCGCGGAAAAGACTATCCACGATGCGATCGATATCACAGCGGAGTTCCAGGTCTGGTAACGAATTCGGGGGACGTTATAGTTATGTACAAACCCTTCTTCTTTTAAGTAATACACTGGAGTCTTGCTTGTTTAGGTTGCACCATTCAGATATTGTAGACACCAGGAGTGCGATGACGATGCTGCATTGCCTAAAGTGCAGCAGCAAACAACAAAAACCCCACAACAACAATAAGAGCGTGGAGCCTACGTTCTTCAAAGAGTTGCAATCCACGAAATAGACGCGGAAATGTTTGACATTTGCCAATTAAATATGCAAATTCCCATAGTAGCTTATGATCAATGCATCAGGAGAAAATGGAACAACCCATGGAGAACACACTTCCAACAATGCTTGTTTACAAAGATCATCATGGGGGCGCAACGTAGTATGTGGCAAGATCCCTTACCGAATCAGGGACCACGGCAGGAACGGGGGGGGGCCCAGTGCGCGCAAAACATTGCGTATCGCTGCTGTGGAGACTTTTTGGCGCACATTGCAACAACAATGGATATGGTAACCCTCTTTCATGACTTTTGTCTCCCCCATGCTGCATGGCTGCGAGAAGGGATGACTCTATATTTGTCCCTTTCAGCCCGTTTGGAGCCCGGTTGGGGCTTGGTCCATGTTGGGGGACCATCAAAACATTACATAATGTCTATTCAAACCATCAAGTCAACAGTGCTGTCATTCGCTATTCCAATCAGGTCACACGCTCTCATCAACAAAAAGCCAGCAAACTCAGCACGGAAAAAACCAAATCGCCTTGATGGTTACGTAAGATGACTGGCTTAACTCCGCACACGTCACGGGAACGCCAGAACAGTTTTCACGAAAGCCCCAGGCCATCAGCAGTGACTCATGTGGTTATTCCTCTTGATGACTCCGTGCCACGGTAGGTATAAGGCGTATGGTTTGGCATTGAATTTCCTCCCCAAGATTTAACGTCATGAAGGGGGGGACAAATAGAAGCAATTGACGCTTCTTCTTTCGATGGAACCGGATTTATTTGTATGGTGCCAAGAGATGTCCCCCTGCCCCTTTTCCAGCTCACGTTACACGCATGATGAGTTCCACAATAATAATAGATGTTCTTGACATGATTATCGTTTTACTTGAATACCGCGCTACTTTATCTTTGCATTGTGACGTTCGACCGGGGTCGAACCTTTTGCCGCTTTCTTTATTTCTGAACCGCGTTGCACTTGAAGTAAACTGGAAAAATAACTTTGAACTCCTGTTATGAATGGTCTTTCATGTCCCTCAATGCAATTGCAGTGTGGAGCAGCATCATTTAGCATATGTTCCATCTTCATTCTTTGGCACGCGCTTCATCTCGGTAATGCCGATATACCTAGAATGTCCAGAACATAATTGACGTCCAATGCTAGGATGAGCAAATTGTGCAAGCGTATGGTACGATACAACGAGACGAGCAACATTTTCAAGCACGCGCAAAATACTGTTAGAAATCGAGAGCTTAGCTACGCGTTCAATACACGTTCTAAGTTCTCCCGTTCATCCAATGCTGCCATCGTTCGATTCCTACCCTTTTATCCGATTTTTTCCTGTCCTGGTTTTTTTAAAACAAAAACACAGACGACATCGTCCACCACCCTTCCTTGTCCCTCCTCCCGTCCTACCCCACTACTACACCAGCCATGGACCTCCTCACGGCCTTCAACAATCGTTCGCTGGATAGCGATGCCGAAGTCGCAGCCGCCTTCCCCCTTGGCGCCCACTACAACACTCTCATGGACTGGCGGGTTCCAGTTTTCACATCGGCTATCTATTTCTTTACTGTAAAAGCACTCAACCCTCGCTCGTCGTCAACGAGTCACAAATCCGGCGAGCGGTGGACGGATGCGGGCTGGTTCAAAGCTCTAGTCGTGTTACATAACGCTGCCCTATGCATTTTTTCGGCAGCAACATTTTTGGGGATGGCACCGAAGTGGGTAGCGAATTTGAGGAGTAGAGGGCTCTACGATGCTGTAAGTTGATTTGTTGGGCCAGTTCTGGTTTGTTCTAGTCGCGCGTAACATAACAAACACTTTCACTTAGTTTTGCGATCGGAATGAGGAAGTGTGGAATGATTCTCTATTTTATTGGTCATGGTTGTTTTACCTAAGCAAGTATTACGAGATTGTAGATACTGTCATCATCCTTTTGAAAGGTGAGTCTCCCTCTTTGAGTATTGCCATTCTACAACGATCGTTAACAGATATCGTTACAGGCCGCCGAACATCTATCCTCCAGTCCTACCACCATGCAGGCGCCATTATCTCCATGTGGCTTTGGTAGGTCTCGGATTCCAATCATGCGTCCATTGCTTATGATTAGACAAAACTAAGAACACCTCCATATTAGTGTTCATTCTCATGCAACTGCGACCTGGATTTTCGTCGTATTCAACTCATTCATTCATACCATTATGTACCTCTACTACGCCCTAACGACAGTGGGCCTCAGACCTCCTGGCAAACAATACCTCACCCGAATGCAAATTACCCAATTCCTCGTCGGTGGTTCAATCGCTATAACGTATCCCGTCATCCCAGGCTGTCTTAAACAACTTGACCCAACTCAAAGCGCGTCGGAACAGATTGCCTACGCTGTTGTGACAGCATATCTAGTTCCCTTGACACTCCTATTTGTTGATTTTGCAAGGCGGACTTATGGCGGAAGAAGTCAAAAGAGAATCAAGGTTGCGTAATGTTGCAGACTAGTTTGAATAGGAGGAGAGCATTGTTGGGATTCACTGTAGTCTCTAGTTTGACATATTAGCACTTTTTTTACCATTACCTACGTACGATTTATGCCATTAAACATTGAAAAAAAATAAAGAATTCATGACAGCGATGGTTTTGAACGCACAATATGCAACCATGTCTTTTGGCAAACAAAATGCAGAAATGGACAAAATGCGTCACCGAGGGAACAACTGCATGTGTCACTCCTCCTTCTTTTGCAAATACTGCTTCAAGTACCCAGCAGCAAGTTCTGCGACCTTCTCCAACGTACCTAGGTCAGAATAATAAGTGTTCTACAGAGCAACGTCCGAAAAAAAGGAGAACCAATGCGCATACCAGGTTCCTCAAACAAGTGCGTAGCGCCAGGGACAATGTCCAATTTTTTGACAGTGGTAGATGGAATGGCTTCAAAAGCTTCCCTAAACAAAACACATCAATATCCGGATGTCATTGTCAAAGAAACGTAGATGACAACTTGTTCATCTCAATAACATCATAATCCAATCCTCCCACTATCAAAAACGTGGGAGTGGTGATATGGCTCAAGACTTCCTTGGGCACCAAGTCTGGACGACCTCCTCGGGATATGGCGCATTTGACCCGATCAGGGCGATGGTAAGCTGCCCAGAGTGCCGCTATGGTAGTTGTGCTGAGATGTGAGAAACGAGGTATCATCGTGTGTAAAGTGGCTATTCCTGCAGTCGCACCTGCTCCGCCTGTGGATGCTCCAAAGGTCCCGACAGGATAGTCCTTGGTGGATTCGTCTTGAGCGAGATGATCGATAGCTGCTACAACCCGCCGGGTGAGCATGGCTGAATGTACAATGAGGTCAATCTTGCTACCATGGCGGTGGAAATGAAAAGATGGAGACTAACGGATATCAAATCGTAAATGCCTTGTGTAATTGTCAACTCTCTCCTCATCTTTTGTCAACAGATCCATCAAAAGCGTCCCAATCCCATTTTTGTGAAGAACACTGGCAACGTACTGCATGCTGTGTGAGGACAATGCGATAGCGCATACAACGTAGCATCTCATAGGCAACACACTTGGTTCCTGGAGCTGAATCTGCTTGATCCGCTTCCATGAGCGAACACACAAATCCCGCGTTGTGGATCAGGAGGGAGGTGCAAGTCTCCTTCCAGTTGCTTTCCGTCGGCATTGATTGAAATGGTGTGCCCGACTGTAGTCATGATACAGTGCTTGGTTGATATTAGATCGAGTGCAGTGGACTGGCAGACTTAACACACTTGCTATGACGTAAAATGTGGACAATGCACGTGCTCAGTCCAAAAAAGTTAACCCCCTACTTTGCACACTTGCTTGCACCCATTGTGTATTCATTATAATCAACAACTTTCCATATTTCTTCCTTTAATAGAAATATTACAGGAGCGGACCGCGCGAACGCAATCCCTCCCACCACCAAAAAATGTCCACTCACGCTGACTCCGAAGAGCCAGGTGACCCCGGGCCTTCGAACTGTTGTGCAATGTCGAGAACCCGAGATAGCCACCGCCTTGTTGATCACGGTAAGCTCGTAGCAGGTAAGTATGCAGGAACAGGGAGGGGCGTGGGGACGCGCTGCTTTTATAGACGAGAGCAACTGCGCCACAACTGCGCTTGAAAAATGAAAAAACGCGTTGATTGGCTGAATTTGGCATCGGAATATTTATCACTGTTGACATGGTGATAGTATTACGACACTCACCCGCTCAAAATAGTTTAATGACGTTGTCGCAGTTTTACCTAAGGATTGGCCTAGTAATTGTCCCAGTAGATCTCTTCATTCCTTGACGCTCGTTTCTTGCGCTTGAGGGTTGAATTTGCCACCTGGGCAATATAGGGCACGGCACTCTTGGCTAGCATAGTCACCTACTTGCCCCCTGCAACCGATAGAGTATCAAGCCCGACATAGTTCAATATGACGATGCAAGAAACATTGCGAGAGCAAGTTGGCGCAGAGCTTGCCCAAGAGCGCTACGAGTGTGCAGTCTGCTATGTTATTATGTACCGTCCTGTTTGGTTTTTAGCCGCTTGCTGGTAGTTCCTATCTGGAAATGCGTCTTGCCCTTCATAGCAAAAGATCTGCTCAAATATGGTCTTGCAAGACGTGCTGGAGAGTGCTGCATTTGCACTGCGTTAAGAAATGGGCAAAAGCATCTTCCGCGAATTGTTCAGGTCAGAAGCAATTCCCATTTCAGCAACGTTGCCATATCTCAACTCCAAGACATACAGGTCGACAACCAGATCTAGATGTCCTGTGGCGATGTCCCAGTTGCCAGATGTCCCAGAATACGAGTGCGTTGCAATACCGATGCTTCTGTGGTACGGAGTCTAGGTGTCTGGCCTTAGGCCTGATGTGCTCTTCAAAAGCTTTGTACTCATTACGCTTACAGAGAAGAAAGTTTCTCCTGAAGTAAACAATTATCTCATTCCGCACAGGTAAAATCTACTTCTTGAATTTTACCTGGTCGTACCTTATTTTGCTTGCTCTAGTTGCGGTGATACATGTTCACGGACTCGTCTCCATTGTCCGCATCCCTGCACATCGTAAGAGACCTGGCGTCCATCACAACCCATTGTCATACTGATGTAGTTATATTCTGTCGTTCAGTCCTTGTCATCCAGGTGATTGTCCCTTCTTATCTATGATGTAATAGCCAGCTACACAGCCAGTAGCTAATGTGTCTGTTGCAGGACCTTGTCCACCTTGTGATCGTCTGGGCTCGCCAGTTTCCTGTTATTGCGGAAAAGCAAAGTACGTCTCTGGAAAGGACCAGTATTTCTTTTCACAAACTTACGAGAACCTTCAGATACTCTGTGCGCTGCAATGACCTTCGTAACCAGAGCTCTTGTGGTCAACAATGCGGTGGCTCTTTGCTATGTGGGGCTCACAAGTGCCGTTTGACGTGCCATGAAGGTACGGCGGACAAATACCTCACGATGATAAAAGCAATATAAGTTGACTCGTTTGTCAGGCCCATGTCCACCGTGCGAATCTGTTGAGATTCAAAGATGTTATTGCGGGTCCGAAATACGGGAGACGTTGTGCGGTGAAGGGATTCCATTTGTTTATGCAGATCGCGATACCGGGGTTGAGGATATCCGGCACTTCTCATGTGGTCGTCCCTGCCATTTGTACGTAGTGTTATGCTGTATTTCATGCTTTGTTGCCAAAAGGTCCTCATCTCTGGGTATATACAGCACGTTCTCATGTGGAATTCATCGGTGTGAGCAAAATTGTCATCCATTCTCCGAACATCCATCGCCGTGCCCGCTAGATCCCACTGTTATGTTTGCGTGTGCTTGTGGAAAGATAAAACGGAATGCACTGTCGATACAGAGCAGGACACATTGCTCAGATCCACCACTAACTTGCGAGTGAGTAGTATGTGACTAGTGTTGATAACGGCTGATGAATTCATTTCCATGGTGCCTGTCTCGTCATAAAGATCAGCATGCCAAAAATTGCTGACATGCGGCCATGTGTGTAATCGACGTTGCCATGCGGATCCATGTGAATCAGTTTTGTGCCCCAAGACAGTGAGTTCATAGCTGCCTACGGCACGCGTACTTTGCTTGATTCATTACTATCATTTCAGACCATACTCAAATGCCGATGTGGGTCGACAACGCACTGTGTGCCTTGCTGGAAGGTTAAGCATATGACCACTGGTATGTGTCCCCATTTGATGTAGAGGGGAAGGGTGCTGTGCCAACGTTCTCGTTCTCTTTTGGAAGAGATCCGGTGCGATAAGCCATGTCACCAACGACTTTCCTGCAAACGACATGAATGCACTATGCGATGTTGTCCAGCGTCCGATGCGGCAGATTCAAATGGCGACCATGTGTGCCTAAAAGCTTGCGGTCGACCTTTGAAGTGCGGAATTCACAAATGCCAGGTATTGACGGTCTTGTTCATAACGGAACGTACCAGCATTGCTGATCTTCTGATCTTAGGCGCTCTGTCATCGAGGAAAGTGCCCACCTTGCCCAGAAGCATCGTTTAATGACGTGGCATGCCATTGTGGACGGACAGTCCTGGTGAGCATCTGTAAGATCTCTATTATCACTTTCCACGGCTATAGTAACGGGGAGCGATTGGTTCAGCGCGCACCAATACCATGTAATACAAAGCCCCCGGAATGTTCACATCCATGCATTAGGTACATGATGGACCCGTCGCATGCTTTGTGTGCACATTGCTTATTAGTAAATCGAACATTCAATTTAGGCAGCCAGCATGTGGACATGCAGCCATTCCTCACCCTTGCCATCTTGATGACGTTCCGTGTCCTCCATGCCCTGTACGTTGGTATCATGGCACGGCATAACACATTGGGGCTGATGACGGTACCTTTTAGCACCTTGTTTCCCGCCCATGCAAGTGCGGCAAATCTTTAATGCGACACACGCCATGCCACCGCACCGCACCCCAAGCATGTGCTGAACTCTGTGGGAAGGTGCTGCGAACGTGTGAACATCAATGTGCAAGGACCTGCCACGATGACGATTGTTTGGCTGAGGGTGGTAAGGCAGTCTACCTTCTTGCATTTAACATTTGAAACGGATCGTAAAAAAACTCTACGTCCTTAGAGGTGTGTCGACAGCGGTGCAAACTTCAAAGAAAGTGTGGACATGTATGTGATTTGCCTTGCAATGGGACGCCATGCGATCATGGAACTGGTTGTGGCATTAAGGTAGGTATAAAGTGAATGTTTACGCTTTGCACTTGCGTGGACAATGATTTACTTGTCCTTCAAGGTCCGCCGTGTATGCTCATGTGGTTGCCGAAGCGAAGAGATGAGCTGTGACCTACTCCCAGTAGCAACGGCCGCGCCAGGTTGTGCTGATGGTTTACACGAACCTACGCACGGCTTCCTTCCCTGTAATGACACCTGTGCCCAGAGTGCTTCAATTGAGCCAGAGAGCATGTAGGTGCCGGACAATGTTAAACAGGAGTGCCACCGAGTCTTAATCCTTCAGTTACTCCATTGCAGCACTCCGTATCCCCTCACTCTACTCGATTTTGCCGATTCTAATCTGGCATTCGTAAAAAGCGTGGAAAGAGCCCTGGAGAGACTCTTTAAGGAAGGGTCAGTTCTTGAAACGTATATCTCTCTGATTCTATGTCTCTTGTGTGACCTTACCTGGTTGGAACTGACAGGAAACGATCGCATTACTTTTCTCCTATGCGACGTGATGCCCGAGCATTTGTGCATGAGCTTTGTCAGAATTTCTACGGCCTCTCCACTCAGAGCGTAGATAGAGAGCCATTCAGGAGTGTCCGTGTGCAAATGTTGGATGTGGCTGTTGTGTAAGCGTGGTCGCTTATCGTTCTGAACTTCAAAAAGCCATCGAACTCATGCATCACGGTAGACCAAGAATCCCAATATCCGAGGTCGTCACGAGGAGGCAGCAAGGGGATCCCCTTACCTCTCAATTGTACGTAGCCGTATGCAATGATACGTCCTCATCAGTACTTATCCACTCTTATTGTATCGCTCAGGATTGCCGTTCGACAAAGTGGGCCCCTAATACCAGTGAGTGACTCGGACGACGATTGCACGACCATTATTTCCAAATCAGCGGGCGTGATTTTGAGGAGAGCCGTAGATAGCGGTACAGAGCAGCAGGTCTCCGAGCTGGCCTCGGGTACAGTGATACAGGACGGATCTCCATTACCTGGTAAGCGAATTTCGCAGAATCGTGCGAGGCGATGTCTTACCTATGGACACCCGAATAGATGCGCCATTGAATAGCACACCCAAACAAAAACGTAAAGCACGTAAGCGAGCGCCATCCCGAGCTCGTATTTCTAGAGATGCTAATGTATCGACCTCAAATGGGTTCGGTCTACTTGACTTGTTGGGTGAGGAGGATGGGTGAGGTGGCACTTTTATTGTTGAGATTGCACGTATTCTATATATTTAATTGCACCCACTTGATCTGTTATTATGTGAACGATAATGATTACATGTAGCATGTAAATATCTGTCGTATATTGTATCTGGAGCCATGTCCACATAATCCATTGTCATGCAGAGTCAGACCTGCTCAGAGCCACCCAAGTTCAATGGTGGCAGCGGCATGAAACGTTTGGGTTTCTTTTTGACTGTAGACATAGTTGGCATTATTGATAATACGGCTTGCTCGTGCTCTTTTGTCACCAACCGTCGACAACAGAACTGTGCTCAAACATATATTCATGGCGAGGTGCCTGGTTCTCTTCAAACGAGCTGTCTCATCGACAACCAAGTCTCATATGCATGTCCAAAGTCCCACGATTCAACATAGGAATCAAGTCGCCAAGCTGCAATAACAAACGCAGGGTTTTGGTTTTTTTCTGGCCAAGTTGCGAAAACTAAACTAACGTGGTCAGACCGGTATGGCCCTTGCATCAGTTCAGCCGATAAAATGGCGGTGTTTATTTCTTCAAGCATATAGATGGACTGTTGAACAATGACTGGGCATTTGGCTGCGTTCCGTCATGGTCAGCCCCATGGCCAGCGTATGGCTCTTTCGTTCCAACAATGCTCGTCACCAAAAACTCATCTGCGAGACTCTCAACTAGAAGTGTTTTTCACACTTTCTACTCACGTGACATGACAAGCCATTTTTATTTTTGTCCAAACGCGCGCATTGCTAATCGAATCAGCGACTGCTCACCACAACCCTTCCGCTAAGGAAAAACGACGACGATTTATCTTTTCTGCTGCTTGGGGGGTTTCTAATTTGCAAGCAAAAGGGTCGTCGGTTTTTGTAAACTGGATCTTGTTCTGCTCCATCAAATCTCAGTAGACGATCCACTATTGTATCTTCCCTAAACACAGCGTGCGACGAGCTTTCATGACGACAATGATGCACGACGGCGTAGAATATGACCCTGCTCGGACAGAGCAACGCATGTACGCTTACTTGCTGGTTGCGCATTGTCACTCAATCTGTTAACCTCCCTATCTTTACAGTCTTTGTGCGTCCTGTGGAACAGTCATTGCACCGAACCCCGCAAACATGTGCGTTAACTGCATCCGGTCTGACGTTGACATCACAGAGGGTATTCCCAAGCAAGCCACCATACATTTTTGTCGGGGTTGTGAGCGATACCTTCAACCGCCAAATATTTGGGTCAAGGCGGAGTTGGAGAGCAGGGAATTACTTGCGTTATGTTTAAAGAAATTGAGAGGCTTGAACAAAGTGCGATTGGTCGATGCGGGTTTTATCTGGACTGAACCACATTCCAAGAGAGTAAAGGTCAAGCTAACAATTCAGAAAGAGGTGGGTACCCCACATAATAGCTCATGAGCGAATGTTGTATGTATTGACTCTTGCGGATCTGCCGATCTGTTTTTTACATAGGTCTTCGCCGCAACTATCCTTCAACAAGTCTTTGTGGTAGAATACATTGTAGCCAATCAGCACTGTGAAGAATGTCAGCGGGTCGACGCGCAACTGACATGGAAGGCGGTTGTCCAGGTCCGACAGAAAGTGGCGCACAAGAGAACGTTCCTTTGGCTTGAGCAGCTCATTCTCAAACACAATGCCCATCGTGACACAACAAATATAAAGGAATACCGGGATGGATTAGATTTCTATTACGTACATCGAGCACATGCGGCAAAGATGGTAGAATTTCTTCAGGCGGTTATTCCGATGCGACTGAAAACATCGGAACAGTTGATCTCGCAAGATATACATAGTGGTACGAAAAATTACAAGTTTACATATTCTGTGGAACTGGTGCCGATCTGTAGGGTAGGTATTGTGGACCAATGTGCAGAAAACAGTCAGAAACTCAGATATCCTTTTTTTTGTAGGATGATTTGGTATGCTTGTCACCAAAGCTCGCACGGCAACTTTCCAACACCAATCCCCTAGTCATCTGTAACCGCGTGAGCAACACCATCAACTTCCTTGATCCAAATACCCTCAAAATTGCAGAAATGCGACCTGACGTGTATTGGCAAGCACCCTTCTCCGCACTTTGCGAAGCCAAGGACCTTGTAGAGTTCTACGTCATCGATGTTCAACTAGAAGGACCACATGCCGGTCGTCATGCACTCGCAATGGTAGAGGTGTGTCGCTCGAACGACATGTCTAAAACCTTCATCGCCCGATCACATCTTGGACGCATCCTCAACCCCGGTGATCACGTTCTCGGCTATGACCTGACTCACACCAACTTCAACTCGGACAATTGGGAGGCTTTAAACAATGCTGCCCGTCTTCGAGGGACGATTCCGGACGTCGTACTGGTAAAGAAGAGTTATCCCAATGCACGAAAGAAGGGCAAGGCACGTGGCTGGAAGCTAAAGACTATGGCCAAGGAGGAGGAGTTGGAATATGTCAACCGAGGCAAGTCGGAAAAGTCACGACAGGAGGTTGATTACGAGTTGTTCTTGCGGGATATTGAGGAGGATGAAGAGTTGCGTGGAATGATAAATTTGTACAAGGACCCGAAAGGATTGGCTACACGACAGCCACCAGTGGTGGATCAGAATGCGATGGAGGAGGATGAAGAAGAGCCTGAGGTCGATTTCCCAGAGATTAATGTAGATGAGCTCTTGGAGGATATGGAGGCAATGCATTTGAACGATGACGAAGAAGATGGGGAAGCCATGCAATAGATTTGGGCCTAGGATAGTGTTATTCACAAAGCTGGCAGAATAGTGAGGTTTAGATAGCGTATCAGTTAAACTATCTGATAGGCGGATGTGCCACTGGTACGATTTGTGAATATCCGACTTCCTGGGTACCTATTGATGCCATAGCCGCACTATACATGTACATCACCGCACAATGTAGGTCTCAATAATAGCATTTATTTACTGTGTAGCGTCTCAACGTTCCACAAGAAACAATAACGCACCTAGCGACCCATCGACGACTTTCACGTTAAACTGCACACACACGACACTGGAAGGGTTCGCGTTCTATTGGGTACAAATACAAAGCTATCCATAAGTTTGCTTTGCTAGCCGAATGTGGTTCTCCAGCGATTGAACCCAATTGGGGAGATTGTGTTCTCGACAAAAGGACTGGGCAAGTTGGGTGGGAGTATCCGTCTGTGTTATGCGACCGGTGAGAATAAAGTCACCCAAAAAGCGTATATTTGAGAAACAATAAAGACACAAAGCATACGTACATCATGCACAGTCAGCATTTCGTATTTCCCTTTTGCAATTTCAATCTTTAAGCAACAGATGATTTTCGATCCAGAATGCGGATGCTGTAATCTTGGTACTGCTTTGCCCGTAAGTTGATGCTGCCGATGTTGCTGTCGATGTACAGCACCATCCCCCATATCTTCACCCGCCAAAGTTGGCATGCTCTTATATAGGTTGTTCCTTTGATTTCCTTTCTGTACATTAGCAGGACTTGTTCTTTCATGCCCACCTCTATCCGCGTCGATCAAATCCGGATGTGATTTTGTTATTGCCTGCTTCTGTTTTGGTGGGAGGTTTTGTATGGCTTTCGATAGAGGGTAAGGCGATAATTCGAGGTTCCTGAGGAGAGCGGGAAGATCTGTTATTGCATCTTCCTGTGAATAGGATAGCTGTTCATCTTGCGACTCATGGTCAGGACTATCTGGTGAAGAAAGGCTGACGTTTGAGGCCCATAATCGAATGCGATCATGGAATTGTTTGGGTGTATGCTGGGAGGCGAGGTATTGGGTGTGTTCGCGAAGGTTTTCTTCACTCAGGCTGCTTGGTGTGCGAGGTGCTGTTAGCAGTGTCCATTGTTATTTCTTTCAGAAGAATAATTACACTCTCTGTTCGAGGTCAATGGATGGAGGGAGAGCGTCAGCCTCTCGGGCAATAGCTTCGTTGCTCATTTGTTGGAATAACAAAGCAAAAGAATATCCCTTGTGCTGCTGGAGAATATAGGTGGAATGCTGACGTACTATGGCTCTCGAAATATCCAGAAACCCAACAAACCAGTGTTCCGAATATTGCCCTTGTTTTCTCATAATCCGCTCTTCTGGTCATTACTGCTCCCTCAGCATGATCCCTATAAATCTCGCGAACCGCGCTAAATCAGACATCAAATATTTGTTATACTTGATTTGCAACCTTCAGCATGAGATATCGCCGTTTTTTAAGCCAGATCTGCTGGTCACTTTTACCAAAGCTCGTTGATGAGCGTGGGCGCAGATTTGCTGACGTTATGAGAGTCTGCGCGTCACTAAGCACCACCAAACCGTTCTGAAACTCCAAGCGGCCTTTGGGGGATTTAAGTTGGTCCAATTTATGTTTTACTGTTGCTTGGCGCTGACCCCGATCACGGTCGGGGAGGCTCCCAAAAGTCCATTTATTGGTATTTTAACGATTTGGTAACGGGGAAAACTATGTGGAAATGAAGGACGAGGAATGTTAAAAGGACGTTAGCGGCGGTTGTCGCAGTGTCCTTCTTATATACTCTGATATCCTGTTAAAGCTGTCAAAAAGATCAAATGCTTCGTGTTTTCAAACTGCTTGTCCTTGGAACGCTAGCGCTAAGTACTCATGCTGTTCCTACGCCGATCCGGCGTGCAATCGAGTTTGGAGTCAACTTGCCAGCTGACGACCTGAATTACGATGTCAACCTGTCCAACGGCCTTCGTCTGATCCAATTCTCTCCTAATGAGCCACCGCGATGGGTCCCCGAGACCACACTGGCCGGAATGACTATCGAAGAAAATGGGTTCATGGACGTAACCTACGTATGGGAGACAAACTACAGGGCCAGCTTTGAGCAATCCTTTGGCCCAGTACAGAGTGCAGAGAGTGGGTACACCTTTATACCCGGAGCTGCCAAGAGTTTTGCTGGAAATGATACCACGACCACACCGCCGGGATCTGCCGCAGCACCTGGAGATCTGCCCACCATTAGCCAACAAACATTGGTGAAATCCCTCTTTGGAAAGATTGACATTCAAGGCATGAAGAGCAATGTAAACGCCTTCGTTGCCTTGCCGAACAGAAATTTCAAATCCAAAGACGGTACCAAATCAGCAACATGGCTATTTGATCGTGCCACGGAACTTTTAGGAAAAGCAGGCACGACTCAAAAAGTCACTCACCCCTTCTCGCAGTTCTCGGTCATCGCGACAATCCCTGGTACAAGCAAGGAAAAAGTCATTCTTGGCTCACACCAGGACAGCATTAGCAAAGATGCCACGGCACCGGGTGCAGATGACGATGCGAGCGGGAGTATGACCATCATGGAGGTCATGCGCATTGTGGGTGGTGAAGTGCAAAATGGCTTCCAGCCGGCGAGGACATTGGAGTTTCATTGGTATGCGGGCGAGGAAGGGGGATTGCTAGGAAGTCAACTGATTGCCTTGGACTATAAGAAGAGATCTGAGAATGTAATCGGAATGATGCAGGTGAGTACATTCTGTTGCAAAGGATACCATTCGTTCAGGATTCTTATGTGACTATTCTCGCTTTCATAGTTCGACATGACCGGTTTCGCAAAGGACCCAGCAAACCGCCGTCTTGCTGTCATGACTGACTTCACCGACCCTGGTCTGGTCGCATTTACCAAAAATTTGATGAAAGAATACAGCACGACGCCGATTGTTGAAAGCAAATGCGGATTCGGTTGCTCTGATCACGCATCTTGGACACGAGCTGGGTTCAAAGCTGTTCTCCCTGCGGAGGGAATTTTCGAAGAAATTACCCCGTTCATCCATACGAGTCAAGATACCGTGGATAAGTTGAACTGGGATCACATACAAGACTTTACAAAACTAGGGCTGAGTTTTATGGTTGAGATGGCTGGGGGTAGTCCTGCAGCTGCTGGCAACGGCACTGCAGCGACGGAAGAACCTACAGCAGCGCCCACGGCTCCAACGCCACCACAGGCGCCCAAGGAGAATGGCGGCGCAACCACGCCCAGTGCTACGACTACCGAAACTGAAAACCGTGGTACGCCGACAGCGACGCCTAATGGAGGGACTGCGCAAATACCTCGCACGGGTACGGCACCTCCCACAGACGCCGGCCAAATCGCTGGAGCGCTGTTGGACATGTTTAAACAGATACAGACTCGTATAGGGACTGTAGTTTCCAAGTTTGGGCTATGAACTTGTATAGAGCGCTGACTCGATGGAAAACAATGTAGAATATGTCAGAGTAGTGCCATTATATGTAGAAAGTATTCCGCTCACACCGTATGTTAGGTTGTCCTTTGTAAAGAAAACGAGAAAGCGTGTGTATGTAAATAAAAATGGATCAATCAATAAAAAGATACAAGCCGGGACTTGTGTGTATTTTCAGTATACATTTGACCGAGGGACTGAAGGCATCTGCGAAGTTACTTGACTTGCGACACGCTGCTGAGCTTTTTTACGTTGCTGCGCTTCTCGAAGATCTACGTCAAGAGTGGTCATCTCTTATTAGGGTGCATCGCCACCTCACTAAAGCAATGGTCAGACATTAACGGAATACCCACAATAGATATTGTTTGTCAAAATGTATTGTGCAGGTTTCGCAACTGCTTGCTGAGATTTGGCCTTCTCTTCGGGCTGTGCCTCTGGTGGCGCTTGAGGAGTGGCAGGCGGTGCAGATGACAATCCAAGTGTTTGTCCCAGCGTTTGTGTTATTGTAGACAGCAGCCCGCCGCTTTCAGCGGGCTGACTTACATCAGTGTCCTTGCTCGGCTTTTGTTGTTGTCCTTGCGACGGAGTCGACGGCCGAGATGCTACAGAGATTTGGGAGGAGGGGGAAGTGACGGAGCGCGGAGGTTTTGGCGAACTTGACGGTGCGGATGCTGGTTTGCAGAAGCTATTGCTCTGCGTTACCCCTCAGTTGCAGTGATTGAGACCCACCCACAGTCTACGCACCCTGCATCGCTAATGTGGCTGGGACAAACATAAAACCAGTCTACAGAATTTGTCTAGCATGCATCAGACTGTTAGTGCATGATAAAGACAGAAGCAGCCAACGTGAATCCATACCAATACAGTTATGCAGAATTTTGAACACACGAAACACGGTGCTTCACTGGTCGCTGGATAACAGTAGCAGTACGGCGCATGAGTTTGGTGAATATGCAACAGTGTGCTGCTGTACATTCAGGTATACCTGTTCTTTGCGTGTAGAGGTTTGACATTAACGGTACTTGGGCGGTCATCTTGTCTGGAGCATCGTTTGCCAATCCCACCGACCTTTCCAGGTCATATCACTCCCCACGGCACGTGAATCCTCCAAGCCACTAGTACTGTAGTTCAATCAACGCTACCTAGTCAAGCTTGGCATTTGTTTTTTCCTTGTTCAGCCTCTGGCGCTACCGAATGGATAGTGCGATTCTGCTGGTCCCGCCTATGTTTAGTTAAAGCAGTATCAACTCATTAATCCCTAAAGCAAACGAACTACTGAGCATTTGTGTTCAAGAGGGTCAATCTTTCAAGGTTTTTGAAGCATATTGAAAGGACATTAGAGCAAATAGGGAACCAGTGCACTGCAGGGAACAAGCGCGCAAGTCATCTCCTCGTACCCTTGGCTCACCCTCAATACCATCATGATGGCTGTGACATACAAAACATCCATTTTCACCTTTTTAGTTTAGGCATCTGTAGGAGTAGCATCGTCTTTGTGACGTATGCCTGGAACCCGCATGGAAAGGTTCTCCTGACTTTGCTGGATCTGACCATGCATCTTTATGCGCCTGAGATGGCAAGACTTGTCGCTTTTTGAAGAAATGCAGAAACGCACAAAAAGTGACATTCTCGTCAGAGAGCACCTTGTTCTGGAATGAGGTTATCACACTATGTTCCTATTTCTGTCTAACGTAGCGGCTCATTTGGGAACGGTTGCTCAGCAATACCTGTAATGAAAAGAACAAATAGCAATTCTGTAGGTCACACACAAGCTAAGGAAATGGAAGACCCAAACGCTGTCGCCAGCCAATATCGAACAACCAAGGGGCCATGCGGCGGCCACACGCAAGCCGTGTCTAATCAACAGTGGATAGTCGGTATTCGAAACTCGAAAAAGAATGGATCGCTGTCATTCGTTTGTGGGTTACAGTGCGTTCCTATCGCCTGCTTCCCCAATGTCCCCAGATACAATGATGGACATTCTTTTCATCCGATGATCAGGGCAGATTACAAATTGAGCAGTCACCCCAGGAAGGGGGCATGGCAGTGTCCCGCGGACGAATTGTTGATTGGGGGGAGGATCAGAACAGTTGTTTTGATCATCACTAGAACACTGTGCGCAGAAGGAAGAAACTTGTATATCCAAAACAGGAAATTGGAAAACAAGCTCCTTGTCTGCGCATTGAATCGCACACTGCACACAAATGGTACGCGCATAGCAAAAGAGATTTTTACACTCCCCAAAGGCCGTGATCAAAAAGGTTGATCTTTATCGCTTTTAGTGTGCGTTTGTGTGTTGCTTGCCGTCAGATGACTACTTTTGTCTCTAGATGGTTCACCCAAAACACTTTTTGCACAAGAGATTCCAAACGATAAACGACAAGGATTTTTTTACTGTTCAATTTGTGAGCAAGATCTTTTTCACGCTTGTCGCAGTGTTTGATCGTGGTGACCAGTAAGACATGCCGATCAAATCATGATGGCCAGCAAGAAACAGCAAAAATACTTGCTTTTGGTTCTTCATGTACGAGGATTGCGCAATGCAGATGGCGGTCTCGTTGCTACAATCTCTTAAACTCCCCATGCTTTGTTGGCTTTTGCTCCTTCTTGCTCATCCATGAATGCAAATACCCTTATCGCTAATGGAAAGTGGCAGTGGTACAGATGGGAAGAAAGAGCGCAATTCCAACAATGACCAAATCGCTGTGCATGCACTGTGGGGAAGGACATAAAAGGGCAGGATGTACAGTCCTTCCCCACAGTCCCAAATCCCAGTCGCCCAACCTCATATCCCACAAACACTCTCTCTCAAAGCAACACAATGGTCAAGTTTGCCACCTCCACTGCGCTGGTCGCAGCTGCCCTTGCCTCTTCTGCTCTCACTGTCCTTGCCGCACCCGCTCCTACTACCCAGAGCGTGGACATTCCTTCCTTCCAGCGTGATCCCGCTTACGCTGTCTATGGCAAGGGTACTGCAGCTCCACCTTCCTTTGGCCCGGTTGATGACAAGACCGCGGCTTTGTCGCACATTAGCGAACAGACTGGCGTCCCTGTGGGCGAGCTCGAGGTGACAGATGACTACTCTAGTGCCAACGGCGTTAGGCACATCTACGTTAAGAGGGTCTTGAACGGATACCGGGTAAGTGCGACTTTCGAAGCGGTAGATGCCTTGTGTGATGAAAGCGCGCTGACTTTTATATTTGCAAACCCAGATTGGTAACCAAGTCGGCAACATTTCAGTCAAGGACGGCAAGATCCTTTCCTTTGGAAACTCTTTTGCGCCTGCCAACAACTTCGCCCCACCAACCATTGACGAGCCCACCGCCAAGGTGAACGCCCAGCAAGCCATCCAGACCGCTGAGAAGGCATTGGGTCTCAAGGCAAACAGCATCAAGCCCTTCAACCGCTACGTTGAAAGCTCTGACAGTAAATACGAATTCGCTTGGACCTTCCAGGTCCAGTCTGCACCTGGTGCCAAAGACCTCAAGTGGTACGAAGTTGATGTGTCCGCCAAGACCGGAAAGATCATCAGTGTCACCAACTGGGTGAAAGACGCTTCTTACACTGTCGCCGACTTCCGCGGGGCCGACCCCACCAAACAAATCATCACCGTGAAGGACCCCGCCAACGCTGTTGCCTCACCTAAAGGCTGGCACAACGATGGGACTACGGCCTTCACCGAGACCCGTGGTAACAACGCATTTGCGTACAACTCCTCTGGCGGTTCAAAGGTTACTGCCAAGGGCGGTGCTCAGAACAACTACAACACCAAATACGACGTGAATGCCAATGCCAACACGGCCAGCAACAAGCAAGCCGCGATCGCGAACGTATTCTACGTTGCAAACAGCATGCACGATCTTTTCTACCAATACGGTTTCAACGAAGCTGCTGGAAACTTCCAAGTAAGCAACAATGGAAAGGGCGGACGGGGCAATGATGCCGTATCGATCAGCGCGCAGGATCCCAACGGTACAAACAACGCCAACTTTGCCACTCCACCTGACGGCCAAACACCTCAGATGAACATGTACGTCTTCACCAGTACCAAACCCACCAGGGATGGTGATTTGGAGAACGATATTCCCATTCATGAATACACTCACGGTATCAGTAACCGCCTGACGGGTGGACCCGCCAACTCCAACTGTCTCCGTACCACTGAGGCCGGTGGTATGGGTGAAGGTTGGTCTGACACCGCTGCTCTCTTCGTTCAGCGTCGTGCTACCCACACCCGCGACACCGACCTGGTCATGGGTGATTGGGTAACCGGAAACCCACGCGGTATCAGAACTCAACCCTACTCCACCAGCCTTCAGCGCAACACTCTCAAGTACTCCACCGTCGGCAGACTTAACGAGGTTCACGCCATTGGTGAAGTCTGGGCCACCATCTGGAACGAAGTCTACTGGAACTTGGTGGACCAGTCTGGCTTCTCTGACGATATTTTCAACGCTAACCAAGAGAAGGGTAACATTGTCGCCTTCCAGCTCTTTGTTGACTCACTTGCCCTTCAACCTTGCAACCCAACCATGATTGCCGCCCGTGATGCCATTCTCCAAGCCGATGAGAACCGTTACGACGGTAAATACAAGTGCGCCATCTGGAAAGGATTCGCCAAGAGGGGTATGGGTGCCAACGCTACCACTTCCAAGGTTGACGACTTTACCCTTCCTGCTGGATGTTAATAGAGATGAATTTGGGTAGATGGGATTAGAATACCCTTCCATGACGTCTATGATACATATATACCTAGTGTAGATGCCTTTGTTATATGGTAGATACTTTTTGTTTAGCACTGCGGGTTCGGTGTGCAGCACTCTATGATAAACTGAAAATAATACGGTTTTGTTGATCACATTTGAGACATCGAGACATTTCTTGTTATGTGGGCAATGACAAAAGACAAAACACCAGCGTCCAATGGGTCTGGCGAGTGCCAGCCCGGATAAAGCTAACTAGCTGCTAGACCCTAATTATGCTTATGCGATATAGAACGGTTGGTCTAACCGGGTAACTTTGTTTATGCTCGTCCAACCATCGGATCACGTGATCCACCAGCCGCTTCATGTCCCGTCATTCTCGTGTACGTGAATGTCGAATGAGAGTTCCATTTTACTCGTGATAGGGCCCAAGGAAGATCTTCCATTCAGACGCTTGAATAAGGGTGGATTTGCCTCCTCTAAGTGCTGCTTATGCTAGACAGCATAGTGATCTACGAGAATACACGAGTTCTCTGACCGCCAGATATGGGGGACGCGGACAAAGAGCGCGAGGAAAAACTGAAATTGGCGAGGAAGAAGGTGGGTCTCTAAACAGGAACTGTGGGCGTTATGTTGGGAACTATCTTTTGCCAAGTTGATTAAACCGCTTTGCTTTGCTGCAGTTGAACAAGTTTCGGCAAAAGAAGGTAACAACTTCCGGTGACGCTGGAGATGCAAAGGTAGCTACATGGGTGGACCGTTCTCTCTATCTGTAAAATTGAATGCTGAGAACGACTTGTAATTCAGGACTACTCGACGGAGCGTCTGATGCCTTCAAACAAGCTCAATGGCTCAACGACGTCCCTAGAATCTGTTGAGATTGGAGGCGAAGAAAACACGCTGGGCTCTGGGCCAGTGCCAGCACAGAAAGCAAATACTGGGGTCGTTTCGGCTGGACTGCCTCCTCCACCACCATCCTCAGCACTGCCACCGCAAGCATATACTGCTGCTCCACGGGGAAGAGTATACGATCCTGAGGTCCTGAAACCGGACATATCACAAGGTGAACTTGAAAAACCAGCGACAGAGGGAAATACCAATGATGGAGGGTCTTTTTTGGGTGGGTGGATGGGGAGAATTATTGGCCGAACGCCCTCATCGCCGTCAGCACCATCCATACATCCAGATCACCATACGAGTGTGGAGGCTCATACCGTTGGCGTGCCAAGGAATAATGCAACAGATGGTCAAGATCAGTCACCACTATCCATTACACCGCAATCAACCTCACCTGTCCATGCTCCTCCAAAGTCGCCTTATGCTTACACCCAATCACCTTCCGTCTCACATCCAACCCCGACTTTGCAATCTGGTGCGTATTCGACATCAGATAATTTGCACAAAATAAATGAGCTGCAAGCCGCTTTGGAAGTCGCTCGACTGGAAACGAAACAAGAGCACGACGCTCGCATGGCGGTCGAGCAGCGAGTTACCATCTTGACAGCGCAGATTAACGGTGCTCTGGAGCGAATGGTAAAGGAGAAACAAAGTTTGGTGGAGAAGCTTGCGTCTGCCGAACAGGAAAGAGATGCGGCAATTCAGGAAACAGAGAGATTGAAGGTTGACAAAGAGGGAACTTCATCAAGCAATGCACAACTGCAAGAACGAGAGGAGGGTGTTCTTGTCTTGGAAGAAGAAATTAGGGCGAGGCTGAAGGAAGTTGAACGATGGAGCAATGAGGTTTCGGAAAGGGAAAGGGAATTTTCAAGGGAAAAGGAACGGGTGGAAAATATGCTCCGACAAGTCGAAGAGGCGAAGGCAGCGGTTGAGACCGAGCGCATAGAGCTGGAACGTTTGCGAGACTTGGGGGGCATGAAGGCGACAGAGGGTGGCGATGGGTCACCACACGACGAGATGCTGGCTGAAATCCAGCGAGCAGGGGAGGAGCTAGAAGATGAAAAGCGTGCAGTGGAGGAAATGAGGCAGCGTGCTGAGAACTTACTTGTTCAACATGAACGCTTCAAGGTTGATATGGAAAAGGAGCGTCACGCAATTCACGAGGAAAGAGCGACGCTGATGGAGGAACAAGCCCAGTTGCAAGCGGCAAAGGTTGCAGTTGCCACCCAATATCAACAAATTGAGGAAGCTAGGCAGGCAGTGGAAGACGAGCAACAAAACCTTTATGAGGCTCGACGAAGACTAGAGGCGGATACGGCTGCCCTGGAAGCTAGAGAATCGGTTTCCGCGAACATTACTGGGCATCAAGACCAACCGGGGAGCTTGGAGCTTGAAGCTGAGCGTGCAGCTCTTGGTGCTCGTGAGTCAGAACTGCAGAAACAATTTGATGCGCTGAATGAGAGGGCGTCAAGTATCGACCGGAGCGCTAGGGAAGTAAGCGAAGCGCAGCGGTTGCTCGAGGCAGATAAACGATCATTGGAAGCCCAACGGACGCAACTATCAGAAAGAGAAGATAAGTTTCGCAAAATATCCGAAGAGTTTCTGGCTCGGCAAGAGCAATCCAATATCGAAGCGGATCAAGTGGCCCGTGACAGGGTGGCTGCCGAGACGCTTCGTAGACAGGTTGAGATGGAACGAGCAAAGCTTAGTGTTGAGCGCGCGGCTGTTGAGGCGGCCGAGGCCAAAGTGGCCGCTGATCGCGCAGCTCTTGCAGACAGAGAGGGAAAATTACAACGGTGGGCTGAAGAGATCGGCCATAAGCAGAGTTCTGTGAACGAGGAGAGGCGCCGATTGGAGGACCAAAGAAACCGTATTGAGGAATCAAGAAAGGTGGTGGAGACGGAGCGCAGAACTTTGGATGCAGATCGCGCTGCCTTTGCCGAGAGAGAGGTCAAGTATCGCGAATTAATGGACGAACTATTGGCTAAGCAGGCCACAGTACGCGAGGAAGGAATCAGAGTAGAGCAATTGAGAATACAGTATGAGAAAGACCGTAGCCAACTGGAGCAAGACCGTCGATTGCTTTTGGAGCGGGAAGGGCAATTGCGTCAGCGAACGCAAGAGTTACTGGCCGGACAAGATGCCGCAACAGAAGAAGCTCAGCGAGCGGCAGACCTGAGACGGCAATGCGACATAGATAGGGCCCAGCTTGAAACCGAACGAACGGCACTTTTGGAGAGGGAAGCCAAGCACAAGCAGGCCGTCGAGGAGTTTTTGAAGCAGCGCCAGGCTGCCAATGAAGCAGCCGCCCGAACTTCAGAGAAGCAACGTCAGTTGGAAATTGATCGGGTCACACTTTCAGAGAGGGAAGCTCTGGCTAACCGAGCGCTGGAAGATCACGCTGCCAAGCAGCGAGAGTTGGATGGTGCTATTCGAACCTTCAACGAATTCAAGGCACAGCTAGATTCCGCCATGCAGCAGCGGGAGGCTAGTTTACAGGACGAAAAGCGAGAGCTCGAGGCAGAGCGAGCGGCTATCAAACAACACGCCGCCAAGGAACGCGCAGAGATGGAAGCCCAGATGAGAGTGGAACGAGCCAAGTTGGAGGAATCCTTGAGGATGGTGGAAGCTGACCGAGCTGCCGTCAGCAAGAGGGAAGAAACAGTGCGAAAGTCGATGGAAGATATTGACAAAAAGAAAGTTGTGTTAGCCGAAGAGTTGGGCAAAATCGATGTGGAGCGGAGTCGAGTGGCCGTTTTGAGAGCACAGGTTGAACAGGAACGTGTGGAGACGGAAGCAAAACTCAGGACTATAACTGCAAAAGAAGCGGAACTTGCTCGTGCTCTGTCAAATGCACCTGGCTCATTGAAGAGTTTGGGTGGCGAATCTCCAGAGCGTGTCAAGACTCTTGAGACACAGATCGCACAACTGTCGCTGGAAAGGGACACATTGCGCGAGCGTCTCTCTACTGCACTTACGACACACGAAGCGGCCGCAAGGCAGATGAGCTTGCATGGCACTGATGTGCAATCATTACGGGATCGAATTGCGGAGTTGGAAAGGGAGAACCGAAGCTTTCAAAGTAATGTTTTGCGGCTAACCGACATGCTCGAAAATGAGAGGCGGAAAGATATTGGCGGTGTGGGCATAGGCAAAGGGCCGTCCATCCTGACCTCTCCAGTCCCATCTGTCCATACCCATGTAGATGACCGCGTGCATGCATTGGAACTGGAGCTTGCCCGATTACGAACCGCAGTGGGGCAAAATGGCCATCCACTCGGGAATGCGGAGCAACAGGGCCTTGCCAACGACAACCGAGGAAGCGACGTTGTGAAACCGTCAATTCAAGCGTGGACTGGCCCCGACAAACTTTTGTCAGAAGCTGGTGCTGGTGAAAGAGAAGGAAAAACCACGCATGACCTACTTAATGTGATAGTGGCACTGACAAGGTACGTGCGCTACATGTGGGCGGGAGAGCTGACAACATGAACTAACGTGTGCTCTGTCGATAGTACGAACCAAAGTCTTAGCAACAAGCTGGAAGAGTTGGGATCTCAGCATCGACCACCAGGAACGTTACCAATGCCAGTACCCTCTCCCATCCCACCCAGTTCTATGGCACCGCAGGCCCGTACACCTCGTATTCCTGATGTGCGTCCACAGCAAGATCAGCATAGCCGGTATTACGACGGGTATGATCGACCTCCATTTCCAGAAGCAGGGGGATCATTTTACGGTGCAGCCGGTAGAGACACGCACCAGGCTGACTATCCTCGACGACCCACCAGTCCGTATGTTGGCAAAGGTCGTCAGGAGGAAGGGTACGCGACCGACTATGATTATGAAACTGGGCGCGGACTGAGGAGAGGACGGCCTGTCGTACCTGCTCCTGTGTATTCAAATGGGGATCGTAAAGTGTCTGTCGCGTCCGTGCGCTCTGAGTACAAGGATGCTGATGGAAGTAGAGGGCAAGCCACACGGAAAGTGGGCGGGGTCTCCGTGCCAGATGCCGCCGGAAACAGCAGTAGAAGAGAATCGGAAGCACACAGGGGGTCAAGGGGACCATCGACTACTCGTCCTGGCCCTTACCAGACTACGCGAAGAATGAGTATCACCTCGGATCGCTCAGATGCTGCTAGCCATACATCCACGTATTCCACCGCAACAGCTGCTGCTGCCGCTGCAGCTGCCCGAACAGCTGCATTGAGAGCAAAATTAGAGGCTGCAAGAGCACGAGTTGGTGGCGAAAGCACTGCAGCCCCTAATCTTACAAGTGCCAGCGTTCCTGCTCCGGTTCCGTTGCCCGAAGCGGTTCGACCACCGCAACCCACTAGGTATCGCAACCCTCCACAAGGAGCACCACGATCATCTTCCGCAGATCGCGACAAGGACCGCGAAGAAAGGCCGAGAAGACCCAGTGGACGACACCCACCATCTGAGGCTACCACGGGTATGCAATTGTACTTTAGTAATGAGGATTTAGCCGGATTCAGCGAAACTACCAAGAGAATCTTGTTTGGGGAGGGAGAAGGTGGTAGTAGTAGAAGTGGACATGGGTCAACCAGAGGGGCATGAGCTTGTGCAGTTGTATGGAAACAATGCGGAGCGTGTATTTTCTTGACACGAGCTGTCATGTGGGGATGGGTGATTGTAAAGACCTCTTTCTTTTGCTTTTATGTTGATTTTAATTGATGATTTTTTTCTACATGGTATTGGATGTATGTTGCCATCTGATGGACATTGCTCATATATACGGAATTTCCAAATCGGCGGCTGCTGTAAAAAGCTTCTTGTCAAGTGAACGGCAGTGGTATTATAGTGGGCAACTACGTGGATGTATTCTACCGTTTTTTGTGGGACTTGCATTGGGGTTTTGCCGCTGTTTAATGTCAACGTGGATCCGCAGCTCATCCAGTGGTCGTAATAGCTATGAAGGAAAACACTTTTAGTGAATGTAACCTGCATTGGTGGTTTAGTGGCATAATTACCGCCTGCCACGCGGTAGACCCGAGTTCGATTCTCGGCCAATGCATTAGTGTAACACAGGATCTTTTTTTTGTCCAACGGTTGCTGAAGGGAAAGCCTCTCCGCCCTGTAATGAGCTGCACATGACAAATGAGCTAGTTCCATTTAAAGTCATGAAAGGTTGCCAGCTGGCGATAGTTAGTGGCAGGGGCAGGGAATAAGCCGAATGCAAACGTTTCTGATGTTCGGGCAAAAGGCGATATGCCCAGAGGTAAACCCTAGCCGTTGAGCAAGAGCTCAGGCGCTGCAAGAGTGAGATAACTCTATCTGATGACTGCAAATGCCAAAGGCCTAGAGCAGACTCATTGTGGAAGAACATTTGTTGTATTTTTCACTTGATGTAACATGCATATGTCGACATGGCTTCCAGAATTTGTGAGAATCCCAATTGTGGCATGGAATTGTGTAAAAGGATGGAAAGGGTAAAATTGGTCGGAGGAATGCCGCTAATCGTGTCTACTGCATCACTTGTCCGTTAAAATGGGTGATTTTCTACCAGTGTGCAGGGGACGCTGCATCTATCCCAGTCCAGATCTGCTTAGGAGAGGAACGTAGACGAGGAAAGTCTGTAGTAGGAGTCTGACCTAGAGCAAGGACAATGCGATGTGGCCATCCTGACGAGTCCAATAATTCTCATCTGATGGATGGAAGGTAGGGAGGGTCATCCGGCCTCGCTAGATCTGTCGGTGTATTGATGCAACTTTTGGAGCGGGAGTATACCATGACTCGGAATGGGTATTGTATTGGAATAGGCTTTGTGTATATACGCTGTCTTTGTTATTGCAACAGACGTTATGTGTATACGCTTGTGTTTGTTATCTTGGATGATCCTTTGATGAGTTTGGCCCTCGTTGAACCTGACGATCTGGGGATGTTGGAATATCGTTGACGGGGTTATGAGATACGGAAAAAGCATAGTTGCAAAATGCCCCACGCATCAACGTTTCTCTTGTATGGTGAATTCGACCATCTTTACTACACCAGCATCCTCACAAAATATGCGCAGCTCATCCCGATGCTCCGCTTTCTCGCCCCCCGCTCCGTTGTCATCCGCCGACCTTGACAGGATTTGGCACGATAACTCATTGCAAATTCGTGCTGGCCCAAAATAAGATGCAGATTTTACTGACCAACGGGCGGTAAGCTTGAGTAAACTTAACCCAAAAGAGCCTGTTGCGTTCATACTGTAAAAGGTGCGCCAGCATACTATTAGAATAAAATGAATGAGGAACGGACTGTCTCTCCCTCTCTCAAAACTAAGGATCACTATCAAGTAAAACGCATATCATGCATATGGCACCTTATTCTACTCAGGGCCTTTCATGAAATGCTGGTCGATATCATGATGGACAGGTATGATCCATTTTGCAAAGCCTTGTACTATTTCCCAAGCCCAAAAGTTTTGGGTTCACAAGATACTTAGTTCATAACGTCAAATTTCACAGATGCCGAACAGAATGGGGAAACCATCGCTCTGTGACTATGAGGCGCTTCATGGAGACGTTTTCAACGTCACTTGATCTCATACTTGGACACGAATGGCATTCTTACAGAAGTGATAGAGTCCAAGAACAAGGGAATAGAACTGGAAAGAACGTATTGCAGCTCTCAGCATGATCAATCGGGAACATCAAACCTTTTACATCGAACTCTCTGGGTATGGCGAAACAGTCTGCAAAGCACATACATTTGTGCATCAGCACCCTGCCTAAACTGTCCAGTTGGATATCAAAGTTTGGTCTCTGCGATCTATTTACATGAAGCGACTATCACACGATGATTTTGGTACACAAGAATGGCAGATAGACCATGTCATCCCCGCATCACATATTTCCAAAATTTAACTATGTGCACGACTATTCTCCCCCATCAAATGAGGGATGTCGGCAATTACAACTGTCCCCTCCATCAAATGATGGATATCAAGTGCTTTTTGCCGCACGTTTCCTTGTATCTGCAATATGCGACGCTGCGCAGTAGAAGTTTGTCCGCCACTCCGGACGCGCGTCAATTTCCGAAAGTTAATTAAGAGTATTACTAGGCAACCCGCATGTCAGCTATATAAACGGGTAGAACGCGCCCCTCCTCGCTCCCCCTGCAGCGATTGCATCGCTGCAGGGTCCTCAGAGGTATCCAGTTCTTGGCGGGTTCGGTTTATCCGAGCACAACTCTCCGTTGGGTTCGCCTGATGGAGGTTAGGACGTGTGTGTTTTCACTCTGTCCGACGCCAAAGGGTGGATATCTCCCAAGTTGCTTTGGGTACCTGCTCTGCAATGATGCGGGGTGGGTGTTGGCGGGTTCGGTTTATCCGAGCACATCTCTCCAATGGGTTCTTCTCATGGAGGTTAGGACATGTGTGTTGTCACTCTGTCCGACGCCAAAGGGTGGATATTCTCCCAAGTTGCCTCGGGTACCGTGCCCTGTATCGTGCGGAGTCCAGTTCTTGGCGGGTTCGGTTTATCCGAGCACATCTCTCCAATGGGTTCTTCTCATGGAGGTTAGGACATGTGTGTTGTCACTCTGTCCGACGCCAAAGGGTGGATATTCTCCCAAGTTGCCTCGGGTACCGTGCCCTGTATCGTGCGGAGTCCAGTTCTAAGGGCGGGTTCGGTTTATTCGAGCACATCTCTCCATTGGGTTCGCCTGATGGAGGTTAGGACGTGTGTGAACTTTCACTCTGTCCGACGCCAGGCTGGATTCCCCCCCCCCCCCCCCCCCCCAGAGGTGGGCTTGTTGGTTTTTCCATTTGAACTCCGTTGTATACTGCTAACGGATATCTTCATGTAGGAACTATTAACATTTCTTATCTTCATATAGGACCAAAATGCTGCGGGATATATGACCGGTCAGTGATTAAGAAGAATCGAGCTGGTAAGGTTTTGTGAGCACATTGTCTTCGTATCTCTCAGAAATTTAAGGCGTTCATACAATATAGATTCGGACACGTACGCTTTCCTCAAACCTCCGCCGCCTGTTCTCCCCCTTTTCGGTTCCGGACGATGCTCGCCAAAGTAACATCAAGACCGAGATTCAGAAGACGTACGGTTCCTTTCAAGAAACACAAGAATCGTTTATGACTGGACAAGTCGAATGGGAATGGGAATAAATGTGAATATGGATGGGAATGGGAAGAACTGTGAATGGGAATGGGAATCATGTATAAATCTCGATGTAAATGGGAATGCAATGATGGGATGGGCGCTGTGGATGTCGAATGGGAATGGGAATAAATGGATATGCAATGATGGGGATGGGCGGAAGGTTGCTGGGTAATAAACTATCTTATATCACATTCTTCATTGCTATTTCAAAATGCTCGTTATGCCTTTTGCATTTGGATTCACTGCAAGTTCAATGCCATGCAAATATCACTATCTCTTCGTTCCCCATTTTTGTCCGAAATTTTTGTACCACTGGATGAGTCAGCTCTGATGTACGAGATCATGGGGGATATGACCTCTGAATTTTTTGTTTACTGATGTTTACTACTCGAACTTGTGCATAAGAATACTAGAAGAGAGCGCTTGGATTGGACGTTTACCCATCATGTCTTTGCGAAATCGGCAGCAGAAAGCTGAAACCAATATGCTGGACGAGAGGTCTAGCTTGTTGGATGGAAAGGTCAATGACAGAAGGCGAGGAGCTCAGGTTCGTACTCTTATCAATGAACAAATGCATGTCTATTTAGTTTTGGGGTGCTAACGTTCGTGATATTCTTTTCTGCGCCTAGTGGTTTGGATGGCAGCATTTTATCGTCTTTCCGCTCCTGATTGGAGCGCTGTACGTTTTATCTGGTTCTCGTCGAAGTCTGATCAATGAGTACAGGTACATGATGGCATATTCCAACGATTGCAAACTAGACCTATTGACAAGTCCTTCACAGTCTCCCATCATATTACATCATTCACAATGCCCGAGTCTACACGGTCGATGATGTACAACCGTTTGCTGAGGCGTTCGTTGTCCGCGACGGGCACTTTGTAGATGTTGGAAGCGGGACAGAGTTACGGCAAGCCTATCCGGATGCAAAAGCGGTGGATGCTGGTGGGCGGATGATTGTTCCCGGGTTGATTGACGCGCATGCGGTGCGTGTCTGTAGCGCCTATCTATGTGGAAAGAATGAGCATTCGCTAACAAACCGGCAAATAGCATCTCATTGAACAGGGCCTGGCCCTCCTGCAGGCAGACGTAACAGGAGCCATGACCCTAAGTCAAGTACGATCTCGCCTCGTGTCCTACCTTGATGCCCACCCTGATATTGAAAGTAACAAAGAATGGATTATCGGCAAAGGATGGGACCAAACTAAATGGCCGGAAACAAATCACCAATTCCCGAACGCCTCCGATTTGGATCACCCCCGTCTTAGGCATATTCCCATTTGTTTGTTCAGAATTGACTACCATGCGTTTTGGGTCAACGAAGCAGCTTTGGAAAAGATTGGAAAAGTCCCGAAAAAGGTGGATGGCGGGGAGATTGTGCGTGATTCGAATGGACGTCTGACGGGTGTATTTTTGGATAATGCGATGGATATTGTTGACAATGCGATGGAGAGACCTGGCGAAAAGAGGCTGGCGGAGGCTATCGAAGCCGTCACCCAGAGAATGGTATCGTATGGTTTAACCGGCTTGCATGATGCGGGTGTGCTACCGTGGCAGCTGGACTTTCTGAAGAGGTACGCGTTGAAGTTCAGACCAGACTCATATTAGTGCGATGAGCTGATTGCTACCCCAGCATAGTAGATGCTGGGCGTCTCCCGATTCGTAACTGTACGTTGGGGCTGCTTTCGCGCGTTACTACCTGATTATCCACTCTAATAACCGACGCAGACGCAATGATCAAATGTCCGGATCCCGCACATTACTGTGGCGATATCGTGCCCCAGCTATTCAATTATGGTGATCGGCTGACAGTTCGCTCTGTAAAGTTGTTTCTTGATGGTGCTGTTGGATCATGGGGAGCTGCCATGATTGAGGTACATCGCATATTTTACAAATATCCATATCATTACTCATCCGTGTGGTGGGATTGCTGGCACTTTTCTACTTTAGCCTTACTCTGACGATCCTACCAAGAGCGGATTCTTGCGCATGAATGAGACCGATCTGCCGGATCTGGTGTGGAAAGTATGTGAAACATGTCTTGTGTCAACGTATGCACTCTCCACCGTATCTGACGATGGTATCGTTTCCCACAGTGGATTAGACATGTATGTCCAGCATTATTGCCGGAAAGCTTGACTTGCACCCTCATAGAGCATACAGGGATATCAAGTGAACACCCATTGCATAGGCGATCTGGCCAACAAGATCACTCTGGACGCCTACGAAGAGGCTTTTGAGCGTCTGGGAGAGCAAGGGAAAGACCTGCGGTTGAGAATTGAGCACGCGCAGATGGTGGTATGTTGTTCTTGCTGTTCTTGTTGGGATCATTTCTTTGTCTTTACGTAGTCCCCATTGGTGACAGAGATTGGAAGATATACCGCGATTTGCACGGTTGGGTGTCGTGCCGTCCATGCAGCCTACACATGGTTTGTAGTTTAGCCAATACTTTGGTTACCACGTCGTACTTGGTGTTAACTATCAGATTATGCAAAGCGACGAGTGATATGTCGTATGTCGGACGTCGGATAGGCCCAGACAGGGTGCGCGGGGCTTATGCCTGGCAGTCGCTATTAAACGCTGGGTAGGTCGGAGTGTTTTTGCATCATATTGAATGTTCCAGTGTTGTGTGCTCAATTTCTCGCGGTACAGTGTTTCCCACATTCCCCTTGGATCAGATTTCCCAATCGAAGGCATAAACCCGTTGCTCGGGATCTATGCTGCTGTGACGCGAACTGATGTTGACGGATCATCGGTATGTTCTTGGCCCGGATTTTAGGATAAGCGCTTTATGGAGCTCTAAACCTTGATACTTGTGTTTTTAGCCGCATGGACCAACCGGATGGTATCCTTCTCAGAAACTCAACAGAACACAAGCTCTTAAAGGATTCACGTTGGATGCAGCGTGGGCCGCGTTTCAAGACAGTGAGGTATAGTAGATTCAGTCAGCTAAATCCAATTGAGCAAAACAGAAGCCAATCATTCCCGTTCCAGCTTGGTTCGATCACACCTTCCAAAAAGGCCGATTTCGTCATATTTGATACTGAATTCATGAAAGACGATTTGCCTCCATCAAAAATATTGGAGACACAGGTGGTGACGACAGTTGTAGGTGGAAATGTTGTCTACGGGACGCTGGGTGGATTCACAACATAGATTAGGCGTCCTTCATTGATGTAAAGATAGATAAGGTTAGATGCGAAGTCTGCGATGTGTCTAGAGCATATATTACTGCCTTGGAGATATTTTACTTTCAATATTTGTCTAGTTTTCAAGAGAGACAAGCAGATCGATTTCACGGCGTGAAAACACACCTAGAGCAAGCAGCTAGACGGTCTCGTAAGCCTCTCCGATTGCTTACGCGATTCCTGATTGGTTGCGACCGTCGTCGACCAAGACAAGCTATTTGACAGCCCCTCAAAAAGATATGACGAGACCAAAACGTCCATCGCATTTGGCTGTAAGGAGTTTCGTCTCTGCGCTTTGTGTGCAGGAGTTTTGAGAATGGTTTGTCCCTTGCAACGGCATCTGTGCGCTTGCAGGGAGTAATGCGCTAGCACACAAGCGTGGCCTACAGTGTGCATTTCTTTTATTTTTTTCACAGCTCTCCACACTTGCTTTGCCAAGTTGGGGAATTCGACTGCCTAACTCAAAATTAGCCTTCAGGGCTTTGATTGGCATGTCGACTGTGCCTTGCGTAGAGTGGAGCCGCTGCTTGGAATTTGTTCTCCATTTTCACATGGGCTTTTTGTCTCCACTGCAAATGACGCAGAGTAAAAGCCTCTGGTTCCCATTTGCTTTTCAACAGTAATTAGTGGTCTGATTCTCGCCAACAAGCTTGGTAAGGATCTCCAGTTGAGCAATTCTAATATGGAGTACCTGACTGTGCAACAGCCAACAGGAAGGCTTTGTGTGTGTTTTTCTCACCTTCATCCGTTTTGCGATCGACGTTCTGCCCTTTCTGTCTAAGCAGAGACACCTCATCGTACAGAAGGGGTATACAAGCTGTTTGGTACACTCCATTCCATGCAATTCCACCCTACGAACTGAGCACGGTAATTTGAAGGTACCCGGCATGCCATGCCTCTGGGTGTGGGAAACCAACAGTCAATTCCAATGCATCATACGTTTCTTATCCCTATCTAAATTATGACGGAGGGCGGAAAGTCTTGTGAGCAGGGCTTTGGAAAAGGTGGCATAAGCGGTATTAGCACCCGCCATGGCATTGTTCATCTGTCACTTCAAGAAGATGGGAACACATGTCAAAGTGCTTTTAGCCGTCCCCGTCCGGGGGTTTTGACAACGGCCACTTTCCAAAACTGTGGGAATATCCATGAACCAGACAGCAAGTTTGCTCCTGTCACAGGCTTTGTAACCTCCAATAGTAACCGTTCGCTCCGCGCTCAATCGTCGCAGCTGTCGACACAGCTGGCACAAGGGAAGGAGGAATATGGTCAGGGTCACTTTGAGGAGAACGTTAGTAGCACCTCGAGGTTGCAGGACGATGAATTGCCGACCTCGGTACCTACTGGCTCCTCTCTAGGAAAGGGGGACGACGTGGTCCAGGCAGTAGGGGAAGGCGACCACGTAAAGCAAGGGCCCAAAGCCTGCGAGTCAACCCGCAATCGAGACTCCAATGAGCTTTCTCAAAACGCAGCTCAGTGCAGCCATTCCTCGTCTTTGCGCTCTTCTCCTTCGCCTGCCCCTGTATGCCAAGATCAAACAACCGTAGGTGCCCCCTTTCCACAGAGTCGCTTTTATTCCCGCATTGGTTCTTCCCCCCGCTTGCGTCCGGTAACAAATTGTCCGCCGCAACCAATACCAGTAAAAAACTCTCAATCTTCTCATCCTACCTCGACTCAGCATTCCGACAGCTGCGTCCCCGCATCGTCAAGCAACACCAACTTCTCGGCTACACACTCGATGTACTCTGGCCCTTTATCAATTGCTCCTAGTGCCGAGACTTTCCTCCTGGACCGTGCCCGACAACGAGGGCTAATGGTAGTATCTCCATTCGACTCCATTTCAACTTTCACGTCATCCGCACAGTCGCCAGGTTCAGAGCGGGGAATACCGAGCTATCCCGAATCTGGTCTTCATTCTGGATTTGAATCAAGCTCTTCTGTACCTCCAAAGGTATCTGGTGGGTGGACGTTCGCCTCCATTGCAGCTGGTCCAGTCCGACCGTTGCATACACACGGGTTCATTGAATACTCACCAGAGGACGATATCGAGGAGCGGATCTCACCAGATAGAGTTCAAGCGGGACGGACCCTGATGAGCATGGGCGGCTACTCCTCCGACTTTTCTGTAGCGTCTACCCCCATATCTACACATCGCACCTGTGAAGTTGCTTCATCAAATCATCTTAACACCCCGGAGCCGATACGACATGGATGTCTTTTCAAGACAGTTCATCATCCGTATATGGAATGGGGATGCGTTTGTAGGAGGTAGTGGGTTGGTCGGGAGCTACGGGATATACGACAAAGATATCGAAGAGCGGAAAAGTAAAGGCAAGGAGGCTATCGAAGGAGCTGTAAGTTCTTTTGAAGTTGAATTTTTTTGCTGTGGTTCATTAATTAACTGCTGTATTCATTCTACGACTAGTCTGGATATAATCCAACGGCAAAGCTGCCAATGCCTGTCCCGTCGTCAGTAATCCATGAGATTACTTCCAATTCAATGACATATTTTGCGAGGACCGGTATCTTACAACCAAATACAGAGGAGTTGGTAGTAGACGTGGATCAACGACTTGAAAATTCGTTCCACCAAACACTAGTGGATATACATCATCTGGGCTTGAAGAGTGAACCAGGACAGGATGAGGTGGACATCAAAGTGGAAGATTCAGTTCTAAGTTCTGGAGTGCTTATACTCAACAGAAATGCCGGTACGAGGGAAGCAAGGGTGCGAGATCGGTCAATGAACAGGACGCCACAGCTTAGCGACATTTTAGCGTCCGGCGTCACTTCAATCTCACCTGGAGATAGCCAACTCGGAGCTGCGAGCGCGCACATGCTCGTCTGCGATGAGAACGAGACAAAGAGCCTAGACGAAGACGACAGAGTCTGCAAGGCTGGCGATGTGACACAGGCCTTTCAAAACCCCGAAGACGATTCTGAAATCCTTTTAATATCCCTTCTCGAACCCGACCATGTCTTCCAAACCGTTACCAAAGTTGCAGAGTGCCAGCCGGCTAAAGCCACCGCGATAATTGATGCCGAGCTGGACCATCTCCTCACCATCATGCATTCCTTGGGGATGAAGGAGGCAGAAATCGCACTATACACGTCAGAGTCAATTCGCGATAGCAAAAGTCGGGAGCAGGATACCGACAGTGAGCAATATCAAGAGGAGGAAGATTCCGATTATTCGGAACCCAAAGTACGGCGGCAACAGCCCAAATCTCGCAAAAAGCGCAAAACAGACCTAGTTCTCAAAAGAAACAAAAAAGCGACCGCAATGCCCGCCAAACACAGGTCCATTCGCCGCGATCAGCGTGAATCCTCCGAATCGTCCTTTGCATTCACTACTTCCGAGAGCGAATCCGAGCCAGAGCCACCCCCAGTAGAGTTCAAAATTCCCCGGTCGCTTAGGGGAAAGGGATATATATGGCAAACACTGTTGCAGGAGCAGGCAGCAGGATCCAAAAGCCATGTAAATTCGCGTTCGGCAACTTCATCGGCCTCTTCCGGTTCATCTTCTGTCCGCGCTACAAAGCACAGTAAGGGACAAGGAAAACCTTCTAGGGGAAGGCCCAAAAAGAACAGAGGCAGAGGTCAGCGGTGAAGGCGTATTTACTCGCCATATTGCGCGAGTAGGATGTTGCTTGAGAGTATATGAGAATATTATTTTTGTCTTTGAACATTAGCAGAGTCTTTTAATATACTGCCGCTGTTATCTGCCTGGATCAATGAAAGAATGATGCGTTTTGTTCAAGCGGTTGGACGATATGCCCCAATAGTTAATACGCTACTTGCAGAGCCAATGTATCTCTTTGTATCTGGTTAAAGAGCATCTCATTAGAATGCTACTTTATTTTTTGCAAGTTGACAGCCTGCGATCGGCGTTGCTTATGGCAGCGGTGGTCACGTGTACTTTGGATGAGTGTGGGCAATAGCTCGCCATTTTCTGAAAGTCGCCCTTTGCCTGCTGACGGGTAGGTAGCAAGTTGTGAAGACGAGGGTAATGTTGTAGAATGCTGTCGAGCCACAGACCAAGGAAGGCAGTACAATAACGCAGAGTCATGCTGCCCACACCTCAGAGTCTTACCCAATCCGATTCTGCACTCTCGTCACCTACCACGATACCCAGCGACTGGCTCCGTTTGAACAATGATGAGCTCAAGTCACTCATTCGTGAAGAGCTGGTGCACCGCCTGGATGCAGCAATGGCTAAGATGGCAAAGTGGCGCTCAACCATTTCGGCTGCCCTTCACCCAGACCATTCGACACCGACTCCCGAAACCATTCGGGCGTACGATATTGACCAGCTAGAAGAGTATGTTGAGAAAGTAGAGATGGAAGAGCAGGAATTGGAGAAAGCGTTTCTAGTCAAGAAGTTGGGCGCTATGGTGGCTAGAAGGAGTGGCTCGGTGAAACCTCTTGAAGCAACACCGAGCCCAAGAGGAGAGTATCTGGGGCATGTAGCTAGAGGGAGCAGTAATGATAATGCGTCGACTGTTGGGAGAGTAGCGATTTTGTCTCTGCCACGTACACAGATGGCAACGACGATAGGTGCCGAGGGTATCCATGTAGATGAACAGGTAAGGGACCTGTGTCCGCCGCCGGCACCGAGTTCCCAAACACCCAGCGAAAAGCGTTCCAGGAAGCGGTTCGTTATCACGTCGAGGGATGAGGAGGACGACGACAGCCAGATAACCGCCGAACCGTCGCTACCTGTTAAGACCGTGGATGTGAAGGTGGAGGAAGCGACGGAGGAATTCGATATTGATATCTCATCTGCGTCACCGGGCCTGAGTTTGGCTGAACCTCAACAGCACCCCAGTTCTATGGATGCAGTTGTCGTAGATATAGCCATTGACGCGGCCGATGATGATCCTATCATGTCAAAAATACAGAGATTACAAGCGAAATGTCGCACGCCAAAGGTTGAACGCGCTACGACGGATCCCGAGGTGATCGTCATAGAGGATACTGATGACAAAATGGAAACCATTGGAACTGGTCAGGAGAACGAGCTACCTGCTAGTCAAGAGCCGGATACGCCACCATCAGGAGAGGCAGCCGAGGAGGACATGAACACACGTGATGATGATATTGCTGTCAAGTCGGAAAGAGAATCCAACTCACCTAAACGCGTTGAGAATGCTAACTTGAAACCACATGACGGACACCCCGCGTACGTTCCTTGGAGTGTTCCCAACGGACTGGAAATCAATTCTCTCAGTTTATCTCAAGTCGTGAGAGGGTTATTGTGGCGACATTTCCGGCACGGCAATGGTGGATTAAGTGCCAAAAGGATCACCGGTAACTATCATGTTTCATTGGAGCTATTTACATAGATTTCCTTTTGATGATTTTTGTGATAACAAGGGCTGTGCGTTGAGTATTTTCCCGAGCACATGCAAAGTAAGCAGACAAAGAAAGCCAGAGATAAAGGTATCCGGAAAGCGGTGCGCCGGTACATCCGAGCATGTGGATTCTGGGACAAGGCTGGGGTTTTCCCACCGAGTTCACATGGTTTGGAGACTCCCATCGTCCAGGCAAAACCCGTAATGTACCTCAGTCCGCAATATTACAAGTATTTGAATTCGGATCATGATTTCAATGCGCAAAAGCATCTTTTCGAGCATGTTGACACCCTGACCTGTGCTCGTACACCAAAGAACCCTTCGTCTTTGCCCTCTGACCATCCTGAAAGCAATGTGTCTGTTCCAATTGAGCCGGGAACCAGTTGTTCACATCGAAGTCTCGGGCTTGGGCACAGCTCTAATTTTGATCATACTACCCTACCGGGAGCAGTGCCAATTGAGGTACGACAAGAGCGTGCTTTACCGCAGCCGAAGCGTACTGGTAAGCGACCGAATGGCCAAGCCGGGAATTCCCATGGGGACTTGAATGAGATTCCATCTACTCTCGCATCGTCGAATCGATCGAAGAAAAGAAGAAAATCAAAAAAACGTCGCGCATCCTCACATGAATCGGACAGTGAAGATGATGATCTTTACACAGAAGAATCGAACGATGATGATCTTTACATAGAAGAATCGAGTGACGCGGACACTTGGTTGCCTACGCCTCGCAGAAAACGTGTCAAAGTGGATACCGAAACGTCTGCTAAGCTGCCTCAAACAACTCAGATACCGACTGTGCTCAAACGTCCATGGTCAGAAAAGTGGACATCGACCAAGCCAATGATTGCCTATACGTACTGGCAGATGTGGAACAAACTCGGTGGAGACAATATTAATACCTACCGCAATACAAGCTTTCGTGCTCACCAGAGAAATCTGGTTCCATATGCAGCGCTTGTCAAAGACAAGTGGAACCCCGGCCGCCTTCCGCAATCCGCTCTATTTGCCAAGGACCCAGGTCAGTCGCTCCCGGAAGCCCTCCAAAAGTGTAAAGAGTGGTGGAAGAGAACTCTTGGGTGGCGATTCAAAACGGGTGCTGTACCAGTGTTTTGCAACTTGCCGAAAAAGATTGCTGGACTGCAGCTTCCCGCATCTTATTGGCTGTATCTCGGCCCTTGTTATTTGGGTGACGTTCTTGCGAAAACACCGTTTGAAGAACTATCGACAGCCAGTCGTGCCGTATGGGAGAAATATTGCGAGCAGGAGGATGTGATGGTGGAGGTGGAGATCTTGCCAAGCTCGGACCCAGATGACCTTACAATGGAGCAACTGGTTTGTGACGGGGACTGCGTGCGCCGGGCAATAGAAGTATTTGGTGACGAGAGCGTGGGACCTGATAAGGTGGTCCTCTGCGATTGTACTCCTGGTTTATTCCATCAACGCCATGGGGCCCAAAGTCGGCAGTGTTGTAGTTGGGATTACAAGAATACCAGGTGTGAGTGTTACTGGCGGACTCGAGAGCAAATTGAGGCAGCCTTTTATCAAGAGTACGGACGGTTCATGAAAAAGGATGCGATTCCTGAATTGGGAGCTAGTGCGACGAATTGCCTTGGAGGTGGTCCGCAGCCAAATGGGGCCGTCACGCGTGACGGGACACCGGGAGACATTGCTGACGAATGTAAAGAAGAAGAGGACGCAGACGTTTTGGTCAAGGACGAGGCGAATGAGGAGGATAGCCAGGATAAGGATCATCAGCCTAATGAGGAGACTCACAACTCGCGGCCTTTGTTTAGCGAAACGCAGCCTATTTCCGAGGACGAGTTATTTGTAATTGACAAAATGCCAGCACGGGAGGTAGAACTCTCTGAGCGTCGTGAGGAGATAAACACGTCTACAGAAATAACAGTCAATGGAGATGAAGCTCCCAAACAGATACCCACCAACGAGAGTCCAAGTTGTCAGGATGAACAAGGGCTGATGCAAGTGGATAAAGTGTCATGAGCATGATTCCCTGGGTACAGAGAAGACGTAATAAATCGGACTTGCCGACTGAAGCAACATGGGCCATATGCGGTGGAGGAACCTGATGAGACAAACGGGTCAGGTCCAATCTACGACCTGCAAAGACTGTTTATCGACTGTGTCCATGCTAGGTGGGTTGCGGAGCCTGGAATTTATAGTGCAATCGGAGATGATATCCAGATCGCAGAGTCCATCGCCATTTATGTGAGGTTCATAGCATATATATATATTGTATATAGTATTTCATCATGGTTGTCGCTTGATTCGTCATATTGCCTAAATACATGGATTTTTGCATATTCAATAAAGCTCAAGATCAAATGTTTCGGACACGTCGCGTGTCCGAATCGGCCAGCAGTGTATGGCCCACTCAAAACAGCTAGACGGAACTCTACGTTTGTTGAAGCACCATGGTCACCGACATACCCACTAGCGACCTCTTTGCGGACGATGACACCTCCCGCGCCGGCAGCGTCCCACTCATATCCTCCCCAATCACCCCCCGACACACTCGTTCCGTCTCCCTCGTTCCTTTTTCGTCGCCGACGGTTGGACCATCTCGACTTGGTTTGAACTTGGAAGAGGAAAGTGAAGGTGTAGAGGAAGAGAGTATAAATGGGGATGAGCGTGAACAAGTGGAACAGATGAAAAAAGATGAAGGCGAACAACGTGAACAAACTGTACAAGATGAAAAACGGGAATGGGTCAAACGCATGCGAATCATGTTTTGTGTGCGTGAGGAATTCGAGGTTACAAAGAGTATTATTCATGAAGATGGGACACTTAACCAAGAGTGCGTAAACAAACACATTACAAAAAAAAATCCCAATTCGAAAAAGATTTGACAATTGTCCCATGTAGTTACTTTCGACCTCCAAAAGGCACCCAACTCTCGAACGAACCCGTCAAAAAATGGACCGACAAGGAACGTACACTCCTTATTCAAGGGATCCAAACATATGGAATTGGACATTTTAGAGAGATTTCAGAGGCGTTGTTACCAGATTGGGTAACGTCCATCCTTTGTTTTTACTGCCATGTAAAAACGCAAAATGTTGAAGCGAAAATGATCATTATAGCCTCCCAATGACCTACGCGTAAAATCCATGCGACTCATTGGTCGACAAAACCTACAAGAGTACAAGGATTGGAGGGGGAGCGAACAAGATATCCGAGACGAGTATGAACGGAATAAAGAGATTGGGATGCGACTTGGGTGTTGGAAGAGTGGGGTATTGGTTTTTGATGATGCGGGACGGGTGAATGAGGAGGTTAAAAAGTATCCGGTTGTATTCAAGGAAGAGGTGAGTGGATGTGAGATGTGTGTTCTTGTGAGGTGGTGGTTTTAATGGGTTTTTTTTGTGGTATCTTAGGTGGTGAATGGGGCAAACAAGAAGCGACGGAGATGAAAGGGGATTTTTATTTATTTGTCTTTTGTTTTTATTGTCCAGTGGGTTCCATTTCTTGTAGTACATCCTCTATTTTTGATAAAAGATTGTAAATACCAAGCGCTGCCCCCCTTGTCGTAAATCATGTTCATAAACTCTTACCCATTTTCTCGCAATATGTATTGTAAAGCGTGATGAGGTGTAAAATCTTTTCCCGTAACCTATTCAGAAATGATCAACAATGACAGCCTTTTCAAGTAACCAAGATATGTTTCTTGAAATTTATTTCGGGATTTTACCTTGACCCAAACATGACGCATTCCTCTCTTTGTTCTCTACTTAAACCGCCTTGGGATTGTTTGGATTCGAGGAATCGGGATGTGACGCTAGATGCCGCGTCAATGTTTTCTAGGAATGTACGAATTTGAGCGTACACGAGGGACGGCTATATATTGCATGTGTTAATGTACGTCATTGTTAAAGGAAGTTATGTTAGATTACATTACATTTGCGGATGGGGTTGTCGTATCGGGTGTGACGTCTACATGTGAGGACGCGGCTGAAGATGATGACGGTTTGGGAGGATCAGGGGGAGGTTTTGGCGGTGTATCCGTTGAAGTTTGAGTATCGCGTGTTGCGATCAAGTCCGTTGAGTCTGTTTGGGTTTGGTTGTCCTTTGCGGCGGGTGTGGAATGGCGGGGTGGAGTTTGTGTGGGTAAATGAAGGGGAGAAGCGATGGATTCTGTTGGGTTGTGTAGTATATCCAATTCTGTACTATGGTCCTGTTCTTCCACTCTGTAATCTGGGAGTACACTTTCCACGACGGGTGGACCTGGTTCAAATGTCGTCACCTCCAACTCTTCTCCAAGTCCATTCTCCTTTTCATTGGGCTCCTTTCCTCGTTTCTTTTTCCTACTTTTTCTTTTTTCTCCAAGGACCCCCGCAAAAAGCCTTGTATGCTCTCTCAACAACGTCTCCAACATTTGCTGTTTACTCACTACTTGATCTCTAGCAGCTTTAGAGCGCTCTTGTGCGTTCGCAACGTCCCGTGCCTGAAGTGTCCGAAGAGATTGGGTTTTTTGTTTGAGTTTGGTGGCTTCGGTAGAGAGTTTTGTAGTGCTGGACCAAGGGTTGATGTGAAGAGGTGGTTTAACGGGTTTCTTTTGTAGCTTTTTGGGGGATTTGGTGGTGTTGAGGGCATCCTGTAAAACCCTCATGTCTTCTACTACGTCATGTCCAGCGTATTTGGAATGATGGTTGGAGGTTTTCGTGGGTTTTGACGAGGGGAGACCTAATCGGTCGACAAAGTCGTAGGCCCATGCGTCTGGTTGCGAGGGTTTTGGAAGGTGGATTTTGATGGGTTTGCTTGTAGTTGAGGATTTGGAGGGGCGGGACTTGGTCTGGGTAGGATGTTTTCGGGTTGATTGCATTCCTTTTAAAAAAGGTATGTGTGTATCGGGTTGGAGGTGTGCGTAGGTGAAGGAAATCCCACTCTCCTTGCTTTGTTCAAAGAGACGGGGATTGTGCGTTTAAACGCGAAAAGCAACGAAAGTTACTGCGCGTCGTTGAACATTGCGCGTATTTCGTCCGAAAGACGTGACCAGCTTACCTCATCTCATGACACATCAAAACTCGATCAAAATGCCATTTTCATTTCTACTGAACCAACTTTTACTTTTGAACCACGTTCAAAAACACACAAAACCATGGCCATACGAGCTCTTTCGGCTATCGTCAAGGCTATTACACCTCCCGTTGAGGTTCCCGTTCCCGTGTACCGCAAGGACTTGCCCCCTATTGAAGAATGCATGTTACCCGAGAGTTTAATGGCAAGAAAACATGCAGCACGTATGTAGTTGAGCAAGTATTCACAACATGAATAAGCTATACCAAAAAAGTAACCACACACATAGACGCAGTCCAAACATGGAAAAAATTCAACCTCTATTTTACGGCCCCTGTTCTCCTTCTCGTAACGTTTTTCACGATTCCCAAAGAAATAGCTCATATTCGGCACTTGCAAGAGCATCCGAAAGAATGGCAAAACTTTGTTTATATGCGTAAGAGGAAGAATGCCTATCCCTGGGGAAATAGTAATCTGTTTTATTATCCGAATGCCAATCCTGTGAGTTTGTTGTTCTTGTCTTGGGTGGTGATGGTCTGGATGTGCAGGGTTCATTTGTGCGCCTTGTTCCTTTATTTTGCAGAAACCGCCGGAAGAAGAAGATGAAGGGAATGAGTAAAACGACAACACATTACGCTCCTCATTTACTGCTACCCAAACGGAGATGCAGTCCGATGCTGAGAGATGACAGTCATGTAATGGGGCATGTTGACAAAAGATACCTTGATTTTGATACACACTAATATCGAGTTTGAGTTGTGTATATTTGGTTGTATTTCTGGGCACACGATCGAGATAAACAATGACGGCACCAAAAGAAAAGACTTCCCCTCTAACCATTTTTCAGCACCCAACTCCCATAGAGACTGCCAGGACTGCACGAACTAATCACTAGTACAAGAAGCTCGAGTGTCTGCGTTCAAACTAACCTCCTTCAATTTGAAATGCTCCGATTGGCATTCCTATTGCATGAAACATGAGAAACCAAAAACATAAAGAAACGATAGCTTACAAAAAAAGGTTCGGAATTTACTATTACCCAAAATGACGAAGATATTAAGAAACTCGAAAATAAAGAAAAGAACTTGCTTCAACTAACTCCTTTCGAGGAAAAGAAAGGGTTATGCCAGATTTATAGCGCTCCCGGCCAGGGTCGAACTGGCAACCTCTCGGTAGCTAGATATCTAACAGCCGAACGCGCTAACCAATTGCGCCACGGAAGCTTGCGAATATAGGACTTGCTATGTATATTATCTATGTAATATGGAATCTAATTCATACAAGCAAAATGATTTCCACGAGCATTGTGCAGTGGCCATCGCATAGTGTGTGGGCAAAAAGGATTGTCAGTCTGCAGATAGATGCAGCCACTGGATCGAATGAGATGAAATGCAAAATGCCTTCCTCGATTTAGGCAAATGAAACTATGGGTCGATGCACAAAAGATGCTCCATCATGAGAAAACGGGTCCAATATGCGGCCATGAATGACTGCAATTACTATCCCTTGCGGCCATCTGCTTCAGTTGCCACATGCATATCATCAGTTATGACTCAATGTATCCCCTCTTTTTTCTATATAAACCCCCCCTTGTCTGCCCCCTATCTTGTTCTTTACCCTCGACTCTCAAAGCATCTGCCCAACGTTCAAGTCCATCATGAGAATGCCGCTCTGGTGCCGAGGACCTCGCCCACCCGACAACAACAACAACATAACCCCTTGCAAACGCTGCTACTACTATACTGCTACGATCGCAGGTATGCATTATCTTTGTATTTTCCTATGCGTATTCCGAGTCTAATTCCCGTTACCTTAGTATCTGAAAACATCCTCCGACTAAAGAATTTCGGAATCAAGGGCTTAGTAGGATTTCTCTCGTGGTGGTGGGCTTAGTTACCCGGTTAGAACAACCGTAATGTATTGCATGTGTCATTGGGCCTAGTGGTAGTCGGTTGGTTGTAAGGAGGGAATTACTTGGCTTTTCCGAACCGGTTGCCGCCGGTTTATTCCCTGGTGTATTGTGTTGTGACATTTGTTATTGCCAATACACTATGAACATTAAAAACAAACCGTAATGTACATGAAAGAGGTTTTCTCATTTCTCTAAAAAATTGTGTACATGATTCTATTTACACACACAAAGTCGATCCATTTACGGTAACACTTTTCTCATCCACGGATGCTGCAAAACCTGTTCAGCACTGGGACGCCTATCAGGTGTCTTTTCCAGCATCCAGTCCACCAATTGGAGACATTCTGCGCTCGTCTGCATCTTTGGTGGCTTGTATCCACTGGCCATGGCTTCCTCGCTGCTGGAAAAGGGACATTCGCCGTGTAACATGGTGTACAGGAGGACGCCCATGGCCCAAATATCAGAAGGTCGGCCCTTGTATCGTTCTCCTCTGAGGATTTCGGGTGAAGCGTATTGGAGAGTTCCTTGGAAGCGGTCAAAGAGCTGCGACTTTTTGTGAGAGGGTTCAAAGGCAGCTGACCCGAAATCGATGATTTTAACGTGGAGGTTCGAGTCAATGACAATATTTTCGTCCTTCAAGTCGCGGTGAACGATGCCACGAGAGTGAAGGTATGCTACAGCTTCGGCGATTTGACGAAAGACGTGCCTAGCATGGCGTTCTGGAAGGTGAGCGTTTTGCTCAATGCACTCAAAGAGGTCCATGGAAGGTTTGCGAGCAAGTTTGGGAGGTAGCGGGACGGATTGGGTGCGAGCCATGGGTGGCGGTGAAGGGAGGGAGCGAGGGGCCGGTGTGGAAGAAAGTGTTGGGTTGGAGAGTTGTCGTACCCGGTGAGGAGGAGAAGGCGATACTTGCTCGGCGCCACCGGTTTCTTCACATATTACCCTTGCGATGGCTGGATGACGACAAGTCGCAGTCGCAGCTGTAGGGGAACTAGGTGGAGAATGGTGTCCATTAGAGATGAACTCGTTTTCCTTCTTTTCTGGCGGATCGATTTCTTCCGGGATCGTGTCCACTTGAGCACGTGCTGCTTCAGCAGCCTTGGCAAGGTGCATGGCATCTTTGCGGTCCTTTTCATCTATAAAAGCATTGTCCGTAGCACTCCACTGGGTTCCATGCATCTCCATCACCAAATAGCCAAACCGCTCGTCTTCGAAAAAATCTTCAAATGCAATCACATTTGGATGGTTGCAACGCCGGACCAGATACACTTCCATTGGCATGACGCCAAGTTCTCGATCTCGTGCCCACGCAGATACGGGGATTCTCCGCTTTAGGATCAATTTTACGGCCACTTCCTTCCGGTCCTTTATACGAGTAGCCGCTAGAACATGGCCGAATCCGCCCGAACCCAGCTCAGCGGTGACTTGGTAGCGAGCCAAAAAAGCAGCATTGAGAGGGTACTTGTTCAACAGACGTTGAAGAGGAGATGTATCGTCATTTGAAAGGGAAGATCTCGACTTTTGTTGTTGTTTAGGAGGCGGTGTTGCTGGTGAGCGAGCGATGCGTGCGGTAGGACTGGAGGGACGAGATACGGATTGCGGTGTAACGGGCATGGAGGATGGAGGTTTTTTAACGAAGGGCAAAGTGGCAGTAGTCGCAGCAGTAGCAGTCGAAGGAGGAAGAGGATTTGGAGTCGATACAGGCGATGAGGGTGCGGTTGAGCCTTTAATGTCTTGCGCGCTCTGTGCACGCTGTGGACCCTCGGCAGTAACCGGCCCGTGAGCAGCAGCAGCAGAAGAAAGAGGCTGCCCTTGTCCCCCGGTTGCCTTGAGCTGTGGCCGCGAGTTGAAGAATTGTCGGATTAAACCCTTTTTCGTCAGTTGAGGGCTAGTGTACGGAGACGTTGTCGTTGCCGTGTTCAGCATGGATGGCTGTGATCCACCATAACATCCTCTAGTGTACTGATTCGAAGGTTGATGCGGTAACGGGCTCAGGGAAGTTGGGTGATGAAGGGAAGTGCTGGGCGGCATAGTTAATAACAGAGTGTGTGTAATCGATGATTAATCTTGATGCGATGGAAAAAAAAAAAAAGGGCTGTCGTGAGGTGAATCAAGACGAATGGATAAGATGGCCGATAACGGAAAAAATAAATGGCCCTCCGCCCTTCACTCGCGCGTCGGATTTTGACAGGTTGATATAGTCGTTTGTTGGGATTCTCCGTTGGGGCAGAATGGAAACAAAGAAAACAGAAAGGGGGCAGAAAGAAAACCTTACGTCTTTTTATACTCCCGTTGTTTTCATTTAAAAATACAAAACAATTTGGGGAATATCGATGGATGTCTTTTCCATATGACACCTACTTGTGTATCTCCCTTGATTTTTAGTTGGGATTTGGGGGGGGGGAGTTTTTTGAATACAAATCACCCGATACCCTCCGCACACACACACAAAACTCTTTGCAGTCGCTTTCGGAAAAGGCTGTGGTTTTGAAAGGCGTTGTGTGTGTGTGCGGTGGTGGATGGGTGGAAAAAAACGCGTCAGTGATTCAAAATGTTTAGTTTTGTAGTTTAAAGAAAACCCATGGGGCCTACAAGTAGTTGCTATCAAAAACAAGCGGGCAATTTCGGGATGAAACTTGAAGAATGATAAAGGGTGTAAGAAGCATATTGGAATTAGGGTATTACTGATATTTTACAATATATTTGGGCAAACTTATGGATTTCATTTAGAATGAACAAAAGATGCAAAAAATGGATATGCCACCATAAAAGAGTTTGAGAGGGTTTTAGCCACCCTTTTAAAAGTTGGCTCTGGAACTCGATTTCTTCTCCCACCACCCCGTTCTGTTTGTTACAATGCACAACGGTCATTCTCGTACCCAAAAGATCTACTTTATCGGATAACCGCAACTACAAGTACAGACATGAGATACACTCGCGTTATTCTCAAGATGGGCTTGATTTCTGTTCAGGTAAATAAAATCGTACCTAAAAAAAAAGGGCCTAGACAGATATTGTGTGTGTGTGTGGGTCGATCGAATCAACGAACAGATCTCGGCCATGGCTATCTCACGCACAAGACACACTCATGAAGGCGCGCGTTCAAGCCTCCTCGGCTGTGGATTTCTATCTGATTGAAATGACATGTGAAAGTAAAGAGATGGAAATCTCCCCCCTTCATTGCAATGCGTGACAAAACACGCGCAGATTGAGATGCAAAGAGATGACTCTAATGTCACTCTTCCATGACACACACATATGCAAAAGTAAACACACACACATGTGCCATAAAAAAACCTTAAAATTCCCCCCCAGCAATTGCCCCTCCGCCATGGTAACAAAACACAACCGTTATCCCATTGTTTGTGAGTTCCGCACATGTACAAAAAGCGCAGTGGTCCCTTGAACCAGGTATTAGTTACTGATTGATTACGGTCATCCCCAGGGACTCGGTTCGGCTCCTCCCGGGAACAAGAGTTTTTTTCATTTCTGAAGTTACAGGGATATAGGATAAATCTATGGAGGTATCCGAAATGCGTACTACATTGTTAGGGTCATTGATTTTTGTGACCCTTTTTTACGGCTGCCAAATTGTTTACAGGCGCCTCCGTGCCGCAAAGATTGTGTTGTTATTCTAACTTGTTACAAGGCCAGATAATTCTGGGAATGGAACCTGACGTTCGTCAAGGCTGTGGAGACCTCTGCTTCAGGAACAAAACCATGGGTCTTTCCTTATCAGAATATGAATGTGTAATATCCACCTCTATGTGCTTTTGAGAGCTTCCGTGGCGCAATTGGTTAGCGCGTTCGGCTGTTAGATATCTAGCTACCGAGAGGTTGCCAGTTCGACCCTGGCCGGGAGCGTTATTGTCGCGACACCACTTTTTTTCCCATATCTGTTGTGCTGTAAAGCTCGCCAACGTACTTCGAACAATTGATGTTTCATTTGCTTCTTCTCAATATGCCATTGCAGACGTACGATGTGAAACAAGACGAGCATCGTATCGCTTATAATATGCGCATAATCAGGCATTGGGTAGGCCAACTTAGCAAACATCGCGCGTCGCGACCAGAAACTGCTTATCAAAGCGCGCTTCTCTCTTGTATATTTCTCCAGTTAAAGTGTTGAAAGGCGACAGACACAGCTCGCATCGAGTTTCAAAGGTAACCCCCAGAGGAATACTTTGGCATGAGCGCCGACGACCCCCTGATCGATCCAGATACACTCCTTCCCGTTAATGGCACCCTTCCAATAGATGAAGAGGCTATCGTAAAAGATGCCCGTTGGTACAATGTCATCCTCTGGGCGCCATTTGTGCTAATACCCTTCACGATTATTCTGTCGCGGGTGCTAAGGTACCTGTGGAGACTCTATCAAGCTCGAGTATACGGTTACGGTAATATCCTATCTATGCCTTGAAACAGTCTAAAATGCCAACCTTCATGTACATTTTCGTTTTACTAGATGAGGACTTGTTTAGTGATCCACTTGCCGAGCTGGGGTTATCCATCACAAGACACTACCGCAACACGACCGACATTCGCAAAATCCGCAAAGAACAGCGTAAAATTCATTCCAAACAACAACGCGCCGAACGTGCTGCAGCTGCTCGCGAAACGGGACCTGCTCGCCGGTTTATTGCCGGATTTGCTCCCCTGAATGCCGCTGAATCCTACTTTCAAGATCTCCGGAAACGAACGAAACGGACTTGGTCTGAACGTCTTAGTCCAGAGGCTGTCCGACGTTGGATTGATACGAGCCGTTATGCACGCATTTGGATGGTCTTTCAGGTCGTTTGTACCCTCCTGGCCATTGTCAACTATGTGTTGCTGACGTACTCGATTCACCGAACGGATCGACGACACATTAAATACCTGGATCTCTTTCTTGCGAGCATGTTTCTTATCGACTATAGCATCTCACTCTACACCTCGGAAGATCGGTTACGATTCTACTTTAATCCCGGATCATTGGTAGACCTCTTGTCCATCGTGCCTCCCTTTGTCTATGTCCTCATCTCTGAAACAAGCCAATACGTCTGGTTCTTGGGTCTACTACGAATTCTTCGTGCAAGCAGGATATTGCGGACGTATCGGTTATTGAGTTTTAGTGAGACTGAGGAAAAGCGCGAATTGACCATTCTTGCACTTAGTTTTATGAACTTTGTGTTTTTGAGTGCGAGTATCATCAATGCCTTGGAGAGCATCCATAATCAGCAGATTAATACTGCGAGCTTGAGTAATTGGCATGATAGTTTGTACTATATCATGGTAACCTTCAGGTGAGTATTATCGTTTTGCAAGCGTATCATGATAAAACACCTTTATAACGTCCCCGTTTTACCCACAAAAACAGTACAATAGGTTTTGGTGACCTGACACCCTCCTCCGTCCCCTCGCGAGTAGTCGTCATGCTCCTCATCATTGTCGTCGTTGTCTTTGTCCCCATCCAAACCGGGAAAATCGCTGAAATATACAACTCGACCTCAGCCTACCAAAGAGCCAAATACTCACCCGAGAGCGAACACGCTCATGTTATCCTCGGTGGAACGGTGTCCTACACGGCCGTTATTGATTTCTGTCGCGAGTACTTTGTAGCCGATCCCGAGGGGCATGTCGTTATTCTCAATGAAGAAGAACCTAGCTTGGACGTTCGCAAACTTCTTCGCCACCCTTTTTATCGTAATCGAGTTATTTACCTCCGAGGTACTGCATTGAGTATACCAGACCTTCGTCGCGCCCAAGCAACCTTTGCAACTGCCTTATTCTTATTGAACCTCGATAGCCCGTCGGACGAAAACAGCGGAGGAGGGAATGAAGACGAGCAATTGCGCGTAACTCGTGGTGTGGATGCTCAGATTCTCATGCAGGCATTGGTGGCCAAGAATGCATTCCCCGGTCTCCCCATCTTTGGTGAAGTACAGGATATTAGAAGTCAAGATTTATCTCAAACCTGTGGATGCGACAGAGTGCTCTGCATTGATGAAGTTAAAATGTCCATTTTGGCCCGAAATTGTCTCGTACCCGGGATCCTGACTCTCATCCTCAACCTGGTCCATACGTATAAAGACGCACGGATGACATATCTCTCTGATGCCTGGACGACAGAGTATCAGCACGGCGCGGGACACCAAGTCTATTCTTTCAAAGTCCCTACTGGCCTCGTCGGTGTCCGATTCCCCCACGTTGTGCGGGAAGTCTATCATACCTTTGGTGCCATTGTCTTTGCCGTCATGTCAAGCAATGCGGGGTTCAATGTCAACCCCATTCGACTCAACCCAGGCAAAGACTATCGGTTGCGGGATGATGATATTGCCTTTTGTGCCGCGGATGGAGGTGATGAATTAATGTTGAGAATCATGTTACAGTACAAGGATACAGCCATCAGAGATGAGCTCAATTTGTTTGAACTGGGAAAAGAGATGGATAAAGTGGTTGTGGGAGAGGGACCCAGTGATATTCTCAAGACTGCTTCAGAAAACTTTAACACCTCGGCAGCATCTCTTCAACCTGACCCAACGCCCTCCCCGCTTACCTCGTCACCTACTACCGTCCTCGCAGATCCAGGTCTCCTCTCTACCCTTCATTCCCATATTATCCTTTGCGGCTCCATGACATCCCGCGGAATCCGACACTTTGTCCGCTCCATTCGCACAAGCTCCATCTCTACGCCTTCCCGCGCTCTCTCTGCAAGCGAATCAACGCCCATCATCTGCCTCCTCGAAACCATACCCGCTTTTTCAGAGGATGGGATTTGGTCAGATATTTTGCAGTATCCGCATGTTTTCATTGTCCGTGGTACACCGTTAAAAAGGACAAGCTTGTTGCAGGCGGGTGTGGAAAGGTGTGCAAAGGTTGTTGTTTTTGCAAAGAATCAAAAAGGCGGTGCTGGGAATGCCCAGGATTTACCGGATGCAAATTCAGTGTTTATTGTTAAGATGTTGCAAAGGGTACAGTTCCTTTGCAGTTTCTGTATTTCCAATCATGTTTAACCCCATCTAACGTCACTTGCCTCATTCACAGGAATGGCCGCAAACATCCTTTATCGTCGAACTCTCCAACGGCTCCAACGTCAAATTCTTTTCCTCCAAAAACTCGGAATGGAACTCTGACAACCTCCGCATGCAATCCATTCTCAACAACTATGCATTGAGCATCAACGATCGTGTCGCATTATACAAAAAAGTCCGAGCAGAGGGTGCAGAGCGCGCTACAAATTTCTTGTATCGGTTGATTCAATTCACTGCGAGTGAACCTACCCCAGGTGCTGGAATCCCAACTGGGAATCCATCGTCCAAAAGTGAACCCAAACGCTCGAAACGCAAACGTCCTGACACGACAGGCCAAGTGGACGAAGTTTTGTTTGCTGGGGAGGGAGCGGAAATGGGTATGGCGGATCTCTCACCCAAAAACTACAAAAACCTTCCAACCAACCTCTCCGAACTGGAATCAGACGAAAACTCTGACCAAGACGAACCCGTCTCAGAAACCCAACAACAACAACCCCCCTCAAATACCTCCCCCGTCTCAACAGCTTACCTCCAACGCCTCGTAGACGAAGCCGAACTCAACGAAACAGGCCTCTCCCCATTCCCAGCTTACCACTTTGACCGCCACTTTGCAGCGGGCATGGTTACAACATCCTGTTTCATGCACTCCCTCCTCGCTCAATCCTATTTCCGCCCATACGTCGTCGACATTGTCCGCGCCCTCTCCACATCCGCCATTCATATTCGTGTTCCCCCCGAATGCGTCGGAAAGAAATACATGGACCTTGTTGGATGGTGTTTGGAACGGGGGATAGTCCCGTTGGGGTTGTACCGTGGTGCTCTTTCTCGAAGTGAAAGACCTGCCTGGGGTGGAGAGACCGACGGTTTACCCTATGTTTATACAAACTGTAGGTCGTTTGATGTGGTGCGCAAAGATGATTTGGTGTTTGTTGTTCGGGAGGGGTCATGAACGGAAATGCTTGTAAAAGTTCACTTTTATATATCGTTATCATACAATGTGTCCATCACTTTCACACATTTGCCCATACTGTAGAATGTGCATAAAGCAGTGTGCAACGACAAGATGCAAAAAAATACCAAATATATCTCCTTAGGGCCATGTCATGTATCGGATTCTGTGCATTGACGAGATACCAGAGTCTCCACATTGAAATATCTGCATGCCCGAGCTCAAATACCACACATTTACTTTACAAGACATCTCGTTTTTTTTGCATCTATAATTCGCGATCCCCATCAAAAACGCTAGACTTGTATCCCAATCATACTCTAGTCGTAACTCTGTTTAGAGTTAAAGGTCAACTTGAGTAATTAATCAATACAATGTTCGAACCGAGGATCTTCCTAGGAATATAATATACTGTCTAATTGAGCCAATCTCGTTGATACACATCATTAGTTTTTGTTTACACTTACTAAAAAGGTGCTTGATTAATCATAATGTCCAGAAAGTTCAGACTAAATTTCCTGGACCATTTCAATAAATGGCGAATGTGAACACTAGCAAACGTTTATCTCTTTCATCACAGATCACACTTAACATCTAAACCAATACTAAAAACAAAAAAAAAGTTCCACTACACCAAGAAGTAACAAAACAATGTACAACTTTACCCACACACCCGACTTACGCATTCATCTCATGGATACACGTTCCGTACGCGAGCATATCTCGCTCATCTCAACCAAGTCCAGTACATCAGAAACAATAAAAAGTCAAAAGTATTCGCCAAACCCCAGAAAAAAAAGGGACCCCAAAAGCACCCATTATATCATTCAGCGTAAAAAAAGAAAAATATGCATTATCGCAAAAAGCCAAAATAAATGATCCACGAACATGGTGTAAAAAAAAAAAAAGAAAACACATCCGGCCAAAAGTCTTACGTGCAAAACCACATAAAAGACTTTCTTTATGCCAAACCCTCCCAAACTATCATCGCCAGATACTAGCACCACCAGGTACATCCGCCGTCCACCCATTCAAACCCATCGTAGCTTTCAATCCCGAGACTGGCGCAGATGTCCCTCCCACGCTAGAAGGCACTGATACAGGCGCAGAGGGTATCACGGTAGGTGTCCCACCAACACTATCAAATCCATGTCGGCTTTGTTGGGTATCTGATCCGCTTTCCCATAAATCGCGAGCAGCATTCAAGGCACCCACCGAACTCCGTCGGCGAGCGCCAGTGGCAATGAAAGTGTCGATAAGTCCCTTGAGGTGCATGTCGGGAGTGTGGAGACAACGGTGCCATGCTTCCACCGGGTAGTACATCATGGTGATAGGGGATCGCCAAGTATTTTCGGCGATTAAACGAGCCCGCAACTGAGCATGATCATAATAATAGCCTGCATATACAGAAAAGAATAGCGCATGATGAGATATACAAAAAACAATAGAAACAATATATGCCCTTGATTGCATACATACCATCAGGGCCCTGTACAGGGACATTCATGATCCGCCGAGTTAACGCGCACACAAACTCTGGAGGCACTCTTCCCCCAACCGTCGATGTATTGTATCCAGCCCCACGGGTTCCAGAAGACATGACAGACGACCCACCACCCACTCCTCCCCCAAACTTGATTGGATTCACACCATGTGGTTGCTGATGTCGCTGCGGAGGAAAAGACGAAATTTGCTGGCGGTACACATTTGCGCCATGCAGACCATATCCGTTTGATAAAGGCGCCTCACGCTCATACGTAGCCCGACGACTGTCCGTTCTTCCAGGGTATGTTCCATATGTAGGCCCACTGGGCATCACAAAAGATTCATAGTTTGCTCCAAAGGCAGCATCAAAAGAAGCTCGAGATTGAGGCCACATCCGACTTGAGTTGTTTGCAGGGTGCGTGGTTGACTGATTTGGATCACCCCATGCAAGGCCCACCGTTCCTGGTCCGGATGCGTGGTCAGGAAAAGACACTGGTAAGGACGCCGGACGACTTCCGAGCTGATCATGGGTATACGAATGAACATCATTGACTTGAGGTACCAGAGAATTATCTATAGAGGACTCTTTAACGGCTTGCGCGTACGGGCCAGGAGGATGACCACCATTCAGCATTTGTGGCAACCCTTGTTGCGGGAATGGAACATGAGATGCCGGCAACTTTTGAGGAACACCCTGTTGTCGTTCGGGCTGCCCCAAAGTCTCCTGCACGTCAGTCTCGTGGCTTGATTTCTGCTCATCTCTCGCATTTTCATTGCAAGATGTGTCGAGAGACTCAAATCCAATCCCTGTTTCAACTGTTTGAGCCGCAGAGGCCGTCGAATCGGCGTTGGCGTCCAAAACATTCGTCAAAGGTTTGGATTTGAGATCCTCAACCGGAGCACCTTCGTTGACCGGGACGACAGGTATCTTCTTATTGCGAGTTTTGAGTCCTTCAATAGACGCCATGGCTTTTCTTAGATGCCCAATTTTGTGCATTTCAAAGGTATTCACTAAATCATCCTCAGCTAATGCAGGTAAATCTTCAAAAGCGACTTCTTCTCGAAAGAATCCCTCGGCATAAACACTCAGTCCAAGATTTTCCAACCATTCCGCCACGGTAGTAGCAGTGGTATCAGGCAACTGCACTTCCTCTCGCTTCTTGGCATCGTCAATAAAGTGCATAATTCGCTTCCTGGGCCCGACTTTGGTAATTCCTAATTGAACCAGGTCGGATTCACGAAGGAGGGGCAAAAGAGACCACGATGCGTCATGTGCAAGGAAAGCAGGCAAATACTGTTCAAGGTTTAGTGAGGCCAGAAACCCAAAGAGCTTGGGATCATCCCCAATGTCTACCATCGGTGAAACCTCGCTGGTCTTTTCCATTGGTATTTCCGCTGGTTCACTGGTCCCTGTAGATTTGTTATGATGGCTTTCTAGTTCGATATCGTTAAACTGCACCTGCGGTACTGACGGCCGATGCAAGCATTTTGTCGTCGTAGATGTGTCGTCCGCGTTGGTTTCCACTGCATTTTCCAAAAGACTTACAGGCCCGCTGCCCTTCTTCGCGTCTTCATAATACTCGGCAGACTCGGCTGCCACTGCAACGCCATTGACTAGCGACCTCGGTCGAACACGGGCACGACTGCCACGTCTTGATTGCCGCGGACTGACAACGGACGCCTGTGCCTGACCTTGCGTCTCGGAATTTTTTCGTCGTCGGACACCGCCTCGCGTTCCGCGTCGTCTGAGGCGGGGTGTCGTAGAATTCTCAGGATTTTCTCGATCGTTGTTGGAAGGATCACTCGCATCATTCCATCCTCCATTATCTTCTTCCGTCTGCGGACGAACGCCAACCTCTCGTGGGGTATAGGGTGGTGGTGGCTCATCAATATGCTCGTGATGGCCAACATCGACTCTAAAAGTCTTGATATTCGCCTCTGATATCGGTTTATCATACTCGTGCGTGTTTTGTTGTGCAGCAGCCGCAGTCCCCGTATCGTCTTGTGTTTCGGTGCGGGCTTGCAGTGCACCATGTCCTCGTAATGGTTCCCCTACACAATCGGATTCTGCTCTTGCTTTCATTGACCTCTCTCTTTCCTTCAAGAACGATTCAATTTGTTGTCGCTTTTTGTCCATGCTACGGTTCGCATCATCGATTTCCCGAGCTAGAACGCCTAGAGCAGTATGAATTCCTTTGAATCCAGCTTGTCCTCCCAGATACTCTTTATGAGTGAGGGCAGCCCGAGCAATGGCTAAAATGCGCTGGTAAATGTCCAAGCAGCTTACAGACAATGATATATCAGAAGGATTGTTCTTCTGTGGAACAATTGATGTGACGCGTAGAGGCGGTCGGTTACGTATCAATGCTTGAACGGTTTGTACAATTTGGTTTCTAATGGTTGCGGGTAGGGTATACGGCGTATCTGGGGGGTACATGTCTGGCAAGGACACCAGGAACTCTTCAAAATCTGAAAGGGTAGCTCGGTGTCCTTCCTTTGTTGGGGAAGGTGGTCGCACGGAGCTGTCGGCGGAAACGCCAGCGCCGCTACTGCTAGTACCTTTTCCATCATCTTCCGCTTCATCAGTATCAGGATCTTCTGCACCTTCGTCCTCTGCGTCTTGTTCGACCATCTGTTGTCCATCACTGTCTTTATCAACACGTCCATCACCGCCCTCCTTCAAAACCGCTTTCACATATTCATGCAACTTGCTACGCCACAAATGTTGCTCTTCATTTTTAGCCACTCGAGCTTCCAATCCCATGACGATTTCCTCCGTTTCTTCAACGACTTCATCCATTTTACTACGTCGAGCTTGGTCTAAGAGTGTTCGCAACTTGGAGAGTTTTTCAGTTGTGGGGACATTGCCGGTTTGGTTGAGAACCACAGAGATTTGCCAGCGCAAACGTTTAGCCAACTTGCTGCGGCGCTCTTCCTTATTCCGCTCCAATTCTTCCCGTCGCTGTTGCCGTACTGCTTGGATATCCTCAATATAATAATCTAAAAATGTTGACCATTCTCCCAATCCGAGGTTGTTCTCAGCCTATTTGTAGAAGAGGTGCAACATGTTGGCCAAGGCAGGAGATAGGGAGTCGAAATCAAATGATATACAGACCCGCACGCGAAAAGAGTAGTGACCAGGAGGAAGCACGTCCGTCCACCACTCTGTACTCCAGCCCATATATATCCGAATCCACTCACTTGCGTCATCCATGATCCATTAGTCATTGTCTTCGTGTGACACACAATACATAGGGGTTTGCAAGTCCATACCTTGCCTCCGGCCCAGTACTCCGCTGTTTGACCTGTACTTCGTAACGCGAGATTTGCAATTCCTCCGCGGACGCACAGTTCCAAGTCAACATGACGCGTGTATGGCCTCGTTTGGGATCGGTGACGATACTGTCGATAATACGTGGCCTAGTACATTGATGGGGAAATCCACCAGTCAATCGCCGATGATCGTTTGGAAGCACCGTTCGCGTCGGTTGCACTTTAGGACCAGACATGGTTAGGTCGGGTCAACTACTACGTTGCATCGTTTACAAAATGTAAAAGTACCTCCGTCTTTGTCCCGTTTTATCACTGGCCGGTGCCCTTCCTGATCCGCATCCTTCGATACCTTTGGCAAAGTTGCTAGAAACGCATTGTGATCCATCATTTGAATATACCGACGTCGAAGGTCCGTATCTGACAGCACCTGATGCGCCGTTTGAAGCTCTCGGAATCGTTCTGTTCGATAGAAGAGCATCGATGAGTGGCCATGCCAGATAAACGTGGAAAATGACATCCAAACATACGGTAATCTTCTTCTGTTGGTGGGCGCTGTAATTTATCTGGATGCATCCGCACCGCAAGCACCTTATACCGTCTCCGTACCGAATCCATTAATCCCTGGTGTCCCTTTTCCGCCTGTTGATCTAATTCTTTGGCCCGCTGTTCCAAGGCGGCAACTTTTTCGCGTGCTTCTGCAACTTCACGAAACGCCAGTCCGCAGAGGAGCTGGAATGTTGTTTCGTTTCGTATCGGCCCGGTATGAAAGTGTCGTCCAGTGTCCGAGACTAAAGTCCCCTCTTCTTTAATGACATCTACAACGCGGCATATATCCTTGGGTAGAAAATGCTCGTCAGTTCCGAGATTCGTATAGTGCCAGATTGCCGATCCACAGGCTCACCTTTGGTCCGGCAACGGATGCCAAGGACGCTTGGGCTTCCATAAATGTCAACACATTCGTGCTTGTGACGGTCAGCCCCCCTGCTATCGGAAAGCCCCTCTTCCGTGCGGCTCGTTCTGCGTTCTTCTTCTCCTTCTTCAGCGCTTGCCTGGTCTTTTCATCCAACCTTTTCTCGTCCCGTTTCCTCTCTTGTGCAAACTCTTTCCGGCCCTGCTCGACTTTAGCCAGTGCTTCCTCGGCCTCCGTAAGAGCCTCTCTGCATTTGACGATTTCCTCTGCAAGTGCAATCTGCTCGGTGAAAATCATCACGAGGGCACGGGCGTGTTCGTCATGCTCCAAGTTCAAAACTTGGAAGAAATGCGGAAGGGGCCCGCTGAATCGAGGCGAGGATGGTGGTGCGGTTGTCATCTTCTTCTTTGGCTGTCTTCTAATTGGGTATACTTGTTTTCTGGGCTATGCAGCAATGGACACGTCAGTCTTGCGCAGCAAGACAATGAAGCACAAGCGGAGTACATACCTAATAGAATAGAGCAAAAATAACGTCCCAACCCACTCCACGTCGTAGCGGTCGTGCCCTTCGGACCACCTTCACGTCACTTATTTCCCCGTCCAACTCCACAACCCAACGAATGCCGTCTCAGATATCCAACGTGTCTAATGGTAGGGGATACAAAAGGAAGGGGAAGCCAAATATCGCGAGATCTCGCTCCACCAAAGGCTTTGCCAGATCTAGATCAATATATAGATATTATCGTGGCACGTCAAAGGCCAAGCAAGGACGACGTAGGTTTCGTTGCTTTGGCAGTGCGAGCTCTTTTGCCCACCTAGGTGAAGATGCCGCTCAGGAAACGCGGCTGGATACAATCTGGATCAAACACTGGTATGCCCCGGGGTATAATGCAGCGCCCAGCAAGACTCGTCTTGGCCTAATTCCAACGACCTAGCCCTGTTCTGCGCGACAGAAAGGTCGGTCAACCAGATAAAGTCCAAAAGCGCGACTTGGCCAGGTTGTTCACAGTCCGCTACGAGAAGGCAGGGTGCTCACGGGTGACTGCCAAAGGGATTGCACGCGTAAAAGGACCTGTTGCAAAGTAGGAAGATTCCGACAGTTGGAAAGTGATAAGTGCCCGGCCTTGCTGCGATGCGGGGGGAGCTGGATCCTAGTCACATGACTTGAGCATTTGGTGCTTATTGTGCTTTCAGCATGGCGCTCAGTATTTGACAAACACAGCAAGCAGACATGACAACAAAATATCAGCAAAGCAAACCCAAAACTTTGTACGTTGGGCGAGCTGTTTGGAAGCATATTTGCAATCAATAGTAGTATTAGGATACCGTACTCTAAGTATATTGATGTCGTTTGTTTACAAGTCAAAGATTTCTCTACAACCATCAGCAATTTGACGACGTAAACCACTGCATAAGATGTCCAATAATCCGGGGCAATCGGAGAGCTAAAACACAGCTAAACGTTGATATCATGATGAGTACCAAATACATTAGTCAACAAGTCTTTAGAGACGTTAGCATCAACATCACAGGGACATCCAATTGAGGAGTTGGCTCGGTTATTGTCTGCTTTTATTATTTGTGAGGCAGCGACGGACCAACAAATCGACTACATCATCTCTGGCGCCCAGTTTTGCTGCCATGGAAGAACTGAACGACAGGTCGATGTCAATGATTGATGATAATCACTCCAGCCAAATGGTCGTCTACAAACTACACAAAGGCGGCTTTTATTGTTATATTTTTGTAAAAGACAAACTCGCAATCATCACTCCTTCAACCACCTCATCCGTCTTTAGTAAATCCCGCAGCTCAACTGCTTCGGCCACCTCCACTCAAACTCTGGGCTGATCTAGACAGTGCGGCACCTTTTGTAGGCAATGCATCAACATCCTTCCTAAATCTAATCCAATTATCCATGAATCTCTGATCGGGTCCCTCCCGTCTAAAATCTTCCCGCCTCACTTCTTCTAAAGCACCCATGAGCACCACGGCAGACCGAACGGTCCGCCATCTCTGTCCAGCGCGATGCATTCGTCGGTAGGGTTGTCGCGCCGAGGCATCGTGGAGAGATGTTTGCGATTGGTGCACAGGAGATGCGACTCCGCTCGTTAGACTACTTCCACGGGATGTCCTTGTGGTCGTGAGACGATTGCTAGGTGGTTCTTCTAGGTCAGGGTTCGACACGATGCTAGACCGATCAACCTGAATTGCAGTATGCGGTCCAATAGCTTTCTGAGCAGGGGGGCCCCAATGGCACTTTGGTGATAGGATATGATTATGCGTCCAATTTCGGTGCAAGTTCAGTGCGCATCGTATGACGAACACAAAGGGAAAGTTCAATAACGCCAGAACGATGCAAACGATCCATTCTTTCCAGTCCAGTGGGCAAGTGTTGACAAAATCGCCTCCGAAAATGATGACAAGCACTTGGACCCCCACAATGACTGTGATGATTAGGATAAACAGCCGGTTTCGGAAGAAATGCTTAAAGTAGTTGATTTCGCCGTTCAATTGCCGAGCCATCACAATGTTGGATATCTGCATGAGAATAAAGGTCAAAAATACCATCGTCACTGCACGACGGGAAGGGTTGCCCTCTGTATCTGCCGTGGAGTGGAATGAAGGGTCCATCGGTACCCAATCGTCTGCACCACCCAAGAAAAGACAGAGGAGAACAGTGATTTGGTATACCACTTGCATTCCAATGTATTCTCTCATGGGTCTCGACAGCAGGGATTCAGTTCGGGCGTGGGGTGGATGGTCCAGGATATCGTCTTCAGGTTCATCTGATGCCAAAGCCAGCGCTCCAAGTGAATCCATAATTAAATTGACCCAGAGAAGTTGAACGGTACTCAGAGGAGAGGTCCCCACAGTTAAGGACCCCACAAATGTGAGAATAATGGCCACCAAGTTAACTCCCAACTGGAATTGAAGGAACTTTCGGACACAGTTGAGTACGTTTCTGCCCCATCGAATCGACTGAACCAAGGACACAAAGTTATCATCCAACAAAACAATATCGGATGCATTCATGGCAATTTGTGTGCCGCTGATTCCCATTGCAAATCCCACATCTGCTTCCTTGAGAGCTGGCGCATCGTTGGTACCATCTCCGGTGACCGCCACGACTTCCCCGAGGCGCTTGAGGAGATTAACAAGAGTATGTTTGTCCGCTGGAGACGAGCGAGCCAAGACTTGGAGTCGGGGTATGACAGCAATTTTTTCCTCTTCAGTCATTGCTCGGAAGACAGGACCTTCCAAAGCGATACCGTCCCCAAACATGATGTTGCATTCTCTGGCAATCTTGCAGGCCGTGAGGATATTATCACCAGTTACCATGCGGATAGTGAGACCAGCTCTTTGGCAGGTTGCCACGGCACCTGGGACTTCTTTACGAAGTGGATCCTTAATGCCGACGAGACCGACAAAGATGAGGTCATGTTCTGGATCGTCCTTTTTGCCTTGCCCCTCAAAGGTTGTCAAAGATTGATCTGTGTCTCGGTAGGCAAGGGCGAGGGTACGAAGCCCTTGTGAGGCCCATCGCTTGATAGTCCTTTGAATTCGTGAAATATCTGTAGCGGAGATTGGCGCTACAGTCGTTCCTTTGGCGTCAAGGATGTGCGTGCAAAGCGATAACACAATTTCAGAAGCACCCTTGGTATACAATCTAAACTTTGTTTTCCTAGCCGCAACGAGTCCGCCTGGGGTGGCGACAGGCACGGCCTCGGCAATCGGATGCACTAACGTTGACATACGTTTGCGATCCGATGAGAATGACCACGTCCCATTCTCAACTTTTGTCACTTCTTTCCGAACCGCGTCGTACTGTACACCCAACTTGTCGGCAAAGACCAGCAGAGCGCCTTCTGTAGCTGATCCGACAAAAATGGGTTGGTTCGAGCGTTCGTTGTACTTTACAAAACAATTTGAATTGATGCAAATGCCTTCGGCAAGAAGATTCCTGAGTTTTGGGTCAAATGTCGTTGCCGAAAACGGTTGGAATTGTTCTTCGCCTGATCCTTCGCCGTAATGCACTTGATCGCCCACCAGAGCCTTGACGACGGTCATTCGGTTTTCTGTTAATGTTCCGGTCTTATCGGTACAGATACAGGTCGCTTCGCCCATTGTCTCAGAGGCATCCAGGTGTCGAACGAAACAGTTGTCTTTGATCATTTTAAACATGGAAAAGGCCAACGAGATTGTCACTGCAAGTGGAAGACCCTCTGGAACAGCAACGACAACCACCGTAATTCCAATCACAAAATCTTCAGCAATGGCTTGAATTCTTGCTAATGTTTCAGAGTCGCCGGTACTCAAGCAGGCATGCCTACCAGCGGGAGGCTGGTGCTGAGCCCACGCAATAGCCCACCGAATCAGTAAACCGAGAAAAGTGAGAATACCGGACGCAACGCCAATTTTGCCAATAAGGACTGCGACTTGCTTCAACTTTACTTGAAGCACCGTTTCCTCGCTCTGTGCCTCGTTCAACAGTTCCTGAATCTGCCCACCGCTCGATCGAGGTCCGACGCCCGTGACAAGCATTACTCCAGATCCTTCACTGACTTGACAGCCAGAAAACATGTACGGTGCCGCCGGGGATTTTTTAACCGGAACGGATTCACCTGTCAAGGGACTTTCATCGACTACCAGGCGATTCCCTCGAACGTATAAGCCATCAGCGGGAATCTCATCGCCAACCACCACCTCTACCAAGTCACCGACAAGCACATCCCACGATGAAATCTGATCTTTCATTCCGCCGCGAATCACCTTGGTCCGCTTGTCAGATTGGAGGAGAAGCAGTTTCTTGAATTTTCTGTCTTTGGACCAATCATTTCCGGCCGTGACTGAGAGGACAATAACAACGGCCACTAGAATGGCTAATCCCTCGATCCATCCATCCTTTGGACAGATAGCGGTTCCCAGGGATAAAACCACGATGGCACCAACGATGAGGACCTTGATGATTGGGTCGTCCTTGATAGTTTCCCAAACGATTTCCAGAATGGTGTCCGATCGGGGTGGAGGAATAAGGTTTTGTCCAAAAATCTCTGTACGGATTTCTTTTTCGGCTGCTGTCATGTCTTTTTTAGGTACAGTTGGTTCTCCAGTAGTTTGAATGTCTGCGTCGGGAGCTACTTTACGATGAGCTTTACTGTGCCTCTTATTCTTTGCAACGTCTGCTTCAACTGCGCCAGTATCTCCAGCTAATGATAACCCATTTTCCAAATCTGTTTTCAAAAGATGCCCAACTCCGTCCACGCCGCCGTATTCAGAGTTCAACATCAACAGTTGCGACGGGGAGTTTCTGTCATCAAAGTTACAAATGCGGCCTAGATCCTCTGGAGTGAGCCCAAACTGATTTGGTGCAAATGTTGGATATTTGGATTTAATATTGGAAAGCGTCTTGCGTTTCTCAGGATGCGCATCGCCGGGTGGACCTTCATCGTCAATGTCAGGACTTGGATGTGCACGCTCTGTCAACATTGCCTCGCCTGTCCCAGCTCCCACTGCTGCAACTTCACCACCATCCGACGGTCGGACGATAGGTGGAAGGTGTCGTGGTTGAGCGACCAGTGGTTCCCTATCATGTGGGTCTGGGTAATGCGGGCTGGCAGGCGAATCGGGTGATGCAAGGGATTCTTCGCTGCTGTCCACTGCATTGGGGAGGGCACTGCCAGGACGCTTAGGGCGGCTGGACATGGTACGTCTGGGCTTGAAAGGAAAACGTTAGATGAAAGGCGGAACTAGGAATGTTCTTTTGAAAACAAGGGAATACCACGAGATTTCACAAAGGGGCCGCTTTATTCAGCGGGTTTGGAAGTACAGATGGTCCGCAGAAAAATGGATGGACAGATAACGTCTTATTTAGCGTCCCTTTTGGTGACCAAAGAGTGCACCTTGGATCCAGTCAGGCAAAATCCAAGACTTGAGATGGTCGTTTCTACGTTAAACTCTGACCAACGCGGACAAGAGCCATCTAGGTTTGGCCCATGGTCAATTCTATTTTGAAAATACTCCGATTGGGTTACAAATCGTATTCTTGGTCACATTTGCATTGATTTTCGAATGGGGTAAACCTTAAAGATGATTAAGGCTTACATCTCCGCTCTGGCTGAGTGCTGACGTCAGCATTGGAGACACGCGACTTACAAGAACAAGAGGCAATACAGAAGTTGGGCCATCGACCAAAAGAATCTATATACATAAACTTTGACAGGTCCGCATAAAAAACTTTACAGCATCGACATCTCTGGTGTCTACAGATGCAGAAAGAACGAGATTGGGTATCCTACATGCAGCCAACTCGCCACTTTGACTGCATTATAGGGTTCTCGTCGCATTCCAGCTCCATCACTCTAATGTACCCTAAAAGCGAAAATAAACTGTACACACTCAAATAGCATACTGCATACATTTGCGTTCAATCAAAATCCAAAAAAGAAAGCAACCATTCCCTTTTTATTTTCACTTTCCATTTATTGAAGGGGAGGTTGTTGAGGATATCCAAGCCCAATTGTCCCCGCGGCACCGGTTACTGGTGCTGGCAGCAAGATTGGCAACATCAATCCAGCATTGGCAGGTACAGAGCTTACTCCAACCGGCGAAGTGGGCGATATGGGCGTCGTGTGCGGGACCATTGGACTAGGTAGGTATTGGGTGAACGTAGGCCCTTGGTTTTGGGACTGGTGATTTACGGCGATTAACATGTTTCTATTCGCTCCTCCGCGTCCACGGCCTCGACCTGGTTTATTGCACCGCCCTGCCCGGATATGACGCATCATCGCGTCTTGGCGAGTGAAGGTTACACCACAGGGGCAGGAATAGGGCTTTGCGCCGTTGAGGTGCGTCGTTGCATGGCGGGTAAGGTCATGTTTCCGAAGGAAGCCCTTCAAGTTGGCATTAGGTATAGTCAACTGGCAAACGTCCATTTGTACAAAATGACATACCTTGTGACACTTGTCGCAAATAAAGTTTCGTTCCCGACCATGTAACCTCGCATGCGAGCGTAGGGACGAAAGTTTCTTGAATCCCTTTCCACATGCACACTTAAAGTACCCGCCGTCTTTCGTAGCTGCCTCTCCGAGATCCTGATCCGAGCGTAAAGTACTGTCCGACGATGATGTTGAGGTTCGTTGGGAGGATGACGGTGTAGATGGAGGCTCTGATGAGGAAGTTGTACCATCCGGTGCGGAAACAATAAGGTTGGGAACGACTTGCGATATTGCACCAGATTCTCGTACTGGCTCAGAGACCAATGCTCCCAAGTGACCATACTGCCCATCGTTCGAGCCGTTGCCGTCCGTACGAGTGGGCAATGTGAAATCATCAAATAATCGCTCGAGTCCATCGTCATCACTCTCGAACGAGCTTTCCGACAATGTTATCGGTGATACGCCGATCGCGAGTTGAGAGTTCAGCGAGTGAGAAGGGTCCGTGCTTGGTCCTTTCAAGAGATTACCATCGTTTCCGAGAGTATCCAGCGATGCAAACAAATCAAGATTTTCTGTCGAAGCCGTCGTACCGATACCTTCATACGAGGTTGCCCCAAGATATGGCGATACCGAACTTGCCACGCTCATCGGTGAAGCAAAGGCATTGAAAGGTTGTACTGGCGACATTGCCGGACTGTGTCCACCGTGCGCGTCATCTATCTTGATGCTGCCGAGACTACTAGAGTTGCGATTGTGCGTCTTTCTTGGAATGTTGTTGCTCATGGTCGGACTCGCCGCGCTCATTCTTCTTGGTTGTGGAGCGTTGAGCATGTCGTGCCGACTGGGACCGTCGCGCGCGAGGGCGATAGGTGCAATAACCTCGGGCGGACCTCCAGTGTTTGGTTGCTGATGCGTGGGAAAGGCCGATCCGGGCGCGTTTGGTGGGTAGGCGTACGGTGAGATGGCGTAAGGAGGATAGCCGGGATAGGGATTGAACAGCAAGTGAGGAGGGACCTGTTGTGGTTGTTGTTGAGGGCGGTGATGGTGCTGCGGCGGTTGCTGCTGCTGCTGCTGCTGCTGCTGCGGTTGTGGATGTTGATGTGGATAGTGTAGTGGTGGCGGCAAAGAAGCATATACTGGCGGATTCTGCTTCCATGTTTGCGGGTTGAACGTGGACATGTCAACGTTCATCGTTCCAAGGCTCCAAATCGCTTGATAGACGGTGCAGCGCACTAGAAAGGGACTTTTTGAACTGCGCAATAAAAATCGTGGTGAGTGAGCAAGAACCCGCGAAAGATGCAAAACATTGAAGTCGGAAACACTGACCTCTGGAGAACTGCGTGTGGAGATAGGGTCGTTTTTCTACTTTAAAGATTACCTCGCGATCAATGTCTGAAATTTTAAACTACGCAACAAGCCTTCAAGGGAATACGGCAATAAAAAGAAACGATTTCTAAAACGATTGAAAGTGAGAACAATAAGTCAATGTGGAAATGTTTAAAAAAAAAGAAGACACAATAGGTTTTGAAATTTGGGAGGAGAGAAAGCAATGAGGGCAAGAAGCCTTTATCACTTGACTCCAAACTGACGGTAGAATTAGCGATAAAAACACTCACCCGGAATGACAACGTATGGGGGACTTTTTGCAGAGGCGTTTTCGATTGCAAACAAAAAGCACAAGAAAGGGCAATGAACGTAAAACAGCAAGGAAAAAACATTAGCGGGAGGTTACAAGGAGAGGACTGATGTCATGGATCATCATCACATCGACATCACACGGGCCTCCTCGGTGGGCTGTAACGCTCTATTTTTTGTGTGTGTGATGTTATGGGCGTTCAAACTACTACGTACGCTCTAATGATGATGGTGATGAGCAAAAAAGCAAGGATTTCGTTTCGTATGGTTTTATGGTTTTTCGTTCGTTCGTTCTCGTCGGACGTTCACGGTAGGGGGCGGCGGAGGAAAGGAGGAAAAAAATAACGCCAAGCAGTGTTTTTCGTCGTCGTGCTCGTTGCGATTAGCTTTTCGTTGTCGATCCCTTCCAACATCTCGCGCATGGGCTCCGATGGTGTCATGATGATGATCGGCAAGTCGCGCTGACATCATTCCACATCACCGGAGCGTTCGGTAAGGAAGGGGTAAACAACCCACGCGTTTGGTAATTGCCTTTTGGGTGCGCTTTTACCCATCTTTTGGTTCAAGTTGAAAGCAACTTTCAGTCGACGTCGATCTGACGTTGGGTTTATGGATTGGCATGAGTAAAGGAAGCAAAGCTACCCCCCCACCAACCCGGTTTTTGCTCCAACGCATTTTGGATTCGGTAAATGGGGGGTCCTGGTGTTTGGGGGCAACTTGAAATGTTTTGCAGATCATTATATCTTATACTTCCTAAAAACACATTTGACTATGACCCAAGAAAACAATCTCAAAAAAAACGGTTGCAGGGATGTCAAAAACGGCAGGTAACAGGGAAATCTAGGTTGAAGGGACATTGTCCATGGTCAGGGATCCTTTATCAGAAGCAGGAAATGCTGAGGAGGTTGCATGACCTTTTGCCCTCGTCCCCAGTTGATAAAACGCACTGCAGGACCAGAAGGTTCAAGAACTTTTGTGCGAAAAACATACTCTAAACAGAGAGTGAGAGATGCTAGGCTTTGAACAGTATTTGTCAAAAAGCACACTTGGTCACGAGGACAAGAATGTGACTTGCCTTAAGCGAACGCTCTCAACGGCCCAATGGCCATAAAATCCCCAAAAAGTTAAAACCCAACAAATAAACTGGGCGTTGAAGAAATCAATAAAAATAGTTTTTAAATTTCAAAGGCGCAGCTCAACCGTAATTTGTGTAATTTGGGAACCAGGAATTATCATTTGCTTACGTGACACTTGGAACGGCGACTTATATTTTTACCTACTTTACTTATTGGCCTGCTCGACTGGTTGACAAGATTGATCATGGACTTGACCTTTGGAGGTGGTTATAAGAACGAGCAAGATTCCATTTTCTACTCTGTCATCTTCAACCTTTTATCGCAGCAGTATTCAATAATCAGACATTATGAAATTCACAGTCTTCATCGCAAGTCTTTGTTTTCTCGGCGCCACGGTTGCCGCACCCAGCCGCAGAGCCTTTAATCCAGCCCTCATTCCGCCTACCCAAGTCACACCGGGCAACTCTGCTTGTCAAGGAGACTCGATTGGTCCGGTAAACCAAATCCGTATTCCGTGCCGTTGCCCGCCCTCCGATGCCCAACTCCGCGCGACAGTCCAACAACAGCACCCAAACATTCCGCAGGGTCTTGACCTTGATTCAACGCTGAGCAGATTCCAGTTGACGTTGGCATCGTTGCAAACGCTCAAATGCCCGGCGGCTTCGACGCAGATCAAGGGCAAACTGGACAAGTTGGGAGCTTTGAAAGCATCCGGGAGGAACGTTCCTCAGGCGGAAGTTGAGGCTGCCATTCGTCCGGTTGAAGCAACCTTTTCTCCGGTCTTGGTCGGCGCGGCTGGTCCTGGATTTAATGGACAGCGTAAGCAGTAGATAGATGATGAATAATCATCATGTAGATCTATACAAAAATGTACAGCAGTGAGAAATGTAGAAAAAAGTGTAGAGCTTGGATATAGTGTCAAAGGACGGATGATGTGAATACAAATACAGGCGTAGCGTCAGCAGATTACAAGCATAGTGACTGGTTTTTGCTATCCAAGTGCAAAAAAGTTGATCATATGTATGTAAGCAGAATCACATATCAGACTTTGAGCATCCAAACTCTCGCACTGAAGGGACATCGCCAGAGGTTCTCTTTCAAAGGAGCTCCATTTCTGCTAGTCTGTGAAATATACAAGTATATACAGATGCACTGCACATGAAGGAGGAGTAAATCCACATTAATGGATTTTGAAGAACTTGTTCATACCGCAATCCTGAGTCAGTGTGAGCCATTATTCAATTCTTGCCAATCCGAGCTGGCGTTCAATGCAACCTTGAGGTAACATGGGCCATTACGCCATTCTTGCGAGTCCATATTGTCGTTCGATTGCCATCTTTCCTATGGTCTTTGCATTACAACCCATCACGTTCATACAAGTTTGAAAATAGACTGTTAAGTTGGGACTCGTTTTGCATGGTCGGTGGGCGATCCAGCCATGAGCCGTTTCGACCATCAAAGTCAACTCACAGACCGATAGATTCCCCGACCTAACTGTCTTCATCGTTGACCACTTTAATGGCCTCCTTCGTGTTTGTACCAACGGCTTGCGAAACCGACTGCTTATTTAACTAATTTATAGACAATGCCAGCATTTACTTGCGTACCGAATCTAACTCTTCTGAAGACTCTTGAATCATGTCAAACAGTTTGATGAGAAATTTTCCAGCTTAAATCGTTCCATTGATTCTCGTCGGATTCGCTGTGTGCCTCTAACGTGCGCGAATTCCCCATGCGATATTCTAGGTAAATGCGAGCAGTGCTGAATGCGCTAAACTTCTTTTCCAGAGTGCAACCCGTCAATTTGTCACCCTAGCATTATCCATTTTACCTCATCTACCTAGCTCAGCTCAAGGCCATAGGAACGCGCTCGGACGCAATTACCATGCTGGACACGCCATCCGGACAAATCCTGCGATTCCACGTCCCATCCATTGTTGACAGCCAAGGTATGGGACTATCTACCTTTTACGTGATGTTATCGAAAGGTAGGGGTACCGCAATTGGTCGTTCAGAACGGACGCACTAC